ATAGAGAAGCACACCGTTGGAGTCTTGGTGAGCTCTTTTGATAGAGACCTCCGGGTTCAGGTTCTCATCCTTACCATAATATCGAATTGCTTTGACCAACATATTCCTTTTCATGAGGCTTTGGTTTTCGTCTTTTACGTCATAAAAAGTTGCAATAAAAGTCCTGTTTTCTACTACTTTGAATTGAGGTAAGAACATTTCCTCAAAATCCCCCAACGACATAATGAAGTTGTATTTGGATATAATTTTCGATCGATTGTGTACTCCCTTCTCAAGGTTCGAAATCAAAAACGAAGGGATATGCTCCAACTGCCGAAAGGCTTTGGAACTATCGTTTGTTTTGAAAAATAGTTCCAATTGTTCAACAAAGACTTCTGTATTGGCCATTTTTTGCGAATTGCACTATTCAGAACTTGTAAAACAACATCTGCTTTGCTCATCACATGATGCTCCAAGTCATAGAAACCTTTTGCCCGTTCAACAAAAAGCTTGCGAATTTTTAGTCCAAAAAAAATTTGAACACAACTTGAGCACCAACTGTCATCATGGGTTTTGACAAACATACCACGGTTCATGTTCGGAATTTAGATCCTTCACTTACAGAAAAGATAGGTTTGATTTATAATATTAACATCTTGCTGGCTCACATAAATATACGACTTGGAAAAGTTCTTTAGAAATCAAGTAGGAGATGTGAAACGAATAGTACTAGCAACAGATAGAGAAACACAAAAAAGTAGAGGATATGCTTTTGTTGAATTGTATGTTATTTAATCATGATTGGAAACATTCCGAGGCCTTTAACGATGATGATATCGCCATATGATGACTCGCGAACAATTTTACAATTTTATTGAATTTCAACAATCATATTGAATTCATACTAAATTTGTTGAAATGAACGATCAAAATAATCACACACAATATTTCACACAGTCCAATGGCTTTATTAGCAGACGAATGTATCAGAAAATGCAATGGAACATCTCTCAAAAGTAAAACCATTGCAGTTTCACCTTATTCCGATAAGAAAGAAAAGAAGGAACCCATTAAATTTGAGAAACGAAAGAAAGAAGAACATACTTCACAACTTGATAAAGATGATCCATTCTATGTAAGCTCAAGCGATGAAGATGAAGACGAAGATAAACCTAATAAGGATGGAATTTTCCCAAACCGAGTGTTGGTGGTATCGAAATTATCAAAGAATCAATCATGGGAGGCCACCATGGAGAGTTTACAAACGAAATTTAGCAAGATTGGGAAAGTATCAAACATTAGAATGCCAAAACAGGGAAGGTAAGATCCTATGATTTTTAAATTTTTTTCATTTCATATTTTGGCTTGTATTGACTGATTGGTATCCGTTGTTTCATATAGCTATCACAAAGGATATGCATTTATCGAATTTAGAAAATCAAAACATGCTAAAAGAGCATTAGAATGGGCTAAAAAGAATACCAAATTGTCAGTGGCATGGAAAATCGATCGAGATCAATACGTAAAGAAGAAACAAGACGCATACATCAAGAAAAAGGAAGACGAGTTTGATGCTGAACAAGAAAGATTCCAGAAACATTTGAAAAAGTATTCTGAAGGAGAAGATCAAGAAGACATTGAGGAACCTGAGGAGTACTTTGGTGAGCATGAAGAGGAAGAAAACAAGAAGGAAAAGGATTTCGATGAGTTACTTGAAGATGACAATGAAAAGCAGGAAGCAACAGATGAAGACGACATTGATGAAGAATCTGAAAGCATGATGAGCGACGAAGAGGATGGAGAAGATGGAGGTGAAACTCATGATGATGTCACAAGTGAACCACACATAAGCAATGACGATGAAACAGATGAAGCCACAACAGATGTCGACTCTCAAAAAGAGAAGAAGAATGACGTGCAAACAGCTGCAGACTTGAAAAAAACAATTTTCGTTCAAAATTTACCTTTTCAAGCTGGAGTGGACGAAATTAAGGAATTATTCGAGAATCATTATGGACCTCTCGCCTATGTTGCCATTGTTGCTAAAAGCGATGGACTCTCCAGTGGAAAAGCCTTTATCAAATTCAAACGCTTTTCTGATGCTAAACGTTGTATTCGAGAGGCAGAGAAGAACATGATTCAAAACCCCAATGCTCAAGAAGTAGATCATTCTCAGCAGCAACAGCAGAATCGTTCCGAGCAACAACCACACAACACGTGGGTGAGCTTCTTCTTGAAGGAAGAAAATTGCTTGTGGCACGAGCTCTTCCCAAACGCGATGCAGAAGATAGGAAAAAGAAAAATGAGAAGAAGGAAGACCCCAGAAATTTAAGACTTGCTAAAATTGGATTTATTGCATCGAATAGTGCAGAAGCTAAAGACATGCCTCCAGACCATTTGAAAAAGATTCAACGAAATTGGGCAGAAAAGAATGAAAAGTTGAAGAACCCAATTTATCACGTTTCTGAGACAAGACTTGCCATTCAGAATATGCCAAAATCTTGGACAGAGAAAGATCTCAAGAAACTGATTTTAGAGAAGGTGAATTATGATCAAGTGTTAGGACCCAATAAGAAACCCAAATTAGTTCAAGTGAAAATTGCAAAAGAGAAAGACGGAAAACAAAGTAAGGGATTTGGATTTGTGGAATTTGCAAAACATGATGCTGCTCTTTGTGCTCTCGAGAGATTGAATAATAATCCAAAGATACTCAACCCAAGGATCAAAGACACTAAGGTTGCAACTGCTAACCGTCTAATTGTAGAATTTGCAATTGAAAATACCATGAAATTAACGATTCTACGAAGGCATCAAAAAAAGAGCCATCAGAGCAGTGATGAACCACATCGAATGGCCACATCCACCACAGATAAGAAAAGAAGCTACACAAATGATGACAACATGAAGAAACGAAAGCGAAAGGATAACAACAGAGGTTATTCCAAGAAAACCAAACAGCAATAAATTATTCAAGTTTGAGACACAACAATGCTAGGTGGTATTGAGCTTGATTTCAGTACAACTGTTTATTTTGGAGAGCAAGGACATAACCTTCTCTCGGTCGTACTTTTGGGGTTTGAGTCACATCTGAACATTGATCTTCTAAGAGCAATCACACATTGGTCTTGATTGAAATAGGGCGACCGAGAGGACGCTTCCACCTCTCGCACACACTCACACTTCAAGTGATGGAATTGCTTAAATTCATCACATCTATTAATGTAAGGGAAATAATCTGAATTGCATTTCATGCCCTTCTTTTTACATGCTTTATCACAACTCGAGCCAGCTTGTGACAACACAGATTCCGCTTGTTGAAGTTGTGACAGACTCAATTTGGAAGTGGCAGGGAAAATCTCTTCCTGAGCAGTGTCATGAACAAATTCACCGTTTTTGTCACTGTTAAAAGTTTTCCGTTGGCATGGCGAGAAATTCGAGTGTGTACAATGATCTAAATCAAACGAAAATATTGAAGTTGGATCGATCAGAGTTTCATGGCATTGAGGTTGAGTCTTGACAGCAGAAACAGCAAAATTCTTTGAGAGTGTTACCTCAGAGTTAGACATGAGTTGCCATCGATACATGTACAAATCTCTCTTTTTCAAAAAATCCATCACTAATAACTCATTCAATATTGGCTTCTTCTTAATGGATGATTTCATGAATTTGTCCAAAAATTCACTCATGATGTTTTCATGAAAAATCAAACCATTCACAATTCCTGTTGAAGCTCGAAATATGATTTGTTTTTTCTGTTTCTTTGCTTTAAATTCATTTGCAATATTCATTAAATGATGGAGAACATTTTCACAAAATTCAAATCCTTCTTCAACAAGATAGATTAATGTTGACGTAGAAGACCTTAAATTTGGTTTCAATTCAATTTTCGAAAATTCTATTTTCAATGGTTGAAGAGAATTTGTAACTGTTATCCGGCCTAATTCTTGATGGAAATGTTTTTTCAAAATTTCATCATTTTTCGTATTTTTTTTCTTGTCTTGAACCACCCAAATGCAAGGATTAAATATTCGTAAATTTCGTAATCGCACGATACTCTTCAAAGTTTTGATCAATAATTGTTGTTGAGAAGGTGAACGTTGCACACTATTCAAAAACCAAGATTTAGAAAAAATGACAAATTGCATGGAACATTTGACAGCTGTCACATCCTCTTGCTGCAAAGACAACAAGGTTTCGGAATTTTCATTTCGTTTTCTCCATTCTAACAATTTTTGAATAATTGGATGATTATAGGAAGAGAGGAGAGAAGGTAAATTATTTAAATCATTTGAAAGTTTGATGGTTCCTAAAATGTGAAAAAGCAATGCGATCGAAAGTAAAAGCAATAGTGCAGGAGAAGTCATTTTTTGAAAGAAATTAATTTGACAAGTGGCAGGTGCTCGTAGTATAGAATGTATATAGAGCCATCCAACAAGCAATAATAAGGTAATCATATGGATCGAACACGTTATGCCTCAAGTGTATATTATTCATTTCTGTGTTATTCTATTTAAGGAAAATTTACTCTTTGGCCTTTCAAAATGACAAGCAAGGAATTTAATGGACATGCACTTGTTTTACCCATACTCATAACAAAATGCAACCTGGTTCTGTTGATCGTTATTTCTCACCCACAAGGTATGTGTGAAACTTTCCATGGAGTATTCATTGTTAAAAATTCAATCCATTTGTTTGACAAATCACCACATTCACACCACATTCACAGTCCAAGTACTGGACAACCTGCTGATTTTTCCTATCCACTCATTCCTCAAGACACCAAAGTAGTCATCTTGGGTATTAATTCTTTCATTTCTCGTCATTTAGCATTCCAATTATTATGTAAAGGTTATCAAGTGGTAGGAACTGTTTATGTAAAATCGAAACCACAAACATTGGAAGAAGAAACTCAAGAAGAAGAACAATTCGATCGTCTTTCCTCGGTCATGCCCTATTTACCCTATTGGAAACAATTATTTTCTCAAAACGATCAATTACAAATTGTTGAATTGAATGCTCCACTTCATTTAATAGATTCATCTGTGTTGAAACAAGTGTGTGAAGGAACCTTTTGTGTGTATCATACTTCATGTGTGAGTACTCCTGGAACTACTGCTGGAGAACCAACCACTGAAGAACAAGCTGAAGAATTATATTACAAACCTACTTTGGATGGAATGAAAAAAGTGTTAGAGGTGTGTGAAGAATGTTCTGTGAATCGAGTAATTGTCACGAGTGGAGTTTCTACCTTGTTTAATCCATATAATCCTCCAAGGTAAGTGATTATTGATGAAAATGGGATGCTAGAAGGAATGTGTAAATTTTCAATGAATCGATTGATTTTTTTTAAAATGGAAATTTCACAGAAGTGGAATTGTTTCAGAATGTGACTGGAATCAATCAAGTAAATTGTCAGATCCCATGGGAGCTTATCGAATTTCAAAAGTCAAGGCCGAACGATTCGCATGGGAATTCTGTCGATATTTGACATCGGATCATAAAATTCAACTCGTGACCATTCTACCCACCTTTGTCCTTGGACCTCTCCTTCCCATTCATTTGGTCAAAGAAAGCACTCCTACCAGTACATTGGGTGGAATTCCAATTTTAAGTATTCTCAAACAAGCAGCGTTCGAGGAACAAGAAAAATTCAGAAATTTAGATCAACAAGCACAAATGGAAGATATTCTCTCCAACATGTTAACAGAATTGACTCGAGAAGAGTATACGATGGATCATGTCAGAAAATCACTTCTCTCTGGATCTGTTCTTGAAATTTATCGATTATTGATTGCACAACAGGAAACTCCTTCCATTTTCAATTCATTGAATGTTGGATTTGTCGATGTGAGAGATGTTGCTCGTTGTCATTTACTCGCATTAGAAACGAAACAAGCAAAAGGAAATCGATTCATTTGTTGTCATTCGACACTCCCTTTCATTGACACTCTTCAACAAATTGCCTCAGAAATGTCACAAACTTTTCACATTGAGCATGTCAATTCCAATTTACAAAATATTGAAATTGAATCATCGTCAATGATGGAACAAGTGACACCCATGAAAAAGATTGATGGAAGCAAAGCTGAAAAGATTCTTGGATTGAAATACACTCCTTTGGAACAAACCATTCAAGACATGATTCAATCTTTTATTGATTGGAAATTGGTGAGAATTTCGAGAAGAGGAAGAATGATAATCTCAGAAGCAACAAGATTACAAGAATCAAGTATGACTACTACTACTGCTACACCAACTGTAACTGAAACAGCATCATCATCACGAATTGGAGAAGGTCTTTCCAATCGAGCGAATGAGGAGAAACAAGAAGAAGATTCTTTATCATCTGCTGTTCAAGGTATTCACCCACAAGAATCAACATACAATGAACCTTTGAAATTCAATCAAATGATTGAAGAGGAGAAGGAACCATCCACCACAACCACTCCCTTAGAAGAGAACATGTTGTCGTCAAGCACTCAGTCGAGTGAAACCGCGGCGGTTCCATCCGATCTATCATCCTCGATGGAAATTCACACTACGAAAACACCTCCTCCTTCGCCACAAACCACGGAGATCAATGCATTGAAAAACAATGAATCTGTTCTCGATCAACAACAAGAAAGTAGTAGTAATATCATTGCAACTGAGAAAGAACAAGTTCATCCAGCAGGAGGTAAGGGCACAAGTGGTGAGACTGGTAGTGAACAAGGATCTCTTGTAAAAACACAACCAGAAGAAGAAGAGCAAAAGGAAAAATTCACTGTCATTGCAGAGACTCTTTATCCTTGAATGTAAAAGTGAGAAAATGTTTTAAAAGGTGAATCTTGTTGATTAAAGATCTTGTTGTTGAAAGTTTAATTTGTTGGTGGATGTTGTTGATTTTCCATCCGACCGATTTAGAGTCTCAATAAAATTCAATTCATCAATCAAATATATTTACATTTAAAATGTAGTAGTACACTACTCCTTTTTATAAATCACTTCTTCCTTTCCTTCAATTTTTGCAGCAAATCGAGCAGCCATAAATAAGAAATCACTCAATCGATTCAAATACTTTTGAACATCTTCCAATCCTTGTCTCTGTGAAAGATTCACTAAATTCACTACATCTCTCTCAGCTCTACGACACACTGTTCTCGCTACATGTAATTGACTACTCGTTAATCCTCCACTTGGCAAAATGAAATTCTTAAGAGGAGGTAATAATTCATCCATTTGATCAATCCATTCTTCTAAAAGAGTGATATTTTCAGAATTGAATTTGACACGATTGAGTTTATCGAGTGAGGATGTTGATTCCATTGGTGTTGCAATACAACTTCCGACATCTAAAAGTCGACTTTGAATCGATTCTAATCGTTCAGGGAATTTTTCAAAACATGTTGAGGATTGGAGAATGGCAAATTCTTCACTTGTTGATGTGCTATTATTATTATTAGTGTTATCATTGATATTATTATTGATATTAAATTCTTGTTGTTGTTGTTGTTTGGATAATAAATTTTGTAAATGTTCTCGAGAGAGTCCAATATGAGCGTTTAATTCATCCACAGATCCCAATGCTTCAAAAACGATATCATCCTTTCCTCTGCGTTCTCCCGAGTAGAGTGATGTCGTTCCTTTATCACCTGTTTTTGTGTAAATTTTCATGATTCTTGTGGTTGAAAGAGAAGTGTGAAAATTGTTGGATGTGAATTTTAATGAATAATGATTCAATGGCTTGAAAGAGGAAATAAAGTGGTGGTGGTGATGATGAATCAAGCACGGAAAGGTTTTTGCTTGAACAATGTGAGAATAAGAATACCAATCGGAGATGAAGATTGATTTTTTTAACATTTTTTTATAAGAATGGCATTATGAGGTCCAATTCATTGACAACAATTCGAGTTTATTTGTTATTGGCAAATTGAGGGTTTAAATTCTCTGAAGTAAGCTTATATTTCCATGATGGTGTTGTAATATTGTATTCAGAACCTCCAAGAAAGACAGTGTTGTGAATGCTTCGTTTGCTTTCACCTCCTTCCACAGTAAAACCTCCAAGTAAGCCCTTTGCATTGAATTTACACAGGAATTCTGTTTGCAATTCTCCAATATCTGTGACAGTTTTGTTGAGCAGGAATTTTGCAGTGACAGAACCTTTTGGTCCTGCTTGATCTACATTTACGAGTAGCTCTTGTCTAGTAGCGTTCCAACGGCCTTCTGGCTTTGATTGAGATTTGAGTGTTATTTGTTCTAGAGCTGGTGCAACACGAATGAGGAAGGAGAGTTTGTCAAGTGGTGTGATTGGGTTAACAATGTAGTCAATAGTAATTGTTAGCATGGTTTGATTATCTTTCGTGGCAAGATAATACAGCGGTCTGAGTTTAAATGGTACCAGATTAAGATGGTCCTTGAGTTTGTACTTGAGCAATATTGCACTTTGTGTTTTGGGATTAATTTCTTGTCCTGTAATATTGCACTCAAAGGCGTGCTTTGTTACATTCTCTGTCTCTGTTACTTCTTTAGCAAGTTTTGGATTGCAAACTATTTTGGCAATTTTTGTTAAATTTTCAGAGTTGTTGAATTGATCATTCACGAGAGAAAGCACAAAATTATAACTATCGTTTTCTCGATAGCTTTCATGATTGAATAATATGAGCTCAATTTGTCCCAAGAAATTATATTCTTCCTCTGTCAGACCACACATATTCTTCACTACAGTCTCAGTGACAACCACCTTGAAAGGAAGAACAGCAGCTCTTTTTTGTTGAGATTGTTCAATACTCTTCTTGAGTTCATTTGAATCAAACACTGGCATTTTGGGAACTGGATTAAGTTGCTTGTTTTGAATATCTTGCAATAAATTACTTTCTTTGTTATCCGTGTTGACAGCATTACTGTTAGCCTTGTTGTCCACTTGTTTTCGAATTGGTTGATTATTGGTTGGAGTTGATGTGACATTAGGCACTGGAGGCACATTTACACCTCCATTGACGTTGAGAACATTGGATGGTGGTGGAGGGACAAAAGTATTATTAGTGCCAGTTGCATTGGTTGGTTTCAAAATATTGTCCAACAGCAGTGATGTACCATTTTGAGATGGTGCAGTATTCACCGTATTTGTGGAAGTCATAGGTCCAAAAACATCATCCAAAAAGCTGCTTGATAAAGTGTTGTTGTTGGTTGGCTGAGAGAGTTTTGTTGGTTGTAATGGCTGCAATGGCTGTAACGGTTGCATTGGCTGCAACGGTTGTAATGGCTGTGTTGGGAATAAATTGCTCGAAGAGCCATGGGTGTTGAATTTTGGAGGGTTATAGTCATAAACAGAGTCGGCAGTTGTGCTATCTGTCATCTTGTCAGATCTAAATGTGACATCTTCGTCTGACATGTCAACTTCGGTATCATCTCCTTCGACTCTGCTGCTTGCACTACTTCCATGCAAATCAAAGGGTTCGAAACTAATGAGTTTGCTATCACCACGATCGAATGCAGTAGTGGTTTTTGCAGGTTGAGGACGAAGAGGTTGAGGTTGTAAGGGAATGAGAGAAGGTGGAAGAGGAGGCAATTTCGTTGCCATATTGTTTGCTGGCGGTATAAATATTGGCTTTAAGTTATCAGGAAGAGTTGGGGCTTGGAGTGAATGCCATTCTTCGTCGCTAAGTGGAAATACTTGTTGTCCCATGGTGATGTGCTCCATTTGACGTTTTCTAAAGCTAGATATACCATTAGTCTCAGACCCTGATGAATTGGTAGACTTGGCTCTTCTATGATTAAAGCTTGGTAATGCATCTTCTTCATCAGGGGCGGTAAAATCGTAACCAAATTGAAAATTAACAATATCTGAAGGATCTGGAAGAATATTTGCTTGTTCAGCTTCGTGATTCTCGCCATTTTGTTCTCCGTTGTGAATGTTATGTGCTGTTAGAATTGGTGACTTGAATTTGTCCAAAATTTGAAATCTTTTTTGATGAACCTCCATTTGCTTTTGTTTTTCTTTCCACATTTCATCAGCTGTATAAGAAATGAGCTTTTCCATTTGACGAATTGTTCCTCTTCTAGCTTTCTTTTGTGAAGCATCAACAGGTGATACTGCTGTACTAACTGAGTTTGCTTTCGCTTGGGATGTTGATCCATTATGCTGAGAAGACACATGATGAGCCTCTCCCAATTTTGTTTTTCCAACCATTTCTATACTTGTTGATGGTGGTTTAAAAGTGTTTGTTTCATTAATTAACTCTTCAAGAGCAAGCATAATTTGTCCAAACTTTTTGTACAAGTTCACAACTGTCACCTCCACACCTTTACAGGCTTCAAACATCAGTAATTTAGCATTATTGGCACATCTTAGAGCATCATAGGGATAATCGGATTTATGACAAACAGTGACGACATATACTTCGTTGAGCAAGATGAAAACAGCTCTAAATTTTTTGGCAATGAAAACTTCTCCTCTTGCTGATGTGTTGGTCGCGATTTGTTTAGCAAAGTGATCTGATATGGTGATGGCTTGATTTTGTGATAATTCATGATGACTGTTGTGTTGATCATTGATACCATTGATTGTTGATTTAATAACATAAACAATGTTTAGCAAAATTGAACAAGTCATCACGGCGAATAAACTTACGAATGAAGGAAGAGATTCAACCTGGGTTCTCGTTGTTCTTGTACAAATAAACTCAACACTCCCATATCTATTTTAAATTTGAAAAACTAATAATGAAGAACAGAATGTGATCACCGATGAGAAGTGGCGTAGTACCAGAGATATTGAGTAATTTCACGCACAATAAATTAAATTATATATCCAAATAACAACTCGAGTTACAACAGCTTGAATTCAAACGAGTTAGTTTTGACCGGAACCAAAAGTAACAAAAAGCGGTCGTGATGATGATAGTGATCGCTCAAAAGAAATAAATTTTTTTTTGATGGATGATCACCTTTTCGCGTCTTGGGAACTTTATTTTGCAAGTGTTTGTGGCTGTGATGAATTTGAAATAGATTAAGGCTCACCATTCCAAAAACGAGCTCTTAAATCTTCACTACAGGACATGAAGGCATGCATACATGGAGAAGTGGCAACCCAACGAACTGGTTTAATGTGACCAGAGAGGTGATGAGAAATGGATGTCATTCTAGTGTCCCACATGTAGATGTCGTTATGGAAGGATGAAACAACACCACTTTCATTGTAGGTGAAGGTGGTTTGAACTCTGGACGTGAGTTCATGTGGATTAGGTGGTTCATAAGTTCTAACTTGTTTTCCTGTTGAGATATCCCAAAGTCTAATAATTGCATCACTACCTCCAGATAAGAAATATTTGGAATTTTGAGAAAATTGTACACTAAAAACGGCCTCTCCATGCGCTTTTGGAATTGTTGTGACACATCTTCCAATTACTCCATCCCATAATTTAATAGAGCCATCTTTTCCAGCGCTGATAAACATCTTTCCATCTGATGAGTATCGTACTTGATTAATTGCACCCATATGATTATCATACGAATTTGAAGAAGCATAACACTTGTAATTATTTGTTAAATCATAAGTTCTAATTATTGAGTCTTCTGTTCCTACAAGTAAATAATTTCCAGAAGGATGCATTGATATAGTCCTAACGTTGTGTGATTCATCAATTGTATGGAATGCTCTTTTAACGCTTGGTTTAGTAATATCGAAAAATTTGATAGTTCTATCCTTTGAGGCAGATATGATAATTGGTAATACTGGATGGAATTCAACATCATTAATGTCCATTTGGTGGTCATAGAATGTCCTAATGACTGGTTTAGCATTTGAATAATCTTCCACCTCTGCTTTTGTTTGATGATGATAATTCATTCTAGTGACATCCAATAATTTAAGCGAGCAGTCAGCTGATCCGGTAACTACATATCTTCCATCATTAGAAAATTTTGCACATCTGGCAGCTCCTTTGTGGGTGGTGATAAATTTAGTTGTGAATGTACAATTCTTTAGGGCCAATCCATCAGGTGACAATCCAGAGGATTTAGATTGTGTTGATGTTCCTTCTGGGATGGTGGTTTTGTAAAAGTTCTCTCCTAGCGTAAGTAAATGTCCTTGTTGGCTCGCAAAATCCCCTTTTCTCTTTTTTGAAGATTTCTTGGTACTACCTGGGAATGGATCCACAAATAAATCAAGTTTTAATTCCTTCTCTGCTTCCAATCCAAGCAAAACTAATTCACTCAATCGATGGGGAGATTTTTCATAAAGGTTGATGTCTTGATCTAAAAAAAGAGCCTCTGAAACAGCATTTGCTGCTCCTTGAAATCCATCATGTTTAAGTTGACTGTAACCAATTATTGATCAACATCAAAAAAGAATTCTTCTACAGTACGTACTTGACAACCATTTGATAAAGAAATTTCTTAAACATTTTGGAATTCGGATTCTGAAAATCATCTAAATCCTCCTGAATTAATTGCTGGACATATTGTTGTTGTTGCTTAGCTGATGCTCCGGCTTTCATATTTTGTTGATGATGATTTTGATTAAAAAAGGACGTTAATAAATCTCCACAAGAAATTGTATTTCCAGCATTATTCGCAATTGTGTTAGGTAAGCTGGTTTGTGATGATGAAGCACCACCTCCAGCTGATGAGGATGATCCTTGTGTTGCTTGTGGGTTCATTTTTAATAATAAATTATAAATTTTTGTTGTGTAGTCTTTTGTTCATGCAACCAATCAATATTATTTTTATTTATTTATTCCATTGTCCCACCACATCATTCAAAAGGTTCATGATTATTTCAAGTGATACTAACAAATACTCAATTACAGATAGCGAGTTGTTGAACGTCATTAATAAAAGAGATTCAAAAAAGTTGATGAAAAAAAATGCCCAAAGAGAAAAAGGCTCTCAAATCCAACACTGCCACTGCTGGTCGGACACAAGGTATTCAATTCCAGAAAAGTTTTGGTCAGCACATTCTCATCAATCCGGGAGTCATTGATCACGTGATTGAGAAAGCATGTATACAGCCAACGGATATTGTATTGGAAATTGGTCCGGGTACGGGTAACATGACAGTCAAATTGTTGCAAAAGGCTAAAAAGGTGATTGCAATTGAAGTTGATCCGAGAATGGTTGTAGAGTTGAAGAAGCGTGTTCAAGGAACGAGTTTAGAATCTAAACTTGAAATTATACATAAGGATGCGCTGAAAGTGGAATTACCCTATTTTGATTTGTGTATTGCTAACTTGCCTTATCAAATTTCCAGTCCAATTACTTTTAAATTATTGGCTCACCAACCATCATTCAGAGTTGCATATCTCATGTATCAACGTGAATTCGCTCAAAGATTAGTCGCTAAACCAGGAGATAATTTATACTGTCGATTGTCTGTTAATTGTCAATTATTGGCACGGTGTGACCACGTTGTTAAAGTGAGTAAGAATAGTTTTAGACCTCCACCAAAAGTTGAGAGCAGCATTGTGAGAATTGAGCCAAAAAATCCACCACCACCAATTAACTTTTTGGAATGGGATGGTCTGGCTCGTATTCTTTTCCAAAGAAGAAACAAACAATTAGGATCAGTATTTAAAAACAAAAAGTTACTGAAATTGTTAGGAGAAAATTATAAACGAGTGATCACAATGAAAGAGAGTGGCCAATCAGCCTCAAGTGGAAGTAATTTGAATGCACAAATTTTGTCGGCAACTGAAAATATGGTAGATGACGATGGTGAAAATAATAATGAAGACATGAATGACGATGAAGAAGTGGATACAAAAAAGAAAACCAAAATGAATGAATATGAACAGAAAGTGAAAGACATTATTGCTGAAACCTTAGAAGAACTAAAAATGACTGAAAAAAGACCCTGCAAAATGGATCAAGACGACATTTTGACACTTCTAACTCGATTGAACGAACAAGATGTTCACTTTTCATCTTAGAAATTCATGAAATAAAAACAAAAATAATTTACAAAAAGGACTGAAGTTCAATATTAAACAGATTTGATGATCATCATTCAAACTCATCGTCATCTTTGCCAAGAACACCCTTCCCAAAAGAGTCGTGGTATTCTTCATCACTTGCGTTTTCGTCATTATTCGCTGCAGACTTGCTTGACTTGATCTTGCCAGTGGTAGATTTGTTCGAGGTGGATGTAGCTACATTGTCATATTCTTCAAAGTCATCAAGATCATCATAAAATTCGTCCTCTGCATACTCATGACTAGTGTTCATATCAGAGCGATCAGTAGTATGTTTAGCTGCGGTGACTTCTTCAAATTCATTTTGATCAGTAGCAGCTGGAGCCGTCTCTGCTTGCTGCTTAGTGACTTTCTTTCTGACAATACCTTGAATTTTATCCTTTTCTGTGCTTTTCTTTTGGAAGAGAGATAGGTCAATAGGAGCCCTATTTTTAAGGGCAAATTCAATTTTTTTCTTGTTCTTTTTCTCTTCACTCTTGTATTTTTGATGAATTTCTCTTCTTGTTCTTTTTGGGAACAATCTAGAAATCATTGAAAAATCCATACCAAATTGTCTCAATCCATTATAAAAAAGCTCAACTTCTTCTTTTGTCCATCTTTCTCCCTTTCCTCTTCTTGCATATGTTGCTTGGGTAATTGGTTTGTTTTTGTCAAGATTTGCAAGTCTCATTGCTCTCGAATAATTGAACTCTCCTCTTCCTGTTTCAGTGACAGGAGTAAGTTCTACTGTAGATGGCTCTTCTTGCAATTTAATATTTCCTTCGCTGTCAAAAGAAAAAAGTGATGGACCGGTAGTTTTTTCAAATTCTTCTAAATCATCATCAACGTCGTTAAATTCATCGAATTCATCATTCTCTTCATTGTTGATACCTCTGTTAGAAGTATTAGTTATGATGGGTTTTGGCTTTACTTCAACAAAATCGTTGTGTCTCGAAGATGGCATGCTTGTCGATGATAAATTGTCTGAATTATTTTCAAATTCAATGTCATGAATTTTGTCCCTATATGATTCGTTTAAATCGGAATTGGCAAGCTCATAATCATCATCATTGACAAATTCGTCTGCACTGATTCTGTTGGCTTGTATGGCAGAAATGTTAGAATTATTATTGTTGTTTGTTGCTGTTTCGGAAATGTAATCGTTTAAAATTGCATCCCTGATAAAGTCTGAAATTGTTTTAAATTCACCAGTTGGTTTCTTTAACTTTTTTGACCTAGTAGAAGACTTAGATGTGCTTGAAGTTGATGTCATATTTGAATTTGTGGAAAGAGCGTCAGACTGATCATCCGAATAATTTTCATCTTCGTTAGTTTTTCGTTTTCTTCCTTTTCCTCTCTTCTTTCTGTTAGAAGATTTGGAAATTGTTGATGAAGAATCATCGTTGATATGTTGATCGTTGTTGCTAGTTGTAACGGTTTTTGTTGTTTCCGAGCTTAACGCTTGCGAGTGATCCAATGAAAAATCATCTTCGTTGTTTTGCAAAGGAGTGATCGGATCACCAACTCGACTAGTTGTTGTAGTGGTTGTGGTTGTGGTCGATGATGCAGAATGAAGAGGTCCTACTTCAGATGGTGTTGTTGTTGTTGTTGGCGTTGTAGAATTTGAGGAGGACGATGGAACACTTGAGGCATGAACACTATTACTTCCTCCAACTTTCTTGGTTGCTAAATTCGGAGCAAATGATGAGCCCAATTGGCTTTTCGACTTGACTTGTTTTTGTTTGTCGAGTAAATAGCCTGCAAGAGAAGACATTTTTTTGTTGGTGTGGAAATGCATTTTTGAATTTGTGATAGTGTTATTAACAACCTTTGAACTTGCATTCCGCTTTATTGTCGTGTAATAATGTATATTCCATTCGAGTGTCGTGTAGATGAAGGACGTTGATGCATCATTGTGACCCTACACGATGAGTCTTAAATTAGGTTATTCCTGTGAGTTTCAAAATTAGTGATACCTCAGAACGCTCAATCATCACTTCCTCCTCGTGTTATTTTAGTAAAGATAAAGCTTCCAAAGTTTCTCAATCCAGATGCAATTGTTTTGAACATATTGTCATTTCCTATTGCAGTTCCATCTTGACGTGCTAATTTGTTAAAATTTTCTCTGTTTTGTTCTTCGAACAGCTCCTGTTGTTGACGATTTAATTCCTTTATCATTATATTGGATTGAAAGGGCGTTCTGGAAAATCTTGAAACAGACTCAAGTGCGCTCTTCCACATCCTCTCTTGTTCACTCACTTCTGATCGATATTCAAATAAATTTTGTGATAACTTTTCAATTTCTTCTCGACATTCAAAACGATTGTGTTTTGTTTCTACACATTTTAAGATATCATTAAGCAAAATAGCAGTATTCTTGAGATAATAATTGCTCATATCCTCGGTTGACTTAAATTCAGGCTTCTCCGATTGAGAAAAGGAAGAAGGTTTGTGGTTGATAGGAATGTTCCGAGTCGACGATGGTGGAGGCTGAGAGGGGCTGGATGGCATTTTTTTGATTGAATTCCTTTTTTATTAAGGGGTGCTTGCAGTTGTGATTTGAGAGAACTCTCCCATAGATTGTGTATTGAGAGACACACCAAAACTTTCCTCTGAAGGCACTTCAGCAACTCACTCAAATAATGTTCTTTGATCCATCAAAACAATGAAGCAAGGAACCTTTTGCTAAAAATAATTATTTCCTCAGCACAAAGCAACAATAAAAAATGCAAATAGCGTTCAAGACTGTAACAAAGAGACAATTCGAGTTAGAGGCTAATCCTACCGATACCGTAAGTTTTCAAACGTCCATCAAGATCAACATATTAACTCTGGTATCATCATTAATACTCTCTTGTAAAATATTGACGCCATATTGACAATATTCTCCATGATGAAATAATTTAATACATTGCCATAATGAAGATCAAACACTTGAAACAATTGGTAGAGGACAATACTGAATTCAGCAGTGCTGGTATGAAACTTATTTACGGAGGAAAGGAATTAAACGATGATCAAACAATAGAATCCGCAAATATTCAATCAAGTATTGCTGTTATTCTTGTAGCAAAGAAAAAGCAACACGTTACTCAACCAAAGAAGAAGGAAGAGGAAACAACGTCTGCTGCTACTACTACTACCACCTCCGAAACAAAACCACCAACCACAACAACAACCGAAAGTACTCTTCCATCTACTACAACTCCTGCCAGTACAGCAACCACAACCACAGCAACCACACCTCAAGAGCAAATACCAGGTGGGCCTGGAACAGCTGAGTACGATGAGGCTGTGCAACAATTTTTGGAGATGGGTTACGACAGAAATGATATCGACGAATGTATGAAGGCTGCTTTTTATGATAGAGCAACAGCAGCTGAATTTCTCATTTCCGGCATTCCAGAAAATGTCAAGCAAATGATGCAAGAACATGGAGGAAATATGCCACCTCCACCACAAGGTGGTATGCCAGGGCTTCAAGGCAATCAACAAGGATTCAGTTTGCGTGATTTGTTTACTCTTTCACCACAGCTTAACAACTTGAGAAATGCTATTAGACAAAACCCAACACTTTTACGTGAATTTTTACAACATGTATCACAAGTGAGTCCGGAGTTATATCAAATCATTCAATCAAATCCTCGTGAATTTTTGGAAATTATTAATGAAACTGGTCCAACAACAACACAACCAGGTGGAACAACGCCATCAGGTGGTGTGCCAACAGGAGGTGAGACTGGCGGAGAGCAAGGAGGAATTCCAGGCGGTCAACAACCTCCACCAGGAACTGTGTTCATTACTCGTGAAGATGAGAGAAAGATCAATGAGTTAGTCGGTCTAGGATTTACCAAAAACGAAGCTATTCAAGCCTATTTGGCATGTGATAGAAATCAAGAAATGGCTGCCAACCTTCTTTTTGAAAACCGTGACAGGGGATTTGAGGACGACGACGAAGACGACGAACAACAAGGAGGTCAAGGTGGAGGCATGCACGACTAAATTAACAAATCAATTTTCTAAAATCATCCAACAACTTAAAAAGCAAGAATACAATGTATTATTTGATGAGAAGAATTTCTTGGTCGTCACTCGTTCGTATTTTCACCTTTTTTTTCTGAGCCTTATTGACACCTAACATTTCACCGTCACATATCAGCCTAGATTGACTCCTATTTTTGATCATATTTCGTTTCTTTTGTTCTGCCCATTTGAGGTGAGGCTTATTTTGAACAGCAACTTGTTGTTCTTCAGGACTTAATACTTGAATGACTGGGGCAGAGACATCCGTTTGAACATCTTCCTGAAAGACTTGTTTTCTTCGTCTCAAAGGAGTGAGAACAATGCCATTTGGTGTGGTCAAAGATGAGGATAAACCTTTAGAATTCTTGCCACTGTCAGGAACAGCTTGGACATTTTCATCATTCAGAGTGCAATTAAACGCTGACACTGGTAAGGGTTGATTCGATTTTGGAGTGAGGGGAAATGGGGAGGCAGGATTATGAAGAAGTAAATGATTATTATTATTACAACTACTACTAGCATTGGAAGAGATGGGAAGGGAGAGCGAAGAGTTATGACCTGTTGTCACTGAAGGTGTTGAAGAAGAGCTTGTCGAATGTTGTGAAGGAGATGATGTTGTCTGGATTGCGATACAGGTCACATTCTGATGACCACCATGATCAGTGTAACCTGTGGTTTCCGTTCTTCTTCTCAATGCCTCTGGCAATACAGGTTGCTCCTTTAGAACTCCTTTCATTCCTTTAGAGGATGATATTATGTTGGATTTTGAATTAGAAATGGAGCCATTCATCTCTCGTTTGGTTTTGTGACTTGATGTTTTTGGGCTTGATGGCATGCCGATGGTTTTCTTGTGTAAAATCTCATTGGCAGTTTTACCCAATGTTGAGTTTTTGAGTAAGGTTTTATACGCTTCCTCGATTGAATCAATATCATTGTCACATCCATTCCAACTTGATTCATCTCCTACTTTGTTATGATTCGAAGACAATGGTTCCTGAGGAGGTAAATTGTTGGACGAAGTTGTACTTTCATCACTGTTACTGGAATCCTCAGAAACTACATCTTCATTTGATCGAATCTCGCATTGTTTAGGACACTCTTTTTCATGTTGAGGAGCTTGTAGTTTGTTCGAATGAGATCCAATTTCAATTTGAAGGGACATTCTCAAGGTGGTGTCATGTTTCTTGTTGTTGTTTTGTGTTTGCTGCCGTTTGGATGACGGGGACGCAGATGAAACGTCGGAAAGAGTTCGCTTGATTGCACACATGGAATCTAAATCGTCATCATCACATGACGTATGGTCATGACGATTGAGGTGGCCTTTAGATGGTGTCCTTTTTCGCAAGCTCGTTCGATTCGGTTCCGATTGAGCTTTGCCACTGGATTGGCTAGAGGAAAAGTTGGTGATTTGAGTTTTGAACCGTTTATTGCTGTTAGACGGTGATGCCGGTGTTGTAGATGAGTGGTTCAAAGAAGAACGGCTTAAGATTGCTCCCATTCTTTAAACATGTTTGAAACTATTCATTGATTGGGTTAAGAGACGACAAGCAGCTGTCAACTTGTCAGAGATACGTCTCGAGTTGAGATGAAAAAGAAGAACAACATGGACGGAGATAGCTCTTGCAAAACATAGAGATGTGCTATGCTCTTTACTGAAAAATGCCAAGTTGGTCCAACAATAGTCAATCAGCTTCTCAATAATAATAAACAGCAATTTACACTTTCTTGACACAAGTTTTCTTGTGCTCAGGCCAATTCTTTTTCTGACATTCAACCGAGCAATAAAAAACGCTCTTACATTGCGAACACTTGCTAGTTGCAGGTTTTCCACATGTGTTGCAAGTATTTGATTCTGAAGCATTAGTGTTGCTTGAGGAAACATTTTGGTGAGCTGCTTTTTCTGCTTGTTCAATTTGTTCATCAGTAATTCCTACCAATATTTTCCTTAATTTGTTGGACAAGTCTTCTAAAGCGAGACTTGTTTCATGATACTCAGGTTCAAGCTTTGCAGACAGCTGAACCCATCTCGTTGAGGCTGACCAACCTTTCTCTGGTAAAGTTGGGCATTCAGCATCCCAGCCAATTTTAGAGTCTCTGTTTTTCATAGCTTCTGAATTGAAGAAAAATGTTCCTCTCAAGTGTTCCCATAAAATACTGGACATGTCACAATCACTTCCTTCAAAATATCCTTTTTCATGGAATGAGCAAAGAGCTCCCAACAAGTAACATTGTGTGGCATAGTCAGAGGTTTTCTTCAAAAGCTGGGTGCAGAGAGTGACAAAGAGTGTGGCTTGACCTTTAAAATTTGATTTTGCTTTTTCCTTATCGAATTTCACAAGTGAGAATCTGTAAATGCATTTTGCCATACTTCTCTGAAAATCAACAACAGCTGCATTCATTAATTTAGTTCCTGTCATTGAACACTCCCCTCTAGTAAGAAGCTTTTCTTGATTTGTTCCTTTTCCAAATTTTCTAATTTCAATAAAATCGTCTCCAACCTTTGTGACATCTCTTGTTGAACTCGTCTTTAAACTATTGATGTCTATTCCGTCCCTCATTTCACACTTGAATTGTGTCATGTTGAGAAATTTCAAGCAATGAACGATCGAATTAAAGAAACGGAATTCCAATAACAATGCCTTCACTCGTTGAGCCAAATTATAAAACTTTTCGACATAAAAGTCTTCATCCAAAGTATCTTCGTTGACTATAAATTTGCAAATATTTGCAAAAATCAATAAACCTTCTCGTTTTTCCAGAGATGTTTCTTTTAACATCATGGAAATCAAGTTATCCATCAACTTTCTAAGAGATGCTTGATCATTAGAAGCCATTTCTTGGTCATGCAATTTCAACAAGACCAATCCACATCTTTCTCTTGTGAGAATGTCCAAACATCTGCTTGCATAGAATGGTACATATCTCACAGAACTATTCAAGAAAGCAATCAATGCATTCATACATTCCATATCAACATATTTTTGCAAATCATCTCCTTCAGAAAACCATTGAGTTAACACGGACATGGGATTTAAAAGAGCATCTTCATTATCAGCTTTTTTGTACCAATTATTAAAGAATTTTCTACCAATTTCAAAATCACCAGTTTCCAAGGCACAAAACACGCAATTGGTTTCGTCAAACTTGAGCGGCCTTCTAAGTTTGGGATCATTTCGCATAATTGAATCTAAAGAGAATAAATAACCCTAGGTTATTGTTATTCCGAACAGTTGTTATCAAGACTTGATTATGAAAATAATAATAAAATGTTATTGTACATACCTCCATTCCTTGTTGATGCTAATAATTGTTTAACAACGATTGTATGATAAGCTTATCACACAAATGATGGTAAACTACGTACGGAATAGAAATGGTAATCATAGCGAAGATCGTGAGACATTTTTTTTTGATCAAAAAGTTTTTTAAATCTTCCAAAAAAGATCAATTTTATAAAGTCTTCACACATTCATCATTGTATAAAGTATGGAAAAAACACATAACAGGAAGGACAAGAAGCGACTCATGCAATGATGGTTCAAAACACTCTCACCTCCATTGACTCGAGACGATGTTTTTGATACTTGAGGTGGAAGTGAGGATTTTTCAATGACAATATCTGATGGAATCCATTGATAAAATTGAATACTTGCATTCACAAAGGAAATCGCATTGGCATGTCCTGATGGAAGTGCCCATTTCGTATCACCTGATAATAGTTCAACATTCACTTGAAAATCCGTATTCCATTTTTGGAACAATTGCAAAGTCTGATTCCAATACTTTTGGTTGCTCATTAACTTTGCAGATTCCAAATAAATAGTTCTCAACTTTCCCTTAAGCTTGGACAAGTCAAAAGAAATTCTTGTCGTGCTGATTCTTTTAAAATCACGTCACTGTCCCACACATAGAGATCTCGTTTTACAGATGAGAAGGGTTGAGTGAAATTTTGTGTGAAATTCTTGTACCACTTGTAATCATGCACTGCAACTCCTTCATAGGATGCATTTCCATTAAATGTATTTTCAATGAAATTCAAATCGTTTTCCAATTCTTGAAAAGATTTTCCAAAATAAGTAGCAGTCGGTTCAGATGGTAATTCCATCGTTTCAATTCCAACCACGACTCTAGTACCAGATTTTAGAGCGTATTGAATTTCAGTAGATGCATCTCGAACAGCTCGTGTTCCTGAATTTACATAATCCATAATCATGAGATTGCCCCTGTCCTGAACGAATTCGCTCAATTTTTTAGTCACACCATTCCGAGTGTGAGAAATTCCATCAAACCACCTTGGAATTGCGAATCGAAGAGGAATAGGAGATTTGAGTTGTTTCAATTTGTCGATCATGTCCAAATAATAGTCAGCTGTTTGGGTTTGATTTTGAGTCCATTCGGAAAGTGTGTACGGTTCTACATCGAGTTGAATGGATCTCACAAGTGAGGATGATGCAGCTCGAGAGGTTGACAGATTTGACACCAAAACAAGAAATAAGAGGCATGACAGCAAGAAAGCTGGTTGCATCATTTTTTTGCTTGCAATGATCCGCCCAGCTTGTTATGAAAAGATTTGTTGAATGTCTATTGGACTTTGCCTTTTTGTGACAAAGAGTCTTCGGTCATACCTCAGCTTTTCTTGAACGAGCTTTGTGAATAATAGATGTATTCATGGAATTTCGGAATCGTTTAAACGACTGGAGAAGGATTGGAATCGGTGTTCACTGGTTTCACCTCATTATCCTCAGGGTGTGTCGTAATATTATGGTTTGAACTCCTTCTTCTATTCATCTTGATCTCTTCAAACCATTTACAAAGAAGAATGTCGCTCACGGAGGAACTGTAATGTTTGGAAATTTCCACGTCGTTGGCTAGAATGTAAGTGATGAAAAGCAAAATTACAAAGCAAGTCACATCAATACCCATGGATCTGAACAGACCAACGTAAATACCGTACAAATCCCAAGCTACAACATAGGTTGGAAGCAAAACAGCTGCAGCTAGGAAGGACATGATGAGCACCAAGTTGAAAAGTATCATCTTTTTGGTGAATTTGAGCTCTGAAATGTTTTTCTGAGATCGTTTCAACCTTTTAAAGATAATCCAACTGTAGGCACTGAAAACAACCATTAAAATGTTGGGACAAACAATCATGCAAATGGCAGCAACAGCGAATAAGGGAAATGTTCCTTCCAAAATTATGCATCCAACAACTCCTACGATCAATGCAAAGACGTTAAATGCATACATGATTGCCAATAAAACCCAATTTCGTCGAGAGAGAGTTCTCTTTGTCTTTGAGGAACCAAGCAAATCAACAATATGTCCCCAATGAACTAGAAGAGTAATATAAGCAAATGAAAAGCACCAAACTGCAAGTGATCTGAAGCATCCATTTAAGAGGTCTGACCAACGACATCATAGAAAAATCGAAAGTTCCAAATAAATAGAATTACATTTTCCAAAAGAATAAGCAGTGTAGAGCAAAGTAGAAGCAGTAAAATGGAAGGTCTCAAGTCGGTGAACAACAATTCTTCAAAACATATTTTCAAAATAATATTTGGAAGGAATGTTGAGGATGCTTGGTTCGCTATTGAGGTTTTAAGTCGGGAGTTAATGGCATGAATTTTGGTTAGAGTCAGTGGGATTATATTATATACAATGAAAAGTATTAAATTAATAGAAAACAAAAGAATGATTATCAAAGGGGAGCCCATATACTTGAACGGAAGAATAAAGTTGTAGTAAGCGTCTGCACATTGAAACGCAAGTCGTTTCCCTAATTCATTTCTACACCAACACATCACTGGATTCATCAAATCAGAAACAAATAGAGTATTGTAAAGATGAAGGGTATTATCAGTGGTTATATTCGATTGCTTTGAAGTATAAATACTGCTATAATAAACTCCAGGTTGAAAAAATCTCCAATCAATAATTCCAATATTGAAATTAGTAGTATTGACGACGGAGCTGTTTGCAATAATGGAATGTATAGATTGTTCGTCCATATTATGGTTACAATGGCTAAGCATGGATGTTTGCAACGCTTCATAACTTGGAAATTTTGACAGGCATTGGTTGCTATTACTGCTTGCTATTGCCTTTCTAAATTCTTGAGAATGAAAATTGTTACAATGAATACAAAAATTAATCATTCTGAAGTATTCCATTCGAAACGTGGTGTTACTGACGAGACTAGTTGTCAAGTTCAGACAAACATTGGAATCCAATGAACATTCACAAAAGTATTCAATACAAATAGAGTTGTTCAAAAACGCTGATGAATTTTGTATCGTCAACCTTGTGTCAATGAGACTCGAATCACACAAATCAATTTCCGAGTTATCCAACACAAATTGGAGAACATAATAACTTTGACTAATTCGATTTGTATATGAAATGTCCCTATTTTCGGGATATGGAAGCTCGTTCACTACGAGCTGAAATTCTGATTCGTTTTGAGCTTGCAGTGTAGCACGTAAAGCCAAAATGACAAGAAATAGCTCTATAATCCATGTTATTCTTGTTTGTTTCTTCATCATCTCTGAGTTTGCGAGAGGCAATTTTGTTTTTACGAATGCTTGAATCTTTAAGAGATAAGTCCTACTAATTCATTACTAAGTATTGACAGCCTCGGAGGGCTACTACAATTCAATTTGTAGCAACAAGCATGAGCATGACATCTTGATGATGTTCAGAGGTTGTCTCTTCCATGTTGAGCATTTGGGGAGATCACAAAACCTCCAAATTTAGGGAAAGCATACGTTTCTGACCACACCATGATGAAAGAAATTCCTTTAAAACAATGTTATCAGTTTGAAACAATTCTCTCTAATCACTGTCCTGTTTATCGGAATCTGTACAGCTGCTTTTGCAAGTCACGCGGTTCAAGGCATCGTTACGAAAAAGGTTCGATATCCATTTTTTAAAAAACTGAAAAATGAAACAGCCCAACATGTGCACTAGCTCATCAAGTCGTTCATCATCGGTGAGTAAAAACACAGGTGAGTCAAACCAGTTGTTGTTGTTCAACATGTTTATTATCGGAATCAATGATTGAATGTTAGTTGGATGGTTTGATTATGCGCAAGAATGTATTTTGGAAGAAGTCATCAAACAAAATCATGGAAAGCCTTTTACCATGCAAGAAACGGAGCAAGCACAAGAATTAATGAAATTACTTTCTACAAGTGCAGATACAAAAGGAATTAAATTTTCATCGACAGCTCTCCATTATCAATATTATCAGAGTAAATTCAAAAAGAGAGCGCTGTTAATGTATCAAGTTTTGGTGAATGTGTGGAAAACAGAATTTTTGACATCGTTCAAAAAGAAAGCTAGTGCATACAATGAAAGGACTGTTTATGAAAAAGTGAAGCAATTAGTGGAAAAGAAGAAAGGGCAGTGGAATTTTAACGAATTTTCTGAGCTTGCAACATTGGCACTGATTCTAAGTACAAGGTCTAACGATATTCAAGTGAACATTTCGGAAGATACTGCTACGGACATGCTCGATGGTGAGTGTAATCACTGTGGAATATTGTCCATTCCAGTGATGCGAGAGTTTACTGACGTGAACATGTCCACTACACAAAGGCATATTCGTATTGCTAGCATTGGTGGTGGGCCAGGAAATGACAGTGCAGCATTTGTGGTCCTAAAAGAAACCTTACTCGCAAAGTTATTTGAAAAAGGAGTACTGATTGAGTCAGATTTATTTGATTTGGAGAAAAATTGGAAAAATTATCTGGAAAAATTGCAAGAAATTTCCAAAGACAGCTTAATTTTGAATTTTAACAGATGTGATGTAACAAAATCCTTGGAAAATTCTCTAAATCGAGCGTTGAAAGATAGAATTTCTGACTATGACATTTTTTTATTCAGCTATGTCTGTAATGAAACATCACATCTCACAAAACAAGCGGAGGGAGTATTTTTCACTGAGCTTTTTACATATGCCAAGCCCTTTTCCATTTTTGTATTCATTGATGTGATTGATCATGCCAAGAAAGCCCTGATGTACATTGAGGAACTTACAAGAAAAGTACACTCAACATTTGTGTCGTTTCATCTCCCCTCAAATCAAGCACAAGAAATGATCGTGATCAAGTGCAGCGTCTAATTTATTGAAGTGCTTTGTAATTCCCTATGCAATACTTATTGCTTGAATAATTGAAGAGTAGTGACTGTGGCATAATTCAACGCATTTGTTCCAGAGCGTTGAGAAGCTAAATTCAAATGCAAGCCCTTTGGATTGAAAACTTTCTCGTTTTGTTCCTTCACAATAGCAGGGATGTTGACCTTTTCAGCAGTTTCACTAAATGGCTTGACTGTAGCATAGTAAATGGCAATCCAGTAAACAACAAGAAAAGGCAAAGCAAGAAGAAATGGAATTCCCAACAAGGGAGCAGAAACAATGATTGACCAATACAATGGAGCAGTAATATACTTGTAGAAAACTTGTAAGCTCGCTTCTGTTTCACTATTCATTCTATTAATTGCATTCTTCCATTCATCAGCTGATAATCCAAATTGTTGTGAAATTGTTTCTGGTAAATAGACATCAAAGCAACGGCATTCCTTATTAAATGTTGACTTTGTTTCATATATTTTAACAGGAGATGCAAGAGGTTGATTGGGAGGTAATTGAACTCTAAATGAAATAACTTTCAATTCATAACTTTCCAAAGGAACTCCAAAAGTATTGGTTTGAAGTGAAACATCCAACGCAAGCCATGCACCATATGGTTTAAAATTCGTGTTGGTTTCATCCACCACAGCTTGCAATTTGCCTCTCAATTCTCTATCTCGACTCTTCTTCCAAAAGAGTTCATCTAAACCAACATAAATCATCACTGCCACCAATGGAATGAGTCCGATTCCAAGAACAGCACAAATTGTTAAAATTGTTTGCTTTCTTTCTTCAATGGCATAATAATCTATTAAAATGGCATCAAGCTTTTGGCAGCATTTGGAATATTGCTCTTGAGAAACTCCATGGAATTGAATGAATTGTGCTGGCAATGCACAAGTAGTAGAGAATTTGCTCAATGAATGAGCGTATTGAGATTGGAACGCATAGGTGGTAGGAGCCATCTTGGACGCCTCAGAGACTGGAGGTTGCTGTTGCATGGTTGTGGTGAAAATTGGCTATGATGATGATGAGGAACGGACCTCTGTTGTGAACAATGAGATAATTGTTTTTTTTGAATCGGGTTTTCAGCGCGTGTCAGTCTTTCTTATTTTGCAAGTTGATGAAAATCGTTTCGCGAAATGGTCAATGAGATGGATAAAAAGAACTCTAATCAATATGATGATTATAATTGTAACGATTCAACAACGTCTTTCGAAACTTTGTTAAACGAATCGTTGGATGTGGGAACCTAACATTTCCAAGTTCACAACTTTTGAAATAATTATTAAATATTTCCATTCTAATTTAGTTTTACAATGTAAGGTCACCAACCACTGTCATTTCACAATGAAATCATACAAACGTTTTTAGAAATGCAATTACAGTAAATTTTATAGATTAATTATAAATTTCTCATGCCATACTCAAACTCTTCCTTTTGCCTAGCCATCATTTCTCTGATTTGTTCATTTACATCTTTTTCTTTTGTTTCAAATACACTTGCAATTAATTGAGGTAACGAAAAGTATCCTAATTGATCTCCAACAATTAAAACCACAATAATAATTACAATCATGATGATGAGGCTGAAAATACCAGTTTTAGCATTTTCCCACCGATAATGAGAAATTTCTTCATCGAGCTTTTTTAATCGTTCTTCGGTTTTATCTACTTGTTGTTGTAAATTAGTAATTTTTGAAGCATTCTTGTCTGTGTTGGGAATATTTTCTAATTCTTCTTTCAACTTGGAAAGTGTTGATTTTATTTCCGATTGTTTCTCAACAAGTTTTTCGAGTGTGGCAGCAATGGTGGAGTTGGACATTTTTTTGTGTGTTTGGAATTCACAAGCCTTGTTGGTCAAGACACGTGTAAATTATGATGGCACTGAAAAGGTTTATTTTTCATTTCGTTGAAGCTTTTGTTGCTTTTCAATAAATTCTTGTAAATTTTGAGCATTGTCGACAGAAAAGAAGTCATCAGGCACACCAGAATACATTTTGAAGCTTGGTCGCATGACTCCTTCGTTATTCTCAACAACCTTGACAACCAATTCCTTAGAGTCTGAAGATAAATGTCCAGATTTAAAAGAGTTAAATAGTAATGGGCTTGTTGGAGGGCCAAAAACATTGAAATCAACAATAAACACAGCACCTGTTCTGCTGATGTATAAATCAACGGTATCTGCAATGTGAAATAAATTTGTAAATAAATAATTGCATGTTGAATCACACTTACACTGAGAGAGAGGGAACGAGTGCTTGATATACTTTTCCCAGAATGTCACTAATTTTTCAGTAACGTTTTCCAAGTCGACTAAAAGGAATTTGTAGAAATTCGAAATGTCTCTCTGAGAAATACCAATAAGAGTTCTATCCTTGACAAAGCATCTAAACTCCATAGATGGATTCACGTCATACCATTTTCTTAATGCTAAAACCCGCTTAATTTCGCTCTCAGGCTTATAATTCATGCAATTATTATAGGCTTTTTGAATATCGTGCGTAACAAATGATGAACTCTTGAGCACTAGAAATACGTCCTCAATCGATTTACATCTCAATAAAGATGACTCAGAAAGCATCCAATTGGCATCCTTTGGAGCACTCCAATTCATCTTTGGAAAAACTTCTTCAAACTCGTCTAAGGCATCCGCTATTTGCAATTGCAATGCTGTAAATTCGGGAACCTTATTCTCGTCATCTTCGTCATCACTATTGGCATACTTTTCTCGCTCTTCATCGCTATCGCTTTCAAAATTAGGAACCACTTTTTTAGTATCAACCGATGCCGGCAAAACGACACCGTCTTGTTTTAAGTACTCGATAAAATCATCCTCCAACTTGATAATTTTGGTCAATATTGTAATTCTTTTCGGAGTGATTTGTGGATTTGTTTTTCCATCATATAAATAATACCAATTAGAAATTGAACATTGGTTCACCTCGTCCATTAGTAAACAAGGTTCAATATTTTCCTCTTCATCAAACTCCAAATTTAAGTCATCGTCATGATTGTGCTCGCAATCTGTGTGTGATTGCTGTTCACTGGAGCATAACATTTTTTTGTGTTTAAAATTAACCCAGAAAAGATCGCGAATCATCATCATTAAAAAATATTTCATAACAAGCACTAGCGAATCTTCAGAAACAAAGATGTCTCCTCAACACCAACAACAGCAACTTGTAAAACAAATAATGAAAACGGGAGCTATTAATATGCTATTTAAGAATGGAAAGAGAGTACAAGAGTTTGATGCATCAACCAATGCTTCGGACTTTCTTTTAAATTTTCCAAGAGGAGCGTACACAACCATGAGAACGCTTCATAGACATTCCGTATTTCAACTTAAATTTCATATTCATCGATTAATATACAGCACAACAAAGATGATTGCAGATGAACATTTGGATATTAGCAAGAAATCACCAAATTCCGAGTTATTAATTGAAAATTATAATAATACTATCAAAGACAATAATAGAATTGGAATGTATCCTCTTTCCTTGTTGTCCTCAGTTGATACTAGTAACAATGAAACGCATGAATTGTTTCTTGAAGAATCAATAAGAATTTTATCGCAAGATATTTGCGAATATTATAACAACGTGGACGCCATAGATCCAGTACAAATATTGGCAGAAAGTTGTCCAACTGCTCCAATGGATGAGCTTAAAATTACATTACTCTTGGTTTGGTATCATCATCAAATCTCATCATCAGGAGACGACTTTGAAAACGAAATGAATATCTCTACAACTTTTGATTTATATTCTCATATTACAAAACTTGGTGAGAGGCCCTCAAAACCAGTACTTGTAGACCTTTTACCTGGTAGTAGATGTCATCTTGGAAACGCAAAAGATAGTATTTGGATTACTGAACGAAATGCATTGTATGAACGTAAATCGAAAGATTCTAACGAAGTGATCATGTGTGAAAGCAATGGAATTGTTAGAGAAGGACTTAGCTCCAACTTTTTCATTGTCAATTCCTCTAATCAAGTGGTAACTGCTAAAGAAGACATTCTATTTGGAAGTGTACGTGGATTATTAATTCCAACAAAAGATCAAGCTGAAAACATTATTGAAAATTCAGGAGCTCAAAACGACTCTTTTGATAATACTGTCCTTAAACCTGAAGAATATTGTGAAGAAAATCCTAACTTGGCAGATATGTTAACATGGAAAGAAGCTTTTATCACCAGCACTTCAAGACTGGTTTTGCCTATCAGGGTGATGAACATTGCAAAAGAATGCATTGATGAAATCCTTCCTACTGAAAGAGCTCAGAAAATTAAGGAAAGCGGAAGACTGAAGGACTGTGGAACGTACTACTCTTTTACTTTTGAAAGCACACAATTTTCTGAAAATCTAAATCGGTTGCTGATCAGCAAAATGCAAACAATGAGTATTAAGGTAGTGACCTCTGAGAGTGCATGCAATTGATAAACTCAACGAATTTTTCAAGAAATCTCAAACCTTATCGTCTGTGATTGGTTGAATTTCTTGTGCAATGGTACTGACAGAAGGTTGTGCTGCAACAACTAAAGACGTTGAATTATTGCTCTCATTGTCAATCTGTTTACAAATATTTTCATTTACACTCATTGGTTCAATGGTTGTACTGGTCCTGGACTGTGACCCCATGCTGTTGGTCCTACTGCTCCCCGTATCATCATTGCATTCTATCTTTGAATGATTGGTTTGAGACATTTTCATCATGTTCCTCACTCGAGAGAAATGCTTTGCCCCCGAAATGCAAAATATAATTCCAGCAAGCAGTAAACTTGGCCCAAAAGAACCCAAAACAATGGGAGCCACCAACGGCACACAATATCGTTCTTTCCTGCAAAAAACATAAAATATTACTAATAGAATGGCCAACACTGTACAAATGCAACCCAACGTTGTGAAAATAATCCCAGTGATAATGGTTGAGAGTGGATGAGAATAGGGTCCGTGATCACGAACCGTGGAAACACCAGCTACTTGATTGTAATAGGGCATGAATGAATGTTTTTTCAAAAAAACACTTTGAATGAGTACGCACCTTTAATGAGTTTAGCAACTTGACAAATCAGGTCCAGTGATAAGAGGTCAAAGTTCGGTAGGTCAACAAAGATGGAATGTTACTTTCAAAGGAGGAAACAAACTAGATGTGATGATCTTTGCTATCCAAGCTGCCATTTCGTTGTCCAGAACTTGTCATTAAGGAATTGGAGTGACGACACACACACAAATGATTGCCACAACAACAGTGAAACAACCACTCGTGGTGTTTCAGAATTAAATCATATCAATGGTGCATACACCAAGAAGTAGTAGCAATAGAATAATAATATATTTGATTGAATAAACGTATAAATATATTCAAAAGTTTACATTAGGATGCAACAACCATCGTTTTTGTCTCCTCTTGAATTTGTGTTTGGATTTTGTGTAGAATTTGGGTTCTTGGTAGTGTTTGAAGTATTATTTCCTTCGAGATCAGATTTTTGAAGAATTCCTTGATATAATAATCCAGCTTCACTTGCTTTTTTAAATACTTCTGTTATTCCTTGTTGTGTTTTACCACTGCACATACAGAATGCATAGGCACCTAGCTTTTTGGCTAGAGACTCTCCCTCTTCTTTGGTGACTGGTTTTTCACCATTGTCTTCAAGTTTTTTAAGAATTTCAGGTTCTATGATGATGGAATGGGTACGCGAGAATTCGATAATTGATTTTTGAGAGAATCATTTTCAATAAAGATGATTTCATTGTGTGATAGGAGAGTTCACCATAGAGTTTCATTAAATTTACAATCCATTGGATATGACCACCATTCATGTATTTTGTAAAATTCACCCATTTTACACACATATATCCATCATAATATTCATTTCAATCATCACACAAATTTCATGATTCACACATTCACACACACACACACGTGTGTATTTCAAAAAAAACCAAATATATATATATCTCACACATGGTTCATTTCATATAAAAACTTACCTGAAACACAATCTAATTTCGTTCCACACAACACAAATGGAACATCTTTAGAGAATGTTTTAATTTCCTTAATCCAATGTGAATCCACATTCTCAAAACTTGATCTACTAATTAATGAGAAACAAATGAGAAAAACATGAGTTCCCGGAAAAGCAAGAGGACGCATTTGTTCATAATCGTCTTGACCAGCTGTATCCCATAGCCCAAGAGACACGTGAATATTCTTATTGTAAACCATTGTACATGTCTGTATGAGAGAAATGGGTCACACACAAAATCATTTCACACAAATGTCATGGATATTTGAATTATAGACAAGTATATGGTCAGAGAGAATTTGATGTCCATGTGATTTGACCGAGTATATACATCATCACATTATTGTAGATTTTAGTGTATGTGATGATTCATATGAATTTAATAATAATAATAATTGACAAGTAATCGTGTAGGTGATAATATTTCATAGAAAAAAGAGAGAAAATCATCACACGGGATCAAGATATGAATTGTGTGCGTGTTACACAATCATTGAGAATTCGATTGTTGTTGATTGAATCATTCACCAACTTACATAATTATCAAAAACAGTTGGTACATAGTCTTCTGGGAATTTATCAAGAGCATAGGACATGAGGAGAGATGTTTTACCTAAAATGAAAATGTAATCATTGTGATGATTCAGTTGATAATGATGATGAAATTGAATCTTCTTCTTGTTTTACTTACCAACTGCACCATCTCCAACCGTCTATTTACGAAATATTTAACGAAGAAGAGAAATTGAAGAATTGTTGTTGTTGGACGAGAAGAAGGCGATTATTGACAGCAGCATCATATGGACAGATTTGGTAAAATAAATTCCGCAAAAGATGACGAACAGGTGAATCGTGATGATGATAATGTAAAATAAATTCATATTGTCATCACATTCAAATGAGAGGAAAAGTCTTGTTACCTACCATCAATTTGACACTTTCCATGCGGGGCTGACTCATTTTTTTTCTTTGTGCTGTCAAACCCGCTTCTTATTCTTTCGCACCACTGTTGGGCTATGGCGGCGCATCCGACGTTGAAGCGCACTAAAAACCTGTCAGATATTCGTCAAGTCAAAAATGAAAAAGAAAGCATAAAAAAATTTATTCGTTGAATGTCATGCAGTAGAATTGGTAATAGTTCTGGTTTAGGGTGCTAGCAAGGATCTGTCTTCCGTGAGCTGTTCGTTGGCACGCTGTTGTTTTACAAGCTTAAGCTGAAGCGAATAATGGTGTAACGTCCTATGGCCTCTATATTTCGTTTCAGTTTGTCTGTTGTTGCAGTAAGAACCCAAGTTGCTTCGGTTCTTCAAACCCTTGCAAACCAATCAGGAAGAGACTCACTCATTTTATTTTTGATTCCTTTGGGGTTCACTCAAATCAGCTGACGTGGGATTGACGAATATCTGACAGGTTTCTAGTACCAATTGCGCCGCCATAAGAGTACCATCAAAAAAAAATAGCAACATTGACGATCAATTATTTCGCGTTAAAATTGACGAATCATCATCAATTATTATTATCAATAATTGCGGAAAACATCAACAGCAACAAGACCAGCTATACAATACAACATATAAATTTTTATTAAATATATTGATTGACATTCTTGTGCATTGGAATGTGGAAAGTCTGATTATGTTTCGGAGAGTATACCGAAACACAGGGGACAAGCTTATTCTTGTGTGGCACATACTTAAGAGAGTGATCATCCAAGTTCTCTAACTCCAAACTGTGTTGAGTTGATTTTTTGATTTTGAAGAAAGAGGTTTTGGGCTCAGACTCAGTAGAGTCATCAGTTTGGGCAACAACATCAGTATTAGTCTTCAGTACATAATTGCCACAAACACACTCTGATTGTCTTAGTGTGCTCAATTCATAAATGTCACATAATTGTGCCATATCAAAGAACATTATGGCGTATCTTGCCGAGTTGGAGGATATGAATGCTTTGGTTAAGGTGAAGTTAAGAATTTCTCCCAAAAAAGCTGAATTATGGACTAACGGACCAAATAATTCGGCACTATTACCCAACTCAGAAGCTATATGGAAATTTTGGGTGGTTTTAGCAATTCCTGCTTCCTGTTGATATTCTTCCAACACTTGCCACAATTCATTAATGATAACTGGTAAATCTGCGGTGCGAAAACAATCATGTAATTTGTCTAAAACGTTGACAAATCTTTTCAACATGCTGACATGTTTTGATATTTCCTCAAAACCTTCAATTTCGTAGAACAAGTCTAGATAATAATGTACTATCATATATACCTCTATAGCTTTGAGATGACCTAGATTTTTAGTGATAGATCGTGGATGTCTATGTAAGAATGATGGAAATTTTTGTTGGAGATATAATTTGTCGAACTTCTCCCAACAAGGTATTTGAATTAATGACATCATGTCACGCAAAATTCCTTCGTATAGACAATGCATTGAATCATATGATCCCATATCTGTTGGTGTAGGATTCCAATTCTGTTTCAAAATGGGAGAGTACTCAGATGATGTCATTCCATATTGTGTTTCAAGATTTTCACCTTTTACGATGTTCCAAAAATCAATATCACGAAAACAGTGAACAATCCTTTGATTGCTTGGAATCACTCTTCGTAATGGATATCTAATAGCAGTTGTTGATTTGGAATTGACTTCTACACTCTCTCCAGGAATGGCACATAAGTGACAAAAGTAGTATCCTGATGCTTTGAAGAACAAAATTTCAGATCTTGCCGGTAAGTCTGCCAGCACTCTATCAATTCTCATCTCAAACTTTTCATAATTTCCGTTAAAATAGTTCAAATCATCCATTAGTATTTGTAGACATAATTTTATCATGTCATGATTAGGTTTAACAGGTATTACCATCCACAATATATTGTTCTTCCTCTTTTTCCTTAAATGAGGTGGTAATTCGTTCAAGCTAATAGAAAATTGGTAAAAGCTTTGTTGACTGGATTGAAATGGTGAAACTCCATCTCCATATAATGTCGATGTTTTACCACCATCAGCCACAAATTGTTCATGCTTTGTTTTATAGATTTTACCGTCACATCTATCTTGGATAATACCTTCAGGAGACTTTTCTAATTTAAATTGACTAAGGAAATTAGGATCTCTCCATGCACGTTCTTCAAATTGAAATTTGAGAGGTCTAAGAAAACAATGATCTTTCATTGATTTCCAAGCTTTTCCACAAGTTGGACAATTTTTATGAGTGACATCTTTTTGATATTGTTGACATTCTAGGCACATTGGAACTTTTCTTGTTTTAGATGATAACATGAAATGATTATAGTATCCAGATAGTGAGAGGTGGTCAATTGCATATTCTCTATCAGCATCACTTTTACATAATTGAAGTGCTTCTTTAACAATTTCAATCACTTGCTTTAAACAATTCTCAGAGAGAGATGCTGTGACTGTAAACCTCAATATCTTTTTTAACAATGCATCAAAATTCTCGTTTGTAGCGATATTAGATTTTACACTTGAAAATGAATGTTGTGTTAGAATATCTTCATCACAGATAGTTCCACCTTCATCGTTATAAAAGGAACTCAAGAATTCTTTCAATATGTCATCCATACCAGAGACTTTTGGTAGAGAGTCCAATAATTCTTGATCATCATTAACACCATGTGTAGAAGTATCAACAGGAGTGTAATCATAATCTGTTCCTAAATAACAGCTATCATGATTGCAACACGATTGGCCGTCACCACATTTTGCTTTTTTATGACATTGAATACTATTGGATGGAATGTTGCGAATGTCTATATCGGCAGTGGTACGTTTATTATTTTGAACAAGGGGAGAAGAGTATTGGGATGCCTTATTATTTAAAAAGTTTACCCCTTCAATAATCTTATTAGAAATGGAGTGATGTGATATAGTATCAGAATGATGAATATTTGGCTTTTTCCTTGAGTATTGTAATTGAGCCATTTTTTTTAAAGAATTTTACAGTGCAAGATCGAATCGACTCTCGTTACCCTGTTTTAAAACTGATTACAAAAGTTTTGATCCATGTTAACATCACATCCATGTTAACGGTTTTGCAACAGTAAATAAAGGCGGTACCATTCACTAATCCCACCCAAAGCAAAGTTTTAAAAAAATGGCAGGAAAACCAAAATCATCTAGCAATAGTAACACTAATACTCAAAAGAAACCCAGTAGTAGCTCTGATGTTGTGCATGAGGAGAACTCTCCCAAGATATTTGAGTTTAAGGAAAGAACACCAAATTCCTCGGAAACCATAGAGAAGAATGCAACTCAGTCGTTGCAGGAAGCTGAGGTCCATTTATTTTCCATGCTTAAGTTTTGCAATAACTTGCTTCTAAATACAGAGCTGAAAGATATGAAGAAATGTGATGCTCAGGGAGCTACATATATTTTGCTTTCAATTGTTTTACAATATAAGAAGCACAAAGTTTTTACAGGTTTTCAAGGCAAGAATGGAACTCCATCTAATCTCAAAGCCAATTTCCTTAAGCATTATGACAATGAGTTTCTCAAGAAATTAGTTTCCGAGGCTGTAAGAAAGATTTCCATTGCTCTTTTGAAGCTAAAAGGGTTTGAGATCGAAGAATTTGTATCTGAGGAGTCCGAATTGAAAGTTGGTGACAATGTTGAGATGTTAACACAAATAGATGACAGCACTTTCAGAATAGCTAAAGGAACGGTGGCTACAACTCTTGATTCAGAGGAATTTCTAATCGAAAATACTCAAATGTTCGTTGAGTCGTTTGACTTGGATCTTTCTAAACCATTCAGCAGGCAGAAGTTGCTGAAAATTCAAGACAAATCAGCTTCTCCTCCATTAATTGTAACTCCCTTCTCTAAGGTACACAGAGGTTTAAGCTCTTCCCAACTCTGTTCTGTGTCTAAAGAAGATACCATGTCCTCATTAAACAAGAATACAGAGAAAAGAAGAAGAGAAGAGGACAACAATGAGAAAGATTGTGAGGAAGCAAATGAGACACCAATAAAGAATAAGGTGAATGACAACGACGAGGAAAGTTTGCAAGACAGAGGAACAAACGATGATAACAAGGATCAACAATCTGTTGTGAAAAAGAAGAAGGTAATTGACCTTGCTCATGATGATAGTGACGAGGGTGAAATGACATTCCGTTCTTACAAGAAACAGAAGAAAGTAATAGACTTGGAAGAAGATTGGGAAGAATGGAATACATTCCAACTTTATAAAAAGGAAAAGGCAAAGAACAAGTTGCTCAAAGAGGAGGTGCAAGAGCTGACCTCTCTCCTTGCGCAACTAAACAAACCCCTTGGGATGATGGTGAGTCTACAACTACAGCACCCAGAGTTGCTGCCTTCTCAATCCGTCAATGTAACACTGGGATCAAGAACGGAAATCATTCCAGCTGGCATGATACAGCAATTGGTAAGCGCAAACAGGACGGAAAGGATGAAGATGATGAGCCTATATCTGTTCCGAAAGGACTACCTTGAACTGAACAATGAAGAGAAAAATTTATTGATAAACACTATCGTGGAATGCACAGCAAAGACGGGCGACAACAAGACTGTGCAAAAATATAAAGCATTGTATCGTACCATTAAATCGAAGGATAAGAAGTCCAAGAACGAGAAGGAAGAAGAAAGAGATGAGTAAAAGGGGTAATCGTAATAAACCGTACAATTAATTTTATAAAAAAATTTCCTCAACGTTGAAAGGGAGGACTATACTAACTACAAGTTTAATATCATTGATTCACCATCAAATTGAAATCCAATAACTATTAATCTTTAGTTGGACATAATACAGATCAATTCGTCTTGGAACACTCATTCTATGTAAGTAATTTGCTTCCAAATTTATGCGAATAAGACCTGGGCTTACCACTGTGCAAACCTACAAAGAAACAAAGTATAAATTGAGAATGATGTTATTCCGTTAATCTGCCTTACAAAATAATCCGTCTATCTGTGTTCAGGAATTTTGTTTTGAAAGTGTTGAAGATTCTATCAACAAACCACAGTTAACAGAATTTGCTATGATCATCGTCCGTGGTTCTATTATTCTTTACTCTCATATTCAACCATATCATCTCATCAACGATACCACATATAACATCAACTCAAATAGCTGTCATCACGTGAAATATGTTCTTGTTGTCTAACAACTCCATTCATCAATTATTCACCACGGAACTCTTTTTTCTCCCGAGCCAACGACAACTTCGAATTTGATTATTTTCAATTTGGGTTCCACACTTTAACATCGAACTCCCTTAGCTTTAGTACCTACAGCATTAACGTAATCTTAGCAATCGAGATGAATAGCTCTTCCATTGGAGTATCAACTACATTCGTTCTCAGCACTTGCCTATTTATTTATTTATTTTAATATTAATTCGGAATTGTTGATATACATTCCGAACGTTATAGCATTCTCAACGTGAACTGACCAAACCATGATAATATCTAATCTCTTCACAGAAATATCGTCATCCTATTCAGAAATTATGAAGAAAGTGTTGAACGATTGAACTAGTTTGCTGGATCTTGAGACGTAAATTTTGTGGAAAGAATCACATTAGATTGGATTCCAAACGATATTTCAACACCATTCCAGTTTTTTCCTCAGAGTGAAACAATCTCAAAACGATAAGAAGAGCAATGGACAATATCAAGTTGCAACAAGTAATCCATAACATTGGTCAACATGTAATCCTTTATCACGACAGACCAAGCACACAAGTTGCTGTAGTGATTTTGAAGTGATTGAACAATATTCTTTGACATCAAGTTAAAAAAGGACTGTGTGGCTGAGACAAGATTTCATCATAGTTTGTTTGTTTCGTTGTGACAACAACTGTCACTTGACGAACTTAATTGGGAATACTAATTAATCATTAATGCTTTTGATGATGAGAAGTTTGGCGTCATCATAGTACTATGAGTCCTTGACACAACCTTGAAAATCTTCCTCTTGCAATTGCCACTGATGCCTTAAATGTCAAACGAGGATTTCTTGTCATACTCTACTGATAGCCACAATCACCAAGACTCACGATTCGACCAATATCCGTGAGCCAGAATAGGAGTGGTAAAAGATGTACAAATATATTGAAGATGGTGAGTGTTTCAAATTTAAAGCCATGAATACCTGTTTTTTAATCTTTAGTTGAACGTAATAGGACAGTGATTCAAATCAACCCATGAACATTTGATACACTCACATTCTCTGTAAGTATCGCCTTTACATTGAAACATGGTTGTGAACTATATAGGAATTGAAGTTAGATCCTTGACATAAGCATTATGCCTCGCTACAAAGATACGGTATGTTTCTACATTGTTAACAACAACACGAGTTTGGAATTAATTGGAGGAAAACTAATGGGGTTTGAAACTCGCCAAACAACCATCCTTAGGATTGGTGTTTGAGGGATTTTCTGCATATTTTGTCATTAGACTTTATTGAGCAGATCAAATCACTGTTCACATAGTAGAAGGTAAGCGCTTATATTTGAGCCTTTTTCAATATTTCATTCAAAACATTTCTCAGTTCTCTATGAGCTCCTCTCTATTTCTATTTGTTAGTTCTTGTTCAGAGTATTGGAATCATATGTATGTTCATGTTAAATTTTGCGTACATGACAATGAGATTAGAACAAGTATATACTCCACTATTTAAATCGCACCATGTAAGTTATTTCGAGTATTGTTGATGCATCTGCTGTACTGAAATGTTATTTTCATTGTTGAATTTGAGAAGAAGGGAAAAGGCGTTTTTATTTGGAGTTGATTTATCTATTGGTGATTCTTTTGATGTAAAATTTAAAGGTAAGTTATGGAGGATGAGCTGGTAGTTTTTGAATGAACGAATTGTCAAACAAATTCACTTTTTACTGTGATCATAAGTGTAGACTGATGATGTAAGTAATTACTTTGAATTAGCAATCTCGTGGTCACTAAATAGTACCGCCTTATTTCAGAGCTCTATATATTTAATTTGTTGAGGATTGAGGGAATGAAAATATTTATTGTATTAATGTAACTGTAATTGATGTATTTAATTGAATGAGGAATTGATATATGGTGATACTGTGTGTTGAATGAAAGAATGTGGAACAATATGAATGAAGTGTCAGTGGAAGTGTGGAGAAATTGGAAAAGCGAAACAAGTAACAGAAAATTGTGAAAAATTAACAACAGGAAAAACGAAACTAGTAACAGCAATAATTGACGAAAAAACGAAACTAGTGACAGCAATAATTGACGAAAAAACGAAACTAGTGACAGCAATAATTGATATTTCTGCATCAATTTTCTACGTCAATTTCGAGCGTCAATTTGACGGCGCAATTTCTAAAACGTTAATAGGGATTTTTGACGTTTTTTATTGACGAGAAAACATTAATTTGTTACGTTTTTAAAATGTGAATAAAAATTTTTTCATCAACTTTGCGACATTAATTGTTTACGAATTTTTAAAAATAATTAACGTCAGCAAAGGGGTGCGGGAATGTCGAGAAAAAGGAACATGAATATCATCAAGCAACAATAGAGAAGAATGATTCATTGAAATTGTCCTTGTTTCAAAGTCGATCAAAACCCATCCAATTGCTGTGTAAAAAATGAAGCAACAACTATCCAAAATTTTCAATCTTCAAAAAGCCTTCGTACGCACGCGATCATCATCATCATGCAAACATTGGGTGAATTTTGGAAATTTTCTCGCTCGGAACGAACGTTCTTTCATCCAATTCAATGATTATAGATGTTATTCAATGATATCCATCGATAAAATTCCATACACTTACCAAGTCCAACCATCTACTCATTCTCATTTGATGAAAGAGGATGAAATTGCACCTGGATTTACATTAGAAGAGTTCAAACAAAGACATCGTAATTTATTTAATTTAATGAAAGAAAATTCAGTATTGATTTTAGGGTCGAGAAAGGAATATTTCATGTCTCCAAATGTTAGATATCCATACAAGCAGGATTCTAGTTTTTATTATTTGAGTGGAGTGAGCGAACCAGATTGCTTTTTGGTCTTTAAAAAAACAGACTCTGGAAATTCTATAACATTATACGTGAGAGAAAAGAGCAAAAAAGAATTCTTTCATGGAGTGGTTAATGGAGTTCAATCGTTGCAAAACCTTTGGGGAGATTACCTTCAAGTGAAACAAGTCAAAGCATTTGTTCGAGATTTACAGATAATTGTTAAAAATTTTTACACACTGTACTATGATCCTGATTATGACGAAAGATTATCTCAAATTATTATAGAGAGCGGAGGAGGCATGGAATTCTTTAAGGGACCGTCACAGAAATTTAAAATTTTCTATCCTGAAAATTTAATTGCCATGCTCAGGAGTATTAAATCCAAGGCAGAAATAGAGCTCACAAAACGATGTGCACACATCAGTGCTCAAGCCTTTATTGAGCTCATGAAACAGATTAGACCTGGAATGTCTGAAGCACATGCAGAAGCAATATTGGAGTTTCAGTGTAAAATAAGAGGAGCACAAAGACTTGGTTATCCTCCTGTCGTTGCCTCAGGAGATAGAGCAAATATCATACACTACCTTACCAATAATCACATTATGGAAGATGGTGACTTGATTCGAATTGATGGCGCTGCCGAATATTATGGATACATGAACGATATTACACGAACGTTTCCTGTAAATGGAAAATTCACACCTATGCAGAAAAAGCTCTATCAGGCCGTGTTGGACATTCAAAAGAAATGCATTGATTATCTTAAAAAGCACTTGACAGAAACAATAACAATTAATTCGTTCCATGAGTATTCCATGTGTCTCACTCAAGATGCTTTGGCTGAACATTTCAACATTGGCTCGGGATATGGAAAGAACACACTAGAGATAAATCAACTCATTGAAGAGGTTTTATACCCTCACATGATTGGTCATGCTACAGGAATGAATATACATGAAGATGTTCCAGGAAGAGACGATAAATTAGGACCTGGAATGATCATTACTTGTGAGCCAGGAATTTATTTCTCAAAACAAGTGAAGAGTTACATACCTAATCCTCAATTGCATGGGCTAGGAGTTCAAATCGAAGATGACATTTTACTCACAGAAAATGGAATTGAAATTCTTTCTCATGAAACTCCAAAAGAGATTGAAGAAATTGAATCTATAATGAGTATGAATAGCAAGACCCCTCCAATTTCTTTTTCATTCTGAATGTAACTATGGTTCATAACCACACAATTAACCCCTTATCCTAATAGGATTGGTAAACTTTTCTGTGCGTTCGTGGAGGACTGTTTCGTTGTAAACTATTTTTATTTGGTTGACCAAAAATTTCTTAAAATTTTGTTGAAAAAAAATACGCCAAAACTATCCTTCATCATGCCTGCAAAAGCCACCAAGACCCAAGTCAAGAAGGAAATTGCTGAACCAAAGACCTCTCAACAAGTAGAGAAGAAGAGAGAACAAGCAAAGAAGAATCTTTCCAAGATTACCAAGAGAGGAAAGGGTGTCAGATCCCACAAGGTCTGGACTTCGGTTACTTTCAGAAGACCAAAGACTCTCAGATTGGCCAAGAAGCCAAAGTATGTGAGAAAGTCCATTGCCGGAACTAACGACCTCGATACTTATCAAATTCTTCAATATCCACCAACTCTCCAAAATCCAAAGGTTTCCAAGGCTATTGAAGATAACAACACCATTGCTTTTGTTGTTGACTTGAAGGCAAACAAGAAGAACATCAAGAAGGCTTTCGAGGAATTGTGCAAGACAAAGGTTCAAAGCGTCAGAACTCAAATTACTGCTAAGGGAAGAAAGTTGGCTTTGATCAAACTCCCATCATCAGTTGAAGCAGTCGATATTGCCACTCAAATTGGCTTGTGCTAAATAATTATATTAAAAAAAACATTAATTCAATAGATGAGGTTTATTGCTGACCTTAGAATCGGATGTCTGCGTTCAACTCTTCAGCAGGTGGTTCTGTGAGACCAGGAGCGAGAATCGCCACGTTGTTGCCGTTTAAGATAAGGGAAGGAAGCTTGGTTTCTTTCCGAGATCCATCCACAGTGTATGAGTATTCGGTGACATTGTCCAGAATCATGTCTGGTGGTGTGATGCATACGAGTCACAATTCCAAAAAATGTTGTTCATAGCGCTAAATATGATATCGTTGTGTGTTTGATTTACATACTAATATAATCATCAAATCCTCTAAGTGTTCCTACCAGTTCTTTATCGTCTTTCATCAGAACAAATATCGACGATCCAATACATTTATCGATTAATTCTAATATTTTGTGAATAGTTAAAATTTAAAATAATTTTCTCGCTGTTACCATCAGGTCGTGATAACAAAACTCACCCAAAGGCTGAATCACAGGGATGGCATTTGTTTGCTGTTGTTCGGTATTTGACATTTTTTTTAAATCTTGATTCGGGTTCTTTGGCTTGCTTGAACTGAGTGCAAATTTATTATTGACCATCTTCGTCCACTTGCATTGAACCTTCCTTTGATGGGTACTTGGATTTATGTTGAGGAAGAATGCCAGTTGGATTGTTAAGAGCTTTGACAATTTCTACACTCATAGCAGAATTTTGTTTGTGTGTCTTACAGACTTGTTTGAGCTGTTGTTTTTGTTCCTTACTCAACTTGGATCCGTAATAGATAGCAAAGGTAAGAAGTGTTTGATACCAAATGTTATGAATATTGGAAGCCTCTGGTGAAATATTTAAAAATCGAGTAAAGTATGAAACTACTCCTTGAACCACTTGAGTTGGGAGAACATATCTCTTATCCAAAAACACCTTAATAAACATGCAATTTGTGTTGGAGTAGTTGAGAGATGCAATTTTCAAAAGAGCAGCTGCAGAATGCATAACTGGAATGGTCATCTTTTTCAAAATTCCTCCAATAATATGTGCTTCCTTAACAGTACATTGCCCATCTTCACATAGAGGTATAATAAATCCCTTAAACAAGGCAGCAGGTCTCCATGTAGCTTTGATAATAGATTGATAAAGATGATGATTTAACTTGAGTTGCTTACGAGACACAAAGTGTGAATTTGGTCCAGATTTCTTCTTGTTTGATGTCAAAATATCATTTCTCACCCTTGGTAATAAGATCATATTCAAAAATCGTTGTGTGATAAAGTCGTTTCCTTGAGAGACGAATAGTTTGGTGGCTTTGTATACTGCTTGAGTTGACCATTTGTCTGGTTGCGTTAAATAGAGAATTTCTTCCCAATTTGAGAGAGTAGGAATAATTGCAAATACCTTTGGAAGTTTTCCAGATCTATACTTTTTCAGAATTGTTCCCAAAGCTCTATAAGATGCAACAACTTTCTTGTGCAACTTTTCCTCCAATGCCTTTTCATCAAACTGAAGAGATGACACTAAAGTTGGATCAGTTTTAGCTTCTTGTGATTGTTCCTTTTCTTTGATTTTTTGTAAAATAACGTCGGAAATGTTAATAGGTTCTCCGTGTTCATCGTCTTCTTTATCTCCTAAAAAGAAATTCAATGCATTCTCGTCTTCTTCTTCTAATTGAATTTCTACATATTCTGGTACCGATTTTTTCTTATTGCTTTTTGTTGTCGTTGTTGATGTTAGTACTTCCAAAATTGAACTAACTTGCTCTTCGTCATCATCGTCCATATCAAATTCAGCCTGTTGTTTCTTCACTACGTTTTCAATTCTTTGTGTTGTTTTAGCATCAAGAAAATCTTCATCTACTTCCTCATCGATATCATCAGCTTTATAATCATCTCCGATGATGTTTACTTTTTTACCCAAAGCTCTCTTTTGAATTCTCTGGAGAGCTTTTCTTTGTTTGTTGTTTTCTTCTCCTTCTTCATTTTCTAAATATTCGGTATGAAGAGGCTTTCCTTGTCGGCCCTTGATGAGTTTCTTGATACGGGAAGAAGTGTCCTTTGGCATGACGCAAATTTTTTGTTCAACAAAATTGAAAACGCAAATGTTTTTGTTTCACATTGTGAGTAAAAAGAGGACAAATAATTATTGCAAATTATTATTTATTATTCATTGTCAATAACATGATTACTGAAAGAGAAGAAGTAGGCACATCAGAAAGTCTCGTTCACTCATGGATGTCCCACAACCCAACTGCCGTTCATACTCGGAATGAGAGAATTTCATCACCTTTTTGTGGAGTATCATCATTTGGAGAGTTTGCTCGGAGTGTTTCATGCTCTTCTCCGAGTAAATTCTCTCCGATCATCATATATTTAATATCCAATGCGCCTTTGGTGATGAACATGGTTGATACTCGACGTTCATACCCATTAAGCATTGTGCAGAGAGAAGACAACCGACTGTAGGAAGTTGGTGTGTGATGGATGATTCATCTCCACAAATGGATACGATGATAAAACTCTCCTACTCCTGAGCAATCCAAGCACATTGAGTGCAAGCCGATCATACCTTTTACTGATTCATCATTGTGCCTCTTCTCTCTTTCAATTTTTTTGGGATGATAATGATTTCATTACAAAAAAAATGATGGAAGCAAAGGCTTCTTCCGTATCATCGCCAGCACAAGGGTTCCGATTACCCACAACTCATAATTCGTTAAATACAGCCAAATCAGCTAATGGTAGTTGGAGAGAATTACGGTCATTATCCGGACTTCATGATAACGGAGCTAATTCATCGAAATCATTATTACGGACCGATATATCAATTGATGACAGTTCATGTATTTGCGTAAATCAAGAAAATAATTTTGTTATTCAGGGAGGAACAAGCGGACGATTTCAATCGATCAAAGCTTTACAAAAAACAAAAGTTGATGCCAAACAATTTTCAAGCACCACAACCGTACTCGACAAGAAGGATTCCACAAATCCAGTTGCAAATGTTTTTTCTCCTACTTTCACTGGAAGATTTCCTGGACCAATCCATTGCATGGATATGCATCATGATCTTCTTCTTGTAGGAAGCACAAACGGAGATTGTTTTTTAAAAACATTTGATGTGACAACAGAGAAGAATAATTGCATGATGGATATTTCTCCCAATAATGTTGTTAAATGTAGAACATTTTCTCACCCAAAGCTCAAGAAAACGGAGTCTCTACTGACCGTACCTTCCCCTGAACAGTACACTTTTAGCACAAAAATTAACAACGTTCAAATTCAACCATGCGAACAACCAACCACATTCCATTCAATTGAAAACAATAGATTACACGTTTGGTCATTTGAGAAGGAAGACGCCCCAATTCAAACAATACAGGGATCAAGAAGTCCACTATGGTGTAGCTCATGGTCACCACACAACAATAGTCTAATTTTGATTGGAGGCGTAAGCAAATCTGTCAAGTTGTTGGATATCAGAAGCATGACAACCTTGAACACTAAGGAAAGTATGCAATTTTCTCATGGAGATACTGTAACTGATGTAAAATGGAATCCTCTTCTTCCACATTGGTTTGCAAGTTGCTCAACAGATGGATTGATATATATTTGGGATCAAAGATATGCCAACGAGCCTATGAAAATTTTAGAAGGACATAACAACATTGTGAAAAAAGTAGCCTGGTCTCATTCCCATACTGAAATTTTAGCTAGTGGTGGAGTTGACCATTGTGTGAAATTGTGGAGCTTGAGACTAGAACCTCATCACGTGTTATCAACTTTGGATAAGGGGTACTTTACTGATTCCATTGTTGGTTTGCATTTTTCTTATACACAACCGAATCAATTCTTTGCTCAGTCAGCAAGTGGAGAATTAATTGCAGTTTCTATAAGCCCTGAACAAATTAATTCTCTTGTTCAACATCGATTGGAAGACGAGAAAACCCAGGCTGAAAACGAGGCCATTTCAAACATTGAAACATTAATTTATCATAGAAACCTAAATCAAGCGTTCCTCGAAGTCGAAAAGATAGCCACAAGATTGAAAGAACAGAACAAGCTTGAAAAGGCTTTAAAATTGTTAGATCTCTGTAAAGTTAGAACAGTTTCTGAGAATGTAAAAAGTAACAATCCTAAAGCTAGATTCAAGAAGGAGCTAGAGGATTTTTCATATTATATTCCTCCAAACATATCCATCATGAAATTTAAAAAACCAGACGAAAAAAGAATTGAAGATTTAGTATTGAATTGTAAAATACTTAGATTCGTGCAGAAAAATGAATTTATTGAAATCGCTGCACTAGAAAAAAAGGTTACCGAGCTCATCAAGACAGATAGCCAAAGAATTGAAATATCAACAATTAAGGATGTTATTAACCTGTATTTAGCACATGACTACAGAAGAGGAATGACTCTTGCAATAGACATTGCTGAAATATTCCGAAAGGATGGGGAAAAATTTGCCGAGTATATGAACATTGTCAAAGAAGTTCTCAGCCCGACAATATTTGAAGTGACCCACAACCAAGCTCTTCGAGAAAGTGGTTATAGAAGTTTAGCAAAAGCTTTCCAAAATCAGGATTACATTATTGAACAGCTAAAACTTCAAAGAGATGTTTTTTGTGCATTATGGGAGTTTTCTGATAGTGCTATCATGATTATCAAATTTGTTGGAGACACATATTTAGATATTATTTCAGTGGCAGTCCTTAGGTCGTACTTGAATGCTTTATTGTGCCAACAACTCTATGACAAGTTCTTTATTGTATGCACCAAATTGCTTCAAAAGATTCAAGGATACGACATTGCTGTTATCGTGCGTGACTTGATGAAAAATGTAGCATTTGCAGATTTGTTGAAATTGTTGAATTCTGAGATTTTAAATAGTGAGGTAAGTGTCAATACATTATACTATGTTTGGTTCTAAGCAACCATTGATCTAGTTCCTAAACACCATTGAGACAAAGTCTTCCATATCTGCAGCTAGGTCTTTCCCAGCCGCAAAGTGTTTGGATTTCATAGTTCAAACCAAGCAAACAGTATTCTCTGTAATTCGTATTACCATGTTTTGTCCAGTACTTCCTTCTTATATGAATACCATTATTCAAGCAACAATCCAAAAATTAGTGGTAATATACGAGTTTGCATTTGAGCAAATTGGTAAATCAGCTCAACACCAAAATCAAGGTAGAAAACTTGCAGAAGAAATCCTCAAACGATTCGAATTGAAGAAACTTGCTTCGAAGGATGATTTGCCTGATCATCAAGCGGAAATAGTTAAATTACTTCCCATTCTTGAAGAGTTTTTGAAGAACTAAGGAACTATAAATCTGTCACCATTTGGCTTTTTTGATCTCTCTGTAGCTCCACTTGTATAAGATCTATAAATTGAGATGAGATGTGTTGGCAATGCACCTTTTTTCCTAGACTTTGCCATTACCGAAATCGACTTGTCAGCAATTTCCTTTTCTTCATCAAACGACAGAGGTTCTTTTTTCTTTCGCTTCTTCTTTTCGAGAGTGTCTTTAGAGTTGAGGTTTGACAAAATTGAATTTCCAGTAGTATCGAGAAGGCTTTGAACGTTGAATATCTTTTCTCGATTGTTAATTGCATCGTTTGTAGTTGCCGCTCTTCGTACGCTATGAGAATCCAAATTAGATTTTGGAGAATATTCAAATGTATTATTCTTCTCAGGAATACCAGCAAAATTTGTGTTCCACATAGACAATGCTTGTAGAACAGATATCGAGGGTTTTTCTTCTTCCTCAACATTCTTCTTTATATTCTTTGCAGTATTTCTTGCGCTCTCAATCATTTCTTCTTTTGCTTCCAAAAGCTTGCCAAGCTTTCTTGGTGTTAAATCAATATCCACGTGCTTTAAAGTTAACGCTCGAGATCTCCATTTTTCCATTTCGTTAAGAGACGTTTTGTATTTTTCTGTCATTCTGGCCAGTTCTGATGACATTACATCAAGTTCTGTATGTAATATTTCGTTGTCAGCATTTACATTTTTAGATTCATAAATATCCTCCTCTAAGAGTCTAATTTTTTCTTGCTCTGTAAGCAACTTCATTTGTAAGTCTCGAATTGTTTCTTCTTTTTTCAATAACTCTTGTTCTAGACCTTGCTTATCTTTTCTCAATTTTTCGTTTTGAGAGAGTGTCAATCTAACTTGATCTAAGAATAGAGACACGTCTGAAGGAGGACGATTTGCCATTGTTTCTTTGAAAATTCCACTTTGCAAAATTTCTTCCCAAACACTGTCATTCTTTTTCGAATAATCAAAATGATGTGACATTTCAGATAATTTCTCGTTAAAGTCCAGCTCTAATTGTTTTTTCCATTTTTCTAACTCAGCAGCTGATGTTTGTGATTCAACATTCTTCACCTGAGCCATCTTTTCTAATTGAGAATGCAAACTCTTCACTATCGTTCTTAACTCTGCATTTTCTTTTTCATAGAATTTGTAAATATGCATCTCGCTTTCCAATTTACTTTTCTCAATTGTCAAAGTCTTAATTTTAAATTCATCCTCCATTTGTTTAGTTTTCATTTCCTCTGCAAACATATCGAACTCTTGCTTTGATATTACTCGTAACTTTCTTACTTCTTTTTTTAAATCCTCAACCAGAGCTTCTCTCTGTTCTGTCGCTTTTTGTAAAAATTCTATTGCACTTTGTTGTTCTTCTATTTTATCTTTAAGCGAATTATTTTCAGCTCGTAATGATTCAAATCTTAAGTTATGAATCATACCAAATGAACCAATAAGGAATAATACATACTCTGAGACTACTTCCTTCACGGATGTTTTTTTTCGAATCGATTCTGCTTTTGATGACACTTTTGATCTCGGAGATGAAGCAGTAGAACTTCTTACTTTAGCTTTTCCTGTTGAGGGATGTGATTCATGTCTGGTCGGATGATGCTGTTCATCAAGAACAACCTCCTGTATCTCCATTACACCTGGCGACACGGAGAGGTGAGTGTGCTGATTCGCCAGTAACGAAGAGGAGGGTCGGCTTTGCTGCATTTTGTTCGTTGTTAATAACGTCTTAAATTGGCGGGAAATAGGCAACTGACCATGGCACACTTTTACGATAAAAATCTCGTACATCATCACCCTCTTCGTGTTGCTTCAAGTGTTGATCTGCCTATTTCAAACGTTGTATATATTCAAATATAATTTTTCAAGTGCTAGTACATTATGAATAGAAGTATTCAAAGTAGACCCTTAGATGTCATATTCTCGGGTGCATCAAAGGAGAGAATAAAAGGCCAAGATCAAATAGTATATGGGTTAGGAGAATCAGCAAGCCCTCCTAGACGACCCAGCTCGATCTCATCCCAAAGAACAAAAAATTCGTTCAAAAAAACAACAGGTTTTGGTGACCCATCTTCTGACGCTGCCAACAACAGTTTCAGCAGCAACGATTTGCTCTCTTCACTCCGAAGCGTAACGTCAAAGGATGCCAACATCCAAGCGAAATCAACAGATCCCTCCTTCGAAAAAGCAATATCACTGGTTACAGATAAATACTCTTCCGACATGATTGAAAGACATTTGTTTGAATTTAGAAAAATATTGGGCCATAGAGAAATCGGTTTCTTTGTTGATGAGAAGGATGATTTAGTTTTTTTTATTAATTATTGCATCAAGAATATTTTGGATACCGGAGTGGAGCAGCATTCCAAAGAAGAATTTGTAAATTTATTGGACTGTTTTGTTTCAATTTGCGGTGTGCCATTGCGAGAAAGAAAAGCAAGCGACTCATTCCTTAAAGCAGATTCATATTTAGCAATATTCTCATGTCTTGGAAAATTATTGAGATTATCTGTTGGTTGTGTCAAACCAATTTTGGTTAATGTTTCAAAGGTAAGTCCTCGTTTGAGAACATGTATTCTATGGTGAGAAGTGTATAAGCGAATTAGTTGAGAAATCATTTGACTTAGATTTTTTGAGCAAGGCAATCAAGCAATGCAGCATTTTAGACGACGTACTGTTTTTGATATCTCATTTGGTAAAAGAAAACGAGCCTGTAGAGTCAGATTTGTTCATAGAGGCCGTCAATGTTGTGTGGAGCATTTCTAGATACGAAGAATATGCTGAAAAAATGACAAGAGAGGGTGGTGTTAGGTTATTGATTGACGTAATTAACTCGGCAAATTTTTCAGACCTGGTGGTATTTAAAATAATTGATACCATTTGGAATATTATTGAAATTTTCCCAAAATCTACATTATATATTGGAGAGGTTAATTGTGTGACAACAATGTTTAAGTTGATTCAAGAAACCAATTTGAAAGGATTCAGGACGAAAGACAAAGAGTTGAGAAATGATATTCTTATTATATTTTCCTTCCTGGCAAGAGAGCCTGAAAATCAAAACCTTCTCAAAGAATGTGGACTTTTGGAGTATCTTGCTGCAATATCAATAGGACTCGAGCTATACCCTGAATCAGTGACTGTATCTTACAACGTTTCTACCATTTCAAATGAGGATTTCGAAATGAAGAAGCTTGCATGGACTATTTTGTTTTATCTAACATTCAACAATGAGTGTCTATCGTTAATTGTTGATCTTGGATTTGTAACAATTTTGTTAGAATGTATGGACATCAATAGTGAGGTAATGAGAAAATGGAACGATAACCAACGCTTTGAATTGAAACTTCTGGCCTTAAAAATACTATTCCTTCTCTCTGTTCGGGTTCCACAAAATTTTTCCAAAGATCGCGGCCCTGAAATATGTTTAGAACTGTTACGAAATTCCAACGAAGAGTCCATTCTCAGTTCATGTTTTAATACCCTAATGAACGTTTCAACTCAAGAAATTGGATGCAAAGATTTGTCTCAAGCAAATGCAATTCCATCCATGCTTGACGCTTGCGTTAACAACTCTCTGTCATTGAGCTCTAGAACAGATGCTGTACGAATTATCTCTAACATTTGTACCTTTGTTAAAGAAGCTATTGAGGCATTTATGCATAATGGAGGGGTTGCAAAAATGTTACACCTACTTGAAACAAGCATATCAGAATCACAGTACATTGAAAAAGGTTAGTGTTACTGATCGTTTGAAAAATTTCATCATACATGTTATTTAAATAGATGAGCTAATTTTCAACGTCATAGATTGTGTTTGGTGTTGTATAGTAGGCAATAGCGAGTGTGAGCAATTATTTATTGATGGGGATGGTATTCACTTCTTGTTAACATTATTAACTATCTCAAACAATTGGATTCAATTATCGATACTCGGGTGCTTGGCTGATTTCATGATTTCAAACATACATGCTATTGAGGAGTCGGAGACCTGGCTGAGTCGTGATAAGGAACGACTAGTAACATTTTTGATTAAGCTTTGGAGACATAATGAAAACGGAAAAATTATCTCTGAATTGTGGACTCTTGAAAACCTTGTTGTCAATCCTGATGACTATGATCTACAACGAAAAATCTATCATGTTTTGACATTTTTAGGGCCTAGAATTGATATGAATTCATTGACAGACAGCGAGCGCTTGGAAATTGCCAAAATTCAACAATATGACAAAATTTTGCATGATAAAGCTTGGGAGGAGATTTGTGTTGAACTCGAGCAAGAAAATATAAGACCAACAACTCCAGATAGAGATCTCATCAATCAAAAATTCAAGGAAAAGGCTGAACGAGAGGAGTTAATGGCAAGTGGAAAGAGTAACTTTGTCAATGAAATGCAAAGTAGACAACTCAAAGAAGAAGAATTGTTTTATAACACAATTATTGAGCGGAATACTCAAAAACACAATTCACAACCATCCAACCGATCTAAGGATATGGAAAGATATACCTCAAAATCGAGAAATAGCACTACAAATTCTGGGCCAAAAAACATTAGTGTTCAATCTTTCAATATCATTGGTGGCTATGTAAATAGAAGAGCAGCTGAAGAAGAAATTGATTAAATATGTTTTCAGTATCTCTAACCTTTCAAATGTCAAGATAACCTTTTTTTCATATGAGAACAAGGTAACATGCTTTTAGAACAATTTAGAACAAATCATGAACAAAAAATTTTCTTCCTTTGTAACCCGCAGTGAGTTCAGGAGCACTTCTCAAGAAACAATAACCGAACCAACAACACCATGCAAAAAGAAGATCATCAACAACAACAACGTCCAACCGTACTGGTGGTCCCATCAACAACAGTAGGCAATCATACAAACGTTTTTCATCTCACGGAAGAATCCCAACAACAACAACATTCAACGAGCAGTATTCCCTTTATTTATCAAACCACTGATAATATAGACGAGCTCTTCCAAATTGTTCAACAACCGATCAACTTTGATGATATGAGTATCATTGAACAACAACTGAAATCTCTCAATACGACCAACACGACCATGTACAATTCGAACAACTATAATCATCCTCTCTTTAACCCACTTCAATATCCGTTGCAACAACGATCTCACATGAATGTAACCAACAACACCAACATCAGTCAACAACAAGATTCTGGTGATGATTTCTTGGATATCATTGAAGGCAATCTCTTTAGTGAGCAGCAACAGCAGCAGCCCTCAACAACAACTTCTCACCCCACACAAGCCTACCATCAAAATCATATCATCAACTTTCCTACATTTACCATTCCGACCTCTACAAGTACTATCATTCCAACTTCATACTTGAGTATGAATGGAACAACAACAACCACACTCATACGACCACCTCATTTGAATAATACTCCTTCTCCGAATATGACCAATCAAAGTCCGTTCTCAGGATACATTCAAGCCAATACAAACGGATCCATCAAACACACACCCAATGAACAATTTGCATCTGCAGTGAATATCATCAATGAATTACCATCGTCGCCTCATGACTCTAGTGTCAGTGCACTTTCACCACAGGGAAACACAATTCTGACAACACCAAGCCCACAAGGAAGCTGGGATAGATTTACTTTCACGAGCTCACAAGTGCCTGATTTAATCAAACTCGTGGAAGGTTTTAACAAACCAGTGAAAGAAAAACAAATTGGAGGACGAGACAATACCAGACATCCATTGCCAAATCAAGTTGTTGAGCTGGATGTGAGCAAGTTGCCTCCTGGTAGTAATCCATCCGTTATTTCTGTTAGACCTGTGGTTATGGGTGTTGACAGAATAACACGAAAGACCAATAGACTTGCAGTGTTAAATGAAAAACCTTTCGTCAGAGTATCAACTCAACCAATGGAAAGATGGATTGTGGTCTTTGATGACATTATTATTCAATTTGCTAGTCACAACAATGGTCAAAAGTTGTCACTCAAGTTTGAACTATTGGATGCAGAGAAGAAAGTTGTTTGCAGTATTGACTCTTATGGATTTGAGACAATTACCAAGAGAGGTTTAGAGAAGATTAAGGAAAGAAAGAAGGCAAAGGAGTCGAAGGAAACTAATAAGGATACTACTCCAAAGAGAAAAAGAGGTTCTGACACTGAGGAAGACGAAGAGGATGGTAATGAGCCCACAGTGGAACATGTCTCTCCTCCCTATGGCTTCGTTTCTGGTGGAAGCTTGGTGAAAGTGATTGGTACTGGCTTTGTTTCTACACCTGTTTCAAAATGTGTTGTCAAGTTTGGAGAGAGAGATGCAAGAGAAATTCACACTGTAAAGAGAAACTACATTGTGTGTGAGACTCCTGAAAGCGATAAAACAGGCATTGTTGACGTGAGCGTAAAGATGGGAGAAGACTTTATCCAAAGCAGTGCCAAGTTCCAATATATTGACCCTAACAATCCTGCAGATTTGCAAATCATGATTCAACACATGCTTGGTTCTCAAAACAATATCAATTCTAATCAATTTGCAGATGCATCTACATTCTCCAACAAGTGCTACGATCAAAGTCTCTTTTATTCTGGTAAGGTCACTGATGAATGTGGCTTTACAGTATTACATCATGCAACTGCACGTGGGTTGTTTGAACTATGCCAATACTTGGTTGCTAATTCGGTGTGTAACATTGATGCTCAAGATAACTTTGGTAGAACTGCGTTACATTGGGCTGTTTATGCTTCAGAGGTTCTAGTTGCTCTCTATCTTGTTAACAATGGAGCTAGTTTGTGCACAAAGGATGAAGTTGGAGACAACTTGTTGCATATTGCTTGCCGATACGCCTCAGCTGATTTTGTAAAGAGCTTCATGTCAACTCTTCTGAAGTATGATGACAATCAATTTACCAACACCTCCAACATTTCATTGTTGCTTTCCTCGACCAATAATGATGGTGACACACCACTGGACCTTTTGCGAAGCATGGAACAAGATGATGAGGTGATTGAATTAATATCAGTGTTAGAGAGATTAACGGAGGCCTGCTCTGCTAGACTTTCACAAATTAGAGTCATTTGCTCATTGAAGGACATTCTGTTGAGATCAGGTGACTACAATGGCAAATGCATGACACAATTAGAAGGCGCCAACTTGAAGATTTCATTTAGTCTTCAACTAGAGAAAGACAAGATTTTGCTATTGATTGATAGAAGTGACACTAGCATTAGGGCTTTAATACGATACGAACAAGTGGCATTCTTGATTCTTAATAAGCCTCAATCGCAAGCGGAGATCACTCTCAGCTCAAAGCCAACTCTTGAAGTCAAGGACCAATTCGGCAACTGGACATCTCTTGAAAATCATCCATACCTTTCTTGCTCATGCTTCCACTTGCAAGCCACCCATTCATCACTTCTTGATGACGTCAACAAATTTATTTCTGATAATTCCTTACTGTTCTCATTCCAACACATGGTCTTCAGCTATCGATCCCCAACAAATACTCACACCGCACCTGTTGATAAGAAGAGTGAAACTGTTTCCAAGACTTCATCCAATGTTGACAAGTTCGCAGAGATCAACAAGCTTTCCCCAACTGCAAATGTTGCAACAACGAATAATACTTCCAATCAAAATATGATTCAATAAACTTTCTCTCACATTTATTGATAAACATTTTCTCTCTTTACCTTCTTTGCGTACTTGGTTTTGCAAGTTTCCCTGTTGTCATCTTCTGTCTCATCCACCGATTCGCTTGTGTTATCGTTGTCTGAAGACGAGTCACTACAATCCGATTCATATTCCTCCCTTTTTACTTTTTGTGAAGTTTCATTAAGGTCGACGTTAGAGTTTACACATCCCACGAGTCCTTCCAGTTGCTTGACAAGACAATCAAATAAGAGACCACCCTTAGATGTGCTCACTGATGATGACGATGATGACGAACAAGAGTCTGGATTATCATGATTTGTCAGCATGCTAGAGGAGCCTGAATGCTTCTCTCCGTTGGTGTCTTCATCCTTTTTCTTCCTACTACCTTTTCCATTCTTCATTTTGAGCATCTCTCTGTAGTGTTTATCACACATTCGTCCACCTTTCAAATTGGTATATCCGAATACCTTCGTTACCCATTCTTCTCGTTCTTCGTTGACGATGGCTCCTCGTTCTCTGAAAATTTTAAAGTGACAAGGTGCTTGATAGAAGAGCCTTCCTTGCTGTAGACAACACACAACACAACAAATGTCTCCACCCGAATTCTTATAAGGGAAAGGTCTTGACAAGGCAAAACCATCCTTTCCCAAGCATGCAACGTTGGATGTCATGATGATGATGATGATTTTAATAAGATTATGAGAGAGAATATTAAGGAAATATTTTGAGTGATGAATAAAAGAGTCTCGTCAATTTCTTAATGATTTAGGATCACACAGAATTGTCAAGAGTATAATAATAATGTCGCACAGTGTACGGAATCAAAATGGTGAGAGTGTTGTGACTGTCTCAAGCGTTCACGTATGGGCACAACGTTGGGAGTGTCATCATCATCATATTGTTCGTACGTATGGCATAAATCATCACATTCTTGATATAACAATGACTTACCTTAATGATGATGAGCCTTGTAATGATAGGAATGTTTCGTGTCGTAAATGAGAGGAGGGTCGAGTGGCAGTCAGTTGGTTCCGTGATGCTCAGTGGTGGATGCTACTACTACTCCAAGTTCAGCCAGAGTCGAGTGTGTTGTTATTTTTTTTGACTAAATTGAGTGTGCTTGTGAAGAAGCCTTCTTCTTCTTCTTCATGTGCTGCTCAAAGCCTTCGAGTTGATGATTCCGTTTTTTACTTTTTGTTGAGTGCTTTCATTCGTTCTCTGAGTTGTTTGTGATTGGAATTGGGATTCGAACCAGTTGAACCAGTGGTTGAAGCAACACTTTGATTGGATCTCATACTCATCTTTTCATAGTGTTTGACACTCCATTCTCCTCCTTCAAGAGAATAAAAGTCCATAGGATAAATGGATTTCCATTCAACAGCTTGTAAAGCTACTTGTGCTTCATAGGGTGAGAGAAGAGGTTTATCAAAGAAATGACCCCAATCAATGGAAAGACGTGGACATGCTATTTGAATCCAACATTCTACATCATGCAGAAGTGAAAGTTTGCTTGGAAATATTTCACTGAGTAGAATGGTGACATATGGGATGTTTCTTTCGTTGAGTATACGTTCAATAGTTTGCAGAATTTTTGGTGATCCTTGTCGACCAAGTGTTCCAAGAATAATTCCAAACTTTTTAGCATGTTTGGCTTTCTCAATCGCATTTTGACGAATCGAATACAGTTTTGTGTGGTCATATTGTTCTTCTGTTAACTTTTTTCCATATGGATCATACTTGTAGAATTTGAGTTCTGGATTTTGAATCATCACACTCTCGAGGTGAAATCGTCCATCTCCCAAATATACTAAAGTTTCAATTTCATGAAGTTTTGATAATTCTTTTGGGCTTGTACATCCAAGAATTTCTCCAGGAGATAATGGCCTAACTTGAGGAATATAAACTGGAGTTGTAAAATGTTGGTCTAATTCTGCTTTGGCTGTTCTTAGACTTGAAACGAACTGAATGGTTGCTACCATGGCCATTTTGGTTTCTTTTGGAAAGTTATTAATCATGGACTGAACGAAATAATTAATATCAATTTGAATATCTACAAAGACATAAAGAATGTTCTTGATGCAACATTCACTCACAGGTACCAAACAACTATGCGCATAGTGAACCATAAAATCTGCTCCGAGTGCTTGAGCAGTAAAATCATCAATGCAACATGCTCCATAAGTAACATCTCCCATGATAACTGTACTAGTTTCAGGACAAAACCTTTCAATAATATCACTAATTACGCAACTAAATAGTAGCAAACCTTCGGGAAATTGTAAAGCAACCCTCTTTGGTTTAATTTGCTGAATCCTATGAATTGTTTTATGAATTTCAAAATTATAATTGGATGGTAAGGTTTCTTTGATGAGTCTATTCAGTTCTTCATTTTCCATAATGGAAGCAGGAACACTATTTTGTAATTTAATACTTGATGATAAATTAACTCCTGCATAGGGATTACTATCGGATGAACGTGAGCTACTGCTAGTCTCATTTGTGGTTGGAACAAGGCTAGTCTCTTCTGTTGTGATATTGCCTGTTTGTTGTTGGCAACCAGCGCACGAAGATTGTGCCTCTTCGGAACAAGCCGAGTTGTTGTGCATTTTTTTGTGGAACAAATCGATTCGAGCAGTAGAATAATAAACGAGCAGAGGATGCAGTACGTCAAGAGTTGTGTAGTGCCTTTTGGTGATCAGACAATTTACTCAACAACAAAAGTAATCAAGAAATGGGAAGCACAAGCATGCTTGTGAAACAATATCAGTGTAGCATAGGAGAAGGATATTTTACAATTCAGCATTTAATGCAAAGAGGAGCAACTTAATCGCGTCATTAATTTTCTAACAGCAGTTGAAATGCACAAATGTCTTGGTGTAGAGCGTGGCGATCGCTGTCTCCCATATCACGTTACCAAAGACCTGTATCATTACAAAATTAATCAAAGTTTCGACATATGAAATATGCTGCACAGACCAACAGTTAAAAAAGCAAATGTGCTCCTTAATAAATAAATCCATGTATAACGAAGAGTGAATCCCATCGGATATCACAACAACAAAGCGTAACCATAGGGGCATATTCAAAGGTGTGAAGAAATATCTGCATGAATAGGTCCAAGAGAATTTGTCGAACCAGTACCACAATCCAGGCAGTATCTATCCACCTCTTCGGTGATCCACAACGGAATGCTTCAAATTTTACATGTCGTGTTGAGGGAATCACGCTTACCTTATAGTTACAGGTTCTTTAAAAGCCAATAAAAATGTTTGAAGTAGTTTATAAAGGTTTACCAATATGAACTCATTTCATCGAGTTCTTTGTATTTCCTGTCCCAAAGAACTACACAACACCACCATCCTTCACTTTTCACACTTATCATCACAAAAAATTGAAAACACTTGAGCATCTCTCTATGCAACCAACATGGTCCCATCCACAACATTAACCACAACAGGTACTACCTCTCTCACTACTGTCACTCCATCTAGTGTCATTATGACTTCAACGAGCACACCCTCATCCATTACCACTCTTCCAACCACCACGACAACCACCACGACAGCGAGCACTCTTCCACTCTCAACAACCACCACTACTGCTTCATCATTGTTGACAGCAACAAGTACAACAACCAACAACAACAACATAAGCACTGCTACTACTCCTGGTCTTGTGGTGCTACCAGCAAGTTCATCATCCTCAGCTGGTAGTAGTGCCACCAATAGCAACACCTCTGTACATCCATTGTTGACAGCAACAACAACAGCTACAACAACGGCCATTCCAACAACCACTACGACATCCACAACAACAACAACCATTACTCCCCGAACGAATCAACATCACAACAATCGAACCATTGTCATTGGCAAACCCACCACCTCGACCATTACCACCACCAATCATAAAGATCCATCGACAGATTTAGTACTACTACAACAATACCGAACAGATATAATGAGATTATTTGAATCAGAATTATTGTATGATTTGATCATTGTGGTTGGTCCTTTGAAATTAATTGGTTCTCATGAAGACGAAGATCATCATTCATCATCCATCATGATGCAAGTCATGCAACAACAACATCAACATCAACAAAGACAACAACAACAACGATACAAATCATCATCATACACCTCTCATTCCAATGACTCTTCCGAGATTCGACTAAAAAACAAGTACTATCCTGCCGATGAGTGCAGTGTCGTAGAGTTCAAAGTTCATAGAGCCATTCTATGTGCTCGTTGTGATTATTTCAACAAATTATTTCATTCACAAATGAAGGATTCTTCACAAACGTATTTGAAATTTCCAGATAAGAGACCAGAGGATATGAAATGCTTGTTGGACTTTTTCTATTCTGCTGTTATTAATATTAATCATTCGAATGCTTTTGGTGTGTTAAAATTAAGTGATGAATTGGGAGTTCAAATTGTCAAGGAAAAATGTATCGAATATGTTAAAGAATGTGTCATGAGTGACAATGTTTTTGATGTGTTGGAAGAATCTACATTTCACAACTTTGATGGTAAGTGTTATGATTGATCATGAAGGTGGTATTCACATTTACAATTTATGAATCATCACATATTTATCACTTATGACTTGATGGTATTCACATATTTTTATGACTTTCTGGTATTCACATTTACAATTTATGAATCATCTTTGATCCACTCGCTGATGAAATTTTATTGTAACACACAAGAATTGAGAAAATATTGTAAAGAATATCTTGAAGAGAATGCCATCAAACTATTCTTTTCAGAAAGTTTTTTAAACATTTCCAAAGAAACTCTAATTGATTTATTGAAATCAGACAAAATTCACTTGGGCGAGTTGGATATTTTCATGGCTGTTCTTTTATGGGGTAAACATCAATTGATACACAAAATGGGAATTTCAATCATGTCACAAAAATCAGCAAGTACTCCAACGAATGCTCACCAATCCACTTCCATTCAAAATTCATCACAAAATAACTCTTCTGCAGCAGGAACAACCACTAAAACAGTCATTTCTTATTCATTGGATGGAAGTACTCAAATCAAAACAGAGAAATTGATTGAAAATTCGAGTGTGAAAAAATCAGGAGCAGCAACAGGAGCAGGTCAAGGAACCATTGAGAGTTTGACGGATCGAAATTTATCCATTTCAGAACAACAGAAAATTCCAAATGCTTTGTCACAACCCACTCAGGGAACAGAATATGCAGCTGAACTTTCAATTTCTGAACAACATGCGAAACAGCAACTTCATCACGATGAAGAAGATGAAACTGAAAGGGATTGTGTGGATGAAATCGATGACGATGATTTTGAAGAAGAAATTATTAATAGTTTGGCCTACAGTACTTTGAATCCAGCTTCCATGTTGACCAATAATACTCAATCTCGAATACAAGATGCAGGAGAGTTACAAAAAAATAGAGAACGAATTCAAAAGATTGTCAATTACACACACGATAAGCAATTTGTCATGCATTTGGCTAAATTATTGCATGATGTCTTACAACATGTCAGATTTCCAACGTTGGATCCTATAGAAGTTTATGAATGTGTAGAAATTTCTAAAGTAGTGCCCAATGAATTATTATTAGAAGCTTACAGAGCTCATGCGTTACAAAATAGAATTGATTTATTTAACTCTGCAAGACTCAAAGTCAGAGAGGGATCTTTATTCTATGTGAGTGGAGTTTGTACCGATGTACCTATTAGCAAATTGAAAGGATGGTGTTTGTTTTATCACAAACCCTATCATCATCCAACCAGTGAGGCAGATATTCAAGCTGGTAAAGGAACGCGTATTCTCATTGGAGCTCGGCATAAAAACTCTTCAACCTTGGCACTTTGTGCAATGGGAATGAAACAGAAAGTTTTGCGTGAGACGTTCGAACATGAAACGACCAAAGAAAATGGATGTTATTTCTATCATTGGAAAAATCACTCGTTTGGCTTTTCAGATACTCCAAACGTGCAACTCGGAACTGCTGATCTTTCAGAAGGAGCAGCTAAGCTTAGTTGGCATCTCACAGGACGTGGTGGCTATCGATGTGGATTTCTTACCTCTCTGAACGAATCTAAGGAATGGGAAAAGATGTTATTTTATGCATAAAGATCATTTATCTCAACACGAATCGTTTTTTATGTGAATTGTTATCTTGTTGAATTTAATGAGATCCAAACTTGCTTTATTTTCTCTCAATACAGCAGTTGGTCCAGGCTATTCACAAGATCATGAGCGCCTTCAAGATTCAGTTCTGTAGTTGCTTTGAATTATTTGACATTAATTCTAAATTCGAATTGGCAATCCATACAACCAGTATAATTTTTACACCTTTGGAATGTCATGGTATTCACTCAGTTTAGAAATCTTCTCATTGAATTCGTTAATTTTCTCTCGGTATGACTTTTCAGCTTTTTCTTTGATCAATTTCTTTTTCGTTTCCATCATTTTTTGTTCAAAACGAGCTTCTGCGTCAGTTTTTTCAATTTCTACTCGTTTTCCTAATTCTTCTTTCAGTGCTTGTTGTTTTGAGAATGATTGTGTTTTGGTTGGTTTTGAAATTCTTCCCTTTAATTTCAACGCTCCACGAACAACATTATTATATGAATCCGAGCTTGTTGGTTTTATTTGTAATTTTTCTTCCATATCCGAGGATGATGTTGTTTGTTGATGATGACGATTTGAATTGTCCTCTCTCGATCTCTCGTTAGGGCGAGATGAAGAAGAATCTGTCGTTGAACTTTTGACCATTTTTTTGATAAAGTCGTGACGCTCCAATAATACTCATCAATAACATTTTACTTTTTGATAAAAGCAGCGTTGAGAGACCCAGAGTCAACATTTCCACCTGTTAAATCATCTCCTCTCTTTCTGGCTTTTAGTGCTACAGATTGACCAAACATTCCAATACCACTTGGTTTTGAGCCCGTGGCTGTGGATGTGCTACTGCCAGCCGTCGAAGTTCCCAATGCTCCTAATCGAGTGGATGTTGTACCACCTTTTTTGAGCTCTTCTTTTAACTTTTCCTTTTTCAATTTCTCTTCTTCAGCTTTCTTCTTCTTTTCGTCTGCCTTTTGTTGTTGAATGTTCTTTTCAGCTGCTTGTTTGAATTGTTGAACAAAGGCATCAATCATTTGGAAGAACTTGTCAGGTTCTTTTAGCAAGTCGTCTTTGCTTTCATTGTATAACTCTGCGACCTCTTCAAGGTGAGATTTCATGACATCCATATCTTCCTTGATTTTGATGATTGTGTTTTCTACTTTTTCAGCAAATGGTTGCATTTTCTCGACAAAACCATCATTTTCGAGAGAGTCTTCTTGGGCCTTTTGAATTTGTGTGTGAAGAACGTTTTGACCTTTTCTCAATTCTTCTAAATCTTCTTCTAATGTTGAAATGTTAACTCTAGTTGCCGCTTGCACGTGTTCAAGTTCTGCATCAAATTTAGCAACCTCAGGTTCCTTCTCTTGGACGAATTTTACAATGTATTGCAAAAGTGAGCTTTTACCATCACCAGTCTTTGTATCGTTCAATTTTGCTAACGATTTCAGTTTGAAACCGTAACTAATCTTGTTCTTTTGTTTACCGTTCAAAAAGTTACCAATAGCTAAAATAATACTCAACAATCTGATAAATCCTTTTGAATTTTGCATTTCCTTACATGCTAGAGTCAAGTTTTGAATATCAGGTCTAATTTTACCGCTAATGTCAGGGAATTTAAATTTGAACTCCCAAGCATCCAACCTTCCTTTCAAGTTTGGAATACCGTCCATGACCTTGAAAAATTTATCAGGTTCTGCAAGCTCGTCCAATGGACCATCATAGGTATTAACAGTATCAATTTCTTCTTGTTCGGGTGCAATTTGTTTGATCGTTCCAATATTGTCTGCTGTTACAATCTTTTCATCCATAGTAATGATGGCTTTCTTCAATTGTTCATAGCTTGTACCTCTTAACGAACCTAATTGTAATGAAACAGCATAGCTTCGTTTTGGATCGAGCATAGATTTAACTTCTTTTTTCTTGTCTGAAGTTTTTGCATCTTTTCCTGGATCTTCTTTCTTTTTCGTTGAAAAGCATGAAGTTAACTGGTCTAAATCAATTTCCTCAATAATCTTGTTTGTTTTTGAAGCAATCCCTTTCGTCATAAATACAGTATTATTAAGGGTAGTCTTGTTGATTTGGTCAAAGTGTACATTTCTTGTGGCCTCTTTTGGAGCTTTATCTGGAAGTGTTGGAAGAGCAGAAGCACTACCCATTCCACCACGAACGCCTGGAGGCATTGGCACGCCAACCATACCTGGTGGTCTGGGAACGCCACCTGGAGGAGGAGGAACACCACCCATACCTGGAGGAGGAGGAACGCCACCCATTCCAGGAGGAGGGGGAACACCACCCATTCCAGGAGGAGGAGGAACACCACCACCCATACCAGGAGGAGGGGGAATACCACCCATGCCTGGTGGTGGAGGAACGTTACCATCCATGCCTGGTGGTGGAGGAATACCGCCCATGCCAGGAGGAGGTGGTACAAAACCTGTACTGCCTGGTGGAGGAGGAACATTGCCGTCCATGCTGCCAGGAGGAGGAGGTACATTACCATCCATGCCTGGTGGAGGAGGAACATTGCCACCCATGCCAGGAGGAGGAGGTACAAAGCCTGTACTGCCAGGAGGAGGAGGGATATTGCCTCCACTTACATCATTGCTGCCTGGTGGAGGTGGTACAAATCCTGTGCTGCCTGGTGGAGGTGGCACGTTATCAGTCGAAGAAGGTGGAGGAGGAGTGGATGGAGGAACCTTAATTGGATTCTTCTTGATTGCATCGATTTCCTTCTGAATTGAAGCAATGGTCTCTTGTAAAGATTTTTCACTGGCTTCAAGCTTTTGTTGTTCGGTCTTGAGCTTTTGTAACTTTTCTTTACCTGTTTTTTCAACCTTATCCGTTTCATCTGTAATTTCCTTAAGTTGATTTTTGATATTGTCATCCTGGGAATCTTTGTCAGATTCTAACTTTTTCTTCCAAGTTTCTTGCTCTGAAACTAGTTTAGATTTAGACTCTTCTGCTTCTTGCATTTCTTTTAGTAATGCTTCAATTTCTTGTTTAATCTCTTCAATCTTTCTCTGATTCAACTCGTATTCTTGTTGGATAATCTTCTTTTCATTCTCAAGGCGATCATAAAGATCTTTCATTTGCTTTTCTTTTTGAATTGCTTCATATTCTTTTACTTGCAGTCTTTCGTTTTGTTCTTGCTTAAATTTGTATTGTGTGTCTTCGAGATCAATAATTTGACTTTGATTCAATCTAACTTGTTCTTCTAATTTGATTTCAAGATTTGTCCAATATTCAACATCTCCTGTTTCTCTTGATTGTTTCAAACTTCTCTTGACCAATGTCAACATATTTTTCCATGCTTCCATTACAGTTTCTCTGTCCAAAGCTCCTTCCTTCATTTTCAAAACAATGTTCAGCAATCTCTGTATTAAAGAGTACAATGTCAGCTGTCAAATTCTGAACAATATCACATACCTGTAGTACGTTAAGCATGCTTGTCATGGATGCTTCGTTTAACATCATGTTTAGTAATTTTACAATTTCAGTAGGATCACTAAGATCTTTAAGAACAGCATGTTCGTCTCCAAGATCGCTCATCTTGTCTTCGAATTTCTCAATTTGTTTTCCGAGCTCAATCAATGTTTCTTCATTTTCGTTTCCTCCATACAGAGAGTTGGCTAATTCATTCTTGAGTTCATCAACCAATTCAACCATACCAAGATTTCTCATTTCTTTCTTGATGAGAGATTTGCTTCCTTCATCAGGAGCATTGGTTAATAACGCGTTCATCAAAATCATTACAGAAAGCTTGTATTCTAAATCTCTTGTTTCCTGCACTCTTTGAACAATATCGAAAAATCTCTTTTTTTCTCTTTTTACCAACTTGTAGTGGTTAAAAGCACTCATTACTAGCGAAAATCCCTGTAATGACCATCCACACAGAATTGCCAAAATTCTCAAACACTGACTTGCAGTGTTCACATTATAAGTGTCAAGAATGAGAGCCAAGTTTTTGACTGCCTCTGTTTCCGACAAGAATTCATCAGCACCAATTGTAGTATTAACCAAAGCCCTCAAAGAACTCACACAAAGTGCTTGTTTTTGTAATTCTTCTTGATCACGCTTCTTTCCAAGTACGTTTGTAAGAGCCAAACATTCACCAATTGCTCGGATACCCTTATGAATACTGAAATGGTGAACCCAATTGGTAGGAGCAGTACGAATTAGGACGTGAATGGTTTCTAAGGTTTGTAAATCATAGCCTCGTTGCTCCCAACCCGAGACTAATTCTTCAACGCTTTGTTCATTATTTTCTTGTTCGTCATTCTCATGTTTTGATTGTTCATATCTTTGGCATTCATTCCATTTGGCAAGTGTACTTTTAGTTGTTGATTCATATTCTCTTACTTCATCGGAAACACCAATCTCAACCAACATTTGCATATATTTCTCATCAACGAGATCGGGTGTAATATTTGGTGGAAGTGTACCTGAACCACCATAACTCACTACACTGCTCTCATCAGACCAAATATTATTCGATATATTTGTGTTTGAATTGATACTGGTTGAATCATCATGGAGCGATGATGAGGTTGATGCTTGTTTCCGTTCTTTCTGTAGTTTTTTTTTGTTGCGTCTCTCTTGTTTTAACTTTTTCTTGACTTGTTCTTTGGCTGATTTTGCTGTCGAGTTGATTTGATTTTCAACGGATCCCACAGAGGTGTTGTTACTGATGACACCTTTCAATTTATTTAACATGATGAGTGTACCAGAGAATGATTTAGAAAAAGGTGTAGAGTGATGAAAGAAATACTGGACACTTCTTTGATGGTTGGTTAGATACGATGTGTGGTGTGGTGCAATGGATGTCAATGCTATCCACAAGCTTTTTTTTTGTTGTTGTTGACAAGAGAAAGTTGGTTGATGGTTGATGGGAAGGGAACAAATGAACTGCACCAATGGCGCCCAAAAGCTACAAAAAATGAATCGTACAGAACCAGTAAATGAAGATGAGTTACATCTGGTCATTGATGATGAGATACTTCCCCAACAACAAACAACAACGGCTGCAGTGGATACTTTTGATTGGGAAGAAGAATTAAAGAAACATCGGGATAACAATGCACACCTATCTAAAGAATTTGAGCAATTAGGAGAGGAGGTAAGACCATCAAACGATGAGATCGTCGTCATGGACGAAGAGTTATCGGACGAAGATCGGCTTGCTTATGAAAGAGCAAAAGCACAATGGGATTCAGTTCAATTGCTCCGAGAACATCAGCATTACGGTGAGGAAAGCTCTAAGGTTACCGAGATTGATAATCGTGAGGTGAATATTTCGTTTGATGAGGCTATGAAGTATTTTAAATCATTAAACTTAGGACAAGAAAATGATTTGGCAAAGGAACAATTGAACACAAGTAGTGATGGAAAATCTCTTTTTCAAAAGTTATTCTCATGTTTCTCAACAGAATCAGACGAAGTGCAAACGGAAAAGATATTTCTTGTTGCTCTGACCAATATTCCATTAAGTCACGAAATTGAAGAACATGATAGAATACTCTTTACCTTGTACAAAAAGATTACAGGAGACAAACAAAATTGTCCATCTGTTGGACCTCATTGGGAGGCTATTGGATTCCAAGGAAATGATCCAAAAACAGATTTACGAGGCGTAGGAATGTTAGGTCTGATTCAACTTTTATTTTTTGTATATAGCGACGAAAGAACGTTACGTGATATATATGCTCTGTCACACACACAAAATTTTCCAATGGCCGTGGTGTCTCTAAACATTACACAGATTGTCCTTAGACTGTTGCTTGACGGAAAACTTGCTCGTTCAATTTCCAAGTATGGCTCGGTTTTTGATGCATTGAACATTGCTTATTCGAGCTTATTTTATCAATTCTATTTGACATGGAAACGAGGTCAAAAGAATATTACAGATTTTGACGCTGTCAAAAAAAACCTCACCGCTGACGCCAATAAGATGCTTCCAACGCTTATCCAGGATTATTCAAATATGGTTGTTAAAAGAGAAACAATACCAACCGAAAAGAAAGAAGTGATTGAATTTAAATAAAACTTGTTTTTTAAATTGAGCCTGCAAGATTTTTCTCCGCCTTCTGATTGGATTTGGCATTTCTTGATACTTTGATGGAATTTAACAGATCTCTGACAAATTGGGGGTTTCCCCAATCTTCGTCTTGTTCTAGCTCGTCCAAAGGATAAGAAAGAGCACCTGTGAGTAATGATAAATCTAGCCCTCTGTCGTCATACTTCATGTTAAGAAAATGATGTAGAGTGGCCTTTGTTGTTTGATCGAGTTCTTGGAGAGTCTGAACCTTTTGTGACGCATATTCTTCTGGTGCTTCAGCAATAGTTTGATCCAGTGCAGGAATTCTTTGATCAAGGCTTGGAATTGACTCTATTGCATTTACTTCTTCGTCACCATCCAGTGGCCTAGGTACATTTTGAAAAATGTATGAATTATCCGTCTGTTGAGGTTTTCTTAATTGTTGTTGGACATTAGAAAAAGAACAACTCAAAAACATACTCATTGTTATTATTATTGTTTTTACCACCGAAAATTCCTAACAATCTTCTTCCTCCCTTTTGCTCCTTATTGGTTGCTGTACTAACGGGTGCTTCCTCTTCGTCTTGCCATCCTTTTTTTGTTGCTCCCGATACACTGGTTGTATTATGAAATGTTGTATTTTCTTGATTTTCCAAAGATTCCTCTTGATTTTGCTTTTGCTCTTGCAAATATCTTCGTCTCCGATTTAAAACACTTCCTATATTTCGTTCCTTTACTTTTTGTGCTCCTTCATTGGGATTGACCGTGTTTTCATCCGATGCAACATTGAGAGACATTTTTTAAGAGTGTTGTTGGCGCTTTCAACTACAAAATAAAAATAACCTTCAAAAAAGCATCTTTTACCTCTTCTTATTGTGTGTGGTCATTGGTTTCTTACCAGGTGTGGTAGTGACTACTTTACTTGTAGAGGATTTCTTTTTGCTTGGAGTTTGTTTCGTTTTTGAGAGTTGGGGTTCTTCAACTGGTTGTTTTTTTCTGCACTTCCTTAGAGTTTTAATAATTTCATAAATATTCTCACGATCAATGTTTCTCTGAATATCCATACTGTGAAATCGTTTGGAATTGACTTTTTTCTTTTCTTCGTTTGTTGGTTGTGCCTTTTCATGTGTCGTTCTTTCTCCTCCATTAAAATCATCAAAAATTTTCTGATAACACAACGGTGACATACTGATTCAAACCACATGAGCTGTGAACTTACATATTTACAGGATTTCTCTGTGAATAGGTCCATAGAATCTTCTGATTCATCCTCTTCTTCATCTTCTGATTCTTCTTTTTTGGTTTTCTTTTCCAGCAACTCAAATTCAATTTCATTGTCATCCTCTGGATTCACAGAGGAAGTGGTCGAACTTTGAACACCTACAAAAGGTGTTAAAACATCAGCATGGTTTTGGAGTAATGAAATGAGAGATTTGTCTGTTAGACCATCAATTTCTTGGTTCTCAAAGATTGTATGACTCTTGGAACAACAACCTTTTGGTACAATGATTCCACTGTTGAACTTTAACGACTTGGCTCCGCAACATGGATGTTCTCCTACAATAGAACCTCTTTCAAACACTGCTTCTTTTTTGTGATAAGTGCAATGATGGTACTCAGCAGCAACAAAATGTTGTTTGCAAGAGAGACAAAAGTACGAGTGAGTCAAGCTCCAAAATCTCCAATAAATATCTCGCCAACTCATTCCACTTTTTTTAAGTTTGTAGAAATATTTGTCGACATTCCATGTCTTATCTAATGCATGCCTTGAAATTGCACGTCCATGAAAATCAATTTGAATTTTTGCTTTTTCACTATTACAAATCATCCACTCGAGTTGAGATTTCGTAAACATGGTTTGGCAATGTTGACACTTGTAAAGAGTATTTTCTTCTTCCTCTAAAAGCATCTCAAGCTTTTTCATAAACAGTTTGCTCAAAATCTTATCCTTTTTATCTTTCACTTCGTCAAGGTCATAATCTGTGAATCGAATTGCAAGCTTTTCTAATAAATCGGTATGAATGCAATCAAGATCAATTGGAAGTTTTAAAATACTCTCAATATTCTCTCTAACGAAATCCAAAGTGGTTTCTACCAGCGAATCCATCTCAAGAAAATGAGATGAAATTAAAATAGAAATTGCCCAATTAACTTCTAGTTTTGGAGGCGTTAGTGTTTCCTTCTTGATATAATCCATTAACCATTGAAAAATGTTGACATCACAATGAACTGAAATATCAATTTCTTCGTTCTTTGCTTTAGGTTGCATTAAATAATATTTGAAATATTTCATCTCACTCATAAGCAGTTCTCGATTGCACGTAAAATCCTTGTTAATTTTGTTTGTGTCATCGTGGACATGAATGATAATCTCTTCAAAGTTTTTCCTCCGAGGTGATCGGTATGACTCAGATGATGAAGGAGGCTGTGGCTGCGTTGGGAGAGAATTTTGAGAGAGGGCATTTTGTTGTGGTTGTTCTGCGAAGGGCGTTGTGTCGGGAAGTGATGTTATCGATTTGGTTAAGTTGAAGTTTTCTGTGGAAGACATTAGCTGCGCATTGGTTTGATCAAACACTAAATTTCCTTCCGATGACTCTTGATTAGATGAATAATACTGTTGTCGATAGTCGAGAACTTTTCCTTTTACAGCATTTCCCTTCTTTTTCACTTCCGTCATTGCTTTGAATCCAGTGGTTTGTATTGGAAATCGTTGTGCACTCACATATAAGCTGTAATCATTTTCCTGGTATCCATTTGTTTTCGCAATGGAAGATATATCTTGTCGAAACATGTTATACATTTTTTTGACCAAATTTTTGTTGTAAGAAAAGAGCGCCAACCACCTCCGCCAGTTCAAAACAAGATCTTTCCACACAATACGTTATGACTTGAGTTGGGATCAACTCGTGATCCATGGATACCTCTCAAATTCATCTTGGAGGAATTAAAAATCTTTAAATAAAAAATTATTGAACAAAAAACCATATGACTCCTCGACTTCAAATACAGCCTGATTGGCAAGCAACAGTCTCCGATAAGCAGATCGGAAGCAAATTATGGCTCAATATTTTATATCCTGCTTCATCAGGCAAGGAAAACACCTTTGGATTTTTGAAATATGATGCTACAAAACAGTTGGTGAAGGATTGCTTACCAGAATCTTTGGAGATTGTTAATGTCGGAATTAAATCACTTTCTCTAAAATTTGAAGGACAGTCTTTCAAATTTGTTGCACCAAGTACTGTTTACTCATCACTATCTAATAACAAAGCAGTATGTTTTTTATGAAGATTTCATTTGCAAATTTAGTCATTTACTTTTTTGCGACCAGATTTATTCATTCGACATTTCACCTCTTGGGCAATTAGGAGTGATCGGATGTGCTGATGGAAGAGCAAGAATTTGGGATATTGGAACTGGATCAGTAAGAGTAAGTTACAATTTAACATTCACATTTTGCATTCGAGCAGTAAATTAAGAGAGAACTGACAGGTCACCTGTCTGATGTGACTTGTTCTCGTTTTCTTCCAAGTGGAAAAGTTGTAATGACTGGAGGGTCTGATTTCATGCTTAAAATTTGGGATTTATCCAATGGAGAATGTGCTGCAACACTCAAAGGACATAAGGGAGCTATTACCAGTATTGATTTCATTAACAGTACGTTTTTTGATAATTTTTCATTGATTGATCATCATTTCATGAAATGGTTGTAGGAGGAAGAAATTTCATATGTAAGTAAGCTCTGAATGCTGTCACAATCCTTAAGAGTTTTGTGATTTTCAAATATTGCACTCATACAGCTTCATCAAGAGATAGCTCATGTAAATTATGGGATTGTGCATCACAATCAGAAATCACCACTCTGTACAAAGGATCATCATCCATAACAGGGTGTGCAGTTGCTTCCAATACATCATTATCACCATCAAATTCGCCAGCTCTGGATGAAAAGGATTTTGACACGGATGGTAAGATTGGTGCTTTGGTATCGTCATCCGGATTATTAAGAATTTTTGATATTAGAACAAGACAGCCAATTTTTTCTCAAACCATGCCTTATGGATTGAATTGTTGTACGTTTGTTGAGGATGGAAATGTTGTGATAGCTGGTTCAGATGATGGACATATTTTGGATTTAGATTTACGCAAAACAAATCAGCAGCCACAAGCCAAACATCCTGTGAGATCACCTATATTATCACTTTCAAATTGTGGAAAATGGTTTTCAACAGTTGACGGTGGATGTTTTTTGAATTCAATAGAAGGAAATAGTATTGAGTTGACTGGTCCTGACAATGACGCTGTACTAAAGGTAATCAGTTCCTCTGAAGGAAAAAAGATTTTCACGGTTAGTAAGGACAAAACAGTCCGACAATACTCTGTGCTTAATTAACTTCAATGATTGACATAGCTAGCCCCTATGACTCATTAACTGTTTTGCTCACAAGTAAGATTGCATCTCTACTGAACCGTGTCAAAAATCTTAACCCATAAATACAGAAAGGAAATGAAACAATACCAAATAAACCAATTAAAACATTTCCAGCAACAGAATAAGAAAACCACAAAGTCCAAGCAATATATGAATATGGTGCCTCATGTGTTTCTGACATTACTACCTTGCAGAAACTTGACTTACTGGCATCAGATGCACTGCAAATAATGTGAAATAACGGGAAAGCGACAGCACATATAGGAATTCCAATTAAAATTAATGAAGTCAAAAAAGTAAAAAGTGAAATTGGTACTTTCTTTGTAAGAATAATATCATACCATTCATGTTCACATCGAAAAACAAACTTGGCTACATACCATGGTAAAGTACAGCAATCCAAAGCCAACTTCTTTACAGAATGTAAAGTCATAACAATTATTGTAAAATCGTTTTGCTCTATCCCACACGCTTAGTGGTTCTTCGTTATTTTCTTCTACTATTGTTTCTGATTCTTCATATGGTTGGATTAGAGTAGTAGTTTCTTGTGGCTGAGTTGGTTGATGAGCGGCTGATGCTGGAAGAATATTGGTGTGAATTATTCTTTGTGATTGTCTAGCACCACCATGTACATCTAATGATCTTCCGAGCATTGCACCGTAGTGTTGATAGTAATAAGAATTGTGGGAAGTGGGAGAGTGAATAGAATCAACGGAATCATCAGAATAATCTGAGTCGTAATGATGAAAAGCTTCATCCATATTAGAACTTTGAACTGCTTGCTTCAATGGCGAGGTTGGTGACATGAACTCTACGCTTCTTGAAGGTGGCGTAGTGAAAAAATCTCTGTATGGGTCATTAATATTCCTTGGCTCTTGTGTTGCTAATGAAATGTTATATGAACTATTGGTATTATGTGACACAGAAATTTCAGTGGATGTTTTTGGATCTCTTCTGTTGGCGATTGGCGATGCTATTGATGTGATAAATCCATCCTTGGCGTTGGAAGTAAGTGGGTCCTCTTCAGGAATAGAATGGGATCTAGACGATATCGCCTTAATTCCAACTACAACTTGTTCTTTAAAATTGGCCAATGAGAATCTTGGTAGAATTTTGTGACTCATACACAACAAATAACCAGCCAAGTATACTTCAATTACAACAAAAAATCTTATGAACAGAGCCACAAATGCAAAAAGAAACATTCCAACAATAAGAGGAGAAAATATTGTAGCGATCAAGAATCCAATATAAATAATAGAAAAATACAATAAGCTTAACGGAAGTGATAATAATGTATAAACAAAGGCAAAATATGGTCTTCGCGTAAAACCCGATTTGAAAACATGTTTCAAATATTTTACGACTTTCGTTGGTTTCAGGCAGACCCATCTTCTCCAAAATCTGTTGCTTCTTTTTCTTTCAGGAAAATAAGAAATATAGTTCTGATCCATGATGATGGAAGAATTTTCAAATCGGTTACTGAATGACCTCTTTCTTGTCGGTGATGCATTCATTGTAATTATATTAATTACTGAAACCTAAAATGTTGTTCTGGAATTATGAAATTATTTTCGAAACCTGAAAATATTGGAGGTCAATGTTCCGAATGATGATGATTTAAAAGCTAAAAGTGTTTGTTTCCAATTCAATATTTTTTTAATGCGACCTGTCTCATCATAAATGAACCACAACAACACAAAAAAATTTTATCCAGCAGATTGTGGAAGCACACCAATCCAAGGTTCTTTGAAGGCTTTACCCGTAGTGATCGCATAGCATTATTATACTGATGATTAACTCTCTATTTATGATTTGTACAAATAAATAGAGAAAATTCAGAACGAGAGCAAACGAGCGGATCATCACCAAACTTTAAACCATAATAATTTTTTATCATCACATCGGAAATGACGAAATGTTGAATCAACAACAAGGAAAGAGAACCATCACTAATTCATCTCGAACTAGTCTCACGAAATCATCAATAACTTCTTCATCAAATGCAACAACTGTAGTGAGTACTTCTTCTACAACTGCTGCTATCAGTGGAACCACAAATTATAATTCACGAACAGCAACAACAAGTCATCATCACAATGGTGCAGCACAACCAACCTCAGGAAACCATTCAGTCTCAAACCATACTGCTCCGACAACCACTGCTATGACGATGAATTTTGGTAGGCCAGTGCCAGCCACATTTCAACAAAAAACAACAAATATCACCAATAATATTCCAACAGTAACAACAACAACGAAACCAAATTTCTTTGTTCCTCCAAAGGTTTGTTTTTAAATTATTAAGATTTAACCGAAACAATATTCTAAAGTTTTTACAGCATCAACAACCACAACAACAAACGAATGGCGTTCCAAATAGTGGAGTTGTGAGACCACCAACCATGAACTATTCTAAACCTTCATCAGTAGTCAACGGTACTCCTTTGTCATCATCCATGGCAACTGTTCAAACTCCCCGTCGTATGAACAACATTCCACATTCTTCGTATTCCTCTAGCACACCTCAAAAAAGTTCATACAGAAAAAACCCTCTTAATCTTGTCACAGCCTTAAGTCCAACACATCCATCACAAAATACCACCAATAGTCTAAATCCTACTCCAACCAAAACATCTCCTCAGTTAAACTTCACAACCGCATCCTCTCACACAAGCTTCCAAAACTCCACTCTTTTGAGTCTTAAAAATCCAGTATCTAATCCTCCTGTAAGAACTCCTAGCCAAATCAATCAAAGCAATCAACCCAGCAACAAATTTATTAAACCTGTTAAAACATCCACCAACAATCAGGAACATGCTGATAAACAATTATCCCATGAGTTAAAAGCAAAAATAGAAGAGCTTGAAAGATACAGATCCGAAGTGGAAAAATTAAAATCAAAAGTTGCAAAATTTGAGACTGAAAAAGAGGAATTAGAGCGTTCAAACAAAGAATTACAGGATCAATTAACAGTTATGGCTCAAAAAACCGAAAAACCTCAAGAAAGTCATAATAGTGATACAATGGATGATGATGTTGAATTTGACGAAGATTTCATGACTGAAGTTTTAAAAGAAATGGGTGAGCAAGAGTCACAAAAGGATACTAACAAAAAAGAACCTGAAGATGCAGCTGTCACCACGACTGTGACTTGCGATGTTGAGAAAACTCTTGAAATTACTGCTGTTACTGAGAAAGCCAAGCCTCCACCAGCGACTAAGAAAACCTCTAAGAGGATAAAATGGAAAAATAAGAACATTTCAGAATTGCAAAAAGATCCTTCTCTTCACAAAGCACTCTATAAGCTGTTAACGTATAGAGAAATTTCCGATCAAACTGAAATTTTTGAACAATTCGACAAACAGATCACAGAGGACAGTGATAACATGGTCACAGATGAAGAAGACAACTCTCTTTCAAGAAGACTTTGGAAAGCTCATAGAATAATTTCAAATGATCAATCCAAAATGCATCTATTACTTCCCCTCTTAAGTGCATATCTACAACAATCTGTAGACGAGGATTTATTTTACTGCACTCTAGACACTATCCACAAGTTGTTACTTGAAAGTGAAATATTTCGAAATTCTTTCATTGCTTCCTTTACCAATAATCAACAATCGTCAGACAATCCACTAAATGCAAAGATCACTGAGCTTGGTTATTGTCCACACGCTTTATTTAAAAATCCAAATATTTTTATGATAGAAGCGAATAAGAAGAATCTCACAAAAAAAATTAGAGACAAAAAGCATTTGGTGTCTGAGTTGTATTATTATTTAGATACAGTTCCCTATCCTCCTGATTACATTTTTGACTCTGAGATGGATAAGCACGTTTTCTTTAAAATTGATAATGTTCCAGACATTTCAAAAATGTCTGTATGCAAAACAAATCTACTTTCAGAGCTCATTGAATATTTATCCACCCATCTAGATTGCAACATGGTGTTACAAGATCACTCGTGCCTTGTATTATTAGACATTCTCAAAGTTCTCGCATTGTGGTGCTCTGAAGATGCTCTAGAAAATTTTTTGCAGTTATTACAAATTTTTGAAAAAGGAGCTGAACATATATTTAACATTAACATTTTGGAGAAAGAAATTGAGATATTGATTATCTTACTCAAGTCAGAAACTATTCGCAAAAAATTATCGGAAACTAAGCTACTATTTATTATTTCTGGTTTTCTGAATGTAGATTATCCCAACACAAGTCCAGATAATATTCTTAAACTACGACTATTGATAATGCGCCTATTTTCGTTTATTGCATATTTGTGTCCTGAAGGAATATCCTTGTTAAAACAACCAAAATTTACACAAGAAACAGTAATCTTTGATAGAATGATTTTATTATTGGCCAAAGAACTGGAATATTTGTCTTCTTTAGCAGAGTTTAAGAGCGAAGAAGAAACAAGGATTCAATTAGTCAGAGAGATTATTTTAGTTTTCAATCAAATTTGTGTCTTAAATGGACGTCTGTGCACGTCTCAATCACTTGTTCTAGATTATTTGTTTTCTAAAGAAACGCTGAAACTCTTTAAAGAAAAGCGAACAATGGGTGACAAAACCTTTGAATTTGAAGAATTATATTAAATGTTTTGGGTCAAAACATTTGCGCATGCCAAGAAGTAAATCAATGCCTTGCACAAAATGTTGATACTCTGATGAACTAGAGGCTACAAGAAATAATTTTCCGTTTACGGTAGCAGATTTTTCCTTGCTTTGAACCTTAAGAGCAAATGAAAAGTTACTGAGCTGCAACTGACTGATTTTAGATGTCTCTATGATTGCTGTATGACCTGTTTCAATGGCTTCAATCGCTCCTTTATGCTTTAATTTAGTGTTCGTCTTTCCCCATTCAATAATCACTTCGCCAGAGAAAGCATCCATACGTATTTTGACAATCCTTGGTTGAGTGGACGTTTTCTTGCCTCTAAATGCTATTTTTTTTGGGACGTGCATGTACACTCTCATACCCTTGTGGATTTGATCAACATGCTCTCTTTGGTAGTCAGTCAAAGAGTAAGGGTCTTTAGGATGGGAAATTGCGTGCAATAGAATACCAGATTGATCTATCACTGGGTCACTCGTCATGATATTGGTAGATGATGTGATTGGAATATGTTGAAAAATCTTTTGAGGAAAATCACATGGACTACTGCTCTCCACCTTGTCAATCAAGGCATTTTCTGCAGATTCTGCGTTTTCCGCAAAATAATTATCTGAAGAAATACATGATCTATATATGAAAGATCTTCCTTGCAACAGCACCAATACATCACTTCTATCTCTATCAGACACCAGAAATGTGTACGGATTGTCGTCTCTATAATTGATGGTGAGTTTTGTGGGGACCTCTGGATCAACGAAAATGTCATTCTCAACAATGTCCATGTAAGAATGAATTGAAAATGGATCTCGTGTCTCTGAATCAATGTGGCGAATATGATTGGAGTATAATCCTAAAATATGAGGAAAATATCTCCCTCGTTTATCAATTCCAAAAACTTGAAATTCATGAAGTCCAACTGTCAAATCTGGTGTAAAAGCATTTTGTTGTAGTTGATTTTTTCCTGTATTGATGATTTCTAACAATTCTGTTTCTCTAAATTCTCTAAGGTAGAACAATAAACAATTAATTATTTCGTTTCTGTCTTTGCTTAGAAATATCATCTAAATTGCTTGTTTTTGCCTCTTAATAATAATTGGGATATTTTACTTACGGCATCTCGTTTCTTAAACTGAACGCGGAATAACTTCAAATGCGTGTCTTCAACTTCGCTATTGTCATATGATATTTTTGCAACATTTGAGAACAAACCCTGAAGCATTGTCTTTTTTGCAAAAGGATCTATAACAATAATCTCTTTGGACGATACTTTAATACATAACACTAGCTCATAATTAGTAGTTGGTTGATCTAAAACCATGTACTTACCTCTCATAAAGATCTCTCCCTTGTCTGAATAAAAATAAACAGGCCAGCTTGGATGTGAAATTGAATTTTGATCAGGGAGGACACCATCCTCAAATCTATACTCATGATGTTGAACGCTGCTATCATGTATGAGAATGCTCGTTTCTGAGTTGGTGCTCGAGAAACTTGGAGTTCTCAATGGAGAATAGTTATCTTTTCGTTCCGGTACTTGCAGAGAATGTTTTGTATTGGGAAAAAGGCTGGAATCGTCCTTAATGGAACATCCTCCCGAGATTAATTTTGGTACAATTTGATGGTGAGTGGTATGGATACTGGAAGATGATAAAAATGAAGGGTCAACGACAAGTCTAGGAGATGCATTAATAATAGCTGAAGAGGGAGCAACTTCTCTCTTAAAAGATTGTCCATTCATTAACGCTTGATGAGCGAGTTGATCTCGCTTTGAGGAGTGGTCAGAACGAGAAGAGATGGGTCCGTTCATTTTTTATGTTGTCTTTGTGCACAACAGTCGTAGAAGAATTATTTGGTTTTACTAATAAGTTATTCTTGCATACTTTCAGTAATGGGTTGGTCAGCATATAAGTCTACCTCTCTTGATCCATATTTATCTACAATCTTGACAATGAATGAAGGTGTGTTCAACAACAGTCTCTTTTGAATCTCTTGCACACACTTTCTTAAAACGTCTAAACATTCATTGACATTCATATCATCCTTATAATACTTGTCAAGAACGGATAAAACAAAGTAAGATCCATAACCATGAGCTCCGTATTTAACTTCTTGAAGACTCGAAAGATAATCAATGAAATACAATTCCGGCTTTGCCCCTATTTGAAAAGTCCAAATAAAAAAATTCAGGAATCCAATATTGTTTCAACAATAATTGATGATTAAATGCATTAATAATATGAATGTTTAACATGAATAATGTAGAATCCTACCTTCATTATCATCGACACCACCAATAAGAATGTTTGTTTGGTAAGGTCCAGAACGTAAAGCTTTAGCCAATTCTTGTCTTAAAAAGTGAGCACTCGCCTTTACGGAGAGATTTGTATCATTTCTAAGACGATACAAATTCAAATTCTTTGTAATAAACTCTACAAATTGTACACGATCACCTTGCTCGCCTTGAGCGGCAATCAAAATATTCTGGTTTGGAACTGCTGTGATTTTGTCTTCAGTGTCTTTCATTAAAATTATAGAAAATGCGGCTGTTGTATCAGCAGCAAGCATGGTGAAATCTTTTCCCTTCAAGCCGATTAGTGTGTCTCCCATTGTGATGATTGTTGTTGAGATTGAAAAGGGCAAGGAATTGGATGATGTACAATTTTTTTTAAAGAATTTGAGTTCTATTCTTATCGCTTACATTCCACTCGAAAATTTCCAAAGCAAACACAACAACGACGATCATCACAGTTGGATCACTTTGTTCAGCCCGAGCAAGAGCAACACTCTCGGTTTTGTTTATTTGCTGGCAAGTGCCGTTGTTGGTCATACGCATTTGGGATTTGATGACGAAGGTGTGTTGAAACGATTTTGTTGAACGATAAAAAATGACCAAGAAAAGCTCTTCCGCCTCCACAAACACAGCTTCATCAAGCACTGTTGCTTCGGCAAAGGGTTCATCCTTTGTTTTGTTGAACGATTCTGCTTTGGACACTTTAGGATTAAACAAAGTCAACAAGACGTATGTACATACTCTCAAATTTTAAAACTTGAAACATTACAATATATTTCAAAATAATGATATTCGGATTGAAAGTGAACAATTTACTACCGTGTTCAAGATGGTCGATGAAACATCAGACAAGAACGATAGAGATACTCTATTTGTTTACTTGTTCACACTTGTGTCTGAAGAAAAGAATGAAGCAAAACAAACTCAAAATTATGAGTCCGTGATTTCCAAGATTCAATCACTCAAAGATTTTACTCTTCAGGACGTATTCAAACAACTAGTCTCTGCCTTCAACATTATTACTAATGGAAATTTAAAGGCTAAATTATTTATTCACATCATTCAACAAATGCAACAACATGAAGATTTGTCTACAAGTCTTAACATTTTGCCAATAGCAGAAAATATTGATTCTGCTTTGAATGAATGGGGTATTTCTGCCAAAAAAGACAAACAAACCATTTATCTTGAACTGGCCAACCTCTGTATCAAACTTTCCAAAATGTAAGTAGCTCATTGATCTCAAAGCCTGTTTAATATCACGTTTTTAGTAATGAGGCTTTTGATCTTCTTATTAAAAATTTGAAGTCAAACAACGAGGCTAATGAAAAGCAACAATTAATTAATCTCTACATTAAGTATCCATTAGAAAAATCTGCAGAAGAATTGAAAGAGTTTGAACCAGAACTCTTTGATGGCGTTCTGACCTATCTCGAGAGCGAAAGTGAGCAAGTGCCAGAAGTTTTGAATCAAAAACTATCACAATACGAAAAGAACGAATCTGTTATTGCTTCTTTCTTATCTGAGCTAAAGATTTTGAGATTCCTTGTTGCTTGCTCAACCAAGCTTCTTACAACCAAGAAAGATATTGAATTGAAATATTCTGATATTGAGAAATTAGCACCAAATGCAGAGGTTGAGCCTTTCATTTGTGAATTGATGGGAAGAAATTTAATTGAATGCAAGATGAATCAACTTGACCAAAGCGTTTATGTTCAATCAGTGAAATGCCGAGGAGCTGTCCATAAGTGTGATTGGAAGAATTTAGAGAGTCTTGTCAATGTTTGGACATCTAAATTGTCATCTGTGTTAACCTCATTGAACTCTCCTGTCAACCCTCATCAATTTAAGAGTGAAGCCACGAGACAGCAATAAATTAAAATCAATTATTTCATAAATTCATTCATAAACTCCTTATGATAGTCATTTCTAGTAGTGTCATTGATAAACCTCTTTTTCTTCTGTTGTTTTTCTTCTCTTGCTTGATTTTTAAACACTGTACTATCGGTCCACTTTCTTTTCACAGTAAAGGATTCCTCATCCTGTTGTTGAACATTAATTGGTTGTAACAATGGATTGCTAGTTAAAGCTCTTTGTTGAAGTTCTTTCTTTTCTTTCTCTGCACTTTCTTTTTTAATTCTTGCTAACTCTTTCATCAGCTCTTCATCATCAGAGTTGTCAGAATCGTCACTGTCATCAGATGACGACGAATCCAAGTCTTCGTCTTCGTCATCATATTTTGATTTTCGTTTTTTCGGATTTGAATCTTTTTCCTCATCGGAGTTTGAATCCTCCTTTTCTTTCTTTTCATCCTGTATTGATAGAAGTTTATCTTCAGGTTCTTCTTGATCTTGTTTTAGTGATTGTAGTGTATTCTTTTTCTTCAATTCCTTCTCCCTATCCTCTAATTCCTTTTTCAAATCTTTTTGCTTGACTTCTTCAATACTGTTTTGTCCAATTTGCCTAGTTTTCAGAACAGTATGTGCAGGTAGTAAATACATCGATTGTGTGTGAGAAGGAACATATCGTTTAAATCCTCCTTGCGTTTCGGTTGCTTTTGCAGGGTTGAACGTGGGTCGGTTTGCTGATGACATTTTTTCTGATCTTTATTTTGTTTATTAAAATTAAAATTCTTCTCGACAAACCTGCTTTTTCAACTTTGCAACCTTAATTTAAAACGAAAAACTGGTATGTAAATTATTTAGTATGTTTTTTTCTCAGTGAAGAGATATCAATCAACCACACAATTATCTACGTTGTGTGTGGTAGTGAGTTCCTCCTCCGATGATTGAGTGCAGCCATTCAATCAAAATACAATCACCAAAAACCCAAATCAAGAAAAAAAAGTAATAACACTTTCTCTTAAAACATTATGGGCGTATTTTCTTTTGCTTTGGGAATCGCTATCGGAGGCTATTGGACGAAGAAGATGATAATGAGACAACTTGGGCAAGAATGGACGCCCGTTAAATCAAGCTTGCAACGATTTGGGGTTTGGTCTTCCGATGATGACGATGATTCAATCAGCATTGATCCATCTCTCCAATCAGAAAACAAGAATATTCAACAAGACGTAATTACAAAGCAGCGTGTTCACGACATGGATGACTCCGATAATCAAAACTTACTTTCACTCTCTAGAGACTTTATTACCAAACTCCAATCACGACAGAATTTTATGCTTTTGGAAGCTCAAGAAAAATCTACAAAACCTGAGCGATAATAATTTATGATGGATAGATTCATTGTTTGTTAAACACTATTAAATCACAGCTAACTTGTTAAACAATTCAAAGTTTATATGAATTCGAAAACCGTGGAACCTTTGCAACAAAAAATGAAAAAGTTTATTTCATTGTCCAAAAAGAGTCTCCCAAGCTTCAATGTCTCTGCACCCAAATGTTCATTCAATGGATTATTTTCATCGTTAAAACACCCGCATAAGACTTCAACGTGCTTCGAAAACGCTCAAAACTTTTGCTTGTCGTCGTTCAGCCTCCTTCAAAAAATGCCTGGACAACAACCAAAACGAAAGTTCAATCATCATAACAAGTCCCACAAAAAGAAGAAAAAAGATGCTCCGAGCAATGTAATTGAAGCAGTAACTCCATTAGCGCAGTAAGTTGGGCAATTTAAACATACACAAATTAAAATTAGTGCCCAGCTTGGAATATGAAGAACAGCTGAAAAAGAAAGAATTGGAAACATTGGACTGCATGAGAAATATGTTTTCTGGAATTAAAAGCGCTTTCTTGGAACGTAGTCAAGATCTTCCTCCTTGTTTCAATATCGTTTTTGAAGATGACAAGCTAAAGGGTGTTCATTTGGATTGGAATGGAATTCTGGCATCTCCAAAAACTGAAGGTTATCGTAATAATTGTGAATTTACTTGTGGTTATAATAGTGAAAAGAATCCATCTGTAGGATTTAGACAGGGTCTTTACAGTCAAGGAATTATTAATGTTGAGAGCCCTCAAGAGGTCAAAATTGTTTCAGACAGCGCTAAAAAAGCAGTTCAGATTTTACAATTGTTTATTGAAGCTCACCACGATTCACATAAGGTTTGTATTAATATCGTAAAGAGTGACAAATGGTTATGAATGCTGAAATAATTGAAGTGTTATGATCAAACTAGTCACACTGGATTGTGGAGGTTAATGAAAGTTAGAGAAAACGCACAAGGAGAAATGTTAATTGTTGTTCAAGTGGATCCAACGCATATTTCAGAATCAGATTTGCAGTCTGTGACTGAAAAACTTGTTGCACATTTTAAATCATACGACAAAAATTTAAACTCAACTGAAGAGTTAGCTATTAACATTAAGGGCTTATTTTTACAGAAACATTCAGGCGTTAGTAATGCAGCTCCTACTGATGCACCATTAGCATTGCTCTATGGAGAGGATTCTATTATAGAAGAAGTTCTAGGGTTGAAATTTAGAATTTCTCCAATGAGCTTTTTCCAAGTTAATACAAAAGGAGTAGAAGTTTTATATTCCAAGGTTAGAGAATGGACTTTAGAGTCAATGAATCCAGAAAAATCTAAAGAGAGGGTGTTGCTGGACGTATGTAGTGGTACAGGAACTATTGGATCTACTATGAGTTCATCCGTAGATAGAGTTATTGGAATTGAAATGGTTGAAAGTTCTGTAAATGATGCTCGAAACAATGCAAAGCTAAATAGTATCGAAAACATTGTATTTATTTGTGGAAAGGCAGAGGACACTATTGCCACCAATATGAAAGAGCATAGATTGAACTCTCCAGAGGTTGAATGTATTGCTGTGGTTGATCCTCCCAGAAGTGGGTTGCACAAAAAGGTTTTGGAATCATTACTCAAGTCTCCAACCATAGAAAAATTGATTTATGTATCCTGTAATCCTAACACACTCGTTGAAAATGCAGTGAGATTATGCAGCCCATCTTCAAACTTTTCTGGACATCTTCCTCCTTTTGTTCCTGTGAAAGCTGTTGCTGTTGACATGTTTCCACATACTGAACATTGTGAAATGATTTGCGTATTTGAGAGAAAATTGGATAAGAAGTAAACCATGTGAAATGATGCAACTCATTCTTGGATTGGAGAAGTCGACAATTCTGCAAAAAATACGGGGATGGGTTTATTGAAAAATAAACAATTCTGCAAAAAATGTCAACAGCACCCTCTCTCGTTCTTTCCTCACAGGGTCGACAACAAATTCTCACTGCATGGAATTTACCATCGTCCACTTCCATTAACGTCATTAAACAATCAGAAAATCATACCTACCTCGTACAAGTTTTTCCTCTAGTAACAACAACAACAACAAACGAAAGTAGCAGCAACGATGACCATGCAACAACCATCCGAACTGAATCCTCAGTAGTTCCAAAGAAGAAAGAGCTTAATCTACTACCACATCATGAACACGAAGAACAACAACCACCATTGTTGTACATTCTCCGCCTCACTCCTAAACATCATCGTTCTCAAGAAGCCATTCAAGCAGAATTGGATTTTATTCATCGGATTCATCATGTTTTGGAACATGATGACACACCACCACGACCATCCTCCTCTCTTCATGTATGTCCTCCTATACCTCTGAAGAAGAGTCTTGAATCATCTTGTTTTCATGAAACATACAGCCGGCAACAAAACAATACTTTGCCCTTCATTGCTACTTTAGTTTCTCCCTATCATGATTGCCCAAATATAGATCACATGAATGAAACCAACGCTCAAGAATATTATTATGCAGTTCTCTTTGAATATGCTCAAGGAAGTTCCGTATTGGAAAAGTGGATTGGCTTAACGAATGAATCTTTTATTGATGCGTTGGGTAGAGCCATTGGAGAGATGCATGATATTTCTCAAAAGATGAACAATCGATCTGAAACAAGTTGGCAAGTAACGGCAGAGAATATTCCTCAATGGTATGATACTCATGGAGGTGCTTGTAATATTGAAAAAATTAGAGAACGAGCCAATCAGTATGCTCATGAGCCTTCATTACTCTTATTATCTTTATGGGAGAACCATGGCTTGAAAGAATTTATATCTGGTTTGAAAAAGACTCGTGAAAATTTTGGAGTCATTCATGGAGATATTAATGTGAGCAATTATTTTGCTGCGGAAAAGACAAGTGAACAAGCGCATGCTCAAGTGTGGATTTTTGATTTCGATCAAGTTCAACACAACTTTTTTGGTTGTGACCTGGCTGTGGTGTTACAAATGATTCGCTTTTTCGAAGATGATGGATTGGGTATTGGGAAAATTGAAGGATTTGATGCAGATCGATTTAGAACTGTGTTTTTACAAGCTTATAAAGAGACTTGTCCACATGGGATGATAGAAGAAGGTCATTTGGATACTCATCATTTGAAACATTTCGAAATGTTTCGAGAATTTTATCATACATCAGTTGCAGTAGATATTTTGTTTCGTCACGAACATGCTTCACAAGGAGATGACTCTACTGGACAACCAATGGTGCAGTTTGAAGAATCCATTATTTCATTTTGTAAATTAGCAGTCAATCGACTCCAAAACAAATTTAAATTGTAAACCTGAATTCCATTATGTTTTTATTAAGGCCAAACACTACGACATTAAATCTTCCTCCTCTTTTTGTTTTGCTCGTTCTTTTGTGGTATTTCTTTTTTCTTGAAGTGAAATGGTTTCATCTTGAGGACCATACACTTCATCAGCAATGAGCCATGCCTTATCATAATAGAGGAGAGCATTGGCAAAATCCTCGAGTGTGAATTGAATATCTCCCAAAATCTCAAGAGTGATTCCAGCTTCAGGTGAGTCATTGCCGTACAGCAGTGACTTTCTTTTCAATAGCTCCTTATAGAGTGAGGTGGCTTTATCATACAGAGTTCTGTCATCGTTTTGAGATTGAGCTTGTTCCAAAACGGCCCTCGCAAATCTCTCATAAACTTTGATTGTTTTCATGTCATACGGCCCATAAAAAGATTCAACTCCTCCTGTTGCTCCTTCATAGTACAAACTTGCTTTTTCAAAATTATTCATTTCATCAAACAAGTTTCCAATGGTGTAAGCAATAACTGCAGCATTGTAAAGACCAACAGGAGTACCCATTTCTTCATACACTTTTTTAGCTTTTTCAAAGTTTTCAATAGCCTCATTAATGGTTCCATTCTTGAGGTGTACAGATGCCATTTCTCTAAAAACTTTTGCAATATCTGGGTGTTGTTGGGTTCCAACCATTTGCAATTTCGTTTCCCAAGCGTTAATTAAATGAGTGAGAGAGACATCAAATCTCCCCATTCTTGTGTACAAGTAAGAAAGTTGAAGAGAAATATCAAAAGTGATCATTGGATCGCGTTCTTCATCTTTTAGAATATCATTTTGTCTCTTTGCTTCTTTGAGACATCCATGTGCTTCTTTCATACAATTTTGTTCGACATAACACTTTCCAAGGGCAAGAAGCACATGTGGAAGAAGTCGACGAGCATCAGAATATTCCTGTTCAAAATTGAGAGGCTCCATTGCATCCTCATTGATTAGTCTAGTCGTTGTTTGTTGATGATGATGAATATTTGTCACAATTTTTGTCAAAAACATTAATCCTTTCCTTAAATACGAGCTTGCTTGTTCAAAAGCTTTCATTTTTGTATACGTATCTCCTATATCCATGTAGTGTTCGGCCAATCGAACAGTTTGAGATCCATACACTAATCGTGTTAATGCTATAGCCAATGTTCTCAAATCAATGACAGCTTGATGTAGTTGTAAATCCTTCAGCCGTGCAATTCTATTTTCAATAATCATTAATTTTTGTTTGGGAGGCAATAATTCTTCTTTGGGAGTCAATTTTGCAAGTTTTACCTCTTGCATTTCTCGATTGTTGACAACTACTGGAGAATTTGATTTGGTTAGATAGGTTAGAGCAGAGGATGATGTATCGGATCGAGTGGAGGGCGGTGGAGTTTCATCATGTTGAGGATTGGTTTGGAAATTATTAGAGTCTTTATCCATATCAGGACCACGCAAAATTCTCAACATGTGCATGATATCACTCTCTCGATCATTCTTAATCGTTTCTTTTGTTTTTTTGGATTGTTCTTGCAGTTGTCGATATCTCAAATTACTCATGCCCAATGAATTGGCAGCGGAATCTTTAGATCCCTTATTTCGCAATCTTCTACGGACTGCTTTTTGCCCTTCAATGATATGTTTCGGAGGTACATTGGAATAGTATGAAAAATCTTGTAGGATGGGCTGATGTTGATAATTTGCTGCAGAATCTTCCTCAAAATCAAGTGGCAACATTTCATGACTTTGCATTTTTAATGAGTTTGATTCTTCGCGAGAGAGAGAGACATCGTGGGTCGTAGTTGATCGATCGTCATCAACGGCTGAGACAGAAAGAAGGCGGGTTTCATTTTTGAATACTGTTTTATCTTCGCCTGTTGAAATTGAATCCTGTGCCACTAGTAGTTGTTGTTGTTGTTGTAGTACCACTACTGGTACCGCCTCCGAAATTAAAACCAGTAGTGGTTGTTGGAGCAGTGGCTGCTGTGGTGGATCCACCAAGGTTAAATCCTCCAGTTCCACCTGTAGCAGTGGTACTTCCAAAATTAAATCCTGTGGTTGTTGGAGCGGTGGTGGTTGTGATACCTGTGGTTGTTGTTGTTGGAATGATTGGTTGAATGTTTAAACCTGGGAGAGAGGCGTTCAATGATTTTGAATAATTAAAGGATGGCTTAGTGGTTTTAGAGGGTTCCTTAAAAGGATCTCCCTTAATTTGATATGCTCTAATATATAGCTCTTTTAGTTCGTTGACCTTTTCATGCAAGATAGAAAGTCTTGCAGCTGCATTGAAGAATGCTTGTTGTTGTGACACTATGGTTCCTTGTAAGAGTTGTCCAAAAGGCATTTGATATGCATCTCCATGAGAAAGTGTTTGACTGATATCTTCTATTTCTTTCCAAATCTCTTGCATCCGCTGTTCTAATTTTTGGGCTGTGTTTATAAAGTATGTTGAAGAATAATTTGGATCAATATTACTATAAGTTGCTCTGAGCTTGTTAAAATTGTTTTGAGCTTGTTCAGCATTCTTTGATTCTATCAATACATCATGTTTTATAGTCTCTACAGTATCTTTGGAACGTCCAATATTTACTTTTGCTGCATTTATCTTCTTTTCAATCTTCACAATATGTTTTTTAATCTTTTGTGTATCGTTTGCATTTTCTTGTTGTTTCACAATTTCTACAGCTTTCTCTCTATTGGTCGTCTTTTCTTTTTCAAATTGCTGCCAAGCTTTTTTATATTGATCTGGAAGTTTTTGAAAGGTTGTTTTTGGAGTAATATTTACAACATCAACAGTTCCTGGCTGTGTTGTTGCTGCTGTAGTAGTAATTAATCCAGATGTCGAGCCAGGAGTAGGATTTGTTGGAAAGTTAAAGCCTCCAGTAGTTGTGCCAGCAGTAGTGGTTGTTGTAGGATTTGTCGATGTAGTAGTGGTGCCTGATGGAATGGTAAAGCCGCCCGTAGTTGTACCAGTCGTGGTTGTTGGTTGGGTTGTTGTGGTTGTTATGGAAGGTACTGTGGTTGTTGTCGTTCCTGTTGCTGCTGTAGTCGTCGGAAAGTTAAAGCCTCCAGTTGCCGTACCTGTTGAAGGCTGTGTTGTTGAAGTAGTCGTTGTTGGAGCTTGAGATGGCTGACCTCCTCTAAAATTGAAAGCAAATCCTCCTGTTGATGATGTGCCGGCAGCAGGTGTTGTCGTGGTGGAGGTTGGTGGGTTCGACGAGGCTTGAGTTCCAAATGTGAAGCCAGACATTTTTTTTATCAGACACTATTCATCGACTGGTGTTTTACATCGGTTGAAGAAGTTGAATCATTGTTTTGAACACACCATCATCAATATTCCCATGAGCCTCTGCAGGATGAGAGTCCTTTGAACATCTTCCAATCACCATTTAAATCTTGTTCAAAAAAATGCTTACACCTCACGGTTCGCTGGATATTTCAAAAAAAAGTATTCTTTCTCTTTACCGTCTCATCTTGAGAGAAGGAAATCAATTCCCGAACAAAATTCAAAGAACATTTGTTAAACAAAAAGCTGCTCAAATGTTCCGAATCAAATACGAACATGATGATGAATTAAGAGATGCTGTGAGGCTCGCAATGACCCATATTGATAATATTCGAGCACAAGTTGCTTCGCACAAATTAATGTATGTGGATGATAGGTTGACACAAGAGGACTTTCAAAGACTGAAGAAAGAACAAGAAGAAAAGAAGACTGCTCAATATCGTATCGATGAAGCCTCAAAGTGGGATCAATAGAAGCCCGAGTGGTTGATAGATCATGACTATGACAACAATCATTGAATTCATACGGATATTGTTCTTGAAATTTACTGAAACTGTATACGTAAGAGAATGTGTCAACAACAACATCACTCACCAATAATGGGTCAATGTATGGACGGTTTGTAAATTATTGCAAAGAGTATCAATTTTGAAGTAAAATTACAGAGTACTAGAAAATGTACAACATTCATGTAGCTACAGTTTGTTAATGTCCACATTACAATATCCCGATTCACAATCCTTTTCAATATGAGTGGCACCAGATCCGTTATTTGATGTTCGTTGTTTGAATTCTCTATGAATCATTTTATCATGACCTCATTAACTCCGAATGTATTTCATCTACTTACTTTGCTTTCTCTTCACAAGCTCTCTTAAATTCCTCAAGTTCCGCTTTGCATTTCTCTTGTCTATTTGTTGGATTGCGCTTGAAACATTCTTGCAAAGCCGAAGCATCACAGACTTGAGTAATTCCAAACTGATTGGAATTTTTGCTAATCGGAGCTTGAGAATTGTTTGGAAGCATTTTTATTTGAAACCAAAAATATTATCGGCCAAGGAACACAATCCCATTCCAAGCTAGGATCGTGTTGTGCAAGTGTGGATGCAACGTTAGAGCACAATCTTCCTACATTAATTCTCATACAAATCTTGAACATTCTCAAGTATGAATGGTGAATCATGTTTGTGATCATATCTCGTTGGTGGTATTTTGAAAGGTAATATCAGTCCAAATTGTGATTGTACTTGTTCATTGGTGAGTGCATGTCCTTGAGAGGAAGACGAGGAGGAGGAGGAGGAGGAACTCACCGATTGACGAGGTATTTGAGAAGACATATTTTCCTTATTCTTAAATACATCCAATTTCAAGGCAATTCCTAATTCATAATTTGAAATGTATAATTGAGAATTGTTTTTTTGAAGTTTTCCTAATGCAGCTTGACTCAAATTGTGAGATCCAATAACAATAAATCCAACATTGGGATTATTGTTCGATTGATGAAATATGATTTTGGAATGAGACAAGTGATTACCTTGAGTTGGAGAATAATGACTCATTGCATTTCTTGGAAAAGTTGAAGTTTCATAAGTTTTGCTTCGAAGATGAATCATACCACCACATCTCAATCCATAATGACTTTGACTGACAACATCCAATGATGGAAATACAATGTGAAATAGATTCTTAGTTTTGGTTACATAAAAACTATCACTCAATTCAGCAATGTAATTTGAGTTCATAGATCCAATGCTTGACATTTGAAAATACAATGGAGAATCTTTCAACTGTTGAATTTCTGTTGTTGAAAAATTCATTGCAGCGATGGACTTTTTTATGGCTAAATGTCCATACTTATCAGTGGTGTGATATCCAGGAATGGATGGAATTAATTCACCCTTAGCTGTCGAGTAATCGTATTTTCTTAAGAAATTACCTGGAAGGCCTGTCAAATGTTGCCAAAAATCAACAAGATCATTTTCAAATTTACAACTAGATGTAGAGAGTTTTTTAGGAAATTCTTGAATCCATATTGCTTGTTTGAAATATTGCCAATCAAATTGAGTTAAATTTGCTGAGCTTATGACAATTCTAATCTTTTCTTCAAATTCAATGATAAATAGTTTAGCATGCATGTTTGAGTATTGACCAAGTAATTTCGGATTACAAACACAGATTGGACATTTTCCAAGTTGAATTAAAGATTTCCCAACTTTTTCTTGTGTTTGATCCCAATGATGAGAAATGGTGATTGGAATTTGTAGTGATTCGAAGGGAATGACTGTTTGTAAAAATTCATAATCCAAACAAAAGGAAGAAAGAAATAAACTTTTAGCTTTTCTTACTTCAAGAATTTGTGAAAGTGTTAGAAAATGTTCGGAATTAGATGTTTCATTGGCCAACGGATTGTAATAAATTTTATCTCCATGATATTGAATAAGTGAAGAAGTTTGTGCTGCCTTTCGGGGTATGGTCTTTGGATGAGTTACGGACTCGTGCTGTGATGGATGTGTTTTTTTCTTTTTGGTGATTGGTTCTAATGTGTGTTTGGTGTGGTCAACATGTTTTACTTCAACAACCTCTTGATCATCATCCTCGCTACTCGTATCATCATCTGTATCGACCACAATAATTGCATCACCAAGTGTTCGTTTGGGATTTGGCATTTTTTTACTTCTTGCAACCGTACGAACTTTCACACATGTTTATGATCATTTTTAATTGTTGTTGTAATTTTGTTTTCATAATAAGTTATTATCTGTGTTTTAATACTATTTTACAAATTATTCTTCTTCTTGGTGTCTTTCTTCGTCAAATTGTGTCATATCTATGGTCAGAGTTTTGGATGACTTGGAAGGAATATCTCTGAAAATACCAACCAAGGATTTGGCATTGGTATAAAAGTTTTCTTTCAATGAAATGATAATGAATTGACACATGAGATCTGTTTGCTTGTTCACCGAGCGTCTAATGTAATCAGCAACTTTGTTGACGTTTACATTATCAAGAGCAGCATCAACTTCGTCCAAAATATAGAATGGTGAAGGATTATACTTGTGAATAGCAAATAATAAAGCAAGAGCAGCGACTGTCTTTTCACCACCACTCAATTGTGACATGTCTCTATAACGCTTTAGTGGTGGCATTGCATTGTACTTAATTCCTTGAAGATATGGTTCATCTGTGTCTTCCAAAGTGAGATAGGCTGTACCACCTGTTGGTGTTTTCACTGATTTTGTCAAATCTTTGTAAATAGAGTCAATAGAATCTGCAATTTTGTCAAATGCTTTTGTAAATGCTTCCTTTCTCTTTTTCTTAATATCTTCGAAATCTTTCTTAATCTTTGTTGTTTCTTCTCTTGTCTTTTTGTATTCTTCTAGAGTATCCTTATATTTCTTGTTGATAACGTCATATTTACCAGCAATTGCGGTTGTTGGAGCAAGTTTTTCAATTTCTTCTTGAAGCTCTTGAAGTTCATTTTCGAATTGTTTTTCAATCTCTTCATAGTGTTTCAAGTCTCTAACTTTTTTCTTGGATTTGTCAATGGAAGAAAAGTCAAGAGTGACAAGTTCTTGGGAGGCAGGAGTTTCTTCTTCTGTTGCTTGTGAAATAGTAAAAGATTCACTAAACCTAATTTCTTCTGGTTCCTCCTCTTCGGCTTCTTCAGATTGCTTTTTCTTTTTCTTGCTTCTACCTGCTGGTCTTGTTTGTTTTCTCTTCTTTCCATCTTCTTCCTCTTCTTCTTCTGATTCTTCTTCCTCAGGTGTAACAGTAACTTTTCCTTTGATTGATGGAAGTTCAATCTCTTCGATTTTACACTTCATGAACATTTCTTGTCTCTTATTTCTGAGTTGTTCAATTTGGTTTTCTTTGGCTGTAATTTGTTTAGTAATCTTAGTCAGCTCATCCATATCAGTTTGAAGAATCTTCTTCAATTCATTCATTTCAGTGTTTTTATCGTCAATGGATGATTGAGAGCTCTTCAATTCTTCAAGTAACTTCTTAAAGTCCTTTTCAACTGAAATGAGTTCCGTTTCTAATTGCTTAACTCTCTCTTTCTTCTTTTCAAGAGATTTCTCTTCAGTTTCAACTTCTTTTTCAAGTCTGTCAAGTGAGGTAGCAACATCTCTCTTTCTAATGAGCTCCAATTGATTGGTCAGACGAGAAATCATTGTTTCAAATCTTGATCTCTCCTTAGCTGCATGCTCTTCTGCCTTTTGTCTCTTATTTTCATATTCTCTAATGTTATCAATTCCAATCTTCTTTGAGAAAGCAGCAAAAATACCTTCCTCAACTTTAGCAATAGAATCTTCAATAGACTCGATTCTAGTATCAAGATTACTAATGGAATCTTTCAATTTGGTAAGATTTGGTGTCTCAGCTTGAATTTCTCTATCGACATCTCTCAGTTCAGTTTCAATACCATCAATCTTCTTCTTTGTAAATTCTATATCTGTTTTCACCACCATTCTTCCTTCAATTTGAGAAATGTCATTTTGAAGTTTGATGAGATATGTAGAATCAGATGCTTCTTCTCTTGTGAGAGATTGAATTTCAGATACAAGCTTATCTCTGTCATTCTTTAACTTTTCAATATCCTTTTCCTTATATCTTGATGCTCTTGTCTTGGCATCTGCTAACCCACCAGTTACCATACCTGCCTTTGTGATCACTGTTCCTTCAATAGTTACTGCTTTAACTTTAAAACCTAAACCAGCAACATCATTGAAGCAAATGTCAACCGCTTCTTGATAAGTATCACAAACAATGGTATTACCAATAGCATATTTGAAAACCTTCTCAAGTTTTTCTTCAAAGGAAATGACATCGATGACTAACTTGGCAGTTGTGTTTGGAATCTTTCTCAATTTTTCATTAATCTTTTTGGCTTTAACAGTATCAATTGGAATGAAAGTACATGTTCCTAAACGTTGCTCCTTAAGATATTTGATGCATTCAAAAGCAGTCTTTTCATTTTCGCAAACAATAGAATTCAAGTGCTTTCCCATTGCAACATTGACAGCAACATTGTATCTTTCACGGACGATTGTGAATAAATCAGCAACCTTTCCAATTACACCAGGGAAGAGACGTTTCATTCCATCAAGAGCCTCTTTGAATTTTTGTTCTCTTTCAGAGTCACGTTTCTCTACCCTGGCATCTTTTAGCTTGTCTCTCATTTCATGCAAATCATCTTCTGCCTTTTGTTTTCTCTTCTTCTTTTCATCACTGGCTCTGGAGAGTTCGTCATACTTTCTCTTCTTTTCCTGAAGTTCATTTTCAAGATTTTGAAGAGATTCTTCGAGTTTTTCAAGTCTTTTTTGATTGGTTTTCTTTTGATCTTCTAATTGTTTCTTTCTCTCTTCAAGTTGACTAACTTTTTGTTGAAGTGTTTTCTGAGATTCAACAAGAGTACTCTTTTCACCATTAAGTGAAGCAAGTTCTTGTCTTAAACTGACTGTCTTTTCAGCAGCTTGAGTTTTTAGTTGATTGTATTCTTCGAGATCTGCTCCAGAAAGTTTCAACTCCCTTTGACTTTCTTCTTTCAATTTGTTCTCCATTTCTTGTCTTTCTTCTTCAAGCGTTTTAATTTCTTCTTCCAGTTTTTCTACATCTTTAGTATGTTTATCAAGTTGTGATCTCTTCTTGTCCATATTCTTGGAATGTTGTTTCAAACTATTTTCCAAGTGACTGACTTCAACCTTCAAAGATGCAAGTGATTCTCTCTTTTTTTGTACTTCATCTTTTTGTGATTTGACCTTTGTGGCAGAAAGAAGATTTTGTTTCTTTAACTTGGCCATTTCCTTCTTCTTTTCATTAATTTCGTCATTGGTTGTTTTTTGTCGAGATGTCAAGTTACTCTTGTCCTTATTAAGACGTGTCAATTCTGCTCGATGTTTGCGAATGTCCTTTTCAATATGGTATAATTTCCACAGAACAAATTGAGATTGCAATTCTGTATGTTGATTGGTTGCTTCATCAAATCTGTCAGCATCTTTCTTTTGATTTTTATATTGTGTTTTCTCGGTTGTAATTCCCTTCTTCTTTTGGAAGTTTGTAATGAGCTTGTTGTTAGATTGCTCGTACAGTTCCTTTAGTCTATCATATTCTTTTTTATATTCTTCTGAGCCAGAAATTTGTTCAAACAACTTGGTCAACTCTGTTGGAGACTTTGATGCTACGTTTTCAACATCACCTTGAAAAACTAAAAAGTTTCTTGCTTTTGTAAGAATGCCAAAGCTTTTCAACTTTCTTTCATAATCGCTTGCTTGGACAGTTTTATGATTAATCTTATATTCAGTTTGTCCTTGTGCTGAAATTGTTCTAGTAAATTCAACCTCAGCTCCTTCTTCTTCTTCATGTTCAGGAGATGTTTTGAAAACCAATTTCACGTAGGCTGTTCTGTTTTGGAGTTGGGCCATACCGTCACCATTGAAGATCAATTGTTTCAAATGTGAAGAACGGAGATATTGTGCTCTTAGACCCATAACGAAACTAATAGCATCCATTAGATTTGACTTGCCGCTACCATTAGGACCTATGACGCAAGTAAAATCGTTGAAAGGCCCAATAATTTGACGACCCTTGTAGGACTTGAAATTTTCAACTTCAATTCTAACAATTTGGCCATGATGATTGTTTTCCGTGGTGCCAGATTGGGAGGACTGTGCTCCTTGACTTTGGCTCATGTTTAAAGGATTTAAAAATTAAAGGATTTGGTTGTGGATGGAACAACACTCGATGGTCTCACAGCAAGGCTTGAGAATATTCAATTCGAGTTTCAAAATTGATGATGATGACGATCGGTTTCAGAAGTGAAGCCTAGAAGAACGCAGCGCTGTGCTCCGAATTTTTTTTAAAGTGAAAATTAAAATTTTGAGCGGGCGCTTTTGGCGCCTAAAAATTCCAACAAGGCTTGGAATGAGTTTTTTGCTGACAAGTTCTGTGTTGATTTACGAGTATTTTGTGAGCATCAACTTCAAACATTGAAGTGGCAATAAAAGAAAATTTCAAGATCAACAAGAAAAATGCTCAACAACAAAACTTCCGGGCCGCCATCAACGAAGAGAATGGGTTCTCGTACCATACAACATGCCCAAGCAACACAAGAGATCCGAAATACAGAGAAAACTGTTACACCTAACGAAAAACATACAAACAACAAATTATCAACAACACCTAATAATATCATAGTTCGGAAGCTACCAACGATCATACAATCCAGCAACAATGCAGCCAAAGCGCCCGTTGTTCGATATCATAATATAGATGACGATGATGATCCCGAAGAAGCAAAATATTCTCAAAAACCCCAACCACAACAAAATAATCAAATATCAGCAACACCTCACGTACCAACAACCTCCAAAGTCATTGTAAATAATGTTCGTCAACTTAGTAGTCATAATCAGCTCAAAACAACAGAGGGAAAATCAAAACCTCCACAAACGAGCAACAACATGCCAACTACCCTTACAGCCACCAAAAACCCCCCAACCCCTTACCATTCAAACTCACCTCAACTGTGTACAAGAAATGACCATTTCCAATCAAAAATTTTTGCTAACGCAAATACGGAATCTTTGGACGCCCTTACTAACCAATTCAAGAGGCTTGGAACTTTTCCTATAAATCAAAAAGAACATTCTATCACTAACTTCTCTGAAGAGTGGATGAGAAAAAAGAAAGCGGCTATCAAGAGACGAAAAACAAAGTTACGAAGCGAAGAGCTGGCAAGAAAGGTTATAAATCATTGGAAATGGTTTGCTAGAAATGGACTGAATGAAATTAAGGCCAAAAATATGAGAAATAACACTCTAATTTTTAAATGTTTTCAACATTGGAAGCGAAGAAAAGAAGATAGAGAAAATATTTGGAAACGAGAATTTATCATGCAAACCCGACACAAATTTTCTGTCATGCAATACTTTTTTATGATATGGAGGCAACAATTGAACAATAATTTACAAAAAGAACAAGAACTTTCAGGTATGTGTATTACCTCAAGTAATTTCAGATACGAAATGTATATGAAGATGTGGCATGTAAACACTTTATCAAAATTTTGAAAATCCGAGCCCTCAAATCATTGCAGACAAGTTGTGAAATACGTCGCACCAAACGATATTCAATCCTGGTTGCTGACAAGTTTGAATATCAAAGAAACGTGAGAAGAGTCATTGGTGCTATTAAAGAAAGTAAGTATCTGGGACAGTACCAACTTTTTTTACAACATTCCAGTCAAAATTATGAGAGATAAGATAAATTTTGGAGAATCCCATTATACAAACGTTTTACTACGTAAAGCATGGTCAGCTCTGAAACAGTATATTCAAGAAGAAGCTGAAATTAAGATTAGAAAGGCCACCGAATATTATGATCTTTCCATCCAAAGAAAGGCCTTTGGGGCATTAAAACAGCAAGTCGTGAAATACATAGAGAAGAGAAAAATACTGGCAACAAAATTAGAAATTGTGGACAGGTTTTTCAAAAATAAGACGTTAAGAATGGTATTCAATTGTTTGGCGCAGTATTGTCACATGAAAACAGAAAAGCGTAAGAAATTGAATCAAGCCGAAGAGTATTTCAGAAATACATTCTTGTCCTCATACTTCAATAATTGGATAATAACCTTACATAATAAGATGCATTTCCAAGAACTAGAGGTATGTACATAATAGTTGGAATTATCAGTTTCAAACAAGGACATAGAATATTGTTGTTCAAAAGCAAAGAAAGAGAGAATTGAAACAAGTACTGATGACGTGGAAGGATAAACTGTGTACACAACGACATGCAACTGTTTTAGAAGAGAAGTCTGAACGATTCCGTTGTGAATCTTTGATAAGAAAATCTTTGTTTGCACTAAGCAACGTAAGTGTAGCACTATTCTCTCAACATTTAGAATTTCATTCTTTTCATTATCATTCCAGTATCTCCTTTTAAGAAAAGAAAAACATCAGCTCTCAAACAAAGCAGAAATTTTTCATCGTTTTTCATGTTTGTATAAGGGTTTTAGACAGTGGAAGGTATGTACAGTTGGTTCTGTTAATTACTGTGTGGACAACAACCACACATATCGCTTTTAGGATAATTATTTACTTGAGGAACAGAGAACCAAATCGCTTCATGACAAAATTCAACCCATCTTGAGAAGAAAACACAAGTTTCTTAAATCTATTGTGCTACGAGCTTTGGCTCAGCATGCTTGTACTCAAAAAGAAAAAAAAGCGAAAGAAGACAGTAGAGTTGCAGAATTAAAAGCAATATTGGAATGCTCAAAAGTTTCACGCATATTTATAGCTTGGCGACACTATTATGAGAATAAGGTAATTGAGAGAATCAATATTGAGAGAGCAGCTCTTCATCATAATCGAATACTGAAAGAAAAGGGAATGAAACAGCTATTTGCCTATGTTTTATTCAGGAGAAGGAATGAAGAATTGCATAGAAAAGCTCTACAATTTTCATTGAAATATTTAGCGAAACCTATTTTCGATCTATGGAATAACATTGTTCAAAAACGATTGAATGATAAGTGCAGCTTGAAAAAAGCAGATTTTCTCATGAAGAAACATTTGGCAAAGAAGACATTTGCAGCATTGAAGAATTATGTATACTATGCTCGAGTGAAGAGCAAGTTAGAGATTGAAGCGTTGGAGAATAGAAATGCACTCTTGTTACGAAGAGGATTAATTCAGTGGATGGAGGTAAGTTTTAATCGAAGGATTAGGGCAAGTTTGTCTCTAACATGTTCCAATTTCTTCATGAAAAGTCTGCCTGTGAACATCATGCTCAACGAATGAGAAAAATCCAATTAGATCACACAAAGAGTGAATTTGAAGCTTTGCAGAGAGTTGAAAAGTATGCCAGACATTGGTTATATATTACTATTAGAAATGCTCAAAAACGAGGCTCTTATTTGTTTAGTGGCTATAGAAAAACAAACATTACGCAATCAGATCATCATCAACAACAGAATGCGGCATTGGATCTCACCCAGAGTAGAGGCCCACCAAAAAGAAGACCGTCACCAAGAATTCCCAACGAGTTACTTTTCAACTTTCCCATCAATCCTCAGGATTCATTGATCGATACCACTCATTCTCAACCTTCAATGAGCGACGAGGAATTGAAAGTACAAAAGCAAGTTTCCTTCCAAATACAAGACTCCTCTCCAATCATTGCAAACTCTCCAATAGGACACAATGAAAATGTTCGAAATACTAACACTGACTCTTCACTCATCGAAGAAATTGACAAAATCAAGAATGTTCTGGAGGAGTTTGAAAACAACTGGACCCCAATCTATGAAATGGAAAAAGACAAGAGAAAGTATTTGAGGGAATTGATTGATATTGAGGACGACTATACCAACATTCAAGAGCTGACATTGGAATTGAATCATCTTGAGAAAAGGGCAAAGACCTATCTGAAATTTAAACGAGAAGAGTTGCCAAAACTTATTGAACAACTTCATCGGTTACTACTGTCATCATGCGATCCAGCATTGTTGTAACCGTTAAAAGCAAGTTTAGACTTGTTGGTTGTATAATAAGCCTCATGCGTTCGCTCACGTATTACAACAACAAATAAAATATGAAAACACCAACAACCCGAACTTCCTCTTCCAACACCAACCAAGCTAAAAGCGGCTTCAAAAACGTTGATAAGGCTTTGTATGAAAATGACTTTCCCTCAGGCCCAACCCTAACCTCAACATCAAATAGGAAGCCAACAGGAACGCCCCATAAGTACAACACCAATTCAGCAGGTACTAATGCTTCTCCATCCCTTAATATTGTAGCGCTACTTGACAATCAAGCGAGAGAAGTTGGATTTGCAGTCTTCAACCTCAGAACAAATTCAATCAGGTTAACTCAGTACAATGAAGGCTCCAGTTACATTAACACCTGCAATATGTTGAAGGTGTATGAGCCAGCGGAAGTACTGTTTCCAAAAACATTATACGATGCCAAGTTGTCCTCTGTGGTAAAGCAAGAGCTTGAGAGCAACGGCGAAGGAGGCTCTAGCAAGGCCAAAATAACGTTCATTGCAAGAAAGCTTTTCAATGAAAATAAGGGAAATGAATACATCAACACCTTACTCATGGATCACGAAAATTCATCAATCCAGTCAGACATCGTATCCAAATATCTGAGCGTTAGTGCTTTGTCTGCTGTGGTTCAGTATATTGAGTATGTTCAAGAGATTACCTTTCAACCACGAAGTCTCAGAATTTCGTACGTTGCATGTGACGGACATCTCATGATTGATTCCTCGAGTATTTCATCTCTTGAATTAGTGAGAAGTTTGAAGTACGGGAATGGAGTTTCCACATTGCTATCGCATCTCGACTACACTAAAACTCCAATGGGTAAACGTATGTTAAGGACTAATTTGTTGCAGCCACTGTTGGATACCTCATCTTTAAATGCGAGATTAGACACAGTGGACGAGTTATTGGCAAACGAAAAGGAGTTTTTTGAAGTCGGTGCGCTTCTTTCAGACTTCAATATTGATATTGCCCATTTACTCACCCAATTTACTCACACCAAACGATCCAACTCCACCAGATGTTCTCATTCAACAGTGCTTAACATTATTTGCTTAAGAAAAATAATTGAAAAAGTTCCTCTTCTCGAAGAAAAGCTCAAGTCATACAATACTCCAATTTTGAAAGCGATATCTCAATCGCTAGAGTATCAGGAATTTGCAAGTCTCAAGCAAAGCATTGATGAGATTATTAATGAAAAAGGTGTTGTAAACAGCAAAAACAAGCAACAACAAGTAATATTTTCCGTGGCTGCTGATGTGGATGCTTTGTTGGACATTGGAAGAAAGAAATATATTGAAACTATAGAAGAAATACAGGGTCACCACAAGTATTGTCAGGCAGAAACCGGGGTGTCTTCTCTCAAGCTTAGATATAATGTAAGAAGAGGATATCACTTCACTTTTGAGGATAATGTTCGTTTGTCACATGAGGCTCAAAAGTTATTAATTCAAAGGCTCAAGAAAGGCAAGACTGTTCATTGCTCTACTGAAGAGTTAAACTCTCTGAACGTGCGCATGAAAGAAATTCTTGACGAAATATTTCTCATGACTGAAATGGTGGTTAGCAGACTAGCAGAAATGATCAAGACCCACATCAGTGACCTGTACAAATTAGGCGAGTCTATTGGTCTTCTCGATATGTTATTCTCCTTTGCTACTCTTGTAACGTTAAATAGCAACTATACAAGACCACAATTTTGCACTGAAGGGCCAACAGCTATCAAGCAAGGAAGACATCCTGTAATGGAAAAGAATTTAAATGGAGAATATGTGGCAAACGACACATATTTGTCAGAATCCAGTAATTTTCATATCATAACAGGAGCTAACATGTCAGGTAAATCTACTTACCTGAAACAGGTAGCCTGTATCCAAATTATCAGTCAAATAGGAAGTTATGTACCATGTAGTTATTGCAATATTAGAATTGCTGATAGAATTTTTACCAGAATAGGTAATAATGATAATATCGAAAATAATAGTAGCACCTTCATGGTTGAAATGGTAAGTTTGCTGAGAAGTGTTTACGACTTACCGGATATAATCGAAAAGAAAGAGGTCGCTAACATTGTTCAAAATGTCACAAACAAAAGCTTAATAATAATCGATGAGCTCGGAAGAAGCTCCAGCAATATTGAAGGAACTGCCATCGCGTGGAGTATTGCAGAACATCTGAGCGTAAGTTGTGATTTGGCTAATACATTTTGAAACGTGTTTTGGAAGGCACTACGCGCGTACTCACTCTTTGCTACACATTACACTGAAATGAGTGATTTGGAGGATTTATACCCCAACATTAAAAATTCTCACCTTAGAGTGACAACAACCCAAGATGGAGAGTTGAACTATCTCTATCAGTTACAACCTGGAAGCTGCTCAGAAGATAGATATGGTATTAAGTTAGCAAAAATGTTGGGCATAAATTCTACAATCATCAATGAAAGTGAGATCATTTTGGAAGAGCTCATAAAGAAAAAGCAAAAGCCGCAACATGATGACCAAAGCAACAAGGAGTGGAAATTAGTGTTTGGTATTGCATCAAAGTTAATTGCTCATTCTGACTCTGAATATGAATTGTTCAAAGACACTGTGGTCAAACTTAAACAAGCCCTCTATTAGTTCATATTTCATAATGGTAGTAGTAATAAATTGTTGGAGATAATTTCCATAATTCACGTCTCAAAGGCATTAATCGAGTTTTTTATGCAAATATTGAGAAAATAGTTCAAAACTTCCCAATGTCAATACTGCCGCAGGTACTACTCGAACAAAATTAGCGGCCATTCCTCTATAAAATCCTCTGTATCCTTCTTCATGCCATATCCTGTATATTGCATCTTTCATTCCTTTATAAGGCTCATAATTAGCTGCAAGTTGAATGTCTTTTCCGTGTGCATGGTCTTGCAATCTAGATCTTAATACCTCGTGAGGATATGCTATCATACTTGCTATTATTTTACTTGCTGAGCTAGCAATTATAATGACTGTCATATTATTGAAAGTTGTATCTTTTTTGAGTTCTTTCTTTAAAAATTCTATTTTGGTAAAAATAATAAAAAGTGAAAAAATGTTAGAACGTTTGAAATTGAATAAAAAACCAACCATATACTGGAAATTGAACTCCCACATGTATCGTTCCAAACAAAGAAGGTGTTAAGCCTCTATATAGCCCTCTAATTCCTTCTTTTCTTAAAATTTCTTGAAACGCGTGATAAATTCCAGTATATTGTTTTTCAACTTGTGTTTGCATTCTTGTTTTTATCACCCACATGGGAGATACCACAAATGACGTAATAACTCCACTCAACATTGAACTAGTAAGATGATTTAACATGACATGATCTTTCAACAATTTGCTTTGTGCAAAGGATGATTTAAAATGTTCATAGGATGTAAAATAAACTGCCCAATTTGGAACGTAACCCAATAAATTAGTACCCAATCCTTTATACAAACTCGTAAATCCTTCAGTCTTTATCATGTGTTTCATTGCTCCTAAAACTCCTCGATATGGAGATGCAGCATGATGTTGTTGTTGATGTATTTGTGATGGAAGATGAGTATAGTGTGCTTTATGAGGAATTCTTTGAATCATGAGTCTTGTTCGGATGACATCAAGAGGAGCCAGAGTAATGGCAGCTAACATACCACTCAAGCTTCCAGCAGTGGCATGGATGGTTTTATCTCGTTTTTGTTTGACTACGAGAGGAGGTGTTTGATGATTCCTCAAGGGATGAGAGGAGTGTTGAGAGTAATCTGATAACCGTTGTTCCGTTATGGAGGGTGATGGAGTAGGATATGGAGAAATATCTTCGGAGAGTTTGTTGGTCATGTTGGAGCCTCTCTCTCTTTGTTAATGATGATAACAACAATAAATAAAAGATGGAACGAGCAAGGCTCAAAGAAGAATCGCAAGGATGATGTATTTTTTTTTAAACTGAGTATCCTTGAAGAAGAATGCACACAATTAGTTGAGAATTGGTCGACGAATGCTTCAATCACTTTCCCTATCAACTTGTTTTCACTTGAGGCCTTTCTCAATTTGATGTTCAGTTTTGATCCAATCGGAAAGCTTTCAGGATTCCAGATATTTTCACTGTATCACAAAAAAAATGTCTCCGCCAACCACCACTTTCACGGGAGAGACTTCTCAGCGATCCTCTCAATCATTCGCACCAACACCACGATCCGACTCGGCCGAGTCCACAACAACCAGACATTATAGATCTGTTTCAAATTTTTCTACTACTTCCTCCATTATGACGGTTACTGATAGTGCAAAGCCTAAACTTGTTGAATTTACTACCAATGCTCCCGGAGGTCAAAACATTTCATCATTCCTCTCGAAAATATTTAATAATCCTCAAAATAATTCTAATAGTTCATCATCAACATTGGTAGCAAATAACGTTGTTTCTAATTTATCATCGCCTGATAATAATTATTTCTTTTATGAAAATCCATCCAATCAATCTCTGTATTTATATGTTAGCAACAATCCGTTAAAGTTGAGTGATGAAATTCCTGTAAAAAAGACGAAAAAGAAGAGTGCTTCCTCTTTCAAATCCATGACAAATTCCGAAATTTCAGAGGAATATAAAACTGCAGCAAACAATTTCAATAGCAACATCACAAATGTTGACAAACAAGCCAAACAAATTCCACACCAACCAAATAATCCTATCACTGCAAATAATCATGAACCATCATTAACTGCAGTATCTTTCGATTCTTCAGGTGTTCTGAATCACTCTGAAAATCATTCTTATCTTGAAAACCCACAATTGAAACATTTGGATTTTAAGAATATTGACCATATTATTAGCACAAAGAAACGATCAATGTCCATCTCTAAAGACAATTCTGGACTGGTTGAAAGTGAAAATGGAGCTGGCTCATCCTACGTTGGATTTTCTCTTGTCAACAAGAAGGAATTGCTAAAAATGGAAAATAGAGTAGATTTACAAAGTAGACACAACACAACCCCATCGGATTCATTGATGAACAGATCAAAATCTCATCCTGAATTATTTACAATTCCTGAAGCAACTACGGACGAAAATTCTGAGCCATCTCCATTGATAATGCCAATAATGAAACAAGATCAAGATAAGGCACCAACAAACACTCCGATAGATTCACCAAGAAAACATTACTTGCCTAACCAATATAGTCAGCATCAACCACTCTCTTCAAATGTTGAAAATACTTCTTCAATTTCTACTCAAGTTTCATCCAACCATAATAATACTCCAAATACCCCAAATATGCAACCTTATTACAGTAGTAGTGGTGGTGGTACTCCTGAAATGAGTCAGCATGCTGGTCGTGAAAAAGGACTTCGAAATTTCATTAGTAACACACTTCAAAGAAAATCAAACGCCAGACAGTTTTGGATGCCAGATGATCGTGTCACCAATTGTTATGAATGTTTAACTCCTTTTAGTGTTTTTAAAAGAAAACATCATTGTAGAATTTGTGGTCAAATATTTTGTTGGAAGTGCTCGGATTACTTTATTGATGGTAAGTTACAAAAAAAAACTGAGTACCATTGATTAGTATATTATGAATTCGTGTCAATCAAATTTATTGGTGTCCATAAGGCAAGAAATGGGGTTACACTGGAAAAATGAGGGTGTGTAATTATTGTAATAATTTGGTAGGGCAGTCCCAAAATCTCTCTCAAATACTGAATGGAGGAACCTCAAACGCACCATCATCAGCTGCTCTTACCAGTAGTTTCTCTTCAACATCGACTACATTGAACACGAGTACTCAAACCAATCATGCATCATCGAACAACAACAACAACATGTTGAACAATTCACCTGTTCCCAATTCCACAGGTCAGTCATCACAACTCAATTCATCTCCATCTGGTATTCTTGCTCCACACAAATCATTTTCCTCCTTCTTTTCAAGTATGGATGAATTTGGTGCCAAAGGTCTTGCTGAGGGGCTTGATACTGATCCAGATGATGATGATGAACAGCAAGATAAAGTATCCACGAATCGTGAGAATGATGGTAACGCTCCAAATGATGCATCAAGTAGTGATGATGATGAAGATGACGACGATAATGAAACCAATGATCCATCCATCCGTCGTCGACGTTTGCGAATTCATACCAATTCGCTCAATCCAACGACGATCTTTGACGATTCACTCTTGATGAACAACAGTGATTTTACAATGGCAGCAGCAAGTGAAGAAGCTGATAATCACACCCATTCTCAAGGCGGAGGAATTGATGGAACAGTTCCTTTCAAGATTATTTCAGGAGAAGAATTTGAACAAGGTTTTGATGAACATTTGAATTCCCTTGAAGAAGTTTCTCAAAAACACCTTAAAGCAATTGTTTCTCAATTGATTCAAAGAGAGAATGCTATGTGGTCATCATCACATACATCTACTACACAAGTTGTTGGTTCTGAATTTGGATCCATAACATCATCAACACCTTCAATTGATCCCAAATGGGAAGAAGTCATTGTAGGATTGGCTCTCAGAACTGTGAACTCTTTGAATCCTAATATTTTGAGAGGAGATAAAATGGATATTAGAAACTGTTTAAAAGTGAAGAAAGTATTGGGAAGTAACATGTCAAAATCTGAATATGTCGACGGAGGTGTTGTATTTTCAAAGAACGTGGTTCACAAACGTATGAAAACAAATTTGAAAAATCCAAAACTTTTAATTCTGAGCTGTCCCATTGCCTATCAATATCACAAAGCAGAAACTCAAAGCATGACTTCTATGGACATTCTCATTAGTCAAGAAGAAGAATTTTTGAAACTTCTTGTTGAAAGGATTGCAGAAAAGAAACCTGATTTAGTTTTTGTAGAAAAATCGGTGAGTCGATTTGCAAAAGAATTATTACTATCAAAGGGTATTGCAGTGGTTGTGAATGTGAAAAGAAAAGTGTTGGAAAGAATTTCCAAATGTACAGGATATCCAATTTTATCCTCTATTGATGAATACGATCAATCAATTCTTCACATGAACCTTAATCAAACACCACCACCTCAATGCACTCATGCCTATATGAAACGCATTGGAAATAAGAATTTATTTATTGTTTGTGGTAAATATACAGATGCTCAAAGTACAGTAGTGTTGAGAGGAGAAGATGAAAAGGAACTCGAATTGGTGAAACCCATTTTTAAATTTGCTGTCTATGTCGCCTATAACTTGAAATTAGAAACAGAATTCTTCTTTGATGAGTGTGGAACTTTACGATTCGATGCTCCCACTAGTACCAATTCTCCATACATTTTATCTGCCTCTCCCAATGTAAAATTTTCATTGAGATTGGAAGATTTGGATCTTGCAAAACTTGGAATTGTAAATCCAATACAAACACTTACACATCGAGAGAAAGCAGTCCACGACTACTACTACTCGGACACAACCACCGCCACCACAACACCATCATCATCATTGACTGGTATGGACAACAACAACAATCCCTACACAGAAACTGAATTGGCCATATTTGGAGATGTCTTATCTCCCTATGTTCATCAGAATATTATTGTACTCTTCACAAAACATCCAAAAGTGGATCCAAAATTATTATTATCATCATCCTCTCTCATTACTGAAACTCAATCATTAGCAAATCCAGAAACTGTGGTCATTGCATATTACACCGATAATGACATGCCTTTGGGTAAATTCTTGGAATTGAAATGTTTCAATCCCAACAATATTTTGAATTATATGAACACCACACGAATGTACACACATGGAGATGGAAAGATTATTCTCACTGTTGAGAAATCTCCACAAATAATTTCATCAAGCGATGAGGGTATTGCCATGTGGAATTATTGTAAAATATGTGAGAGACATGTGACTCCAGTCATTCCCATGTCTGAAAGCGCATACAAATATTCTTTTGGAAAGTTCTTGGAAAGTACTTTTTATAATAGTACTCTCAGATGTAGAACTGGAGGATGTAATCATAGTGTACATCATGATCATATTAGATACTTTGCATATAATGATGTTATTGCCAAATTTGAGTACAAACCTGTCAAGATTTATGATATTGTATTTCCAGGAAATAGAGCAGTTTATGATGAAACGTATCAAGCCTCTCAATTTACCGTTATGGTTCAAAATGTTGAAGATGCATGCAACGTTCTTTTTGCAGATTTTATGCAACTAGTTCTTGAAATTGAAAGTAATTTTTCATTGTTAAGTGAAGAACAAATTGAACAATTTCATGAAATTGGAGAACAAATCAAAAATCAACAAAATATTTTGTGGTCTTCCTTGAGCACTATTAAGCAAAAGCAAAACATTTATACTCTCAATGATTTTATTAGAAATGTTTACATCTCCACGATCAGTTGGAATGATATGATTATTGAATTATTTTCTAAATTTGGAATTCTTAAATCAACAACATCGAGCGGTGTTGTAGCAAACTCAATGTCCTCTTCAGCAACGACCGTTTCAAACACCGCGATGAAAACAGCAATGACAAAATCAAAACCTGTAGTCTTGAAGGATGCTCCATGTTCTGAAAGCTCATCCTCACCTTCGAGCAATCACAGCAATGGTGTTATTAGCCACAACAGCAACAACAACTCGGGACACATCTCTTCTGTTCTCACATCTTCTAATCCTCGATTGATTAGTGTGGAATTTATTATTAATGACACATCTCAACAAGAACACAAACCACTCATCCAGGTCATTCTTAAACGCAACATTTTCCTAACTTCCATCACTCTTTCTTCCATGAGCTCTAATAGTGACAATGAATCAGCCATAACTACACCATCAAGTTATTTATTACCAGTGGTTGAACCATTGAATTTGGATGGTATCGAATCTACTACTGCTACTACTACTACTACTACTACTACTACTACTACACTCAGAAATATAAATACTTGTGGCGGCATTGAAAATAATTCCTCATCATTAGAGTTCAACACTACTGGTATGAGGAACAATACTCCTCATAGCGTAGTGAATACAACAATCACTCTCAGTACTGCTAATACATCATCATCAGATGATGCATCATCTCCTTTACCCTCTTCAGGTCGATCACAAAAAGGTTTCAGTTTTTTACCATTTAGAAATCAAAACAAACAATCTACTATTTTCGATCAACTTCAATTGAAACCTGTAAAACTTCCAGCCATTATTGATGGAATATCAGCTCATTTATTTTTACCATCTGGAAGTACAAATGCAAATGTTATTGTATATAATGATGAACCATCTACGATCATTGCATACACATTGAGTTCAACGGATTATGATAAGGTTATTCGCTCCAATTCAGAACATGAAGATATTGAAATGGTGTTGAAATCAAAAGAAAAGAATCATTACAAATTTTCATTTTCAGATACTTCCAACTCAAACTCTGGAAATAAGGTGACTCTTATTGATGGTGAAATTCCATTCAACAATTCATCGACATCCATGTCGAATCGATCCAAAAACAAGACGAAATTCAGCTGTACTTGCTTCTTTGCAAAACAATTTCTTGCTTTACGAAAAGCATATTGTGATGGTGATGATTCATTTATTCATTCTCTTGTTCGTTGTGTGAAATGGAATACAACAGGAGGTAAATCAGGATCATCATTTACCAAGACATGGGATTCCAAGTATGTTCTCAAAGAAGTGAATTCTCGTGTTGAGTTATTGAGCTTTTTAGAAATTGGCCACGCTTATTTTGAATATGTTGCAAGTTCACTGTTCCAAGAATTGCCAAGTGTTTTGTGTAAAATTTTAGGAGTGTTTCGATTGAGTTATTATGAAAAGGGTAAATCTGTGAAAAAAGATATAATTGTAATGGATAACTTGTTCTATAATAGAGTAATATCTAGAACTTTTGATTTAAAGGGATCTATTCGGAATAGGTATCAAAAGACAGAGGGTGCAGTATTGATGGATGAAAACTTGTTAGAATGTAAGTTATCAAAAATACTACTAGTAACTTTGGATTAACACATTGCTGCTGACTTACAGTCATTTACAATGGATCTCCGCTGATTACCAGAGAATCATTCAAATCAATACTCACTTTGAGCGTATTCAACGACACTCTCTTTTTGAGCAAACACAATATTATGGACTACAGCTTGTTAGTGGGTATTGATGAAGAAAATGGAGAGTTAATTGTTGGAATTATTGATTATGTGAGGCAGTATACATGGGACAAACAATTGGAAACATGGGTAAAATCTGCAGGAATTATCAGCAACAAATCCAAAGTACCCACAGTCATATCTCCAAAACATTACAAAACAAGATTTAGAGAAGCTATGCAAAGATATATTATTTCAACATGCAGCAAATTAACAGGTTTAATTAATTGAGCTACTTTCTCTCCAAAGAGCAATTTCTGCATTGACTGAACCCGTAATAAAATAATTATCTTCTCAGATGATTTAGAGAAAGGTTGAATATGACAAATTATAATGAACCTACCTACTGGATGATAGTCAATGGAGATAATTTCGTCAATAGTGGTAGTAGTATTGATGGTTGAAACAGTCGCATGAGCTTGAGGGTCAACAATTTCTTCACATGATTCAGTACTCAAATCCCACCGAAATATTTTGCCTCTCTCATCGCCACTAAACAAGTACTTGTCATTGCTCGAAAGAGTATGTTTGATTTGATACTTTTCATTTTGATGACCCTTAAAAACTCTTAAAATATTTCCAGTGCTCACTTCCACCATGGAAATGGTTGATTCTAATGAGCTGCATAAATAACACAGAAAATCATGGGTGAAAGATACATGACCAATACTCTTGGTTCCCATATGATCCAATTTCAGTTTTCCCATTCTAATATCATAATTATGTACAGTGCCATCCACACATCCAGCCAAAATACTTGTATCAGAACATGCAATACTTGAAACGCTATCTTGAAAGTCATTCATTGTTTGAATAGATTTAAATGATCCTGATCTCATGTCCCATACTTTCATTGTTCTATCATATGAACCTGAAATTACGACTTCATTATTGTTGCTATATTTTACACAATTCACTTTCTATGATTTGGGTAATTATTCAATGACCACAATATTATACATACTCCTTTGTGCTCTTTAAATCTTCTCTTCACTTCCCCAGTTGAAATATCCCATAAGAACACAGATTTATCTCCACTGGCACTCACAAAGAAATTATTATCAGTAGATCTAGGAATGAATTTAAAAATGTCATCAGAGTGTTAATGATCATAAAAGATGTTTGGAAAATGTTTTCAAAATCCTCAGTATGTCTGGACTTACATATCCAAATCAAAAACTTCATATCCATGACCTTTATATTCTTTCAGAACAAAAAATGATTTAAAAGGATTAAATAATTTAATTATTTTGTCCCCTCCGGCACTCATGCAATACTGTCCATTTCCATTGCTAAATTTAATGCTATAAATCGGACCGTTATGTTTCTTTTTAGAGATATCCACATTGTTTTTTGATAGAGTTCGTAGAGAGCATTCAATCGTGTATCTGTTGGTGGTGGGTCCAAGATGAAACATTTTTTTGTTCAAAGTTGGTTGAAGACCAAAAAATGTGACGATAAAAGTAAAAATTGCCGACACCAGGGATCGAACCAGGGACCTTAAGATCTTCAGTCTTACGCTCTCCCAACTGAGCTATGTCGGCTTCATGTCACAAAAAAGCCAATACATAAATAATAATTGAATTACAATAATTGCTTGTCAAACATTTGGTGAAGAGGAGCATAATCTAAAGTATCAAAAACATGCACGTCACATATTAGTAATAGGCAAATATTAAGCCAACCTTAAATTATATTTATCGTTTAAACGTTTGAACAAGCTTGAACATGTTTTTTTAAACATGTTATTCAGTCTTTTTGTCGCTGGTTGGAGTTGTTGCAGATACTGTTGGTGTGTTTTGATTTCTCTTCTTACTACTTGAAGTTGATAAATGCAAAATATACAAAATAGTACCAACAATATTCGATGCAACAGCTGCCCAAAATATTTTAGCATGATAAGAACCTCCTGCATTCATTGGTTTCATGACAAATCCAAATGCAATAAGCCAAATGCCTAAAGCAACATGTGTAAGTAATGTCAACATTCGATTTCGAGTAGCAAAAAAAACAATTAATAAAATCAACACGCTGGAAAGAAGAAAAACAAGACAAGAAAATTGATAATGTGCTCGAAGAAGTGTTTTGATGGATTGTCCAACAGCTTGTTTTGATGGGGACAATTCTGATCGTAATGATTCCAAATAATGATCCACAGAAATATCCGATGTAATTCCTAAAATTTCTCTATTGCTCTTTTCATCGATTAGCCATGGTTCATCATTCACAAGATACATCCAAGAGATCAAACATCCGAAAGCAGCAAGTAAATATAAATACAGGCTTGACGCAAAGACCAGAAAACGCATTTTTTTGTGTGGGAATTTTTGTGGATTTTTTCTAATAAATAAATAATAGGAAAGTTTATTTTGTGAAGATGTAATAAATAAATATTTGGTTGTTAACAAAATTGTTTTGCCTCTCGTTATGGTACTCAAAAAGTGCTGGCTCTCTACTTTTGGTCAACAGTGACGGATGTTGCAGTCGTATTGACATTGGTTGCAGCCACAACATTGGTTGTACTTGAGGCACAAGGTTGAGAATAAGTAACTTTCTTTGTGGCAACCGGCGATTCAACATCCTCAGCTCTATCACGTTTGGTCAATGGAGAAGATGAATCTGAAGCTTCAGTAGCTTGATAGGTCCTCACTGGATAAATAAGTTTGCTTTGACGTTGGTAAATCATCTTTGTTTGACCTGATGGTGATGGTTGAGGTGAGGTTGTTGATCTGACCTCTCCATTGCTACTACTTCCTGAAGATGTGGAAGATGTTCCACTCGTTCCGCCAACGGTTCGACAAGGTTGAATGACACCCACCACACCACTATGATTCTGTGAATCAGCAGCGCCAACATTGTTGGTTGCAGCAGTCGTAGTTGTAGACACAGTGAGCACTCCAGCCTGTTGTTGCATTGGTGGTCCATTATTCACACTTGTAGTAGCACCACTCGAAAGAGTTTGACTTCCTTGTAAGCACGTAGGTTGCAAATAATTATTTCCAGAATTGGAAGTCACTACTGGTGGTTGAGATGGAGGAGGCCCATACGGAGCATTGAAACCATGTGGTGGTGGCAGTGGTTGAGGATAACCTCCATATTGCTGCTGAGGTGGAGGGTATGTATATCCTGAATGATTGTTATAATTTGGATCCATTGTGTGGCCACCATGAACATAATTATGAGGTGGTGGTGGTGGTTGTGGATATCCATAAGGATGTGGTGGAAGTTGATAAGGATAAACTCCAGGTGGTTGTGTCACTCCTTGAGGCTGTGGAGGATATGGATACATTCCCTGTTGTGGTTGATATTGAGGTGGTGATCGATAAGGGTCATAATAGTAATAGTGAGAATGTGGTGGTCCATAGGTATGTGGTGTTGTTTGCAATGGTTGTTGTTGTTGTTGTTGTGGAGGATAAGTTGGAGGCATTGGTGTTACACTCACTGAATTATTGGTCAATGTTGCAACTGAAGTACCACTACTTGTATGATTTCCACCTGCTGTTGTGGTACTTGGAGTGGTCGTAGCAGTAGAATTATTTGCCGAGTTGCTTGGAGTTGTATCCTCATTCACAGAATTGGAAGAATTCGATGCATTGGATGGCACCACCATGGTTGGTTCATTGGTAGTATTAGCACTTGATTCATGGGCAGTGTTCTTATTTTCGTTTTCTTGTGGAGTCGCTAATGGTTGTTGAGATTGTGTCTGATCAGGCAATGGTTGAGATGGTTGTGATGTCTGAGCAGGCAATGATTGAGGTTGCGATGTCTGAGCAGGCAATGATTGCATCTGAGGTGATTGCTGTTGTGTCTGGGCAGGCAATGGTGGTTGTTGTTGAGGTGGTACTGGTAGTTGTGGTACTTGTTGTGGAACATAATTCTGATAGTGTATGGATGGTTGTGGCTGCTGTACATAGGGCAATGGTGGTGTCAGTTGTGAATAAGGCTGCTGAACATTGTCGTGATACGGTGGAGGATATGGGTAAGGGTATCCATTAGGAGGAGGAGGATATGAATAAGCAACATAGCCATTGGGTGGCTGTTGGTATGATTGTTGAGGTGGATAGTATTGCTGCTGTGTTGGAGGTTGAGTTGGTGTTTGAACGGGTGGATGATTGGTCGAATTGGTCATCATGACACTTCCTGAAGCAAGAACAATACCATTCGATGTGGTGGTGGTGCTCTGTTGTGATTGAGCCTCAACATTTGAAGTGAGTCCTACATTGCCATTCATCGATGAAGTAGTGGTAGTAGTATTCGAGGTTGATGGCACAGTTGTTGTTGGCTGGTGAGTGCCACTACTGGTGTTTGGTTGTGGAGTCGCTGCACAAGTGGATACCACCTGATGATGTTGAGCATACTGCTGTTGAGGTGGTTGTGGTGTTTGTGGAATGGGTGGGGGACCTTGTGAGTATGAGGAGGGAGTGGGTCCATTATTATAGTGATACGAGTTATTGTTGTTGTTGTTGTTGTAGTAAGCATTGCTTGGTGGTTGATACTGTTGCTGTTGCTGTGGTATATTGATCATTGGTGGTCCACCTTGGCCTCCTCCTCCTCCAACCACAACACTATTATTATGGAAGGATTGCGTGTTGGGAGTTCCATAACCAGTCATATTCTGTTGTGGTTGTTGATAGTACGCATGATGATTAGGTTGGTGGTTATTGTTCATTCCCATACTTGGTTTTGGTGATGACAAGTTCTGTAATGAAGGTGAGCTTTGAGTGGAAGAACGTCGTGCACACATTGCACCCAATACTTCAGCTGCCACTGCTTCATCATTTGATTTTTGTTGATGTTTGTTCGCTCGCTTCTTATGCAATTGAAAGCACGAAAACAACGACTCGGAATCATCTTCTGTATTGGGAAAAGAAGTTTGCATATTTCCAGGAACTGCAGTTACAGATTGGACGTTATTACCATTGTTATTGTTGCTGTTGGATTTGGAACCAATACCTCTCTTTCTATAAGGCCATCTGAGTAGAGGTTGTTAGCAAGTAGGTTTTCAATTGGGTTAACCAGAGTAGTAGCCAATAGAACAACAAGAAATCATCAACATGTTGACAGTGATTACGTTACAAGGTTGAGTGTTTGGATGAAATTAATGGATGTGTTTCGTTCATTCATTCGTTCAGCATCATATCACGTCATCAATGGTCAAATTTGGTTCGTCATTACCGGACCAGCACACACGAATAATACATGTATGGAAAACAGGTTTCGAAATCCTCGTCATCATCATGATCACTTACCTTCTGATACCAAGTTCTCTACATCTTTTCTTTAGAGAGGTCTCATCAACGTGCAAGAACACACAAGCCTCATGAAGAGGTAATCTAAAGTATTGTGCAATGGCCGAATAACTCAAATTTGCTGCAATGTTCACGAAGAAGTCAGAAGGAGGTGGACTCTTAAAACTCTTGGCAATAGGTCTGTGATAGGGTTGTTGTTGCTGTTGGAGAGGAGAGGCTAATCCTTGGCTTGACGGTGTTGTTGGAGTGGAGGATATTCCACCAAGATGATGATTGGTACTAGATGGTGTTGTTGGTCCATAATAATTATTATTATTATTGAATGGCTGATGATGAGTGTTTGATGTTGGTGATGTCATCATCATCATGGTTGATTCTTCCTTGATCATCATTTGATTATTATTATCTTGAGGTGTGGAGCTGAATGGAACAGATAAAACTTGTTTGTCATCATGGATCTTGTGGATTTCTGGAACGGATGGGTCCATAGTGAATGTTGTTGAAGAAGGATGATGATCCATGGTGGAATGAACACTCGTGGACGTACTCAACAATACGGAAGGCTTGCTCTCAGCGTGTAGTGAATCTTCTTGTTGCTGTGGTGATGGATTTGGCGGTTGCTGCATCTCCATGCTGTGTGGCAAATGACAAAACCTCTTGTGGAAAATCAGCAAGGCTGGTTGAAGGTTTTGTTGTGGGTTTTTTTTGGTTTTACTTATTTTGCGCAACAATTGTTCTTCACGCAGGCAAAAACCAATGAAATTTCGCACAGACTGGACCTGAAACAGGGCCCTCCAAGCCTTCCTTTATTGTTCTCAAGCCAAAACCAACGGACGTTGACACAACGAAACTTGCAAAACGTCACTTTTTTTCGATAAAATATTACAAGATGGCCGTTAAAATGTTCTCACACAAAATAATGGTTGTGTTGTTCCTTAAGAAAGATAGATACCAGAGAGATGTTCAGCAACGCTGGCACAAATCATGGTTCTAACATTATGCCATAACAACAACATTAAGAGATAAACAAACCCTCTATGTTGCAACTTTCTTGTATTCCCTTTTAAAGGCCATCCTTGAGAAGAACAACAACTTTCGATTCCTTCTTTGGTATAAAGACTCAGCGTGAGTTCTGTAGACAGTAGAAGTAACTCAGCGTGAGTTCTGTGGACAATGACAAGGCCAAAAGTGTTTCAAAAACCAACCAACTCACTCACCACATAATCAAAAACAGAGTGTGAGGGATCTTTTTTGTCTGTCCAATATTTAACCATCAAATTGTAAAGTTCTGATACAGTTACCTCTAATTGAACCAATAGATGGTGCATGGTTTTAAGCTTTTGAGCCAATTCCTTATCGAAGAACGTGAAATATATCAACTCATAAGAATTGTTGTGATAAAAAGAGGCTTGTGAAGCAGCAATGAGTTGGCAAAGAAATTTGAGTTGAAAATCTCCTTTGAAAGCTCCACAACCTTTTTAAACATTGGTTTCCTTGATACTCTCACACAATACAACAAACATACTTACCCAAATTACCAGTTGATATCACTGAACTTTCACATCCCAAGAATCCACAATAAATCTTGTTAACTTCTCTCAAAATATGTTTTTGCTTGAATTGATCAAAAGGACTTCTAAATGGAGGTGCATTGAAATTGAGAGCATCGATCGCCAATAGAGTATGGTTAATGGGTGAATATTTTTCATAGGAAGAGTTATAATCTCCAATGAATCGATAGGTGTAAGAATAACCCTCATAGCGTGAAAATCGTTTCGAGTTTTTGATGAGAAAACATTCATTGTCTTGTAATTCTTCTGTAAATAATCGACTGACAATACATTCCGTGTTGATTAAGAATCGAATTTCTTCTTGAACAGCTCCGTGCTGAAGTACACCTCCTCCAATCATCTACCATGAGTGTGTGTGTGGTGTGCGTGTGTGAATGATCAGTGAGAGTCATTGTGTGAATGAGTCCATTTGAAAGCATTGAGGAAGTCGTGTGGTAAACCCACATTGAGAAAGTTGAACAACAACAACACACACACGTGGGTCAGAATGAGTCATATTTTGAAAAAAACACAATTTGAGAAAGAATACGCCCATTCACATGATTTTGAAATGAACAAATTAGATCTGGGAACATATACCACATACCTTATTCGCAAAGTCAACATGACAACAGTCATAAGTGTGAGGAGAATCATCTTCAATAGTACCACAGTCTTTGATGGTCAATTTGTGTATCAATCGTTGTGAACTTGTTTTCCAAATCTTTTCCATTTCTGAAGGATCATCTAAGAGAAGTTTTCTTTCAAAGGATACAATTTCTTCAAGAATAGGATTATTCTCTGCAATCAGATCACTCATCTTGTTGAAATAATGAAATATTGTTTTCAACTTTTCAATAAATAAACTAGTTTCTTCATATTGTTGATCTTGTTCTAAAGTATACTCATTTGGACTCAATAATTCTTCATCAATCAATAAATCATCTTCCAATGAAGAAATTGAAATGGTACTATTACTTAAATTGGAATGATTATTGTTACTTGTTTCATTGTTAGAAGAAGAGGAACACGAAGCAACGGTTGTAGTGGTGGTATCAGTAGTAATCATCATGGTTGCAACATGAGTAGTCATTGTATGATCATAAGTTGTTGTTGGTGGTGGTGGTGGTACATGATCATCAATTACATTTAGATTTGTTGAAATTGTGGTATTACTACTACTACTACTACTTGTAGTGCTCGTTGTTATCGTGATGGAATTGGTGGCAGTGCTATCCATGGTGTTGATCGGTGAGGTGGTGGTATTCATGAATGTTGTTGTTGCATCATTTACAGATTTCGCTGCTATGATCGAATGATGATCTATGGAATCAAAAATTGAGTCCTTATTGCTGCTACTACTATTGTTCGGTGTTGGTTCCTTCTTCATTGGCCTTTTTGTGAGCGGTGATTTCTTAAAAAGGGTAATAAAATTAATCGATGGATAAGAATAATATTCATCCGATGGATTACTTGTTTGATTTCTTCTTGGAAATGTACAAAATAATGCATGCGCTAAAAGACAACATATTTGTTTTCTACTTAAATGTACAACCATATCAGATTGTTGTTTCAAAAGTGGAATGGATGACTTGTCAAATAAATTAGGTAATTCTAGAGCTAGAGATTGAATACAAGGTAAAGTTTTGTTAAAAAATAGTTCTTTTTCACTGTCACTATATACATTTTCAAAGAGTGTTTGAAGTGATGAAAATGTTGATGAATTGAATGTCCAACTTGAATTAATTGTTCGTATCACTTGAATGAGATCATTTACATTTCTAATTTTTTGTTGTAAAAGTGTTTTGATGAGATACCATTTCGAGAGTTGTCTATTATTTTGAAAATATACATTATTTTCATGACATGGAAGTTTTACACAGTTCGAATTCCATCCTTCGATGATTTTCTTTTTGGAAGAATAGTTACTCTTTGTTGGAGGCGTTGATGACGATTCAACATGTGGTGTGGTAATAATATCAGAGAGCTGCGGAGTTGAATGAGTTTTTGAAGGTTTGACTCGGAATGGAGATGAATTGTTGTTGTTGGTTTGGGAAGAAGAAGGATGAGCCGACTTTCGCATCTTTTCGATCCATGACTCGTTCTCATCTTGTCGTTTTCTTTTGTGTTCGTGATGATCGACATGTGGTTGGTGACCATGCACATAGTCAAGCATGGATTTTTGCTTTTTTGATGATACGGGAGAGCTCATGGAATCATCCCGAGTGTCGTTATTGGAGTTGCAGGCAGCAACATTGTTCGACAGGTCTGGACGATCGGCACAACGAGAGGATGACGAAGAACTCTGAGAAGTTTTGTTATGGGACATTTTTTGTGATTACTGCCTGCTGATGGCATTTTCATCATAATTACATCCAATAACAACATTGCGGTAAATAAAATTGTTTATGTGATTCAACAACAGGAACGCTTGTAATCAAAACACCCAGTAGTATTAATTAATTAATTTTAATGATGACCGGCACCACCACTATTCTTTCTTTGCTTTGCGATTTCTTGAGCAACAAACTTTTGTAAATCTTCATTGGAGAATGTTCCAGCCTTGAATTTGTCGTAATTTCCGTTCATGAGAGACTTGCAAACTGAAGGGTTTAATTGCTTGGAGCAGACAGACTCTACAACTTGAGATTGATTGTCCAATGTGTTTCCGCTCTTTTTCATTTCATCAAGTTGAGATAAAATATCCTTGTAAGCTGTTGTGGCCAACGTAACATACAAAAACATGTTCAATGAACTTCTATTGTTGTGAGTACTTACAATTCTGCAATGTCTTGAATATTGATGAATCAGAAACTGCAGATGTTATTTCTGACTTTGGGCTTCCTGCAAAAATGTGGGAGCCAAAGAGAACGCTACCAGTTCCAAGAAAGAGAGGGACGAGAAAACGTCTGGCCATTTTTTTTTACTTTACAACACTCTATCAAAATTCGGCACCAACAACAGCGTTTTTAAAAATGCTGCGACGTGCTTTACCATTCAATCGAACACACTTGACTTTCTTTCGCAAAAGAACTCTCGGCAATTATTATCTTGTGTTCAGGTGCACCATGGTGAATCACATCACCAGCTCGACTGGTTTTAATGAGCACAATTATTCAACCTACAGAAATTCATTTCCGAATCGAGAGAAAGAAGAAACACATTTTTGTACAGCAAATTCATCCTACTCTAGAAAATCTTTATCTCAAAATTCCAATCTAGATAGAGTCGTTCGCACAGAAATTGAGCCTCAATCCATGATTAACTCTCAATTTTTAACGCGAGAATTACTCTCTCAATTTGAACGTTATTGCCATCAAATTGAACAACATTATTTATTCAAAAAGCAACACCTAATGATGACGATGGAACAAACAAATCCTTCCTTTCAAACCTCAGAACACGTAAAAAATATTTCAAAAACCTCCAAGCATTCATCATTGTCAACAGCAAAGTCCATTTCTCCAACCAAATATGGAGAGCAGCACCATTCAACCATTACAACCCATACAAACTCAACCATCCATCGACAAAACATTTCCATTGTGGTTGGAATGAGTGGTGGTGTAGATAGTTCACTTACTGCATGTCTCTTAAAAGAATTTGGATTTAATGTAATGGCTCTTCATATGAGAAATTGGGATTCTGCTGAAGAAGATCCATCTAAACAATTTTGTACATTTACCAAGGATTGGAACGATGTAAAAACAATGTGTGACAAGTATCAAATACCATTAGTGGGTGATGGAATGCATCCAGTAGAGTTTATTGATGAGTATTGGAATGATGTATTTGAAAGATTACTTGATGGATATATTCAAGGACAAACACCAAATCCAGATCTCTTTTGTAACAAATTTATCAAATTTGATGCCATGTTGAAGTATGCACAAGAGAAATGTGGAGCTGATTATATTGGTACAGGACATTATGCTCAAATTGGTTATGAACATGCAAGTGGTTGTAACGCTACTACGACTATGACTCCTCATACGACTATGACTAATAAGACGACTCCTCCTCCTCATACGACTACGACTCCTCCTCATACGATCATTCCGAATATTCCCGCCACTCATCTACTGCGCGCCATTGATCACTCCAAAGATCAAAGTTATTTTTTAGCCTTTGTCAACAAGCATGCCTTTCATTCAAGTTTATTTCCTCTTGGTGGATTTCTAAAAACAGATCATGTTCGTTTACTTGCAAGAGATTATTTTAAATTTCCAAATGAATTATGGAATAGAAAGGATAGTGTTGGAATATGTTTTATTGGAAAACGAAAGTTTAAAGATTTTTTATCTAAATATATTAATATTACACCTGGAAATATTATTTCTATAGTAGACAAACAAACTATATTAGGAAAGCATGATGGAATATCATTTTATACGATTGGACAAGGTATTGGATTATCTGGAATGAAGGATAAGTGGTTTGTGTGTGAAAAAGATACTCGAAATAATATTTTATATGCCTGTCCTGGAAATGATCATTATTCATTGATGAAATCTGAATTTTCAATATCAAACTGTCATTGGTTAGAAGATGTGACGTCTGAATCAAATGAAGACAACAACAAGGACTATTATGTCAAAGTAAGGTACAACCAAAAAGAACCATTTGCATGCTCCATTGAGAAAATTGAAAATGATAAATACAAAATTGTGTTAAAAGAAGAACAAGCAAGAGCTATTGCACCTGGTCAGGTAGCAGTATTGTACAAGAGAATGAATGAATTTCCTGAAATGGTTTGTGTAGGAGGAGGAATTTATTAACGTACTCTCTGAGACTTTCAAGAGTGTATTCGTTCCTCAATTATTCGCAAAAGAACAAGTGGATTGATCAATCTCTAACTTGTCGTAAAAATTATTCACATTGCAAATCATTATTCATGTAATATTCGAACATGAGCGATTTCGAAACAGTTTGCCATGTTTGTTGATATAGAATTCTTGAAAAAACACTAATCTTTTGTCACTAAAATCTTTCTTCAAGAAATTCCCTTTCTGCTCGCGATTTTCCATATCTAAATATCGTTGGATCTTGGTCGTCAAGAGTTTTGATTGGAGTTTTTGAAATTTTTTCAATTCTCTTCTTTAAATCTGGTTTTTCTCTTCTCAAAATTACAAGACTTTGAATTGGATGTGAAAGTAATGTATTACTCATAAAAGATAATAAATTTTGATCTATTTGTCCCACTACATGTTGATGATCATTGGTCATTGAATTGAATCGAACGGATATTTTCCGATTGTTGGTTGAATATTGGGATGACGATTCAGGAATGCTCACCGTAGTTAATTCTTGTGCATTTTTAGGTCCAATAATACTTCGAATAGTGTCCGTATTAAACAACAGAATTATTTTAGTTTGTGGAGTGTGCAACGATGGATTTCGGAACAAAAACCACAGCAAATTCCTGAACAACACGAGCAGAGGATTGAAGAGCGGCATTTTTTGTGGTGGCACATTCACGTCCATCTGAACTCACACTGTGGACTTATTGAATATTAATTTGGAGATACAATGAATGTTTATTGTCTTTTGAGGTCGCTTTTAATCTTATCCACAAGAGCAGCCATTGCATCTTCACCCCCAACGGCTGATGAGATTTTAGCACCTTGCCCTTTTGTTAACTGTTGCTTTTGCTTCTTTGCTTGATCTTTCTTAATCTTTTCAATTGATTTTCTAACCATTTCAACAAAGTTGAAAATAATTCCAAAGAAATCTTTAGTGTCAATCTTTGGAATATCACTCTCCTTGTAAGAGAAAAACCTTAACAAGTCAGTAAATTCTTTCTTAAAACTTTCAAACTTCTTTTCAATGTTATCACTATCAGTTTTAGCTTTTTTAAAGAACGCTGACATCTTTTTGAGGAAGATATCATCTGGCTCAACCTTTCCTTGGACAGTCTTAATCTTTCTTTTAAAGTCGTTCAAGTTATTAACCAGTCCCTCTACCTGATTTTTGATATCTTCCAAGCTAAACTCTTTAGACCTTCCAAATATCTCGAATTCTTCCAGAAGTTCTGCAAATTTTTCATCTTTTTTCATTGCCTTCATAACACAAAAGTCAGCAAGGGTCCCATTAACATTATCTTTGGTTTCTTCAAGCTTTGGAAGAACTCCCAAACCAAAACCATCAGCTTGACCTTTTTTAGTTCCTCCATTCAAGTAATTTCCTACAGCCAAAACAATACCTAGTAATACTTTGAAATGCTCTGATGTTTTGAGAGCTTGTAAAGACTGTTCAAAGGCTTGCAATGGCTTTTCAACAACAACCAGACCTGATTCAAACTGTAATGTATACATCCAACAACGAATTCGAGTATCATATTCAGGAATAGATGTGATCATGAGAACATATTTCTCTGGTTCTGAATAAAGACGTTCATCTTTTGTCTTTGAGGCTGTTATAAAACTATTGAGAACATCTTTTTCAGGAATGTTTCCTAGAAGCAGTTCAATATGCTCATATGCGAGTATGCTAGAGTCAAGGTTCAACACGGCTTGTTCAATATGAGAGACCTTTGGAAGTTTTTTAAGCATGATGGAAAGATTGTTGAATAATTTGGAATCCAAAAGCATTGATTCTGTTGGCTCTTTTTCTCTTCTTTCCTTAGGAACAATTTTACGTTCCTTCTTGCAAAACAATTCTTCAAATTCTTCAGCATCTATTGTAGCCTCTTCAATATTGTTCCATATAGCATTTGGACTGAAATTACGGTTCAACATACAATAACTCGACTCAATAATACTTACGAATTCACGTTATGTTTCTCCCATGTGAAGAGTTTCATTTTCTTTGTTGGATTAATAACTGGCTTGGATGGCTTTGATATTTGGTGTATCATCATGGGAGGCATCATCATGCCACCTGGTGGTAAGGGAATACCCGTGCTTAACATTCCAGGTGGTGGTGGAGGTACTCCATTCATACCTGGTGGTGGTGGTGGAATACCTCCCATTCCAGGTGGTGGAGGTACAACTCCAAATGATGAAGGCGGTGGTGGTGGTACTCCAAATGATGAAGGCGGTGGTGGTACTCCATTCATACCTGGTGGTGGTGGTGGAATACCTCCCATTCCAGGTGGTGGTGGTGGAATGCATCCCATTCCAGGCGGTGGTGGTGGAATACCTCCCATTCCAAGTGGTGGTGGTGGTGGTGGTGGTACATTCATGCTTGTCATGATTGGTGGTGGAATGTTAGAACTCATCGTCATTGGTGGAGGTGGTGGAACATTCGACATCATTGATGGTGGAGTGCTAGAGGTCGTGATTGGTGGTGGTGGTGGTACAACCCCAAACGATGATGATGGTGGTGGTGGAGGTGGTGGTGGCACATTGTTGCTTGTCATGATGATTGGTGGTGGAATGTTATTCGAGGTTCCATCCATGATTGTTGAAGGTGGAGGTGGTGGTGGAATCATACTCTGTTGTTGAGCAAAAACAGGCAGAGAGTTGCTTGTTGGAGGTGGTGGTGGAATGTTAGAATGTGTCATCGTTGGTGGAATAGCCGCCTTTAACGACGAATCGTCATTGTTCAAACCTGTTTGTTGAGCCAATTTTCCAGAGCTGAGCCTCGAATCGTCAAAAGATGGAGCCTTGTACTCAGCAAGTTTCTTATCATTCTTGTTGTTGCTCTCAGCAGCTTCTCTCAACAACTTGTTTGCTTGATTAATTTCGCTTTGCAGTAGTTCAAGTTGTTTTTTAGCTTGTTCATTCTGTGTCATGTTTTTCATTCTCTCATTATTCAATTCGTTCAACAAGTCTTCTATTTTAGATTTTAAATTCATAATTTCTTCATCTTTAAGAACTTCTTCAGGAGTTGGAGGTGGTGCTTCATCTGTAGGTTTTTCATCTTCTGAATCACTTGCAAACAAGTCATCTTCAGGTGTTTTCTGTTGTTCAGGCTTTGGAATGAGATCTGAAAATGAAGGATCGTTTAGAAATATTTTCACTAATTCTCGTCTTGTTTGTAAAAGCATTTGATATTGCTCTGACATTTCCAACGATCTTCTTTGGAATTTACTCAAGTCTACAATCTTGTCAGAGGTGTATTCAAATGATGCAGATGTATCTATTCTTTGAGAAGTACATATTCTGTCAGTGAAACCAAATTTAAATGAAAATAAATTAATAGTTTCGTAGCAACGTTGTACTTCTTGTTTCAATACCTTGATCATTGCTTGCTGTCTTTGGTAGGCAAATAATTTTTCTTGAGTTTGCTCATACTTGCTTGTCATCTTGTCTAATTCTTGTTTTACCTTTTCACAAACAAACCATGAACGAGGAATTTCAATTTTTGAAATCTTTTGGAAAATCATCAATTGTTCCTTTACAGCAGGGAACTCGGATCTGTTTGCATAATCAAGAGCATTTTCCAAATCTGCTTGCTTCCATGTAAATAATAATTTTCTCTTCTTTTGCTCGGATACCTTGGAGAGCATTACGTTCAAAAGAGTGAGGCAATTTACTTGAACCATCAGATCATCACTCTTGAGAATGTTCATAATATTTTGAAACGGTTGTTGTTTACATTTAGATGCCAGATCTTTGGCTGCTCTTTTCACCAATTTGATGCCGTTGTCCAGATAACTGCAAAACACGATCATCAACTCGAGCGCATTTTTCAGGATTTGAACGTTTTGTTGGGAGGTGTCAGTCAAGTTGTAAATCTCGGCCACCGTTGAAGGTGATTGAGAAATAACATTCATAGCTGAAACGTAAACAAGTGCTGACCGAAGAGCTGCCAGACAGTAGCCTTGAAGATTACCTTTCAGACGAACCACCTCTTTTGCTAGTGTAGCAATGCCGTTCATGGAGATAAACTCTTCCGCAAAGTTCGTATCAAAGAGAGCTTCTTTAAGATGGAATAGAATCTTGCCTTTTCCAACTTTATCATCTGAATTAAGTATTGAAATATATTCCCTGGATTTAAGTTCAGGTTTTAATTTTAGATAGATATTGAGTTTCTAATGTTTTTTGATATTAAGGATGAGAAGTGATGAAACATCTTTCAACGTACCTCCTTGGTCCAAGTGTTCTTTGGGATTGTGCTATCCCGAAAATAATAGGTTCCTGTACAAGGATTTTCAAACTGAAGAGAGAACTTATCAGTCCTGGATTCGGCAATATCGAACAACGCACAAATCTTATCGAAGGACGTCTTAAATTCTTCAGCTTCATCAAGGATGTAAGGCTTCTCCTGCTTTTTCAACCCGTCCTCATAAACCACCGTTACTGTAATCATTTTGAGACTGAAATATTTTTTAAGGTTTTACGCTGTTGGTACTGGTTCAACAGCGAGCTGGTTATCAAAAAAATGAGTTCATTTAACGGCTTGCCCCTTGCGTTTGGAAAACAACGGAATACAGCATCCAAAACCAATGCATCATCGTCTTCGGATTCATCATCTACATTACCATCAAGCAAACAACAATACACAAAAAAGGCCATATCTATTCTACCACAGGCATCCACTAAATCAAACGCCTATTCACCAGCCATTTCAAAAACATTGAAGTCTCATCAAGAAGAACAAAAACCAATGGTATTTACTCAAGTACGACATTTTGAGGAGGTAGAAGAAGATGATGAGGATGAAATGAATGAAAAAATCAATTCGATCGATGAGTCCGACGAACATCAAAGTAGTAGCACTTCTACGGTTGATGCAACAAGCCAACACACATCAACATTTAAAGAATTCATTCCGTGTTGTTCTCATTCTGTCAAAATGAAAGGACATAAAAAAGCAGTCACAGCACTGGCTATTGATCCTAGTGGTTCACGATTAATCTCAGGTTCAAGTGATTATGCTCTCAAGTTTTGGGATTTTCAAGGCATGGATGAATCTTTACAACCATTTAAATCTATTGATGAAGTTACAAGAGATGGGTCCTATGCTATCAAGCATTTAGAATTTAGTAACAGTGGTGATAAATTTATATTATCAGACAATTCATTACAAGCCATATTGTATAATAGGGATGGACAGAAATTAGGACGATTTAAAAAAGGTGATACTTATATTGTCGATATGAGTAAAACCACCGGACATACAGCATCATGGACAGGAGTGAAATGGCATCCCGATGCATCCAATCGTTTTGTATTGAGTAGTTCCATGGATTGTACACTCCGGGTATGGGATATGGAATATTTTAATAGTAAGGGACATAAGAGTGTTTATAAGACTCGTAATTCAAAAGGAATCAAAACACCATGTACTTCTTGTTGTTATAACAATGCAGGTAATTTAATGGTAGCTGGATGTAGCGATGGATCGATTCAAATATGGAAGGACAATTCAAATGGAAACAAAAGTGATATTTATTATGCTCCTTCTCAAAAGCAGAATGGTAAGTATGATGTGTTCTTGTGTGAGTGTTCAACTTGTTAACCCTGATGATGATGATCATTAACATCTCCCAATTTTTACCCAATCATGACCCAACCATGACCCAATTTTTACCCAACCAAATTTCCAATGACCTAACAAACATCCAATAATGTTGATGATCACCTAACAACCCATGATCCAACCATGAATGATACATACACCCTATCATGATAGCCTCTTCATGCATCACGTGTGTGTCATTTTTAACAAATGATCAAACCTTGATGGCTCGTGATGAAACCAGTCTACAAATTTTTGATTTGCGCGCCATGAACTCACCGCTCGCTGTGTGTTCAAATTTACCCAATTACTTTGAAAACTCGAATTGTGTTGAATCTCCATTAGGAAATTATATTGCTTGTGTGACTAGTTCCATCCATGAAAAAGATCATGGACATTTAATGATTTATGATTACAAGAGCAATGAAATGGTACATGAATTAGATTTAGGAGAAGGAGTGAGTGGGATTCAATTGAGATGGCATCCCATTATTAACCAAATCTTTGTTGCAGCATCAGATCATTGCATTACAGGATATTATGATGATGTGGGTTTTGATCTTTCAAGTAGTACTACTTGTTCAATGAATGATTCCATTTCAAGTAGTAGTAGTAGTACTTATCATCATTCCATTCGTGGTCTAGTTACAAGTATGAGTCGAGGAATTAAAAAGAAGAATATTGATCAGGCTCAAATGTTACAACCTCAAATTATTGCTCCATTTGCATCTGGAAATAGAAAACCTCTAAGAAAAGGATCTAAAAAACAAATTCAACAACAAGAACAACAAGATGCAAAATATCATAAACCAACCAATCAACCGCCACAAGGACCAGGATTTGGAGGTAGAATTAATGATAGTTTTACTCATTTCTTAATGAAAGGAATGGGTGTGGTTCATCAAAATTCAGAACATGAAAATGCTCGTGAAGCAATTTTAAAACATGCTGAACAAGCTGAAAAGAATCCTTTATTTATTGCACCTGCGTATCAACACACACAACCAAAACCAATATTTGCCTATGAAGAAGAAGAAGAGGACAATGAGGATGGCGATCATCATTCCATGGAACACTTTACGGAAAATGTCCATGATCGATTTCGAAGTGGCATTTCGAGACATGATGGAGATCTTGAACCATCTCAAAAGAAGAGAAAAGCAGATTGATATTGTTGTTCTTGATAGAGAAAAACAAATATTGTTCTTGATAGATTGTAAATTCACTCCAATTTAATTTTTACTACTTGGATGGGTTGGATGGTTCGCTCTCTGCTTGTAGTAGTTGATTAATTTCATTTAAATTTCTTTCCAATTCATTCAATAATGAATCTCTGAGAGGATCTAAACAATTTTCAATTAAATTGACCAAATTCGCCTGATATATGGAAGTATTGTACACAAAATTTGTAAATAAATTGGTAGTGTTGTGAGCATGATCTGATAAGTCTATCGCTCGATGAAATTCATCTCTCTCCTCATCAATAATTGCTTCTTGAATTTGAATGATACGTTGGAGAGAATTTCTTGGCCAATACGACATTAAAGATGGAGTGGTTGAATGTTGATCAGAGACCATGGTGAATCGTTCACTTTTCAATAATATGTGATCATCAATAATTTCTATTGGCACACTCACAGCTTGTAACATGATGGATTCCATGGCTGTGAATGGGGAATGAATGGAATTGTGTTGTTGTTGCTGTTGTTGATATAAATCTCGTGGAGTCATGGAGAGAGGACCGGCTCTTCTCGCTTGAAATGCATGCAATTTGATACTTCCAATATTATTGTTGTCCATCGAGACATCATTCAATTGGTTCTTCTTTTCATTACTAAATAAAGAAATAATTAATCCAACAAATCCTTGATCCATTTGTTGATATTGAAATTGACAATTTAAATCTATTGTACTTGGTAAATGAATAAATTGAGGATGAGAATGATACCATCCGACAACTCTGGAATGATGCGTATGGATTGATAATTTTTCAGCCATTTGTGCAGCATGAACTAATTGTTCAGGTGATATTTCTACTCGATCTCTTCTCTTTTTTTTCAAGTATTTCATTATGTATGTACATAATGATCCAAATGGATTTAAATTTCCATTGAATGAATGGTTTGATCATGTATGGATGGAATGATGATGAATGTGTTTTAAATCCCATGTATGGATTGAATGATTTGATCATGAATGGAATGATGAATGTATTTTAAATCCCATGTAAGGATTGAATGATTTGATCATGTATGGATGGATTGATCATTTTAAATCATTCTATTTACCTTATCCAATCTTCTCAATGGACAACAATCCCATATATAACTCACTCCATTCACTTCATATCCTATTAATAGACCCATAATTTCTTCTTCACTACATGTCAATGCATGAGAGAGACAAGATTGATAACAGTCATGAGTGATACAAACAGAATGAAGAAAATGATTGAATGATGATGATTGTGTATTCGGTTGTGGTGATAATGTCATGTTGGTGTTGATGGGTGAAGTGGTGGTGGTGTTGGTGTTGGCGGTGATGGGTGAAGTGGAGGTGGTGATTATGGTGGTGGTGGTGCTTTTCAATGGTGGTGTTGGTGATGAAGAATGAAACATTTTTTTTATAAAAATTCAAAACTTTTTCAGTGAGTTTCTTTTCGAACCTTTTCAAACCTTTTCAATACATGGGTGGTATAGATCTAAACCTCCATGGATGATCATGATACGATCGTATTCAATTTGTCCAAATTCTCCAAATTCACTACCACCACCACCACCATCATAGGATCATACACTATTGGTTGTCATCATAGGATCATACACTATTGGTCATCATTACATGTTTCATCTTGGAAAGTAAAAATTCTCTTTGAATCTCTGATATTTCAATATCATTCAATAAAGTGAGATGAGAACTACTATTCATGATGATTTGATCTCTAATCTTGTAACTTTGTATCATGTCATCACTGAACATTGGATTATTCAATAAATTGAGAGAATGTAAAAGAGTATTATGTTGTAATAAAAGTAAAATAGAATCCATTTGATTGATTTCTATGAGATTCTTACTCAAATCTAATTCAATGAGATGTTCAAGATGAGTAGCAATGGCATGTATACTTTGATTCATCTTGTTATGACTGAGATTGAGAATGGTGAGAGAGGACTAGTGTGTGTGTGTGAATGAGGGTGTGAATGGGTGAATGGGTGTGAGTGAGTGTAATTAAAAAACACAATTCCAAAAAAATATAAATTAAAAAAAACACAATTCCAAAAAAATATAAAAAAACACAATACTCACTTTTAAATTCATCATGACTGTTTCATCAATGGTCATTCCTTGTTCAATGTCTTGATGTTGTAAATACAATTCTTCTAATTTTGTTAATTGATTTAAACCTTCTAAACGACGAATTCGATTATGATTTAAATATAATTTTTGTAAATTCACTAATTGATCTAATCCTTCAATCTTTTCAATTAAATTATGATGTAAATGTAAATGAATGAGATTCTTATTATTCGATAGACCTTCAATTTTAGAAATCTTATTATCATACAAATAGAGTACTCTTAAATTAGGACAATGTTCTAAATTCACAATTTGAGAAATATTACAAGAATCAAAATGTAAATGAGTGAGAGATTTCAAATAAGATCGAATCGATTCACCATTTTGAATTCTCCTTAATGATTTTTTCAATAATAATTCTCGTGTAATATCACCTGGTTGGAATTCAATGATAATTTCTTTCTTTTTCGATTCTTGTTGTTCTTCTTCTAATTGTTTTCTAGTTCTAAGTTTTTGTTCAATTTTTTGAATCGATGCACTTGATAATTTGTCGAGTAGGACGACATGACGTTCAAATAACTCTTTGCCTAATCGTTGGTGAATAGTAACGAGTAGATCCATACACGAGTCTTTGACTTGAGCTGTTTTATGAGAGAGACATTCATTGAGAATTTGAAGAAGAGGACCATGAATTGGAATGGGTGAGAGATGGAATGTGGTGGTTGAATGGTGGGTTGAATGGTTGTTGTTATTGTGATTGTTATTGTGATTGTTATTGTTGTTATTGTTGTGATTGTTGTGATTGTTGTGATTGTTATTGTTATTACTTGTAGGAGTAGTATTATTACTTGTGTTACCTATATTAGTAGTAGTAGTATTGACACTCGTGGTGATATAATGATCACAAGACAATCCATGTTTGAGAATGAGTGATTCAATCAATGATAATCTTCCTTGTATGGCTTTTGGTGAAAGTACTTTACCAACAACATTCAACGATTGCAATGCATATTGAACGACCAGTTTTGAAATGACTTTTACATTGGACATTGTTGTTAAAATTGAAACTGCACTCTTTCTATTTCTATCATTGGAATCAATCACTTTCTCCATCAATAATGGAATAATTAATGATAATCCTTCTTTTAAATGTGTCATGTTTTTAGCTTGTATGACTGGTGCTGATTCTACTAAACAAGTACATGCTGAATATGCTAATTTGACAATCTTGATGGTTTTATCAGCAAGTGTTGTTTTCAAAATCATTGCAATAGCTTTTAACACTTTGGATTTTTCAATTGGTAAATGTACGGATGGAAATAGCATGAATCCATGAGGTAAATTTGAAGATTGTTGAATCCATTGAATCAATCGAGTCATGAACTCTTCACGATCTTGATGTTTGGATGATGTGAATAATTGATATGCCTCTTCAGAACCACACACTTCTAAAAGTAATTCTTCATCGAACAGGGAATTATTTGTGTTCGATAATTGTTGTTGTTGTTGTTGTTGAATGGTACCATGACTGTTGGGTGTAGAAGTTGCAGTAGAACAAGTTGTAGTTGTAGTAGAAGTTGTAGAAGTTTTTGTAGTTGGAGTTGTAGTTGGAGTTGCAGTAGAAGTTGGAGTTGCAGTAGAAGTTGGAGTAGAAGTTTTTGTATTCGATTGAGAGGAGCATGTACATGATGACCCATGAGTCGTGTTGGTGGTGGTGGTACTGGTCGTCGTACTGGCACTCGTAGTCATGGACGATTGAGAGGAGCATGTACATGATGAACTCGAACATTGACTATGAGCACTTGAGGATCGATGACTGGAATGAGTCGTACTGTTGTGGTTGTTCGAAGGAGGAGGAGGAGTGGCATTGTTGGTTCTTGTTCTTCTTCTAGTCAATGATGACGAGGATGGTGGACCATTATTGACAGGATGATTCAAAGAAGAGGAGGTGATCGATTCACAATCATGATTGGTTGGTTTTTGATTTTCTTTGGCTTGTTTCAAACAATTATCATCATCACGAGAAGTGTTCTTACTTTGAGATGGTACAATTTTAAAAGCAGGAGCTTCAAAGGAAGTATTCAATGATTTCATTCCCTAGAAAGAGAGAGAGAACGGTGATTGAAGGATGAAATATAAACCTCTTCGGAAATGGAGATGAAACAGTGTCAAATCGACGTCGTATGCTTTTAAGTGAGAAGATTGAATTCAAGTTGCAACTCTCTATTTTTTGTAAATGGATTGTAGATGAATTGGCGCTCAATATGATTGTCAGACTGAAGTGCACGGTGGTACTGCATAATAATACCAATAGAGATTATTGATCCTTTTTGGGATCATACACGACCCTGCGAGATGCATCTCAGGTGTGATTTTCAATTCACGTGTAACACGAGTTCAACTCATTACATCTCATGGTGGTATATACATAACTAATACATCTCATGGTAGTATATACATCTCATAGTACACACATTAAGAATCGATTAGAATGATTCATCATATGGTTTTTATCTTCTCTCAAGGAATGATACATGATGCGAAAATATTCACACACACACACACATTCGTTACTCATGACAGTCATGACTACCCTTATTGATGGAAGCATTCCATACACTTTTCAAATCAATATATTTTCCATGTGTCAATTGTAAATATTGTTGTTGTCTCTTAATTTCTTCATAACTATATAATATCGAATTGAGAGTATGAGTGAGTTCAAGACAATCTTGAAAGGTTTTATATGATCTTTCAGGTAAATATTCATCAATCATTTGTCTAACAATTTCAATGTCATTGTGTGGATTTGATGTTGTTGTAGTGGTATTATTATTATCAGTATTATCAGTAGTATTATTATTATCAGTATTATTCATAGTACTACTATTACTAGTATTATTATTAATAGTATGATCCTGTAAATTTACAGCATGATCATCTACATGAGTAATACTTGGATATTCCATAGGTGATACATCTATAAAATCCATTGGAGAATTTTCTAATAATTCCATTAACATTTCAAAGAGAGGTGAATCTTCACTCATTCGATTCAATACAAATAAATTCATTGCAAGTGAATGATTACAATCAAAACCAAACCAATATATGGATTTGAAATGTTTTTTAAATTGAGAAATGTCATGTTGATCCATTTCCATATATTGAATTGTAGTGTTATGATCATTGGAAGTAGTGATGATATTATTAGTATTATTATTGTTATTATTATTATTGTTATTACTATTATTATTATTACTATTATTACTATTATGATTATTATTACTATGATCATTGGAAGTAGTGATGGTATTATTATCATCGTCATTGATATTTTTGGTAATCTCATCATTATGAATATTTAATTTTGAAAAGATTGAAGGTGAATATCCATGATAATCAATGGGTTTCTCAAAATGATTCACTTCATGAATAAAAACATCTTGACATAGATCAGTCATTCCAATGAGTGGAGAAATGGATGTATTCAATGATTCTTGATGATTTATATTTTGTAATAGAGAGAATTCAAAGGAATTGGGAGTATCAAATTGTGTAATTGTTGTTGTTTGGAATGATGAAGGTATTCCAATAAATCCTTTCCAACATTGGAATACACCATCTCGATGCAATAGGAAATATCGAATGGATGGAGAAGGGGTTAAAATGGTTGTGGTGGAATTTACTGCTGTTGATGATGAAATGTTGGAATTTACTGCTGTTGATGATGGTTGTTGTTGAATCGATTCCAACGAATCATTAACATTTTTGGTATGTTCACTGTTCACATTGATGGACTCACTACTATTTGATAATAATTCATGAACATTGGTGGTAATTTTGAAAATGTAATTCGTGTGTGGATAGAGAAGAGTATCTTTTCGAATGCGTTCGAGTTGATGTTCGGCGTGATTCGTCATTTTTTTGTGTGATGCACACTGTTTTGTAAAGTGTTAAAAGCAACGTTGAAGATTTGTGTTTTGATTCAAATTTCAAATATTCATGTATCAATAAAACATGGAATCATGGAATAATATGAGGGAAGACTTCTGCAATCACCTGGCGATGACTCTAGAGTTTGCAAATAAATTAAAAATAACGACACCCCAACCGTCGTAACTGTCTTCGGAATTACAAAATTCGTCGTCCTCATGTATCACATCTCCACAACCTCTAACAACAACAACCACTCCAATGAGTCTACAACATGTCTTGATATTCATAGTCATGTATATAAATACTATGATGATGGATTATATGAAGAAGAACAACCATGTGTCATTCCGAATTGTAATGGAATTCATCCAAATATTAAAATAGATATTTCTCAATCCATGATCATTCATTCACTTCAAAATATTAAATTGAGTGATCCATCATCATCATCATCATCAACATTATCGACTAGTATTTCTTCTTCTCCTACGCCAAATTCCGATAGCAAGATGGTCCATAACTTTCTCGAGAAACGGAAGGATCATTCAATGACGAGTAATAATGGTTGTAATAATGGTTGTAATAATGGTTGTAATAGTAGTAATAGTTGTAATACTTGTACCATTCCTCATCAAATGCCAATTTGTCTTGCTTCTGATGTTAACATTGTTAGTCCAACTTTGAACACTCCACACGCATCAACACCATTCATTTGCTCCAAACCATCATTCAATTCTTCAACAACGGCAATAACAACAAACACCACATCTCAACCACCAGCCAACCCTTCTATTACTGTAACAACACCACAATTCGATCATAACAGTATGGATGACATGTGTGAAGATGATGAAAATTTTGAATATAACGATGAGTTGAATTTTCTAATATCTAATTTTGATTTATCAGAAGAAGAAAAGAATAAATTCATGCCCTATATTTACTGAACGCGAATTGGATTGTTTATTACCAATGGTTTACACTTTGACAATCAATGGTGAGCTCATTTAAGAGTTGTGTGGTAGCACCTGCACGCTTCCAAGTCGAACATGATTAGAATTGAGTTTCTAAAGTCAGTTCCTTGTGCCACTACAGCTCCTTATTCTGAATTGCTGTTGAGCAATAACGCGCATCAGCAGTAAGATTCGAAAGTTGCGCGGAGCGACATAACAGAAGGGTAACGATTTTAAAAAACTCTCTCAAAAAATATTCTCAAAGTCTCTGGGTAAGTCTTTTTTTGCCGATGGCCTAAATCACCCATACGATGAACGTTTACTTTTGAAATTCTAATCATGATGATGAATGTGGTACTATTTTGTCATGATCTCTTTTTAAAAATTTTGGTATCCAACGATGATGATTTGTTGATGATCATTTCCTTTGGTTTTCTCATTCAACACAACATCACTTCCTCGCATCTAATGATGTAAATCACTCTCTCATTGATTATGTAATGGGACAATATATTCTTTACAACTGGTCTACCATTTCAATCCTATACGATCCTATACAATCCTATACGATCCATTCCCATAATATTGAAACAAGACAGTGATTGAAAATGAAAAAGCTCTGGGTGATTGGAACTCAAACCATTAAAACCAAATTAGGAAAGGCTGAGCAAACGGAAGATGATGAATTCTCAATGCTCCATAACAAATTCAAAGCATCTGAAAAGGCTTCTGAAAACTTTGTAAAACATACAAATCAATTGATTGAGAATTTCCATGCCTTTTCTACTACATTGGCCTTTTTAGCTGAAGATTTTCGTGATGTGAATACTCAAAATTCACCAAAAATAGAACAAGCAGGTGCAGTTTTAGAAAAGGTCGCCAAATCAGTCGAAACCAACTGTGTGTTGCCTTTCCAGAGCAATGTCACCGCCAATGTAGCAACTCCCGCCAATGAATACTATGTCCTTTTTGAACCTACAAAGAAACTATTTAAGGAAAGAAAAGATATTACTTTACAATATGATTATTATAGACAACAAGTTGAAAAGTTGAGTGAAAAACAATCAAAGAATCCTCTTGAATTACCCAAGGCTAAAGAGAAGATGAATACTTTTAAAGAAAAGTGGGAAGAAATTAACTTGCAATGCAAACAACACATTCTTGATATTCTTGAAAAGGAGCAAGGTGTATTTGAGCCTGCTATTCAACAATTATGTGCTAATTTATTGGAATGGAATTCAAAATTGGCAACTTGTATGGCAGAATTGAAGAATCATTCGACTACATTGATTGTTTCTCCAATCTCAGCAAGTAGTAGCAGTAGTAGCAGCAGCACTACTCAATCGACTCATGTGGATCTCAAGAGTGGTAGTACTGCAACAAGATCTCAATCTGTTATGGGTAGTAGTAGTAGTTCTGCCATTCCTCCTGCATTTGATTGTGAATGGTTCTATGTGGATTCCAATGTTGAGACTCAAGGACCAGTGTCATTCAGAGCCATGCAACAAAAATTCAAGAGTGGTGAGATTAAACCAGATACTCATGTGTATGGTGGTGATTTGACTGATTGGGTTCAGATTAGAACTGTGGCTGGATTAGAGCAAGCTTTGAAACAATAAATTTTTTAACTTGACAAAGTCTAGATCGAGAGTTTGTTTCACAATCACCAACTTGAAAATTAGTCTTTGCTTATCCTCTTCGTCTGGTCAATCAAAAGTTAACTTGTTGGAAAAATATGAGCACTCAATTGTCCGACGATAGTGTGTCTAATGTAGGTGTGAGAATTGAAACACTCTCGAAACTTGTTATTGGAAAAAAGAATGGACTACTCCTGCTTCCAACAACTACAACTCCCTCCTCTCATGGCACTCATTAATCTTGTCAGACATTTCAAATTGAAAAATAAGCCTTACATTGAACGTTATGAGAAAGAACGGAAGTCTTTTGGATGTTGGTCTTCGATTGGTTTTGGTAACTTCGAACAATAAACTAATACCACTACTGCACCACAACAACACCCATTATGTTTAGAATTCAACACTTTGTAGAATAAATTGGCTTTTTGGTTGTTGGTTTGCTCAGTGATTTTCTTTGCGTCTGTGGTTGGCTTTGGTCTTATCATTGACAGGTTTCATTGACTTCTTTGGGTGGCAACCAACAATTGTTTTGCAGTTGTTCCGAGAAATAGATACCAGACTGCGACGAAAAAACTAGAGAAAAAATTAACCTTTGTTTAACTTTCAGAAAACCACCAGTCCGTTTATCACACAACAAGGTTTCTTTTATACCCTAACTTTTGTTAGATTATAACTATTTGAAAACGGGAAACAATAACGGTAAAAAGATAATCCTCCATGTGTCATCATATTATTACAAACGAACTGCTGTACATAGAGTAGTCAATTGTTCAAGTGATGTTCACAATGGAACAGTATTAACATTAATTATGTTGTCCAACTCCATTGCTGTTGTTTGAACAGTCGGAACTGTAATCCATCGTCCGTAGAGAAGTGGAAAGTAGAGCAAATATTCAACTAGATCATGAAAATTACTTTCTACTACGATGTTAACCAAGTTGTATAACAGTAACTATGACAGTAATAAAATTCGTCATTATACCCTCAAAATCTCATGAAATTTGGGACATGTAAGCGCAATTGTAACGGTAATCGTTTTTGAACGAAAATGTTCAGGTTATATGGTTATACGTAACACAACTGATCATGAAAACTATTGGCATGGATCTGTGATTGGTAATGCTATGTACAAACTTCTTTAGTGTTTTGTACTGTTAACAGTAGTTTGTTGTGAGGCAGTGTTTTAATTTACAGAACTAATTTATTTTGGAGCCATATAAGGATTGGTGTTAGAACTCATGGCATGTTTCTAACTTTGGTTGTAACGCTCAGCTTTGGTGGAACATCATACTATTTCACAGTGAATTAACAACCTTTTTATTGCTACGCCGCTACATATAAATTCATAGTTCAAATGGTTCATGAAATATCAAAATTAAATTCCGATAGAAATGGAAAGTTTGCATGAATAAATGGCACACTAGGATGAAAAAGCCATCAAGAGAAATTATTTCTTTTTCTTCTTTGCTCCAGCCATAGCCTCTGCTTCCTCCTTCTTGTCTTGTAACGCCAAAGGATTTTCTTCATCTTCAGTATCATAATAATCTTTTCCAATTGTTTGATAATAGGTTTTAATTTTCTTCTTTTTTAATTGAATAGCTTCCATGATGGCTGCCGTAGATACATAACTAACATCTGTAAAGTCTAATTTTCTTCCGTCCTCAAACTCAATTAAAAGAGATGGTGGTTTAGCATTTTTGTCGTAATCATAGACATTGATTGTAATAGCACAATCGGGATTCGTGTTCTTTACTTTTGGAGCCCAGCATCTATCATAAAAGTCTTTAGCACCTTTGTTCACATCTCGAAGCATGAGTGGACAATAGTTAAAGTGTACTTTTTTAATCATACGGAGTGAGAATTTCTTTCGAAGTAAGTGAGGCTTGGCAGTGAGCGAAGTGATGGACTTGAGAGCGAAAGCGGTTGTGTGTTGTGATGATGACATTTTTTTTAATTATTTTTTAAAAAATTCAAACACATGCAACACTCCACAACATGCAAAGAACCCAGTCCATGTTGATCTTTACTCCTCCAAGTCCATTTGAATCAATCGAAGTGTACCATCATAAAAAGTGCATGTCGCCAAATACAAACGATTCGAATCCTTTCGAACGAACTCGATATGGTTGGTGCTGAGGTGGTCGTCAACCAGGTTTGTATCATCATCATCATGGTGATGCATCTCCAAAACAGAACCACACCAATCAATTCCATACGACAGTAAATTATCTTCAGGAAGGTAATGAGCAACAATGGTTTGATTGGAAATATCCAACACATGAAATCCATTATACATGGTAGCAGTCGCAATAAGGCTTGATGGATTGTTCCTTAGAGGACTTGTTCGTAGTAACGACGACACATTGGGTTTAATATTCCACACTCCACCTCCTAATTCAAAGGTATGAATGGGTTGGAATCCTCTCATCTCTCTATGACTACTATTACTACCACAACTACTACCACAACTACTACTCATTTGAGATGCCGAGAACATTCGACAATCCCATACTTTCAATGTATCATCATAGGAACCTGTATAAAATTCAAATTCTTTAAAAGGAGAATGTTGAATGCAACAAATACCAGAGGCATGCATATTCATTGATTTGAAAATACTCTTTTGATTATGAATGTCATATAATTTGAAGAGAGAATCATCTCCACCACTATACATGAGTTTAGAATTAAAATAATGAAATGCACTGGTCCAACATTCACATTCATGTGCATTGGAAAAGGTATAAAGGTGTGACAATTGAACGTTGTGATTGTTTGAATCGAGTTGACATGTTGATGATAACGAAACAGCAGTTTGTATGTTGCCAGAGTCGAGAGGTGATGATGAAAGAGAATGCAAGGCTTTGTGACCAGTATGCATGTCAGTATCCATAATCGATGAAAAGTTCAATAATTCCAAGACATGAACATGACCATACGAATCTCCACAGGTCAATAAGAGTTGAGTAGAGAGCAGCTCATCATCACGATGGTCATTCCAATCCACACTGGTCATCATTCCACTTTCATGAAATGAATAATCACAAATAAATTCCAATTCTGAATAATCTTTGCCTTTCACATGATAGATGGAAAGAGTTCGATTCGTCTGACACACAGCAAGCAATGGATAATAAGGATGATATTTCATATCAAAGATTCCATACGGAAGTGAAGATAGAGTTTGAACAAGTTCAAGATGTGATGATTGTATTATTTTGAAATGATAAATGGTTCCTTTGTGTTGTTGTTGTTGATGATGAGTGGTTGTATTGGTGCTTGTTTCGGTGCTTGTGTTGGTTGTTGTGTTGGTTACTAATTGATAGGTACAACATGTAATGATAGAAGGATTGAGAGGACAAGTCTCCACACAATCAGCACTTTCAATGGTCGAGAAGGAATCGAGAGTGGTCATCTTATTGGTTGGCATTTTTTGAAATTTTCAAATCATTTTTATTATTTTAATTGAAGAATGCCCAATGCTTGTCCATGACACAACCACCACACTTCAAAAAATTCAATCTCTTTCAAGTGGTCACTTGGAACGGTGGTGCTGTTCATTCATCTCATCATCCAATAACCACCGTCGTGTAAATACAATCATCATCCAATAACAACAACCCTTTGTACAGATAATACCAACAGACTCGTCATATCCGAGACGTGACTCAGACATCATCTCTCGGGTCATTTGAAATCACTCTGAAGTGGTTGATCATTAAAACTCATCACAAAATAATTAAATACTGTCATAGTCAACAACAAATTCAGACATGGCTCATCGACTCTTCACAAATCCAAATAATAATAATAACAGTAACAATAATAATCACATGATGTATGGATCTCTTTCTCCACCAATAGATCAAGTACGTAGACACTCGTTTGAAGGTGTTGGTAGTGGTGTTGGTGGTTCGAGTAATAGTATTGGCACTTCTTCTTCTTCATTGTTAAACAACAATATTCACTCTTCTGAAGCGCTAGTGTCAAACAACCATCCAACAGGATCCATCCTTGGTAGTAGTAGTAGTAGTAGTGCAATTACTACGAACAATACAAGTACACACAGCAACCATACACCACCACTACTCCTTTCATCTTCTCTTCCATTGCAACCATACACCACCACAAGTCGTTTGATGCAACAACAACAACAAACATCTTCACCTCATCATCATCATCAAAGAACAGCATCAGCATTTCCTGCATCACCTCTTCATCGAGGAACCAGTGAATCTAAAATCAATCCAGAATCTCATGGTGCACCATCATACATGATTAATGGTGGAATGAATAGTCCTTCAAGTAATCATGTATTTGGTGGTACAAGTAGTAGTAATAATAATAATTCACCACGAGTACAAACTCCTTCATCACTCACTCCATCACGTCATCATAGTGTTCATGTGAGTGGTAGTGGTGGTATGAGTAGTGGTGGTGCTAATAATTTTATTCATGATCTCTCACCATCTCTATTGATCCATTCAACAACAACAACTAGTAGTAGTAGTACTAGTAATAATAATAGTAATACTCATAATAATATTCAACACTCGAGTGACACATCTTCCAATAATGATATGAATTTAATGTTCATGATGATGGATCAGTCTGTTATTAATCAATCATCAAATATTAGAACTTCGTTGAAATATGATCGAAATAATTCATCATCCAATAATAGTAGTGATAAGAATGCACCTAAATCTGTGTTAATTCAAAATATTGTTCATGATCTTATTGAAGAATTGACAAATATTATTAAAAAAGATTTAAATGCACATCATACAGGTCATACTAGTAGTAGTAGTGGTACGAGTGGTATTGGTGGTATTAGTGGTATTGGTGGTATGAGTGGTGGTCATTCAAGTCATACCTCTCATCATAACAGTGGACAATATTTATCAAGTCATGGAAGTATGGATTTTACATCATCCATGATGATGCATGGTATGAGTGGTAGTGGTGCTGGTGGTGCTGTTGGTGGTATGAGTGGTGGTACGAGTGGTGGTATGAGTGGTGGTAGTACCGGCATGACAATGAACACTAATTCAATGACAACAACCACATCAACTACTACTACAAGTCATAATCAAAATAATAATATCAATAACAATGTCACAACACCAATGAATAACACCAACAATACCAACAATAATATTGCCACTACCAACAATATTCTACTTCCTAGTAATATCATGATGATTGGTGGAACAGGTGGATTATTAATGAATAGTGGAATGAATACATCTACTTTGAATACTTCTCAAAATAGTTCGAATAGTTCAGGATTATTAATGGGTAATCATTTGAATCATCATTCTTTTAGTAGTGGTATGGGATCGAGTCTTGCAGCTTCTCTATCGACTAGTACTCTGAATTCGTCGACGAGTAATAATATATTGTACTCTTCATTGAATTTTCAATATGAATATCCTTTTATGACTCCACTTGCAAATCATCATGATGACACGACAAGTAAGTATCCTTTTATCGATATACATTAAAGTATATATGAATATTTGCACATTCATTCACAATACATATCATCCATCCATACATATATCACCCATCCATACATAACCCACACACAAAACCATCCATCCATATAACCTATCCATATAACCCACACATACATATATCACCCACACACAAAACCCATCCATCCATACATAACCTACACACATACATATCACACACACACACACACACAAAACCAGACAAGTATACAAATATTTATTTTAATAATTCTCATTCTTTGAAATTACTTTTTAAATATCATAATGAGAATATCATTTCCAAAGTATTTATTTACAAGGAAATTCTTAAAAGAATGCAAGACAATGAAGATAATATTACCATTCTACTTTATTGTCTCTATTTATTAAAAACAATATTAACAACATTTAAAAGAGATGATCGACTAGTAGATCAATATAAGAGTATTTATTATTATTGTAAAGATGTACTTGTAAAGAAACATCGAAATGCTCATTTACAATCTCAAATATCATTTACTATTAAATATTTATATAGATATTTAATTAAAATATTACAAAAGAATCAATTATATATTCTCAACATGTTAAACTATGATAAGAGAATATCAGGATTGACTTCTCGAGTATTTGAATATTATTTATACAAGAATCGATTATTGAATAATGAAATATTGAAGTTGTATCAACAACACGAAGATTTTATGAAACAAAAACAATCCTCCAGTGTCATGGATTTTGTTTATTTTGGATCTCAATTTAGAAAATTTACTAAATTTGAAGATAAACAAGCAGAATTGGATTTGAGTCATCGAGTATTAAATGTTGAGAATATGGATACCATTAGACATCAAATTGCAAGTATTGAACATGAGATTAGAAATCAAGGTCATCGAGAAGAACATGACACTTCTATTATTGATGAATTATTATTACCAAATATATCTCAATACATTGATCAATACTATGAATATAAGGATAATAATGATCAATATATTGAATCTATTATAGATAATTATGATCAATTTAATACTATATTAAATCAAATCGTGAATGGATGTAGTAGTAACTTGATTGCAGATGAAAACAAACTCAATGACGCATGTCTATTATTTGTCATGATGGTTTCACATGCTGTTTATGGTGGTAGTGCTCAAAATGGTCATGTGTCATCCATTCCTAGTCATATTCATTCGTATCATCATAACAAACTCACCATGAAACAATTGAATAGTTTCTTTTTAGAAATGATGGACAATCATTCACTCACATCCGTCTATTATGTATTTAAACTTTTATTTAATATTTATTATTATAATTTGAGTTTATATGAAATGTATCAAAATATTCCAAGTATTGAAGTTGTGTTGAGTGATTTATTTTCTAAATTTTGTGATATGGCCATGGTGTTTTATACAAGTCATCATGACAAGTTGAATAGTACCAAATCAATGAGTAGTAGTACCATGAGTAGTAGTACCAAATCAATGAGTAGTAGTACCATGAATAGTAGTACCAAATCAATGAGTAGTAGTACCATGAATAGTACCATGAATAGTATCCATCCAAGTCAAAGAGATGAACAATTATTGGAACAAATCAAAGCATCAATCTGTGAAATGTTATCCTTCTTTTTATATCATCATTTTATGATTTATAATACGAATCATAATCCACTCTTATCAACGAACACTCATGGAATCAATGTATTGGTCATTGAATTGAATCCACAAATTCTCATTGATGATTTAGATATTCGAGTCGTCTATGATTTGATTTTGTATAGTTTGAATGGTGAAATGAGTGTGAATAGTACGAATAGTACTACTACGACGAAGACCAAGACGACGACGACGACGAGTGCGAGTACTACTACGAACACGAACAGTACTACTAACACGAACAGTACTACGAACAGTACTACAGAGAATACTACCACTTCTTCTTCGAGTACGACTACTACTACTACTACTCAACAACATGTGGGAGAGCATTATGATCTATTAATAGCATTATTGTGTTTCCAACTGAATCAACAACCTCAATTATTACAAAAATTACCCTCTAAAATTGATTCTATCATTGATCTCTATAGCTCTTATAACTATTTATTGAATATGAATAGCAAATATAATCTATTTCTCATAATATTTGATTATATCATTCAAAAAGAATTACCAAGTATTGATCCATTTCAAAGAGATTTATTATTTTTAATCTTTGATAAGAGTAATTTACCAATCTATGGTCATTATTTATTTAAATTTATGCCCAATGTTGATAAGAATTTTACCTTTGTTAAATTATTTACTAAATTCTTTTATTCGAATTTTGTCATGAAATCAGAGAATACATTGATACCACTTGGTAATAATTTTGATATGGAGAGTATGATGAAATTTATTATTGGATTACAACGATTGTCATGTCATTATTTAAATTGTGAATTTAAACCATACATTTCTCAACTTTTAACAATTCACTCGAATTTGACATCTCCTCGTAGTGGTGTGAGTGTTACTTCTTCTAGTGCTGCTATTTCTTCTTCTAGTACTACTAGTTCTACTAGTTCTACTAGTTCTAGTACTACTACTGCTTCTACTACTACTTCTAGTACTACTCACTCATTGAATTTATTTGATCATTTATTGAAAGATTTAATTTTTGATATCCATGATGAATCCAATCGAAGACAAGGTGAACTTGCATTATTTAATATTATGAAATTTACTGAAGATTATGATTCATTGACGAGTTCTTCGACATTGAATTATTCGAGTTATTTGGGAAGTACTACTACTAGTGGCGTTTTGAATCAAACAACAAATTCTTCTTCTTCTACTACCATCAATCATTACTATTCAGAATTGAGACAACAAATGAATCAATTACTCAATGAAATGATTCATCATGATTATGCTCCAATTCGAATGATTTATTTAAATTTATTAGAAAAAAAGATTCAATTATTGAAATCGAAATGTACCACACATGGTGATAGTGAAAAAGTGAAACTCATGATCAAAACATTGAATGAATCTCTTCTAGAATGTATTGTAAATAGAAAAGAGACAGATACAAGAATATTGATGAGAGCCTTTCATTTGGTGTTTGATTTTATATCCGTGTGTACATTTCCACATTCTTATCATCAAATGTATTCCAATTCTGGTGGTAGTGGTAGTAGTGGTGGTGGTATTGGTAGTAATAATAATAACAATACTAATAGTACTAATAATGGTACTACGACTACTACTACTAATAGTAATAATCATAATACTAGTACTGGTAATCATCGTACAACAACCTCACACTCTTCATCCTTTCATTCGAACAATAGTAGCAATGCAAATCATTCTACTAATGGTATTGCTGGTCACTCTTCCTATCCACTCTATCATCAAGTCTTCAATATGGACATTTATGATTTATTCTTGAATGGACATGTTAGTATTCCATTCTATTTATTGAAAGATATTAGTATTAGTATTTTGTATTATTTATTTGAGTCATTACATGCTTCCACTCCACAAACTCGTCAACTCTCTTCCATTTCTTCGATTTTACTCATTCTCATTATTGAAAAGTGTAACAAATCTCCACATGTATTGGCGAGTATTGGTGGTATTACATTCTTTAAGAATTTACTTCAACAAGAGAGATATAATGCTACCATTCTCTATTACACAAGCAAGTATTTGATGAAACAATTGAGTCAATCTTTTCCAAAAGAGTATTACAAGTATTTATCAAATTTAATTTTAAAAGCACAAACAGAGAATTTACCAAACTTGTTGCAAAATCCTTACAATCCTTTCTTTATTTAATAAAATTTATTGTCAAGTGTTAATGACTGTGTTTTTGGGTTTGACTCTGCGATTTCTTCTTGATCATGGTGTCGCTCCTAAACTCGCCCTGTGTGACTCTGACGGGTTCAAGAGATGGGAACTGACAACATTGTTTATTTACAATTTATTGGAAAACACAATTTACTCCCAATCATCTTCGTCTGAAGCTTCAGTAGTGTTTGTTGTTGTGTGATGGTCTAGATGAGTGGTTGCCATCTCTCGATTCGATTCAACAGCATGACTGCTAGGTGTAGTAGAAGCACGAGCAGCATCGGACACGAGTAACGAACCATTATTGCTTTCAACAATACCTGATAATTGTATCTTAATAAATTCTTTTACATCGTTGACTGTTTTAAATTCATCACTTTCAAGTATTTCATTCAAAACATTTAAATAAAATTCTTCACGAGTCGTAGTAGTGTTCGTATTCTTTGTCTCTTCTTTCAACGATTCAAATAATTTTCTCTTTTTTTCAAATTCTTCGAAATTAATTTTCAATTGAAAGTATCTCTTCCAAAATAATAAATAGGAGACTTGAGAAGGTACTAATTTCATATGAATATCTTTAAGAATTGAATCATTTTCTAATATTAATGTAATATCTGTTGTCACTTGATCAGAATTGATATCAATTTGAATTGTATTTAAATCATTTTCATCTGTTAAATAAATGGGTTGTAAATAAGATTGTTCATTATGAAGTATTTCCGAGAGTGTGGTTGTGAGAGATGATGATGGTTGTTCCGAGGATGACGATGGTGGTGGTGGTAATTGTAATTCATTGGAAACAACTGCAGCAAATTCGTTTAAATCCTTCTTGTACAGTTCAATGAGATTGGCACTGTTTTGAGCAACAGTTTCTGTGATGGATTTGAAATATTCAAACATGTTGGGAATTATGATGATTGGGTGGTTGTTATTTTCAGATCACAATCAACGTTCCCGTGAAGAGAATGCACAAAAAATCGAACGATAATTTTTTTATTAAAAAAAATGAAAAGACAGTTTATAAGTTGGAAGAGACCATCCGCAATGTTGTTGCAACTTGAAGGCTCAACAAGAATACCATTCTTCCGATACTTTTCAACAACATGGCATACAAATAATAATAATAACACAACAAATACATCATCCAATCAACCCAACAATATCACCACATCCAACACCACAACTAACGATAATTTTGTCTTTTCATTAGAAGATTTAGAAAGAGTCAAAGAACAATTAGTACAAACAATAATGACACAAGAAAATTCAAGAATACCATTACCATCTCCAGGTAAATCAAGTGGTAATGAAGCTATTGATGAAGCAACAAAACAATGGAGATTAACAAACACCAAAGACGATGAAAATTTACAAAAATTATTCAAATCCACACGAACCAAACACAACACTCGTGCTGCAACGACTCTTCTCGAACAATCACAAATGAATATGGAAGGTGATGAAAATTCAGATGATTTTGAAGTGGGTGTTGAGAAGGAAGAACTTGCAAAATATGTCAATCCCTATAATCCAGAGACTGGTGAAGTGAATGGACCAAAAGGTGCAGAACCAACGAGATTTGGTGATTGGGAAAAGAGTGGAAGATGTGTTGATTTTTAATAGTTTGTATGCATGACTATGGTTAAAATTATTATCATGGATCCATTCAAGTCATGGATGATGCATGGATAGAATGATGAGAGTGTGTGATGATGAATGATGGATCGAAAGTTTTATGGTTGATTCATGACCTTTGAAATAATTCTTCTAAATCTCATGACATTCAACTTTTCCAAAATAAACTTGAACAGGAAGGTAATCTTATTCACTCTCTTCCTAAATCCAATGGTTGCCATACCTTCACTATATTTCTGACATGTATCAAAACTCAATTTAGATGATTGTTCATAGAGTGTGAGTGCTTCACGTGTAAAACCATGTTCTTTCAAATGAATGGCTAATTGTACTGCATCATGAATGGCAATAAATGTTTGTTGATACAGAGTTGGATCCACACTATGAGCAACATTACCAATAGCAACAACACTCGAATCATCGGTGGAGTGATATAATTGTTTCAATTCATGATCATAGGCAATTTGTGAAGATGCCACCACTCCCACCCGATCTCTAGAATGGAATAATTGTCGGACATTATCCAAAACAGAATCTACACCATTGTCTCTCAAATTAGAGTGAATTTTAAAGACAAAATGTAAACAAGTAGTATTCACTCTTTCTGCACCAAGTGCACTGTGTTTTGGAATGTATTGAATACTACTCAATCCAAGTTGTTGATTTGGAAGAGGAATGAGACTGAGTCTACTAGAATTATTCCACCATTCAAATATTCTTGATTCATAATCAATATCAGATGGACATGGCATGATAATAGTATCACATTCATAGAAGCGAGATCGAATCATGGATTCATTTCCTAATTTAGATTGTAAATATTTCAGTGTAGTAGAGTGTTGAACATCTTCTTCAGCAGCAACTAACAAGTCAACATGTCTCTTTGCAATGGCCTTTTTTGATGAAATGGCAATTTTACCATTACTACCATCATTGACTGCTCTGACATTATCATGAACTATATTAATATTTTGGTGTTTTTGAGCCTTTTCTAATAAGAGTTTGATAAGGAAGCTCTTTTGAATGCTATACAAGCCTTCAGGAGGTGCAATATTTTTCAAATCCATAACAGTAATTGGATTTCTAATATCAGCTCGAATAATATGATAATGTGATAGATTCTTAGCATAGGGTGATTTTGTTACATCAATTCCACAATAATCACGTAACATGTTTACGCATTGTTGGGACAAAACACATGCTTCATCTTTGAGTGGATTAGGATTGGAATAAACATCAATAGATTTAATTTCATTGTTATCAGTGCTACTACCAGTAGAATTTAATTGCGAAAGAGCAAGAGAGAATACGAGACCTTCCACGCTATGACCGCTCACTCCGATAGTTTTTGGAGCGAAGGAGCTGAAACAAGTGGAGAAGAAGCGATTGTTGTTAGTGTTGGAAAATATGTTGCTTGAATAACCATGTTGATAACCAACAATGCTTTTAGACAATTTGTTTTGATGATGAAAGGCTTTGCTTGAAGATTGAAGACATTGGAAGAGAGTCTTTTGCATCATTTTTTTTGTGGCGTTCAGAAAACCAGCACTATCAATGACAAAGGCCCAAAAAACTTTAAGATGTAGTTCGAATCCCAACTTTGCATTGGTGTGCTCATATTACCACAATATATTATTTTTGAGTGGGAGCTCCGTTCTCTTAATAGCCACCATGCTCGACCCATATTGAATCAAGTAGAGAAATTCTTGTTCATTTCATGAACAATATTACAATGAATGGATCGTCTCTTTATGTAAAAGAAGGTTACTTTTTCGATGTGTGTGGTTGTTGTTGTTGTTTGGTAGTGCTGCTGCTGCTACTATGTTGTGAATTTGCCAAAGTTGCAACTGATTGAGGCTGTCTAGTGGCTGTAGTCAATGTAGTAATATTAGAAGAAGGTGCACCATGAATATGATGATGATGCACAACGGTGGTAGGTGTAGATACGACTTGAATGGAGGGTGGTTGTGATACAGCCATTCTCATTGCAGTGTTGGAGTGAGTGGTTGTTGTTGTGATCTGACCTCCACTTCCATCACTGCTCGTCACTGTTGTTAATGTTGTTGGATTCAACACACCTGCTGTTGTTGAAGCTGTTGTTGAAGCTGTTGTTGAGGTATTGGATAACTGAATGAAACCAGGTGTTGTTCCTTGATGTGTGGGTGGTGGTGGTGGTGGGGGTGGTAATAAACCTGTTGTGAATCCAAATGGTGGTGGTGGTGGTGCATACGAGGGATGAAAATTAAACATTGAAATCATGAAGGGGTGAGGTTGAGAAACAAAACCAAGAAGTGGTTGAGTGGTCGTTATTGGAACACCTAGAGCAGTCATGACTGGTGGTGTGATGAGGGAGGGAGTAGGAGTTGTAGTTGCAGTCGCTGTAGTTGCAGTACCACTCGAACTGGATTCACGTGTGTGGGTGGTTCCTGCACTCAAGGAACGATTGGATCTGGAAGGTTGTTGTGTGGAATCTTTCTTTGGCCTTCCTCGTTTTTTGGATGGCTCTGTGGCCATTGAGCTTGTACTAGTCGTGCTGCTACTTGTGGATACTGTGTTGTTGCTTGTAGTAGTAGTCGCAGTCGCAGTTGCAGTCAAAACATCATGATCTGCAGATGAGGAGGACATACCCGTCTCAGCGACCACACTACTACTTGCTTGTAAAGAAGACAATGTAGCAGGACCACTACTATTATTACTACTAGTATTGCTAGTATTAATAATACCACTCATAGTAGAATTTGTACTTCCAAATGCCAATGCAAGATTCAAACTAGTATTGAGTGTACTTTCATAGTTCATTCCAATGACATCCAATGCATCTCTTTGCTCCCCAACCATGCATGCAGTATCTACAAACTCATTCATGATGGTATCCTCGTCCTCCTTTTCAGTAATATTACATTCAGACAAGGATTCATGATGACTCTGAGTGGGGTTGGTCATGACGACCATCGAATCAGCATCAGAAACCACTTCTTTCATAAATTCAAAATTCTCAGCAAAATATGAATCATAGAGAGTATTCTTCATTTCCAGACGTGGTGTAGAATCAACGATTGATTCCATGGATGTATTGGCAGCCACAGAACATGAGGCACCTGATGTGGATCCAGGTTGTATGGTATCAAGTATCAATTTTGGTGGTTGTAACTTTTTAGATTGTGCTGCAGACATGAATACAAAGGATGACTCATTCTTCTTCTTCTTTTTCTTTGGAATCATACATATGGATGTTACAAGTGAATTAATCATTGGTGCTCGAAGTGGTTTTCTGAAACTAGGTGTCTTGGTCAGAGAAGGTATGGAATGTGGTTGGGAAAATGGTGTGAATGGAGTGCTAGTTGTTGTTGTTGCTGTTGAATGATAGGGTCCAATATTATGGTTCATGCTGCTATTACTACTCATGTTACTAGTCATATTACCACCCATATTACTACTCATTATTCCACCAATAGAAGTGTGAATTTTTCGTAAACGACTCATCCTTAATGACTCAATAATTTCACTCTCAGATTTCTCATACCTTGACAAATTCTCCATCTGAGAATAGGATGCTTTTGGTGTATGATCTAATTTAGAGGCAAGTTGATGGTATTTGTGATAACATGACTCGGCACTTCGAAATGGTATTAATGCATTAGTTTCTAAATGCTCTAAATAATTTGAAAGAATTTCTGAAACACTATTCCAATTCACAACAAGCATTCCTTGTGAATCATCCGTAATCATCATATTCTTTACAATTTTCATTAAGAGAATCTCTTCTTCTTGTGACCAAGGAATGGAATCCTCTAAATATCCTCCTCCTGTTGTGGTGGTAGATGATAAGGATGGTGGTCCCATTAGTGGTGGAAATGTCATTGCGGACACATTCTTTTTTCTTCTCGGAGGACTGAGAGGATTCATGGTATTCATGGGAGCGGTGATGGGGGTGGTCGTTGTGGTGGTAGTAGTACTGGAACTCGTCATGGCAGTCATACTAGTACCAGCAGTAGTACTAGTAGTAGTAGTAGCACTGGTACTGCTAGAGGATGGCATCACTCCACTAGTCGTAATACTTGTATTCGTTTCTGTGCTTCTACCACGTGTGTTCATGGTCATATTTTGTGGAAGTACCATAATCTTTGAAGATCTTTGAAGAGATTTCGAAGGAGGTTTGAGAGGACTGCCATGAGGTTGAATAATGGTAACCGTTGAGGCTGTGTTAGGCATTATGAATGAAGAGGTACCACTCGAAGATTGTTGTTGTAATTTTGCTAAACGTGAGGTTGGTTTCTTTAGACTGCTACTCGTTGTTGGCCTAGAGTGTTGAGGAGCCTTAGAGGTTAAAGTCGAGGATATGGAAGGATTTGTTGTAATAGTAGTATTGCCATGTAATGATTGTAGACTTGGTGATGATCGATGGGAATGTTCAATAATTGGTTCGTACCTGTAGTGGCAGTAGTAGTAGAATCATGATGAGGAGTCCCACTCATGGGTTTGTTGTTGTCATTGGATGTTGCTGTTGCTGGTGGCACGACCTGTTTTTTGTCATGAGAAATTCTCTTTTTTGGACGACGTTGTAAAGTGACGATGGGAACAGTTTCATTCAAAGGATCTAATTCCTCTACATTCAAGTTTTGGGGAGGGTCTTGTACTTTCTGTGTAGTTTGAACAAGAGCAGTATGATTATGAATGGTGTTCATACCAGTACTTGGTGAAACGCGACGACCCACGTTAGAGTCAATCGTTGAACTCGAAGGGTTATTCATGATCGGGTGAGATTCATCCAAACCAGAAAACAGTATCATGTCATCAATGGATCCACTTCCAATTTCACAAAAATCATCAAGATGTGAGGATGGTAAGGAGGATGGATTCGATTGTTCTTCATCTCTTGAATGACTATTACTGTTATTAGAATGGTTGTGCAGTAGTGATTTCTTGTCAACCGATACTACTCGATGCGTGTCGTTATGAATGGATGATTCATGCTCTAATTGAGAAGAATTACTACTCGTGGACTTGTTCAACCAAGAGCAGTGAGAGGGTGTTTGTTCAAGTTCAGCATGTAATTGTTGTGAAGGTGAAGGTGAGGATGGAAGTGCATCCTTATTAAGGAATAGTTCATCAATATCTCCATACAAATCTCTAAGAATTGAAGTTGGAATACAAATTTGTAACGAGTTCCACAATTCTCTTTGATCCTCATACTAATCCAAGTATTAAGCGCAATATATTTGCAACATTAGAGTGAAAAATATTTGTACATAGTTAATTGATATATATGAATATTTTCAATAGTATCAATTCATTTGATATTCATAAAAATAAAAAGGTCAGTATGTGAAAAATCATAAAATCGTTTATAGAAGTAATTACGTGAAGAGAGTTGTTAGGTCATTCCTTATTCTTTCTTTTTCTTGAAGATCTTCTAGAATTTGATGATGCTGTATCATCCTCACTATCATGCTTAGGTGATACTGAAGATGACTTTCTAGAAGACCTTTTCGAAGATCGTGTAATGTTAGTTGAGTGTGTGTCAGTGTTGTGTGATTGTTGTGATGAATGATGCAGTACCTCATAAAAATTTTGTGTTGATTCATCGGAACTATTAGATTCTACTTCATCTTTTGATTCATTATCCGCATTATTTTCATCTGACATGTCCAAATCTGAATCTATTTGTTGCAATTGATTTTTCCAATTTTCAGTGCGCTCCTTTTCACTTTGTTTAATTTCCTCAATTTCTTGTTGAACTGCGTTCATTGTGCGCTCAGTAAGTTGAGTAAAGGCAAATCTGTAGTGCGAATATAATGTCAAAAAGTATTAATGAAGAATCATGATTACAAATGGAACTTACTGTTCGACTGGTGTCAAATGATTGATGATATCATCTTCTGCCGTTGCTTCAACGTCTGCAAAATCATTTTGAGATTGTTCCGTTTGCTCTTTTCTTGCATTGCGGAGTGCTGTTGTGATACAATTATGAGTGCATAAAATGTTTCAAAAAAAATTCGAAACACCATTGTTGTAAGAATGTCATAGCATCAAACCAATACAAACCTTCCACATCATTTTCATCTTCTGCACTTGTGAGAATACGATCTAAATCTTTCTCATTGTATGTTTCTGTCTCTGATTCCTTTTGTTTGTTATTCTCATTGTTGATCATGTTATTATAAGCACTCATTTGTTCTTCTGCATCGAGTAGAGCATTCGAAAAACTCTTTTCTGAATCTTTAAACAAATCTCTCACTTCCATTTGATTCTTCAAGAAATCAGGTGTAAATGCTCCATTATGAATCACAATTTCATTCATGTGTCTCTTTTGATTCGCTTTCAATAAAATTCTTTCTTCAATTGTAGATTCACTAATGAGACGATAAATATTGACATTTCTAGTTTGTCCAATTCTATGGCATCTATCTTGTGCTTGTGCGTCCATTGCTGGATTCCAATCACTGTCATAAAATATAACAGTATCCGCCCCTGTTAAATTGATACCAACACCTCCACTTCTTGTAGACAAAATGAATGCAAAGATTTTTGGATTGTTATTAAAACATTCCATCATGTACTGTCTTTCTTCAAGTTTCGTTTGACCATCAAGTCTAAAATAGGAATGTCCATTCATAGACATAAAAGATTCCAGAACATCTAACATTTTGCTCATTTGTGTGAAAATTAAAACACGATGTCCCTCACGCTTTAAATCTTTCAACATTGAAGAAAGCTTTTGAAGTTTACCACAATCATATTGCAGTAATCTCTTGTCAGGAAAGTGCATTTGCATTCGAATAGAAGCTTTTCTAATGAGGTCCAATGTTGGAGAAATTACATGTCGAACCACATGTTGTTCGATTAAATCTTTCTTGAATCGTATGGTAGAGACCTCACGAATTTCAGGTGCTTCGCTTCTTGCATGAGGAATGAAGCAAACAAAATTGTCCAATTCAAAAGAGAGCTCTTGTTCAAGTTCTTCTAAAGATTTGCACATTGAATGGAGTACATCTTCAAACTCGTTGCATTTGTGGAAACGTTTCATTTCCTTTTCAAGTGCTATGGATTCAAGAATCTTGATGAAATTGTAACCATAAATTGGTTTTCTTTCACATCTATGACTATTCACAGATTGCATATAGTTTGCTCTTTCAACTCTGTCTCGATATCTATTCAAAGCCATTTCAAGCGCTCTCTTTTTGAAGAAGGAGTTATCATTGTGTTGATCAACGTTCAAGTCATGACTGTACATGTGGTATAATTGATCTTGATCTTCAGGTGAAAGGTCTTCTAATTTGAGAAGGGAAGAGTCTGTCCTGGGAGCGGTGATTGTATTACTTGCAGAAGGGGTTGTCAATGGTGTGGGTATTTGATTGCTGCTGGTATTACTACTAGCATGGTCAGCTGGTATTGGTCGTAGTGATGAGACTTGATCAAAATTTTCCATACTCATTCGATTTTCATGTTGGGTGAATACAAAATTAAAATAATTCGAGAGAGTAAAATATCGTGATTGCAAGTCATGATAACAATTCAAATAATCATCACTACCATAATAAATAGGATCTAGAATGATCGATTGAATTGGTGCTGATAAAAGAGAAAGTGGTACAGAAGCAAATGGGGAAATAATTGGTCTTGGTTCAAATAAATCGGGATGGTTACAAACTTTTCTCAATTGCATAACAACATTGATCATTTTGAAAACATTTCCAGATGCTAAAGTCTCTCTAGTATCTGCTCTAGAAATAAAGTCTTCATAGAGATTACGTTGCCTCTTTGAAAGCCTAACACGAACGACATGTTCTTGTTTGGATGGTAATTGCTCAGAAACTTCTTTTTTCAATCTTCTCAAAATAAAAGGTCTTAGAATGGTATGCAAACGAGATATGAGTTCCTTGTTCATCTCCTGTTTGCCTTCAACCATACCTTGAATGGAATTGGAAAACCAATCTTTAAACTCGGAGTGTGATTGAAACACATGAGGCATAATAAAGTGCATCAAAGACCATAACTCCATGACATTGTTTTGGAGAGGTGTTCCAGTCAATAAAAGCCTTCTCTCAGTGTTGAAGTTGAGCAAGCTTTGCCATGTTTGTCCTTTAAAATTTCTAATGTGATGAGCCTCATCTAAAATTAAATAATGCCATTTTTTGCGTTTGAACATGATCTTGTCTTGAACCACCAAATTATAGGAAGTAATGCAAACATGAAATGCATTAGGCTTATTCCATCCAACTCTCTTATCTTTTCGTTGTTTTTGTGTTCCATGATAGGCAAGAATTTTCAATGATGGACACCATCGTTTAAACTCAATTTCCCAATTCAATAACACGCTCGATGGAACCACCACTAAATGAGGTCCCCATATTTTTTCCGTACAAGCCAAATGAGCAATCAAGGAAATAGTCATGATAGTTTTTCCAAGTCCCATTTCATCTGCTAGAATCCCATTCAATCCTTTGTCATGCATGGTTACTAACCAATCTAGACCAATTTGTTGATACTCTCTTAATTTGAGATTTTCGTTGAGCAGAAATGGAATGGGTGTTTTCACTTTGGAAGTGGTTAATGTGAATCCTGTTGGTTGATATTGTTTGGCATCTTCTGCTACTTGATTCATTAAAGAAGATTGTGAATCTTCAAGTGATGGAGGTTGTGAGAGTTCATTGTTTGTTGCTGTGTTTGTCAATGAGGATTCCACAGGAGCTGAATATTCAGCAGGTTCTTCCGAAACCATCATTGAAGAATCTTTCATTTTATCTGTCAACATGTTCTCATCCTCAACAGGTGCATTGTTATAATTTTGTTTCATGATGGTATCAATGTCCATTTCACTTTCCTTCTTGAGTTGCTCAATTTCATCTTCGTAATCTTCATCCTCATCCTCTGTATCAATGATGTGATCACTATCATCATCCTCACTGGAAGGAGTAAAATCTTGATTGTTAATTTCTTCTTCAGCTTGACTTGTATCATCTTGAAGAGTAGAATTTGTTGTTTCACTTGTCACCGATATTAAATCTTGAGATATGAGCTGTGTGTACTTTTCTGTTTGTTTAACAAGCAAATCTCTCTTTTCAGCAAGTAATTGTTGCTTGGTGTCATCAATGATGGATTGATTTTTGTATTTGACTAATTTGGCAATCTTTTCCCAGAAATCCTTTTTTACCAATTTTGCAATCTTTGAGGCTTGTTTTCTCAAATTCAATTCAATCTCTTTCTGCTTCTTAATTTCTTGTTGTTCCAATTGTTGATGATATTTTGCAACGCTTTTTGCATATTTTTTAGCTGTTGTAACTTTCCATTTTCTACTTTGAGCAAAATCTTTGGCTATAAATTCCATTTCCTCGAGTAAATAATCCCAATGACTTCTATTTCTTTTTGGTTCTTTTCCAATCTTTTGTTGTGTCTGTGGTAGCCATTCACCTTTTCTTTGCATTTCTTTAATCTCTTTAAGTATTGTTTCTTCTTTAGAAAGTAATTCATCTTCCATTCTCTTTTGTTCATTCTCCTCTGTTGTTGTTTTTACTTTCTTTCGTGAAGGTTGATATTCAACATCTTCATCTTTTGATTCCTCATTCTCTTCATCCGATAAATTGTCCATTGTAGTTGCTGACTGTGTGATGAGTGAGTCATGATCTTTGGATCTTGTCTCTTCATATTGGTTGTCTGATCGGGATGATGATTCGCCTACTTTTGAATCAGAGTCAATACTCGTAGTAGCAGCGGGAGTGGTAGTAGATGGTGGTTTGTGGATGGCTGTCGACGATTGGGTGGTGGGAGGTGTTGAAGGAGGTGATGTTGTTGAGTTTGGAGAGGAAGAAGTGGCTGATGAGGAGGTTGTTGATGGTGTATGAGAGTATGATTTGCTGCTGCTGTCGGATAGAGGATGCATAGAAATTGTTGATTCATCACGTGGCTGATGAGGCTCTAAACTCTGCTGCAAGGCTTCCATAATGGAAAAATCAATTCTAGATGATTCATCCAAAGTCTGAGAATGATACCGCGAATAATTAGGATGATGATTCGATTTGATAAATGTTATTTCATTTTGAATATTTTGATGATGCTTTTTGAGAATTCTTTATGGAGATTGATCACGAGAGAAGGACCATATTAATTATCATCTCTGTTTTTGAATATACAATAACAAGTACTTACTCAATTGCTCGTTGCGGAGTTAAAGCATCATCGCTACTATTTCCATCCAAAGACGTTGGTTTATGAATTCCATTCGAGTCGTGATGGTGGAGAAGATATGGATCAGTTTTCGTTCGAGTCGTATGTCTCGTTTGCCTTGTTGGAGGCATGTTGAATGTTGTTGCGAATATATTCCTAGCAAAACAGTCCTCCAAATGATAAATGATTTTTTGTCGGGAGAGTCGTGCGTTTCTCTAGCTGTCTATTTTAAATAATTTTTTTGTTTTGGTTGAAGGTTGGATTAAAGCTTTGGCTTGAATTATTGTACCATCCTGCATTTCAGCAAAATAGGAGTCATTTTCTGCCAATATATTTCTGCTGAAAGTATATCGCTTGAATCGAGTACAATTTTGATTTATTGTATGCTAAAATTCAGAGTCAACCTTTTTTCCATTGCTTCCAAAATTCAATCCATTGCATGAAAAAAGAGAAGACAAATGATTCAACCTTACATGCTGGGAATGGAAGAAAGCGAGCTAATACTTCCAAATATTACTCCCTTTCTCATTACCTTCTTTGGTGGCTGAATTTGCAGAGTTTTGAGGATCCATTTCATTCCTTCCTCAAATCCTTCCAAAGTTAAAACGGACAAGGGTTGAATGAAATAGTTGGTTGTACTGGGTAATGGTTTCGAATCCAATAATTTGCTCACTTCAGAACATGGAACTGCTTGGGGACGATCTATTTTGTTCACAAATATGAGAATTGGAACATTCTCTAAGTCTTTCGCATGAGCTACCCTATTTAATTCATCAATAGCTTCTTGCAATCGATCCTTATCTGAGCTGTCAATGACAAAGATGACACAATCTGTGCGTTCATAGTAATGACGCCAAAGTGGTCGAATTTTTTCTTGACCACCAACATCCCAAACTTTGATGCAATAATCACCATGGTGGTGCGCACGTCGTTGGTCATAACAATATGATGAATGCAGTTCGTAATCATGATGAGTGTGTACAAAAATATGCTTACCAGTAAAGTCAACATTCTCATAGAAAAGAGTCTCAACATTAAAACCGATGGTTGGTATTGTTGTAACTATTTCACCCAGTGTCAACTTGTAGAGAAGTGAAGTTTTACCACTTTGATCAAGACCCAGTAACAAGAGACGAGGTTCTTCCTTTAGTGAACGAAAGGTTTTAAATGGTGGATGATGTTGTTGTTGATGATGATGATTGCATGATCGAGCATGTGGACCAAATTTAATCTTCTCCCATACATCATCTGAAATTGCATTTTGGAGTCTAAATAAAGTTTTTAAGAGATGGTCTTTCAAATCCATGATCATTGTTGAGAGTTTGTTTCGATTATCACTATCTTGCATCACTAGTACTGGTATACTATTATGGGTCACATTTGGATCCATACTACTACTACTACTACGAGTAGTGTTGTTGTTGTTGTCCTTGTGCAATTCCTTTCCCATTTGAATAAAAATATTAAACACAACCCCATAGAGAATTTCTCCTGAACATTTTAACCAAGGCAAAAATTCATTCAATAATTGAACTCCATACACATATCGATGTTGAAAATCATGTAGAGTCCACATACTAATAAGAATAGCAATTTGATCCACTGCCAAACGACAATGGTTCGATTGAAAAATTCCTCTCAATATTTCCACGGGGAGTGTGATTATAATACGTGCATGAACACTAAATTGCATGGAAGCTAACAATGCACATACTTCCCTCTTAGAACTGAGGGTTTTGATCATGGGATATTCATCCTCCATACATTGAGCAAAATCATCAAGAGAGTGACAATGTGAAAATTTTAAAATAAGATCATCTCGTTTCAATGGAATGTTATGATAGACATGATCACTCAGAATACATTCAACATGATTGGCAATAATATCCATGGCTTGATTAAAAATAATATTCTTTGAATTTTCATATTGTAAAGAGTGCAAACACATGAGTGCAATGGTTAATGCATTAAATTCATTCACAGTGTTACGAATTGCTTTCAATAAACTCGTCACTTGAAAGTAATCTGCTATTTTCAATAATTGAAAAACATCTTTCATGGTTATTATTGTGTGTGAAGAAGGTATCGATTCTACAAGTTCACCTTTTGAATAGTCACAACTACTCTTCTCGAGGTGTGAATCATGCATCTTTTCGGAAGAAGAAGAAACATACAGAACTTGTGGAACACCTAATGAACCTGTATGAATAAATTCAAGTAGTAATTTAAAATAATGAATGATCTGATTACAATGATCATCACCCATGGATGATGTCATCAATAATAAATGTTCATTCATGACTGAGTGGGTGAGAAGTATACTACTACTACCTCCATCGTCGTTACCATCATGATGTGAAGAAGAAGTAATCTCATGAGTATTCACAAGATTGGCCAACACTGAACTATAATTACAAATAGCACTCTTTGAAACCCAAAATTGTTTTTGAAGTGTGGAGAGAATGCAATAATCTTGAATGGGTTGACCATCCCATGTTGTGAACTTGAACATGGAATTATTGATTTCTTTGGAGGGAGTACTATGGGAGTGAGCATTGGTTCCATATTCGAAATGGTTGATGATGGTGAATTCACCATGGTCATCAAGATCTTGATGCGACACCGAATCTTCGCCATTCTCTTCATCTCTCACCAAATAAAAATACAAATGATGTTGCGCCTCACCAATGAGTTGCTCATTGGGCTGACTCGAAGACCCTCCGTAATAAATTGATTTTTGTGGTACTATCTTTTCATCAAAATACCAATGAGAATGATCGAATTCAGAGTTCATGAACGAATGGTTTTGAATGGACACTCAATTTTTTTGGTAGAATGAAAATGGTTCACTGCCACGACTATGCCACATCCTAGTCAATGATCTTGCTATTATCGTGAGCATGCCATTACATTGTGATGAGAGATTCAGCTCTGATGAATGAATACAACCTGGTAGTCATCGATGCACATGCAAAAAGCCAGGAAGAAGGAAGGCTTTCGGAAGTCAAAAAACAACAAAAAAAATACAACACAGGCTAACCTCATCATCATGTCCGATATCTTGAAACAAGGATCCCACGAAGAGAAGGGAGAAATGGCATACTTGGTACGTTGAATTTGAATGTAAATAATAGGATAATCGATAAATCTTTGATATCATCATCTTTATCAATTCCGTTGTATTGCTCGGCCCATCATCATTATACAACCAATGACAACACTCTTTTATCGACTTGTATGAACACAATACACACTTGAAATCATCCTCTCAATTCATCATCATCATTACATTCATCATCACCTCATACTCTCATACTCCTCACATGTGTGTGTGTTTAATAACACCTCATTGGACGATTCAATTCTACTCATCGACCGTTAACATCAAACAACAACAACATCATGAATAGAGCAACATTATTGGTGCCATTGCTATTGCAGACCTTCTGAAAACCACTCTCGGCCCAAAGGGAATGGATAAAATTCTTGTCAAGGTCTCTGAAGGTATTGATGGAAAAGTGGAAGTCACCAACGACGGTGCTACCATCTTGAAAGCACTTTCGGTTCAAAATCCTGCTGCTAAAATCTTGGTAGATATTGCCAAGACTCAAGACGACGAAGTTGGTGATGGTACTACTTCAGTTTGTGTATTCACAGGTGAATTGTTGAGACAAGCAGAAAAACTTTTAGAACAAAAGATACATCCTCAAACAATTATCGATGGTTGGAGAAAGGCAACAAGAGTTGCTCATGATGCTCTTTTGAAAGCCTCTGTGGATCATGGTCAAGATAAAGAAGCATTGAGACAAGATTTGTTGAATATTGCTCGTACAACTTTGAGCTCTAAGATTTTACAACAAGAAAAAGAATTGTTTGCAAATCTTGCTGTGGATGCGGTTCTAAGATTAAATGGAAGTACAGACTTGAATCACATTCAAATTTTGAAGAAGCCAGGTGGTAGTATGAAGGACAGTTATTTGGATGAAGGTTTCATTCTTGATAAATCGATTGGAGTTGGACAACCAAAGAAAATGCAGAATTGTAAAATCCTTGTTGCCAACACACCTATGGATACTGATAAAATCAAAATTACTGGAGGTGTGGTAAAGACATCTAGTATTGCAACACTTTCTGAAATTGAAAAGGCAGAAAAGGAAAAGATGAAAAAGAAATGTCAAAAGATTATTGATCATGGTATTAATGTTTTCATTAACAGACAGTTGATTTATGATTTTCCACAAGAATTCTTTGCTGATAATGGTGTAATGGCTATTGAACATGCAGATTTTGAAGGTGTTGAAAGATTGGCACTCGTTTTGGGAGCAGAAATTGTTTCTACCTTTGACCATCCAGAATTGGTAAAATTAGGATCTTGCGCCTCTGTTGAAGAAATTATGATTGGTGAAGACAAACTCTTGAAATTCAGTGGATGTGCAAAGAATGAAGCTTGTACCATTGTGTTACGTGGTGCTTCTACTCATCTCTTGGAAGAAGCTGACCGTTCTCTTCATGATGCTCTTTGTGTGTTATCACAAACTGTTCTTAATACCAAGACTTGTCTTGGTGGAGGTTGTAGTGAAATGTTAATGGCAAAGGCAGTTATGGAAGCAGCAAAACAAACACCTGGAAAGGAATCCATTGCTATGGAAGCATTTGCCAACGCTCTTAAGGCAATGCCAGCAATTATTGCAGATAATGCTGGATTGGATTCTGCCGAATTAGTTTCAGTTTTAGAAACAGATCACTATAAGGGACTTTCAGACAATGGTATCGATATTGTTAAAGGAGAAATTGGCAATCTCAGAACTTTAGGAATAACGGAATCATTTAGAGTGAAAGAACAAGTGCTTTTGTCAGCATCTGAAGCTGCCGAAATGATTATTAGAACCGATGATGTTATTTATAGTGCACCAAGAGATAGACAGTGAGTTCATGATGATGAAGAATCACAAGAAATTAAATCATGAAATAATTCTTCTTTATGTACGATGTCCTTATCTCTGTTATGAGGTTCTCTTGTTCTGAGGAACCACTGACAGTAATAATGTTTTAATAACGTCTGCAGATTGAGAATATGATGTTCTGGTGAGCATTGAGAGGAGTTCACAAGAACTAAATGCTTATTTATTACATATCTTCACAATAACAACACGCATTGAGTCTCTTGCACATTCAAACGGGAGAGCTACTCCAAGGAAGGTAAATTTTTGTCAAATTCCTTCTTTTGATCCTCGTCCACAAACACTTGTCGAGCATTGATATTGATTCTCATCATGTCTCTCTCCATATATGCTGCATAACTCTTGTATTGGGGATCTACATGTGCTGTTTGAAGATAGGCAGGAATAGTGTCTTTGAGAATACGAGCAATGCCATGGAAGCAGTATCTCGCTCTGCCTCCCATCAACATGCAATCACCCGACTCGAGAAAAATGGCCTTAATACGATAGGAACGGGTGTGTGACATAACTCTAATAACACTCACTTACCTTTGGTTCAATGTCCTTTGTTTCTCCCCCTAACAGAAAGATAGATTTAGAACCAATACTCAAGCTAACAATTGGTTTTGACATTTCATACTCTGCGTCGTCAACATGACCTCCCATTAGTCGATCTTTGGAATAGAAATTCACAATTGCTATCATTATCATGGATGATAGTTAAGTTGACAACTTTGAATATCACTTACCAGCCTCAGGTTTGTATGGTCCGTAACCACATTGACATGCAATCATTTCAACAAAATTTCCAATGTCGTCTGGGAATTTTACGAATTTATCCTTATGATATTTTCTTGTTGTCCATTCATATTGATATCCTAAAGTGCACCACGCTAATTTTTTAAGCAAAGATTTAGCTTCTTCATCTCCATTGACGCTTCTTTTAAAAATATCTAAAATTTCACCCTGTTTCATAGTATCTGTCCGCAGAAAAGAGTGTGAAAATTAAAAACCTCAAATAAAAACATACGGTTAGTAATATTTGGTGGATTGGGATACTGTTCTAATGCTTGTTTAATCCAATAAATTTGCTGTTCTGGTCTCATGAGGTCCTTAATTACATAAAATCCAGGATATCCTTTAAAGGTATAAATTGATTTACTCATTAACTCTTCTTTCGTGAAAAGCATTGTATTTTTCAAATATTCGTCTTGAGAGAAGTATGAATTATACTTTTGCAGTGCTTCTTCGAAATATTTCATATCGAGTTCGTTAGTTGGTAATACTACTTGTTCAAGAACTTGTCTATTTTCTGGAGTGTTATTTTCCAAATTATGAAAGTCAATAACTTGGGTAGTATCGGGAAAATCAGCCTCTTTTTTAATGATTGTTCATGCAATTATTATTTCATTCATGATGATCAGCAATGATGATGATAAAATGGTTTTAAAACCTACCAACCATCTTTCCGTGTTTGTTACTCACATGATGTTTCCGGTACATCTTTTCAACTTTTCTGTATGCATTGTTATCAGAATCAGTTACTGCGTTTTGGTAGAGTGATGACGAATTCAAAGTATCGGTTGTTGGTAACATTTTTTTTTCAATTCAACGACGTGTGGTCGAAACCGTACTGACCTTAGGTTGGTTTCAAATAATAAATGACAAAATACAGCATTGTATGCAACGAGATTCAACGTGGCAATAGGATTTATATTGTTAACACGTTGGACGCCAATATTTATTGTGTCTTTGAATATATATTTACATTTGGTAGGGGCTGAGTAGTAACATCTAAGAGTTTGATTGCTCACTCAATTTGTTTTTTCTTTCTTGGTACTCGTTTTCTCATCTGAGGTTGTTTTTGATTGCTAGAGACACTGTGGGTAGTATGATCTACTACTGTTTCATCATGATGTTTCTTTTGTTGAGCTTTTGAATCTTCAGACTCGATGTGTCCCTCTTCTTCATCTCTATCACTTGAGGAAGTCAGCATATCAGCATGGCTCACTTGAATTGTGTGTTGCTTTACCAATGATGATGATGGAGTCTCTACTCTCTTTTCTTGATGTGTGGATGGCTTTGTTGGCATGTCGTAAGATGAATGATGTTTTAAATGTTGCTTTTGGCTAACATACAACTGTTGATTCTTGTTCGAACGAATAAAAATTAAATAAATAAGGAACAATCCAAATACGATCCAACCAAATATGTTAAAGCTCAGAAATATAGGAAATAATATGAAAAAGCTTGTAATAGGATAGTTGAAAAAGTAATACCATATTCCAGTGACTTGAGCCATCATTTGAATGCTTGCGGAATAAATTTGTACATCAGGAGATCCAACCCACACATGAATATGAGAAGCTTTCTGTAATATTACTCGATGATTAAATTCGAGTAGTTGTGTTTCAGTTAACATTTCCAATATTTGTCTTTCAGGTTCATTTTCATTTCCAAATATAATATATGGTATACTCATCAAATCTTTGACAGTTCTTATAATATTTGAGTTATATTTGATCATGCTCTGTGAATAAGATAAGTGTCATGAGAGTTGAATTGAACTCAGTAACATACACTTCGAGAAGTTGAAAATAGTCTCACATTATTTCTGTCATAAAAATCAGCGTGTACTGTAAACATTCCAACTTTTCGGTTTGCCACTGACTCGGGTAGGTTTAGCTTAATTCTAAATGTGTCAATAAATAATCCAGATTGGATGAGTGATCGTGATGAATCATTCGGAAGAAGTGTGACATTGGCATAGAGTGATTTATCTTCCTTTACAAAGAATAATGGATGATCATATTGCGTGGGAGGACGACGATAAAACAGTACTATCATCACCACAAACATGGCTGTCAAGGTCGAAAGTACAAACGCCACAAATAAATAAATCAAAATTGCTAAAATTTTAAAAAAGTGTTTTTTCAAAAAATCAGTTAGAGGATTATTGATCAACAGACTTTGTACGGTTTGTAAAATTCCTAAATAACTTTTTATCATATTCATGAATGGTTCGGTAAGCCTCTTGATCATTGAAGTGAGAAAGGACGGACAACAACACGAGATGCATAGGCTCATCAACACTTTTGAAATTCCACGGGAATGATGTTTTGAATCGTCATGTTTTCTCAACGTTGGGTGATGATCCACATGCTGACCACTGTTCTCGGAAGGAGTGTTTGTGTCGACATGCAAAGTGGTTCGAGTCATTTTTTTTGTTTGGAATTTTATAAAAGAAAGGATCAAAGTGATAATGACTAATAATGGAGCTTGAGAGTTTCAAAAAGTTTCATCAATGTATGGTTTTTTGAAAACAAATTTCTTTAATAGTTGTTGGATTGCCATTTTCATGAATTACCTTAAAGAATTATTAAAACACCACCAACACTCCAATACTGTAAGGCTCAATAATTCTCTTCACAAAAAATCATATTTTTAAATGAAATGGCTAAATTTTCCACTCTGATACAATAAGAATGCATTGATTGCATGAATGGACATGTCATAGAGTGTCAAAAAGAAATCCACAGTGACATAGGGTGCCTCTCGAGAATACTCTGCACTACTCCATTTTCTAATTCTAATCGAATAGTAACCATTGTGCCAAGTCAACACATAAAACATGTGTGCAATGAAATGGAACATTACAAAATAAAAGTAAATGGAATTCAAGGTTTGTTCCGATAAAACAAACAAAATACTCAAACCACTCACTCCATCATAGAAGAACCACATGCCCATATTCTTCAATGCTTGTTCTTTAGGTTTATAAAGACGAGTGAATACAAAGGCATGGGAAACGAGAAGATAAATCTCTGAAAGAAATAAAAGACGAGGAATGAGAGATGTAACGTCCATGTGTGTGTGTGATTTCAAAAGAAGTGTGTGTGTGTGGGTGTGTTTTCAGAATGGTGTAGTGTGTATTGCGGTGGGAAGGAACCTTTTTTTCGCGTGTGGCTGTGAGAGAGACCACACACGGTATGAGACAAACACCTTTTCGAGCTTGAATTGAAATTGGATTCACTCCGACTTTGATCTTGGTGATTTTAAATTCTGCAAATTTTCCTAACCTCCACTCTGAATGTATTGCTCGACTCTAAATTGAATCACAATTTTGAAAAAACAATTACTATTCATAAAGCACAAGATTGAGATTTATGGTTTGACTCTTCACAGCACAACACTTTGAAAATCCAATCCTCTTCCTTTCAATATGACCACACACATCCCATGTACGCTTATTGTGGTAAAGATGAAATGACTCCTAATTTTGTTTTAAAAGCTGACAAATAAAAGGTCATATCATGACATTTCACAAGTCCTCTCACAGGACAAGTTAAATCAATGCGATGACCAGCGTGTTGGAATCCAAAAATCTTTGGTGGTACTGTGGTCACGATATCATCTTGAGCAGGAGTAATCACGACTCGACCTGTGATCCAATCTTTAATACTTTCAGATGCCAAAATAACAAATCGAGTATAATGTTTGATGTAATTATTAAATGTTTTCAAGAAATCAGACTTGACAGTACGAGGTTGACCAAAGGTAATTAATTTTACATTTTGATTCATTGATGGATGATGGAATGCAAAATCTAGAGCAGCAATCATGGCAACGGCACCTCCTGTGATTTGTTTTCATGGATGTTGTTGTTATTTCATTGATCAGTTAGTTGTTTCATGATTATTCATCATTTGGTTCAATGCAGAATGATTTGTTGTTGTTGTGAGTTCATAAAAATGGAAGATATCCACAACAACAACAACAACAATAATAGTAACGTTCATAAAAATCAATCGATCCATCAAATTCAATTTCCACACACACTCGCACACGCACACACACAACATACCTTGTGAATGACCAGTGAAAATAATTCTCGTGTTTGGACCAAAGAGTTTGCTGAGATAGGAAATCATGCTCGACTTGGTGGATGAATAGCTATCCCAAAATCCTTCATGAACATTTCCTGCGTGGGATGATGATGGACCGAGATAGGCTGGCTCAGAGTCAACATTTAAATTATTGGCCCAATCGATGGCAGTCTTGGATCCACGATAGGAAACAATGACAGTATCTCGATTTTTCACGACATAGGTCTTACACCAAGCACCAGCAGGATGTTTAATGGTTTGCACTAATTGTAACTCGGCTATCACATGACTACCCGCATCTCGTGCTTTGAATACTTGACCAATACGGTCAGTGGTGTCATAGGCATATTCACTGGCATGAGCAGCGAGTAGCGAGTCAATATCAAAAGATGCTGCCTTGACCATGATGGTGCTGAGGAGGAGCACAAGGAGCACAAGGAAACTCATTGTCTTGGCACTGGACATGTTTGACATTTTTTAAACGGATGCTTTTCAAAGTGAGATTTGGATTATGATAATGTAACCATGAAAGTTCGTGTGTCATTTCCACTTTGAAAAACCACAAACACTAGCTCCCTATTGTTTTGCAACCTGTAATGTTACAATATAGATGCTCCTACAAATTACGTGAGCCATGTGTCGTGGATTCACGACTGTAACGCTATTTTTTTTCCATTTACAGACAACTGCAGTTGACCAATTTTCCTTGACTGCTCTTTTTGTGCGCCATGGTTTCGCTGCCCAAACAGTGCAAGGAGAAAAAAAATGAGTCAAGATTTGAAGACTTCACCCTACAAGGCTGTAATTAATTTCATCAACCAATTCCAAACACTGACCAACACCGGCCTCGGAAGAGACAAGGCAACCAAAGTTCTTCAATATGGATGCAAAATTATTGAAGAAATTTTGGAACGATCTGCATCTCCTGCTGTTGATCATAAAGATTTGATTGTTCGTGTCCAAAGAACAAGTGCTGGATTAGCAACTGCCAGAAGAGTGATGCGTTTTTGGAAGCCATTCCAAGGCTATGTCGCATTGATTCAATTTATTGAAGCATTAATCGGAGGAAAGAAACAAACCGTGACTGCAATTTTAGATCTTGTTTCCAAGTTATGTATGGCACACTACTTTTTAATGGATCACTTAACTTGGTTGAGTCGTGAGAAGATTCTCTCCGATATGCCACTCGAGTTGGCACAAAAGAGTCAATCATTTTTTGCTTCTACATTTAACAACAACAAGAATGCAGATTATTCACGCAGCAGCTCAAACTTTTGGTTTTATGGTGTGATCTTTGCTATTCTTGCCCATGTGTTGAGATGGTCCGAGTATTTGACAAAAGAAAAGAAAGAGCTTGATATTGTCAGAGATGCCAACCAACAAAAGATGTTTAGAACGTTTATTGCACTTCTTTGTGATTTTGGAACAGCAGCCATTCTTGCAAAGAAGACAAGCTTCCAAAACAAGGCAGCTCTAGGTGTATTTGGTGTTGTTTCTTCATTGATCTCTATTTATGATGCATGGCCATCCCAATAATTCCAACAATCCTGACAACTATTTTACACATTGTACATAATTTGCCAACAAGTGCTTCAATCATTCTCCATTTTGGCAAGTAGACTTGTTTTTTGCAATTGAACAAACTGATCATGGCCAATAGTACTATTAAATATAATAAAAATTATTATCTTCGTTTGATATTTTGGATTCATTGAGCAGATCAACCACAACTTTTTGAATGTCACCCTTGTACTTTTCCAAAAGAATTAAATTTTTGGACTTGTTCAAAAATCCCATGTCATGCAACATTAATAGTTCCTTTTCAAAGGGAGCTTGACTCGATAGGCTATTGCTACTTGGAGAGGTTGTTAATGTTTTGTCAAAAGATTGGGTGAGGGATTGCATATTTGCTGCATCATCGGTTTGCTCTGGAATTTTTGGCAAAACATGCAACATAAATGTATGATTTCCACTAAAGTGTTGTTCTCTGATTGAAGGATTATTGTAGCAGTCCTCACACAGATCAAAGTTGTCACAATCTTTACATTTGTATCTCTTTCCCATCCAATCTTTGATTTGACAACCGTCACATACTGTTCCATAATGTGGGCCTTAGTAAAAGAATTTTGGATTTTCATTCAAAATTTTGAAATATTCGTGCTTTAAACTTACCATTTTCAGCATCAATAGAAGTTGAATTTTCTTGGGAAGTAGATGCCATTTTGCCGATTAATTGTAACAGATTTCGTTGCATTTCAGGGGGCACTAAAATATCTACAACATTTCCAAGATAATCTCTATCGTTTTGTCTATTATTTCGTGATGATGTTGTATAGGGTGTAAATCTGTGACTTGTCAACATTTTATTCTTTTTTAAATATAATTCTTTGGGGACGATTTGAATTTTAAATAATGTGATTTGCGAAGTGTAGCATAAATGCAGAGCTGATGTCCATTCTACCTCAGATGAAAAATCAATCCAATCTGTACCAGCTCTATGAACCACTACTATTTAAAAAGCACAGCAACTTACCTTTTTCATCATCTTGATATCTCAGAGAATATTTATCAATCGTGATCGCGTTCGGGCTCAATGGAGAAACTTCCAAGGCTTCATTGACTTGTTGTAAAAACTTTTCAAGATTGCATTGTCCATAAGGAAGGATCATTCTTCGGACTTGAGTGGCTGTGTGTTCCAAGCCATTTTCATGAATAAACACTTTGGCGTTAATGTTCCGAATATGATCTGATGATGTAGAAGCGGATGGCTCCATTTAATTCGTTATTTTTTTTTTAATGATTGAAATTGCTAATAATATTTAGTTTCCGTTTTTCCATGCTGCCTCAGGTAATTATTTGTGATTCATTATGATGAAACTATTGATAATTTGGTTTCAATATTGGCCAATTCATGTTCCATCATCAAATTGCATCTCGAAAACAATAAAAATTCAACAATCAAAAAAAATGAGCATTCAACCAAGCCAAAACGTTACGCTGGAAGACAAAGTGCATGAGCGTGTGGTGCAACACGTTCATCTTCCAAAGCGAATTTCTCAAATTCGGTTCAGTGTTTTTACTCCGGAAGATATTAGAAGAATGTCTACAATACAAGTTTTTAACCATTATTATTATACACCAGATAGACGAGGCTTTCCTCATGGTCCTCTTGATCCGAGATTGGGTACCGGAACGAAGAAAGATATCTGTGAGACGTGTGGCTTGGGAGTAGCAGATTGTATCGGGCACTATGGATATGTAAAACTAGAATTACCAGTGTTCCATATAGGCTTCATTTCTAATGTTGTAGAGATTTTACAAAGAATTTGCAAAGACTGCTCACGTGTTTTATTGACAGATTCAGAAATTCAAACTTTCAGAAACAAATTTAAGAAACCAAATCTAGATAACCAACAGAAAAAAGCAATTTACAAAAAAGTGGGAGAATTATGTAAAAAGTGCTCTACGTGCCCTCATTGTGGTGCATTGAATGGAAAGGTAACAAAATTGAACGCAATCAAAATTGTTCACGAAAAGTATAAAGTACCTTCCACTAGAAAAGGAAAAGAAGAAGTGGATCAACAAGCTAGAGAATTTCATTCAGAGTTTGAACGAGCCACTCAATTAAATCCAGAAATTTCAACTTATATAGGTGAGGCTCAAGATGACATCAACCCCATAAGATGTCTTAAATTATTCAAAAACATTCCAGATACAGATGTTGAGGCTTTTAACATGAATCCCCGAGTTGTGAGACCAGAAAATTTTATACTCACTCATATTTTAGTCCCACCACTTGTTATTAGACCCTCTGTAAACACTGATGGCGGTACAAACGAAGATGATCTCACTGTTCAAATGAAAAAGATTATTGAAACAAACATAATTCTAAGAGAAAGCATCGAAAAGGGTCATTTTGTCGAAAACTTTATGGAAAAGTGGGACGCACTACAATTAGAGACTGCCCTCTACATTAATAGCGATACGAGAAACATTCCTTCTTACGTGACAAAGAAAAAGATTGGCAAAACTCTATGCCAAAGATTGAAGGGCAAACATGGTAGATTTAGAGGCAACCTGAGTGGTAAGAGAGCAAATTTTACGGGACGTACAGTCATTTCTCCAGATCCAAACTTGGAAATTAATCAAGTTGCAATTCCAGAGCTGGTTGCTAAAGTTTTGACGTATCCTGAGGTGGTCAATAGAAATAATAAGAAATTACTTCAGTCATTAATTTTGAACGGACCTGAAGTTCACCCAGGAGCCAACTTTGTGGTTAAAAGTGATGGAGTAAGAAAGAATTTGAGTTTTGTAAAGGACAAAATGGATATTGCAAAGAACTTGAAATTTGGTGACATTGTTGAACGCCACGTCATGAACGGAGATTATGCCTTATTTAACAGACAGCCCTCGCTGCACAGACTCAGTATTATGTGTCACCGTGTTAAGGTATTGCCTTACAGAACTTTCAGATTCAACGTTTGTGATTGTGCACCATATAATGCAGATTTCGACGGAGATGAAATGAACGTACACATTCCTCAAACCGAAGAAGCAAAAGCTGAAGCAGGAATGCTTATGGACATTCTAAAAAATCTCATCACACCTAAGAACGGAGATCCAGTTATTTCTTGCAACCAGGACTTTTTAACAGCTGCTTGGAAAATGACCAGAAAGAATACTTTCTTTGATCGTGCAGAATTTTGCATGTTGTGTTCCTATATGGGCATTGAAGATAAGAAGATTGACTTGCCTCCACCTACCATTTTGAAACCTATTGAACTATGGACTGGAAAACAACTATTTTCCTTATTGATCAAACCTAACAATAACACAAAAGTGTTTGTAAACTTCGAAACCAAGGCCAAAAACTATTGGAAAGATGAAACCATGTGCCCAAATGATGGTTACGTATGCTTTAGAAACAGTTACTTGATTTGTGGAAATTTGGATAAGAAGATTTTGGGAGATGGCAGCAAGAGTTCGCTATTCTATGTATTGATCAGAACAGTAGGTCCTGCATATGCTGCTGCGTGTATGGCAAGAGTGGCTCGAGTAGCTTCCAGATGGTTAATGAATCATGGTTTTTCTATTGGTATTGATGACGTCATGCCTTCACCATCTCTAACAGAAAAGAAAAAGATGATTTTATCGGAGGGTTATAAGGTGTGTGATCAGTACATTAAACTTTTCAAAGATGGTAAACTGGAACCTCAACCTGGTTGCAACATGGAACAAACTCTTGAAGCGAAACTCAATAAGGAATTATCAGAAATTAGAGGTAGAGCAGGTAGTATGTGTGTGGATGAATTGCACTGGTCGAATGCTCCTCTTACAATGTCAGTGTGTGGTTCTAAGGGTTCTGTGATCAATATTTCACAAATGATTGCTTGTGTTGGGCAACAAACGGTTGGTGGTACTCGTATTGCTAATGGTTTCATGAATAGAACGTTACCTCATTTTCCAATGTTTGCAAGAGATGCAGCAGCAAAAGGTTTTGTTTCTAACAGCTTCTTTACTGGTCTGACTCCAACAGAATTTTTCTTCCACACTATGGGAGGCAGAGAAGGAATTGTCGATACAGCTGTTAAAACTGCAGAAACTGGTTATATGCAAAGAAGATTAATGAAAGCTCTTGAAGATTTATTTGTTGCCTATGATGGATCGGTGAGATCTGCAGACAATTCAATCATTCAATTCAAGTATGGTGATGATGGAATGGATCCTCATCGAATGGAAAGCGAAGAGAGTGGAAGACCTCTCAATTTCTCGTTTATCATGATGCACGAAAAGAATACCAATTTACCAACAAAGAATGAAAGAGCTCTCACTCCAATCGAAATTACAGAAAAAGTTGAACAATATCTCCAAGAACCTTCTTCACGCACACTATTTTCAGACAAGTTTATGGATGAACTGAGAACCTTCATGAACAATTACACCAGTAAGCTTGAAAATATGCTAAAAGGAGTAGAATCAGCTCGATCCAAGAGAACATCTGAATTTGAAAAAGATGCATGGGATGTAGTTGTACATTATATTGAGAAAATTACTGAAAGACAATTACTTGCATTCTTACATTCTTGCAGACGTAAATATGAAAAAGCATGTGTAGATCCTGGAGAACCAGTGGGAGGTATTGCTGGTCAATCCATTGGTGAGCCAACCACTCAAATGACTTTGAAAACTTTCCACTTTGCTGGTGTTGCCAGTATGAACGTTACGTTGGGTGTTCCTCGTATTAAGGAAATTATTGATGCTACTAAGAACATTAGTACTCCAATCATTACAGCATATTTAGACACTCCAGCAACAGCTTCAAAGAAACAAAAGGAAATTTCTGCACGTATGGTCAAGGGAAGAATCGAAAAAACAACATTGGGTCAAGTTGTTAATCACATTCGAGAAGTTTACAATTTAGGAATTTGCTACATTGAAATTGAACTAGATATGAAGCAAATTTCTGCTCTTCAACTTGATATCACTCCAGAAACAGTTAGACATAGTATTTTGCATTCTCCTCTTATGAAATTTGAAAAGTCAAAAGATAAGTCAAAAGACAGCAAAACTAAATTATCTGATGATCCTAATTTAGTTAGAATTCAAAACGGTAATATCAGAGTATATCCTCCATCTGTAGATAGAGACAGCATGTATTTCAATATTCAAAGATTGAAGAGATATTTACCTGAAGTAATTGTTGCAGGTATTCCAACAACTAATAGAGCTGTCATTAACGAAGAAAAGGGAAATATTTATCTTTTAGTTGAAGGAATGGACTTACTTGCAGTCATGGGAGTTCCAGGTGTGCATGCCAAAACGACCAAGACCAACAACATTATTGAAATCTCAACAACCCTAGGCATTGAATCTGCTCGACAAGTCATTATGGATGAAATCAAATACACCACAGGTAGTTACGGTATGAATATTGACACGAGACATATCAAATTATTGGCTGACATTATGACATTTAAAGGAGATATTTTCGGTATTCAAAGACATGGTATCATTAAGATCAGAGACAGTGTGTTAAAGATGGCATCTTTCGAACAAACAACAGACCATCTCTTTGAAGCTGCATCACATACCAGAGTTGATGATGTCAATGGTGTCAGTGAATGTATTATCATGGGCGTTCCAATTCCTATCGGTACTGGTTTGTTCAAGCTGTTGCAAGATGCTCATGTAGAAAAGAAGAGAACACTTCCAATTAACAGAAAACGACCAATTTTCTCTACAAAATCACTCCTCAAATAATAAATTATTGCTCTATGTGAAATAATGCTCAACAACCTTTATCAGTCCTTTTTGCCACCATGAACGAAATAAGTTCTGGGATACAAATCTCGCAACGACTTTTCGTTCCAATCTGCATGCCACCAATTTTGAACAAAATCATGGAAAATAATGCGATTCCAAATGTGTTTTGTGAAGTCATAGTGTTTTGGGTTAAACAAAAAGACAAATGGATCAGTATCATAAGAAAAATGAAAAATACTATCCACATGCTTCAGGAAGGATCTAAATGCAACATCAGTAGAATAAATAGCATTTCCATTGATGTGATATCTTGTTTGAAGCTGATCTCCTAAATCATAATCACCTCTATAATTTGAACCAATATACCAAAAATCAGGTTTTGAAATTGAATATTCTTTGGTAATGGATTTCACTGCATCTAGCCAATTGGGTCTAATGGCTCGACAATCAGGTTCCATATAGAAAAAGTGATCATATTCAGAGTAAAATGTTGGATCATGTATCAAATCATAGAATTGATTGGTAGGTCCATTAGGATACTTGTCTCTATCAGCCGTCAAATCAGCATACTTGAACACAACATTTCTAAAACATTTCAAAATGGGATGTTTCGTTGATCCTGTCGATCCAGCATTAATTTTCTCGAGAATTTTTTCTTCCAACTTGTCATTACGTTTCTTGTTCGAATAGAAAATTAAATCTGAATCATATTCTTCATCTTGAAACATGTCATTACATGGTTCATAATATGGAGTGTTCCAAATTTCAATATTTTGTAATACTGATACCAATTGTCTTTCAATGAATGGAATGACCGTTGCAAATTTCTTCTTCTTTTCAACGTGAGAAATGTAAGGTTTAGTTCGATCTCCTTTTCTCAAATAAATCACAATTTCATGATCTGGAACACCATCACGATTACCTGGATTTCCCCATAATCTCACATCTTTTTCACATGTAATTCCTGCTTTGTGAATATGAAGTGAAAAGATGGATTGATCTTGTCGATGATTGGCAAGACTTGAACCAGGTGGTGTAATACACTTCTCGTCCCATGCACATTCCAAAGTAGGAATTAATACATTTCGATAGGAATACGCTCCTCGAATATAACCTTGAATTCCACCGCTACACATTTCTTTCGAATGATAGTCTGCACGTTTCAAATTCAAATAATTGAAACTTCCGTCGTGTGTTAATTCACCAACAGTACCACAACATTTCCAAGAAGTATGCAAACCTTCTTGTACAACATGAAAATGTCCTTTTTTCAGAAGAATATCTTCCACTCGATCGAGTCGATTCCATAATTCTACTCCTGAATCAAGGAAAATAATCGATGGAAATCTTTGAAGAGCGAGATACATGGCAAGAGGTTTCCAAGCAAAAGTAATTAAATTTCTAAAATGATCTGGCAATAAATCGAAATGGATGGGTACCAATTCTACATTTTTCCATGTTTTAACTTGGTCACGTTGTTCTTGTGTGAGACCCAAATCATAGACAAGAATGGGTCTATTTTCTGAAGTGGTCACACTGTTCCATACCAACCAATAATTCGATCGCATTTGAGATTTGAATGTTTGACCAATTTTTGTAATAGTTTTATCATTGGGATGAGTGGGAGGAGAGGCAACTTGTGGATTAATTTGTTGAGTGTTGACCTTGTTGTTACTATAGAGTCTGTGAATGGAACCAACAAAATTTTCTAATCGATCAAAATAATCTCTTGAGGTGGCAGTGACAATGTGAGGAACTCCGAAATTAATTGGATCTCTATTCACTCCATTTCTCAAATGATGATTCATTTCTTCTTGTGAAACCATAAATTTCAAAATGTTCCACATTTCACTCTTATCTTTTGATTTAAATTGATGTTGTGCAAATCCTTTCCAATCACTTGCATATGGACATGGTTTCTCAATGACCTTTTCAATAATCACACCTTGTTTAATGACTTGAGGAGAGTCCACTTGTTGTTTCTTCTTTAAATCCTCTTCGTGGGGTTTCTTCTTTAAATCCTCTTCGTGGAGAATATCCTCTCGTATGTCTGATGCTACTTTTGCCACAGAAGTACTAGTACCAGAAGTTGTTGTTGTGGTTGTTGTTTCGGATGATGAACTTCTTGTATGTGTGCTCCACATCATTAACAAAATTAAATTCAAAAAAATAGAAGCAATTAGAATGAAGAGAATCAATCGACTGGTCATGGTGTTGGATCCAAGATGAAATATCAGGTTCTTGGTCGGAGAATAACGAGATTGGTCTAACATTGGCATTTTTTTTTGACTTGACTTTTCTGGATGATGACAAGTGGCGTCATCATGTTTTGTTTCATTCATCAACTGGAGAGACCCACAGAGGTTGTTGTTATTTGAGATTTTGATATCACACAACGACATTTTCGTAGAATGTTTCTTACACAAACTCTTCAAGTAAAAAAATGAGTGGAACACTTGAAAGCAACAACAACCACACGGATGATCATCCGACAACAGCAACAACAGATTCAGTGTTACATTCTCCGACCGAAGTGAGGACACCTTCAGAGCCATCATCACAAAATAATGTCCATGCTTTGAAATCTTCAATCTCTGATTTGGCATTTGGATTTGAATCAATATTTAGACCAGAATTTGATTCTGTTTGTTCTCATCTTCAAGAATTAATGTATGTGTTTATTTTAATATTCCAAAAAAATTATAATTGTGATGATGAAAATCATTCACAATATTTGGAATTAATATTGGGGTGATGAACAATTTTGCAATATTGATTCTAAAATGTTAATGATGAAATTTTGATCAAAACTTAAAATTTTAAAGTCGATCACAACAAATCATTGGAGATTTATTGAAAGAAGGCAATACTGCCATGTCATCTGTTCCACACATGAAAGAAATTCAAGAAGTGGTATGTTTTAACACCATTTATATGGACTCCCAATTCGAACACAACATGTATTTGTTGAACTAATAATTTTATTTCGCAACTATACTTAGCTTTCGCACATGCCTTCTTATATCAACAAGTTGCATTCCATAAAACAAGATATGCATCAAATTCAAGACAAAACTCACAAAATGAAAATTAGATCCGACAAGTTGCTGAAATAATCGACGAATAAAAATTGTAAATAAATTTATCATGTACACGATAATTCTTAACAACTGTCATGCAACAAATCTTCATTCTTTCTTCGTATCCAATTGATGGCACTGCCTGCCTTAAACCACTCAATTTGTGTTTCATTCATCGTGTGTTGTAGTGGAATTTGAATTTGTGGTTTTCCTTTAACTGTTAAAGTTAATTTTGAGTTTGGTGACAAAGTTGTTACTCCAGTAATGGAAATGATATCAGTCTCAGGATTAATAAGATCATAATCCGATGGATTTACAAAAGTTAAAGGTAAAATACCTTGCTTTTTCAAATTTGTTTCGTGAATACGCGCAAAGCTCTTTGTAATGATTGCCTTGCAACCAAGGAATCGAGGTTGAAGAGCTGCATGTTCTCTTGCACTGCCTTCTCCATAATTTTCTTCTCCAATCACAATCCAAGATGTTTTGTGTTCTCTTTGGTACTGTTTTGCAACTTCAGGAACAGTATCTTCTTTTCCTGTGAAGATATTCTTGACACAATTAATCTTGTTGTTCATGGCATTCTGAGATGGACATGATAAAAATTCATGTTTTTAAAACATGCTAGAAGATCAACCATTTGTACTTACCATAGCTCCAATAAGAGTACAGTTACTAATATTTTCTAAATGACCCTTATAGTTCAACCATTTACCTGCAGGTGAAATGTGGTCAGTCGTACATTTTCCTGCAACCTTAATGAGAACTGGTAGATCAATAAAGTCGTTCTTGTTCCATGCCTCGAAAGGTTTTAAGAACTGCAGTCGATCACTCTTCGGGTCAATGTTGATGGTTACTTTTTTACGTTCTTGTAAAGGAAGTGGTTCCAAATATGGTGACAAGTTCAGTGAAGATCTTTCAAATCCTCTTGATGGTAACTCTTCGCTTTGAGGAGAAGTGAATTTGAATTCCTTTCCATCTGAACCAATCAAAGAATCAGTGAGTGGATTAAAATCAATTCTACCAGCAAAGGCCATGGACATGACCAACATGGGAGAAGTTAAAAAGTGAGAGGTCAATAAATTTCCATCGTTTCTGCCTGTGAAGTTTCTATTAAAAGATGAAACAATGGAATTCTTCTTTCCTTTATGGTCGGTTCTATTCCATTGACCAATACAAGGTCCACAAGCATTTGCTAAAATTTTAGCACCAACTTGTTCAAATATTTCTAACAAACCATCTCTCTTCATGGTTGCAAATATTTGTTCTGATCCTGGACTGATAAAGAGTTGAGATTTGCTCTTCAAGCCATGTGCAAGAGCTTGTTTTGCAATAGAGGCAGCACTTGTTAAATCTTGATAGGAACTATTGGTACAAGAGCCAATCAATGCTGCAGATAGTTCAGGAGCATATTCATGCACTTTGACTTGTTCTGCAAATTGAGAAAGAGAGAATGAACGATCAGGAGTAGCTGGACCATTAATCATTGGTTCCAATTCATTCAAGTTGATTTCAATCACTTGATCGTATGTTGCACCTTCATCTGCCTTCAAATAGTCTGCATATTCATCTGCCTGATCCGCAATGGATGCACGATTGGTTGCTCTCAAATATCTTGACATGGCTCTAGTATAGGGAAATATGGAAGTGGTTGCACCAACCTCAGCACCCATATTACAAATAGTGGCCATACCTGTACATGATAACGAATGCACACCTTCACCGAAATATTCAATAATGTATCCAGTACCACCCTTCACGGTCAACATTCCAGTTAACTTTAAAATCACATCTTTAGCACTGGTCCATTCATTCAATGTTCCAGTCAATTTGACACCCAGAATCTTGGGACGTTTTAATTCCCAAGGAATGGCGCTCATGACATCTACGGCATCAGCACCACCAACACCAATCGCAATCATTCCCAAGCCTCCAGCGTTGGGTGTATGGCTATCACATCCGACCATCATTCCTCCAGGAAAAGCATAGTTTTCTAAAACAATTTGATGAATAATTCCTGAACCTGGATTCCAGAAACCTAATCCTAACGCCTGAGATGCAGATTCTAGGAAATTAAACACTTCACCACTCTCTTCAAAGGCTTTTTCAACATCTTTTTTTGCAAGAGTTTCCTTTTTCTGAGATATGGTACTACTCTCCAATGATCCTTCACCAACAATTAAGTGATCGCAATGAACAGTTGTTGGAGTTTGTGTCTTGGGTAATCCTGTAGTCAAAAATTGTAAAATGGCTGTTTGAGCACTTGCATCTTGCAAAGCAACTCGATCTGGACGAAATGGTAGATAACTATCCTTGGTACTGGCATTAAATGATTTAGCAACAAGATCCTTTGCTTTTTCGTAGTCATAAATGTGGGCTTTTAGAATTTTCTGGGCATAGGTCAAGGCTTGTGATTGGTCTTGTTTCAATCGTTCATAAATTATTTTTTGGGCCTTTAACGTTTCTTCCACATCGTATTTCGGTGGTAAAGTGGATGAAGACGAGGTACTACTATTGCTGCTCGTTGATGTGGTAGACAATGATGAAAATCGAATATTTTGATGACTTGATAATTGTTGATTCATAACGGAGCTATTGCTTCGGAGCTTTGTGTGTAAACCAAGTGATGATTGAATCACTTTTGATGAAGTACTCGTCTTTAACATTCTGGAATTTATCAGAGAAAAGTTTCAATTCTACTTGAATGCAACGAAACGAAAAGGATCAATTGCTGCGAATTTTTTTCTTGATTCTCGGGGAATTTCAAATAAAATAGAAAGCATGCTGTTTTTGTCAAAGACACGAAATGCATCGTCACAGTCTGAAATTTATTCGTCTCAGAGCAATCGATCACACTCCATGAATCCAAAACGTTCAGCAAAAGTGCTTCCGATATCAATCTCTGAGCTTGACTTGAGGCCTTCCATTAATAAAGTTTGTTGAACGATAATTTCTTCGAATTTAGTCCATTCGCTCAAGTGCTGCTGAAATAAGAATTTGTTAATTTCCATGTCTTTGCTTGAGCACTTTGAGCTTAATCTAATCATGTTGAGCAATTGAAGAGTGTGTCCCCACTGATCTACTTTGTGTTTGTTTTCAAATAATTGTAAAGCTTTGTGGAAGAAGCATTCCAAAAAGTGTCTGATAACTGATCCTTCATTTCTAAAAATCACTTCCATGAATAGAATACAGTAAATGTTGTGGAAAACGTTGCAATGGTTATAAGTAAAAAAGTATTCAGTTAAAATGGAAATCATTTGGTTGGTTTCAAATGGATACAATTGGAATACGGATTTCTCAATACAATCCAAATATGAAAAGTGAACGACAAACGTAATTAAATAAACCAGTTCTAATCTCAGAGCAGTAAACCTGCTTTTAACAGAATAAGCTGAAAATTGAACCCCATATTGATAAGTTCGCATGTTGTAGTCATCAACAAGAAGAAAAGTCAAAAAAGTGAACCGTTTTTCGAGAAGAGTTTTCAAAAGCTTGAAATGAAAATTTGTCACAGTATCCAATGCCGAATTACTTGTTTCTCTAACTAAATTGTTGAGTAACTGAAGATATTCTACAGCTTGTTCATAAGACTCTCGTTTTTTTACAACATCCAACCATTGATCGATTACTTTTGAAAATAATGACTCTTGAAGTTTTTGGAACATCAATCCAAAATTGTGGTCTTGTAGTAATCTAATAGCTAACTGCCAAATTTCTACAAAATAACTAGTTTCAGTAAGCTTCCAGTATGAACTTTGTGCGCAAAAGTACTCAACAAATTTGAGCCTGTCATCCTCAATCCTTGTAGAGACGGAAACAGCTTCAGTTAGCAGATACAACACCAAGCCAGTGTTGGAAGAAATAAAGGGGAAAAGGTTGTTGGACTGAATATTTGTGAAAACTCGAGTTCTGTACATAACGTAAAGCTGTTTGATAAGCTTTACAACCAACTCGTCGTGAAAGTAATGTCCAGAGCCAAACGACTTGCAAAGCTCCTTCAGGGTGATAGTAAGGTTCATACAAATTAGCTCTTCAAAAGGACCTGAAGATGTAAATATGATGTGAACAAGCTTTTCTCCCATCATCAATGTGTCTTTTTTCGCTATCCCGATTGAAAGAGGGTCTGTTACAACCTTTAAGAGCTTAATGAAATTGTCATCACTTGCACTGAATACATTAGTCATTTTCTTATTTACAACTGGGTTTTCAAGAGAGAGAAGGCGTAAAATTAAGGATTCAATGTTTTTAGTTTCATTTTCAGCTTGAAAAGTCAATTGTTGGTGCACATGCTTAGAATCTAGAGTTGGTGCTGACGAAATATGAGGTAAAGAGCTTGTTTTGGATGGAAAAGTGGAAGACAGATTGTGAGTAGATGGAGAGACATTCTCCTTATTATTGATGTTTAGAAACAGATCCAATCCATTTACAATGGCCGATTTTGTTGATTGTGGTTGGGTATGAGCCTTGGGAGTGGCGTGTTGTTTTTCGAGAGTTTTTCTTGGTGAAGAGATGCTAAAAGTTTGGTCCATATGGATTGGTGTAGAGGTTGTGTTTCTTAGTTGATTTATCTTGTTGCTATTGTGCTGCTGGAGTCTTGTTTGTGTTTTGATTGGAGTGAGCACTTGTTTGAAATCTGAATACTGTTGTTGGGTTGATGAAGATGTGCTGTTCGTCGCTGTTTGAACACGAGTATTGTGGTTGGCTGGCTTTGGGGTACCAGTGGTCATCATTATTGGGGAATTGAAAGCTTTATGAGAGTTTTGGGAAATAGATGATTGATGTTGCTCTACAGGTGTATTTGTAGAGGGAGTTATCCGTGAAGATGTTGTTTGATGGTGATGCACAACAGACACTGGATTATATTTACTGGTCATGATGCGTAGGAAAGCCTACAGCAAACAATTTAAATATTACGGAAGAGCTACGGAAGGATCGGATGAAAATTGCTCTCTTCTAAAATCACTACTTCATAAAGACCTTCAATGTAGTTTGTGTTGCTCTTCGTATTTACAATTCAGAAATGTACGGAATAATCAAATCTGCGAGCTGATGATTGATTCACTTTTTTTTTTGTTTGAACCTTGCCCGTCGATCTCTTGTACTGTGGGCAAGCTCGAGCGATTTTATTATTTATTGAACATTTATTTTTTGTTCGAATAACGGTCGGTCCAAGCGGGAAGTATTTTCTTGTTATTGCTTTTAACAAGTGAATTAAAGAGAGGTCCATTATGTTGAGGTTTTGATATCGTAAAACGATAGAGGTTCTAAATGATGGAGCTCCTCTCGCATCTCCTTTTTTAACGTCGCACCAATCGCAATTGGATTTTGTATTGAGATAACTCCAATATTAGGTGAGGACAAACAACTCTCATTCAAAAAAAAACACCAACTCTGTTCAACACGCCACGACAAGTATTGAAGCCATGCGTTCATCCAGAAAGTTATTTGATCCTCTCCTTTCTTTCCGGAAATCCTCATTGGCAAATTCAACAGTGTTTGAACGTGTTACAAAACAAGCTCAATTCCATACATGTCTCAATGTCATGAATTTTGAAAGAGACAAGTCCAAGCAAAGAGAAGCACTGACTGGAACCCTTTCGTCAGAGAATATCTCTTCTACGACTTGCCCATTTCATTCCGTGGAAAGGAACCATCCAATGACCATCACCTCTCATGAAAGCACCTCATCTCAACCACATGTTTTGAAAACCCAAAAGACCTATGAAGAAATTCCAGGCCCTAACGAATTACCATTTTTCGGTTCATGGTTTTCCTTCTTGAAACATGCTAAAAACACAAGTCCATTCTTTTTAGAGTTGTGTGAAAAGTATGGAGATATGGTTCGAGTGACTGCCTTGGGACATAAAATGTTGATCTTGGCTAATCCACACATGATTGGAGATTTATTCAAAGTAGAAGATAAAAGATCACCTTTAAATAGTGTTCGCTTTTACAAGGATCAGAGAGGAATGGAATTGTCTTCGGTTGAAATGAAATACGATGAAGATTGGAATTCAGTTCGTCAACTCTATAACATTGCCATGAAACCTGAATTTGTTGAGAAAGTTTCAGTACCTCAATTAACTGAATTGAATGGAGAGTTTTTGAGAAGAATGATCAAGTATTTACACAAGACTCAAGATGGAAACATAGACACCTATCGATTGTTGAATGGTGTCGATGCTATTTCAAGATATGGATTTGATGCTGTTTTGAAAGTGTTTCTTGGAGTGACAATGACCGATGACCTGGTTCAATCGTTCCCTTTCAATGTTGCAGATTTTGTGAACTATTCAGTGAGAGGACTTGATCTAGCAGTTCGATTAGACTCTAAACCTGCCATTTACAAGTATTTTAAAACCGCTGAATTCAAAGAATTAGAAATGGTCTTTGATCGTTCGTTCGAATACGCAAGATATTGTATGGCACGATTCAAAGACAATCCAAGTGGAAAGCCACGTTTTGTAGAGCTTTTACAAGAACGTGCCAAAGACCTTCCAAATGCTCAAGCAAAAGTTGAAAGTGTCATGATTGCCTTTTTACAAGCTGCTGTGGACATTACGATGAGAATCATGACCCATGTCATGTATCGAATGGCCCATCACACAGAGTATCAAGAAAAGCTGTATGAAGAATGTGTACAGATCTTTGGAGAACCAACCATGGATGAAATCACTTCTGAGCATGGTTTAGAAATTACAGCTGAACAATACAAGAAATTGAAACATGTGAAACATTTTCTTGAAGAAACTTTACGATTGAATTCTTTTGCTTACATGACACAAGGTAGAATATTGAATCAAGATCGAGAAATTGGAGGTTATTTAATTCCAAAAGATACACAAATATTGATCATGCAAAGATATGCTACTTTGAGAGATGAATTTTGTCCAAGAGGAACCGAGTTTATTCCTGAACGACATGAGAAGGGATCTCCATTGGCCATGAAGAGTAATTATGTTTCAGTTCCATTCGGAGTTGGTAAGTTGAAAGTTATTGTGTGCAAATTGGAATATTGATGCTGTTGGTGTTGTGTTCAAATTGGAATGACTCTTGTATGAACTCAATGAATTCAGGTGCCAGAAAATGTCCTGGTTCTCGAATTGCAACCACTGAATTACACTTTGGAATTATTAATTTGGTTCGTCACTTTAAACTCTCTCATGAAAACCCTCAAGTATTTCCAGAATCATCGTTTGATCAAGCCTTACTATATATTGATCTCAACAAACATCCTCTTTACTTGACACCTCGAGATCATGTCAAGGAATATATGAAATCAGTCAAGATGAACAACAACTATTGAGTGTGTTATTAAATATATTTTTACAAATTATTATTTTCTTTGAAATGTTGGGTGTGATTACAATCATTGGAATTATAATCATGGATTAAAAAGACCTTCTTCATTCACAACAAGAAAAAAATAGTGGATGGCAAACCAACGATTTCAATCACTGCTGCTGGGACATTGGCGTGTCATGTGGCCAAATGTCCTTGTCATGTTGTTGTTGTCGTTGTTGTGGATTACTCTATCACTCGTTCAATCACTTGATATTATTCCAAACAGTGTTGGCTCTTCCGACGTTTATCAACATATTGTCAAGATTTCAAAAAGAAGAGGAGGCCACGATCTGTCACCACTTGATTTTCAATCAAAAGGATTTACTGTAATTCCTACCAGTGATGATCACGAAAATATTTTCATGTTTTTAGGAGATGAAGAATTATATCAATTGAAATCTCTCTCAGCAACAAGAAATGAATTACAAATTTTATATTCTCGAAACAAACTCGTGTCAGATCATGTTATGAATACAAATGAAGATGAAAATGATATTGAAATGGTAAAGGAAATGATATTGGCACAATTTAATCCTTCTTTGAAAAAAGAATTATTGAAACTCTACAGTGGATTTAATCAAGTACCAACAGATTATCCAACCATTGAAAATATTAATAATTATTTGAAAGGTTTAGAAACGAGATTTCCAGGAAGAGCTAAAATGGTGAAAATTACACAACAACCAACTTTTGAGAATCGACATATTTATGGTGTGAAAATATCCAATAATGTCAATGAAGATCGAGATGTTCCCAATATTCTTATTGTGAGTGCTCATCATGCAAGAGAAATTAACACAGTCATCACGAGCATAGTTATTATTGAAAAACTGCTTTCTGACACGAACAAATTTGGAAAGATTCTACAACATTATCAAATTTATATCATTCCAGTGGTGAATGTGGACGGATATCATTACGTTTTCTCAACAAATAATTGGTGGAGAAAGAACAGAAGATTTATAGGATATCATAATGGAACAAAATCATTTGGTGTGGATTTAAATAGAAACTATGACATTGGATTTGAGAAATGTGCTGGCAATTCAACATTGAACTCGGATTTGTTTAAAGGAGAATTTGCATTCTCTGAAATTGAGACAAGTGCAATCAGAGACTTTTCCAAACGTGTGGGTGGATTTTCCAAAGTTCTTGATTTTCATAGTTTAGGAAGACAAGTACTCACAGGTTACACTTGTACGTTTAATGCTCAGCAAGATTATATTGCCAAGTTAGGAGAAGAGTTGGCTTCCAAGGTTAAAAATTATAAGACTCGTGTGCCTCATGCTGATGGAGAACATCAAGAATATCACATCAAACAGTATACCTCCTATTCATTTTTAATTGAGATTATGGACTCTTTCCAACCACCTTTTGCTGAAAGTGTGAAAGAATCGATCGAATTGATGCCTCTCGTCGAACACTTTTTTAATAAGGCCATTCCATTGAGGGGTCACGTGTATGACATCCAAACAGGCAAGCCACTCAACAATGTGAACATTCAAATTATTGGCGTTGATTGGAAAGCTGGAGAGAGTAGACACACCAATCACTTTGGAAGTTTTTATTTATTCTTACCCTCCAATACACAATACGATCTCCTATTTTCATACCAAGGTAGAGTGTTAAAGACCAGGGTTCTCTTGGGTCACGACAATGAGTCACAAATTCTAGACGTACGTTTGTAACAAACTCAACACCAGTTTATAAATTATGTTTTTCACATATAAATTGGAATGCCTCTCTCACTGATGGAAACACGTGTTTTGCTGGATTGTGATCATCATTCGCCTGTTTAGACTGCCAAACACCAGTCCTCAACAACATGGACACAAAATTAGGACCAGCAGAATTTGCTCCTTTACCATTTGAATAAATGTTCAAGTTGAATGTACGATGTTTAACAACTTACCTTTGATGTCACTTAATGGATTGTCTCCAATGGCATAAATTATGAGATCGTCTACGGAATTTCTGTCTTCATGACCCTCATGATAAGATTTTAACTGCTCGATGAGAACATTTTTTGCATAGTCATATGTCACCTTACATGGTTTTCCATAATATTCACATTTCAAATGTTGATGTTTTCCATTCATGTTATAAAACAGTGCATCTAAAGACTCAATAAACGCTCCCATTGTAAACCTAGGTCTGCAAGCAACACCTTGATACACTAAATCTGGATTGCAAACTTTGACTTTCACTTTTTGTTCCGTTTCTACTTTTGAATAATCCAATAAATGTCCAATATGACCATCAGAAAGAACCAAATCACAACAAATTTGTAAAGTTTCTAACCAATCCACTGGTGTATCTACTAAAATGATGGTATCAATAGGTTCATGCATTGCTGACATTTCTAATTGTTCTTCATGTGAAAATTTATAATAATTTTCGTGATCTTTCCGAGAATATGGTAATAAAAAAGGATATTGGTCAGCAAATTGTGTTAAAGATATCCTGTTCGTGTATCCGTAATTGTTTAAAATTCTATCAATTTCCTCATCATTTCTACCAACATGTAAAATCTTTTGATGATATTCATTGTTAAACATTCCTTTTCCAGATTTTCTATTTAAAGGAGTATGTGAAAGAATAATTCTAGATGCATCAATTTCAACTCCAAATAATTTAGAAAGTCTTTGAGCTCTAGATTCTTCACTTTCACCACCACCATTCGTGAGCAATACAAATGGAATATGATGAGCGTAGAGAGATTTCAAAATTTCTGAAGCACCTTCAATGACCGTTCCATCATGAATCAATACACCATCAATGTCAAAAACAATGGCAAAATCTGTTGTTTTATTCTTGTTATTCAAGCAAGGAGAGTCGGAAGGAATGGATGACATGTTCGACGATTTTGGTGTGTGGTTGCGGAAGGAGAAAATATTTTTTTTGCGTCTTTGCTCGTATCTGTTGATGCTTCATAGATGATGACATTTGCATAGTTTTCATCTCTCAGAGAATAACCATTATTCTTGATAGAGAATGGGTTCACTACGAGCGAGTGAATGATCAAAAGTCTTCAAATCAATGTTTTTTTCTGCAAATCCGAGGCCAGTCACTCCCTCTAATAAACAATTGACCTCAATGATTTTCCAATCCCATGTATGATGGTTTCCCTCAATCATGGCCAAATCAAGCGTGAAATTGTCCCAAGGCAAAATAGAAGCTACTGTTTTTACCACTCTTTGAATTGGTTTCATCATGGTATTCTCATCAAAGGGATAAAAGTTCTTTCCTCGTAAATCGGACCATTCTTGAGAGTCTTCGTCTATCAAGTAATGCAATTGTTGATCAAGGATAATACATCTCATCTCTTTGAGAATGTTCACAACAGGACGTGCAATCAATGTCCAATTTTCAGCATGACCCGAAAGCATTCTACATCGTTCTTGAAATGCGCTACATCTTTGAGAACGTTTTACGGCATTCATGGCTTCATTCCAACCCTGTTCATGGATTGGAAAAAAGCAATCTGCAACAATATCCTTAGGAGAACATCCATCTAGCCTCACAAAAACTCTCTCATATGGTAACTCTAGAAACTCCTCCTTGCTTTTTATGAAATGAACACAGGAAAGTAATAAATCCCTCGTTTTCAATGATTCATTGAGAATGGGGTACCATGAAGATACATCAAAATGTTGAGAGACTACTCCAACAAGAACAGGCAAGTCGGCGTGGACCAGAAAATGTGTATGCTCATCATGAAATGTATCACTTTCTTCATCACAGACAAGACTATGCTCCATAATTGCTTTAGAGTCGGAGAGTTGCTGGACATGATGTTGTGAAATCATTCTCGTTTCAAACTCCTTCTCCAAAAAGTGATCCAAGAATATTCGTCTTGAAACGATACACCAACAGTCGGACTCATGTTCATCCAGTTTCCACAAATCTCTTTCCGTTTCGTTTGGAAACAGTAAATGTTTGGTAGTGGTTGGAGAGTGAATTAATTTGGCAATGAACATTTTTTTTCAACCTTTAAATGTTTATTGTGAAATTTATCTCTATTACATTTTGAAAGCACTGATTGGCAAGGTGAGAATGGAATTTTGTTCTACCTTATTATTCTTCACTAATTGTCTGATGAGAGAGATGGCCAGAGCTAGTGGAGTTTGTTTGTGTGAATTTTGAATCCATGTGGATCGAGAGTCTTCTGGGAAGTTCTGCAAATCAGTAAACAGAAATTGCAAGTCTCCAGCCAAGTCGATGGCAGAGAATGTATACGTTTTTAAGCTGGTAACATCAATGACTTGATGATAAATAGTTGCTGTCTTCAATTGTTTGATAGATTTTCCATACTTGACTTGTACGACAGGTTTGCGTTTCAACTCCAACTGCGCTCCACAATCGTATCTTCCATCCTTTTTAGCTCTAGTAATGTCACCTTTGTAAACCGCTTCAATCAGATAAGCATTCATCTTTTGTACACATTCTCTTACAGAAACTCCATTAATATAGAAAATTCTTCCACCTGATTCTGTTATATCTTTAAATTGGGCTTCATTTAAATTAGGAGATCCATAGCTTCTAATTTTCAGATAATAGTTCGCATCCTTGCTCGTTGAACCAGGAATAAAATTGACGGACTTCTTTCTAAGGCCCGTGTCCATGCCTATACCCATATACATTCTATAAGGTCTCTTGTGATTTCTTTTTGGTGGAGTAATGAACTGTTTGAACGTTGAAATGATACAAAATTTCACAACCTCTGCATCAACAATCCCTTCTAGCAATCCATGATCTACAATGATAAAACTTTCATTCAAACCAAACTTGACAATTTGATTCCAGCAAGAAATCACAAAATCATTATATTGGTTCATTCTCTCCAATGAGCCAGCATGAGCTAGCAATAGTCCACAATCTACAATTGGGCTTCTGAACCATTTGTTCTCTGTTTGTATCTTATGAAGAAGCAAAATTGGATTCTCATATTTTGGACCATTGTCTTCAGAGTAAACGTATCGAATGTAGCAATGTAAAAATGTCTCTCCATGTTCATCTTGTGCATTTCGAGAAATATCGGCTCTTTTACAGAGCTTTTCAATCATTTCTAAATTGTTGGTGATGGCACATAGGTGTAGTGCTGTCCGTTTCATTTTGTCTGCCTCATTAATTCTCAAATTAGGATGATCTAACAGAATCTTTGCAGTTCCCTCAAGGCGAAATATACAAGCATAATGTAACGGAGTCATTCCAAAGTCATCCTTTACGTTCGGTCTAATCTTGGATTTCTTTAAACATTGATACAAGGATTTAGTGACGTGCTTCTTTTTAGCACTCAAAACATCTCTCTTCAAAATTTCTCTTAACTTATCGTTGGATAACAGTTGCAACGAATGACAAGATCCAATAATATAAAGAGAGCATGATAAATTGTGTTGAGTGATACAATAGTCCAACGGATATTTTCCATCGTTGTTTTTCAACGCCAAGTTAGCTCCTTTCTCTTTGTGAAGATATTCTAAAACATCTCTATAGCCGTACCAGCAGACTGCATGTACTAACGTATCTCCCTTCTCGTTGAGCTTTGTATTCACATTATTAACTTGTTGTAAATATCGATCGACCGCTTTCTTTTCTTTGACCATGGCTTTAGGTATCATTTCTAACTCGTCAATTTGTTCATTATTATCAGCTTCAGTTTTGGAAACAGTAAATTGAGAACTCGTTTCAAACTCTTGCCTTAAATTGATTAAACTTTCTCTAGCAATGTCTCTAATACTCTTTTCAATAAATTGAACACCTTGCGAAGTGTTATTTCCATCGAATATTTTCAAATCTTTTTTCTTATCTGAGTTTGTTCTTTCAATAATTGCTAATACTATTTCTCTAATTACGCTCTTACTTGCTATTGAAACCAAAGATGAGAGTTGAGATGAACATTGTTTCTCAAGTAAATTCAAGCTACAATCATTTGGAAGCATTCCAAACTTGATATAGAGTATCTCAAAGATTTTGTACAATGTTTGTGTAAGAGTATCAAAATCTTTGGGATCTAACAATCCAAGTTGGATAAAATCAAAATAATTTTGATTATCGTCCAAATCATCGTCATCGTCTTGAATACTAGAAAATCCATTTGGCATTGCATTTGAGGTATTTGGAATAGCATTGGGATTGTATGAAGAGCCTATACTGAAAATGTCAGATCTATTGTCATTGTCAAAATGTGACGGAGGAACATGAGGATACTCAATGGCATGATTATCTCCAAAATCGGTTTCAAATTTTGAAGAAAATGATGGTGCAATAAACGATTGTCTACACATAATGGCTTCTAAATTATGACCGTCATGTTTCCAACTAGTCTTGTCAAAGGAATCCTCTCTTACAGTAAGAGGAGTCGTCAAGGAGGGAGTTGGATAATCTATTTCATCTTCCTCCGGCCTTACATAAATATCAAAAGAAATTGTAGCTCTGTGATCGAATGCTTCTTCACTTTTAGAATATACAGAGCTAGTAGTATTGTTGAAGGGTACATTATTGGGCATGTGTATTGCTGCTGTAGTGTTGGTGTTGTTGCTCATGTTGATTGAAGGTGGTCTCGGAAGAGGTTTGAGTTTTTTCTCTTCTTCTTCTACATTAAAACTCACGCTCTTAGATCGTCTCTTTTGCTCAACTTGAGGGTTGTGCTGCTGAGAGATGTTATTCGACGGTGGAGTTTGCGGCGACAAGCTATTTCTCTTGTTGTTCGAATGTAATGTTGGAGACAATTCTGCATGACTTTTTTGTGGTGGTTGAGCATGAGGATCATAAATTCCTGTCACGGAATGACGATGTAACTCGTGTGGTTGTTCATGAATCACATGTCTTTCATACGGTACAAGAGGATGTTGTTGCCCGATTACGGAATCGTGAGTTGATGATGAGCCTTGTTGATGATGAACCGAGGAAGAAGGAAATGTGTAGAGAGAGGAAGTACGAATAGGAAGAGGAGGAAGTGGTGAGTTTTGTGATGGTGGAATGACATGAGGTTGTACAACGAAACTGTTCAATGGAGATGTAACGTCTTGTTGCTGAACACTGTTCAAAACATTTGGATGTTGATGGATCGCTCTATTTTGAAAGTAATGATCCACTTTTGAAAACAATTGGTCGACATTGCTATCAAACACGCCGTTGTTATTATTGTTCATGGAGGTGTGATGATTATTGAAATTATAATTAATAATGGCATTCAATGGTGGTTGTGTTGTGGTTGATACCACTGTATTGCTTGGTTTATTCATTTGGGTCCAAAATGTGTCTTTGGATGATCGTGTATTGATGATGAAAAGGATTCGGAGGAGGTTGATTTTGTTCGAAGAAGATTGATTCAGAGTGATACGAGCCGTTCCACTATTCTAAGCATGGAGTTTTTCTTTTAGAAGACTCGAATTAGAAAAAGGGTGAGGTTTGAAAAAATAAAAAGGAATTGCAAAACAACGGTAAATGACAGCATGCTTCTCTGCTGCTCAATAAAGAAGGCATTTACCTCATGATGTGTGTTCAAATAAGAGCATTCAATGCCTCAAGTAGCAGCGCTTATGAATTTACTGTGGAGTACTTTTAAAAAACAACTGAAGTCTCCCGTTCTACGGTCGTAATGAACCACACACAATAAGGAGTGTGTTGTCATTCATAAATTAAGGTTAAAGTACAGTGGTCTCAAAATTGAAGTTCTCTCATCAAAATTAATGTAAGCCAATAATTTGCTCCCATAAATGACTTTGAGTCAGGTCGTTTCAGTCTTTGAGTGGATCTGGTATGGAAGTTCCATGTATGAAATGCTTGTGATAGGGAGAATAAATTTTCTTGAACTTTTCCTTCTCAGCTTTTTCTTTCCTGAGTAAACTCTTTTCTTCTTCGTGTCTTCTATGATCATCTAGAATTGTTTCTCCAACTGTTGATTTTTGTTGGCTCTCATTTCGTGAATCAGAGAAATATCTAGAGCTTTGTAAATTGGTGGCAGTAAGTCCAATAAATATTAAATAACCCAGTAAGCCAGTAAGTGAGCACAAAAAACAACACGACACAGCTGTTATGGCAAACCACTCACAGACGACAATAATGACCACAGACACAAAAAGAGAATTGTTGACACCTTCACAATCCTCGGCAAATAATAAATAGGTCAAATAACATAGTACCCCTAGTGATCCGAAAAAACAAATAATTTTGAGCCCTAAAAACGTAATTGATGTATACTGATTAATATCATCGTCAAGTCTTCGTTTTCTAGTTTTCGGAGTTTGTAAACAATTTTCGAAAAAAGCACTTGCAATCACACAAATGCTAAAAAGAACAGATAGAAAATCAAAACAAGACCATGCTAATAGCAATGTTGATATTGTTCGTTCCGAACAATATTCGTTGTTATCAGAACCATAGTAATTGTCGAAAAAAATGGTTAAAGTACCAATAGCAAATCCTAATGTGAAACAACAAGTTAAAACCTGACAAGCCACATTGACACTATTTTCGTCGATGATCATCGACACAGTTGTGTGATTTTCACAAATCGGAGTTCTTGAATGAGTCGGAAAATTATACTCACGTCATAAAAAGTACTTTCATTTTTTTGTGACCGATATTATTTAACATTGTGGCCATGAACAACTTCAAAATGTCACCATCATGCTTATTTATTCATCGTCCTCATCATCCATTTCGCTAAGATTCAATCCTTTCTTAAACAAGTTTTGATATGAACCATATCTTGTACAAGTCAACGACTTCTTTTGCTCTCTGATATATTGTTTGTAACCCTCAATTCCTTGCTCAATAATTTTCATTGCCTCAGATCTTGGTAAAAAGTCTTTAACAACGACAGTTTGGGTGTTCTTGTCCAATTTCTTATAGTCCTCATAAAAGATTTTAATTTCGTTCAAGATGTGTGGTCTGAGTTGACTCAATTCGTTAATTCCACGGTACTCAGGGTCATCAGCATGAACAGCTGTGGAGAATAAAATTCAATAAACTCCAATTTTCAGCATGGATGTGAACTTACCAATAACTTTGTACTCCATGACTCCATTGTCAATTAATGGCATGACTCCAATAGGATGACAACGAACAATGCTCATTGGATGGCAAGCACTTTGCATCAACACTAATACATCAATTGGGTCCTTGTCCTCACCGAATGTTTGTGGAATGAAGCCATAGTTAGCAGGATAGGTCAATCTATTGTGATTACAGCGAAAAATGGCAGCAACGCCGAATTATTCAACAAATATGATGATTTTGTGTGAAGTCAGAATTAGAGCAAGGCAAAATTTCATAGTACGGTTATGATGATGTTGTAATAATAATTGATGATGAAATAATTGAGAAGCAAACGTATTCAACAGGAAGAGTCCAGAAGATGAGTGGATCAAAGGTCATTTCTAAATTCTGTTAATACTACTACTTACGAACTAGAGAGGATGTGGCTCACCTTCAATAAACCGTACTTGGTATCGTATTGATACTTGATTTTGCTTCCCTTTGGAATTTCTGCCAATAACGGAATAATCAACAAATAAAATCATCAGAGCCAAAACTTACCAATAAGGGCATTGAAAAGTTCTGATGATCCTACATCCAGATCATGCCAACTATTCAATGATTGGTTTCGTAATGTCCGAATATTTAAAGTTGATGAATATTAAAAAAACAAACTGGGCTTAAAACATACGCATGAATAATCATGTGCGGGAAAGCAACAGAAGGAGTAATCTCTGGGGACTCCTTGGTATCTTCTGAAAATTTTACGGTCTTTGAAGGTGTTCCGCTCATTGTGTTTTCTTGTGTTCGTTTCATGCACCGTGAGGTGAGTTGGCAGAAGGCTTGATGGTGAAGAACGAGAAGAATCTCGGCAATTTTTTATTCGCTCGATTTGCGACAAAAGCAATTCTTTTCGAAATAAAAGTGAGACACTTGTGAAAAAATTTGAAAGAGATTTGATGAAGAAGGCTCTGAGACGTACATTCGCTAATGCTTGAGCAAATAATTCATTGTTTACTTCTCCATTTTTCTAAGAGCTTGTTCAAGATAAAAAGGATAAATCAAATCCACAAGTTCTACCCATTCCAAAACCATCATATAAGGATAAAGTTGTGTAATACGTTCCTTTTCTTCTACAAGTTTATCATCAGCAGAATTTTCATCACCCCCAACAATGCAAAAATCAGCCTCTTCAATCTTGTCAGTAAAATCTCCACTTCCAAATTCGACAAGCATTTGACAGTGTTTATAAGTTAGAGTTTTTGTGGGATGTTGTTTTAAAAAGGTTTCATGTAAAAAAACTTTCTTTCCACTAATTGGCCTGTCTAATCTTCTAACGCCAAATAAGTGCAAATTATGTAAACTGCATTTTCCTTCTGTAATCCATTTGGTTGACATGATCCAGCGACCTGTGGCAATCGCCTGTAAAACTTTCATTGTCCTAGCATATGGTGGAGCTGTTATGTATTTAGTATGTCAAATTAATACAATGAATAAGTGTTAACTTACCAATGATGTGAGTGATGTCATTAGAAAGAGTATCTATACCACAATTCAGCTCAGTAATTCACATCCTTATTTTGAACTAAAAACTTACCTCGGTCATCGATTGATTCTTCTTTCACAATCACATTGTTCTTAATTGCTTCATCTGTTAACATTTTCTTGACATTTTTGCTAAATTTGTCATTGGTGTTCTTAAATCCGCTGAATGTAATCACGGTTGCTGGAGCTGTTGCAGTACTTGATGCATGATCGGAATTATTTGTTATTGATTCTCTTTTCACTTTTTTACTTTCTTGTACAACATTTTGAATATTGGTCGATTCTTCTTCGTCATCGTCACGTTCTGTGTCCTGACTGGCATGAATGGATGTTATCACCTGAACTTCTTCATATTTTCTCTTAGTTGATCCGAGAGGTGTCGTCGTGTTTGATTGATGACTAGAAATCCTCTTTGGCAAGCTTACAATTTCTTTTGAAGGAGTTGATGCTTTGGGGCTTGTATTAGCAAAGGAGCTTCTTCCTTTTGATGATCGAGAAGGAGAAGGAGAGGCTGTTTCTTTGGTCCCAGAGTTGCCCATTTTTTATTTTTTTTAATCAAATTTTGCAAGTTGGCGGGCTTAACGGCTCTTGGTGAAAGACAGCAGAATCAACATTCATTCGTGAGTTGTTTCTCAAGTCCTGGGAAACACCTGTCTATTTCTCTTCATCTGGAGGATGGTTGTTTACAAAGTCAGCAAGTTTCCTGTCTGTAAAATTGATATGTTTGACGAGCCAACCAATTAAGTAGTTCAGCAGTTCAATATCCAAACTTGTACTGTGATTTTTCACATATTCACGTTGCATGTTTCGAATTTTCGTAGTGAAAGTCTCATGCTCTTCTAGATGCTTTTTAACATAGTCCTCACCTTAATTTTTTAGTTATTCATGTCAGGTCACAAACAACAAATACTCACCAATTCCTTTTCTATACTTCATCATTAACAATTCTTCATCCTCAAAGTGAAATTCTGTATATTGTTAATCACACAAGTCATAAAACAACAAATACACACCTGTATACTCCAATAAACAACCAATAGTGTAACCAACAACCCAATGTGATTGTTTTGTGAGAGAAGCTTCACTCAAATTCTTTAACCATTCAATTAGTTGCATATGCTGGGAATCAATTTGTTCGTAGCCAACCGCGTACTTTTGAGGATCCCAAGAGACCGCAACTAACAGGGAATTTCTCCTAGAAACGGTGGACATTCTTGATTGAAGCTCTGTTGCTGATTGTGAGCTAAAACTCATAGTGTTTCTATGACTCTTCTCTTTTTTTTTCTTTCCAAACAATGAGCTCCAAAAGCTTTCCTTTTGAATGCCTGCATTATCTTGCTCAAGCTCTTTTTCCATCTTCTTCAAGTCAATATTTCTCTCTTTTGCCAGTTTTTCAATGGTCTTTTTCTGAGCATTTTTGAGTTGAAGACTTTTTGAACTGTACAAGTGATAGAGCTCTTTGATCATGGGCAGATTTTCATTGCGAACTGCAATATGAAGTGCTGTGTCACCAATCTTATTTTGTATATCTAATTGAACTTCTTTAGATCGAATGAGAAATTCAAATGTACCTTCTTGTTCTGAAAGTACTGAAATGTGTAAAGGAGTTAATCCATAAGCTGAATCCTTCTCGTTAAATAATTGTTCAATTTTTTCTACGTCGTGAGACAATATTGAAATAATGTGTATCAGACTTTCTAGGTATCCTTTTGAACATATATGATGAATCACTGTTTGTCCCTTATCATTTTTCATGAAAAGTAATTTCAGTAGTTTTTCATGTCCAATATGATTATTACAATATTCTAATAAATATTTAGTCACATGAGGGTGTCTTACTGCTCTAAACAAACACGATTCTTGTTTGGTATTTCTTCTGAAAATATTATGTTTCAAATCTTCAACAATGAATTGAACTTTTTCCAAATCACCTTCTCGACAAGCTAAATGAAGTATGCTGTTTCCACAATACACCTTATATTCTACATCCACATGAAATCCAAGCAGTACTCGTGCAACAGAAAATCCTTTGGATTTGTTCTTGGAGTTGAGAGAGACGCTGAGTGGCGATGCTTCATACTTGTCATGAATATTCAAATTTGCTCCATTAATGGCCAACATTGTCACGCTCTTGCTATGAGCACTCGAACAAGCATAGAATATTGGTGTTGCTTCAGCTCTATCTTTTGATTCTAGCAAGCAAGGTTGTTTATCCAATAAATATTGCATAACCGTGAGAAAATCTAATTTTGCAGCTGTATGAAGAAGTGAGCATTTCTTTTTAGGATCCAATAAATCTTTGGTGAAATCGAGAGGATGATCTGATAACGTTTCTGCTTTTTGTATCGTTTCCAACATTTGTTTCTCATCAGTTATGGTATTATGCAGTTCAAATGCCAGGTCAGCAATGTTAAATAACGATTTTTCACACTTTCCATTTTCCTCTTCCAGTGATTTTGATTCTGTTGGACTCGAAAAATTAACGATTGATGTGATATTTGCAGAAATTCTCTTAATATCTGCTGCGGTGTCATCATCTTCATCTGATGAGTCGCAAGCTGGTGACTTTTTCAATAACTCGTCATCATCTTCCTCATCATGTAGTTGAAATAGAGAATGTGAGTGCATGGTATTTGTATCGAACATTCCATTGATGCCACTCACACTCAACCGTTTCGTACTTTCAAATGTATTGATGATGTCTAAAACACTCACACGTTCGTCTTTCATTGTCTCACAGTTAGTGGTAGGTAGTGGTTGTATGTTATTGGGAGTTTGAAATAAAAATCAGACGTTATGATGATGTTTTTAAACGAGACGAATGATGTTTTTAAACGAGCTGTTGTTGTATGGTAGGTTGAAAAGCGGAATGTGGATTGTTTTTTTAAAAAGTAGATGTGATGCCGCGTCAAATGTCAGTTTTTGGTATTTGTTAGATGAGGGACGCAAGGACAAAGGTGGTCCAGTAAGAAATGATGTTGTTGGTGGTGTGTAAAAAGTGAAAGACCGAGTAATTCAACGAACAATATTGCAGGCAATCATGCAGATGTTTTTTTTGAATTTGCCAAAAAATTTCTATTTCAGGAAAAAATCGAGTCCGAGTCGACTCTGTTGACAACCTAGTCCAACATATCCTGGTTTCAGCAGCCTTAAAACTGGACCATTCTTGCTCAAAGATTTCTTTTTTGCTCTCAGACTTTTTCTCGGAGTCGAGCATCAAACTCCGGTTGAGCACTCCTGCATACCTTCGCCTCCAGTAGTGAAACACCACTCCAAAAAAAATGTCATCACTAGATCCCTCTTTTCATTCAACATTCAATGGCTCTTCATCCTATCACGACGATGGTGGCATGGATTTGAGATTTAATTCATTCCGAGGAACTGCTGAAGATGGCTATTTAGTAAACGGATTGAATAACCGAGAATATTATGATGGTGAAAGTGGACATAATGCAACCGAAGAAGGAGCATCTCTGTTGATGGAAAGTGGTTCAATAAATCATCATCATAACGATGAAAACAACGGAGGAGATAAAGTGAACGAACATGAAGTGCATATTAAAAAGCAATTACCTTCCAAGACAAATGCAGTATCTGCTTTTTTGAATATTACAAAAACATTTGCTGGTATGTCATTTTAGAGAATCATTTTTTTTCAAAAACATTATTGTGATTTCGTGACAATATTAATTTATTGATATTTTCCAATATTTCAGGTGCTGGATCTTTTGCGTTACCGTGGGCCCTGAAACAATCTGGGCTGTTAGCAGGAGTCATTACATTAATTTTATTAGCAATTTTGAGTAACTATACGATGAAGCTTTTAATAAGATGTCGAAGATATTCAATCTCAGGAAGAATATAAGGAAAATTCAGAGTATTGGAAAATTAGACCGATTCGAATTCCAATTTCAAAGAAAAAAAATGTAAATGAAGAAACAGGTGAAACAGTCATTGAACCTGTTTATCCCAAACGACATCCGCCTCCACGAATTGAAAATCCTGAAACTGGAGAAATTGTGACAACAATATCAAAGGCCATGGATCCTAATGATTACATTTATGAAGAGGATCGGATTATTACCTATGCTGACATTGGATATGAAGCAATGGTAGGTTTAAAATTGGAGTATTATATCATAACTAATGAATCCATGTGCATAATAATTAATATTAACAATAATTTGCGAATATTTAAAATAGGGAAATGTTGGAAGTATAGTCGTACACTTCTTAATGATGTCGTGTAATATTGGTGTTGCTACTATTTATTTGGTATTGATGGTAGGTTTCACACAAATGAAGAATTATTTAAAATAGGCAAAACAAATAATCAAAAAGGCCTCATGTTTAAACGGAATGGTACCTCAAATTTCTCTCAGAATTTGGATGTTGTTTTTCATACCATTATTTGTAATATTGTCATGGATCCGATCGTACAAATATTTAGCTCCATTGACCCTTATAGGAACTCTTGCTCTATTATTCGCACTTGGATCAGTCATTGTTTATGGTTTCATTTATCAAAGACACAATATGAAGTGGCCATGGGAATATGCTCATGTGGCTTTTATTGAACCTGCAACCATTGTAAGTTTAATTTGATTGTATCAAACACTTATCTTTGGATTCATTGCATGATTGAACATAGCCATTATTTATTGGAAGCGCCATGTTCTTATTTTGTACTCATACCATGATGTTGTCTGTTGAACAATCCATGAAAAAGAGAAAGGCCTATTACTGGACTCTTAATTTATCATTTATATTTATTGTCATTATTAACTTGGCTTTTGGATTGGTAAGTACATTTTGAGTGTACAGACTCATACGAACCTCATGCTTTTTAATAGTTGGTCTTTGAATTCTTCCCTTATAATATCCAACAAAGTGCTACTGCAAATTTACCACAAGATTCCATTTTTGTTTATATCATTCAATCATGCCTTTGTTTGGAATTAATTTTAACTTATACTGGTAAGTCAATCATGCGGTGTTCACACAATGAAAATATTATTATTACAGTTGTTCTCATGCCTGTTGGAGAAATCTTTGACGAAAAAGTTCTACAAAAATTGTTAGACAAAATCAAAAGATTTGTCACATCCACACGACTATCTTCTGTTCTCTATTATTTAACAAGTGGAATATTCCGATCCATCATTGTGTTATTAACTGTTGGTTTAGCTGAAATATTTGGAGACAAGTTTGGAATTGTCATGTCTTTCATTGGCGTAAGTAGCATGGATTCAATGTTTGGTGAGCTCATTGAACCACCATCATTACTACTATAATTTCATCTTTACAATAATCATAATGACTGTACAATAGGCTCTTTCTCCTAATCCTCTTGCATTTGTCTTGCCTCCTCTTTTTTATCTCATTATTATGAGAAAAACTATTTCACTTTTCACATTTATTTTGAATGTTTTCATTATGGTATTTGGAATTTTAACAATGGCTTGGAACACTTATTCGAGTGTCATGGCCATCCTTAATCCTTAATCATCGTTCGATGTGAATAAATATTTCACATTCTTGCACAAGTAATGTTTTGTATTTAACAACTACACTCTCGCTAGTGTTATCCAAACACTAGTTAATATTTATCTCTATTTTTTAAATCGAAATACAACTGTCATCCAATTGTAATCTTTCCACAGCTATCCATATTCCTTTTCGAAAAGGAAGTTTCTAATTCAATAACCTTTCACACATGTCACTTTTTATCGCTCAGCAAAACGGTCACTGAAATTTCAATGTGAAAGAGCAATTCAAATTGTACATTTTCGTTGATCCCAGCATACAACGAATATTTGGTTCATCTCGCGCCAAAAGATCTGGAATCGCTTGTTGTAGACCCAATCTGATATTGTGGATGACATTTAAAACCGTTGTGGTTCCTGGTCAACTGTGTTAAATACAACAAAAAAAAATGTTGAAATATTCCCTTCTCATTTTGTCTGCTATTTTGGCAGTTTGCGCTTGTGTGAGTGCTGCTGTGACATCTCCATTGACCACTAGAGTTTATTTTGGTATGTATCTTGTGTGTTGTATTGAGAGAGTGTAGTTGAGAGAAATATTCTAAATATGATCCTATTGTATCATTATTCGTTGTGCACGACTCCAATGATGATGATCATGAATGGAAATCATAAATGATGATCATATTGATGATCGGCTCGACTCTTCCCACGACTCCTTGACAAATGGCATACATTCCACGATGGTAATCATCACCCATACATATTTACACTTGGTGTTGTATCCACGAACACCCATGAATTTTGACACTTGACAAATAGGTGGTTCTTTTGCTTCCTTTAACGGAACCACATTCAACAACATTGGCTACTATGATTTGAAGGAACAAGCATTCAAGGCCATGTCCAATGGTACTGATGGTCCTGTTCATGTTGTTCACGTTGATTTCTTTGGTAACGTTCTCATTGGTGGTGCTTTCACTCAAGTCGGTTCTCTCAAGACTGGACCTATTGCCATGTGGAGAATCGATACAGCACAATGGACTTCTGTAACTTCTACCATTTCATTCAATTCTGGTGCTTCTGTGAGTGTCATTGATACCAACTGTGCCAACATTGCCACGAGCACTAGTGCATTCCCTTGTGATATTTTCATTGGAGGTCAATTCACTATTACTAGTCCAGCTGCAACGAACATTGCTTACTACAAGTATAGTGATAAAGAGTGGAAGGCATTCTCTGGTTTCACTGCTAACTCTGTGAGTGCCATTGCAAAGAACGAATTCCAAACCACCACTCTGAATAAGGTCTTCTTGGGAGGTAACTTTACCTCTTCCTCAAAAACCTATGGATTTGGTATTTATGATACTTCCAAGAGTACTTTTACTGGAGTCGATGGTGTATCTGGTGTGACTGATATTTACTTTAATCCAAACTTGTTCTCATCGGATGATATTTTCGTTGTTGCCACCACATTCCCATCCACCACTCAATGTGTGGGATTGTGTACCTACAAACATACGGATGGATCTTGGAGCACCAAGGCTGGTTCCGATCCCATGACTACCATCCGAAAACTTGCTTACATGAAGGGTACTTCAGTATCCAGTGTTGGAACAGTCTTTATTGCTGGTAGCAGTGGTGTCAAGAAGGCAACTGCAGGAGGAACTTTCTCATCATTTGGTTCTCCCAATGTGAATGTCTATGGAATGGATATTTGTGGTACTGCCAGCAATGAAGCTCTTACTTATTGTAGTCAAGGATCAGTGGCTGCAGGTGGTCAAGACTTTTTATACTTTTACAATGCCAAGACCAATGCTTGGACCAATTTGTTGAGTGCTTACACTTCAAGCAATTATACTGTGCAAATTAATTCCATCTATGTGAAGGTGTCTAGTGCTGTGAGAATGAGTGTTTCAATGGTGGTTTTGATGATTGCTTTGATTGCATCTGTATTCTTCTTCTAAAATGCAGTAACAGCCTTGTAGTTTTGTAATAAACCATGAACATCTTTGCGAAATTAAGAGTGACACACAACGCGTTTAAGTCTAGCCAAAATTTGCACGCCATGTGCCATTTTAATTTTGTAAAGACGTTGTCGTAAATGATTTTTTTTTTCCAAATTAAGGAAAACAAGTCTTGGTGTTGTAATGCCGGCAAAATGCTAAAACTTTGACTCAAGCTGAGGGAGATGAAAGGACTCATCCTTGGTTTTATGTTGCCTGCAATAAATGGAGAATGTGCATTGACCCAAGTTGAGGAGAGATGATGATTTTCATGCATCCTGTATTGAGTGAATTTAAATTTCAAATTTAAATAAATGTAATAATTACATGATCAATGTTTAAAGACAGAACAGTAATTGATTCTCTCTTTTGAGCGCCATACAAATTCTCCACTATTTTTGGTCTTCATATCCTAATGGTTAGAGATGTTCAACATGTTGACAACTTAATTCTCGTCTTGGTGTGACAATTGTTATAAACATTTTTAAACCCTGATCTGTCAGGCGATTCCACGAAAGACCGTGGCGCTCGATCTTTTTACTCTCGTGTACCCTCTCGAGAAAACATTGTCACTCAACACCTAGGCTACAAAATTCAAAGGGCATTTAATTGTTCGCTTCTTGTTTGTGTGTTAGTGACATTATTAGAATTCTCCCAAATTGGCATTTATGCAGTATCTGTGCAAGTTATGCAAACAGTTGAAATATGTAATTTCTTCATGCCAGCTCTCTTTCCTTGTCATTTCCATAAAAGCATTTGTATGTACTTTCTTTGATAATTTTAAAAACTAAAAAGAGTTTTTTCTCCTCGTCCGGTCAAGTATTTGAGTTCTAGACAATGGTTTTCAAGAAAAATCAAAAAACAAAATACAACAAGACCATCGATTGAAAGTCCATGCAATCGGCCTTTATCAAACCAACTTACAACTTGATATTCAGAATGAGAGACGAGGGTAATAATTGTGCAAGAAGTGCTTCCATGGAAAGTTGTACTCTCCACTCCATTCATGAAGTGTTGGACAAGAGTCACCAAAACATGTTGAGACCATCCTCACTGTGTGTTCCACCTCATCATTACAACCATACATATAAATCCAATGGACAACCTTACCATCAAGGTAATCATTTACATTCTAACCTTTCAAACAAGAATATTCCTTCAAATATCCACTCCACAACACTCCATTCTTCTTTTCAATACAGTTCGGTAAACAATTCCACCCATCCCATCAAGGAATCTCTAGGACACTCTCTAAATTCTACTCCTCTTCATGAGGCGAATGATGAATCGTGGTACAAGCATGCACCGACATCTCATTACAAATCATCCCATTCGGTCTCGAAAATTCCAATCTCATCCTTACCAACCCGGGAGAATATCTCTAACCAATTGACAACATACAACATTCGCTTTAATCAACCACACTCATTGGTAAAGACGAACACCGTTCAACATACAAATGGAGTGAACTCAAACCATCAAGTACCCTCACACCTATCTCATCCACATAACATGATGATGAATAACATGAGAGGGAGTAGTTCTAGGATGAGAAGATCAAGTCTCTCCGCTACAACTGCTCCTATGACAACCAATAATAACACAACACAGAGTCCAACCAACAAGAATTGTCTACCATCCATTGCTGAGATATTAAGGAACATCGAAGATACCATTCCCATGACTTTGATCAACAACAAGGAGCAACACTCCACAAGAGAATGGACCAACACTATGAATGAACCTAACCATGTTTACTTGGTGAACCAAAATGATGAAGGATCTCAGTTACAAGCACTTTCAATGAGAAATCAAAGTTTGGAGATGAATAACAACCATATGAAGCCAACCACCATGAACTCACAACCAACAAGAATTGATCAATTCTCACCTCACTCATCATTAGTGCTGAACCATAGAAACAGATCGAATAGTGTGTCGTCCTCTGCCATCTCCTCTTCTGTTCAAAGTGCTAACACATCCTCTTCTCAAATGAGTAATCGTTCCAAGAATTGTTCGAATTCTAGTGATTCAACTCTTTACAAAAACTCCAAAATTTCAAAATCCAATAATACCACCACCATGCTCAAGAAGAATAAGAGGTACTTATCAGATCGAGCAGTGAAGTTATTGAAAGAATGGTTATTCTTGAATTGGGACAATCCATATCCAGATTCTAATCAAAAAAGAGAGTTAGCCAAAATGGCCGATATTTCAGTTTCACAAGTCAACAATTTTTTCATTAATGCAAGACGCCGCATCTGTAAAAAGTTTGAAAGCCCTCCTGAAGATCACTTCAATTAAATTTCCTAGATTTGATTATTCTTACAACAAATATTTTTTTAAAATTATATTATATTTAAAATCATTCCGAAGAAGAAATATTACACCATGTAGCAGAATATTTGAGATTATTCATCGCGATGTCGTTTATCCATATTCTCAAATTGTTGGATTTTTACGAGTGCTTCCTGATATGCTTCATGACAATTTGCAGCACATTTTGAAAAATATTCCTTGTCAGAAACAGATTCTAATGATGAAGAATGCTCCGACTTGAAATGCTGAAATTGATGTTGACACACATTGAAACAATCTTCCACCATGTTCATCATGAAATGTTTGATATGAAGAAGAGGATCTTCGGCCATTTTTTGTGTACTTTTTTGCAACAGAAGGCCTTGTCTTGTGAATCACCCTCAATTATTGTGTACCAACAGTAAAATTCTTTATTCAGAGTCACTAATGACAACCACAACAGCTTCTTCCTCGTCATCATCATCACTCTTATCTGATCCAGAATATTTTGAGCCAGTCGTTCTCTTGGCATTGTTCTTTACAGTAGTAGTTGAGGGTTTTTGAATGATACTCTCTTCTACCTCACTCAATTCTCCAGACTCATCATCATGATTATCCTGATTATCATCATCAGATGACAATTCTAAAGCCTCCTCTTCTTCGTCATCCTCACCTCTACTATTGGTCAGTTCTTGAGTTAAGAACGTCTCATCAGTATCTGTCGCATGTTCTTGCACAAGGTCTGGAAGAACATGTTCCAAAAAGTGAATATCTTCCCGAGTGGATGGCATTGTGAATCCATCACATAAATGATCTTCGAGTGGTTTTAGAAATTCACTAATGAATGGTTTCAGTAATGGTTTTGGCTTGAATGAATCTCTCAGTTGATTCTGTTGTAACCATTCTTTAAGATCTGAGAACCAACATGTAAATTGTTTCAATACCTTATTGAACTCGAGTTGGTCAATTTCATTTCTCTTATTGGAATGTTCATAGTTTCGTTGAGTCTTGATAATTTCTTCTCCCAAATTCTTTGCGAGCATCACAGGTACAGCATTTCCAATTTGTTTGTATTTGTCCTTATCACTTCCACAAAATATAAAATCATCAGGAAATCCTTGAGCTCGAGCATATTCTCTTACAGAAAGTACTCGATGTTGATTGGGATGAATGAGTCTCATACATAATGGATTTAGACTAGTCACCAACGTATTACATGATTTAGACCATTGCAATCGAGCTAGAATAATTTTGGAATAATTTCTAAATTTCAAATACCCTTCTTTTAGCAATGGCTTCGCATTGGGATGAATGTCTCGATAGAACGCTCCAGGGCAGCGAGGCATACTTCTTATTAATGCATTAAGGACATCACTGTAGGTTTGAGATGTATGATTGGTACAAATGTTGGAACAATTTTTACGTAATAATTCTTGATAAATAGTACGAGGAGGTAAATATTCACAATCCCTTTTTGTTGTTTCTTCGTGTTGCCTTGAATGCGAGTCGAATGGTGGAAGATCACTTGCAAAATCTCTAAAATTCACAGGAGGAAGACCTCCATGATATATAACCTTATTGATTTTGGAATGAACCTTTTTTGCAGACTTCTTATCCACTATAAATGTTTGTGATGCTGCATGCGTATTTTCTGGAAAGGAGGGAATCGAATAGTTACCATCTCTTTTGGCAGCAAGAAAGATGACTCTTGTTCTTGATTGTGGAAGCTGTTCCAATGGTTATTATTCATTAATTAAATGTTAGGGTTATGCACAAATGTTGGTCAAATTTGAGCAAAAGTTCTAGTCATGCCAACTTACTCCAAAATGTCGTGCATTTAAGCATGAAAATTGTGTATCATAACCTCTACTGTCCAGTTTAGAAATTATTGCTTGAGGAACGTCTAAAACTGTGGTGTTCAATAATCCTGTCACATTTTCAATGAGAACATATTTGGGTTTAAAATACTTGACATACTCCAGAAACGTTAAAACAAGACGATTCTTATCATGGCTTAAGAATTTAGAAGCATCCTTCTCCTTAAAACGATTCAATCCACTGAATCCTTGACATGGAGGTCCTCCAGCAATCAGATCAATCTCATTTGGCTTGGGAATGTTATAATATTTAGCTTCTAGAAATTCAATAATTTCATCTCTGTACTCTTGTAACTCTTCCACATCCTTCCACTTCGAAGAGTTACCATTGTCAATTAAAAGTGATAAGGATCCATCTTTGTTCTTTTTAAGTGTTTTGATATGTATGGTTTTTCTTTTTTTCACATTCGATGGTTTGTGCTGAGATGAAGAATCTAAAAGTCCAAAGCGTTTCTTCAATTCATTCACTACCTTAATATTTTTTAAAAACTCCTCGGCATCTTTACAGAAGGTATGGGCGTTAGGAAAGTTTGCGTGATGACTGTCTGCTGCAACGTTCCAAAATTCAATGCTATATCTCACTTCAATACCTGCCCTAGTTAATCCTAGAGAAAGTCCACCACATCCTGAAAATATGTCCATGGCCACTAGTTTGGGTTTGTCTCTGAATTGATTGAGCAAAAAAGAGACGTTCCTTTCCATATGATCAAGAGTGTATTGTAAATCATTGGGGTGTAATTCAAACAGACCATATTGTCCATTCTTTTCTACAAATTTGCTTTTGCAGTAAAAGATGTCGCGTTTCTCTCTCACATTCTCAATCTTTTCAAACTCTTGTCTATTTCTTACGAAAAATACAGCACATTTACCCTTAATTCTAAGAAGTGGATTCTGAAAAAGGATACATGGATTCATGTTCTTTCAAATCATGCATTCATGACTACTTACATCATTAAATTCATCACTCAAATAGAGTTCTTGATGATCCCTACAAAGAACATTATAATGCTCTCCAGTTGTGATGGTTTTGATGTCATGAAACCTTCGTAACCACCTCCCTCTGAAACGTTTAACACCTTTCCAGTCTTCAAAAAACATTTCAACAATTGCTATATAATATGGATATTCAGGATTGGACCATGGAGGTTGAAGGTAAACAGCATCTCCTATTTCAATATTCATATCATTCAATTTGCATGCCTTGTAATAGATGCGCCCAGTGTCATCAATCATTGTAGAAAGAGGAGAACCAATCCACTCAATTTTCATAGCCTCTTCCAATGAAGGATCTTTCACAACAGAAATTTCTTCTTTAACAGTCTTGCTTGATTTCTTGGTCAGTTTTTTCTTGGTACCTTTTCTCTTTGGTTTTTTAACGTCTTCGCTATCGTCACTATAATCATTTTCAATGACAGGGTCTGTCGATGAGTTTTTCTTAGTTTTGATAAGATTTTTCCTTCTACCTGGTTTTGAGTTCTTTTTAGGTAAATATTCGTCTCCAGATGAGCTAGAAAAGGATGGCTCTGAAACTACTTCATCAGATCCACCAGAAATGGATTCATACTGTTCATCTGGAATATATACATCATCGCCAGAATCAGAGGTCTCCATTTCATCATCTTCCTCTGAGCTAGACATTACATCAGAGAGAACTCCTCCACGTAGCATGATTTCTTCCTAATTTTGTTCAAAATTCCAATGAAAATGCATGAATTCCAAAATACTTACAAGTTTTAAGAAAAAACAAGAATTTAACAATCTTGTGTCTTTCATTTTGTTAAATTGGTCTGAAATAAATTGAGCATTTTCTAACAGATAGTCTTCGTTCACTTTTGGTTTTGCAGCTCTGACATGTTGATTATAAATATATGCCAATTCAGTTTTACTGAGCTAAATGGAGGTATTCATCGATATTTCATTAGAGATTAAAACGTTCAATGAAATTAGAACAAATACATACTCGAGTAATAATCTCTTCATATGATTCTAATGGATATCGTTGCACAATTTCCATCAAAGAGTGACACAGGGAAACCTTCTGGTAAGTTTTGTTAAATATATGAAAATACTCTTTTGCAGGACCTATTAATTCAATCCATTCGCTTTTTTCTCGAGATGACTCAACGAGAATGCTAATGATAGGAAGTTTCCGATATTCTACGGCCCATTCTTTAATAGGACCAAAACATTTTTTCTGGCTGACTTTTGAATCTACACTTGATGCAATGTTAAAACAAATTCCACATGCAAATAATTCTTTTGCTATCGTTGTCATGTCTTCTATAGACAAAAAATTCGGAGCAATTTTACCATTGCTTTCCAAATAATCGGGATTTGAAACAATTGAAAAATCATAGAGCGTTCTATATTCTCCACTGCCTCTCACTAGAGACATTCCAGATCCAAATATCAAGTCGTCTGATGATTCATCAGATGACCCACTGCTCACGATCACAACCACTCGATCATCTTCCGAAGAAGAGGAAGCTTCATAATTTTCTTGTTGCTTTCGTTTCATATTTTTTGTGTAACAGCAAAATTTGGCGCTTTCACACTTGTTTATTACATGATCATATTTCTGATGGAAAACGCATCAACATTTTCGTTTGTCTTGTAAATATCATAGTCAATGAATGAAAATACAGATTCTCCAAACAAGTCGTACAGTTCTGAATATCTTTCTGCAACGTCTTCTGGAATACTTGAAGAATTCATTCGTTCTCTCATTTCTCTTGTCAATTGTTCAATTTTAAGTGCTTCCTCAGATTTGTGCATGTGTTTTTGCTCCTTTTTCTTAGTTTGATTGCCAGCATTGGTGTATTCCTCCTCTTCTTCTTCAAAAGTGGAAACGTTTCTTGCATATTCTCTGGCGCGTTCTTGTTGTTCCAATTTGAAAAACCTAGATAATTGTGTGAAAAATGTCCCTGCTGCGGTTAATAGAGCTTTAAAACACATAAAAGCGTTGTGTCTTGTGTGCATGTCTGAAGATACCAGTTCAGGAAGGAGCAAGTTGCAAAATATCTTTAAATTTGAATTTTTTGGAGGTTCCAAAAAGAGTAACTGAGTGACATGAGACCCTAGAGCTGTAATACCAACAATTGCTCCATAATGAGTTGTTCTAGATCTCGTGGGGTCTAAAAATGCGTGAAGGAGTGTCTTAGTAATTCTGGGCTGTAGGGTGTGGTACGAGGATCCAAATCTTTTGGAAATAATCATTAAAAAATTCCTCGAACATTTAAACAATTTAACACTTACTTGCGACAAATATAAGCGACGATATTGGCAGAAAAATCTCGTAAACCCCAATGGTTGTCATTTGGATTTTCGCAAAGAGTTTTTCCTACGATGCAAGTTAGGATTGATGGCATTAATTGATGGAGCTTTTGTCATGTATTAATAATCAAAAACTTTTTGAATATTGGAACTTACATAGAGCTCAATATGTATGTTTGGATTTACAAGCAATGCCTTTGTCATTTCCATTAATCGATAGAGTAATGTTAAATTTTTTAAATTATTTGTCACCTCACTAGCAATAAATTGAGTAAAGTAAGGAATGAGTTGATTGATTCCAGGATCATTTGCTAAGCTTTCTATAGCAGCTTTTCTTAACTCTCTTTTTTGATTGCTTAAATCTTTGATAGCGTCAGTAACTTTTTCATAGTACATTTGTAATTCCTCTGATAAAACATGTTTGACAAGTGGCTTAAATTCCACGTTTGGATCTTGTGATGTTGAAACTTTCTTGGATTGGTCTTTTTCTTTTGGTTTCTTCCGATCCGATTCTGTATCTTCGATCGATGGATTTTGTGGAATCTTTGGTTGAATGCCTTGAATTGCCAACCAGTGTGTGAAAATGGATGGTCCTATTGGTACTTTTGGTAAAGGTTTTTCAAGACAATCCTTCAAGTCAAGCTCCACGTCCTCCAAAAAGTATAAGTCTTTTGTTTGTTTTACTCTTCTGAATCTACTTGTTTGTGATGATTGGCCTCTAAACCCATAGAGAGGCTATAATTGTTGATAAGTTGTTATTCATACAAATGTGGTTGCAAATTACTTTTAAACACTTACCTCTATGTTCTTCATAGATAACGCGTGATTCACATCATCCGTTGTAAGAACCTTGCGTTTTGAATGTCTCATGAATTTAGAAGCATCCTGAATGATTTCCCGTATTCTATATTCCACATCAAGTGCTAATGTTTGGGCAATATCATCTTTTAGTTTGTTGATACCGAGGCTTTGTGCTATCACTTGCACCGCTTCTTTCTGAAAAAAAGATGTAGAACCGTCGGACATGTTAGAACGGTGTTGTTATGGCTTTCAAATAAATAATAGGGAGTTGATGAAATATCAACAATAATTTAACAATATTTGACGATTTGATGATGTTTGTTGCTGATTCAAAAGACAATGGCCAACAACAGCTTGCAATTTTTTTTAAAAAAAAAATGGTATGGCGCAATGAACGAGAGAATTTCGATCGCCAGAAAATTTTCAAACAGAGTGGTGGAGATGATGACAATAAGAATGTTAATCGATCAAGATATAAAAAAAACACTTTGAGTAAATTTACAATTTTCGGAACACCGATTTTTGATGGAGAAGAAGAAAACCAAAAAGAATTAAAAGCTCACGGACAAGAACGTTATATTTCCGAGCATCAACAATATGCAAAAGATGAAAAAGGAAGAAGAAGATTTCACGGAGCTTTCACTGGTGGGTTTTCAGCCGGATATTTTAATACAGTTGGTTCGAAAGAGGGTTGGGTTCCTAAAAACGACTTTAAGTCAAATGCAAAACAAAAAATAACGGACTTTATGGATGAAGAGGATATGAAAGAACTATTTGGTTTGAGTGGATCTAACCATGTTCAAGTTACTGATAAATTTCGTACAATATCCTCAAGCGCAGAGTCTAATAACAATTACGATCCTCTCTCTGGATTATTTGGAGGAATGGATTCTAAGGATAGAAAACATGCAGATTTGATTTTTGGCGGATCAACTCCAATGGAAGCTTCATTAAGCAACCAAATATGCTCTTCAAGCGAAGCTACAGGCCACATTGGTCACTCATTGTTAAGAAAAATGGGTTGGATCCCAGGCCGAGGAATTGGAATTAAAAATTACAAAACAATTCAAGAAAAACCCTCCATAGAACTTCATCAAGATGCGACATCCTATGACGTAACACTGAAAGAGAACCAACATGGTTTAGGATACAAGGCAAATACACTTGGAGACATTTTACAAAACGATAATACATCCAACAATCCTTTTTCGTTAACAAGAAAAAAAGATATTGATGACGATATTTACACAACAGATGACTTGAGCAATTATGACATTGAACTTAGGCCTCAAAAGGACCATGACCTTTCTGATCAGCACGATATCTGGAACGAAAAGTTAATATTCATCAAATCCAGTAACCCTTGTGCAGTGAAGCGCAAATATATGCCACCAAAAATTCCTGATAACTTCACCACAATACATATTTTTGATCAATCCCAGATTAAGACACATTACAAAAAGCTCGATTACCGATTGCAACTACATTTACAAGCTTCAGAAGAGAGAAGAAAAAAGCTAGGAGATACACCTGTAATTATTGATATCGTCACAAAACCAGAAATTGAATATTCAGAAGATTATTCCATGATTCATAACAAACCTGTGCTTTTCGAAACGGAAAAATCAAAAGAAATTAAGGAGAAGTTGTCAAAAGTCATGTCTCAAAGATTTGTCTCAAGCTCTGAAAATCTTCATACACCCAGCAAGAATACCACGCAACAAACTGTTGTTCCAAAAGGTACCCGAGTGATTACTGACTGGATTCCAGATCACTTGCTCTCAAAAAGATTTGGGCTACCACCCATTTCTAGCTCAACCTCCCAAACCATGCAATCCGTGTCCAAGTCCTCCATTCTCGACTCAAATTTGTTCACTTCAGAAGAGTCGTCCACGCCTCATACAGGAAACTCTCCCTCAGTGGTGCCTACAATTAGATCCATTGAGAGAATGGAAGACTCTGAAAGACCCTCATTAGAATTGTTTAAGTATATTTTTGATGATCGACCTAACCAATTCGTTGAGATCGAAGATGACACAGCTCCGTCTAACAAGGTGGATCTAGAAAGCAAGCATGAAAGCACATCCAGATTCGAGCCAGTAACGCTCGAAGTTTTACCGTCCTCTTTTAAATCTGTTGGACAAGTGGTGCAAGAGCTGAAAGAAAAAAGGGATGAAAAGACATCACAAAAACCCAAGTTTGAGAAAACACATAAGAAGAGCAAATCGAAAGAAGAAGTGATCAAGTCTGAAATACAACCAACAGGAAAAGAAGGAAAAAGATCCTTAGATTTTAATGTGTATCCTATTAAGAAAGATAGCACCAGTTCATACATTTCTCAATTAGAATCTCGAATATCAGACATTAAACGAATGTTGGATTCATCTTCGTCAGATGACGATAAGAAAAAGAGGAAAAAACACAAAACAGAAAAGAAAGAGAAGAAAAAGAGAAAGAAAGAAAGTAGTTATGTGTTCGAAGAGAAATAATATTCCATCTCTAGTGTACTGTGTCTTTAATTTTTTTGCGTACACAGAAAAATTGGCTGAGCGATTTAAATGAGTTGAAGAACTAGAGTACATACAGGCGAGTCGAAGTTCCTCGGAAGCTATCGGTTGTGTGGATGCAATCTTGCTGATACGTAAATGTGGAGATCAGTTTCCGAAGGAATTTAAAACCGGATTCATTCGGAAACTCGCATGATGATAATGATTTAAGTGTAATTAAATTGGTTTCAACCAAATTAAAAAATACCTCATGAGCCAGCAGCTGCCAACCATCCCGTTCCTGAACACAGCTGTTCCGGAAGATCACTTCAAAACAGATCTCCTTGCACAATCTTGGGAGTTGACCACACGCCACAGGGAGAATCCAACCCTTGATCTAGATGAAGACTATTGGAAAGTTGTTTTGGAAATTGGCCCCGAGAGAAAGTGTGAATATGTGTTTCACAAGGGGGTCATTGCCGATAACTCGGCATTATTTCATGATATCATTGGAACGATGTATGATTTTGAAGATTTGAAGCAACACAACACATGCATTCAAATCGTTTCGGATGAAGAAAGGGTTGTATTCGAACAAATAATTGTTCCGTGTTTGTACGGCTCACGATTCATTGAAATGACACTTGGAGCACAGTTGATCATTGCCTTGAACTTTTTTGATTATTTACAAATGGAAAGTTTTAAATCCTTGCTTCAAAACTCTTTTTCTGAGCTCTATACAGCGAAGCCAACTAGAAACAAGACAGAATATCTAGATGAACATAGTGAATATTATTTAAGAGTATATTTTGACACTCATCCTACTTTTGTTGTAGACCCATTTTACTTGAATTATCATTTTGAACGCTGCATTAAGGGATTTAGCAAGTTTTTGCAACCAAAGAATAAGAATAGGTGTGAAAAGCTTTTCAAAAGCATGAGTCCAGAAAACTTCTTACACATGATTTCACAAGACTCCTTGGGAATTTCTGAAGAAGATCAATTAGTGGAAGGTATTGAATTATATTTCGGAATGCACCCACATATTCCTGAAGAACTTCTTAACAAGATTTGGATGCAGGTGAAAGCGAAACACGTGAGCGATCAAACTTTTCTCAAACTGATGCGCCATGATAGAATTGGCTATGCAATCAAAGATCTCATAAAGAAAAAGAGAGTTGACGGTAATGAAACTCCAAGAGATTACATCAATACCATTATTACAATTGCGACCACTGGTGGTCAAATAGAGAGGTGGAACATTCAAAAAGATACATGTGACTGTTCATTGAAAGTTCATAATGGCTACATTCATGACCTTATATGCAAAGATATGGGAAATTATAGCTTTATTTTCACATGTGGTGAAGATGGTAGAGTATGTCTCAGCAAGTCAGAGAAACATGGACCCCTCACTTTCATCAATGCAGTTCAATTTTCTCCTTCAACACCAGTATTATCCATTTCTGCCAATGATAAGATATTGACAGCAGTCACAGGATTAGGACAAGTGTATTGTGTCAACCTATCCACCAATGGCTCTGACGTGACTCCTGTAATGTCGATATCGTCCTTGCTTGAACACGATAGCCATTCGAGATGTGCAACAGTATCAGATTCTCACATATTCGTTGGGGACACAGAGGGCTATATTCATGTATGGAATATTGGAAATTCAGTGGATTCCTCAAAACATAAGATTCACACCAAACAAGTAATGTGCATGAAATTTATTACTTTTAAAAACACTGATTATTTAATAAGTGGAGGTTGTGATAGAAAAGTAGCCATTTGTAAGTTTGACAGGCAAAACAGAGGTCTATCACGCATTCGAACATTGGACGTGTCAACTGGTTATATTTATGCACTTGATTTTTTACTAAAATCAAAGGATGACTTTTCAAGAAATGAGATAGTAACCGGAGCAACAGACTTTATAGTGAATGTTATTGATATTGGATCAGGAGCAACCACCTCCTTTAGAGGTCATAGAAACTTTGTTTATTCAGTGGTTTCAAATGGTTTTCAAGCAATCAGCGCCAGTGATGATTACTCAATCAGAGTTTGGAATACAGAGACTGGAGAATGTGATCAAAGTCTTTTTCTAACAGATGCTGCTCGTAAAATTTCAATTTAAGTGATAAATCAACATGATTTGAATGGTCTCTTTCACAAAATTCTGGGGTTTTGAGTTTGCAAAAACAACTAAAGGCAATCTAGTGAATTGCTTTTCTTAACATTTTGAAAAGGAGACCAAGAGACTACAAATCAAGAGGCATTTCCTTTGTTCAGTGAGGCTTCATGCATATGTGCATGCACTTATGGAATAGCTAATCTTTTGTTGCATGCACACTTGCAATAACATCCCAATTCTGATTTGGTCCTTCACATTAGCATGACTTCCTTTTTTAACACTAAAAATAACGTGAAGAGAAAGAAAAAAATTTTTAAAGAAACACTGAATCAAATCGGGAAGAACTGAAAGAAAAAAATGTCTTCTTCAAATAACCATAACAACAGTGAAATGAACCTTGATCAAACATCTTCTCAAGCATCGTCATCACAGTCCTCTTCATCATCCTCGCTGATCCGATCAACCCTACTAGAATATCTCACTGATCCGCAATTATCACAGAATTCAGAATTGAAAACCAGATTGCGACAGGGTAAGCCTCAAGCTCTTCTTGTCTTGTTGCTTCATTTCCTCATGTTGAAGCATGGTTTTCGATGTGTGGGCTTGCTGGAAACTGATCCGAACACTGAATTGCCAGAAGGACATATTTTACCTCCTGAAGGTTTTGATCACAATCCTGAAATGTTCTCTCTCAAATATAAACATGCCCAGAGAACATTTACCTTCTCTTTGAAAGTATTGATGATGGGGCCATCTAAATTATTGATTTTTGCAACAACGTTATTGTTCCCAAATTTAGACATTACTGATAACAGCAATATTAATATGAGTCAATATGCAAAACAACAAGAACAGGAAGAAGTTTATCAATTGGAATTGAATAACTTGTTTGATTTTATTGATAGAGAGAAGTTATCAACTAGTACTGACAATGATTTGGACTTTGTATCAATTTACAAGAATTTGCAAGATTTAGAATTTAGATTCAAGACAGCCATTCAAAACAAGTTAGTTCCAAAGGAAGGATATGAAAGTGGTAGTAGTAGCAGTGCCACTAGCAGCAGCTCTCAACCATCCTCCACCATTTCTGTTGAAAGACCTAGTGTAGGAGGTACATATCCAAGATCACTTCTTGAGGATGATTATGACGATATTGGACATGATCCTCTTCGAATTGGTCCTCCAGTTCGTTCTGGATATGTCCAACCGCCTCTTGGTCACCCTTATCGTGTTGGAGATCAAGATCTGTACCCAGATCTTGGAGGGCTTCCACAACCTTTTCCAAGAGGAGGTGGCCTTCCTTTCGGTGGTGGAATTGGAGGAGGTGGCAGTATGGTAGGTCCCAATAATCCAATGTTTGGAGGACGTGGTGGTAATAGACCATTGATGCCTGGTGCTGGTAATCCGTTTGTACCACCAGGTGCGAGATTTGACCCTATCTATCCAAATGCACCACTTGGTGGTGGAGGTAGAGGGACTGGAGGAGTAGGGGGTGGAGGTAGAGGAAGCGGAAACGTTGGAGGAGAACCAAATCCAGACCATCATCGACCTCCAAGGGATTTAGACGATGATGATTTTCATTCCCACTTTTACATGTAAATATTCACAATCTCAATAAATCAGTCCACTACAGATACTTATTTGTCAACTTGTCTTTGATCATGTTGATGGAGCCTTTTCCCTCTTTTATCAAGTTGATACCTCCTGCACCACCAGATTTGATCATTTGTAGTCCACCTTTTCCTCCTTCTTTGAGAAAATTCAATCCTCCAGTTCCTCCTTGCTTGAGTTTGTTGAACCCTCCCTTGCCACCTTCTTTCAACAAATTAAGACCACCTTTACCACCTTTTTTAAGGAACTGTAGTCCATGAGACATTGTTTCTTTTTGCTTGTTCATGATATTTCCCAGTTGTTTCATGGCTGCCTTTTCCTGTAAATCTTTAAATTCTAAAAATGTCTTTTTTTGAGCTTTTTTGAATTGAGAAATGACTGATTCCTGAATAGATTTACCAACTAAACCTAGCAAAATACCCAACAATCCCAATCCTATGAGAGCAAAGCATCCAAATAATACTTTTCCTCCCACAGTTTTTGGATATAAATCTCCAAACCCAACTGTTGATAATGTAATAAAAGAATAGTAAAAGGCATCGTAATATTCCCATCCTTCCAAATAGCTAAATATTGCTGCAACCGCTACTACATAAGCACCCAGCAGTAAAATGATATTAATAATTTGTGTGACACCTCTGTTAAAAAACGAGTATAATCTCTTCTCAAATCTAGTTAGCTCTGGATTGGTAATCATTTCCTTAGAACCTTTCAGAGAGGACTTTAAATCTCGATTCTTGCAACAACCGCAACATAATGCAAGAGATCTTTTCACATAAAGTAACACTACAAAACCTCCAGCACCAAAAGAATTCATAATCGCTCCTCCAACAAATGAAATCCATAAACCCATCAGAGCAATTCCTAAAAATCCAACAAAAACGACATAAAGCTTTCCGCCAATAGTCGAAGGAGTCATATCGCCATATCCAATCGTAGTAAGAGTGACAATTGTGAAATACACTGAATTTCCATAATTCCACCGAAAGGTAATATTTGAATTAAAGGGATCGATGGGTGTGGTTATATTATGCTGTTCCATGTATATTTGTAATTCATTGGATTGCTCAATAAACATTATACCAATAGAGCCAATGAGAATGACACTCATCATTGCCATAAAAGAGAGAACAATTTTGAAAATGTCAATAGTTACTTGCTTAACACTTGGTTTTTGGATGAATTCCTTCGTAATGTCACCCATTAATTTATCCGAAAAATTATTAAATAATTTAACAAGTGATTTTTCTTCTGAATCTTCAGTTATTGATGTTAGTTCAATATCTGTCTCCGAATTGACATTATCACCAGGATGTATTTCATTTTCCATGGCTAGAACATTATCCTGAATTTCATTTCCATCATTTTCCTCTCCACTCAATAAATCACTATAAACGATCATAAATTCAGCCATCTTATCACACACTCGGAAAGTGGACTGTGTTTGAATATTGTTATTTAAAATTACTTCCACGATGTTTGGATGGAATGCTTTTTCAAGAGATTCCCAAGAAAGTAATCGGGTGCTGTCACTTGCCAACTCTGTATGTTGTTGTTGTCGAGCATTTTCATCAGGTGTGTCTTCTTTTCTGCCACTGTCATCAACAACCACAGATGGTTGTTCGTCAATGAGATACGGTAATGAAATGTAAAAATTCTTTTCAAAATCCTTCTTTGGATGAAAGGTTTTGCAAACCAAACAATCAGAAAATTCTTCTTCCGAAGATGGCTCCGATGTTTGTGATGAATGATGTATGTCCACAATGTTGGCTTGTTGAGTATGAGGAGAGGATGACAATTCATGGTCGTGTCTTGTTTCAATGTTGTTTGAAATTGACTCATGGTTTGTGTGAAGCATTTTGTTCTTTGCGAACTTGAAAAGTTGTTGATGATGCCTGATATATTTCTAAGAAGGATGGACCCATTCCAAAATAAAAAGTGTTAAGGTGGATACAAAGAAAATGAGAATCGTTGTACCTGCCTATCTTTTGACTCTCTTGATTTCTTGTTGATTTACGCAAAGTCATCACTTGACCTTGGTAACTTTCCAATTTTTTCAAGAAGCCGCCAAAGTTAGCCGTTGTTAATTTTCAAAACGATAAAGAAAATGAAACGAACAAGAGCACAGACTCGCTCATCATCAACCTCTCAAAGTGATGAAAGCAAACATTCGGAGGCTTTTAACAATGATCATCCAATGACACGACAACAACACAAAAAACCAAAAGCACCATCCAACAAGAATTCCATCTTGCTACGAACCCCAAGCAAAACCTTCAAAGATGAAGTCAAACGAAAGAAACTGGCCGTGAAAGAGAAGAACATCATGTCTGGCAAGTTCGGAAGTGTTGTGATCTTATCCAAAGATCAAGAATCAACAGCAAATGATGGAGAACGAACACCAACACCAAGAACACCCCTCAAAAACATTGATCCCAATATTCTCTTCTCTCCTCCTGCCATTCAGTTGAACACAGCCAACACAAAAAACAACACAAACCACAGTGAAAATGCTCCTCCTTTCTTTTCTCCCTATCTCAAAACACCCAATATGGCTGTAAAGAGTCAACAAATGGTGCGGAAAGCAGAAAATTCCACTCCCATTCGAGAATTCAAAATTCAAAAAGAACTCACCAAGATGCGTGTTGGTAAATTGAATTTATTTCCTAATGTGTTCAGTTCCTTTGCAAGTACAACAAGTCCAGAGGAAGATATTGACTCTTCTCACGAAGAATCATGCCAACCCAAACAAAAGAAGAGAAAGAATTCATCATCTTCGCTCTATCACTATTTTAACATTGTGATGGAAAAGTGTGATGGTGGACTTGTAGATCTTGTACATCAGTCCTATTCTTCTTCATCTGGTTGCAAAATTCCGCTCTCAGTAGCGAAGGCCATCTCATTCCAATTATTATTTGCACTGTCGATTGCTGAAGAAATTGGGTTTCAGCACAATGACATGCATGAAAGAAATGTTCTTTACAAAAAGCTTCCTATCACAACTCCTCTAAAGAAAGGTATTGCTTTTTATGATCAAATCGATGATTGTGATTATGTATGGTTGGTAGAGTGTGATTTTGTTTTGAAAATTGCTGATTATGGATTGAGCAGAATACGAAGCGATGACGGAGAGGAGATTGAAAGTGGAAATGTCTTTCATTCTGAAGCCTTTAATAATGATTTGGAGAGAGTAAAGGAAATTCTTTCCAAGAGAATCAAGCTTGATACTGATACTAAAAGCAAAGATTCAAAACTCTTCTCAGATCTCAAGAGAAGCATTAAGGTTGGAGTTTCTGCCAAATCACTTTTGCTCCACGAATTCTTTGATGACATTCGAAAGGAGGTGAGCCAAGACGGTTCGTTGGAAGGAATCGATGAATCTTATCACCAATATTTTGGAGCCAAACATCCAAAACGCAAACAACAAATGAACATGATCAAATCCATGAGGTTGTCACCTTCCAAACCACCATTACCACATCATGAAGCACCTCCTTCACCCCTCATTGAATTGAATACTAGCTCAATGAGTGTTCTTGGAGAGAGTGAGGAAGAAATGGTTCCTGTTAGAACGCGACGAGCCTTCAAACGAAGAGAGATGGCCACCAACAAATAAACTCAGAACAATTACACCAGCCTTGTGACTCTTGCATGAAATATCTGCAATGACGAAGGCAATCATTACAACTCAAATGTCTTTCACTCTTTAAAAAAAACGTTTCCTGTGTCTCAGCGCTCCTACTCAGACACACACTTAGATCTTTACCTCTCCTCTTCGTTCTGCAAAAAATCAAATCATACCATTGATCATTTTCTGTTGTGATCACAATATGGCTTCAACTACTGATCATTCCTTCATTGCTCTAGGACATGAAGATATTGAGAATTTGGCACTCAATCCAAAGGTTCATAAATATGCATCACTCCGTCCCAGTGTAGAAACTGAAAAACTCAAACAGCACTACAAGAGAAATATCCCATTGAACGTAAGTTTACAAAACACCATCATGATGATCAAAATTTCAAAAATTTTATTTTGATGATGCATTGTTGATTCCAAACGACGATGATGGCTATTCGTCATGGATGCTCCTCGTCAAATGAATCTAATCATCCTACTTGCTTCAAATGTTATAGCCAAAACAATTGAAGGGAGATTTTAGAGATAACAAGCATTCTACTCTCACTGAGAGAGGCGCATTATTCGAGGCCAATAGATGTTTGAAATGGTATGTACATGTGGCAAATTATTTTGAAAACAAATGCAAAACATACATGATGTAACTCTTATTCTGAAACATTGGTATCTAATCCTATATGATGGTGATGAAATAATGATCATCATCTCACACCGCTGCGGTTCATTTTATCGTCAACTCGTCATTTTCAAATTTGGAAACTGTTGAACCCTGCCGTCATTTGCACATGTGAAATTTTTCACACATACTTCCTTCTGTATAAATTGTTTTACAGTGCTGATGCACCATGCCAATCATCATGCCCAACATCTCTTGATATCAAGGGATTTATCAGTTGTATTTCTACCGGAAATTATTACGGAGCTGCTAAAATGATTTTTAGTGATAATCCATTGGGTCTTTCATGTGGTATGGTTTGTCCTGTGAGTAATTTGTGTGCAGGAAGTTGTAATTTGGCAGCCACGGAAGAAGGCCCAATTAACATCAAGTAAGTCTTGATAATTCTTGTTTGCATTTCACTCATCTTTAATGCACAACTTTAAAAACATTTTTCATCAAACAGTGGCTTGCAAGCTTTTGCCACTGATGTTTTCAGAAAGATGAAATTGAAGCAAATTAGAGATCCTCAAGCTCCTGCTCTCGAATCCTTGCCAAAATCTTATCAAACTAAAATTGCACTTGTTGGCGCTGGTCCTGCAAGCATTTCGTGTGCTACGTTTTTAGCAAGAATGGGCTACCAAAATATTACCATCTTTGAGAAGAATGCATATGCTGGTGGCTTGAGCTCTTCTGAAATTCCACAGAACCGTCTTCCGTATGAAGCAGTTGAATTTGAAATCAACTTGATGAAGGACTTGGGTGTCAAGGTTGAATACAACAAGGAATTAGGAAGAGATTTCACTGTTGAATCTCTCAAACAGGATGGCTATGAAGTTATTTTCTTGGGTATTGGTCTTCCAGATCCAAACAAGGAAAGCATTTTTGATGGTCTCACTCCAGAACAAGGTTTCTATACCTCTAAGGATCTCTTGCCAGCAGTTATGGATGCTACAAAAGATGGTATGTGTGGATGTAAGGCTGGAACTAAGCCATTACCCAAATTGTACGGAAAGGTTGTCATTCTTGGTATTGGTGATACTGCTCTCGATGTGTATGGAAGTAGTATTAGATGCGGTGCTGACAGGGCAACTTTGGTGTTCCGTCGTGGTTTCAGTGAGATGAGATGTGTCGAGGAAGAATTTGAACCTGCCAAGAAGGAAAAGTGTGAATTGCTTCCAAATTGTTTGCCAAAACAAATAATTTTGAAGGATGGTAGAATTTCTGCCATTGAACTGTACAAAACTGAAATTGATTCAAATGGAAAGGTCGTTATCGATGAAGATCAATTCATTAGACTCAAATGTGATTTTGTCGTTTCTGCTTTTGGTTGTACTCTCCACAGTGAAAATATCATCAAATCGTTGAGCCCAGTTGCTGTTAACTCGTATGGAAGAGTGAATGTCAATCATGCTACAATGGAAACTTTGGTTAAAGGAATTTTTGCTGGAGGTGACCTTGTTGGTTCTGGTATGACTGTCGAGGCAAGCAATGATGGTAAAACAGCATCCTGGTACATTCACAAATATATTCAAGAAGAATTGCACAAGTGTACAAAACTTCCAGACGTTCCACAACTTCCAAAATTCTTTACAGAAATTGATAAGGTTGATTTATCTGTTGAGGTGTGTGGTGTGAAATTTGAGAATCCATATGGACTTGCTAGTGCTCCTCCATGTACTACTGCTGACATGATTGATCGTGCATTTGATGCTGGTTGGGGTTTCGCCGTAACCAAGACATTTGGTCTCGATAAGGATCTTGTCACTAACGTTTCTCCAAGAATTGTTCGTGGCTCATTGGCACCCAATAAGGGACCTCACCAATCTGCATTTTTGAACATTGAATTGATTTCTGAAAAGTCCGCTAGTTATTGGTGTACTGCTATCAGCGAATTGAAGCGAAAGCATCCAACAAAGGTTGTCATTGCATCCATTATGGCTGCTTTCAAGAAGGAAGATTGGCAATTCCTCGCCAAGAAATCTGAAGAAGCTGGAGCGGATATGATTGAATTGAATTTGAGTTGTCCACACGGTATGGGTGAACGATCCATGGGTTTAGCTTGTGGTCAAGATCCATATCTTGTATTGCACATTTGTAAATGGGTGAGAGCAGCAACCAAACTTCCATTCTTTGCAAAATTAACTCCAAACATTACTGATGTTGCTCAAATTGCTGAAGCTGCTAAGGAGGGTGGAGCTGATGGTGTTACCGCAACCAACACTGTTTCTGGCTTAATGACTCTCAAGCCAGATGCTACTGCTTGGCCAGCCGTTGGTGCTAACAAGAGAACTACGTATGGAGGTGTGAGTGGTAATGCCATTCGACCAATTGCTCTCAAAGCAGTTTCCAAAGTTGCTAAAAAGTATCCTAAATTCCCAATTCTCGCTACTGGTGGTTGTGATTCAGCTGATGTTGCTCTTCAATTTATTCATGCTGGAGCTTCTGTTGTTCAAATTTGTTCATCCGTACAAAATCAAGATTTTACAGTCATTGAAGATTACATTAGTGGGCTCAAGGCTCTCATGTACATCAATGCTCATCCTGCATTCAAGGGATGGATTGGTCAATCTCCACCTGCTGAGAAACTAGAGAAACAACCTTCACTTGGTTTACCTAGATTTGGACCCTATGAATTGAAGAGAAGAGAAATGACTGTCAAGACCATCTCTGAAAATGGAATTTTAACAGATCGTGCTGAAAGTACTGGAACTCCAAAAGAAATTGAACAAGTTATTAAGGTACCATCCATCAATTCAATCATTGGAAAGGCTGTTGAGAGAATTGGTGCTTGGGGAGAATTGGATCCAAAATTTGATCATCATGTTATTGCCGTGGTTAATGACGACTTGTGTATTAACTGTGGTAAATGTTACATGACATGTAATGACAGTGGCTATCAAGCAATTAGTTTCGATAAGGATACTCACCTTCCAAAGGTTAGTGAAGAGGATTGTACTGGATGTACTTTGTGTCATTCCGTGTGTCCTGTCAATGATTGTATTGAAATGGTTCCAAGAAAGTCTCCATACATCTCAAAGAGAGGAATTACACCAGGAGAATTCTCTTCTGAAAATGTTTTGAAATTTGCAATGACCTTTGACTCTCAAGGATCTGTTGCTCATGACCTTCACGAATAAAGAAGAAATTGAACTGTTATAATAGAATAGATATCCTCATTCAATTGGTTTCAACTACCTCAGATGTCTTCGTTCATACTACTGCACCCAGTGACACAATTGGTTTCAACTACAGATGATTTCGTTACCCGCAGCTGTCAACAAAATAATTGAAACAAATTTCCCAAGAATCCGATTCTCTTTGTAAAATTGTGCGAAATTTCTCAGCGTCAGTTGTCAAAATAGCCAAGATCCTCGTTTGAAGATTCTTATTACCCACACTTTAAATTGACTGAAGACCAGTTACGCTTTAAATTGCATAACAACAACAAAAAAATCCCAACAAGAATCATCATGACTCAACCATACGTTTACAATCTTGCCAACAAGAAGCCAGGAAAGCAAGCTCTTCTCTTCGGTCTTTCATGTCTCTTCTCTGGTGGTTTAATTGCCGTCTACAAGAACGTCCTCGGTGGTCCTCCAGAAACTCACAAGAATTTGGATCAAGAAAATGTTCTCTACTACAGACCATTTGAAGAGAAACGTGATATTTACTTCTTCAATTGGGGACCACTCATGGGTCAAGCTGCTGGTCGTCCAAAGAAAGAGTAATAACAACAGCGCACTAGGACTCTTTTTCACACAAAATTTTGTTTTTAAAATGTCACCTGTGATTTTCGTTGACGTTGTCGACGATGAATGTAACATGTCAAGTCAATACAAATGCCTTGACATGACAATGTTCTTTGAATAAATAGCATTTGTATTAATTATTTTCCATCATCATGTTTGACTCAAGCAGCTGTAGTATTAAGTGAATCGTCAACTTGGAAGTGTTGTCATCTTTGTGATTTTATTGGGATGCTTCTCAAATACGTATCGGGAATTTTATCATCGATACATACATGATCTGACCGTCAGTATGTTGATGATTGTCAATGAGCAAGATGGTATCAGATGCACTTCCGGGTCCTGCTGCTGACACAAGAAATTAGTGCCAACCAATGAACACGCAGAGAGAAGAATCTCCCTTTAGGATAATGAGGTTTCGCGATTCTTTCCCGATTCGTTCAATCTAAGACAAATGACAGTATATATTGATAAAGTTTCGTACAAAACTCGGGTCTTTGCGATAGTAAGAAAAGCGTTCTTTACACTTTCAATGACTTGAATGTTTTACAAAAGTTAGAAAAAGAAAACGGAAATTGTTTCACCAACGTCATGAAATGCCAAAAGTCAAAAAATGCGTTTGATGATTGACCTCACCTCCAACAAGCACATGATAATGTTATTTCATATCATGCTAATATTGTTGCTATTTTCTGTGACTCAACACTGCTTATCCTTGGGTATATGTCCAGGAACCTCCTCTCCAAACGACGGATATAAATATTGTGGAAGATTTTCCTCGGAACAATTAAAAACTAGTCTTATACTTCGAGAGCAACAACAACAACAATACGAATCATCAACGAGTACCAGTACTAATTCTTGTTTGACATTACCTACAATCGATGAAGAAGAAAATTCAAAATTAATTTTAAATAATTTTTTTAATATCACGACCAACGATCTCTCAAAATACTTAAATAGCACTATTTGCAAGGTTCGATGGAGTGATGATGCAGTGATTACTTATCAACTTGAAATTTGTGCTTTGGATATCTATTCCAAAACATTCTATGTCATTTCTGATGGTTACAATGTTCACAGATTTGCAAATTTATCAGAATTGGAAAATATTACACCAAAATATTTTGTGAATCATGAAATGGTGACAAGTCAAACCTCTGCATTTGAAGATCAGATTTTCATTATATCTGGACCTAATTATGTATTGAATATGAAAAATGATATTATTTCAACAAGTAGCAGACATTCATGCAACATCTTTATGGATCCCATATTTCATTTTAATATTATTAGTGTTGGAGAAGATGATTTGGATGGACCTGGTGTGATTTTAAAAAATGTTCAATCTGGGCTCTGTATCACCGTCTACTCTCAATTAAGATTTTATTTCAAAGGAGAACCTTGTTCTAATGCATTGACTGCAACAGGAGCCCAACTGATAAGTGACACTCATGCGAACTCTATGCACGACAAAAATTCTTTTGGACTGGATCTTTACTCTTTTCATCATTTCCTGATCATGATAACTATTTACAATCAATTTCTATCACAACCTCTCTATTTTCTTCACCTTATTTCAAATCTAAATTTGTTCAACAATTACATTTCATTCCAGTAGTGAATAAGAGTAGTAATTCTGAGATGTTTTATGAAAATGCATGTTTGACAGAAAATTACATGCACAACCAATTCATGAACAAGCTACAAATGGGATTGGCACAATCATTCATTCCATACCGATATTCCTCGAGTGGTTTGCATAATGTCCCATCCTTGACTTGGACATGGGTGATGATGATTGTCTTGATTCTATGGTTGGAATAGAGTAGACTCCTTTATATAACATTATCCAGTAGTAGTTAGTAGTAGAACAATATTATCCGCTTGTCGAGATTGTCAAGCGAGATTCATTCACCCAACTGTGCTTTTAAAATTACTATAATTGGAAGATTTATCCTCTCCAAAAAAAAAATCACAAGCCATCAGAAAAAACGCCGAACACTTCTTCGTTTCAACAACAGCTACCGGTATCATCATGGGAAAGAAGAAACGATACGTTCAAAGTTGTGATTTAGAATGTTACAACTTTAATTATGAAAGTATTTACAATGAGAAGGAATGTAAAGATTGTTTTTGGGAATATTTGTTGTGTACTCATAATGAAGGTAGGTTATGATGGGGTCAACGGATTTGATTGATGATCCTATGCACTTGTGGTTGTTGTTTGTGTTGAAAATAATGACTGCTGTCATATCTCCATTTATGTTGAACTAACACCCGATAACTGTCAACTGTCATATGACCATTATTCAAAATTATTATGAAAATGCCAACAGAGGCACTATATTTCATTCAAAAAGTACAACAATTCAAACGAAAGGATGTTACATCTAAACAAAAAGCTAAACTCGCTATCGAAATATATCATGACTTTATTAAGGATGGAGGAAAATATGAATTAAATCTCTCCTCAAAAGATAAACAAAGTATTCAAGACGAATTTCAAAAATCAGATCAATTAAACCACTCAGACACATGCACAATTAATGAAAATATATTCAACTCTCTTGAACAAACCATTCATTTGAGTTTAAAAGAGGCAACATTTCCTCACTTTGTGAAATCTCCAAAATTCAGAGAGTTTGCATTGCAACAAACTTGTGACTTTCTTGACAAAATTGGTTATAGGAGTAATGTGAAGAAAATTGACATTATTCAACAACTCAATGCAACAAGTATATTGACTTCACCAAGTGCCTCTTCGACCTCATTCAGTCTGATGGATGATGTATCATTACATAGCTCACAGGGAACTTTTGAAAACTTTTTTGAAAGTACAACAACACAAACCAGTATGAATGGATCCAAGTTGTTGTTGTTGTTCGAAGAAAATTCCATAGACCAAGGTTGGAAACTCTTCGACAAACAATCTCATATTACCATGGATGACTTTCGTTTCATGGCTCGCAAATTATTAGGAAAAGATTCCAAGATGGCAGATGACATTGGAAAATTTATATCAAAAACGATGGGAAACACTTCAGTTACACCATCTGTGAACAAGTCCTACGATGGCGAACGCTCAAAATCTCTTTCAGCACCTTCTACAGCTCATTCTTCTCAACTTCTTCGTTCTAATAGCGATCGTTTACCATCACTGTCGTTAAGGAAAGGTTCTATAGAATCCAGCACTTCTTCTTCTGTATCAGTTGTGGAATATTTTGAAGATATTTGGAAAAAAGTTGAAAAGAGACCATCAACAAACACCCTGTTGACGAACTATGAGATTAAATCACAAGCCTCAGAGGAACATGACACGGAGATGTTGGAATCCCTGAAAAATATTCACATTTTCAAGACCGAGATGGAGTTTCCTTATCATGTCAAATTTGTGGTGGAGACCCTTGCTAAAGGACAATACCGAATTCAATTTGATGACATGTTGAAGGAATCATTTTCTTTAGATTTTTGTCATCTTCACAATCCTCCTACTGAAGAAGAGGTACGAAAAGAAGCATGTGCGTCTGCCATGCTGCAAGAAGTATGGAAGTTTTCATCCTTTGGCTTGTTAAATTTGAAAGACAGAAGTTTTATTGTGGAAGCAAGCATGATTCATGACATTCCTAATAATGCTTATTTATTGCTCAAAAAGAGCGTTGATAATGTCATTATAGATGACAGCGATTGTGTGAGAGGACGACTTTTGCAACTGCAGGTGTTCCAACATGCGACGAAAGACAAAACCACCTTCTCAGATTTTGTTGTTTTAGATATGAAAGATTCATGTAATCCTTTAATTTTTGAAAGTTGTGTTTCCAAGAGGGCTAAAAATTTGTATGAAAAAGGTCTTGCGGCTCTGAAAACAAACATGGATTTGCACACAAAACATTTTGCCACCCCTGGTGACAGTGATAGAATTTTGGAGACGTTAACCTCTAATGAGAAAATCGGGCATTGTAGTCTCGGATTTAAATTAAGGAGCGATCATTCTTCTTCTTTAGATCGAGATCTGGATATGATCACAACTTTCCAGTCTCTGAAATGAAAAGACCACTCGTAACATCTTGTTCCTTCACCCTAGCACGCGTTTGAACGGTGGTAAAATATTAATCAACACAAACTATACGAGCAGAGCACCCATATTAATCAACACAAGTTATACGAGCAGAGGAGCAAAAGCAGCAACAATAGGACCATGTACTCGAGGAGGACGATTTGGAAGTTGAGGAAGAGGAGGACGTTGAATTGGTTTCGGTGAGTGATTGAAGATACACAATATCACGCGCGTGTTGAAAAATCCCTAGCCTCGGCATCGAATGTTCCCCTTGTGTTGTTCTCAACACACATTTGAATAAAGCTGGATATGATAGTCTAACATAATTTATGATTCAATGTTCCATGACCTGTTCCCTTAATGCTTGTGTTGAATCCTCTCAAGATGCCATTAAGAACATAAAGTTTGGCCTTTCTAACGGCATCTTCCAACGAGGAACCCATTGCAAGATTTGAGGCAATCGCTGCAGCCAATGAACATCCAGTTCCGTGTGTATTATTTGAATGAATCAAATCAGCTTGGAATGTGTAATACATGTCAACAGCACTCTCATAGAGCACATCAACGGCGAAGGGACCTTGCAAATGTCCTCCTTTGACTAAAACATTAGAAATTCCAAAAGTTGTTGATATAATCTTGGCTGCTTGTTTGGATTGTTCCACATTGGTAATTAAAAACGGAGTCTCTGTGAGCTGTAGGATTCTTTCAGCTTCTGGAATGTTCGGTGTAATGAGAGTAGATATTGGGAAAAATTCTTTCACAATGATCTCAACAGCTTCGTCCTTCAATAAATTATGACCACTTGTTGATACCATCACTGGATCTACGACTACATGCAATGTTCTTTCTTTCTTGTAAAATTTCAATCTTTCAATCACAACTCTAATGAGTTCTGAGCTATACAGCATTCCTGTCTTTACAGCGCAAACATTAATGTCGCTTAACACGGAATCAATTTGCTTTGCAAGAAATTCTGGAGGAACAGGAAATACTCCTTGTACTCCTAACGTGTTTTGGGCTGTAAGGGCCGCAATAGCGCTTGTTCCAAATACATGATGTGCATGGAAAGTATTTAAATCAGCTTGGATACCAGCACCTCCTCCGGAATCTGATCCTGCAATAGTGAGCACAGCTTTTGGTACTTTAGCAGAGTTAGAGGATTGCAAAGTTCGTTTTCTATCTAACTCCTCAATAGGCCATTCCTCCATGTAGTAAGAAGAATTCCAAAATAAATATTCCATTTGACTAGTAATTGTCACATTTTCTCTACACTTTTCTCGTTCTCTCTCCGAAGCAGTTTGAGCGTACTGATTGATAAAAGCAGAAAATAATTCTACTCCTTTTTTAAATTCATCAGAGCTGTATGATTTAATCCAGTCCACATATGGATGAGAATCTGTTAATAATGATGATTCTGTTGAATTTGACAACATTCTGTCGGTAATATATTGTGCCACCCTGAAATAAATATAGTAACATGGTAAACATGCACACAATGCTTCTAATAAGGAATCAGAATGTGCCGCTGACAACAAAAAGCTTGTGTAAAGCAAGCAAGATTTGGAACTTTTCGAACCTTCTTTGAACGCATTAATGTTCCACTTTTTAAAATACTCATGATGTAATTTAAAGGATTCTTCAAGTGCTCCTTTTGATTGCTCCAATAAGAATAAATATTGTTGTTCTCCGTTTGGTGTTTTCATTAAATCAATTTTTGTTGCTACCAATGCAAACACTTTGCTAAATGTTTGCAAATAGATAGCATCTTGGATGATGTAGAATCGGAAAATCTCTTCACTCAGTGTTCCTTCCATCATTTCTCTGATGAACGGCAAGCCTAGAATAGGCTCAATTATTTGTTGTTCCATCATGAGAATTAATTCTCCTGCTAATCCTTCATTACATGATGAGCAAAGCACTGGTGAAGAATGAGTTTGAGAGGTAGTAGGCACTTGGTTGTGAGACTCCATGTTGTGATTCAATCCAATGAATCCCGAGAGAAACAATTTCTTTCAATTTTTTGAGAGACAAAATCTTAACGCCAACGCCAAAAGAAATCAAAGAAAAAATTCTCGAGTCAGAAAGTAATCACAGCTAGGTCGGACCACACAGAGCGGAAACAGCTTATCCAAAATTATTGTTCATCAAAATTCACAAAATATTGAGAAAAACTTGTTGGATGGTTATTTAAATTCTTCGATCATAAATTTAATAGCACAAAAATAATAATAATAATTGTTAACAGTATCATCATCAAATAATGACATTTATTGTGAACGCAATCGGATGGTTGGGGACAGCCTTATCCATTTTTCTAGTACTTGCTCCATATAAAGGGTTGATGAATGCACTCCGACAAAAACAAGGAAAGGCTTCCGACACGAGTGATTCAACTTCCCCTGATTCTCTCTCACCATTTCCATTCCTTTGCTTGTGTATCAGTGCTCTTTTATGGGTTACTTACGGAATTATTGTGGAAGATACGGTCATTGTGATTACCAATGCATTTGGCTTTTGTGCTGCATGCTACTACAATTGGCTTTTTTACAGAATCACCGATAGAAAAGAAGAGTTTATTTCAAAGTGTTCCATCGCCCTTATTATCTACATAGTTGCATTAGGATTTGTGTTGTTTGTAGCTCCGACTCATAAGGTTGTGAGTTATTTGGGATTTATTGCAGCTGTAGGAGCTGTTGTGATGTTCGGAAGCCCACTTGTTAATCTTAAACAAGTTTTGGAAAAACAAAATGCAGAATCTATTCCATTATTAGTGGCAATTGCTAACACTTCATGCAGTTTTGTGTGGATGTTGTATGGATATTTACTTTCTAATTCTGCAATTTTGGTTCCAAACTTATTGGGCTTTTGTCTTGGTGCAGTGCAATTGTCACTGAAATACATGTATAGAAATAGAGGATTGCAGACCAAGGTGTTTTCAATGCCTACAGGAGTTGTTTCAGATAATGTCTAACAGGCACCAAATTACGCTCATTACTGGCTCTCAATAAATACGTCAGCATCATCTTTGATCGGTTCGTCATCCGTTTCACTCATGGCATCTTGTTGCACCTTATGGCGAGTTTCTTGCTCGTCTTGTTTTTCAAGGATTGATCTTGAACTTTCGGGTTGCTCAACCTCTTCATCCGTGTCTGTCAATATCTCAGGATCGTTTTCTTCTCCGTTTTCTATCCATTCTTCAACTTTCTTCTTCATCACATATCTGACCTGTTCGAGAGCATGATGATTATACCATCCATACTTTGGATCACATTCTTCACTGTTGTTCCATACTGGTTCTCTAAGGCCTAGCTCTTCACTGGATTTTACACCAGAAACGACACCATAAGTAATGGCGATGGTTTCATCCCTATCTGCTAGAATAATATTCTGTGCAGGAGCAATTCTGATGTCGCATAGCTGATAAAATACTTGAATTTGTGTAGGTATGGAGTTGAATTCATACGATGTATTTTCTTCATGTTCGCCGTGATGTGTAGCAGAGCTGGTATTATTGGTGTTTGAGGTATGTACAGACTCAATGTCGTTTTGAGCTTTTTCTTTTGCTTGCCCAGAGTATAAATAATCATGAAGATCAATATGAGTGTCTACAACTCTTCTTCTTGGCAATCTTCTGAATTTGTTTGTCTCACGTTCGTCTTCCTTTCTCTTTCCTGTTAGAGAATGAATTTTTGGTCGTAACTCATGTGGAACTCTAAAGTCAAGTAATTGATAGTACGATGCTGATACATCTTTCTTTGGATCGTAACCATATCGAACCCACAACATACGCCATGGTCCGTTTTTGTAGTGATATGCCACTCTTGGAAGTACCATTCTTAATTTCCATTTGTCTTTCCTACTTTCAAATTTGCTTGATATTGCGCTTTTTGACCAAATCGGACGAATATTTCTGCTCTTATCAGTAATGTGTGCAAGTTCTGTTGGATCTTCTTGATCGTCACTTGGACATCCAAACAAGAATCGTACTCGTTTCTCGACATCTTTATACAAGTCCTTATCTTTAGCTGTTAAAATCTCTTCTGGAGGTACAGTCGGTACTTCATCATCAAAATTAATTTCAACACAGTGTGGCATGTATTGCTTACTAGGTTTGAGAAGTCTTTTGTATTTCTTAGAAGTACCATCGTTAGAAACAATTGGAACAATCTCTGTTGATGGGTTTTGTTTGAACGCATAATCCATGGGCATGTCAAATCTGGAAAATATTGGAGGAGGTAAATCTAGCATGGATTTCTGAGTCTTTGTACCTTTTCCGGTGTGAGGATGTTGGAGAGAAGCTCTGGTTGGTATTACAGTAGTCATTGCTTCTGAGAGCTCATTAGAATAATATACATCATTTCTAACGTGAACGGGGTTTGGGTGGATGGAACGGATGAGGCAATCTTTTCTTCATGTTGCATTTCGATATCACCATCTTCATCGTCCATAATGCTTGAGCTGAAATTGTTGCTTGATGAATCTCGAGTTGTTTGATCTTCGTCCATTGACTGATTTAAATCCACATATTTTGGTTGAATATATTGAAAATCAGACAATCCTTTGAAATTCACTGTTTTAGTAATAATTCCCAAAACTTGAAGTTGGGATTGAGCTGGATCGTATCTTGTTACTACTCTTTCTCCTACTTGTTTTTTTACTTTCTTTCTTCTCAGCCTCAATAATAAATTGTTTGTTGATGTTACATCACCATAAACAGGATGGCAACTCATAAAATTATTCGGCCTAAATCTGCATTCCAAAAATCTGTTTTCTTGATGTGTTTGTTGGTCTGTACTTTCTTTTGGTTTGTGTAATGCTTGGATACTCTTCATCCCACCTAGAATATTGATGGCGTTAGAAACGTTTTTAATTCTACCAGGAAATAGAACCATGGTATATTTCTTATCGGGAATAGAAAGAACTTCTGCCTTCTCGTAATTTACGCCCAAGTATGCCGTCGATGATGGAGTTCCTTGCTGTGTTGACATCCCAGCCTCCATTGAAGACCGTTGATTTCCGCTAGCACTTGCTGCAAAATTATTTCCGATATTCAATGATGATGATAGAGAGGAAGAAGAGCCTTCCACTGTTGTCGATGAAGACTCCATGAGGCGCCTGAAGTCCTCTTGCGAAATCATTTTTTTTGTTTTACAAGTTTATGAGTTTTATCAAGCTGTTCAACAACAAGCCTTCTAAATTCTTCTCCATCAACATCCTTCTCCCCAGTGGGAGGTGCATTGGCGAAATTGCTCTATTTTTTGTAAATATACTATTGTACATTACCTCTTTTACTCTTCTCGTGAGTTCAAAACTTTATCCTGCATGGAAACTTCATAATTACAGTGGATGTTGAATCGTTTGCACATTTCCAATGTACGCACGCCTTACAACGGAAAAATTTGTGCTTTCACAGAAAAAAATGTCATCTCCTGCTTCCTCTTCAATGTCACAACACTATACCATTCTTTTCATTCATGGTTGGGGCTCAAGTGCTTCTCTTTTTGAAAAGTATTCGAAACCTTTCAGAGAACAAATAACCTCTGCAGATGGTTTACAATCCACACAATTTCTATTTGTCAACGCACCTATGGAAATGGAAGAATTGATAGGAAACAATCCCAAAGATCAACGATCATGGGTTTATCTTAGAGAAAATAGATCCGTTTACTATCATTGGAAAGCAGGTTTGTTGAGTTTATTAAATCAAGTCAAGAAGGCAAAAGAGGAAGGAAAGCAAGTGAATGGAATTTTAGGTTTCAGTCAAGTAAGTGTGTGAATGTTTAGTTGTGTTGAACATTTATATTCATAATAATACTTTTAAGGGAGGAATGTTGTCCACCATTTTAGGAGGATTAATATCCTTAGAAATGAATGGACTACTTGAAAAACAGTATTTACCACCCTCACTCTACGAATTTCCTCATCCTCATGATGATGACTCGACTAATTTTGACGATATCATTCAAGGGATTAGAGAAAATTTCTTTACCTATGAAGGTTCTCACAAAGAATGTCTCATTAAATTTATTGCGTTTGTTGGAGCTTTTAAACCTAACGCGGTTCAAGTTCGGGAGATGTTGGATGTGTTATTCCATAAGGGTTTGAAATTCAGTGGTTTTAAATCATTGGTTATTTATGGACGGAATGATGAGTTGGTTGTGCCTGCTTCTACTCAAGCCATTGCCGATGACTGGATCAACAAGGAAGAGTGTCAAGTGTTGGCATTCGATGGACGTCACGAACTTCCCGTTGGTGAACAGGAAAAGGCAGAACTGATTCAATTCATTAGAAAAGCGTGGAATCAATAATTCAAACATTCAATGTTAATGACAACAATTGTTAATAACTGTCATAAACCGCATCTCTACGTCTTCTCAACGACATTCTCTCGATACAACTTCTTCAGCTGTTGAATAAAGTCTGGATTATTGGAGCTGAGGGACACACTTTTTTAAAAAGGTGTTTTATTGTTTCTTGCGAATCAAAGAGTTGACGAGCGCACTAATTATTTTGACGAGGTTCTCTCTTCAAGCTTATTTGATACAATTCTTCAAAGCTCTTTGCTTGTTTAAGGTATTGATCAATTCGAAATTGAATCATTTCATCTTTTTCAAAGAGAGATCGATATTTTTCATCACTTTTTTGTTTCCAAAACATCAGTTGGTGGATAATTTGATATTCACGAAGCACAGTGAACCAATTCACGCATGTCACACCACTTTCCGAAAGTTCCTTCTCCTTTTCAATGTACTTTCTGAGCTGATTGGATGTATCGTGCAAATTTTTGAGATCTGAGAGAAAAAGACCCAAGTAAGGAATACATGCTTCGGTTTTCACAGATTCTAATAAACTTCTCAGCATTCTAAAGTTGGCTCGTAAGCTCACAATTTCTCTCAAATGTTCGAGTTTTTCTTCATATTCGTCTCCAGCTTCTTGTCTTGTGAGTTTCAACCTAAAAGCAGAAGCGCTCATAATACCAGCTGATATAGCAAATATGGTTTCAAAATTTTGATAATTGAATAGCTCAAAACAGAGATCAATGAAGAGTTTAAACGCCTTTGCTCTCTCCTGCACATCCTTTGGCATTACAATTTCAGATGCTACCCATTTGGCAACATTTTCAAAATGCTTGTTGTTCATGACAATCGATGGACACTTGTGAGCACACTTTCTCCAAGGGAATCCAATAAATTCAAAAGGTCTTAAATTCTTGTAATGCTCAAATTGTAAAATTGTTAATTGTTTTGCCAAATCACCGAGCCCAATTGTGTAAATATTAGTTTCTCGCAATACATCACCAGGTTTTGTAGAGGGAGATGTAGAAAATCGATTGATAATTCTAAACTGTCTTTTGTTCTTTTGTTCCTCAAGAGTGATCAACTTTTTGTATAAATTGTGTTTGATTTGAATTCCTTTTAAATATTTTACAGTACTGAGAGGATTGACAGAGTTTTGTTCATGAGCACCTCCATTGATCAAATACAAATCTAAGAATTGAGAAAATTGCAAGACAATCATATCGTCATTTTCTTCATCTCTAGGGTCCATCCTAATGCAATAGTGAATGAACATATTGAGAACCTTCATCAATTTGACCACCTTTCTTTGTGTCTCTGGATGTTTGGTTTCCATTTGTTCCTTATCGAGATCAATCAAATACAGAAAACACATTCGACAAAAATTTGATTTTGATAAAAAAGATTCAAAAGTCTTCAAGAAGGAACGTTGGAAGGAATGTGCCTCAGGTAGTGTTGATCTTTCGTCATCCATAGTTTCAATGCTGTCACCATTATTTAAAGTTGGAAACGTGATGTTTGCTCCAGTTGAAATTGGACTACCGAGTAGAGGACCTGGTGGACTTGGTGAATGAACAATGGACTGAGGTAAATTCCCACTCAACACTTGATTTCTCTGCTGCAATGTCATAAATTCTAAGGATCCACTGACACCTGCAATGACTGCTAGAGCAATATTCGACAGGTCATACTCATCACGGTCATTCATTTCACTTTCATCAACAGATTCTATTAATCGCTCCAATAAATGATGCAAAGTCCCTCCAATAAATGTTTGCTTTCCTTTACAACTCAAATCCATAAATATACTCTCATCCACACGCAGCCAAAAACTATTGAATTCTCTAAACGATTCCAAATGTAAAAATTCCTTGTTAGCGAAAGGAATAACACTGTTTTTTCCACCATGGCTAAATGGAAAACAGATATGTAAATGTTTCAGTACCGCCCCTCTCCACTTGTGACACACAGCTAGACATGTCGATGTAGCTCCGATGGGTAGAAACGAAGCTATAGTGGCCATAATTTCTTCCGGAACTTGATCCACAAAGTTTAGAACTTGTGTTTCCTTCTCTGGTGGCTGGTCTGTTACTGTTGTTGGCGATATTGTATCCTGTTGTTGGGGTGAGGTGTTTGTATGGAGTGCTCGTGAAATCGAGTCTGTGGTTGGCAGCATTTTTTTTTTGATGTTAGAAAAGTTTGCTGGAGAACAAGGAACACAAACCACGAGTTCACAAAGTCATTAAGGAAGGGCATGAAATAATTTACTTTTTAAAATGTGTCTGGAGGAATTGGGCGATTTCTTCAAGAGATTTGTTTGAAAAATCAAAGTTGGCAAATTTACAGAGAGCTTGATGCATCTTGGCTCTTTCTTCACTGCTTTCTTTGGTGGTGTTTTGTTGCGCATTGGGTGTTTCTGTCATGTTAATAATGCTTTCAATTTCTTTGGATTTCATTTGAGCTACTCTAATAATGTCGGGAGGAAAGTGGGCCAGTTTAGCAACTTCAATACCAAAACTGTTATTACTGTTTACATTGGTCTCGTCGTCATCAATGACACGATATAACATTTTTAGTTCGTCCTCCAAACTGTTTCAAAGATGATCAATTCCAAAAACAAAGAGAACATCCTGCTACTTACACAGATTCCATTCTCTTGCAACACACTCTATTACAATCTGGATCTTCAGTTAACACCTTTAGCTCATGAAAATGTGTTGCAAACAATGTATAAGCATTTGTTGTTCTAGATAAATGTTCTACAATCGCATATGCCAAGCCGAACCCGTCATATGTCTTTTGAATCATAGAATTATCCAAAATTCGAGACATTACAGAGTACTTACAGATGTGCCTCTTCCCAACTCGTCAATAATAATCAGCGTCTTGTTAGTGGCTGTTGACAATATAGCAGATGTTTCCAACATCTCTGCCATGAATGTACTTATGCCCCTACTGGTGCTATCTGAGGCACCTACTCTGGAGAGAATGGCATCCCTTATACTCACAATACTACCTGCATCAGCTGGAATAAAACATCCTATCTGTGCTAAAATAACATTAATCGCCACTTGTCTGATATAAGTGCTCTTACCACCCATATTCGGCTAAAAATGATGAGATTGCTAAACAGTATTGTTCAATTAAAATACTTACACCAGTTATAATATGCAGCTGATTTGAAGATCTGTCGAATAGACAACTATTCATCTGAAAATCAATGCCGTCTTGAACCTCTACACATGGATGTCTACAGTTTATCAGATAGATTTCGTCTTCTTCTGCATCAAGTGGCTTAATAATAGGTCTAACATAAGGTTTGGCAGATTTTGTAGATACGTCGGCAAATGCAGCAAAAATGTCAAGTTCGGCTAACGCATCTCTGAGGTCTGAAAAATGTTGAGAATAGGAACCAATAGTACCTTTGACTTGATACATCAGTGCATCTGAACATGCATCATATTTTTCTTGACAAAGTCTGTAATTTTCTGCCAGACTCATCAAATTTCTAGTGATAAATTTGAACTGTTGCTTTGTTCCTCCCAATGCAATATAATTCTGATTATTGTTAAACTTGCTGGCTACCTTTCCACCAACTTGTAGATGAACAGCCTTTTTTGTGTATACTAACACCAATTCATCTTTTTTAACTGCCTCCTCGTCTTGTATCCGTTTACATTCTTCATCCATGAGTTTGATAGATTCTGTAAGCTCTTCTGCAATTTCTTTTAAATTGTCATCAAGATTGGGATTTAATCTGTAACTATGATCTGCAGCATTTTCAAGATCTAGGGATGTATGAACCAAAGTTGGAAATTTTGGAATAAAGGCTGCGCATAAATCTTCTAATTGCAACAACACGGAAAAGAATATTCCCTCCTCATTAAAAGTTTTTTCGTTTCTTACTTTCTCTAATGATTCTTTGATAACAGGGAGTTGCTGTACGCATGCATACAATTTCATGATATCGTCGCATGTAATTTTAAATTTGGCCATCTTAGAGCATAGAATGTCGAGATCTGGGATCTTTTTAAGTGCAGCTCTTATTTCTTCTCTTAATTCATGCTCTTCAACAAATATTTCAACCATATCAAGTCTGTTTTCAATTTGACTTTGGTCAGTCAATGGTTGTCTAATCCATTCTCTAAGGAGTCGAGATCCAGGTTTTGTAACACACTCATTGAGCAAACCAAAAAGACTATCGTGCTTTTTTCGATCACTTGGGCTAGGTAACAAATTGAGAGAGGCAATGCACGAGCTGTCCAACTTCATAAAATTTTGTACCACAAATGATTTCGTTTTGAAATACGAATAATTGTGGGGATCTTCTACCAATTCTAAATAATCAATGAGTGCTTGGGCAGCACATGCTACACATTCATCATTGAACTCTGGGTTTTCAACATTATTTTTTCCTGTTAATTTGCAAATATCAGCTTCCAACGAAGGTTTTCTAGTGAAAGCACTTCTCTTGAGCTCCGTACACATAATATCAGTTCTTGCAAAAATATCTAGCACTTTGGAATAAAGGATATCATTCTTGGAAATACAAATTAACCCTTCTTTTGCCTCCATTTGAGCAAGAGCAGAATCTAATACTGCTAATTGACTATTATCAGCAAAGCTGCAAAAACCAATAACTCGCAGAGAGGTATTGGCATACGCAATACCAACCCTTCTTTCATTCGAATCTTGTTTGATCATAATTGAGCATACGATTCCAGGTGTTGTGTCTGATTTGAAAATAATTTCTTCAAAACTTTGGAGATTTCCAGGAGATGCGGACTTGATACATTCATAATTTGATTTTCTGTCGGCCCATATTTCAAGCTTTTTTCGATGGTCGAGAAGAATGCCCTTTACGAACTGTTCATATAACGCTGGTCTAAATGTTAGATAGGGAAGACCTGCATGTCGAACACCACCCACAATATACGGATGGTCTTTATCACACTCTCCCTTTTTCTCGTGGTATTTAAACGATCCATAATTGGAGAAATGTTTGTCAATGAATATAGCGTCTTTTCCATGAACACTGTAGAAAATTTCATCATCGGAGCTAGAACTAACTTTTCTTTTTCTTTCAAAAAAAACAACCGTCTCATCATGTTTAGGATGTTTTTCATGTTTCAAAATCATACTAACAAACGATCCATCTTCTTGGATATCTTCTACCTTTTCATCTTTTGGGGAGCCGTCTTCATCATCGGCTTCTTTTTTCTTTTTTTTGGCTCCTTTTTGGTTTGATGATGTAGGAGTTTTGCGTTTGGTAGCAGCGGTGCTGGTAGCTTTTCTTGGCATTTTTTTTTGTGATTTCTTCCATTCTCTGGAGATTTTCAACCTTTGAGACATGAACAACTGAAAGTTTGTGCTCAAACAATGGCACGCATCAAAATGGATGTAAATAAATTTAATACTTGATGATATCAAAATTAAGGTGAGATCTAAAGAATGTTGGTGTTAAACTACCAAAAGCATTGAATAACTCTGTTCTAAAATCTCCTAACATTGGCAATTCACCACTCTTTCCATCAACACCAAGCTTTTTCGTAGCAATTTCTCCACTCAGTGCCACAAACGCACAACCTGCAGCTGCTGAAACAAGTGGATCATTACAAACTGCTGCAAAAGCTGTCTGAATAGCCCCAGTCATACATCCAACTCCAGTCAAATATTGAAGGGATGGCTCATTATGATAAATTCTAATGACTCGAGAACCATCTGAAATAAAATCAATAGGTCCAGTCATACAAACAACACATCCATATTTTCTTGATAAATCCAAAACAACCTTATCCATTTGGGATTGGTCTGTGAGTGGACCACCCTCAGCATCTACTCCTTTCAATGTTGCAAAACCTCCCTCTCCATGCATTTTACCAATTTCACCATAATTTCCCTTAAGAATAGTAATCTTGTGGTTCAATAATAAATCAAAGGTTGTGTCTTCTCTTGCACGAGTAGCTCCAAAGCCGACGGGATCCAAGATTACTGGCTTTCCCAAGTGACCTGCATGTCTTGCTGCTAAATGCATGGCTTTTATAGAGTACTCATCCAATGTTCCAATGTTAATTAATACTCCACTCGCAATATCTACCATATCAGCAATTTCGGCATGATACTGAGTCATGACTGGAGAAGCACCAATCGCAAGAAGTGCATTGGCTGTTTGTGTGGTTACCACATTGTTGGTCAAGTTATGAATCAATGGTCTGCTCTTTTTGATTTGCAATAAGGCATCTGTCATTTGTTCTCGTAATTCTGCCTTTTCTCTTGATTGACCCATTTGATAAAAATTCACATGTCTTCTCAACTCTTTTGCAGCTTCAAAAGCACTGGAGGCTCCAACGACACTACTCACCACTGCAACTCCATCGACACCACATTTCATCACATCTTCAACGTTTTGATTACCAATTCCTCCAATGGCTACCAATGGTATATTTCTTTCCATTGACACACTCTTTACATAGTCCACTAAATCTTTGAGTCCTTGTAATCCCACAGCAGTACCAGCATCTTTTTTGGTTTGAGTTGGGAAAATGGCATTGGTTCCTAAATAATCTGCTCTCACTTCATGTGAGAGTGCTTCATTCACTTGCTCTCTCGTTCCGACTGTTAATCCCAAAATCTTGGAATGACCAATCAATTTTCTCACATATTGAGGTGGGAGATCCTTTTGACCCACATGAACTCCGTCGGCATTGCAAGCCAGAGCCAAATCAACACGATCATCTATGAGAAATGGAACGCCATACTTTTTACAAATACGTTGTAAAGATTTTGCTTGTTGCAGAATTTGACGAGTATTCAATGAACCATTCTTTTCACGATATTGAATAATTGATGATCCTCCTTCAATAGCTTGCTGAACGGTTTCCTCCAATGAACGGGATGCTTTGCTTGAAATTTCCGAATCAGTCACTACATAGAGCCCATAATCAACAATCGATCCTTTGTTGTTGTCAATCGGGTATGTGTTGTTTTGGTTGGTCGTAGAGAATGATCGCAGAGTGATGAGAGATCGAAGTAGGTTGTTGTTCACTCTTTGGGAAGCAAAATAACTTCGGGAACGAGTAATTTGGCTTTTCATTTTTATTTTTCTCATAATTCTCACAGCAAGACGTCTTCAAAAGACAAACCTGACGTCTCATTGCTTCGATTGAGCTCATTCTTTTGGCTTTCACATGTGCATCAAGCTTGAAATATTTAGTGTATCATACTATTTTCTCTAATGGAATCTATTTATCTTTATTTCACATCATTATTGAGAGCTTACTGATGGAGTGGCTGTTACAGCGTCACTCTTTTTCTTTCCAACAAATGTCATAATTTACAATGACCTTCAATCGATTGACCCTAGTGGAATCTATCAGATTCTTGTGATTGTTGAGTGAGTAATCTTTCATCTTGAGTGGTTATGAAAGAGCTAGCAGGAACGTTAATAGAAGGATTGTATCCAGTAGGGAAGAGTGGATATATTTGATGACTTGTAGAAATGGCACCTGAATAAGATGTCACAGGAATCAATGGATTCATCATTGGTGATGCCATTTGCATTGGAACCATTGAAGCATTAGGGTCAAGAAGAGGGATCGATGATGTCAATCCATAACCAATACCATATCTATGGTTTGTAAACTTCTTTGGTTTTTGAAGTTTCACATTACTGATGCTCAAGCGAGACAAAGCACCTTCAACAATAAAATTCTTTTGCATGTAATTGTCGTTCTTAAAATGATGCAATAATAAATTCCACAAAGGTTGTTTGGACAAGACTTTTGCATTTCCAATGATAATTATACCACATCTAGCACGGGTAAGAGCAACGTTAAGACGTCTTGGATCGTTTAAGAATCCAATACCTTGGTGATCATTGGATCTGACACATGAAAGAATAATAAAATCTTTCTCTCTTCCTTGGAATGAGTCTACACTGGCAACCTCAATTTCCTTATAAAGATCTGGATCAGCAGTACCAGCTCGTTGCATATGACTAACACAAAAAGCTCGTTGTCCTTCATAAGGAGTTACAACTCCCAATTGATATGGCCTTACGCCAGCCTTAAGCATTTTAGTTACAATCTTTTCAACTGTTTCTGCTTCAGTTCTATTGAGAAAAGATGTTCCACTTGCACTATATTCTTCTTGTCCAACAGAATTATAGAAAAACATTGGTGCATCAGAATGTGGCCAAGGAAAATCAATATGAATTAATCTATCTTCCTTTTTTACACCATTCTGTAAAGTGCCTTCATAGAAGGTATTGGAAGGAAATTCTGAGAGACAAGGATGCATTCTATATTGTACTTGGAGACGCATTGGTCTAATGCCCAACATTACCAAACGTTCAAAGAGAGATCTTGATAATCCAGCTCTAGCTGCCTTCTTGCACATGATTACTGGACCTAGCTGACAGTGGTCTCCAACAAGAACGATTTGCTTTGCTCCTTTTACAATTGGAATGAGACATTCAGGTTCAGTGGCTTGAGTAGATTCATCAATGAGTACATGTTTAAATTTAAAGTCTCTTAATCTGACATCGCCTGCACCAACACAAGTACAACAAATGACGTCTGCTGCCTTCAAAATTTCCCTCTCTGTTAATCTCTTTAACATTTTTAAACGTTTCTCATCAGCAATAGATAATTCTCCATCATCCTCTTTCTTTTGTTGAAGTCTTTGATATTCATCCTTTTCTTTAGTTTTGTAGAGTTTTAGCTGGTAGTGTAATGTAAGGAAATCTACAGGTGAATTAACTGCTTCTCTACTTCTTGCACACAGTCTAACAACCTTGAGACCAGTAGCATGAATCTTTTCTGCCAATTGATCCACAGCAACATTGGAAGGTGCACACACTAATACTCTATGCTTATTCTTATCAACCATATGGTAGACAATTGAAGCGCTCGTAACAGTCTTTCCTGTACCGGGTGGACCTTGAATTAATGAAAGTGGTCTTTGCAGAGCATTCTTGACAGCTGAAATTTGAGAATGATTTAGTTCAGGTAAGCCAGGTGCAGAATATTTCTTAGGAAGGGTAACTTTGAGAAGAACATCTTTTGGTGTTTGGTTTGGATGACCTAACATTTTGTGATACAGAAAATTGCTAATACAATTCTCGTCAATTGCAAATGTTCTCATTGCGTTTTGCATTCTTTCGAAGGAGGTTGGCTTCCAAACAAAATCAACACTAAACCCAGTTGTGAAGCTAATAGGTGCTGTTTTCTTCTTCAATTCCAAAACAACCTCTTCCTCTTGGTTGAATTTGATAACATGGCCAATACCTTCCCAGTTAATACCATCTCTATTGTAGCGAAGTCTGAGTTCATCACCGGGTACTAAACGAAGCTCATTGTCTTCACGTGTGAAATAAAAATAAGCCAGTAATCTGTTGCTGTTGGTTGTTTCCCAATGAACAGCAATATTATCCTTTGATTGAGATTCTTTCATTCTCTTATCATACTCTGCTTCCAATTGAATGAGTGGACTGAATACTGATTGATAATGATAGGCATCTTCATAGAAAAATTGAACAGGAAGAGGATCATCATCAATGCCTGGTTTTTCTAAATCGTCGATGGATGCATCAGTATTAGTCTTCCACAACTCTTCCAGTTTGTTAATTTGTTGTGTGGTTACTTTTCTACCTCTGTTCTTTTCTTCGTCAGGTTCTTTAACTAACCAAGACAACATTTGACGATCTTGAATTAAAGGAAGCCATGAATCAACATCCCAATCCATGTCCTTAAGACTGTTATCATGTAAGCATGGTTCACGACATAACAATACAACAACAGAATCATTCTTGGCAGGAATAAAACCTAGCAAGAATACGTTTCTGCATCCACAGTTGTAGCACTCCAGAACTGTATCTCCTAGAGGTGATTCAGGATGCAAAGAGACTTCCTTGTGTTTGGACTTTACCAAATGGTGAACAATGTGAGAGCCATTCGAGCCTCCTCTTCCGTTACAAAACCACTTTTGACAAATATTACACTTAACAACACAAGCAGGATCGTGAATGGTACAATATTTGCAAGCATGTTCCGGAAGCTTCTTTTCCAAAACCTCTTCATCCTCTTCATCAAAATTGAGCGGAGTAGCATATTTGTCAATAAAAGAGTTCAAATCGTGTATTTCTTTTTTCTTCTTTTTCTTGCCAAGTGAAGATGTGTTGGAACTTGCTTTCAAACCGCCACTGGCAGCCGATGATTGTTGAGAGTAAGAAAGTTGAGTACCAGTTTGTTGTGTATTTAGAAAATCCTGGGAATAAAGTTGTGATTGTGTGGTAGGTAGTGTTTGGCTCTGTTGAGTGTTCAAATCCTCCACGTATTCAAAATTGTTGTTGCCCTGGCTAATAGGTGATGAGGATGAATCATCGCTTTGTTCATCGTCATTTACGTCGTACTCGTTATCCTCATCATCATCTTCTCCAATAAAATTAGAAGGGTTAACAAATTGATTAGACTGTGATTGTTCGTTCTCTCCCGAATAATCATCATCACCATCCTCTTGGAATTGGTATGTGATGTTTTGTTGAGAGGAAGGAAATTGTGTATCTTCCGAATAGTTGAATGAACTCATTTTTTTCGAAATCCTCTTCGACAACGAAAGACGCTTCAGCAAAATGAAGTTGTGTTCGGAACAAAAAGTTAGCTCGCCTTGGTTTCCGTCTCGGGAGGAATCGAACCTCCGTCAATGGATTCAAAGTCCACTATGCTACCATTACACCACGAGACGAGCACATTAAAGATATCCGAAAGACTCTGAAATTACCAAACAACAATTTAATGTGAATAACACGATTGGTGAGCGTCCTCCGTTACAACTGAAAACGAATTTCAAAGAATGCGAGCTTGAAGACGACTCTCATATGAACATGATTGATAACTCGTACGATAGGAAGGAATCGAGCTACAAATCTTCTAATATCTTCGTCAATTTGGTTCTTGAGTTGAATAAGGTATTCAGAAGCTTTTGATCTGATCAAAAAACTCTTTTCGAATTCTTGTTCTCTGACCAATCGAATATGGGACAACGATGCAACACTCGTGTTGTTTGAAATCAACTCTGCTGTGGTGCTTATCGTCGTGTTCTGAACAAAAAAACCATGCCGGCCAATGCTCTCTTGGTACAAACATTTTGTGATCTTTCTATGATAGAGTGCTTTATCCCTGAAAAACTGGAAGTACAATTTCCAAAAAAAAAGAAATCATGGGTCATCCAGGCCAAGTAAAAATTATTTTCAACAAGGGACAAGTTTTACAATACTACAATCATTTTGCGCATTGGACAGTTCTAGGCTATCAACTCGTTTCCGATATTCGTAAATTAATTTCCAAACATCAAACCGATGAACATTCACCCTCTTCCGCTATTCCACAAATTGTTGATTTGTTGAAGCGGATTAAAGTAGTCACTGAATCATCAACTCCAACCACGGATGAGATTGAAAAACTGAAAAAATATGCTGATTTGCGTGTATCGAGAAGAAGTTACGAGGATTGGTATTGTCTTCTTAACAAGACCTTTGATTCGCTGATTTCTGTTCTTGACTGTGGTTACGTACTGGACCATCCTTACTCGCAAGAATTTAATTATACCATTGATTTTGACCATGACTTGTTTAAGATAGAAGCAAAGTATGAACAGTTGAATGATATTGCGTTTAAATTGACAAACATACCCGAAGATTGGATGTCACAAATGGAGTATCGAGAAGTTAACGTAAGAATACAGTAAAGCAAATGTTTCGAGGAATATCATACAGTGTCAAAGCATGAAGGAGTTGTTGTTGTTTATTTTGTGAAGTGTGATGCACTTTTCATTGCAATACACAAGGTAAAAGACATATATAGCTAATTAATCAATGCGAGCAATGTAGTGAATCTTTGCAAGCTTGAAACCGTTGAAAGAAGTACCAGCAGCAATGGTATACGCTCCAAACAATTCAACGAAGAGAACATCTCCACATTCTAAACAGTTTGGAATGTTATGGGAATCTTTGAGAATGACGTCCATTGAATCACAAGTACTGCCATACAAAGTAACAGGCTTATCGGTGTGACCAACTCTTTCTTCAACCTCATCCTTTACATTATCAGAAACGAGCTCTTCGTAGCTGATATGTTTAATTTCAGGTTCTGCATGATCAAAGATGAGACAGTTGAAGCTATGATAAACACCTTCATAAATGTAGTACAAGACTCTAGACTTTTCAATTCTTCTTGAGAAGATTGATGTGACCAAGGTATGTGTACTGTGAGCGATATATCTGCCTGGTTCAGCAATAATCTTTACCCCACTATTGACAGGGAAAAGTTCATCAAGAAGTGGTTTGATGGTTCTTGCAACAGAAATGAAAGCAGCATTTCCGTGTTCATTACTTCTTCCTTGCCAACCTCCACCAAGGTCTAGCAACCACATTTTCTTATTCAACACTTTAAAGCCATAGTCAAATACAGCACGAGCATCTCTAATTGCTTTGAGGAATGAATTAACATCATTGCAACCAGAGCCAACATGGAAACTGACACCAACAAGATTCAAGCCTAAATCTTTGATAATGTCAACCATTTCGAAAGCAACACCAAGTTCAGCACCAAACTTGGTACTGAATTGGCAAACAGAGTGACTGTCGTCAGTCTTGATACGAATTACAATTTGTGCATCTGGCCAGTATTTCTTCAATTTATACAACTCATCAACGTTGTCAGCAGTGGTGAGTTGAACTCCGCTTGTACTGGCGTATTTAACATGAGAAATTGGATGACATGGATTGGCATAAATACATCTTGCAGCCAGTTCATCATTGTTTGGAAGAACTTGTTTGACACATTCAATTTCGTCACGTGAAGCAACGTCAAAACCACAACCAAGTTTCTCAAGCACTCTCAAAAAGTATGGATTTGGGTTACACTTGATAGCATAGAAAGGAGTAACTCTTGGTAACTCTTGTCTCCATGTTTGAACTTGTCTCAGCACCTCAGACAAGTCAACAATGTAGAAAGGTTCTTCAATGGTTGGAAGGTCATCACCGGAGGCACCACATCTAATCTTGGTCTCATACATGTGTTTAATTATCTTTTTTGTTGAGAGATCAGAAGGAATAAACTCCGCACCGAATTGTTCAAAGAAAGCCTTCTTATCCATAGCATCGTAATCAAAACCAAAGACTGGTACATCTTCAAGTTTTTGTTCCTTTGAAGGAGTTTGTGGTAGAATAGATGATCTATTCAATACCTCGTTCTTTTCAAGAATGATTAATTCTTGTTCAGTATTGGTTACTGAGTTAAAGTCTACAAATTCATTTTGGGTTGGGTTAACAATGATTGTTTCCATTGAGTGGTGTTCTTATGAATAGAATGGAATAACTTGTTGGCTTGTTGGTGCTTGGCTTGTACAAGTGGCTTCTTGAAGAAGAATTTGCCTGTGGTTGCTTTTGACGGCGGTGTTGAGGTGTTGAAGAATCTCCTTGTTGTTTGAAAGCAGCAAGATGTGAGAAGGGTGAATTTTTTTTTAAATTCGAACTAAAAACAAAAAGTCGCATTTATTTCGGTTGGGTGGCTGCAACCGACGTAAAGATTACAATGGGTGCCAGTTGTCTTCTGGTTGCTCTGCTCATGTCTTCAACGTGGGTATGCATCGCCACCCACTCAATGAAATCGAGCGTGTTAAAAGATATTCAAAATATTCAAAATGAATATTGTTGCCTATTTTTACTATCCAATAACAACATTCGTGCTGTAAAATGATTGGCTAATTTCTAAAATTGTCCACAAGTACTCAAAGGGTATTGTTCAAAAGTTGCTTCTTTGAAAAGAGAGTCAATTGGCGAACATGACTCTCCAGAGCATCTGAGAATTTATCATAAATTGTGTATGGAACGCTATTTTCCTTGCATACTTGCTTCACAATTGGCAAAAGTGTTGGATACAACCAAGGATTAATGCCTGGAAACAAGTGATGAATGACTTGGTAATTTAAGAAACCGGATAAATAAGTCCACAAGTAACTGTCATGGCAATAATCAATGCCTATACCACGCCGTTTCAATTCATAATTAGAACAAGAGTTCAATTACTTACATGTTCGTACTTGAATTTCAGCCCAATCCAAGTCACCATTTCCATTGGAGTTTTCAACCATTTCATTCAATACGTTCGAGGGCCAAGCACATTTTTCACTAATATGATTAATTTGAGATAAAAAGCCAAACAAAATTCCAGCAACAACTTCTGTGGCAACAAATGCAAGTAGTGCTTCTAATGTTGACCTTCCAATAACTCCTCCACTCTTGTAAAATAGATATCCTGGTAGAATAGTTCTATAAACCACAAAAACTATCTTTGACAAGTAGAAATGAAATGTAGTCCAACTTAATGTTGATGAAGCAAAAGTGACTCCTATTCATACAACCTGGAGTTTGAAACATTCAACCATTCCTTATTTGACGACTTACCTTCGCTCACATGTCTAGTCCAATAATGAACAAAGTCAACCAGTTGCATATAAAAGATCAGGGATGCGTATAACAAAGGGAGACTCGAAAAAGACCCAGTTTTGGCCATGATGTTCACTGGAACAGATTTGTAATCTTTTGGTTCCTCATACATTTTCGACACTACATTAACTTCATCAGCAGCTCTATCGGTGCTACTTGATTTAACTTTAGCAGGTACCTTAGTTGTAGCATTTGTGTTCGTTGCTTCTAAATATCTGTTCCATTCGTAGACTCCAACATCTGGATCCAGTTCGCTCATGTTGGTATACACATGATGAGCCACATTATGTCTAATGGTCCAACAATAAAACGATTGACCTAAAATATAGCTACCAAATGTTCCAAACCAATTCCAAAACCTAGTATTGTTGGTGAATGAACCATGACCGACGTCATGCAAGATATGAACCTAATAATGATAATGACCAATAGTGATAGAATTGTGTAAACTTGTTATCATAACCATTTTAAATTACATACCATTGTTAGATGATGAAAAAGTCCAGCAAGTGCTCCCAAAGCAATAACCACCACCAAAGGAAGAGAAGGAATGTATTGAGAAGCGAGTTGGCAAATGAGCAAACCTCCAATAATGAAAATTGCATTCACCAACCTCAAGCCATCCACTTTCCGGATTCTATTCTTGAAATCAGGCTTCTTCATTAGCTGATCCCTAATTCTTTGTTTCATGATTTCATAAATGTTTCGTTGTTGTCCATTCTCTATGCTGCTCAATGGAGATTGGAAAGTAAATTTGATGGCTGCATCGTTCGGAAGCTCGTCGCTTGAATTGTTGGTAGACACTTTGGCACTCTCAACATCAAACTCTCCCACATATTTAATGGATTTACTTGGGCTCTTCTTATTGTTCAAATAGCTCTTGGCAATGATGGAAGATGATAAATGGTAGGACTCAAATAAGGCAGTGGCATCTCTTGCACAAGCACTCCGAATCATTTCTTCCCCACCCGGATGCACGCTTGCAAAGTCCGTTAAATCATACACATGGTCATAGAGGACTGCCCATAAACGAGGGTTTTTGATGCCGTCATGTTCCTGCAATTCTTGAAGTGTTATCTTGTTGGGTTCGGAAGACGCGTTCATCGTACTCGTAGAAGATGGCATTTTGAAGAAGGCTTGGGTACCAATTATTTCAGAAATTGATATTGATGATAAGGCGAGAAAGCAGCAAGAATAGTACTACGCAATCTTTGTTTTTCTTTTTGTTGAACGCTCGAAAGTGATTATGATAATGTGCACTTAAGGTGTGGGTCAAAGAAACAGTTTCCTTATGGAAAATGTGCGAGACTTTTGTTCAACTTGATCGTTAATCAATCAGTTTTTGCAAATGTTTTTTGAATTAAGGCCATCATCAGCGAGATTTTTCTGTGTTGCATGTTCGGCGTAATTTGTTGTTTGTGGAAGTTTTGACTTTTAGAGTCCTCTCTTGTTGAACTATCAATTTTCTCTTTTTTTTGGCAGTGTTTTGGAAATGGAATCAAAGGGAGTTGAGTGTTTTGGCAGTGCTTCTGCTACATGTCAAAGGACTTCAGTCAACAAACAATCAAAAGAATGTCATCATCCTACGGAGAATCCTCTTTCAAAGATTAAACAAGCAAATATCTTTAAAGATTGACCCGAATTCATTCCTTCCTAGAAGAAGAAAATAATTGTCTGATTTTTCTTAATCTCACAACTACAGCTCAGAATGATGATGTTGATTGTTTCATGAGAATGAAGTGAGATGAAGGCGGTGAAAGACGGGAAACAGGAGCTGATGACAAGGTTCAAACTCCTAAAAAAATTTCACACAAGGCCACTCAAATTAATTTCATCGGCCCATCAACGTTGTGAACACATCTTCTCCTTGATTGCAGCACAAATTTTCCGAGAGGCCTTGTGTTGATCAAGTAGAACCATTGTGTTTTTACTTCAAGATTTTTATCATTCAATACCCGTCATCATCAAGAATTATCTTGTGCAAATATTGAAATTCCGTAATTCGCTCCGATTCCATAATGTCATTGTGTGTTCAATCATCTTCATCCTCATCATCGAGGAGAATCAACAACAGTCATTATCATGTGATTTGTTCAGTATCACTTTTAGTAATGCTCTCTGTAGTGTTGATGACACCTTTCTGTGTTGTGTCAACAATGGGATCTTCCTCCGCCATGCTCACTCATCGATTTCATTCAGGAAAGGATCATGTTCTGTTTCAAAAATTAAAGGAACATTTGAATAGTAAACAACCACATATTCATACCTCCCGAACATCACACTTGAATACACCAAACACAAACTATGTGTACAGAGGTCCAACGGCAAGCGAGATTTGTGTTTCTAATTTATTGTTGGGAAGATATATTAAAGATTTGTGGTGTGAACAAGTCAATCCATACTCTGGAACACCAGAAATTCTTGCTGATATTTCTGTCATGAAGAGTTCAGATTTTAGTTATGACTGTGTAAGACAGCCAGCAACATTGAATTCCTCAAACTCCACGTATGATGATCAAATGGATGATTGTTATAGCGTTGTTGGAATCAGAGCTTTTGATTATATTGGTACCTTTGTCATGCCTGGAACAAGCTACATGATTGAAGCTTTGAGAAATGGAAGAATATTCTTTATTAACACAAATATTCAGTATATTTTGGGAGGAGCAACAAGAATTTATTACAAGCCAGAAAAGTTTGCAAATATTATCAAATTTGATGGTCATGCTCAGGTCACAGGAAAAGGATCAGATGCCTATGACCATATAACCTTTGCACAAAAATCTGTAGATTCCTCCAATCTCAATATCAATGGAATGTACAATATTGAGAATCAAGCATTACAATTGACAAAAACATGGTACTATGCTTTAGACCCATCGGTGACAGAAGTTTTACAACTCAAAATGATTAGAGATCCAACATCTCAAAATATTTATTCAGTTGCATTGGTCAAACAAAACAAGGATAGTGTATATCAATTGATTTTCTTACAACCTGATGCAATTTATAACAATAATTTAGCCACTGTGAGAAAATGGGATATTATTGTGCCAGCTGGTAATGAAAAGATTCATTTTGATTCTTCAATTCAATTTGGAAACTTCTCATCACGTGCACCAATGAGAGTGAATGCCAAAATTTTTGATGCTAACAATTTGGCATTGGCTCGAGCTTTGATTACCATTCAAACTGATAAGCAAGTGAGAATTTTCGAGTTTAGCGACAATAGCGAGTCCATGGCTATTGATTTCACAAAGAACGATTTGTTGTCAACCTTCTATAGTGCTCCTGATTTTACTAAAATTACCTATGCTCGTCTCATTTCGGAGACTGTTAGAAGACCCTTATCACTGGATAGATTTTCAACATGCTCCAATATTGAGTTTCCGCTTTCTCAGAATATGTTCTTGGCTTTGGGTTTAACTCAGAATTACGACGGCCCTGACAATATTATTTATACCATGCTTATTCATCATATTCATGAATTTTCAAGTTATAACTTTGTAAAGTCAAGCAGTGGTCAAACTAACACAGTCAACAGACCAGAAAACTTTGCTTGTAAGCCCACAGAATATGTTGATAGGAACGGAGCATGTGCATCTAATATTGAGAGTTATACCAGGTTTGATAATGAAATAATTTCTATCGACTCCAAATTTATGGATATCAACGAAACTATTAATGAAGTTGATGCCTACGATCCAGGTGGCCATCTCAATGCACCAGTTCTTTGTGAGCTATCATATATGGGACCAAATACTCCACCAGACAAGGAAAAATGTCGTTCTATGGCTGAAAGTGTTGCTTGTGAAATTGATATTTTCAATGGTGGATTAGGAGACGTTGCTAATTTATACTCGTTCTTCTATAGTTATTGGCAAGAAACCATTTTTGTTACAAAAAGCAATTCAGATATTGAAATACATGCAATGGCACTAGATTTAGATCCAACTGATACTCAGGCGTATGTCACACTCACCAAATTGAACCGATTCAAAGTATTAGGCAACATTATTGACTTGCATGTTTCTTCTAACAATTTACACATGTTCATCTCTGTGAGTAGACAACGATGGGAAATTGACGCACTGAAACGATATGCTCTTGTCTGTGACGCACTCGCTAAAAATCCTGATGACTTGTTTTTAAAGGCGTTCAAAGACAAGTGTGAACTAATTCCACCAATTCCAATCAACGAAAACCAATTTGCCCTCGTTACAAGTGCCTGTATTAAGGGAAGTCTTTGTAGTTCCTTCTCAAAACATTTGATTCGATCAACTTCCTCCAAAGGTACTTTTGTTTATCGATCAGTTGCTGAAATTCCCTGCATCATTGGAAGTTATTGTGTTTCAGGTATAAGAATACCTTGTCCTTTGGGATATATTTGTCCAGACTTTGGAATGGTTGCTCCACAAAAATGTAACGCCAACTATGGTTATCAGACATGTTACAGTGATAGCTTGGACACAGCATACACTTGTCCAAATGGAACTCTCTGTACCACCGATTATTTAATACCCATTCCAGCAAGCCCAGGTCACTTTGTTAAAAAGACGGATTATGGACAGGGTATTGTCGTGATTGATGGTCTTGAAAAATGCAGTGAAGGAGATTACTGTAATTTGGCGAGAGAAGCAATCACAACACCAATGAATGGCTCACTCTCCATCTTGTTGTGTCCTGCTGATACCTATTGTGTGAATGCATCAATTTTAGAACCTTCATTATGTTCCTATACCAATAATTCAATGGACTATTGCCCACCCGGATCCGTCTCTAAGAGCTTGTGCCCAGCAGGTTATTATTGTGCCAATCCAAATTCTATCAAACCTTGCTCACAAACACAGTATTGTCCAGAAGGATCTTTTACCTATCAGCTTTGTCCAGAAGGATATTATTGTCCAAATGCAAGTGCAAAAATTGGTTGTCCTGCAGGTTATTTCTGTAGACAGGGTTCCATTGAGCCTTCTCCATGTTCATGGTTTTTATCTTCATGTCCTGAGATGAGTGCTTCTGATCGAATGACTTATGGAGGTCTTGTATTGGTGTTTGTACTGTTATTCTTGATGGCAGTACTCTATTTTGCATATGAAGCTGCTTTCAAATTATACATCAAGATGAGTACAAGGCAACGAAAGAGAAATCCAGGTGAAAGTTCCTCTCTCTTCTCTCCCAAACAAAAATCGTATTCTACGGCCAATACTGGTTGCAGCAGTTTCCATGAAGAACAATTTACTGTCGATATTGGATTCCAAGATTTAGGTCTTGTGTTGAGAGGTTCTGGTAAAAAAGTGTTGAATGGTGTTACAGGTGAAATTAAGCATGGAAGATTAACAGCTGTCATGGGTCTATCAGGAGCTGGTAAAGTAAGTTGATTGTTTATTCATGATATAATGTTGATGCCGAATCTGATCATCATATTTATGTATTTTATCATATTCATGTATTGTCATATTTACGTATGATCAAATTCATGTAGAGTACATTTATTACCACACTCTCCAATCGTGCCTATTATGGTACTCAAGTGGGTAAAGTATTTGTCAATGGAATTGAAGAACGTCTTTCCAACTACAATCGAAAAATTGGTTTCGTTCCACAAGATGATATTATGATTCCGACCATGACTGTTGAGGAGACTCTCTATTTTTCTGCCAAGACAAGATTGGATGCTAGTACTCCACAAAAACAGATCAACGCCATTGTCAATGATGTCATTAAGGTATTACGATTGGAAGATGTTAGACATTCTCTCATTGGAGATCAAGAAAAACGTGGAATATCTGGTGGTCAAAGAAAACGTGTGAATGTTGGTATTGAACTTGTTTCCTCTCCTTATGTGTTATTCTTGGATGAACCAACTAGTGGTCTCGATTCAGCAAGCTCTAAAGAAGTGTGTGAAGCTCTTCAAGCAATTGCAAGCTGTGGAATTACAGTCATTACAGTTATTCACCAACCTCGTTATGAAATTTTCAACATGTTTGATACATTGTTGTTGTTAGGAAAAGGAGGAAGAACGATTTATCTTGGCCCAATTTCAAGAGTTGAAGAATATTTTGAAGAAATTGGATTTACAAAGCCAAATGGAACGAACTTGGCTGATTTTGTGATTGATGTTTCAGCAGGACTGATTCAAAATGATACCAATGATTTTGATCCTAGTACTTTACCTGATATTTGGGTTCAAAAGAAGACCAAATATTCCGATGAGGAACCAGGAATTGCACAATATCTTCCCAAAGATGAGAATGGTACAAGTTCACAATCTATCAATTCCTCTCTTCCTCTTACTGGTGAAGATTCGACATCTTGTTGTAAGACTACTAAGAGTGAACCACCCAAGAGACCCAACAAGTTCAAGAATCCAAGATTACCCTATTTTTCACAATTTTTCATGTGCTTTAAGAGAAGTTTGACTCAACTTCTTCGTACTTTACCAAGTTTAGTGTTGGATTATTCTTTAATATTCTTGTGTGGCGCATTTCTTGGATTAATCTATTACAATAAGGTATACATTGGTCCACCACCAAAAGCAGTTTATGAAATGTGTCCAAATGGGCTCCAGGACATTTGTTCTCAACCTCTTGAAGATCCAATTTATTCAACATCCTCTCTCATGACACTTGCTATGGCGCTTATGGGTGCCATGTCAGCACTTCGAGCATTTGGAGGCGAATATTTAGTATTTTATAGAGAAAGTCAAACTGGATTGAGTACTTTTTGTTATTTTTGGGCCAAAGATATTTCCTTATTTATTGTGAATATTTTCGCACCAGTAGTGTTCTTGAGTATTTATTATACCACTGTGTCACCGAGAGCACCTGTTTATGAATATTATTATGTACTGCTATTGGTTTATTGGACATCTTACGGATTGGGATATTTCATTAGTATAATTATCAAACCAAATATTGCTCAATTAACAGCTGTCGTCATTGTATTTATTTTTAACACTTTCAGTGGTGCTACGACTCCCCTACCAACTCTTAAAGAAATGTATTTCCCTATTAATTATTTGCCATACCTCTCCTATCTGACCTACAGTCATGAAAATGCCTATCTTATTGAATTGAAGAGATATGAAGGCATGTATGATTTGTCAAAGAGTTTGAAAATCATGGGCTATTCATGGGACGATTTTTACATGACCATTTACATGATGATTGTTTATGGATTCATATTCAGAATTGCAGCTTTTATTGCTTTGGTTTGTGTGAAGCCTTCCAGTTTTTATAATTTGGCTGTTGTTTCTACCATCAACTTTTTCCAAACAAAAGTAAGAGCCATTATTAGAATGTTTAAGAGAAAGTCCAAGGAAGGAGATGTCTAAGTGTTGAGGATCATGATTTCTCCAATAATAAAATCCATTCGTGTTTGATTATTACTACTTGCTTTGGGCAAAGCTCTGATAGTTGTGTTTGATACTACTACTAGCATTAGGTTGTGTTCAAGTTCAACTTGGCAACTTAACAACACTCCACAAAAATGTCTCAAGGTGGTCAAGCCGTGACAAATTTGAGCTCATCATACTCCTCCAACAACAACCGTAGAAGCTGTTCTCCTACGCTCCATGATCTACCTGATGAAGTTATTTCCAAGATTTGTTCCTATTTCTTTGCCCAACCATTGTGTATTTCATATCCTTTTCCTGCTCTTTCATGTATTTCATGCTCGGATTTCACATCATTGATTTCTCTGATTCATACGAATAGAAAATTGCGAGATTTAATTAGGAATAACGTTGATCTATGGAGTCAATGTTTATTTCGATATCCGTGTTTCTTTAACAATAATTTGAAAATGTTGAAACATATCATGATCCGATGCGATCAAGAATTTGCAAATTTGGAAGTGCCATCATTCGAGCAATGTAAAGCCAATGACTCATTTGACACGTATAAACGTGACTCTTCCAAAATCGATGACGAGAAGGCTTTCAATTATGTCCTTGGAAAGTCGATGAATGAGGAAGGCTCCGATACCACTTGCCATCATCATCATTACTCGTGTGAATCACAATTGTTGGACTTTTACGCAGATTTTGTAAATGTATTTTGTGAGACTCAAAACATGGATATTCACTTTGAAGGAATCATTCCTCTACCTGAAATGTTGTACAAACATTCACCACCTTCAGATTTCATGTTGAAAAAGTATTGCGAAAGATTTTCAAATATCCAATACTTGACCTTCACAGATCATCGAGATCGAGTGGACTGTGATTATTGGTTTAACAGAGAAATGGGTTATTCCAAAAAGTTATGGTGGTATCATTTACAAGGCATATTGGTGAGCTATTATGAATTTAGAGCGTTGCAATCCGCTTCATTTCTCAAACCAAAACATAGTTGGATTTCTCGTTTGAAACCAAAGAAGCAAAGTGCATTGAAATATCTACAACATTCGATTTCACTTGGAGTTGGTAAATCACATGTGTTACTGAAAGAGTTACAGGATTTTGAGAGAGATCATCCCAATATTAAGATCACTTCCACTATTTTCGGTTCGGATGTCCAATGTTTTTCAGTACTTTCCAACTATTTAAAAAGAGTGACTCTCACTCTTAAGGAGGCTAGAGAGGAACCAATAACTTTGAAAAACATCAAACTATCGAATCTTTCTTGGTTGGATATTCACTATGAGCCTAAGACTTGTCCTCTTCTTCAGATTGTGTTTGAAGATGTGAATGCTCCAATATTGGATCGATTGAGCTCCAAGCAATGTAATTTGACAGTCGTCATGACCTCAGCAGACACATATTTTCCAACACTTCATTCTTTAATACTACAGCAGTGCAAGTTTTCAAAGCCATTTTGGATTGACGCCCATTGCGACTCATTGGAAACGCTGGATTTAACGTTTGATTCAAGCAACAACACTGATCTATTAGATTATTACTTTAACAATAGCTTTAAAAATCTTAGAGAAGTAACCATAGACTACGGCTCAAGGACCGTGGAGCTTTCTGATGTTCACACACTCAAAAGGGTACGAGTGAGAGGTGTCGATGTTTTTGAGGCCACTAATTGTGGAAAAGCTGATTTTAACTTTCATTCAATGAGGAAACGTATATCCATCCATCAGAAACACCTTGAAGATATCTATATCAACGCATTACCAGAATGCATCATTACAATATCAGCTCAAGAATGTAGTACATTGGTTTTGCAACAACATTCTTCATCAGGCATTACTTTATCACATCTTCAACACAGCATGAATATTGAGAAAATTTCAAAATTAACCATGTATATGACCATATCCAATGAGTTGGATCAAGAAATTACATTGTCACTGATGCCAAATGCAAGCGTTATTGAAAAGCTTGATTGGTCTTGCTATACTTCAGGATCTCAAGACAATCTTTCTCTCTTGCTGAAATTCATTCAAAGGTTCAATTTTCTCAAGAAATTAAGATTGTCCAATTCTCATTTCAACATGTTAAATAATCTCATTGAAAGGTTGAAAACATTTGATCTGCCATATCTCATTGAAGAGATTGAATATGATGGATCCAGTTGGTTCAATGGGTCATCCTGCTACTACACTTTGAATATTCCTTTTTCCAAAGATATGCAACCACTACAAACAGAGAACTCCATTGCCTCAATATTGAGTCACCCTTTCTTGGTCAGAAACGACTTCATGAGAGGTGTGAATGATCAAACAAGTCATATCTCAAGTTCAAGTTTAAAGAATTTAAATATTTATGGAAGTAGTGATGATCCACTCTTCTTTACATCCTCAGAGCTACCAAAATTGCAGTTTGGAGATTTACCAAGTTTACAAACCTTGAAGATTTCTCAGCTAAAGATTCTTGATGATTTGCCAACAATGAATGTCTTAAAAGAATTGACAATTTCCAAATGTCAACAAGTTAAAATTGACCTTTCATCCTTTCCATTCTTACATCAATTCTCAGCAGAAAATTGTAGAAATTTGAGTATTTGCTGTCTCGACGTGAATTATGGATCCAAGTTGAAATTTATGAAAATCAAAAACATTCTCGAGTTGCATGTTCAACTCATAGCGCCAGAGATGTTGCAACAGGTGAGAGAGCTCGTGATTGTGAAAATTCAATCTACAACCTCGAATTCAATAATTAATGTGAGCAAGATGAGTCCTCCTTTCCTTGCTATCCTTCATTTGCATGAGACCAATATTGTGCGGCAATAAAGTTCATCTTGTCTTTGCATCCCTGTTTTGGCATTTGACAGGAGCGAGGTCGAAAAAAATGGCAACACGACAACATCATTTTCACAACAAAATCTCATTACTCTCTTCTCTTCTTGTTGCAACCACATTAACATTTATACTACTCACATCATCAATTTTTGATGTATTTCACTCACCACATCAACCAATTTCAACTCTGGTTCACGCCGAGAGTATTCCGAGCTACTATTCCAAACGATATGTCTTTGGACAAGACATTGCTATTAAATCTAGGAAATTATCATCCTATCATAATGTAAGTATTTGACTCCAATATTATTATGTGTGAAAATATGTTAATCATAACCACCATCAAATTGTGTTTTCACAGGTTCCCTATGAATTTCACTCGTTACCATTTTGTCGACCAAAAGAAGTCAAGTATTCTGTCGAGAGTTTTGGAGACTACATGTTGGGAGATAGATTTGAGAATACAATTTATCATGTGAGTATTTTGTAATTTTGATTCGAATCTAAATTAGTTTTTTAAAAAATTTATATATTTATATATTCACACTCTTATATATATATTTATATATATTCACACTTATATATATTTACACTTATATATTGACATCTATACATCATGTTCCAGTTTCCTTTATTACAAAATGTTCCATGTGCTAGAATTTTTCCATCCATGAATGAGCAAAACACAATCATTTGTCCAACATTTGACAAGAGTGTTGCACTTGATTTCATGTCAAAAATTAAGGACGACTATCACATTCAATTCACTGTAGATAATCTCCCCATTGCATATCTTTATGATAATAGAACACGATGTGGAGATGCACCTCTCAATGACTTGCAACAACTTTCAAAAGAAACTACCAAGTACACGAGACCTGATGGATTTCCACTTGGTTGTGTGTATTATCCAGAATCTTTGAGAAATGCTCCACAAGCGATCAAGGACAAGAAAGCTCAATATTTTGTGAATAATCATTTCTCATTCCTTTTCAAATATAACAAGAAAGTAGTGAGAGGATCGGATTTGTATTTCATTGTAGGAGCTGAAGTTTATCCTTCAAGTATTAGACATGAGTCTTCTCAATTTACGTGTGATGTCACAAATCCTGAGAAATTTAGAATTGATCAAGCTACAACTTCGATACCTTTTTCTTATTCAGTGACATGGCTAGAGACTGACTTGGAGTATCCCAATCGATGGAACGCATATTTGAAAACTGACTATGATCAAGATACAGAAGATTATGACATTCATCATTATTCTCTGATTAATAGTTCTATGACTGTGCTTTTCTTGACAGGAATTATTGCCATGATCATGTACAAGATTTTGAAAAAAGATTTGGATTCTTCAAAAATCAATGACGACGATATTGAATCCTCTCTTCTTCAAGAACAAGAAACAGGATGGAAATTATTATCTGGTGACGTTTTTAGAATTCCCAAATATCCTGCTCTTCTCTCAGTCATGGTTGGATCTGGTTTGCAACTAGTGGTCATGTTCACAGTGTCTCTCATTTTGACCGTATTTGGATTTGCATCTCCAGAAAGTAGAGGAAGAGTTGTTGCTGCGTTTATTCTTTGTTATCTCTTTACCTCTGCTGTGGCTGGATTTTGGACACTCAAAATTTACAAAATGTTATCTGGAACTAATTACATGATGGTATCTGTTGGAGTTGCATTATTTGTGCCAACAGTGGTCACCATCATTTATGGAACATTGAACACGATCATGTGGATGATTCAATCTTCGATGGCTCAACCCTTCTTCTCTATTTTCACAATTTATACTGTTTGGTTTGTGGTATCCATTCCTTTGGTGTTCTTGGGAGCCATGATGGCACAACGATCATTATCCAACAATAAGGATCATTGGACAGTAACCACAACCACAGCCACAGCCACAACAACCACAGCAACCATAACAACACCCAAAGTCTATCCAACTCCAAGAAATATTCCACCTCTTCCTCTTCCATTGAGATTTCCTTATAATTATCTCATTGCTGGTATTTTACCATTTACTGCATTCTTTGTAGAATTTTATTTTCTAATTTCCTCTATTTGGCTTCAACAGCATTACTTTTTATTTGAGTTTCTTTTTACAGTATTTTTGATATTATTAGTGACAAGTGCAGAGACGACCATTGTTTTTATTTACTTTCAATTGTGCCATGAGGATTATCGTTGGTGGTGGAATTCTTTCTTTTATAGTTCTACGAGTGCGTGTTATCTTTTCATTGCTGGACTTTTCTATTACTCCTCTCAATTGAGTTCACCTCACTTTTACATGACCATTCTCTATTTTGGTTACTTGCTCATTCTATGTTTCTTGATCATGTTGTTGACAGGCTCTGTTGGATTTCTTGCTACCTTTTACTTTGTGAGAAAGATTTATAGCATGACCAAAGTTGATTAAGGATTTTCTTGCTCATCATCATTATGGAACACCATTTCTTCTCGTCCTTAACGAAACAGCAATCAATAACTAGTTTACGAAGAAAAACAAAACCTTGCCCTTCTGCCCTTCTCAATACGACCATGAACTTGTGATGACCTTGTGTTTGGGAATGACGCGCCCGTTGTGGTCGTGTTAAGAAGAGTATAAAGACCCAACTGTTGTCGTGAATCACAACATCGAGTACTTAGACTTATTAAAACTCACATTCGAATCACAAACTTTGGCCAAAAATTCAATTTTCTCCGCATAAATACTTGACGTTGGATCGAGGACGACTTTATCTTCTTTGAAAGTATTCGAGGTTCTTAAAAGCCAATCAAAATGGATGATTATTTTAATACAAAGTATTGATCATGCAGATTTCCCATCCTTAGTAGTCTCTTGTAGCTTGACAGAGTGTCTTTGACGGACTGCTCGAGGGCATGGTTTTCCTGCTTGAGCTTACGAGTAAGGCGTTCCAACTTGTTTATCCTAGCTCGTTGGGTTACTAATTCCTGTAAAAACGAAGATTGAAATTGATGAGACATCATCCTTAATGATTCTAACTCGTGTTGTATCGTCGTTTCAGATTCTGTGTTGCTTAAAGATAGCACGTGTACTCGCTCAGATATTATACGGAATTGTTCTTCAAACATCTTTGAAATAGTCGTATTTCTAATCCTTAGACTGCTGTTATCCTCTTTAAGGAGCAGGTTCTCCTTTTGAAGTTCATCAATCTTTCCACACAAACATTCAGTGTGATGAACAAGTTCAGAATTTCTTTGCAGCTCTGTTTGAAGTTGTTCGTTCGTAGAATTAATTGAAACCGCAAGCAGTTTGTTTTCATCGACCACTGCATCTTTCTCTTTTTTCAAACTCTTTAACTGCGTTTCTAGTTCTTCAATCAAATGATCCTGTGCTGACAATCTGCTAGAATTATTCAGTTCCACCTTCAACTGATTATTTTCCTTTTCACTTAACTTCAATTTAGCTGTGAGCTCTTGGTTGGATTTCCACATCTTGAATCATCAATGATTTGAGGAGCCCTTATTATTATTCCAACTTACATTATTTACAATACTTTTTGACGTATTTTCAAAAGCATTCACAGCATACGTCCACGCATGGAATATTTGTAAAGCCTCTTCATGATGAAGGTTTCCTTGCTCTTGGGAATCTTTTCTTAAATTATGCAAATCCTCTTTAATCCTAATGAGTTCGCCAGAGTATTTCAACTTCATTGCTACGATAACGTCCTTATTGTGATAATGAATAGTAACCGCTCCAAAATTTGAGGTTCCAACATACCCTGTACTTTCGGTTTTCTTCTTCCAGCTTCAAATATCGTTCCGATATCTTTTCAAATAGATCTACAAGATCCTGCATCATTAAGGAATGTTTTTGGCAATTTTCCAAGAACTCGTTCATACTGATCATATTTCCATATTGTAAGTTGATGTTGAACACGAGTGATTGGAAATGCTTTTGTAAATCCTGCAACAACTCCATTTTTTCTTAACCTCAATGTTGAATGTAAATGGCCGTGAGAGTCTCACAACAACGCGTTCCATCCCAGCGCTCAACCTTTGAAAATAACTTAGCAAGTGTTTATTGCCTGGACAGATGATGGTTAGTGAAGTGGTAGGAATAGAGATGATATTTACAAAAAGTGAAACGATGGTATGATGGTCATTGATGCTCCATTCAGTTATTCACTGATGGTAGTCTTAGATTGTCTGTTGTTCAGAAGCGGTGTGATGAGATTCAAACTTTTTCTCTTCAACAATTTGTTCCGTACTAGAGGATGACACATTGAGACCTAACCTTTTGATTCTATGCTTGTCAATTTCCATCACATTGCCCCAGAATATTTTGTGGTCATAGGTAAATGTGGAAGTACCTCCCCATGCAGTATCAATTTGAGCCAGATCAATATGTTTACCAAAGATTTTGGCCTTCTCTGTATCCTTGCCATTCACGAAATGAATCTTGTTCTTTGTAACAGGATTGATAAATGGAGAAATAGCCTTCCAGAAAATGTTAAAGATAAATGGTGTATCAACCATAAAACATGCTCCTAATCTTTCAGGATAGCAGTCATTCAAAATGTTGAGGGTTTGTTTGGCAACGCTTAATGGGAGAGAATTTCGTGTAGAGTATCCATTAAAATCAATAATCCAACACATTTGCTCAACGCCTTCTGGCATTGCGTCAACAGCTCTTTCTAAAGTATAAACAAGTAGTTTGATATTTTTTTCGTAATCAGTAGAATTCTCTCTAGCTGGAAACATGTAAACAATAGGTCTATTTAACTTATCAAATCCTCTCTGAAAGAGCTTTCCGGAGGACGCTTCAGAGTCGATTTCTTCTGCCGTGATTTCATCAGGTTTGAATGATCTTCTCCATTCCAAACAAGTGTTCATCAGCTTTTCAGCCTTATTTATATCATAGTCTCTCGCTCTGAGAAAACGAATAAGAGCAGCTTCGTCCAAGAACCGTCTTTCTCTATCTCCAAGTCTGTCATAGTCAACTCGTTTAATGAAATCGTTTAGAATTTCGTTTTGTTCTTCGGTGAGAGCAGAACGAGGGTTGAAACCCTTGTTCACGTCAATGAAAGAGGTTGCGCTGTGCCTGATGTTGTTGTTGAATATCAGTTGTGATTCGTGTTTCAAAATATATCATCATCGGTTGATTTTAAAATAATGAGCCATCAAAATTTTAAAAGCAAAATAATAGATCCATACAAATCAACATATAAACACTTACATTCTTGTATGGCCTCTTGTTTTACCACTTCCGTGATGGCTATGGTTTGATGATGAGCTCATAATGTGGGTGAGAACGGGGTTCGAATTTTTTTTAAATCTTCTCGTGTTTGGAAAGAGACACAATTCGGGTTACGACTTCGCAATTAAAAAATCGTGCGCTCTTTTGAAGAGCGCGGTGAGGACATATTGATTTTCAAAACTATTGAATCATGATGATTGAACGCAATAATAATTCAACAAGCCAATCACATGAAAGTAAACCCTCCTCTGAAGCCTTATATTTACAGGTTGTAAGAATGAACCCGGTTTTGTAAAATTTGGTATCTCCATCGTTGATTGTATTTACACTCTTGGATTTGGTGGGCACCCGGTGATTGGCTCGGCAAAGATTAAGGAAGTTGTGTTTTGGAAGTTGATGTTTTATTGAATTACTAATAACGATAATGTTGGAATCTTTCAACTGCTTGTTGTTTCGATCATCTTCTGAAAGTTCCATGTTTTTTATCTTTTTCTTTTGCTTCTTCAACGTTTGGGTTTAAGGAAGAGAGATGTGGATTTAATATTAATTCATCCGTTAACGGATCTCTACTAATTTGTGGGACAGCCTCAGTAGGGCCTCCTGCTCCTCTCTCGTGTGCTTTGGTAAACTTTTCCATTTCTGTTTGATATTTATATTCCGTGTTGGGTTCATCTTTTCCCATGATGGTTGAAGTTTTGGTGTCCACTGTCGTCACAGAGAGTGTTGGATCTTCGTCTGTGGGAAGCTTGACTTGTGTTCTTGAAGAAGACATGGCGTGTATTAGATGATAATTGAGAACGCTTTTTTTGTTGTGAATGTTTGTCGTGGTAATCGAAAGCTTTGTTCTGAAACGTTTCTTCTTTTATGGCCTGCAAGAGTATTCTCAATTAAGAAGTTATCCTATTGAGAATTTTCAATTTTACAACGAATCACACTCGTCTATTAGACGGACCAAAAAGTGCTCGCACGTTGTTTGCATGCGTTAAGCACCGCCAAAAATTACAAAAAATTAAAATGACCGAACTGGCCCACGACGACGAATGTGTTGTATCAAAACCTGTGGATGAGGAACAACTGTACTTTGATACAATCATCGGAGCTCTTGAAGAAACCATGATGGGTAGGTGTTATGAATTGTTTCATAGGAATCATTTGATTTCCGACTGAACGATTAGAGGAGAGCTTTTCGACAATGATCGATAAATTTGCAGAGCAAAACTGTAATATATTTGAAGAAGGAGAGGAAAACAAATTAGAGTATACAACACTCTTTGCGGAATATCAAGGAATGATTGAGAAATATTTGGAAACATCTTTAAACGAAAAAATTCAGAACTTTGAACTGAGCCGATTTTTACGAGTTTTAGAGAAGGTTGAGCAACAGAAAAAAGAACAAACAACAAGCAAAGGACAGGAAGAAAGCAATGATGACGAGTGGGAAGATATTGAAGAGGGTGACATGTCAGGAGATGTGTTCGACATGCTGTTGTCGTTCACTGATTTTATGGAGTTTAAAGAGCTAATGCTTTCCTACAAAAAGCAAGAGTATTTTAAAGACAAATTTTCTGGGCTGTTGGTTGTGTCGAACGGCTCTAAAAAGTAACGTTTTACCAGTTTCCTAATTTATTCACGGCCTTCATAACGAAAGCAAACAATTTTCAATTAAACATTATTTAATTATTGTCAATGTGCATTATAACCATTCGCCAGGATCTGCTGATTCTGAAGAAGATGACAAAAGGCTTTTCTTTGATTTAGATTTGATCACTGGCCTGTCTTCTCTTTGAGATTGTCTTATGATTGTATACAAGGTAGCAAACAAGTCATTCACACCTTTTCCTGTTGTCGCACTACACTCAGCAACCTCTGCAGATTTATCCACAAAAAACTTGGTAGCTGTGTTCACAATGTGCTGTTTTGATATTTTTCGCTCGCTCTCTAAATCAATCTTATTGCCGACTATAATACATGGAATTTGAGACATGTGCAAATTCTCCATAAGCAATGACTTGTATCTATTTAAATTTTGCAAACTAGATTGAGAGTTACACACGTCCACCACCAACACAAATCCATCACAATCCTTAATACATTCAATCAATAATCCCAAATCATTCATTTCAGGAGCATCAACTAAGCGCACAGTAACATCTTTTCCGTCAACAACTATGAAACAATTTTGACCTTCCACAACTTCTTGGTCTGATTTTGGTGATTGATAGGTAAAGCCTGAATTTTCAACTTGATACTTAATTATTGATGATTTTCCCGAGAATTTTTCTCCTAAAACCATAATTTTCAAAACTTTGCGTTTCAATCGGTGTATTCCTGCATCGACATGATCAATATCATCCGAAGAGACAGCCGAGTTGATTGGAGATGCAAACAATTTTTTAAACACCATTTTTTGAAAGGCTCACGATATCAGGAATAGTTTTCTTTGAAATTTCTATATTCGGAATGATTAAAACTTGCAACACGAGAATGCGAGAATCAAATTGATGAAATACCGAGAGCGGTAATGTTTGTGATGAAAAATTGTACTGGAAAAATTTGAAAACAATGTGAGCGTGTTGCTATTTTTTCGTTGTGTTTTAATGACAAATGACAAGGAGTGCGAGGATTTGATAGGGAACGCTCACGATGATTATTTCGGAGAGACTAAGGCATACCCCATAAATACAATTTCGTCTCAGTTTCTTCCTTTTTGATGAACGTAATTGGTAGGATTGAAAGCTACTCAAGCATACACAATGGAATTACAATTTGATGGATTTGTTTTACTCATCATCAAGTAAAAATTCTGAAATTTGTTTTCTCATTTCGTTTCGTGACATTCGATACCCTCGTTGAATATATTCAGGGAATGATTCATCGACATAAACCTCACTGGTAAGGTCAGTAATTGCAATATTTGCAGTGCTCTCTCTATTCTCAGTGTTACAGTAGGACAACACTCGCTTGCATCCAAAACAACAACATTGAGAAAGACTCACATTATCATGATGGAGAGAATGATTTTCAGTAACACATTGATCTTCAGAAACGTTACCGCTCTCGGTAATCCTTTCGAGACTATTTTTCAATTCTTGCACATCTTCCTCTGAAAGGAAAGCTCCACAAAGAGCACACTTAATTCTTGTTTGTTCTGGTGTCTTCAATTTTTCAATGGTTCTCAAAATAGCATGAACGGTGGATGGATAATCCTTCTGCAGCATGGATACAAAATCTTCAACAAGCCTGTAAATGGTACTTTGACGAACTCCAACCTTAGTGGTAATGTCTTTAACAAAAAGATTTTGATTCATTTTGAACCAATAAATATAAATTGCCAATTCATTCGCAAGGAAGGTCTTCATAGGTCGAATAAAGGTTATAGGTAAATCTGATGATGGATTGAACGTAGGAATTCCATTCATACTTGAATCTTCAAGTTGGATATGAAGTGGTATTGTATATCCTCGTCCCTTGCTTATTTCACTTAGAACACCAATTGCCAAACGATTTGCATTTTCTCCAGTCAATACTTGCTTGAAATTCTTCTCAGCTGCGAATTTGTAAATACAAGTCTTGACCATTTGGTTCAGTAAATCTTCATGAACACTCATTGTTTTAAATTGTTTGAAAATAAAGTCGCGCATCTTTTCAACACTTCCATCAAATAGCATGTCTTCGATAGATCGAATATGAAGTGTTTGGTTATGTTCATTCGTATTCGAGCATACAGTCGTTATTTGCTCATAAAGTCTCCTTCTCTCATCATCACTCATTCCCAACGCTCCACTAATATCTACAAAAAGATATTCCCACTTGAAATGCAATTTCCAATTTGGGTTTGGAGAGACACATTGGTTTAACATACAAAGCATTGCAGTTGAGCTAACTCCTCCACTAAAACAAACTAAAACGCAATCACCCTTTGTAATCCTTTCGTTGAGATTAATTTTGAATTGTTTGTGTGTGTTTTCAATAAAAGTTTGTTTGTTCACAGCAACTCCTCGTCTTCCTTTAATTCCTGGACCTGGATTTTCCTTATTCAGAAGCATATCCGCTTGTTTTTCTTTCTTGTTACGCTTTTTAATTGGGTTTATAAATTTAGGTGTTTTTTCCTTGTCTATGTGTTCCAATGATGTGTTGTTGTTGTTGGTTGTTGACGATGATGATACCACATCGTTGGAGGATGCTGCTTCGGAGCAACAAGGTTGAGCATCTGAATTGATGAGGTTGTCATTGCTATTGCAACAATTATTATTTGATGTTCCTGACGTCGAGTTGGAACAAGTACACGAGTTGTTATTGCTGACGTCGTTATCTTCGTGATGATTATCACACATGCTTCAGACAATATTTTTTGAGCTGCAATTTCGAAAACAATTAAAAACAAAAACCTTCAAAATTGCAATTCGTCTTCGTGTTTAATGTGAAGTGTTCTCAAGGCTTTCCATGTTGTTAATGAATAAATTGGTGAATGAACGTACAAATTATTAGGACAAAATTTTAAATGAGTGTTGGAGGTTGTCGTGGCAGTGATGAATGAATAAACTTCCGCCTATGATGATATGACATAACTAAAACATTGGCAGTGGTCATTCAAGAGCGAATCCAAGGCACAGTATTGTTTTGAATACATAATATTTTCAAAACGTAATGCTCTATCGGAAAATACATAGGTGTCAAAATTTGTGTCATCCATTGTACCACTACTACATAAAAAGAAATATATCAGCTGCAGCACCAACCATCAACATCACATATGGCTCTGGTTACTATTACTGTTGGTCATCAATTCGAATAATGTGAATAACATTCTTTTTTCCTTGAATCTGGTCTTCGAATGTTTTAAAGTCAAAGGTAAATTGGTCAGCATGAGATAGCAATATCGAAAGATCTCCCTGTTTCGTGTTTCCGCTAATTGAACCATGGTTGAGAGCCTCTTTAAATTGTCTTCCTATACGAAGAATAGCATCTTGATTTGTTTTGTCTCCAACCCAAACATTCAACCGGAATTGAGATTTACGAACAGCAACACATGCTCCTGTAATAATATCTCCATCATCAAAGAATTCACCAATGAGAGCCATAGCTAAATTCATCCACCAATCATTGACATTACATTTCTTCCTTAGGAAGGGAAACATCCATTCGCCACCATCGATATTCTTTGGGTCTTCCCACTCAGGCCGAATACCTTCTTTCATGATATAGTAGGCACTTCCGGTATCTAAAAGTGTAGGAGGTTTGATATGATTGAAAACACTCCAAAAGTCTTCAACATATTGGAAAGTATAAACGAGAGTGAACTGTGCGGAATAGTCTTCGGCACTGCTGGGCTTTGTTCCTTCTTTTGGAGGGCTGTGGTACCACAGAGACCAAGTACTTTGGAGAGGATGTTTCTGTGAGTATTCCTCTTCAACACTTTCCGCAACGTGTTGTTCATCACCTTGAGAGTTTGCATCTTCTTCACCTTGAAGCACTGAACGACTGCCACTTTTTTGCATTTTTTTTATTGAATAAAGCCGAGCCGACCTCTTTACGAAATTAAGAGTGACACAGTGGTTTAACCCGAGATTGTGGTGGCGAGTTTGTGGGCGATGGTGATGTTGTTGACTTGTTGGCCACAGAGGTTTCTCACACAAAAGGGGAGTTGCGTTGAACCACACTATGACTTTGCGTGCATCAAAAGCCATCAACAACAAACAACCCTTGTTGCAAAATACATATTGTACATGCAGAACATTTGCAACTCGTGAGAACAATAACAATATTTGGACGATACAAGATAATAAGGGACCGATAAATGGCAGCAACAACAACAACCGATGAAACTTGAAAATAAGGGACTACTCAATAACAAGCCGTGAGGGGCAGAAGTATGGAAAGGATCACGATTACGAGCGGGTGGGTGATGAATATAGTGATACTTCTTCTGATGAAGAGTCTGATGAGTCCGAGGAAATGGCATCATTGGTTCGTGTTGAATCTCGGAAAGGGCATCATTGGTTCGGAACAACACCCTACCCGAACGTTTGGAAATATTTATAATTATTAAGGATTGCTAAATATTGAGTCGGGGAACAACCATTCGAAATGCACTCACACCCGGCCACCCCTCGGGTGTTCAAGTAAATTCATCATCATGGTTGTTTCTATTTTGAATAATAATCACTGCGTATTAAAACGGTTGTTGAATCAAAAACAACACGTTTGTTCATCAACACACCTTAAAGCATTCAATTGAAAAAATAACCTCAACCTAACCCCATCTCCCCTCAAAACTTGCCAATGCAATATATTGTTGTTGACACGTGAGGGAAACACTACTTACTTATTGGTGCGTCAATAAGTTGAACTGGCATTACAAGAGCCGTGGTGGTAATGTCCTAACTCTTTGTCACGTCCATGGTGGTATGGTATTGAAGGGCCTTTTCCCCTCTTCGTCACATTATCAACACCATCTCTCTCAAACCACAACTCTTACATTGAGAAACGTGTTGTGAAATTGTTGCTAAAATGTTTGCAAACTTCTCTTCGAAGAAAAGGGTTTTAAAATTTGTGGAGTATAATGTGATTGAGAAGAGTTTGAAATTAACACCAAGCCCTTGAGCGTAAGGTGGTCTGTTGTTCTAGAATTTCATGTTGCTGGTTTGCACTTTACACGGGCTTTATGTTTAATTCAGATAAAGTCAGTGACACCTTTTTTTAAGGGCTGTTATTAGTTGAATATTAGGTCTCACAATACGGAACAAATGAATCTGAAACTAGACGGAAAGAAGCATCTACCATATGAAAATATTGGTTTCAGCATGCTTAATTGTAGAACAGTTCAACTCTGAAACAAAATTTGAAAAATGGTCGGTGTTATTATTGAGTAAAAAATAAAAGTGCGCTCGCAAAGATTCTTGTCTCGAATCTTGGTCATTTTTACTGAAGGAGTTGGCTACTCGTGACCATTTTCATTGACATTATTACTTTCTTGCAACAACAATTTCATGGAGTGAGATAGCTAATGAAGTGCTCTTTCATGAAATTATTATCAAATCCATCCAATTATTATCAAATCCATCCGTGCACACACGCATGTATATATAGTCATGGGCATGTGTGGACGTGAATGAAATATCCAATTTGTGAATGAAATATCCAACACTCTCAAATGATGGGAATGAAATATCCATCACACTCCAATGATGTGATTGAAGTTTCTGAGTGACGACTTGAATCTCTCAAGTTGGACCAATTTTCCGTGCTTGCTTAATGATCATTCATTTCTAAGGGCACAACGGGTTTGTTTGAAACTGTTGGAAGATGGGCGAGAAACTTTCTTATTTCGTCCGAATATGAAGATGACTCGTGTTCTCATTCTGTTGGCATGAAGATTCCTATTGTATTTTGTCCGCAACAATCATGTTTATTTCATTGGAGGATTGAATGGAAAATCAAGCCAGCTCTCGAGTTCAGGATACGAGGAAGCCAACCTCTTTACAACATACTCCCATACTTGCCAATGAGGTTTGGAATTTGCTATCGACAGGAGTTGAGACGGATTATCAACTGTTACTACCAGCCACGTGCCTATTATTATCAGTAACAATGAACCAAATGATTCCATATGGATGTTTCAAACTTACCATGTTGAATTTCTGATGACAGTTGTCCCTTCCTCCATGAGGCTAAACGTTGTCTTGCTTCAAGCTCTTTTAATAAATTTTCAAGATATCGATTACCCTCTTCTTCTAAGGTTGAAAGCATCTCATCATTAATAGTATCTTCAGGTTCATATTCATATTCATTAGAATCAGTACTATCGTCATATTCGTCATTTGGATCGTAGTCATCCTCAGGATTGTTTGAAAAATTATTGTCATCATCATATTCGAAAGTATCATGTGTTTGCAATGGCATTACAGGAGTAATGGTAAGAGGAATTTTTGATTTAAGTAAATTAGGGTCGTTTGGAAATGTCTCAATATTTGCCTCGAGTGATTTCGAGAACTCTTGTTGAATATGGTCTGTTGTTACTGAACTGCTTTCTGAATTGGACACAGGAGCAGTTGACACACTCGAATCACTCCCGTCACCGGCATTGGACGTTTGAGGAATATGCTCTTCTATCATGGAGGGTAACAATTGCTTTTGGTTTTTCTTTCTTTTCTTTTTTCTTCGAAGCTCATGTGCTCTCTTTCCCAAAATTGAAGCCACACGTTGCTTGTTGTCAGTCATAACAAAGCATGTTCTCTCAAAAACAATGTCCGTCAACATGGGATGAGAGACTAAAATGTGAAATTTTTTGGGTTCAACAGTATTAACGAGTGAAAATTCAACTGGTTGTGTTTCCGAGCTTTCAAAATCGTGTTGGTCATGCAATTTTCGAACAACCATAAGCTTCTTAGATTTCTCAATGTTCAAATTCATTTCACTTTGAAGTCCAAAACAAACTTCTATGGCATCATTCTTGGTAAACTTTATGCTTCCGTCCTCCACATGATTACGTATCCTGAAAACATTCTTACAAATCCTTTCAAAACTAGCGCCAGGAGGCGTATAGAAAAATGATTTTGGGTCACGATACACTTGCGAGAGAATGAATTGTCCTAATTGTGTTTTTGTCCAACTACGAGTGATGAGGTTTCGACTTTTAGTGTTCCGAGGATTTACAAGTGAAAATTTAAGTGCCGGATGTTCGTCATAACATCTGCATAATTTCAATAAATTACGATAAAGAAAACAAATAAATCGTTTCTCCTTAAGCTTTCTTTCAGAAGATACTAATGATGAGGTTTGTGATGAAACAGCAGACGCTGCTTTGTTCATTTTAATATTTTTTCAAATGAATTATTCGGTGCCTTCATCGTCATGCTCCGATGATGAATCATCGCTTGGATTGCTGTCAGTGTTGTTATAAACTACATTTGTAAGATATAGACCATGAGGAGGCACGCATCCCTTTTCTGGAAATTTGACATAAGGATGATCAATGGCATACTTGATTTGATAGGGCGAGATTTTGTTCAGCCCAACCTTAATCAAAGCATCCACCATAATTCTAACTTGATTGTGAAGGAACGATTTTCCACGAATCAAAAATCTAATTTCTCTACATTTTGCAACCGAAAAGTGTAATGGGCTCAATGTTTGGTCTTGCTCAACCGAATGCTCCTGTACATCAACGAAATGCACTGTCTTAATCCTGGATACTCTTTCAGGAAGGTCAGCTCTACAAAAGTTATTGAAATTATGTGTTCCAACAAAATATGAACATGCTTCTCGTACAGCTTCAATATTGAAATATGTATCTAGAGACATGGGTGTTCCATTAAAATCAGGTATATCGGCAAGAGAGGTTGATACTCCATTCACAAGATAGAATTGATCTTGTATAAAAGGTACTCTGTAAGAAATATCTGGTTTTGGTCCAACGAGAAGAACTCTGTATTGATATTCTCGTTCTTTAACGTTGTGGCGAGCATGAAAGGTATTGTCCTTTTGTTCACATGAACAAATCACAAGTTCTTGGTCTCTAAGATAAGAATTTACACCAAAAACTATGTTTTTCAGAGAATGATTTTTTCTTTTCTCAATTATTTCGCTATCTACATCAAAATGGCACGTATTGTGAAGGGCATGTACTCCAGCATCAGTTCGAGAGCTTCCTACCACGTAAATTGAATTTGTATTAAATAATTTTTGAAGAGCTTCCTCCATGTGCCGTTGAACAGTATTTCCTCTTGCTTGGCCTTTGTTATTTTGTTTTTGATAGCCTTCAAAATTTGTTCCTTTGTACTGAAATATTAATTTATATCGAATAGATTTGGATGTTGTTTCTTCGGAAAAGCTTTGGTTTGCAGTGGAAAATTTTCGTAAAAAATTATGGTGTTGTTCCGAACAATGATGCGTTGTAGAAAAGTGAGTATTAGCATTCAGACTTGCATGTAATCGGCGAGAAATTTTTCTAACATGATGATTGTTGAAGGTGTAAAGATACCCATGGTTTTTTAACATTTTTTAACCCAAATTCTTTTCCATTTTTTAAATTTGCATTTTATGAAAGCTGATCAATTCGTTTTTGAATAACTTTGAATTGTTCCATAACACTTTTCAAAGTATCCTTATCCATTTCAAAAAGTAAAGGATGATTTGGATCTTGTTTGGTGCTAAGTTGAACAACGGCCACGCTTTCGCTAATTTCGCTTAATCTATTGATATTAGTTTTTTGGTCTATTCTCCATTTCATGTCTGTCAAATTATTACCAAAATCTTCTTTTGACTCATTAACTAATTGTTGGTGAATTCTTGAAGAAAATTGAGTCCAGAATTTAACCCATGTCTGCACAAGATCATTTGTATTGAAAACTCGTTTTGCGTCATCATCGCTCAGTAAATGTTCTTTGAGTTGTGTTGGTGTCCAATTTTTGTAGGATGCCAATCGAATCAATTGTTTACATCTATTCACAAAATTATTTTGTTCTTCACTCAATATTTCGTTGCCGAATACTTGTTGATTCATCATGGACTCAGTCATCAAATCATCCTTTTCGAACATAATCTGGTTTAACCCTTTTAACAAAGCAAAAAGGTACTTGGCATCGATCACAAATGTGGTGGTGGATTCCTCTTCCGATGCTGTATTTAAACTTGAGTCTGCTTCATCTGATGGAGCGTGGTGTTCACCCGAAAACATTTTTTATGAATATTAAAAAATCTTTTTTGCAGCAGAAATCCACATTTGCGAATGTAGAGTGTTCATTCTTCTGATTAATCAAACTTAAAATCTTTTGGTCAATTCCCAAATCATTCTGTACTTCCAATGTCTCTCTGGAAAGAGAGTCTAGCTATTTTTGACCCAGCGTTCAGCCTAAACAAAAAATGAATAGTTTGCCAAGAAGAATCATCAAGGTACGTTTTGCCTTCGAACAACAACGTTTTTGCTTCAACTTGTGATGACTGGTTTGCGATTGTACCAACTCATTAATCTCTCTACTATTATATCGCGCACCATATCTAACCAATAATTATGTTTCCGAATTTACAATATCTGTTGTATTTTGTTAAATTGTGTTGTTGATCGTGATGATTTTCAGGAAACTCAAAAGCTCATGACTGAGCCAAGTAAGTAATAGATGAAACATTCCAAATGTGTTATAAATCTTACAATTGGAACTTGTCCGATAATTTGATGAAATAATATTTAGTTTCGGGAATAACTGCCACACCTGCTGAGGATAATATGCGTTATTTTAATGTCTCAATCGAAGGACCACCACACACTCCATACGAAGGTACGGACCGTGGTTTTTTATATTATTTAATTTGATTTTACGCTATTGAATTATTACCTTTTGAAATAACATTCATTGTATTACCCATGTTGATGACATTGATCTTACACAAATGAATATTTGAAATCGTAATATAATCACAAAAGGTGGCTTGTTCAAATTGGAGTTGTTCCTTCCTGATGATTATCCAATGTCTGCACCAAAGGTCAGATTCTTAACGAAAATTTATCACCCAAATATTGACAAACTAGGAAGAATATGTTTGGACATTCTTAAAGACAAGTGGTCTCCTGCATTGCAAATAAGAACTCTTTTGTTGAGTATTCAAGCCTTGATGTCATCTCCAAACCCTGACGATCCATGTAAGTTTTATTCAATATGAAAGAGTAATTATCAATCGATTTTAAATAATTTCAATGTTCACAGTGGCCAACGATGTTGCAGAGGATTGGAAGAGAGACCAAGATCAAGCTTTGAAAACTGCTAAAGAATGGACAATGAAGTATGCCAAGTAATTGTCAATACCTCTAACCATGTGGTCACAATGTCAAGGAGCATAAGAGCTCTTTAAAATAAACCAATGTAAATTTATCTACCAAATTAGAAAATTTGTCGTATGTATTGTCAGTGTTAAAGATGGATATTCTTGTACTTCCTCAAATAAAGAATTCCCAATTTCATATCACCTTCAAACAAGAATACCATAAAAGCAATCTTGTTCGGCATTGAAATTCGTCCGCGCTTAATCAAATCTTCTCCAATACAGTACATAGGGAGCCATCAAACTCCATCCATACATTGCAATTGTGAATAAAAGGAAGAAAGCTTGCACACCGAGCTCAGTCCATCCATGAAAATCTTGGAAAAATGTTGTCACATAGCACGAGCAAAGTGCCATAAAGACATGGAAGAAAAAGTAGCTGTTGTTGAGCGAACTGTCATTCTTTACAAAATCATGTTGTTCGTCCTCTTCTGGCTCTTCTCCGTACCACAAAAAGTGAAGTAAGAATTGAATTCCGGTTGTCGAATAAATTGAACTGTAAATAGCAGCGACCGTGGTGAAAAGCATGGCCTGTAAACACGTGTTAAAGATTCAATAATACAAATACGAGATACTTACTGCCAATGTGACGGGATAGCCTCCTGATAGGGAGCACATCTTGTCGGTTATTGGCTTGCTAACAATGACGTTCAATGATATTGTTGCAATGTAGAATGTTATCATGCTTCCACTAAACAGTGAAGAATGCTCAGTGAATAAGGATGCAATTAGCAAAATAAAGCTGAGAATACAAGTGAATATCGTCACATAAAAGTTCAATAAACATCCAGAAGTCTTAAATCCGCTATAAAACTGTTTTTGTTTCGTTAAGGAATTAAGGAAAATTCGAAAAATATGATACATACGAATGAAGCTACAAAAATGGCTACAGTTGAGACAATGAAAATGCAAGAGATTGATATCAACGCCGTATCCCTAAACGCAACCATGAGCTCGTTTCCACTGAAAACAATTTGAAACTTACCATCTCCAATCATCCTCCTCTTGCCAACTTCTTCCCCATCTGTATGCAAAATCAATGATAAAAATTGATTGAAGAACCATGAACACGAATAGTAAATATTTTGATGATGTAACGTAAAAGTTAATCACTGACTCTGGGATGAGAGAATATGGTGCTGCAAGGCAAAGTAAAAAGAGAGGAATTTTCACCTTAAGAAAATGCATCGTTTGCAATTGATTCTTTGTTCTTGGAGAAATTCTCACAAGAGGAGAGCATAGTACGGCGTGAAAGCCAAAGAACATCTAAATTCACACAGATAGATTAATGTTCAAAAGTTGGTTGGACCACTTACAGTGAGAGAAATGGCAATGAAATGAATAACAACAGGAACATCTTCTAAACCACCGGGCAAACCTAAATGTATCAGTAAAGGATTTAAACTCTTCTTTCCAGATTGATACAACAAACTCATCAAAAATCCAAAAATTACAAATAAACAATATTTGATTTTTGTATAAATCACTTGATATTTTGGACTCAAAGGCTTGTAGTCCTTCAATCCAAATTTATAAAGCATTTCACTCATGGTGTCAGAAAAAGTAATTTCCTCTTCTTCCCGATTTCTGTTCTGAAACTCTTGTAATATCTTTCTGTATTCAATTTCATCCTTGTTTGTATCGGGGTCATGTTCTACAACTTTCAATAATCGACGCTTCATTGGTGTAGTGAATGTTACCGTGGTGAATGATGATTCTGTATTTTGTGATGATGTTGTATAAATTGGTTCCGATGAACACAATTTTGGCCACAAAGACTTCAATTTGTTTTTTTAAAATTGTTTGGCGCGTAAAAATAACGTTGGAATCCACATCAAAAAATTGTCTCCACGTAGTTGTTGTGTTTTGGATGTTTTAAATAGAATCAAAAGACGTAATCATCATGATGAATAACAGACAGTCAAAAAACAATTATATTAAACCCACTATACCTTTGATTCCGAATTTAGAGGTTGCAAAAGGATTTAAAGATCCATCGGAAACGATTAGGAAAAGAAACCAGCAGTCAACAACAAAGAAATCAAACAAAGCCATTCCAACACAAGCACATTCTTCAACATTGGATTCCAAAAAGAATGATAGTGATAGCTCATCAACTGTTGATGCTGGTGCAAGAAAACGAGTGAAAAAAATTTTCACTTTCAACTTTTCAAATCCGAACAACATTGAAAATGAAGTAATAATAGAAGAACCTAGTGAACATTTCTCAAACCTCGAGCTCATTCATCGAAAATTAACAAATCACCAAATTAAGGAATGTGTAGCGCCTTATTCATTTGTATCTCTGAACAAGTTATACCAAGATTGTGTCACCAAAGACGAGTATGACACTTATAATCTCTATTCTAATTGGTGTACAATATTTACCATCATGGAAGAACTTCCTTCCTTAACTTGCCAAGCCAAAGGAATTGAATTTAATATTTGGAGAGTCTCAGACAATTTGAATGACATGTGTGCTGTGTTGCTGGTTCCAATCTCAGAAAATACCAATCCAAACAAAAAAGAAAACATTGAAGAACTTGCTAGAGGCCAAGTGGTCATCCTGGCAAATCCCATAATATTGCAAATTAATAGAAAAGAAACAGATACAGATGTTAAGAACAAAAACTCAACACTCAGTACTGAATCGAGTCCAGTTGCACTTGTGGCAGAGACAAAAACAACTTCATTCAAGATTATTGGAAAAGCTAAACATTATGGAACATGTGCATATGTTCCTATTGATTTTAACAAGTATACAGGAAATAACTTGAAGCTTTTGAGCATGTTAAATGAAAAGAAGAAGAGAAAGCATAATGATGATGACGATGTGAACGAAAACAGTCTGGTCTCACATCAACCACAAAGACCAATGAATTCATCCTCCTCATCCAAACAACCTCACTCCTTTTGTTCATGCCCGATTAATACGGCTGTGAGCAGATATTGCCTCTACCATTTCAATAAGAAGATGAACGAAGTGCAAAATAGTAGAGTTGAATGCAATGGGTATGTTAACAATTTATAAGATTACATGGTGATTCACAATTGGAATAATGACCACACGTTTTAGCTCAAACATAGTGGATAAAGTAGCAAATGCGTATGAAAAACCCACAGTGTACAATTATTTTGGAGTTACCTTATTCATTGATCCAACAAGCAATATCAAGAAACTGGCAAGAACTCACTCGGATGAAAAACCAAAAGACCTGCCTGAAATGACGAAAAAGAAACCAAAACCAAAGGTTGAAGGACAAGTCACAAACGCCATTGTGTAAGTACTACTAGGAGATACGCTCGAATTATCATGGAATCTCTCACTTATTCAGTGACCACCTGGCAACCAATTCTAGAAGCGCAAAATATTTTGTTGCAGCTAGATCCGCTTTGATCAAACAAGACTTACTTTCCAATGCTAAGACAAAGAATTTAACTGATAAACAAATGAACCTTGTTGCCCGAAATGCGGTCATGAAAACGATGGAAACTGCCCAAGAAAAATCTCAGCCAAATAAGAGAAAGGTAGTTGAAATTGAAATGTCAGAAAGCGAATCAGATGATGAGAATTAAACTATAATTCTGTTTCATTGACTTGATTTCAAATGAGTTTTGTAATCCTTAATTTTCGAACAAAAAGCCACGCATTTTCTCACCAAATCGTAGCTGATAAAATCGCTGATAATGTACACAATTTTGTAAAATCCTGTGTCTTAAAATCCGTAAGGATGTTTTTCCTTAATGCTTTCTTCAAAAGCTTGGTCCTTCATTTCTTGTTCCTTTCTCAAAAACTTATCCAAATCAATGTCGCCATCTAAATTTTCGGATGCTACTTGATTGATCGAGACGGATGTTGAGCCTTTGTTATTTTGATTATTCAATAACGATGACGGCTTTGTACAATCAAATCTTACTGCACTTGTATGCGTCGTTACTTGTTTTCCACTTTTTTGCAAAACGAGAGAAATAGCATGTTCGGGCAGCTCTTCGTATCCTTCCATCGTATTGGAAACTCCTCCTTCATTTTCATCATCATGATTATTATTTATAATTATTCCATCCATCAATAATTCTGAGGAATTTCTATTGCCACGAGCTCCTCCTAGTTTATGAAAATAATCTCGATCTGTAATTTTTCCGTTATTTACTATCGACTCAACACTTGATGATTGTTCAATCAAAGTCGCTGAAGGAGCTTGTTTAATATTCCTCTCTTCAGCCTCGGATAGTGGTTTGTAATAACACGTATAATAGCCTGCTCCAACACCGGCCGAAAACAGAGCAATACCTCCGAAAATGAGTAGTTCCATTTTTTAAGTTGTGCACTACAATGAAGTTGCAACTTTAGAGAGCAAATTCCTTTCATGTGCTTTCAACGCTTTTGTTTTTCAAATTGATGTTATCAGAAGACGTTGACTACTGCCGTAACGCTGGCACACCTCTCGAACATGTATTGGAAAACATTGAGTTCAGAATTCCCAAACGGTCCCTAAATTAGTTTTGAAATAAAACTGCCAAAGGTCCCATAAAGCTTTTACAAAAAAAAGCCTTTCTTGTCTCTTTCCCGTTCTTTACCATCACAACACCTTGTTGCATTCTCATACATGCTACCATCTCCTTTGAACACGATGAAAATCTGTATCTTTTCTGATTCGGATTCTAAACAAGAGGAAGCAGAACCCAACAGAGATTATACACGCATGGATTCATCTTCACCACCTCCTAGTCTTGACGATTCTTCTTTGCTTCCACTCTCAACGACTCTCTTCCGAAGTGAAAGTAAAATGGACAAACACAAGGAAGAGCATGACGAAAAGTATTTGCCATCATCACGATGTGTCAATCAGGTCATAGACCAAATTTCACAAATGAAACTCTTGCCTCGAAAAGCTGCTGCAATTTACATTGATCTTGACAATTTCCCAATTCGTGCAGACTCTTATGCAGACTATTCGAACCTGTTGGAGGAAATAGAAAACAAGTATCACTTCAAAATCATTTCAAAGAAAATCTTTGGTGATTTGATGCAATTCTCAAAACTTCCAGTGGAATTGCAATATTCTCATCAACTCATTAATTGTCCTAAAGTGAATTCTAGAAAAAACACGACTGATATTGCTCTCGCCATTGACATTGTTCGTGACTTGGAACGAAAGAAAAATTTTGAGTGTTTTATCATTGCGTCGAGTGATTCTGATTTTGTTCCAGTTGTTAGGGCAATTATTGAAGAAGGTAAGGAATGTTGGCTGTTGCCCTCACACACAACACCGCATGAAATTTTGACTGGGTTATGTACAGGGGTGTTGCAATGTGGTAACATGTTAAAGAAACCTAATATTGGTTGTGAGCCCACAAGCCCCACAACAACATGTGAAGAAGCCGAGCCTGTATCTTCAAGCCCAAAAAATACAAAGGCTTCATCTCCCAAGTTGTCTCCAAGAAAAGAATCAAAGAATGGTGTCACCCCTTCACAAAATAGCCTCATTCTTGAATCTCCCGTAACAAGCATGAAACAGGTCAACTCACTCTCAGCTTTAAGTCAATTATTGAAACCAACCAAGAATACTGATCTAGATATAACCAAGAATATAATTACTAATATCGTGAAGAAATTGTACTTTTCAGGAGCCTCAACTTTCAATATGTCGTTCATTCATGAACGTCTAAGGGAAAGAGGAGTGCTGTACAAATCTCTAGGTTATTCATCTTTCAAATTATTATTTGATGAATGGAAACAAGAACACCCACAATTCAAATTATTAACAGATCCAAAGAACGGGGAACTGATATTTGCCAATCCAATTGCGGTGCTCAAGAAGGTAGAAAGTCTTCCAAATGTATCATCAGCTGATGTCACAAAAATATTGACTAACCACAATGTTTCGCTAAAATCCTTTTCAAAGAAGGAAGTTAAGAAAGCGATTACCGAAATTGTTCTTGAACTGAGAGACAATGTTTCATCCTTCAATTTGTCATTTGTACACGAACGGCTTAGAGAAAGAGGAATTTTCTACAAAGCCTATGGCTACGAATCATTTAAAGAGCTATTTGATGAGTGGGCGCAAGAACATACTTCTATTCCACTGGGTGTTAAAAGAAGTAGCGGCGAGATGGTCTTTTTGTGAACCAAGGCTGCACTGATATATCAGTTGTTGTAAATAATTTGTCTATTGCACAACCTTTGTTTGGATATGCTCAATAGAATTGAAAAATCTTAATTCCTGCTCTTTGGTTTCAAATTTAAGAAAACCTGTTGAATTTTATAAATTTGTAAATAGTAAATTTGTGAATAATAATACCACTCACCGATTTCAAGTTCTTTCAAATTTGGAGATATTGAAACCAGTTTTTCAGTCCACTCATTGCTGACTGCAGATAATTTCTCCCATTTTGTTGTAACTATTTGAATGTTGTTGTCATCATTAATATTAAGCAATGGAGAGCAATAAGAAATGTCAATTTCTTTTAAATGAGCAATTTTAGAAAGATCTAGCTGTTTCAAATTATCTGATCGCCGTATATTAAGTTTTTCCAATGTGGAAGGAATATATTGAACGTCATTCGAAGAGAACAAGGTATCCTATTTTGATATTTCACATGTTCCAACGTTGCAAAATTTCACATGTATCATACTAACCTGAATGTAAAGCTCTTTCAAATTTGAGAAATTATTTAGAAATGAAAAGTTAGGAATAGCCAAGCAACCAGAGACATCCAACGCTTCCAAAGACGTGCAGCCTGTAGAAATATGAAGCAATCCATACAATCCAACATATGGACATTTCGACAAATTCAAATATTTCAATTTTTTCATTTTTGAAATATATCGTTCACATAACACGTCATGAATACTTGTACTATATCGTAATTTGAGATAGACTAAATTTGGGCCACACTTTTTTGAAATATTCAGAAATGCGTTCTCTTTCAAGTAATTACATGCAGTAAGGTCAATGGTATCCAATAAATCCGAACAAGAGTTGGTCAAATGTTCAATTCTTGCATTGGTAATCATTTTGTTAAAAGCGTCATGTTGTTGAGCGTCCAATACTTGAAACTTTTTCAAATATTTGGCATTGCAAACGACATGATCGAGTAATTTTTCTAGCATTTGATTTCTAGCTTCGTATAACTTGTTCGACCTCACGATTTGAGAGTACATGTTTTTTTGTCCTTTGGGTCCTGGAGTAGACTGTTGTAGATCCACGTCCTTTCCTGATATTAAAAACTCTAAATTTTCATCGTAGCGAAATTTAAAATCGTTCAATAAATACCAAGCACAATATCTCCATGTCTTACAAACATTGGCACATCGGAAATAGACAGTGTAGTTATCAAGATGAGAAAATATTTCAAACAAGACATCAGACAGAAATAATGGGTAGATGTAAGAATGTTGATATTTATCACTATCGAGAGGATGATGGGAAGTGGTCTCAAACACCGAGTTATATCGGTAAAGGAATGAATAAAGTGGTTTGTGCGAGAGATATTGACCCATATTTTTGAAGATGGAACACAGTGAAACGATGTGCCCAAGATTCGTGTTCCGCTGCCGTCCGTGAAGGACAAGTCACTGGTGAAATATTATTACAAAATTTATTTACAGTTGTTTGATCGTTAGATTCACAGGCTTTCTATTTACAATTAACTTGAGATGATATTGACCTCAATGTCTTAATGAAACAAATGACGTGACATAATTATCTCTTATCATCTCGTGAAGGTTTGAACAAGGCATAGATGCCAACGGCAGCCAAGGCAGTGGCTCCCAACACACCAACAACAGCAGCACCAACTGTCCAATCCTCTTGTTGCTGTTGAATAGCAGCTGCTCTTCTAAGTTCTTCTTGTTCTCTTCGTCTTCGTTCTTCCAAAATCTTGGCTTTCTTTTCTTTTTCCAACTTGATGCGAAGCTCGGCTTCTTGTTTTCGTTTTTTCTCTTGCTCCAAAGTTGTTTTAACTGTTGAATAAATTTGTTCATTGTCACTATCAAATGAAGAGAGCTGATCCAGCATGAGGTTTAAAGCTGAAGTTAGTGCAGTGTCTTCCGTGTATGTCGTTGTTGTGGAGGAGCCATTTAAATTTGCATGAGCTAAAAACTCTCGTGTCAAATAGTCACACCAAGCTTGCGGTGTTGTGCTATGACTATCCATACTAATCTTGATCTTGTATTTTAACATCATCATGTCTCTCCAGCATGAAATTTCATGTTTATCAATGACTTGTAAAATCTCATGCACTACTTCCAAACATTCATTCAGACCTCTCTTTTCTACAATTCTCTTCTCAACAAAGTGTATGACTTTTGAAATATTCTTTTTCATGGCAAGATGAATGAGGTTCTTAGTGCTGTAGTTTGGAATTAAATTCTTGGTTTCCAAGCGTTTCTTTGTGATCGGACAGGTATTGTGGGTTTGCAACCATTGTGTGATAGAAGTTCTATCAAATGTGATTCCGCTCTCCGATAAGATCACTGGATCGCTCATCAAAACATGACTAATAGGACATATATAATGATCATCCTCAAGATTGTCCTTCCACTTGTTCAACTTGTTGATTTCGTGCTCCGAAAGCACACCATGATTATTTGAAGAAAATCTACGCGATGTTATGGATCCAGATGTTACAATGCTCGAGGAAGTGGATGAACCAACAGGATGATTACATGATGCCGTTGGTGTTGAGATATTCGAATGGTCTCTGTTATTGGTCGATGATGTTGTTTGTTGCATTTTTTAAAGACTTTTTTGGCAACCAATCGTCTTTCGTTGGCGTTGCGAGAACATGCGACAATTCATTATCGACCTGTTCGGTTAATTGAATGGATTTTCAACAGGTTGTTTGAAAAAGCCTTGTTGCACGACAATTTAGGAGGGATGCATTGGACGAATTTTTGTTTTGTAACAACCATCAATGAACCAGCTGAAGCCAATTGTTGACAGGGTTGTTTTGCAGGAGGAAGGGCCTTAAGAACATTGAGAGTGACAGAACTTGTGCAAAGATTTAACACCAAAATTGATGTGCATGGTGAGTTCCTGTGGCCGTGATAAAGAGTATAAATTAGAATCTCACGAGCAGCCTTCATAATTTCATGTAAAAAAAAACAAGATGAATAATAAGGTTGTATCATTCGCATTGCTCTTGTTGAGTGTCGCGTTGGCAGCAGCTGTTGTTAACGGATTGGAAATTAATTCAAGTCAGCTCAAGCAAATCATGCCAAACCTTCCAAAGTCAAAAGTGGCACAATACACACAACTCGTGAACGATGCAATGGCAGAGGGAAGTATTGATACTTGTTGTTCAATTTCTGCTTTCTTGGGTAGGTGTTTGGGATGACGCTTGAATCTTCTTCATAACTGAATTGCATGCATCAAATGAAAAATGTTTTTTATCAACATGATGAATGTTGAAATTTACTATAATAACAACAACAATCATGAACAGCACAACTTGCTCACGAGTCTGGAGATCTCAACTGGTTAGTCGAATTTGCCAGTGGAAAGGCTTACGAAGGAAGAAAGGATTTGGGAAATGTTCATCCAGGAGATGGTGTTCGTGTAAGTGGCAAATCATCTTTTTTAACAACCTGTACTCATTGTGCTTCTTCTACTTTTGATATCATATTGTTATGATTTTAAGTACAAGGGACGTGGTCCTATTCAAATTACCGGTAGAGCAAACTATCGTTCAGCTGGTCAGGCTCTTGGCATTGATTTGTAAGTTGATTCATTTTGAAATGCAGGTGTTTAATAGGCCTAATCACGACGTTTTAGAGAGAATCAACCTGAACTCGCCCAGACCCCAGCCATCGGTTTCAAGACTGCTGTTTGGTTCTGGAACACTCGTTCTTTGAATTCTTATGCTGATTGTAGTCAAGCAAACTTTGATAAGATCACAAGAAGAATCAATGGAGGTTACAATGGAAAGGCAGATAGAGATCATAAATTCGCAGCTGCTAAGAGTGTTTTGGGTTGTTAATAATAAATATTGATGGCTCGCCCTCTATTGATGGAATTCATAATTTTATTTGTTGATTTCCTTATTTAAATCAATCGTTTAATAATTATTATTATTACAAATAATTTTTGGATAACACTTGTAATTTAGTGTTAAATAGTTCTAATTGTTCCTTTGTCAAGGTATTCTGTGAATGATTAGGTTCTGAAATGGTCCATGAAAAAGGTGGTGCAGAAAGTATATCTGAAATCCTTTCTGCTGCTTCAAGATGACTTGAGAGAATGTTCTGTTTCAAAAAATCAATAATTTCAGGTAAATTGCCTTGCTCCACTTTTCCAGAACAGTTCATGATTAATTTCACAGAATCCATGTGAGCCTCATCTGTTGAATCACGATTCCACACCGAGTCACGAGAATCAACGACAGTCAGTTTCCCACTTTCATCTTTGGTCACTCCCTTCTTCTTGTTGTGTGTTGGATGTTTCCAAGAAGTTTCACCAGTGGCAGGATTAAAATAATAGAATTTTCCTCTTGTCTTGTCGAGAACTTCAATCCATCCTTTGAGACTTTGTCTTTGTGAAGAGTTGCTCTGAACTTCAACATTTTCATTGGCTTTCATAGTGAAACTTCTCTTTGAGAGCAAACTTGCTCCTAAAGGTGTACCTCCACCAGAATGATCACCTGGTGTGTCATTTCCTGAGGAAAACTTGCTCGCTGCAGTTTGAGATTGTGTTCTCTTGAGTGGTAATCTTGGAGAAGGAACCGATGATTCATCCGTGTCAACATCGGTCTCACCCAAATGATTGTTGTGAGTGTCAATGGAGGACACGGATGGAATGGTTCCATTCTTTGCGACACCAGATTTTACTCTTCTCCATTCTTCAATTTCATCTTCGGTGAGTCGTTTGCCTTGTGCTTGTCTACTATCTAAATCTCCTGGAAACAAGTCATCTGCATGTTGAACAAGGAGTTCACAAACAAGATTGATCTTTTCCAAATCGACGAGCATTCTTTGATCGTCTTGAACTTTTGTTCTCATCAAATTGGTTCCAAAACTTCTACTAATGTTGCTAGCATTCATTTTAGTCTTTTCTTCATTGAGAGCAATTTTGCGGAATAATTGACATAGTCGTCCAAGAAGATTGTAATTTTCAACTGGGAGTTTGTTAACGAGTGCTTTGAGCTCTTGCTTTTGCTTTTGTTTTTGCTCATTGTTCGTTGCTACACTTTTGGCAATTGCAATAAAGTCGTCATACAATTCAAAGGTCAATAAGGGTTGTGGCAATTCTCTTGCATACTTTTTCAAAACACCACAAAGTGTATGTGGTTTGTTCACAAGCTCAACATGATCAAGATCCACAGTTTCACTTGTGTTGAGTTTTTCTGCCATGTCTTCCATGCCCTTGGTGTGACCTGGAACACGGAACAGACCTTCACTTTCTAAATAATTGTTCTCAATATAGTCAATGAGTTGTTTGATTTTCTTTGGAACTCCAAATGGTTCACCAAATCTCCTCAAAACTTCCTTCAATTCAACACCAAAGAGAGTTGTTTCATCAGATCGGCTTGGCATGTTTTGTGAAATAATATGTTCCAGAGTGAATTGAGTAAATATTTGATTCGACTTGGGTGTGAGAGCATTATTAGAGTTATTGACGTGGGACGTAGGAGCTGAAAAACTAAATACTCCATTCTCAAATTGTTGCTTAATTGCCGTGTCAATATGTTTTTCCATTGCTTTCAAGGCCTTATTACAATTTTCATAGTATTCCACAAATGCATCTTTCATTTCTAATAATGACAAGAAATATTTGATATTTCGTAATTGTTTCTGATAGTCAGTTTCTGCTTCTAAAAAGTTATTTTCTTTTGCTTCTTGCAATTTGTTGTCACTTTGAACTTCTGAGAGCTCTTTAAGATATTTTTCCTCAACCACTCGATTCTGATCATGAAATAGCGCATGATGACGTCAACATCTGGTTAAAATCATCTGTAACAAGTATGTCATACTTACCAAAATATTTCTAGCACTTGAAAAGATTTTAAAGCTTTCTCCGAATTGTTCTGCCAACACCTTCAAATGTCTTGCATGAATATCTCCCTGTTGCAGTTTGTGTGAAAAATTTACCAATTGTTGACCCATCAACTCCTCAGTTCGTCCTAATTCAGTTGACTCGTTCAAGAGACCTTTGAAACCATTTTGACAAGCTTTGTAGTGGATATGAGTTGCTTCAACTTCTTGAACTTTGGCTTCCACTCGTTGTTCAAATTTTAAAGGACTATTAACAACATTGGAAATATTGTGATACAGATTGGCAGAAGGAGCTGTTCCTCCAACTGTAGTACTACTTCCATTCGAATTGCTGCTACTACTTGCATTTACATTATTGGTTTGAATGACTGATGGTGTTGAAGAAGACATGAGAGCTACGACGTCTTTAATAGTACCCGAAGTTCCTGTCACGATAGTATCCCTAGGCTCTGAAATGGTTGGAGTTTGACCTGGAGGTGAATTTGTTCCTCCTCCCTGAACAATGTTATTACCACTCGAAGAAAGATCAGAGGTCGAAGAGGATATCGATGTATTCGAAGGTGTGTTACCAGAAGTTGTTGTCTTTTTACCTCCTCCGCTAAATAATTTCTTCATTTCCAATGAAAAGAATGTATATTGGTGATGTTTGTTGTTGTTGTTGTTGAAAGAGTGTTACGAACGAATCTATGGGATGCTTTTTCTCGTGTCAAGAGCGAAAAGTAATAATTATTGATGATGTTGTTGTTGTTATTGTTGAAATAAAGAACGAACACTGTCTTCAACACTATGATCTGATAAAAAACGCACAAAGGAAATATATCAAACGTCTTTGATGATCCGAGTGAGGATAGACAAAGTATTTTGTGCGTTCTACTCGAGTCAAAGATGTAAAATAGATTTTCCAAATGATCATCAAGGAGATTCAATTTAAATAAACATGATGAAATGTATAATCATGAATTGCAGGCATGCCCCGTTGGTGAAATGTTGAGATCAGAATGCGTTCACAAATTATTGAATTGCAACAACGGTATGAATGATCGTGGAATTAATGATAATAATTTCGTTGAATCATTAAAATTAAAAAAACAATTGCAATGACCTACCAATGCGGTGATTGGGAAAGGCTTATTGTGCGTGATGAATTTGCAACAACTTGTCTCTTGGTGACGGTTGAAATAGACGGAGGCTGTTTTTTTGGTGTGTTGGACGCTTGGCAATTTTGTTGTCAAAAAAATTGACAGCTGATGGATGCAGATGTGTAGCCAAATGGAATTTTGTGATCACAGAAACGAACGTATGGGCCAAAGACTTCCATTGTGACAGTTGTCTGGTGATGCATCTTTCACTCGATGGACGCAGTTGTTGTATCATTTGAATTTGGTCACGTATTGGTTTTTCTTATTTCACAACAAATACAAATAACAGAAACGCGACCCAACTTTTATGTGAACAGAGCTTATCCGAACAAGCATAAAATATGGCAAGGCATATCTGTAACATAAAATCACCACACAAAACAGTGTTTGGATTCAATCTGGAGTGTCGTCACCATTTGTTTTGGTTTTTACTGGACTCAGCAGAGTTGTAATATTCCAATTCGCGAAAAGGAATGAAGAAATTCGAAGAAAGTGTCATGTCTCTCAAATCATTCTTGTCGCTCATGGTGCTTTTATTAGTTTCTCAATTGTTCAATGTGGAGGACGTATGATGCTGTTGCTGCGTTTCCATTAGCTTGACTGTCTATTTATTAGAGGAAAAAACACAATGAGATGATTGAGTTGCCGAACGTGCCAAAAATCACTCGGCCGAATTGCTTGCGGCATTCACCCGCCAACAAAAAGACCAAAATGCCAAAGAAAACTGCTGAAAAATCCGGAAATCAGAAGAAAACCAAGAAGAACAAGACAGTTAAGGGCGTTGAGAAGAAGACACAAAAACAACTCAAGGAAGTAGTTGCTAAGGCAGCATGTCCAATAAAATCAACAATCCGCGTGTAGAACCAGCTAGTGCAATCAGGGTCTTTGACCTTAAACGGTCAGAAGAAACGATCATTCAAAAAATCTTCAACATGGTCCAACAGTCCGAACGAGATGAGTTTGATCCTTCCACAGATGCAGAGTTATCAAATTTTCGTTATTCAATTTTGCTTAAACCCCTCCCTAGCGGTTGGTTAGAAGCATTTCAAAATCATCCTGCAGAAAAAGCTGCTGTCCAACATACGTTTTAGAGCATTCTCACCTTCTGAGTGCACAGCCCAATTCTACAACAACCCTTCAGAGTTGGCGTGTAGCGGATCTTACTGCGACCCGCTTTTTGATTTTTGTGCACTCTTTGATAATTGTTATAGAAACAAGTAAGTTGAAAGTTAAACATTTCGTACTCATTTTATAAAAGGAACGTTGGCATTGGAGATTGCACAATGCTATCCCGTTCGCTGGATTTTATGAAAAATATTGTTGGAAATCTTAAACCAGATGATATTGTCTTCCATAAACCTGGAAATCATTATTACATTTCATTGTTAAGAGAAGACAAAGTTGAAAGTTGTCATCATTTAGTACACCCCGATTTACCAAAATTGACTTTAATGTCTCGAATGTCTCATTCCTATTGTATACATCAGTTGCTTGAAAAGTGGCACTCAGATATTGCCACCATTGGATTAACTACTGACAAGGAAAAAGCAAATGTGTACGCGTTATACTCTGATATTGGACAGTCTATTAGTGGACAATTTAATCTTGATTATTCAATAAGATTTTTAGGAAGCTTTTTTCATAATCACATCTCTCATAGGATTCATTTAGTTGCTCTCATTTTGATAGCCATGAAGAATATCCATCACCAAGAAATGGCATCTAATTTGAACACCAAAAGCGTCACTTCCAGAGGTACGATAGGGTCCGCTGAGGCTTCTTTTAAGAAGAAACTCTCTGTTAGTATTCGAGAAACGACGTACTGGTTTATTCCAGACAAAACATTTAATTCAATTTCACGTAATGACAAAATTGTTCAGAAAGGACTGTTAAAATTGGACACAAATAATGAAAGCCAGGTCTTGGAAACCATTCTCAAAAGATGCAGTCACAGAACAGAACAATACAAACATTACAAGCAAAGTAATGAGGACATTGTATTTAGATATTCGTTCATCAACACATATCCTCAGTTTGAGTGGCATTCCTCTACAAGATTATATCAACAGATTAGAGCTCAAAGATGTGAAAAAAATGACGTACCATATTTTGTGCCAAATTTCATTGCTGGAAAGACATAGATTCATTCATAACGACGTGAAACTAGAGAAAATTGTAAAATAAGATCATCATTTCTTTCTTATTGATTTTGAAATATCAAAGCGGTTTGACTACAATAATGAATATAAATTATCGCAGGGACAATGCAAGAAGGATGGAAAGATATTGACATCTCAATCCCACACCCCTGGCTATCAAGCACCAGAGAGAAGGGAAAAACAACTTGTTTCCCCAAAGAGCGATTTGTATTCGCTTGGAATTGTAATTCTGCAGTGTCTTGGGCTGGATCATGAATCCCAAGACTTACCAGAAAAGTTGGTAAACCAACTTCAAGGGCATGATCATTTTAAGCAGGTCATAAACAAGCAGTCATATAATGTCGACTTGGATTGGGATTAGAGATAAATATCACATTTTAAAAATAACTGTCTCTCGAGCAGCAATCATTCACAATTAAAGGAAGGAAATATTAAAGGAGCCTCCTTTTATGGCCATTTTTGTTGTCATTAATTGCGAGGGCTTCTCTTCAATTAAACAGTGACGAAGGTTGAGTAATGAATGTGATCAACGTCATTTACCCTAATCCCCAATAGTCTCCTCTTGCTCTTGTGTATTTTCAGTGCGACTGACTGGATTTGAAAAAACGACTGGAGAGCCAAGAATAGCTTTCTTTGTGACGTGTTTTTTTGAAAATTTGTGAAACAAGTATGGAATGGCAACTACTGCAACCATGGTCAATATAATTCCCAATATTTCAGCAGCACCTTCGTCCCCTTGTGAGATTGAGGAAAAATCCATTGACACTAAACTAGCTACCACCAAAATTAGATATCCAATTAAACAAATATATGACATGCCATTCACAAAATATTTCCATAAAAACAAATGCTTGAAAATCCAAACGTCCTCTAAATATATCCAAATATCGCTGAACTCATTTGATGGCATCACATAACCAAAGCCTGAAATAATCGAATAAATGAATAATATTACAGAGAGGGATGAAATGGTTGTAAGTATTAGTTGTGAGGTTACTGGATAATTCTTAAAAATTTTGGTAGATACAGAGTTGTGTTTGTTAGATGGTTTTAAGACATAATTGTATCCGCACTTCGAGCAACTCTTAATGGATTCGTTTGCCATTCTCTCATTGAAAAAGCATCTGTCTCTACAAATATATCCAGGACAGTTACAGGTGCTCACTATTTTTCTAGTAAGCAATTCTTGTAAACTCTGCACACCTTTTCCACACGATCGACATTTCCTTGACCTAATCATCCATTTCAACATTAACTGTTTGCATTCAGAAAGGTTTGTAAAATTTTGAAAGGCAATATCATCATTGTCTTTAACGATTGTATTATTCGCATTTGATTTGTTCCGTTTCTTGGGTGCCTGTTTGGTCTCTTGTTTTAACAAAGGACCAAGTTTTTCTTTAAATTGTGTAATCATAAATTTCCAAATATCTACAGTGTAATCATTGTTATGAATTTCATTCTTGTTCTTTGATGAACACGTATTTGAAACAATCTCATCGGTGAGAGAAGGAGAAACCAATTCAAACCACGATTTATCGACAAGACCTGCACCTCTGGCAATATCAGGGATCGGAAGAAAACTCAGAATGTGTGTTTTCATTTCCGAGGGCAGCCTTTCCAAAAGGTTGTTGTGTACTCCATTTCGAGTCATTTTTTGTTATGGTTGTTAATCCTTCCGTATGAACCACGTGGTGTCAAAGATTAATGGATCGTTGTTGTCATGTACTTGAACAGAAAAAATGTCTTCATCTCACAACATTGCGACCTTAGCAGGAGGTAATTATTCAAATCATCAATTTGATCAGATTTTAATTTTTTGGATCAGGTTGTTTTTGGTGCTGTAAGTTGTTTCCATATGGTTCTTGTCATTAACAAGGTGATGAATGATCAGTGGAAGCAATTTTCCAACGTGTTAAAGGAGTTGAAAAAGTGGTTTCAGGTATGTCCATCCGTAAAATAATTTCAATAATAATCAATATGAAATTGCGTGAATATTATCTGTCTATTCGCATGACAGGATATATGGGAGGTCAAATTGCCAAGCCAACCTATGAACAAGTATGCAAAGGAAATACAGGACATGCAGAGGTTATTCAAATTACTTTCAAGCCATCAGATGTATCATACAAGGAATTGTTAGATGTATTTTGGAAGTGTCATGATCCGACCCAATTAAACCGTCAAGGTAAGAGTCATTCATCAGTGCTGCTTGAAATATATCATTTCATCATGTATGGTAGGTTATGATGTTGGCACTCAATATCGTAGTGCTATTTTTTATCATGACGAGACACAAAAGCAACAAGCTGTTGAATCCAAAGAAGAGGCACAAAAGGATTTTAAATCTCCAATTGTGACAGAAATTACAGCTGCCTCTGAATTCTATCCAGCTGAGGATTATCATCAAAATTATTTCAATTTAAATGAAAAGAAAAATCCTTATTGCAAAATGATCAGAGGAAAATTGAACAAGCTCGATATGAAATAGTTAATAAAGGAGGTAATAATTCTTGAGCTGAGTTGTAAAGACTATCTAAAGCTAAAAATCTTGATCTTGTTAGAAATAATTACTTATAATTGATATTCGTCCAGTATTCAAGATATTCGCGCTTTCATTGGGAGAGCTTTCTGGAGTATTTTCATGTATGTTGTCATTGTCCAACATGGTTGAGTTGTCACAAGCCGATGTCGACAATGGTTGACTTGAATTTAAAAGAACTCCTCCAATGCATGGTGATGCTGTCGTTGATGATGACGTCATAATGTTATTACTGTTTACAACATGAGAAGTAATGTTCTCACTTTCATCTCCACTGTCTTGAAAATCTTCATTATTATTTACAGCAATTGTTGATGATGATGATGAGTATACAAATCCATTCTCGGGTATTTCATGTTTGCATCGTTGAAACATTTCAAAAGCTAATTCTGCATTCCACTTTGCTTGGCTCAAGCAATCCATACACAAATACCAATTTAGATTCGTTTTGTGAGCAAAATCTAGTACCATATTGACATAGAGTTGACATGTTTCTTCGTTGCAATTAGATTCGGAAAGTATGAGGCGAAGACCTAATTCTTTCGGAATCAAAGTTTGTGAAAATATTACGTGTGGAATTGTGTACATGATTCTTTCACACCATTCATAATTCCAATTCGATTGTGAAAGAAGAGAAAAACAATCGTGTTGAGAAATATATTCAGAACATTTTGTGAAGAGATTGTGAATCATTTGTTGTTGCTGATCGGAGACGAATCCTTGTGGTTGTTGTTGCATGATGATTAATACCAAATCAATGGTTTTTGTTTCTCAGAATGAGCGAGATGTAGACGCAAGGTGTTTTTGAGAGATTTTTTAAATGTTACCACGTGGAAGGGATATGCCATACGACATGAGTACAGTTGTTGACCAGTTAAAAACTATAATTTCGAGAACGATCGACCCATCATCAATTGTGCTGACTGACACTTTACTCGTCATCAACGATGATGAATTAATTTTTGTTTTCAAAAACAAAATGACCAAAACAGCCAAGCAAAAGATAATGTGGCAGACCATCAAGGCTCTCCAGGATTTGAAACAAGGCCTCTTTGAAACCGAGAAAAAGCTCCGTTCTTCTCTTGGTTTTAAAGTATTATTTATTGCTGGTATGACATTAGTGGGATATTTGCCATATGAATTAAGAAAAGTATATTCCGAAAAACAACCCAGCATTTTCTCATTGATGAATAAAGAATTTACTCGAACGGAAGAAAAAAAGGAAGCTATGAAAAGACTTTTTGGAGAATGAGTCTATTCATGTAAATGAACTCAAACAACAAGAATTATAATTTATTTGCTCTATTGGATGCTGTAAAAAAGAGAAATTAGACTTCATTGCTGCAATACATTCATCAACCTATTTATTACTCTTGGATGATCGTTTGGACTGGTGAAGTACTCCTCCTAGAGAAAGGGAGCAATAATTCAACACAGGGAGCCGACAATAAATACAATTATGGACAATAGGAGACTTTGCAGATTCAAAAAAATCCCTCAACACACTTCTCATTCGTTCACTAATGTCCAAACAACCAACAACATCATCCACTCTCTCAGTGGGACTCTTCCCATATCTTCCTTTGGGTGTTTTAGAAAAGATCAAACAAGCCTTCCCAACTCAAATTTCGGGATATCAAGTCAATTTTGTTGACTTTAATTGTTATCAAGATGAGGACTTGGGAAGCCTTCCTGATGTTGCGTGTGTCGATACTACTCTTCTTCCTTTCTTGGTTTCAAAAGGAGGAGTAAAGGCATTGGATGCTGAAATGGTGAAGGATGTTGCTGGTGAGACTTTTGCATTCGTTACTGAAAGTGCCAAGGTCAATCAACAATTCTACGGTTTCCCACAATATTTGTGTGCTAACTTTTTGGTGTCATCTCCTTCAGTGGCTTCCCAACAAGTTTCGTCATTGTTGCAACTGGCTCAACAAGTCGGTTATGAAAAGATCGTTTTCCCTGGCATTACATCAGCAGATGCATATACTGTCCTTTCTTTGTACGAGCAATTTGTGCAATCATCCACATCTTCAATTATTGATTTGAAACATGATGATCTTCCACAAAAAGCAGAGCAAGTAGATAGACAAGCATGTGAAAAGCACCGAACAATTTTGAACTCTTCAATCATTGCCTCCGAGGCAGAATTTGTTGCTTCAGTTAAACAACACAAACCTTTGGCTGATTATTATGTTGGATACAGCGAGAGCTTGAGCGAAATCAAGTCAATTCTTGAGAAGGATAATTACAAGATTCAACTTGTTGGTGCTAGAGATAAACCATTCGCCTATACTGACGTTTTGGTTTTGAATGCTAATTTGTGTGATGAAAAGCAAAAAGTTGCTGTTGAAGCTGTTCGTACCTTGTTGACATGTCCAACAATTTTACAAATTTTGTCTGAGGGTTTGACTCTTCCTGCTAACAAGAACAGTATTGAGAAATTGGCTCAATCATCACCAATTTACAAACAATTATTGGAACAATTTAGCACTTTAGATGTCAAGGTTTTGAGAAACGTTGATTTTGGATCAAGCACTGTCAAGACAACGGCTAAGGTTCTTAGACCATACCTCCAACACATTGCTGTTGCTACATTACGTTGTTTGACAGCTGATACAGTTGAAAAAGCAAAGAGTGGACACCCAGGTATGCCAATCGGAATGAGTCCAATTGCATATGTTTTGTGGAAATTCTTCTTTAAATCATCCAAAGATGATGTAAATTGGATCAACAGAGATCGCTTTGTTTTGAGCAATGGTCACGGCTGCTCTTTACTTTATGCAATGTTACATATGACTGATTACAACATGACACTTGATGATCTCAAGAAATTCAGAACTTTGCATTCAAAGACTCCAGGTCACCCTGAATTTGGTCACACTGAAGGTGTTGATGCAACTACTGGTCCATTGGGTCAAGGTATTTGTAACGCTGTTGGTATGGCCCTTGCTGAAGCTCACTTGGCTGCTCGTTTCAATAAGGATCAACTCTCACTCTTTGATCATTATACCTATGTCTTTTGTGGAGATGGTTGTTTGATGGAAGGTGTTGTTACTGAAGGCATGTCATTCGCTGGACATCAAAAATTGAACAAATTGATTGTCTTTTACGACGACAACAATATCACAATTGATGGTAACACTAATTTGACCTTCACTCAAGACACACCAGCCGTTGTTAAAGGTTTAGGATGGCATGTTATTACTGTCCATGATGCTGACAATGATTTGCTCTCTATTAAGAAGGCTATCGAAGAAGCTCACACAATCACTGACAAGCCAATCATGATCATTTGTAAGACCACAATTGGTTATGCTACAAAGATGCAAGGAACTGCTAAGGTTCATGGTTCTCCACTCGGTGCTGACGCCTTGAAAAATTTGAAAGAAATTTGTGGATTCAACGGAGATCAATCATTCATTGTTCCAGAAATTGTTAGACAAGATTTTGCCCCCATTATTACCAGAAACAAACAACGTCTTGATCAATGGAACTCATTGAAACAACAATATGAGCAACAATACACTGCAGAGGCTCAACAACTTCAAAGAATGATTTCTCATCAATTGGAAGGAGATATCTTGACCAAGTTACCTCAATATAATGAAGAAAAGAAGATTGCAACCAGATCCACCTCACAACAAGTTTTGAACGCAATTTATTCGCTCATTCCTTCTCTTGTTGGTGGTTCTGCTGATTTAACTCCATCTAACTTGACCGACGTGAGCGGCTGTAAGGATATGCAACCTGAAGACAGAACAGGAAGATATATCAGATTTGGTGTTCGTGAACATGCTATGGTTGCAATTGCTAACGGTATTCTCTACCATGGTATTCTTAGAACCTATGTTGGTACTTTCTTGAACTTTGCTTCGTACGCTTTGGGTGCTCTTAGATTGAGCGCTTTGTCACAGCTTCCAAACATCTTTATTTTCACTCATGACAGTATTGGACTTGGTCAAGACGGTCCAACTCATCAACCTGTGGAAGTTCTTCCATTGTTGAGATCCATTCCAAACCATACCGTTATCAGACCTGCTGATGGAAGAGAAACAAGTGGCGCTTATTTGTATGCTATTCAATCTACAAAGACTCCAACTTCTTTAATTCTTTCTCGTCAAGATTTGCCACAATTGAAGGGTACTGATATCCAAAAGACACTTCTAGGTGCTTACACCATTCAAAGCCATGAAAATCCAGATGTTATTTTGGTTGGAACAGGCTCTGAGGTTTCACTTGTTGTTGAAGCTGCTCGTTTATTGTCATCAGACCTTAAAGTCAACGTTGTCAGTATGCCAAGTTGGGAGTTATTCGTCAAGCAACCTCTCGAATACAGAAAATCTGTTTTCCCAGAAGGTATTCCAGTTGTGAGTGCTGAAGCTTCATCGACATTTGGTTGGACCAGTTTTTCTCACTATTGTGTTGGTATGACCACTTTTGGTGCTAGTGCTGCTGCTGAGGAAGTTTACAAGTATCTCAATATCACTGCTGACAATGTTGCTGATAAGGCAAGAAAGTTGGTTAACAAGTATGGTAAGAACGCACCAAGACTTCCACTTTCCGTTGTTGGACAAGAAGAGCTCTGAATGAATTGTGAACCATAAACTTTGGCTCATGCATTTTTAAAAGTCAACCTTAATTCTTTGTGTTACATTTACACCAAAGGATGCTGTTTTTTTACTAGTGATGATTCCAATTCTTAACCAAAAGTCGGATGGGAAAATGATCACTGACCTCAATGGCGAGCGATTGATCCAACTTCCATTCGTGAGAGTAATAAAACACTTCATACGACGTAATGTTTAACACTCGAGCTTTGGGCATTACAAAACGATCGTATGGACAGTTCGTTTTCACCATGGTGTCCATATTATCCGTTATGAGCCAGTCAAAGCTTTTATCTGTTCGTAATCGAATGTGCTGCCAGTCGCTTGGTGTCACATAGCTGCATCCCGCATTAAAATCACCAGTAACAAGCCAATTGGTCTGCACCAGCTTGGAGGTATTATGTTGGGACAAATAAAATTGATACACATCAAACAAATGATCAATCTCTTGAACTGCTAATTTTGGGGAAGTGTGGATACCAGTAATAAAAAGCTGTTGATGACTAAGAGTTGAGGATATAATCACAGAGAATGGTGGTCTTTCGAAAAAATCAAAATGTACTGGGAATTGATAGGTAGAGGTTATTTGTGCCATTTTGGAATCGTAAATAAATGCTAAAGGAGAGGGATGATTACAATTATTGGAATTATGAAAGATACTTACCATATTGTTCCTTGCTTGAGGTTCTTCCCAATCTCTCACTAACTTGCAATTGATAGGATCTTGTATGGTTGGTAAAACGATTGAGTTGATTCAATAAATCAACAATTGCAGTACCTGTACTATCCCTAATCTCCATAATGAATGTGATATGACATTCGGAAAGAATTTTCAACAGAATATTGACCACATGCTGTTTCGACATTTTGGTCTTGCCAAAAACTTGAATATTAAAACTGCAAAACATTAAATCCTGATTGTTGAGTGTTGGAGCAGTGGCTTCTCGTTGCTGTGCAAGGTTCAAGTTAAGACCTTGTGTCATTGTGGATACTATCACGAAAATCAACAAATACAGGATTGCAGTTTTGAGTATTGAAAGGTCATGGCTTGACATGGTTGTTTTTTTATCCATGTTCTGAGGTCATAACAAGAAGATTTTTTACATTGAAAATCCAACGTTTTTCGGAGAATGTTTTTACTCCACTCCTTGCGAAAGGCTGAATGATGTTGCTACTAGACCTTAAAATTCCTTCTCTGTTTGTTCTAAACGTTTGCTTTGTAACCAGGTATCTCTAATGGAAGACCCAATCACAAGTGTACTCAGAATTTACATATGATCGGTTGTTTCAGGATGAAATGATTTGTTTGTTTCGCAACGGTTACGTACAACACGTATCTTTTAACTGAAATCCCATTCTTGTGCCAATTCAAAGTTGTGGAACATCTAACACGTGGATTGGTCTCTTCCCAGTTTTCAAAAGTTCAGTTTGGAACAACAATTTCAACAACCACTCGAAGAAAAACAATTAATAACTTCTTCAGGTACCATACAGTGATCCTCTGTTGCAGACTGCTTATTCACAAAGTGCAACAGACAAGTCAGAAGAAGAGGTATCCAGTTAGTTGTATGAACAACGACCATGTTTTCAAGTACATCAAGACGTTCTTTCGATTATAATTCCACCAACTCTTCCCAAATGGAGGAGGTTCATCAACAAGAAGATAATAATGGCCCAGGTCATAAAGAAGAGTTAGCCATCCATTCAGAGTCAATTGAAATGCCTGAAGTTCAAGATTCGTTGAAAGTGGACATCGCCAAAGCAGAAGAAATCGAGAAAAGAAAAGAAGTATCATTTCTAAATTGGGATTGTTTCAAATCCAACGTACTTGCTCATCTCTTGATCTGGTGTAACTTGGCTTTGTTTTCAGTCTTCTTGATTGTAATACCCTACTCGATGAAAATTTGGCATCCTCTAATATTTGCCTTTGTTCGATGTTGTATTATTGTGCTATCCTTACTCCCATTAATGCTACTCGTGGATCGACACTTTACGTTCAGAAGTGAACAGTACATCATGAAACGAGCTCGAAGATTCAGAATCAAGCACAAGAATATTCATGCAAGTCGCTATTGGGGATGGATTTATAGTGTCTTTTATGATGACAAGTCTGTATTCGTTTCTTATATCTTAAGAAGAATACCCAATGCAAAGAAGGCAAAACAGTTGGCTGTGAGTGGAACTTTGGTGGTTCTGAATCAAGTCTTGTTTGTTGCTGGACTCTATTTAACCAATTCCACCATCACAGGTGTTATTCAACCGGTGGTACCAGTCATTGTTTGTTCCTTATCCATGATGATGGGAAAAGAAACCAAGTCTATATTCAAATTTATTGGAGTTCTTATTGCAGTAGGTGGAGGTATGTTTGATTGAAAAGACTTTCTGATAACTTGTTCATAATTTTAATGATATGGATGGACACAACATACTCAGCAATGCCCATGCTGATCGTTTCTGCTTTAAGCGTGAGTGAATCCACCACAACACAACAAGAACCAGACACCTATTCCAATTCATCTCCACATGAAAGGCTACCTTATTACTACTACATCCTTTTAAAAGACACAACCAAAGGAATTAATTTTTCGTTTGTATTAGGCCTCGTGAGTTTGTTTTTCAATACTTTAATTTATGCAATTTATTTAGTTTATCAGAGAGGACTGCTGGTTGCTGGAACTCCACCGACGACGGCGACGTTTTGGTCCTTCTTCTTTGGATTAGTCACATCATTCCTTTGTGCCTCGTATGCTTTCCTTCGTTTTCATTAAGGAGAGTTGATGCAAGGTCGATTTTGGGAGTTCTTTATGCAGCAATTCCTTATGGTAGCCTTCAATTTGTCATTACATCTTATGCCTCAAAGTTGACTGCACCAACAATGGTGTCTATATATTCAACAGTCTTCCCATTAGTTGCCACAACCGTTGGTGTTGTGTATTTTAAAGAAACACCTTCTCCTCTTGTATTAGTTGGTGCTGCATTTATTTTGGTTGGATTGCTGGTTGTGATTGGAGCTCGATATCGAGAAACTCAATTGGAACGGGCCAATATGATTTCAACACATACTGCAGAAGATCATGACAATAATATTACAGAACAACAACAATCATCTACATCATTACCATTGGTTTCATTGAATAATGAGGAAGTTAATTGCTCGCCTTCAGCAAGTGTTGACTGCGAGTCTTCGTCTAAAAGCTCATTGGAGGGCAAAGTGTGAAAAGGTTGAGTAGTTTGCCTGCAATAAAATAGACTGAGTATTTACACAAAGCCAATGACTACTGGATAAAAGTTTTGATAAATTATGGCAATGGAATCGTCTGGTACCTTTTGAACATGTAAAGCTTTACTTAAACTGGTTTCCTGATCTAAAAAACATCTGCATGATTTTTATTCAGTAACTCTGATATTTTCATCTTGTCCAGTTTCATTTCCTTTTGATTTACAAGACTGTGCTTGAACCTGTGGTGACAATCGAGCATGATCGTACAAAGCTCCTTCTCAATATTTGAAAACATATGAAAAGGAAGAAACTCGATTTGCTTCAAGTTGTATGCGTCAAGCACATCTTTTGCATTGGATATCAAGTTTTCTGGAACTGCTACAGGTGTGTCTTCGTCGCCTTCAAGTAAGGCATAAATCTCAAAGGCTACCTCAAACTTTTCATTTTCAAACTTGGCAAATTGTTCTGCTGACACACTTGACATTTTCTTTGATTCCATTTCGAGACATTTTTCTGCAAGTGATTTAAAATGTTGAATTTTTTCTAAAATATAATAGTTATGCAAGTTATCCTCCTGTTCACAATGCAGTTTGAAGAGATTTCGAGTAGTAGGATTCTCAATAGTATCCAAAATCATTAGTTCATTTGCTTTTCTGAACTTTTCAGTGTTTTTAGAGTCTGTATTGATAGCATAGGTGAAAATCATGACAATTAATGGAGAAAGTAACAAGACAGACACAACAATGACAATCAATTGAATGACAGTGGTCACCACTAGATTGGCATCCTTTCCCTTTTCAATACCTCTTACATAATTCACTAGATCCGTAACACCGTCTTGAAAATTTTTTTTAACATTTCCATATTCGGAAGATTGTAAGCGAGACACACTTTCATTGACTTGTCCAAATGTCAACATGAGATACAAGTGAGAATTGAGTGAATCCCATGCATTGGCTGCATTTTGAGTATACTTGAATTTGATCTCCATGTCTTTACCTCCAAGAGACTTGACAATGGCTTCCATCAAATCCAAAAGTTGTTTCGATATAGACATGTATTCTTTCATGATATCTGAATATTTGTAATTAGTTCCAGCATCATTACTTAAATTAGACTCTAGAGCTGTTTGATAGATGGTTCTCAAAATTAATGTGTTTGCCTGTTCGAAATAACTATATACTTGACCAACAGCGATGAGGGTTTCAGAATTTCGTTGTGAGGCCACGACAAAGGTTGAAATTGAAAAACCAGCCAAAACCACTAAACCCACAACTGTCAGAATCATACCAATCAAGCATGACAGTTTCAAACAGTTCAATTCTACCAAACCACAACATGTATTGACCACAAAGATTTGTCTTCTAACACCTCTATAAAAGAGAGGAAATTTCATGGATTTCTTGGATGTTGGCTCCGAGGTTGGATTTTTGGCAGTTGCCGTATATCTTCCTTCAGGAATTGGATTTTTACTTGTATTCGAGAGTTGTAAGTTCGACATGGAAACTCGAACGTTTGGATGTGGTTCTTGTAATTGTACAGTTAAGTGTTGTAGTTGAATGGAATGATGTGCTGGTCTTCCTGTTGAGGTTGTTGTTGTGGGTGGTTGATGGAAGCTTTCATTGTGAGCGTCCTCAGTGTTTGGTTGTTCTTGTGGTTCATGATGATGATGATGACAGTGCGAGGAGGCCGTTGATGAATAGCTCGAGGATCGAGGAGAGAGTGTATCACTCATAATGAAGATCGTGGAGTTGTTGTTGTTGACTTTTTTCTGAGAGATCATCACACAACGACAGTAGGTCACTTGACATGACCGCACTCGATTGCATGCATGAACCGAGATAGCAATGAGCTTGATGTTGTTGTGACATGTTATGGAAAGATTATCTCTCAATGAAACTGATGCTCCACCTGTTGAGAAAGGAGAAGAAGGCCAGTTTCCATGAACTGTTCATACGACACTTGATGATACGGCTTGATGAGAGATAGGATTGATTTTAGCAACAGTCTCTCCATTTGTCAATACCTATGGCAAGCAAGTAACATTTTCCATCCTTGCTCAGAATGATAATAACTGGAATGGATGAACTGAAAAGATCTTCTACAATTTTCACTCTGAGTGTGCATGTGTGTCGACATGTTTAATACATTTTCATTAAGGTTTAAGTCCAACGGGTGATTATAGGAGCAACATACTGACGGAACCTTACCTTATGGAATGGTAGGAAAATTTTGAAAAAATTTCCCTTTGATTTCAAAAAAGTCCCTCAACACCGAACCCTCGAATTTCCATCCTTCCTTTCACTCCGAGAGAGTGTTGGTTGGATTCAAACAAAAAACCAAATCATTCACTCACTACTGAACATGTCTGATGATAATAATACGCAACAAGCACTTGTTGTGCCGACATCATCCTCTTCGGAAACCACAGAAGAGTCCATAGTGCAACAACCAACACTCCCAACTGTTCATGAAGGCTCATCTCCAGTTGCTTCTTCTGAAGAAAAACCAGCCGGCATGTCATCCCCAACGACTGTATGTGTTACGGGAGGAACTGGTTTCGTAGCCTCACATCTCATCTTCCAATTACTTCAAAAAGGATATCACGTTCATACCACCGTTCGCTCCCTTCCCAAAGGAAGAGATGAATTATTTCAAGCACTTCTCAATTATCAAAAAGAAACCATTCCCGATACCGTCCATCATTTCTTTGATGAACATTCATTGAAGGAACGAGTACAATGCTTTGAAGCGGATCTTCTCAAAGAAGGAAGTTTTGAACAAGCCATTCAGGGATGTCAATTTGTTCAACATGTTGCTTCGCCTTACAAGGTTACTGTTGAAAATCCACAACATGATTTGGTGGATCCTGCCGTGAATGGAACACTCAATGTTTTGAAGGAATGTGTAAAATTGAGAGAAACTCAATCGAATCAAGACCAAAAGAGATTACAGCGAATTATATTAACTTCTTCCATTGCAGCAGTGGTTGACACAGCTGAGGAAAATAAGGTGTATGACGAAAATGATTGGAATACTCTATCAAGTTTAAAATGGAATCCCTACTCTTTTTCAAAGGTCAGTGCTGAGAAGGCAGCTTGGAAATTTATGAAAGAATGTGAAGAAAAACATGGAAAGGATTTTTTGGAATTGGTCACCATATGTCCGTCACAAGTTATTGGTAGAGCCATCATGCCAAAACAAGTGAATCAAAGTCATGAAGGTATCATGAAAATCGCAAATGGTGAATTTCCAGCTATTTTTTCATTGTATTTACCATTAGTCGATGTCATTGATGTGGCAGCAGCTCATGTGTATGCTATGGAGCACGAAATGAGTGACAGAACTCGATTTAGTCCATCTAAAGCTGAGAGATTTATTGTATGCTGTGAAACAATTTCCATGTCCAAAGTGGTAGACATTCTTAGAGAGTTGTATCCAAAAGAATCAAACCCATGGACCAAGAGACTGCCCAACACCAAGTTAGAAAGCGGATTTGGAAATGCATTGGCAAAAGTAGCTGGCCTATTTCAGCCAAAAGGTGTTCGACAATATATCAACAGCTCCATTGGAAAGCCACAAAATTTCAGCACTAAAAAGATTAAGGAAACCTTCGAAATGAAATTTATAGATACAAAGGATACTATTAGGAATACTGTGGATTATTTGATGAGTATTGGAATGATTAAACAGTAGACGTTACATGTTGATGATTTACTTTGTCGCTATGTTAAATTCAACATCGACAAAGGAATGATTTCGTAAGCACACGAGGAGCTTTCGATTTTCTTCACACTCAACTCCTCTCAATGATGAGCAAGTGAACACGGTAACCACTTGAAGTTGAGGTGCTTGTTTCAAGATCCCGTCCTTGATAGTTAGAGCAAAAGTGAAATCTTTCACTTGTTTCTCATTCATTAAATCAATAGCATACACTTCAAGAGCATATTTGTGAGAACCATTTCGACGTTCCTCAATATTTTTAAATTGTGAGAGAATCCAATCAAAACAAAGTCGTATCAAATTGTCAGGCTCCTCCTCACTACAGTGTTGTCCTGCATTGAAAGTAATGGCTTTCATCAATTGAACTCTTTCGTCATTTTCTAAGTGGGCAATTCTTTGTATGAAAATGTCAACATGTGTCATTAAAAGAATTTTCCTTCGTTCTTTCAAACTTGCTAGTGTCATGGTTTTTTCGAACAAGCTCAAGCTCTCTTCGAGTCTTGATTTGAACTCTGACGAATCTAAACAAGGTAAATCAAAGTCAGCCAATGAAAAAACAAACACAACGCTTTTCAAAAGGAAAGTTGAGGTTGGTTTCGTTGAGGCATTAAGGGTCATGATCACTAAATCTCTTTGCGAAGCAAGTCCTGGAGTGTCAATCATTGTAAACTTTTGTAACTTTCTTTTTTCCATCTCGTCCAACGGTGCAGTTGATTCTTGCATGATTACTTTTGTAATCGAACTCGTCTGTGACGTAGGAGACATTGGTGCAATATTGGAGGAAGAAAATTGAGAGCGTGGACTCGAACATGCATGACCAAGGGCCATTGACATGATTGGAGAAGGAGATTTTGGAGAAGTACTCACGCCATTATTGCTACTACTACTATTATTACTGTTGGATCTCTTTCGAACCATTTCCATTAATTTCTGAGCAACAACATTGGAAGATTTTCGTGTGGTTGGCACTCGAGAGGTTGTTGTACAGCTGTTTGTTGTGTTCCATTCAGATTCTTCTTCTTGTGAAAGTCTTTCAAAACTATTGACTCTTGAAGTCAATGTCGACGATGTAGGACCAGATCCTCCTCGAGCACTCTTTGGAAGTAACAATGTAAGACCTTTGGATTCATTCATTGGTGAAGCAGTGTTATTCGCTTGACTCAGATCAAGTTTTGGAATTTTTATGGATCCAATTGAAACGACAGAAGGCAAGCCAGTGGTTGATGGTTGTTCTTCTGCTGTGCTTGACTCTTGTTTCGAAAGAGGAGCGAGAGGTGTTGCTTGATCAACAACACTTGTTGCTTTTCTTAATTGTTTCTTTCTTCTTTCAATCACTCGAATGACTCGAGTACAAATCGATCTTTGAGAATATTGAAATTTGAGAGAATGAATGGCTGTTGTGATATTCTTGGATTTTAACACTAATTCTCGTATATTTGGTAATTCATTTCGTGGAGAGTCAGTGTGCTCTTGAAATAAAGTCATGTTTTGTGAATGAAGAGTTAAACTCTTTCTGGAGGAAGAAGTGTTCAAGAAATTTGATAATTTCAATAACTCTTCTTCATGTTGAAGGAAAAAGTGTAAATAATTTCCATATAATAGTTCATGAACAATACCACAACTGGAATTGATATTCTTCTCCTCCTGTAACTGTTCAAAGCTTTCATTGTTGGACGTATCATTCATGGATGAATACTTCTTATGGTAATAGATTTGAGAAATAACTGGTTCTCTAAATAATGCACATAATTGACATAAAAACTCATGATTCGTCCATAGAGATTGTAATTTGTTTTTTGAAAGTGGATTCACAAAGAGACTTTCAAATGGCAATAGTCGAAACGTATCATTTAAACAATTATCAATTCTGAAATCTTGTTCACTAATATTGTTGATTATTTCAGCATGCTGCTGACACTGATCTAATTGAGTGAGCAACATGTCAATCACAGGAGCATGTCGTATATATAAATCTTGCAGTGATGCGGTTTCAGTAGTGTGTGAGTAGTTTGTTGATGATGCATCATGAAGTAAAGTTGAGCCCTTCAGTGATGATGTGTTGTTTTTGGCATAATAAATCAATCGTTTCATACATGTAATGAGATAGGTCATTAAGGTATTTCCAAATTCCATTCTTTCCGTTTGAGAAAGTGTTACCATTGTGTTCGATTGAAATTTCCATTGATTCCACAAAGTTGCTATTGCATGGATTCACATTGTAAAATTCATCTTTGAGTTTTTCAATGAATTCAAAACTTACTTTTTCCAGAGTCACAACCACCGATCAAAATAATGCCAAATGGTAATCCACTCTTTTTCTCATTTTCATCCATTTGGGATTGTTCCTTCACAAGTCGAAATAAATCCGTAGTAAACTCCATGTCCTCCTCTTGCTGTTCAGTAATGGATGGTTCTGTCATCATGTCATTGATGGATGAAGTGTGTTCATTTCGTGTTTGTTCTGACGCATTTCGTTCAGAGGAGGGAATTGTACCCTCTCGTTTTTGTTTGTTGATTCTTGGGAATGATCTCTCGAAAGAATCATTGTGATTGGATTGAAAAATGGTTGTGTTATGATTGCCCATGATTGTGATGAGAATGATGAGTAAACAGTAAAAGATATCTCTAGAGAGGATGACCACCGAGTTTGTGGTCAATCACGCAATGGTAATTACAACAACAGGATGTCACTTTTTTTTTGCTTGTTTTCTAATTTTTGCCTTATTTAGAAGTAATGGAGAGAGAGAAGATATCCACATTCCACAAGGCAAATTTTGTTTGTGTCAACTGTCTTTTTCATTGAAAGGGTCTTTGTGTACAAGATGAGTAACAACGGAATACGCATGAAACTCAAAATTTCACAGGTCTGAATGGAAAATGTATCTGATACATTACATACGTTATTACCATTAAAAAAGAGAGGAATAAATGACATCGTAAGATTTTGAACATATACATGAGCTTCCCTCTTGTTCAAAAAGCTCTCTAGTGACACAAAAAGGTGAAACCCATTCAGGTACACTTGTCAATGTACTGGCTCCAATCCATGCCAAATTTCTTGCTTGTGAATTCTTGTCAATCACAATTTCAAGACCTAACAAGGTTCTTAAATCTGAAGAAAGACGCTCATGGAAATTTTGAATGAGAGGAATACATCCACTTCCTGATACAATAATATTACGTTCCAAGTCCAATGACTCATCTGAAATGTATGAAATGCAATCAGCAATGATTTGAGGCAGAGAAGTTTTGTGTTGCGAAGAAAAGAATAAGTCTTCCATGATTTGGTACATAATTTCATGACCTAATGTAAGCGTATTTGAGCAAGTACTCGTGTTGGTATCTTCAGCCATTGAGCAAGATTCAACTTGAAAAGATTCTTGTTCATTCTTTTCCGAATGATTCACACAACACTTTAGATTTTGTTTCACACGATCCAATAACTCTTGTGTGAGAGGAATTTGTTCATTCACCAATTTGAGTCTTCTTGCCAACTCTTCATTCAGCTTCTGTTCACTCATTCCACCGTTTTCAATAGTCCTCAATGAATCCATTCTCACTTGTCCATCGACTACTGCAACTACATGACTTGTTTGATGACCTAAATGCACAACAATTGCACTTATTTTTGAACAAGCCAATGATGTTAAATAGGAAGCATCTTGAATCGATAAATATTTCACGTTTTGGAGTTTTGAGTGATTGAAAATAATTTCAGTCATTTCTTCTCTAAAATTCAAGTCTTCCATATGACTTAATGATGAGTCAATGATGAGCAAGGCACGCGAGGAGGATGATTTTAATTCATTTTCCGAGTCGTTGTTGCTGCTGTCGTGTGTTGTCGTCTCTTGCAAGAGTGTGGTTTGCGAAGAAATTTCAGAAACTACGTTTTCAATCTGTTGTGAAAGTGAGTCGTCGGAATCTTGTGTGAAAACAAGTCTCGGAGCATGTTCACCTCCCATTCCTACTGTAATTTCTTTGGAAGATGAAAGATCGATAATGATCGTTTCAATGTCCTCTTTGAGACTTTCAATCACACTGGCCGCAAACAAATCATATTGTTCAGATGTTGCGTATTCGTCCTCGTACTGAAAATCAATTATATTATGGTTCCCCAAAGGACGATTTGATAATTCCTTTTCTTGATGATGAACAGTATTATTTTCAATGATGTCTTGTTCCTCGTTGCGCTCGAGGTTGGGGACAGAATCTTGATTCGATGAAGACATTTTTTGAAGTTGGAAGCGAGACAAGCTGACAATTAAAGAATCTGAAACAAGTTTAATTACAACTCATATTAAACGTAATAATTGTCCAAGCCCATTTCACAATAAATAGATGCCAAAATCTACTAGTCTAAATATTCTTGACACAATTTCAAACTTGTTTCCCACAATTGGTCCTGCAACTCGATGGAATTTTCCATTGGATTTCCAACCTTTTCCTTACAATCGCTATAATAATTTCCAGACTTTAAACTTGAGGAAGGTGAAAGAGCTAGATGTAAAGTAGTTTGTGCTCCATCTAGAGGTGACTTGGTAAAGTAATAAAAGATAGGAGTCACAAAAACCATTAACCATTGAGGGAAATGTCTTGCTAAATTCGTACGAACCACTCCTGGATGACATGAGTAGCTGGTCGCATAAGATGAATCCTTACTCAATTCTCGGCTCAACTTTTTAGCGAATAGAACGTTGGCAAACTTGGAACGACAATAAATTTTTCCAACAGACTCACCTAAGTTACTACCATCCCCCTTCACAGACTCTTCTGTGAATGATGCAAATGTTTTAGTATCTGCTTGCTTAATTCCAGAAGCTGCAAGTGAGGAAACATTAATGACTCTACCACTGGATTGTTTGATGAGATCAAGTAATAATAAGGTTAATAAAAAGTGTCCGATATGATTGGTTCCAAATTGAATTTCTATATTTTGTTTGGTGGTTGCAAACGGACACATCATGATTCCTGCATTATTAATGAGAAAATCCAATTGAGAGAATTGTTTTTTAAATTCAGTAGCAAACTTTTTAACGCTGGCCAAATCTGTTAAATCGATGAGCAGTACAAACAACCTATCGGATCCACCATTATTCTCCTTTTCAATCAATCTCTTGGATTCAATTCCATTCTTTTCATCACGTACTGCCAAAATCACAGTAGCACCACAAGAATGTAAAACCTTGGCAGTTTCATAACCAATGCCATTAGGACTAGCTCCGGTGACGATAACCACTTTGCCTTTCAAATTAGATTTTGACAATAACTCTGAGCTCACTTGACCACCGTTGTAATATTTCTTTCCTTTATAAAGCAAGAGCAAAGAAGAGACACCCACAATTGCAGATGAAAGGATGGGATGCGAAGAGAAAGCAGATGAAAGATGTGAGGTCCAAGATTGAAAGAACATTTTTTTCTTTGTGCGACCAACTTGCTGTTGCGACATGTCGTGTTCATGCTGATAAAACGACTACTGCGACGTCAAAAATCTAACAAGAGGTGTCTAAAATGTAAGAGGGTAATGACCACAGGTTGGATGCTTTTGAGTGCATCTATCTGCCCGCGATGGACACCACATCAACATCAATAGAGGCTCCCCATGAAGGAAAATCCTTTTCTCATCAAGCATTTTCCAGGTATGAAGCCATTGTTAGAGTAAAGGTAAATTGGACAGAGTAGCAGCAAGCTGCCCAACATGGCCGAAAATCAAGGTCAGTTTTTGGTTTCAAAAATAATGAATTTTATTTGAACACACAATAAAAAGGCCTTACTTTCTCAAATTTCTATCGGATTCATAGTATTGAGCGACCTTTGGATTCTTTGCAACAGTTTCCTTCAAAGCAGCAAGCTTTGGATAAGCGCTCAAATCTTGTCCCTTTCCAATGCCAGACAATAAATCGAACAAGAACAAATCAGCCCAAGTGAGTGAGTCACCAACGAGGAATCCTGATGGTTTGACCTCCTTTTCTAGAGCCTTCAAAATCTGACCGAAGGGTCCCTCATAGTACTTTTTCAAATCTTCATCCTTGTTTGGGCTGAAGAATGCCTTGAAGTAAGCATCATTCAAATCCTAACGTTAGATTGAGTCCAGCAGAGAAGATATAACGTAAATATATCAATATATGTTTGTGAAATAGCCACAATATTAAATTATTAAATATATCGACATGATCGCCAAATGATAATTATTAAATAATTTGAAGTGTTTCTTCGAAAAAATAACACTCACTTTGATGGTGTTCACATATTCATCGGAGAATGATGCATCAACGTTTGAAGAAGGATACAAGTTACCCTCACGAGCAATGAATCTAGCAATAGCGATGGATTGACACAACTCAAAATCTTGATTTTCAGAAGACTTGAGGAAGGGTAATTGGCCATATTTTGTGTGTTGCTTGACTTGAGGCCACTCTTGAAAGGTCACTGGTTTGAAATTATATTCAACACCACCGACCTCTGCGATGAGTTTGATTGCTTCCTACATGATGGAACGTTGATCGAAAATTGATTAAAATATTTTGATCAAATACTCACAGCTCTTCCTGGAATGTTGAAGTAAGTAAGCTCGTAGACCATTTTGTTGGTTGTTATTTTTTGTTTTGAAATTTGCAGTAAATATTTATGTGAAACGCACCTCGGAAGCACAAACGGAAAGGAAGGATGCATGAACTACAGTGTTCCCACATTGAGCATTGTATTTCAGCGCTTCACAGTACCAAAATTTGCTGCCTGTACTTCTTGCGTAAATTGCCCAAGCAAGTCTTGAATACTAATCTCGTGGACTAGTCTCAATAGTGGACTTGTTTGGGCAATTTCCACAACAATTGCAACAAGAAGTGCAGATATCCACTTTTACACCTCTCAATCACTATTAAGGCTACTGTTAAGCCCTTAATAGTGGTGAAGAGGTGTGCAAAAGGAAAGGAGAAATTGACCAACAAAGTCAGGTCACTACCATTAAGAAATTCGGCATTTTGCAAAAAAGGCCCAGAGCGGGAAGGGAGGCTAGCCAAGAACTTACAAAAAAAAGCCACACCTTATACTTTGCTGTTGATACCTACACAACACCGCGCCCATGCTGCAACACAAAGAGAGCGGAAACAACTTGTCCTCAGTATCTGAGGGAAATCAAACAGCAGAAACAGGAACCTCAGCTCATTCTCAAAATACGACCTGGGTGAAAGTACAGTCCTCACTTACTTCAATTGCTGTTACGTTGCAAGACAAGCGAAGTAGAACCTCATGGAAATATTTCCTTTTGATTGTTTGCATGCATATTTATGTCATGTGGACCTCAATATTTATTCCGACCCTTGGTAACTATAATTGGGGCGAATATGGTGTCTGGGTTTTCAAAGCAGTCAATTATGCTTATACATTTTCTCTCGACTTGGTTTCCTACAATGCAATGATAGGCTTGGCTATTACTAGCCTGGTTATCATGGTGCTCTATTTCATCATGCTTTTTTTTGCGTACAGAACGGTCAGCAATACAAGCAAGTACTCGGTTAAAATCAAGATGCTAGTAGTCATAGGGAGTTATTGCATGATATTTTGTGGTAATACGTTTGCGTTCATCATTTCTAGCTTTATTGATTGCAACACTAGTTCATACATACACTTGGAGGGTCAGGATCAACCAGTACAATCCCTCACAAGATTCCCCACAGAAGCTTGCTACTTGTCACTCAATATTGGGCTCATTGTTGCGTGTTTTGTGGGTATTATCCTTCTTTCTTTGGCCACTTTCATTGCTCACTCCACAGTGGCTAATTTGCATCCCCACAATAGTGCTCCTTTTAGAATGGAGTCCTCATTTACCTTCTCATTGCTTCTCTCATTTAATAACTTGGAAATCATGCTCACATTTGTGATACCTCAATCCGTGGTATATATTCGAGCAGTGTTACACATTGTATTTTCGGTAGTGTGGTTGATTATCTTGTATTTCCAAACTCCATTCTTTAGAAGAGTAGAAAATTCAGTTTACTTTGCGGTTGGAAGCGCCAAACTTGGCGCTGCAATTGGTTCACTAATTTCAAGTGTGTCCAACGCTTCAAAAGCATGGGACTTGGGACTGGGAATGATGGGTATGACGATAGGTCTTGTTATTATTCTATTTGTGGTGGGGTTTATTACCATGGAATTGTATTCTCGATTAGTTTTGAAGAGAGTCGAGTCATTGATGGAACGGATTGTCATGGAAAAGCAAGGCGTAAAAGAGAGTGGTTCTATCTTTTCAGAGAAAGCCGTAGAAAAAGATGCTCTCTCCATTTATGTAGAGCTTGAAGAACATAACTTGTTGCGTTACTTGGCAATGTATCTTAGATTTTCAATTGGTGAGATTTCTTTGAAAAATAGCATTGTGCCTGAAAACTTACCAAATAGCAAGGCATTATCTTTTGTGAAAGGCATTTCTACTCAAAAAGCATTTTCAAACAGCTCTTTGCTGATTTGCTCTGCTCTTATTATTGCTTATGGATGGAATGATGAGAATTCATTCATTTTTTCAATTAGTCTTTTAAGAAAGGCTGTTCGTCATGCAGACCTTTTGGAGAAAATTGTTATTAGAGAGAGGGAAACAGAAATTGAGGTTGATGCAGCAGATGCCAAGAATGTTGTTGAAATTAAACACACGTTGGAGAACACAACAAAGTGGCAGGATGAGTTGAAATCATTGCATCGCCTTTTTTGGAAAGAATTGATGAATGAGTTGCCCAGCTCTGACAAGGTGGATCAAATGAATAGAAGAATCTCGTACTTAACATCAAAATGTGAGTCTACATTCACCAATCTGATGGCTATAGCGTCAAAAGATAAGACCGTTCTACGAGCTTATGCTCTCTTTCTAGAACATTTTATGTTTGAGAAGGATTACGCCCAGGAATTGTTAGCGGAAGCATTGGCTATTGAAGAGGATGAAAACACGAAACGCTCCAAACAAAGACATCCTTATAAACGAATATTTACCAAGGGTATGCTTTCCAAGAGTATCACTCAACCCTTTGAAGAGGCACGAATGGTATGTGTAGTATGATTTGTGTGCTTGTTAACAAACACTCTTAGTCTGTGGAGTCGAAACTAGATTTGGTTGAATTAGAAAAGGAAGAATCATTCAGCGGTGTCGAAGGAAAGGGAGAATCAAAGAAAGAGACTATTTTCAAATTTGCTCTTAGGGTACCACCTCCACACCGTTTTCAAATATTCCTTTTGGTTGTGTTAATAGTGTTCTCGTTTATAACTCTGGCCCTTTGTTCAGCATTTTCACTGGCGGTATCCACTCACATTTCAGAGGAGCCACAAAGAGAGTATGAGATTTGCAGATCCTCTATGGCTACAGCAGGTCTATTTCGAACTGTGAGATTGATTCAAAACGTGATGGAAATGTTTTCAGGCAAATACAATATCACAGATGAATTGAAGGGGTATTACCAAGAATATACAACCAAACGTTACAAAAGAATGAATGATTACGTAGACAATCTAAAAGTGATTCCAAAGTATGCTCAGTCGTCGGCTTTCAGTGAGGGAATGTATGATTTTTATATCAAGCCAAATATTTCAGTTATGATTCCATTCATTGCAGAAAATTCCATAGATCAATCTTTCCTGTCATACTACTTGCGAAATTCGTCTATGGAGGAGATTAACAACCTTGTTATCCGATATTTCGACAAGATCACAAACAAATGGACTGAGTCTGATTTTAATACGCCTCTCTACGACTTTGAGTTTTCCTATTTATGGGCAAACAAGATTCCTCTTGGTGGGTTTTATACCACTTTCTGTGAGTCACTTGTGGCCAACAACAATATTGACGCAAAGCAACTTGTGAACTCGCAAATGGCTGCATCCTTGGCTGTGTGTATTGGGTATGGCGCTTATGCTATTATTTTTGTGTTGCTTTCTAGGATGGAGCTGACCTCAACAAAGAGAATCATAAAGATTTATGAAGAAAACATCTCGAAGAACGTCATTGGAAGAGTGTACCACGAATTGGGATCCAAAGACGACGATTCTGCACATCAGGTGTCTAAAAGTATTCTCACCATTCCCAAAAACGCTATTCCTTTATTTCTGATGCTAAGTATAATTCTCATTTGGATTTGTGGAGGATTAATGTACATGGAAACAAGCTTGAATTTAGAAAATGCCACAATAACTGGTAAGTTGCCGTATGGCGATAATTCATTTTTGTAACAATACGTATTTCAACAAAGGACAAACAATTACTGCTGGATCCTTTGTTTTGAGAGTTGTGCACAGAATCGCTTACCGAGTGGGAGAATATTTCACGTTTTACAGCATTCCACCAGGCGTCCCAGTTAACAACCCCTTACTTACAACAAATGCAGAACTTTTGGCTTATAGACTTCAAGTGAGATCCTACATTGCGGATATTAATAACAAGTTCAACAATTTAGTGTATGGGCAGTACAAAACTATTGGCAGATATGAGAGGATTGATGAGCTGTTGAAAGGTGTTTCGAACTGTTCGTTGCCCTCCAACTCTACGTTTTTACAACGTTATGCAAGCTGTGTTGGATTGGAAAATATGATTTCTATATATGCTAGTCAGACATCCATGCTAAATGATAAGCTGTTCAACAAGGAATATCAGAACAAGACAATCGAAGCGTTCGAAGAATATTTCTTACTCGCTTTAATGGGAGACGCTCTTTCGGACTCTATTAATTATTTCATGAGCTCATTTGCAAAGGAGGCCTCCAATCCAAATCTAGAAATTGGTATTATATTCACTATTATCGGGATCTTGGGCCTTTGTGTCCTTAATTACAACTTTTACACTTCCATGACCACTCATTACAGGCATGTCCAAAGTTTAAGAATGATGCTCAATTACATTCCTCTGAATAACTTGGATTCCAATGAGACGCTTCGTAACTTTGTTTTGCACAACCAAATTCCAAACAAGCTCACGGCGTTCTTACAGAGTCAAAACAAGAAGGACTTTTCCCACAGTGATACATCAGGCATCAGAGCTTTGCTGAACGCATCAGTCGATGGCGCTATTTTGTGCAATGCAAGTGGACTGATAGATCTGATAAACCCAGCTGCACAAAGAATGTTTGGGTACAAACAATCAGATATTGTGGGTATGCAACTTTTCACAGTATTCCAAAAAGGAGATCGAGAAACTATTGAACGTACAATTAATGAGCTTAAATTGAATACTAGGAACAGTCATGACGCTACCTCTGGAGACAGTCTAGAATTGGAATGTGTACGAAAGAATCAGTCCACATTCCCTGCAACCATTAACATGTTTACAGCCAATCTTGGAGGTTCTCAAATACTTGCTTGCGTCATTAAAGATGTTACACAAGAAAAGAAACACAACGCCCTATTGGCAGAGGAAAAATCAAAGTCAGAGCACTTACTTAGAAATATATTACCAGAGGCTGTGGCTGCTAAATTGAAATCAGGCGAGACATTTATTGCAGAGAAGTTCAACGATATTACATGCTTCTTTAGTGACATGGTCAACTTTACGAAAATGTCATCCTCACTCAATCCCTCTGAACTTGTTACCATGTTGAATCACATTGTCAATGGGTACGTCTTTAATTTCTTTGTTTTATCAGCAATATTCGTTATGAATTATTCTAGGTTTGACGCACTGACTGACAAGTATAATTTGGAAAAGATCAAAACCATTGGAGATGCCTACTTTTGTGTTGGTGGATTGTAAGTAGTGTTACAAACTATATTCAACATGCATATAACTGTACATGATGTGAAAGACATTTGCAATCTACTTCAGATCATCCTGAACGTTGTTTGAGGTTTTCTATTGAAGCCCTCACCGTCGTTCATGATTACAACAGAACCAATAGTGATCAGCAAATTAACATTAGAATTGGTCTAAACACGGGAGGTGCAGTGGCAGGTGTGATTGGAACTAAAAAGGTATGTTTGCTAATTTTTTCGATACGTTTGTCACATTTAAAATTGTAAATAGTTTGCTTATGACTTGTGGGGAGACACCATCAACGTAGCTAGTAGAATGGTAAGTATTCTCTGGTGAAGTTATTTTCAATGATCACACATTATTTTTAAAACAGGAATCAACTTCATTGCCAGGTAGAATACACCTCAGTAGATCTACATATGAAAGAGTTCATGATCTGGAGTTTGACTTTGAAGAACGAGCAATAGAAGTGAAGGGAAAGGGAAAGTGTCAAACGTACTTGCTAAAGCCTCACCATCATGTCAACCCATTGTACAATGCTTTGGAAGAGCTGACTAATAATTTCCAAACCAACCTCGAACAACATTCAGATTAAAAATTAATACCTGAGCTGCGACTAGTTCTACATCCTTCGTCTCAACAAGTATTGTTGACAAGGATTGACAAAAGGTGAAGAGTTTTTCCAAATAGAACTTCTCTTCAAGATGTAATGAGGAAGTTAGTATTTCGCAAAAGTTGCATCTTACAAGAAATCTTCGAACCTTTTACTGCTCCGTTACGTTGATTTCTAAGCAAAAGAAGCCCTTGATTGTTCGAACATTAAACTGCGATAAGACATTGTTAACAAATATGAAAAAGGAAATACAAATTTTGTTAAGCGAGTTATGGTTTTACATAATTGTGCTCTTAAAATAAATCACCTGAAGGTGACGATGACATGAGACTTGAATGGCAAAGCGGACAATGATGATACTTGTAAATTTCGCTTTCGACTGCCCGATGTTTACAGATTGGGCATGTCCAAAAATCTTGATCTCCAATATTTCGTCCAGTAACTACACAAGCGTAAAATTGAGCGTTACAAGAGTTGCATGAACCTTCATAATCATAGGTATCGGCTCCACAAGTTGGACATGGCTTCGTTTCTAGATCAATCGTATTTACAGGACTATCTCTGAAAATATCGATGGCGAGTTGTTCATACTTTTCCTTTTCTTCCTCTGTTAATCCTACCATAGATTCCAACTTGATAAATGCTTTAGAGCAAACTTTAAACTCTTTGGCGTAAAATCCAGCAAGAGCGAGTAACGAATATAACTCCTTAGGAGCAAAATATTCCTCATAGCAGGTCACAAGTCTCATTGCAGTATTAAGACAATCAGCTAATTTGAATTCTGTCAGCTGCTTTTGTGCAAGCAAGAAAAAGTGATACGCTTCTGCACCTCTCCATGGGTTTTCAAAATTGGTACCGTCATGAGAAAGCATGGTTTGGAGGGCCTTATTAGGATTCATTCTCATAGTTTGATCGTTTAACAATCTATTTCTATACCTTTCAATTTCAAGAGCAGACAAGACATAAAACTTTTTTGCTCGAAGTGGCGATAATTTGGTCTTTCCTTCTTCTTCAGCTAGCTTGACCAAAATCTTGGCAGATTCTGTGTTTCTATTGGCCTTTTGATAGAGCTCGATGGCTGAAGATAAATCTCCTCGAGAAACCAAGTGATTGGCATACTTGTAGAGAATGTCCTCAATTTCGCTCATATTATGCTTTTCTGCCAGTGTAACTGCTTCGTCCCATTGGTTCAACTCTACACATACGTCGATAGCTTGTTTGAATTTTCCACCTTTCACCAAAGCTTGAATGGCTTGTAATGATAACCCTATAGATGCCAACTTATCACCAATTACAGGAAGCAAAGGATTGTTTTCTGGCAGCTCTTCAATCATTCTTTCAAGAGATTCAAAATCCTCAACTCTATAATAAGCTTCAATTAATTTTTCAAAGTTTCTTGCTTTGACATAGAACTGAATCGATCTATCCCATTGTTGTCTGTCTGAATAAAAATCTCCTAAATGATTAAAAACTTCAACCATGAGCTCATCACTACCATTCATTTCTCTCACCAAAGCGAGTACCTTTTTCCAGTCGCCATACCGTTTTCTGAGATCAATAGCCAAATCTTTTCGGTCAATGGAACGATAAATTTTCTCAGCCTCGTCCAATCTATGAAAATATGCTTCAATCTCTGCCTTTTGTTTGGCTTCATTGTCTAATTGTTTGATTTGTTTAACGAAATAAACACCATGGTAATCTCCACATTGAATGTAAGCCTTATAGGCCATGTCTAACTCGAGATCGGACATGGCTGCTTCAGCCAAAAGTCTCCACAGTCTTGGATGAGGATTATCCTTGACAAATTCGTTAGCATCTCGAAGACTAACACTTCTAATGATTTCTTTAGTGTCTCTCAATGAACGTGTTTCATAAGTAATAACACTGTCACTCTCTGGCATGTCAGGGTTTGCCATAATATCATCCATGAAAACAGCCTTAATTTTCAAATTATTGAATGCACAAATATATGCAGAAGTTACTACAGGTTCTTCAGGAGTTAAATCTCTGAATGTGTACATCTTGGTCTTTTCCATAATTGCAAATAATGAGGGATTGTCATCTGACCATCTCATATCCCAAACGTCTTTCTTTTCCAATTCTGATTTCTCTGCAGTAATATTTCCCTTCTTCTTTTTCTTATCTGTTTGATTCAATGATGAGACTGAAGTTGGAGGTGATGATACATTGTAAACTTGGAATGTACTGTTAATATCAATAACAGACAATTTGGTACAATCACAATTTACAGCAATTTTCAAAGGTCTACAGAGTATAGAGAATGATCCAACAAATGAAAGTGTTGGTAGCAAAGTGTATACATTTACAGTTCCTGACTCTCTTGAGACTATCAGATATTTCTCGTTTGCAAATATAGAGCAGATAGCATCTTCAGTTGTTGTTGATTCTAATTTCGTTTCATCTTCAACCTTTTTAAATTTGTTCTGGTCAATGTGTAACAAGTATTGTTCAGATTCTGCCTTTAAATTTAAGATATTTCCTTGATTTGCTTGCTTTGGTCTATAATTCCAAATATAAACATTACAGTCCGAGCAAACAACAACATGATACTTGGTCATGGCAACATGCTTTGGCTCAACAGACTGGAACTTTGTTTCAACAGGACTACCTATCGAGTTACAAATAATAATTACAAATGCCTCCTTAGGTGCCTCTGTTTTCGTCAGCAACACACAATGCTCGCCACATGCATCTAGGGCCAACAACTTTTTGATGTATTTGACATACTTTTGACGTGTCTTGTAATTATAGAAAACTACGCACTGTTCAGGTCTTTCAATCTTGGTAAAAGCATAAACAATTGTTTTAGAGAAATAGCCCCATCTGTAACTTGGTCTCACGTTGGCAAAGAAAAGGTTTGCGTCTACTGCAAGAGCAAGCCGTAATCCTGTACCCTCCCAAGTCACACTTTTCACTCCACTTCCTGATACTTTCAGTGTCTTTAAGTGTTGTCCATATGGATTATAAAATTGAACAACAGCAACAGTCTTTCCCTCCACTTCTTGTTGACCAGCAAGAGCCAACACAGTTCCTGAAGGATTCCACTTGGGTTCATTAATGGTCATGCCTGTATCAATCAAAACAGGATCATCATCTAAATCTCCTCTCATCAGCTGACATCTTCCGTTTCTATAGCAAATTGCCAATGTTGGTGCATTCAAATCAGGATATCCTTCTCTTCCATCATACCAGTCCACACCAGCCAGAGAATTTACAACACCTTGAGAATTTTCAACACAAGTAATATTGATGGAATGCTATGTTGTTATGAGATTATTCATCAATTTAAAGTAAATATGTAATTAATATTCCGAAGCATTGTCTTTACACATACCAATTTAATTCCAGAATTTGAATCGAATAGCCAAACTTCTCCGTTAGATGTTCCGAAAAGTAAGTATCTTGCATCTGGAGACCATTCCACATGTGTCAATTGAACTTTGAGTGCTTTTCCCCAATTTCTGTTTCCGTCAACACCTCCAACAATAACAGCTCCTGTTTGTTTCGAATCATTTTTGTTTTACGAGATTAATGAAAAACTTACCATCATCATACACAATACAAATCTTCTGTCCGTCACTTGACCATTTCAAATCTTTGACAATGGCGTTATCTCGGTTATTTAACATTTCCTCATCCCATTCTTTCTTTTGCTTGTTGTAATACCAAACAATAATCAATCCGTTGGCGTCACTTGAAGTTAGTTTTTCATTTTCCTCGTTCCAGCTCACTCTCATGACTGTACTAGGTTGGTGATCCTTACTTTCCTTTCCCATATGCCCTGTTAATGATTGATTGGCATCGAGAGATGTTGGAGCTGTGACTCCTCTCTGATTAACATCAGCCTTGGTTTCAAGTTTCAACACTTTAAGCAATCCACCTTCACCACCACAAGCGATCCATCCATGATAACGGTCCCATGAAATGTGATTGAGCTTGAGGCCATTCGGGATGCTCACTTTCTTGTTTAGATAGACCCACATGATTGTATTGAGAAGGTGTTGCTATTGTATTTTTTAATTTCCAAAGCAACACTCGATGGTTCAAAGGTCAATTTTTTTGTAGTTGGAAATGTGTGTTGTATGTAAAAAGGCGCCAAGCAAATTGACCATCTCCTGACATTTGTGTCCTTGCTGTTGGTTTATTGAATCCACACAGGCAGGAAAATTAAGGTCGACATCTACCCATGTAACGTGGATACAAGCAAGTTTGTCTCACTGTCTTGACTCTTCTCTTTTCCTCGTCTTCCTCTCGTAACAACCACAGCATATATCTTTCAAGACCTAAACCATAACCACCATGAGGACAAGTACCATATTTTCTTTGGTCACTATACCAGTAGTATGGTTCAGCACTGATTCCTTCCTTCTTGTATCCCTCCATAAGAGTCTCATAGGATTCGAGACGCATACTTCCACCAATAACTTCACCAACACCTGGAAGCAACAAGTCAACAGATTCAGTCAGCGAGTTATCGTCTTCACATCTCTTCATGTAGAAAGCCTTCATGTTAGCTGGGAATTTAATCATGAGAACTGGTTCACCAATCTTTTCCAACATCTTTCTTTCTGGTGCGTCAGTAATGTCATCACCAAATTCAAAGAGTTCTTTTGTTTCTTCATCTTTGTAAACTTGATTGTCTCTACAGAATTGAATACAATCAGCATAAGTCATGCGTTTGAATGGACGCTTGAGACAATCCTTAAGCTTTTGAGCGTCAGGGTTAACCTTCAACACCAAATCCTTGCACTTTGCCCAAACTCTTTCTGTGACATCACAAACCAAATCCTCCAAAGTATTCAATAAATCTTCAAAAGAAATGAATGGTCTCTCTGCCTCAACATGAGTAAATTCACTCAAGTGACGTGGAGTGTCAGACTTTTCTGCACGATATGATTGAGCAATACAGAAACTGTCTCCAATTGCAGGAATAACTGTTTCCAAATATAATTGACTTGATTGCGTCAAATAAGCATCCTCGCCAAAGTAATCAAATTTGAAAAGTGTTGATCCACCCTCAACTTGAGTTTGAACAAGAGTTGGTGGAGTGATTTCAGTATAACTTCGTGAATAGTAGTGCTCACGGAAGCTTTGTAAAACTGCTGAACGAATCTTTAAAATAGCTGAAGTATATTCTCCTCTTAAAATCAAATGTCTTTGGTCTAGCAAAATAACTGGATCTTTAACTTCTTCGTTGAAAGGAAGACTTTCTGGTGATGTTCCGATCAATTTCCAGAAATCAGCTTGCAATTCAAAGCCCATTGGAGCTCTTGGATCAGCCTTCAATGTACCTTTGATCATGACCGATGATTCCAAGTGAAGAGTCAATGCTTCATATGTTTGACACAAAACACCACTTAACACAGTTTGAAGCAAGCCAGTACCATCTCTGAGAGTGATGAATAAAAGTCCTTTTCCTTGGATTCTAATTCTATGGCACCAACCATAAATCATCACACGTTGTCCTTCATATTGTGGGCCAACATCTTTGATTTTGATGTGTTTGGCCACTGGAAGTGACGTGTCTTCTTGGAACGAAATTTTCTTGGCTTCTTCAAGCTTTTGTTGTTGTTGTTTCTCCTTTTCTTTAGACTTTTCTCTTTCTTTTTGCATCTTTTCAACTCTCTTTGACACCTTCTTGGATTGGGATTTTGCCATTGGTCTGACTTCAAAGAATTTCGTAACCAGAGAACACAACTCTTCAGATTCGCCTCCTTGAGCAAATCCTGCTTCTCTCAGCGAAGTTTCGTTAACATCCCCGGAATAATTAGCTTGTTGTTTTGCCTTTTCGACAATACCATTGAGGAGTCCTTCAATAGTTTTTTCTTGTTCTTCGCTCCATTCTTCTTTTAATGATGATTCCTTCTCATCTTGAAGCTTCTTGTTGGCCTCGGTAAAGAAGGTAATCAACAAGGTGAGTGGGAGTTGTTCCGTTGATGATGATGAACTCATTTTTGCAAACCCTGAGATGGTGAATATTTTTTAATTTCAAGGAAATCATAATTCACTTTTAAATTAAAAAAGAACAAAAAGTGACGTGGTTTTTGCAACTTGCACTAGTTTTTAATAAGTTTAAATTCAAAGTTGAATAACATGGAAATTCAGATAACCCCATCACTTGAACTACCATCCATCTTTTTATTATTGATCATGAAATTTTTAACCCAATTAACATAACAAGCAACCCAACAATCGTTCAAACATTCAAGGGATACACTGATCTACCTCACTTGCCTTCTAGGTTCGAGGTTTCAATCCAAACTTTTGGGTTGTTGAGGAAATCAATGGGTTGGTTGCTTTGCCTTCTTCTTTATTCTCCGTAAGAAGCTTGTTCAAAATGTCAAGTATTTTCAAAAGAGAAAAAGATCCCTTTGTTGAACAACTTCTCTCAAGTGTCTTGTGTTCTCTCGTTCTTCGCTAAAGAGTATCGATCACCGTGAGAAAACAAAGAAATTAAATAGCAGTGTTGAATAGTGCACCTCAAACACCTATTGACAAGTTGGACAAACAAATTCCATAAGATTCATCTCATAGTGTGTACTGTCAAACATTTTCTATTAGGGATAAACTCACCGTATCTGCTTTAAACGTCATCTTTCAATCTGATTAAAAAGAAAAACGCTCTCTTGCCAACATAATTTCTTCACCACACCTCATACAACAGTCAAATTATCTCTCCTTTTTTAAAAACGCATTGCAGCGTGTCGGTTTGTTGCTTCATTCCGACAACCATAGTACTACAAAGCATTCTCATCATCTCTATTTGACTCTTTAGAGTTGTTTTCCGTCAATAATAACAACAACACAAGAACCTTGTACGTGTGATTTAGACACTATCTCTCCATCCTATCTCTCTCTCTTTTCTAGAAGTTATTATTGGAATCTTTTGACAATCTTGAGAACAATGCCTGTCAAGAAACTGTTTAGTTTTACGCATAACAATCATCAACAACAACAACACAATAACCAACATTCCACGACAACAGCAGCAGTAGTACCAGTACCACAGGACTTTCCTGTGTCATCATCGTCGTCGTCGTCTGACAATTTCACAACAACCAATAATATGGTCAATCACAATAACAACAACAACTCCCAATTTCTCTCTTTTAATTCTTCCAACGTTCATCCCTCTCAACAACAACAATTCCTTCAACAATTCCAAAACTCTACCAATCCACAATTCCATTCATCACAACAACAAACTATGAATCATTTCAATCAATTCCAATTTTCGAGTCATGGTAATGCTCAAAATATGATGAACAACAATGCCATGATGATGAATAATCACTCGTTTAATAATAACAACACGAGTGGATACAATAACAACAACAACAACACCAGCATTGCTTTTCAACAACAGCCACCTCCACCTCCTCCTCCTCCTCCAACACTCATGATGCCTTCTTCATTACCCATGAATTATCACTCGATCCATAACGTTGTGTCGTGTGGAGTAGGAACGCAAGCACAACCTCCTCCCAACATGTTGAACTCTTCAACACAACCACCAACCATCATGTACGGACCAACAACAAGTGTTACTTCTTCGACCATGAATGTTGTTGGGATCAATACCATGGCGATGGGGGGAGCAAGTTCATTATCTGGTGTTGTTGGAAACCAAACCATGTCATCAACCACCACCACCACCACTACGAATAACGGTCAAATGAATACTAATAATCATACGAATACTAATAACAACAACACTAATAACAACAACACTAATAACAACAACAATGGTCACGTGAATACCACCATTACGAGTAGTACTACTCCAAAATACACACCATGCATTAGGTGGTCCTGTGCTCCAAGTACTGCCATTCCCATTACTCTTGTCAATTCCAATAATTCTTCGGGAGGTTCTATTGGAGGAAATGGATCATTATTCAACTCTGAGAACATGATGGTAGATTCAAACTCACTTTCTCAAACACTCATTGATCACAATTTCACAGCTGAGGATTTAAAAGTCATGAAGGGAAATCCACTCATTCACACCAAATTGTTTTGTCTGAGTGACCAAACATTACGTGATTTTCCATATTTGCGTCCGAGTGTACAAACTGACAATTTATATCATTTCATTGAAATGGAGAATGAATCGTCGTGGTTACCCAATGATCGAATTGCTCCTAAAAAAACAAGTCACAACTGTTTGGTGAATGATTGGTTGGTATTTTGTAGTCAGGATCCTCAATTATTGAAATTAGTGGGTAGATATATTGGTTCTTCAAACAATTCATCTGCTGATGTTCAATTATTTGCTGACTTTGTTCTCGTCACAAGTAATAATCATGATGAAGACAGTCGAGAGAGTTTATTCGGAAAACAACGTTTCAAAGGAGGTATTCCACTCCAAATGAAACTTGTTCGTTCACTAAGTACAAACAATTCACAAAATCACTCCAATTCTATCACACCCAATGCCAACATGTCTCCACTCTTATATTTTGAAAAGAGAATCAATCGAGAATCTGTGAATAATAAGGATGCTCCAAGTGCAAGTGGAATGGGAGGTAAACGAGTTGCTCAACTTCGAATTTACCTCAAAGACAAGGATCAAGAAATTTGTTTGGTTCATTCCGAAGGTTTTTGGGTGAGAACCAAAAGTCGTGAGGAAGTTCACAGAACCTCTTCATCAGCGAATGTGAAAGGATCTAATGGTACTGAATCAGTGGTGAATGATGGAACAGCACAATCGACGAATTCGGCAACGAATAATAACAATGGTGCGACAACCTCTAATTCACCTGCAACCTCTAACTCCTCCTCACTCAACACGAAAAAGAAAAAATCGAGTTTTGCAGGATTTGCACTCTTTCATGGCAATGGAGGTCGAATGAAGAGAGAGGCAGAACATTCTGCAGAATCGAACACTCCAACCACGACTTTACAAAAGAACAACACACTATTCAATGTGCCTCAACAACAATCCTCAGTAAGCACAGTGCAGTCTCAACAACAGCCGCAACAACAACAACCAAATATCGTTTTCAATTCAGCGTCACAATCAAATTCTCAACAACATTTTCAAAATTCTAATTTGGATCCTGCCTCCATTCCAAACATGTCAAGTTCAGCAAATAGTTATGGATCCTCGTCTTATCTAAGTAATAGTGGAAGTTCTGCTTCTTTTGCAAACTCACAAAACAATGGTCCTTATTTGGTTGCTAATGGAAATTATCAAAATATGGCTGGAAATATTTCACCACTTCAACACAACAATAATTATCATCATCCACATTATCATCAATCGAGTGGAAGTATGGACTCGAGCATGATGACCAATGGTCTCGCCAATGCATTTTCTGACCAATCCGATTATTCTTCACTTGGCTCAACTCCAAACACCACCAGTCACTTGTCACAACCAAGCATTACTTCATTGGACATTGTAGAAGTATTACGTAATTTATCCATTTCAATTCCAAATAGTGCAGGAACACCTGGTACTCATTCACGACATTCTTCCTTCACATCTCCCGGTGGATTAGCCGGAAGTGCAAGTTCCACCTCAAGTTCTTCCTACTTTTTACAAAATTCAGCGGATAATAATCCTACGGTGGGAAGTTTTGGTGGACTTCAATCCTCAATGGACACTTCTGGTGACAATCTCGATGCGACTATTCAGAAATTAGATGCTGCCATTAATTTATTTAATTCCATGAAAGATGCCTGTCTTAAAATGAGAGATAATCAATCGAATGGTGACCATTCCATGACACCCACCAATCTTAATGAAATTTATGCTCAATTTAATTCTTCGATTCAAGACAAGCGAAAAGATAAGGGTCACAAAAGAGTTCGAGGCAACAATGAAGGAGCTGCCAATGAGACTCTGTATTCATCTCCTCAAATTCAACAGAAAAATCATTCATTGAACGTTCAATCTTTCGGAAGAGTCGCTTCATCTTCTGCTCCCAATGCTTCCACGTTTAACTTTAATAGTACTCCTACTACTACTACGGGTTCATTGATGGGAAATAATTTAACAGTCATGAATCATGGTCTCTCTGGTAATCACGTTCACACAAATACCAGTTGCAACAATAACAACATGTCAAGCAGTATGAACAATTTAAGCACAATGAATAATAGTACTCATCCACTTTTCCAAAATTTGAATAATATTCAACAAAATCATTTGAATTTCAATAATAATCATGGAGGAGTGACAATGGGCGCTGTGGGTGGAGGTACAGGCAATTTCCTGACGAATAATTCTAATGCTGTGACGAATGAGAGAGGTCCACACCATGCGGTCGTTAATTTTGATGGAGCTGAATTACCTCAATCTCTGTTTAATACTTCAGGATCAGATCCAAACGAGGATATCTTTCAATTGTAAACAAATGCTGCTGTATACACGCACATTTAAAACATGAAACAACCTTCATGTTTGATAATTATTTCAACTATAAACTCTCATGATTTAATCTAAGGTACTACGTGTATAAATGACTACTGTTGTAATGGACTACTTCTCTGGTCCGTGGAGTTTAGTTGTTATTATCATTCCAAAGAATGGAATTGCCTTCAGATGGTCTGTCACCAAATTTGTTTTTGGAAATTTTCCAAATCGTCCATCCCTTTATAAAAGAATCATGTAGCAGACGTTCATCGCAGAAACGCTTAAACACAAAAACAATTGTCACAAGCTATTACATTACTCTGTTCACCCTTGAAGATTAGATAAAATGAATCAAAATCAAAAGATGATGTTGTTGGGCGGTGCAGCCGCCGCCGCTGTTGGATATTATTGGTACAACAATAAGAAAAAGATCAAAGGAGAAGCCAAAAAGTTAGAATCCTCTATTGGTAAGCAAATGGAGAGTGTTGGCAAATCGATGGAAAAGGAAGGAAAGAAAATTCAATGAGCACTCTACGAATGGATCTAATATGTATTGCAAATAATGGAACAAATAAATGCAAGAACTCAATTGTACTGTTTTGACAGTTCTGATTGGCGTTGTTAGGCATTTAATATTCTTGCCATTTTGGATCTATTTACAAAAATTGTTGCTTCGATTGTGACTCATCCAGTGAACCAGTTCAGCACCATTACAAATTCATGAAAATGCACAGCTTGATTTCCATCTTTGTCTAATGATTTGAGTGTATCTTCAAACGAATCCAGATTGTTGTACTTGGTGTTTAAAATATTGTAAAATTGTCTGAACTCGTCAGATGAAAGGCAAGCATCCTTGTCCTGGTCGAAAGATTTAAACATTTTAGCTGCGCTGACAAGCAGCGCCAGTTTTTCAGGTCTCAAAATTCCTTTCTTGCTTGCAAGTGCTTCCCAGCATTCATAGAACTCTTTGAAGCATAAAGAATTGCTGCCATCTTTATCTAAAAACAAGTGAATTGCTTCTGTTTCGTCTTTTGAGAACTTGAAACCCATATCTGACAAAAGGTTATCTAGCTCACTCAAATCCATCTTGTCGTCATTATCAAGATCGTATTTTCGGAATAATTCTTCTATGATCGCCTTCTCCTTCTCTGATATTTTCTTCATTGTGATGTCTAATTATACTTCCCCGAAGAATACAATCTCAATTTCTGTATCAGCAAAGGAAATTTGCGCTTTTTTTTGTAAATAAGAAAAACTGTAAATTTGAGGGCAAGTTCATGAACACAAGAGATGTTGTTGCAAAAATGTTACATTTATCATCAATATCACCATCAACATTACTTGCCAAGAACTTGATAAGCAATTCTCAGCCCCTTTCTTCTTGGTTGATGATTTGCCAATGCAAAGAATGTATTTTGGCATAAATCCAAATGATTGCTTCGGGCACATGGATTATGCTTTCCCTTACAAGTATTACATGGATGGCTCTTTGGACACACGTTATTCACTGTCATAATAATTGGCTCGGACGTCTTACAAGCTCCTGGAGCAGTATCAGCACACCATAATTTAATTTTGATTCCGCATCCTCCTTTCTTACATTGAGGAGCCTGACAACTGGGTCCATAGCAATAACCTTTGGCACAATTTTGGCATGTCTTGGAAGCGCTTGCTCCCCAACAAGGACCTACTCGTTCTCCAAGTCCCTTAAAGGCATCGGATGGAGCTCCACAATAATTGGTTTTGAATCCACAAACAGGAGTTCCAGCTGCCTTTTCGTCATACCATGTGGCATAGGCAATTTTACGACCTGATGCATCAGAAGAGCCTTTCGAGCCTCCTTTGTCATTATTACTGTTGCTGGAGGAAGACCTCAAGGAGGCGCGATTTCCCTTTCGCCATTGCATGCTCACACGAACTGCTTTACCATTTTGTTTAATAACTGTAAATTTCACTTGTGAATTGGTTGGAATTTCTTTGGTTGTCTTGGCAGTGAAATAGGACTGTGTCGAGTCCCACGAAGGAGATGTAGCAAACACTGTTTCAGTTTGTCCACCAGAACTAAATGTCACTCTAATTCTTTTGGTTACTCTGGGTGGTGTAACTTTTAACTGAATCCACCAGCCATTACTCTCTGGTTGAATAGTGAGAGTGGTGGGTGGTTTTGGAGAAAGATCGGTGAGTGTGTCGAAAAGCTCAGCATAGGACACTTGAGCGATCACGAGAAGCAAAAAAACAATGCAAGCGAGCTTGGCACAACGCTGTTGCGACATTTTTTGTGTGATAATTGACATTTTAACAGGCGAACATTATAATTGAAATCTTATTGACTTTCGTCATTCGTTTCTTGAGGGAGTTGTTGAGCATTGTTCTCATCATCTGTTGTGTTCGATGTATTTCGAAGCTGACTCAGTGCATTTTCTTGAGGTTGTTGCTGTTGTACAAATACTACATGATCGTGATGTTTTGCGTTCAAAAGATAGGTTTTGACTGTGCCCTTTCCTTTCACGTCCACTTCTCTCTCCTCGAATTCATATCCCAAATCGAATACACGCGCATAGGTCGATCTGGAGACTTGAATACGTCCGTTCAAACTTGTAGATTCCTGGTTGAAAAATTATGTGTCATTGAAAATGAATAACATCACTAGAGAATACTCACCATTCGAGAAGCGACGTTGATGGTGTCACCCCACAAGTCATAGGCAAACTATTAAGGTATTATAGGAATATTAAATATGTCATTGAACACACAACATACCTTTTTGCTACCAATCACACCGGCAACAACTGGTCCGGTATTAATTCCAACTCGAATGTTGATATTGTCTGGAATATCAATATGCTTATTGGAATTATAATGGTGAATGACACCAAATGTTTCAATGGCAAATTTTAGAACTCTCTCTGGATGATCAGATAAGGAATTATGCAATCCACCAACACAAAAGTAAGCATCTCCAATAGTTTTGATCTTTTCCAAGTCATATTTTTCTGTCAATGCATCAAATCCATTCACAATAGCATTCAGCATTAACACTAAATCTGATGCTTGAAGATTGCTACTAATTTTGGTAAACCCAACCATGTCACTAAAGAAGCAAGTAATATCATCAAACTTTTCAGCAATAAATGAATCTCCTCCCTTTAAACGATTGGCCACTGTTGTGGGAAGGATATTTTTGAGTAAATTGTCAGATTTTTGTTTTTCCTCGTTCAATAATGCAGTTTGCTTCTTTTCTGAAGTAATGTCTTTGAAGGTGGCAACAATTGAGCAAGCATCTTTGCTATCCAACTTCACGACATAGATATTAATTTTAGCTGGAAATTTGGTTTGATTTTTCCTAATGCAATCAAGCTCAATAGTTTCTACAAGTTGATTTGTGAAAACTTCATCTTCTTCAATCTCTTTCAAGTTATGTGAACTTTCATGTTTGTGGGTGGCAAAGAGTCGTTCCACCTTTTTCTTCACAGAATCTCTACATGCAGGATCAAATAATTCGTACATTGGTCTTCCTAAAATATCAATCAATTTCAGACCAAACATTCTCAATCCAGCATTGTTGAAAACTTCAACCTCTCCATTTTGTTTACACATCATGGTACCTTCAACACTAGAGTTGAAAATAATTTTCATGTCATTGAAGGCATCTTCGACATGGGCCCTTTGTTTTCGTGAGCTCTTCTTTTTGGTCTTTTTGTCCACTGAGTGGTACATGATAAAGTTTCTCAAGCTTTCATTCTTCATCATTACTTCAACTGGAACGTAATTAATCATCATTCTCAAGCAATGTAATTGATTCCAATAGATGGAAGAAAATATACTAAAGACTATTACACACAGAGAAGCAACCACAATTCCAAATATGGAAGCAACAATGACAACAGTGGAAGATGGATCAGATGAAGCTTTCACAAATTCAGAAATAAATGTCACAAATTTGGTGATTAATGGTAGTGACATTCTCATCAAATTATTGTGTTTCATAGCCATTGGAACTTGATCCAATAAGGTTCCATTGACAAGAGCCTTTTGTTGTTCAATATATTGTTTTCTAGAGTCAGTAGATACTTGTGGACATGCTGATAAAAAGTCAGTAAGTACTGATTCTAAACCTTTGCAATACAATAAATTGCTTGCATACGTGTAAGAAATGTTGTTTTTGATCATGTAATCGGTACAATTATCCATACCAATGGTTATGAGCTTATCTACTGTTGGATAGATACCAAGAACTGGTTGTGAGGTTCCATCTCCGTAGACCAATTGTGTAATGGAAGTACTCACTGAAAGTGTTCGATTCAACACTCTTTCAAAAAGGATATCCAAGTTCTTTCTATTAGGCCACAATCGCATGTCTCCGTACGTGACTGTTCTATTGAATTGGTAGGCCAGGACTGAATTTGGTTTAGAAATTTCACTGACTGCATAGTACGTGTTGATTTCACCAACTTCAAATGCTAACCTTTGCAGTGTTGAAGCTAAATGTTTAAAATTGCCGTTCAAAACAAGTTGTCACATTATATGTTAATAACATACCTGCTTGAATGGTGAGTCGAACGTTGGACATGACTCTTGACGATATCTGTGCATTCCAATAACTTTCAATGAAAACCATAACTCCACAACAGCAAACAGAAATGGTAATCAGTAGCAATGAGGCTACCAAAGTTATATTGGGCTTGTACTTGTTCAAGGCAAATGTGTTGACATTTGTAGCAGCTTCATACTCGGTTCTCTTGCTTAAATGATGGAATATTTTTCCAACCACATCTTTTGGAAGAGAATATTCGAATAGTTTCACCAACTGTCCCATAATTCGTAACTCTTGAACAATATAAACAAAATACATGGCGCTTATGACTAGAAATATTCCAAGAGAAATAGAGACAAACAGCGCAAATTGAAAGACGGAATTTGAAATGATGGATACTGATCTATCGAGGTATCTTTGACAAAATGTTTCAAAAGCACTATTTTGTGACAGATAGCTGAGCAAGACAGTTTGTTTAGCAAAAAACTCACCTTGTAAATCCGTTCCTATTAAGCCATAAAAACATATAGTTGTAGTTCTGAGTGGGATTGAAATAAATATGGTTGGCAACTTGATTCAACATTTGATTTCTTGTTTGACTTGACATGTTACCGTGTTCAATAGTCAAAAGCAAAGTGTCTGGATATTGAGACATGAGTGCTTCAGTATACTTGATCATCATATTGGTAATTTCAACTATTGAGGTGTTTCTGATAGAGCTTGTTCCGGTATACACGCTCGTTTGTGTACTATCTTCGTTGGGTATTTGCATCGTATAAATATTTGAAGAATAGTCTGAATAAATGTCTGAATCAAATACATTCTTTTGGCCCACTTGTAGTAGTTTTTTCAACACGATCACATCACTTGCAAGCCTGCTCTTATGATCCACAATATAAAACTGTTTGGTCACTGTAGGAAATCCTTCATTCATGGCTGGCCATGGATACTCAAACAAATAAAAAACATTGATCCAGTTTTGTGCAGCTCGAATATTTCTCAGTACAGAATTAGGTATGTTTCCTGGGGCCAAAATTACAATATTGTACTCCAAGGTCAATACTTACCTGGTAGGCAAACTTCTTGAAGATTGGGTACGTTCACTTTCACGCTTCTAGAGTAATAAATACTAAGTCCAATGGATGCAATAATGATAGCAAAGGCTAATGCAAAGTACAAAACGGAAAAAAGAGTGGACGCTCTATGTGATTTTGGTACTGCAATTGCTTGCCTGAATAAACTTTCTTTTTTCGCTTGAGGACTGTCAAATGCGCTCTGCAAAGATTGGGAGTCTTCTTCGGTTGCTGAGTGGAGATCTTGATCCTCTTCAAAATTGCTGCTCACCTCATATTTGCCACCGCCTTCAGAAGGAGTTATCTTGTTTCCTTTTCTTTGTTGATAATGTGATGTATTTACTGACATTTTACGTCTTCGTTTTCTCATCTCTTCTTCCTCAATAGTATTGGCTTCGGAGAACAATGATTGAGCTAGCTCCTTATTGAATTCAAAAGTTTCTGCAAAATTTGCGTATAGACGGAGAACTGTCTTGTTATTAGAGTAATTGAAAAACAAGGATGTTAAAATCGTTTTGCATTCACTGGTCAGCGTAAAGATTTTTCGATTAATTTTTTCGATTGAAGCATAGTTCAATTGCTCACCAGCAAGCTCTTTCCAAAAATCTCTATGCAAGCTTAGTAGCATGTTTTGATTCTTTGAAAGTTTTTCAATTTGTGTGGCCACATCAAACAAGTTATTAGAGGATTGAGACATGACTTCCACTTCTCTCATTCGTTCCTGAATGAAAAATTTTTGAACCATATTTGGATGCTGTTTCATGGCTCTCTGCAACAATGTTTGAGCAAAGACAGAGCTGTTGCTGTCTCCATGAAGCTTGAATTGAACTATTTTAGCTGCATGAGTTAGAACTTCCATGTCACTGAACGATTTTTGCTGAGCTACTCCCTTAATAAAGGCCAATGCAATGTCAGAATCAAAATATTCTTCTGAAGCATCTGATGTTGTGGCTACTCTGCGTATCTTTCCATTTTTGAGACATAATTTTAAGAATAGTCTCAACAGCGATAATTTACCACTTTCTTCCAAGTCCACATACATTGATACGGCCAATTTTTCAATGACATAAATAAAGTTCTTTTCCGTTTCAGTTTGAGGATAAGCGGCGGCTGCTTGCAAAAAAAAGTCTCTCATTCTGTGGAGTTGAATTCTTGTGTAGAGCTCCATCACTACTGCTCCAGAAATAAATGCAATGACCATTAAACCAATGGTCATTCCTGCAAATCCCGCACCCATGTCGTCGGAAATTACAGGTGCGTTTACAGAGGCTGAAATGAGGGATCCAACACTTGCTGCAGCTCGTGCACACACAAATCCAAAGTATAACGCATTTTCAAATCTTCTCAAGAACGGAATGCAATAGAGCATGACAAATACCATGAGCAAACTTAATACAACATGAAATGCTGCAGAACCATAGGAATATTGTTGAGGCACAACAAACGCAACAAGTAATTGCAGCAAACTGCAAATATTCATCAAACATGGTACAACAGAATTCTCTATCAGTAGTGACGTTTTGCTATGTGGATTAGAGTTGGTAATAATGAGCTCGCTGACAGGAACTAGTACCAATAATACTAGGATAGAAACTGAGCTTGTGATCATCATGGCCATATTACTGGCCTCGGCGCATGCAACAGTGGGAAATCGATTAAGGGCTTGCATAGATGTGGTTACTAGAGATCCTCCTGAAATGACGCTGACATCTACTGTTTTCGAAATGTTACAATCAAAAAATCCAACAAGCACGTAGGTAAAGAACAATGAAAATGTTCGTAACAGCAAGCTATAATGGTTGACAAATTTCTTCAGCCTTTTGAAATATTTTGTTGGTTTGAAGGTATTTCTAAAAGCCAAAACAATGCATGCCAGATAGGTAAAGATCATTACAACAACTACTACTGCTACACCAACAGCTGCCCAATAAGGAATCAAGTGAGTGAGGAACGTTGTTGGAAAATTCAACACTGTGAAAATGTAATTTCCATATTCTCCCCACTGGTAGTCACGAAGAGTTGTCACAAAAAGTTGAGTCCATATCAAATAAACGTTCAAAAAAGCATGTATCCCTATTGCCTTCCATCCTTTTTTTGGAGACTTGTCCTGCAACGAAGTGATGGTTGTACTTGTGAGTGTAATGGTTTGAGAAGCAATCGACGTGTCTGAACCTGTTGTATTGCTCAAGCTGCCCTCTGACCCAATAATGGAATTTTGATTCTGTACAATACTACCATTCATCACGTTGGGTATGTCGAACGTGGGTGAATTTGGTGATGCTGGCGTTTCGTCAGAGATTTTATATCCTGACATTCTCACAGAAAGACGATCCTCTGCTGATGTGCTATGTGGCATGGTGGTTATTATCAATGTTTTTTAAAATCGTTGACGGCCGATTCTTTTATAAATTGTAGTTAATCCATCATGATTCGGAATGATGCCAAATACAAAATTCAAAAGAAGACCAGTTCAACTGATCTTTACCGAGTAAAAAAGTCCAGGTTCGCGAGATACTATCTCATTTACATTGGATTTACACAATGGGTCGCACGGCGTTAGAACATTTCGGGTTGGAGATTGAGGGCTCGAGAAAGGTTTATTTTTTAATTGTGATTTGCGTGAAAGCATTCTTGGATGCTGTGGCAGAGATAGATAGTGTCATTAGTATGCGCCAACCCAACTACAATTTTTACCCTTTTCAAGTCAAATGAAATATTAATTTTGGGGTTTGACAATTAAGAACTGCGAACCAAACCTCATCTATGGGAGTCGATCAATTTTTCATGTTCATGAAACAAGCACACGAATTGATGGAGCTCAAATTTAATTGAACTGTGGAATTTCCAACTTTTCCACTAATGCATTACCAGAAACAGAATATTCAAAAGCAGAGCTTGAGAGTGATCCAAAATATGGAATGTGCACGTGATGGCTTTGATTGTTCGCAAGCCATTCAATTCCTTCATATAAACCATCACCACTGATGGTACAAGTTGCTTGAATGAACCACGCTCTTGAATGACATAGTTTGGACAACATCATTTCATCACAAATGGATGAAACACTTTTGGCTGAAGGTAAATCCTGCATGTTAGCATACACGAGCACTGGACACTGTGTAGGTAATTCAGAGATGATATGAGTCAAATATTCAGTGGCTAATGGAAGACGATCACCATCATTGCTATTCACGACAAATATCAATGCATCTATTTGTTTGCAATGGTCTTTCCATAATAGAGAATCTTTGAGTGTTCCTCCAACCTCAGTCTAACACGAGTTGTTTAGTATATTATACGAGGTTTCAATATTGATGATAAATTGAATGAACACCATCCATTGGAGGCATAAAATTTGAAACATATATAGAGGCAGAATTGAAACCAAACATATATAAATACTTGAACCTCATGATAGACACAACAACAAACTTACCATCACAACATCAACATTCCTATAAGAAATGGTTTCTGTTACAATTCCAGAGGTAGGTACTGTCAGAACAACCTCTCCTAATTTCATCTTGTACATGATTGTCGTCTTTCCAGACTCGTCCAAACCCAATAAAGCACATGTTAGCTTGATGTTCTTTTTACCTTTTGCCATGTTCTCGATTAATTTCGAGTGATCAAGATCTTCTTGTTTCCACTTGCTTTCAGGATAACGTCCATGCGATCTCAATAATACTTTCACTAAAAGATCTTGCAATTCATCTCTACATTCTTTAAATTGATTGGAATCTCCAAAGTTAATAAATCCCTCATAAACAATATGATACAGATGGTCCGTACAATTACATAAATTAATGTAATCTCGAATTAAAGAACAAGCGTCCACATATCTTGCTTCACAATCTTGTATCATCCATAAGAATACTGTTTGTAAAATTGAAGTGTCATCGTTTGTTTTCAACTCTTCAATATGCAATTTCCAAGCAATCACAATGGATTTGAACAAATCAAACGGCATTTTCCCAATCGTCTTGAAAAAGATGTTACATGGAGAGAGAATGAATAGGTGACAAAAATAGTCAGTCTCTTTCACGAAGGGACATTTCAGTTTGGCCAATTGACCCAATTCACTCTTGGTGGTAATTTCATTGTACTTTTTATCCATTTCTTTTGTCGTTAAAGATTCTTGATGATAAATGGGAAGTGAAATGACACAATCGATATTCGTGGCAATGACAGTGGAGGCAGAAGGAAAGATGAGTGTTTTGCAATCTTCACTCAAATCCACAGCAGAAAAAGCCACTGGCAATGCACAATATTGGTTGAGAACTTTTGAGATGGCTCTTGTTAAACTTTCCACTTGATACTCGTCCGCAATTCGAAGTAAACCAATTAAATCTTTCAATCGAATGACATTGGGTGTCTTGTCTACTGAAACGAATTCACAATCTGGAACACCCAAAGAACCAAGATGAATAAACTGAATCATCATTTCAAAATCATGGAATGATGCACATTCAACAGTGGTCACATTCGTTCTTGATTCAATCATACCACTTTTGAGCATGCTTTCAAAAACTTTGCAATGTTGAGTGATAATACTCTTGTTCACATGTAATTCACGGTTTGTGTTCAATGATTTGATGATAAATGAATCGTTGATCGTGTCATCGTTGGTGCTATCAACAACAAGCTGATATTGAACAACGTTGAGTTGTGTTTCGTTTTTGAAAAATTTCAAAGTGGGTTGTGATGAAACAATTTCCGAACGAAAGGATGAATCGTCTTCTTGATCAACAACACGTAAATAAAACAATAAACGTTCTTGGATATGATAAATCATGGCAGCATTGACATCACACTCATTGGTTGAACTGTAGTCAGAATACATGTTTTGAACATTGGGTAGTTCTTCTTCTGCTTGGGAAGATCTGAAACTTTTGGATTTCTTTGGAAAGACATGTTGTCTTTGAAGAACATTCCAATCACAATACCAGTGGGAATGGGATGCATCGAAGGGTGTAGTGGTAGGATTTAATTGTGCCATTTGAGTTAATTTTTTCGTTGTTTGTGCATATGTGTAAAGGATTGACACAACGAGTCTTTATCTGCTCCACAAGACCTTGCCTCGTAACACCTCAACCTTTGTGAACTTTGCTCAACAAAAAAGGTTGCCTTTAAGATTTTCTGTAACCCAATTTGGTGTGCATAAAATTATTACAACTCAATTACACCAGCCACAAAAATTCGGTAGTAAAAGGGAGTTTTACTGAGGTTTGTTGTAATCCATAAAAGTGGTTGGTTGACTAATTTTTTGAATTTTCACTGTCAAAAAAATTACATTACCACTGATATGGAACAATTATTGTTATCTACTTCGAGAAAGGTGATCTCTCAAAGAATTGAAAAGTACCCACCCTCCTCCCAATCCACCTCTGAAATAAACAAACATAGTTGTGGCTTTCCACAACTCCCTCACCTTTTGGTGAGATGCCTCATGTCTCAACATGGGATGCCTTATTGCATTGCAATAGGATGCCTCACTTTAGTGGGATTCTCTTTGAACTGATTTCAGTCCAAACGATGCATCTTATTTGAGACTGATGCATATGTTTGTAGCATCTAGTTGTGTTTTACTCTTGCTGTTTTACAGGATAGAAGGTAATGTGAATCTTATTTATTCAACTATTAGACATGCGTACGTACACGCGGCGAAGAATAAATAATCCGTTTTACCAACCATCTTTCTGTTGATTTACAACAAATTAGTGTAAAATGCCATCATACACTTGAACGAATTCTGTTTTGGATCTACCAAAGCATTCAGGGCTGTACATTTCTTCCATATGACTTGGAGGTGCTACAAATGAACCAATTGTGGTGGCACGAGCCACATAGGTAAATGAATGACAACCAACGTGGAGCATTCTAGCAAAAGCTTCAACTCGTTCATCACGAATATTTTGATGTTCATGCCAAGATTGTGAAAATCCATAAGTGCTTTCATCAACTTTTTGGTTCAGGTCAACGATTTGAGTATCAATCTCAGGGTTGACAACCTCAAAACCTGCAGGAATTTTATCAACGAGGGCTACGTTGTATCTTTTGACAGTATTGGTAATAGTGAGTTGAACTCGGACCAGTTCTCCTGCCTTAATTTTCCATACATTTTCTGCCTTGTCAAACTTGACATGTTCTGCATTGGTGACTCCTTCATAATACCGATATACTGAAAAGCCTCTATCCATTGATTTCAAGCACAAGTTCTCCGGAGTGTATGACAGAGCAATTCTGTAGTATAATCTACCAGGTCCTGACTTGGTGACAAGTAGCTCTTTCTTCGTGTCCAATTCTTTTGGATTGATTACTTCTGCCTCAATGTCTTTTCTTGGAGCGAAGGCCTTAATTGGTAGAGATGTAATTTTCTTTTCTCTACTTCTACCTTTCCAAGATTCTTCACCAATGTACAGTGTTTCTTCCGATCTTGTTCGATCTATTAGCCAAGAGTGGAGAGTCAAATCAGGAACTTCATTCTCAAATATTTTAAAGTAATCAGTGAGCGCAATTAAACACGTGGCGTTTTCCTGTGTGTTGTACCATCTTCCATAGCGACTGTTGTTTCGCGCAGCCAATAAACTACGCACTAGCTTTTGAATAATGTCACTACTTTTTTCTCTATCAATTTCCATGAGACAACTCAATACAAGACTATCAGTTCTAGTATTGGAGTGAAGCATGACCATGTTGGCAATTTCAGAGTCTTCATATCGGGTAATAAAGTGGGCATAAACTCCTGAATCTAGAGTAACATTTTCAGTGAAATACTTTCTGAACAAATCTAACCATTGAGTAGCGGTCTTTTTGCTTGACTTCTTTGGTTCTTCTTCTGATTCCTCCTTCTTACATTTGTGGATGGCCATGGCAAGCCAAGCAGCACATTCAGGTGTAAGCTGATTTGTAAAATCAGTAACATCTTTGTAGTGTGACAAGACGCTTTCACATAATGAGATTACCGTCTCATACTCATATGGCTCCGCAAGCAAAGAAAATACGTAGTACGCAAAACTTTTGATGGAATCTTTCACTACTCTTGGCCACAAGAAGCTCAAAAAGAACAAACTATCAATTCGTTGAAGGATAGATTTTGTTTTTCTGAGAGTAGCTTCCGGAATTTGATAGCCTTCCTGTTTACACTTTGCAAAGCACAAAGCGACATAACACGTGAGATAAGGATCTCCAAAAAGTTTAGCAGTCCAATATGAATACGATCCATCATATCGTTGGTTGTCAAAAAGCATCTTCAACTCCTTATTCACAAATTCGTCCACTTCTTCTCTTGATCTAATTTTCATGAGGTTAAACAATTCTTCTGGTGAATAAAATTGTAAAATAATTTCTTTCATACACACAATTCCTAAAAGTTTTGAAGCTCGTTGCTCGTTGCACTCATATGGGTATGAATACAAGTAAATGAGAGAGTCTACTAGAGATGAGAGAGCAGTGGTAGATGTAGTTAGCGTGAATTCTCCAAAGTTTGCCAGCAATGGCTTGTCAGGAAGAGCTATTGGTTGAAGAATAGTTTCATTAGTCTCGCTCATGTCTCCATAGGTAGCAAATGCCTCATTGGTCGCTGGTGTAAATATTCTAAACTCATTCTTTACAGCATCACTCCAACCAATCATCAAATCTGCTTGATCTTGATTTTCTGCTTTATCAGCTACAGCATTTAACACTCGAAGTCCGACGTTAATCATTGCTGTACCACATTTAAGAACTCGCACAGGGAATCTAACTTCAGTTCGTCCAAGGGCAGGAATCACTAGATTCACACCCTTATCTCTTTGATTTTGATCCTCATTATTGAATATTCTTAAATTTGAGGTATGGCACACTACCGCCACAGTTAAAGCGGCTGTGGTTTGATTTTGAAGAACATAGGTAAGGTCACACATATCTCCATAATTCAGAAATCGTGGCAGGGATGGTCGAACAGCCATTGGTAAAGAAGTTGTAATTTTTGTTTTTCCAATTCCAAATAAATCATCACCCATGTTTGCAACAGCTGTGACACGGAATCTTGTGAGGCTGTCCGTGAGTTTAAAACTCAAAATTACACGGCCATTCTCGTCAGTGTTTGCAAATGCTATAAAAGCTGCATCTGGTCTAAAGTTGGATCTGACAGCAAACTGGTCTTTTCTCTCTTCCATTTCTTCATATTCTCCTGCGCAACAACTAGCATTTGGTTTTGGAGGAGCACGACTTCTTTTTGCTGAACTCTTCTTACATTTATGACCTGCAGAGCAAGAAGGAGCACAATCTTTTTTTGCTGAACACTTCCTACACTCTTCTTTAGCACAGGATTTTGATAAGCACGCTGTGCACCGTACACACTCACAACATTTCATATCATCATAAAGAGCGCCTTCCTCGCATTCCTCGTCCTCATCCTCTGCATAACAGTTTCTGGATGCTTCTTGGGTTTCTTCATTAAGTTCAATTTCTCGTTGATTCTTTCTCGGGTAAAGCCAGTAGCGCACATCAGATCGGTTGGAAATGAAGGATGTTTGGCAAGTATTTTGAATAACAAATGTAGAGACGGGATCTTGAATTTCATGAGACACCATATCCAATACGGCTTCGTCAGCAACAATTAAACACACTTCACAATTTTGTTGGTTTCTACCCTCTTTATCTGTAACAACCACCTCCACCGAGGTCTCTTTTCCTGGGCTTGTTACAGAATGTTTTGGTATTACCACGACATCAAGCTCATGATGTTCTTTAGAAACATTCAATTTCAAGAGTCCAGAGGCGTGAGCTGGGAGTTGCCTTTCTTTGTCTTTCTCATCAATATACTTATCCAATCCATAAAGTTTTACATGAATATCAATGTTTGGTCTGTACTCTTTTTTGATTGGAACCTTGAGCTCTATAAATCCTGCTTCTCCACTAATCTCAAACTCTTCTTTTTGAACCAATCCATTACATGTTACCCACATGATTCCTGCACAATTGCCTGAAAATGGAGGAGAAACAAAAATGCTGGCAACTTCTCCAGGTTTGTACGTTTCTGAGTCATATTTGTTTGCCACTAATTCAAGAGACTCCTGGTTAAGAGAAGCATAACCTTTAGATTGAAGATGACTCTTGTGACCGAACTTGCGAATTTCCACAGAGCATCTATTGATTCCTGACCTAAATAAAGGTGTTGTAGACTCTTTGATCTCACACATAATTGCATATTCTCCATAAGCAGAGTCATTCGTATTTTTGCTAAGAGTAAAAGTATGAAGCACAGGTTGAGATTGAGATACAATAGCTAGCTCGGTAATTGGAGTAATTGTTTCCCAACTATTGTAACCCTTTGTTTCTGAGCCAAGTTTGACAAGTTTGCATTGTATGGGTACGCCTGTAACTGCATTTCCCTGAACATCGGTGACAATAAAGAAACAATCAATAGGATCATCAGGCTTCAAAACTACTTTCTTGGTACATCTCACTCCCACATAATATTGACATGAGTGTACGATGGTCTTACATTCAGTACCTTGTGTCTGCCTGTTAATATCTTGTACATTTGCCTTGCATGATATTTGAAGTGGGTGCTTAGCTTTGAATTGAGGATCCCATGTTTGTAACAATAGATTGCTCTCACCTGTGGTATCCGTTGTGTCAGAACAACTAGCTGAAGCATTCGTTTCTGATTTCATATTTTGTAAAATTTTTGAAAGATAGAAATTTCTGCTGGTTTCTGTAGCTTGGAATGTGTAATGCTCCCACCCTGGAGGATTGTACGTGGTAGGAGTGACTTCGCATGAATAATTTACATTTGCATTTCCAATGCTCCACCGCTGTAATAATTGGCAGACACTTTGCAAACCAACTTGTCTCCAACGTAGTTTGCCACTTTCAATGAGGACGGAATGATGTTACTCGAAACATTGTATTCAGGTGTTCTAAACTCCTCTACAGAGAAGTTGTGAGTGAATGAGTGCCCTTGTAATCGAATATCAATGTAGTGACTTCCTAAATTTACGTTATCAGGAATTTTGAGCTCAATTTCGAAAGATCCATTTGAGTTTGCTTCAATCTTTCCTTCAGCATATTTGACTCGTCTTGAATCGTAAAACGTGTAGCTACCTGAACAGTTGGTTGGAATGTTGATGGCATAAGTACCATACTTGTTTGAGCCCTTGCTGAAATCGAATTGAATAGCTCTTGTGAATCCCTTAAAGTGAGCCATTTCATTTGGTTTGTAAAGACCACGATCATTGAAAATATGAGCCAGTAGCTGGTTCCCTTGGCGATTGATATAACCGGCACTCACGTTTGTGTAAGTTACACTGTCGTTTTCTGTTGAAACATGTATCATTGGATGATAACCTAACCGGTCTGGGGCTCCCTCAAAAGAAACAAAACCTTTTTCGTTGGTTGTTCCTTCCATTCGTTTTTCGTCAAAACCATTTTCTGTAGGATAATAGTGGCCCGTATACGTGTACACCACTTTGGCGTTTGGTACTGGTTTTCCATCTTGAAAACTGGTAACAAAAACAGTGAAGTCAGAACTGTTTGGACTCACCTGCATGATGTCAACACACAAATTAGAAATTTGCAACCAAGTGCATTCGTACTTGTCACCAAATGAGAAAAAGTTATTGTACTTTGGTTTCATTTGGAGGAACAAGTGGCCAGTTTTTGAGTTGAATTTTGTAAATAGGGTGCTAACGAAATTGTAGAGGAAACTGATCTGTCTTTGACATAATCATTTGGTTTCACCTTTTCATTATAAACAATCGTTCCGAATGTTCTCTGTTTCTTTGTCACCCATTTGAAGTATTCATAAGAAGGATAAGAGCTAAAGAATGATTTGTAGTATTTTGGATAACAAACTTCTCTAGCCATAAATTCTGGATCAACTTGGTTGATAACTGTTAGCGTCTCTGAAATGTTAACGCAGTCGAAATAAATAAATGGATCATAGTTATCAAAAAGGCTTGGTGGTAGAATCGTAATATTGGGCAGAGAGTTGTTGAATCGTTTTGACTCACCACTGACTTCAAATGTTGCTACGTAATCCTTCTCTAACACTTGCCCATAAATATCAGGTAGACCCTTGTGAATGGTTACCGAATAATTCTCTCTTGCTAGAGTATTACCAGAAATTGTAATTCGATGAATACCAACACTAATGCTACAATTTTCAATAGCAGGGTGAACTGTCACAAATTTCTCCTTTTCATGTACTTGATCTAAATCGATTGGATTAGAAGTTTCAAATGTAAATGAACATCCTGGAGTGATGGAATTGTAATATGAATACTTTTTTGGTTCGTGGTTTGTTATACGCATGCTGCCAAAGCCATGAATTGTTGAATTAAAGCTGTGTGTAGAGAGTAATGGACCTTCTAAAGACTTCATTCCTTCAGGTACAGCCACATACAGATTCTGTCCCACTTCAAGCTTTGGATACCCTTTACCTGCATGAATTGTGTTGTTATCAACAAGTAAATGCAGCCAGACAAATCTCGACGTTGGAGTTTTGTTTTTGGTTAAAAGATCATTATATGTGTGATATACCGAAGGGAATTTCTTTTCAAATTCTGTGTCCTTCAGGGTTTGAGCAATTATTGAGGTATCCTGTAACACTTCAAAGTTGATAGGCTTGGATCCACACGTAATTTTCACACCTTTTGTAACCTCATTTCGGTCAACACTTTGATCAAATTTCATGTAGCAAAAAGGAAGGTGTGAAATTGGAAAAGAAGTAAAGTGATGAGGAGGTACAAATTCCTCAACTCGCATGGTTTGAGTCTTAAAAGTGACCCTATAATCGTCTTCCAAGCCAAGACCAAAAGCAGATTTGGTTTTCGATTTTAGTACAGTGTAAGTGAACTCAGTCGATCGATCAAATCGAAAATAAGGTTGGAAGAGCAATGACTTGGTACCAATCCATTTCCATTTGCCTTTTCTCAAATTTTCAGTCACAGGCCTTATTTCAATGAAATCTATTTCCTCAAAGGACTTGGTCTCTGCATCAAACTCTTCAATCATGTCCTGATTAAAAGTGATCGAAAGGAAAGGTACAGAATGGAGCTCGCTTGGTTGATTTCCTGTTGGGAGAGCTCTCACAATCTTCAAGGTTTGTTGTTGTTGAATTTCCTCTCGTTTTTCATTGGCTAGCATCTCTCCAACTTTGAGCATGCTCAAATCCACTTCTTTTGGTGGAAATTCAATCATTGTTTTCACTTCAATGGTACCAGGTTCAGGTGGTTTGAGAGAAGCCTCTCGCATCAAGTAATTTTGTTGAAGGGAAGCCTCTTCATCGACAAATGATTCCTCTTTTCGCTTCAACAACTCATCCAATAGTTGGTTGAGTTTCTCTTCATTGAGTTCTTCGATCCGAATGTTTTTCAATTCTTCCAGTAACTTTTCGGACCTTTTTCGTTCTTCTTCGAGGGACTCGAGTGAGGACGATGTGGCCATATCATTCTCTCGGATCATACATTGAATGACTTCTTTGCTCTCGGCCTTCCTTGCCAACAAGTGAAAGTTTTTGATCGATTGAAGAGATGGATCAATATCCAACTCAACTTGTTCAGATGTTGAAGCCATCTTTGGATCTCAACGGGTTTGTTGTTGATTTGAAAAAGATGCTGGCCCAAACCAATGGTGGCAAATTTTTCAGTTTGTTGAAAATTGGTTCATCATGATCCACTCAACGATGAATTTGTATCCCATCAACGAGATCTGAGGGCCGTGTGTTCAACAGTTGTCCAAAGGAAATAGTTCCTTCTTCCACCTCTTGTGCAAACGCACTGCTAACAAACAACATGCTGCATCATATTTTGAGTTTTAATCCTTGTCCCCTCGTTGGGACACAACCAAAAAATGATTCGAAGTAGAGAAGATTATGAATCATCATCTTCCGAGATCGGATCTGATGAGAGTCTTGCTTACTCATCTTGGAGTGAAGACGAAGAAGAACAATTTTTAACATCACCAAAGGAAAATAATGATGATGACAGCGATGATGATTCAGAGGATTCTTACTCGGAAATTTCAAGCAAAAAGTTAAAAACATTTCATCATGATGATACATCTTCCGAATGCTCACCGTTTTACTCTTCCGAAAATTCCAACTCGGGATTTTATGGATTGTTCAAAGAGGCTTCACCGAAAAGCGGTAGGCTTTTCAAATCAAATGAAGCTGATAAAGAGGAAGTTCTTGTGGGGCAGCTTGAAGACTCATCCTCACAAGAAGAACCCTCGTGTTTTTACATGGAATTGATAAATCCTGCTTTGAGGCATTCTCACCAATCAAAAATTTCATACTTTTCCAATTTCATGCTGAAGAATACCGATCTGAGCAATAACATTTATGCGATAGCTGTTGATGGAAGAAGAGCTTTTAACAACGAAAAGAAAAAACAAATCAAATATGTATTTCATTTCAGCCAAATGTTACTTGTAATGAATGAAGAATATGAAATTTTTGCAGCCAAAATAGCTCCAAGAGAAATATTAAGTCAGTCACCAGTTGAAGTGTCACAATCTATGAAAAAAGCAATGCTGTATCTTTGTGCTGATGAAAAGAACCGCTTGTCAAGCTTAAATAAGCTTGGAGAGATTGTAGCAATACAATGCACTTCTGGCGCTATTTATGTTGTGACGAAAAGAAAGGTATTTTATGCGACTATTTCAAGACAGTGTCCCTACAAGAAGGATGATGGAACATCATGTAAACTTTTATTCGATTCATGCTTGTGTGAGGTGGATGAGGATGATTATTTTATTGACGCAGCAGCTTCATGCATCGATCATTTAATTTTCTTAACAAAGAACAACATTATTTATTCAACAGGTAGGTAATTCCAGTGTTGCTGAAAAATATTACTCAACACCTTACTGGTAGGTTGGAATAGCACAGGAATGCTTGGAAATGGAACCACCGTCAGTCACTACAATATTGTGTCAAAAGTAAGAACCACACCTCACGAGCAAAATGACACTGTTCGAATGTTATGCTGTGGACCTTTAACTTCCATGTACGTCACAGATACTCATGTCTATGCTGCTGGTGAGATTGGACTGTTTCTAAACCCTCCAAAACAAAGTACTTCTTCCGTTTTTGTGCCTCTTAAAGATTTGCCTTTTAAACCTTCTTCAATCACAAGTATCAACCATGGAGAAATTTGCACTTGTTTTCTAATCGGTAGAAATACATTATGGATTTATTGGAGCATGGGGAAAAAACAAATGATAACAATGCCAGAGAATTTTCACCAATTTTATCCGTCAATGACCAACGTTATATATTCTTTGCATGACGGAAAGAATTTTTTCTATCACGAGTTAGTTTTCGAATTGGATGGAAATGCTTTGAATTATCATGAAAAAGAATGGGGCGAATGTGACGAGAGATGCTTCAACAACTTTATTTCTCACCAATCCGAATATGTAGTTCTATTTCACATTGATATAATATTTGCAAGGGAAATGCTTGCTTCCCTCTACAACGCAACCAAACTGGATCAATTGACTGACATTGTTGTGAAATGTTTACCAGGTGATTAAGAGAGTTTTGGGTTTATTTTAGACACTTGTTGACAATGCTCAAGAGCCAGCCTCCAACTGGCATGATGTATCTGGTTAAAAAGTTATCTGATAGAGCAGTAACTAGGAGCTTCTTCTTGCTTTCAGTGAGTGGTGGGTAACGTAAATCCAAATCGAGCCAATATTTCTTCTTAAGCACAGATTTTTTGTGTGTGAAAGTGTAGAATGATGAATCGCCATGATAAGCACCCATTCCACTGTATCCAATACCACCAAAAGGCAACAACTCTTCGGCAACTTGCATGACACATTCATTGATACCCACAGCACCACTTTGTGTGACGTGCATAATCTTTTCAACAAGAGCTTGGTTTTTGGTGTAAATGTAGAGTGCAAGAGGTTTTGATCTCGAGTTAATAAATTTGAGAGCAGCATCAAGATTTTGTAACTTGCTCGGATATTTGTCACTCTTTTTTTCTCCATACACAATGATTGGCATGATTGGGCCAAATATTTCTTCTTGCATAACGAGATCATTCTCGAGATCTGGATTAAGAACGAGAGTTGGTTGCACATATTTCGTGTTCTCATCTACATTACCACCATAAATGACCTTATCTTTCACTTGATCAATCATTCCTTTGAGACGTTTTGTATGATTCACAGAAACAATTCTTGAGTAATCTGAGCTCTTGGAAGCATCCTCTCCATACATTTGAGAGAGAGATTTTTCAAGAGCAGGAATGAATTTGTCTGCCACTGCGCTGTTCAACAAAATGTAGTCGGGTGCTACACATGTTTGGCCACAGTTAAAGGTTTTTCCCCATGCAATTCTATTGGCAGCTACGGTACAATCCACATCCGAGTCAAGGATCAATGGCGATTTGCCTCCCAATTCTTTGGTTGAGAATCAAAAAGAGCGAGACACAATGAAATCAAACAATCAAAATTTGATCGAAAATAAGAACTAGGACCGATCAACTTACCCAATGTGACAGGAGTCAAGTGCTCAGAAGCAGCACGCATAATAATTTTACCAACACGAATACTTCCTGTGTAGAAAATATGATCATAGGGTTCCTTAAGTAATTCAGTAGAGACAGAAGCATCACCTTCCACACAGCGCACATACTTTTCATCAAAATATTTTGGAACAAGCTTTGCAAACAAGGCACTACAATTTGGAGACACTTCAGATGGTTTCAAAATGACCAAATTACCTGCAGCTAAAGCTCCAGCAAATGGAATACCCATCAAACTGATCGGATAATTCCAAGCTCCAATGATCAAAACAACACCCAATGGTTCCTTTACAATGAATCCTTCTGCAGGAATATTTCCAGTATTTGTTATTGGAACACTCTCCGTGGCCATCAATCGATTCAAATTATCCAATAAATAATGTGCTGAATGAATGGGCATATTCACTTCGGTTGTCTTCAATGGTTGAGTTTGAGCCAAATCCTTCTCTTGAGCAAGTTCCCAATCGGAACGATTTTCTTCAAACATGGCGATCATTCTTTTCAATTGATCCACTCTCCATTCACGGTTTCTACTCACTCCGCTTTGAAATGTTTCCTTCATGGAGGCCACCATCGTCGTGAAGGCTGTGGATGAATTATTATTATTGGGTTGTGGGTTGAGCATGTTGTCTAGATTTCAATGTTTTTTTTTGAAAATTTCTATTGTGCGTGGAAGCGGAGGGGATGGCGACAAGGTCTCTTGTCATGTCTTGATGGAGAACAGACTGTCCAAAAGGTTGGGCTTTGAAATTTAAAAATTGTGACATTTGTAAGAACTCGGGTATTTTATTCAATTCAAATCAACTGGACAGCTTTATTTCACATCAGGTTTGACATTCCAAATGCAGGGAGAACCCTACAAGGGGAATATTCGATGCCGAGGAGAGAGCGACAGATTGTTCATGTCTTGCAATTAGCTTGTTCAATCACATGGGTTAGATTAAATAAGGCACTAAATTCTGTAATTTCTAGCTTCTCATTGAAATGGAACCAATTCACGACATGATAATTCACAAGACAGCCTTTTTTGGTATATTGTGAAATAGTTTTTGTGAAACCTGCATAAAGCTCATTCACTTCAATTTTGCTTGTAATACTTTCACTAATGTTTACCAGAGTGTTGAAAAAAGTTCCAAAATTTGTAATAATATTCTCCTTTCCAATGACTTGTGAACTTCCAATTGGAATGTTTGCAACTGACTGTTCAGCAAAGAGTGTGGACAAGAGTGAAACATCTCGCGTCACTTGTCCCAGTTGAAATAAATGCACTCGTTTCAAAATTTCATGATCTCGTGTGTTTTGTACTGATTTCCCTTCTAGGGTCTTGCTCTTCTGCTTTTCATTCATGTCGTTTGAAATGTCATAATTCGATCCAATGCTTTGCTTGAAATTGAAAAAGTTGGTAGGATCATACTTTTTCTTAATTTGTAACAACCTGTCATAGAAAGGTCCGTAATAAGCTTCTTTCCACTTGGGAAGAAAAGCATCAATATAATTAATATATGCTCCATTAAAGTGAGGTTTCATTTGAGCATAAAATGTCTCAATCCATTGACTGTTGATGGCATAGTCTTCTTTTCTGGTAAAGATAGCCTTGACTTCGAATGTGAATTCTGGATCACGTCGATAGAAAGCACTCGATTCCACATCAATTTCTCGAATTCTTCCACCAACATGGGAAACAATTAACATGGACGACTTGGAAGGTCTATTTTTCATGAACTGATAAATCACAGAGGTCAATTGCTTTGTAAACCCTCCCTTGTTAACTAATCCAGATTTGACAATTCCCAAACGATTCTTAATATCTGTGGTTCCACTTGAAAATCCATGAATGAATGTGATAAAAGTTTGTTCTTTTTGGAAAATGACGCTTCCTCCCATTGAAAGAAAAGGTGAATATAATTTGTAACCATCTGAATATGCTCCATTATAAACAAATGTCAAACATAAATTATCCTGTCCTGTTTGAGGAACCTGGAAAAACAACACATAGACAGCCATCTCCTTCGGAACAGTTTGTGTCCACTTGTTGTAAAAATCCATCACTTCGAAAGCTTGTTCAAAAGTCCAACAAATCTCTGCAGTGAAAATGTTTTGAGAACGATAGGTTTGTGTCCTGATTGCAGTGACAACTCCAAAGTTTCCACCTCCACCACCTTTCAAGGCCCAAAACAAATCAGGATAGGTTTCATTGTTCACATGAATGAACTTGGCATCACTAGTGACCATGTCAAATTGAAGAATTTGATCACTCGCAAGACCATAACTTCTACTCAACATGGAATATCCTCCACCCAGAACAAAACCCATGGCTCCAACAAGGGGACACGTTCCAGCAATTGGAATAAACGGATCGAGCTGTGGATATACATCCTTCCAAATCATTCCAGCTTCAATGAGGGCAATACCTCTGGAAGCGTCTAACATGAACGTCCTATTGAAATATCTCATATCTAGAACAATATCATGATTCAGACAATAACCTGCTGCACTATGTCCTCCTCCTTTAACAGAAAAGCTTGTTTGATATCGTTGTGCAAAGACAAGAGTTTCTTGAACGTCCTGTACGGTGAGAGGGAGAACCAAGACTTGAGGACGTATTTGATACGATCCGTTGTCGACATAAATCGATTCATTATATAATTTTTGAAGATGAGTGTTTGCATCCGATTCATGACTCGTCAATACAAGTCCAGCAATTCGAGTTTGAAGTTCATGATAGGGAATATTGCGGGCTCTCGGTTGTGGTATGTTTGTTGTGTGACTCGGCCAAGCTGTCAGTAGACCAGCCCAGAATGAAAACAACAGGGCTAGAGAGAACGAGTGAAAGAATTTGGCAGCTGACATTTTTTTTGTTCCAACACTGACTCAAAACAGGTTATCAACACCGGCAACTCCGCAGCATTGATCCATCGATCCAAAGTTTCGTGGAGTTCCCAAGGTTTCATCATTAAAGCTAATACTACAACGAAGAAATTTAAATAGATTTTGGGATTAGATTGTCTTATAGAATGTTCGAAATTAGTCGCTGGATTAATCCAATCCTATCGATCCGTTAATTACTTTATCTCAAAGCCTCACACAAAAAACGAAAATTGCTGTAAAATAATATTATTATATATATTATTATATTATATAATTTTAATATTTTACAGTAGACGTAATGAAAATCTTAACGATTATCCGTTTTGTATCAAACATTCTAAGGTGGTCGAAAATTTGCTAAATAAATATCATTCCCATTGATGTCCATTGCTACGATAAGATTTTGTACGTACGAACAGGAAGGAAGAAATAATTCCCAAGGTCTTGATAATGTATATCCAACACGATGGAAGGGATTACATAATTCCTTCGGCCCAATATCTTTTCATGGATCGAAATTTAATTATGGACATATCGATCTTGTAACCTGGAGAGTTCGCAAAACACAATCATGTATCAAGTGGAGAAAATCACAAACAATAAATTCTTCCATGTAACGACATGTCACAATCACATCCTCGGAGGAGGCCAGGAAAAATCCTGTCGCAATCCCTCTTTGCCAATAAGTGAGATGGATGTTTGAAAAGTGCAGGTCCATTTTCCAAAAACCAACAGTCCTAATGTCGCCAGCTTTGCATGGATGCATCCAAAACCTTCTAGCTAAGACAATGTATCCATGGCAACTGGTGGTTTCATCTCATTGTTTTTCAAATAGAGACTTGTTGGTCAAACATTTCGGTTATAAGAGAATGCATCGTACAAGGTTCATCTTATCCACTTGAAACAAAGGCTTTCTCCATGAGTATGTCGTTTTTTGAGCGTGACCATCTGGATACAATACACGTTGTAAAATCTTGTGCGTCCTCTTTTAATTTTAACTTACTTTTTTATGCGTCTTTACAAAAATATCTATGAATCCATGTGTCCGAGTTTAGCTCGGAAGTTGTCCAAATAGTAAGAATCAAGAGCCATGGAAGCACAAATAAGTTGGATGGCGATTAACTACATTTATGAATTCGTCCCTTGCCCTTTTAATTAGGTAATGACCAAGTGTGTGTCTTGTTATCATCATTATAAAAAACAACTCTACTCGACAACACCGTTTGCGTGTTTGAAGTCGCTTGCAAAAACAGTTCATCATTCATAGCACGCTGCAATCTCTCTCTGAAAGAATTGAGTGTTGTATCATCACTCTTTCATTTTTATTGATTTTTCTCTCAAGGTGAGTTTCATCTGAACTTTGAATACCGACTGTTCTTATAATCATGCTGTTGACGGTTCATAAATGTACTCAATTCAACCACACGACGTGAATTCCCTGTGAATTTGCAACTCGTACGTTCTGGTTCATGTATGCATTATCTTCAATGAACACATGATTGGATTCAACGACGACGACCTGAATCTCTTCTTACTCTGGTTTGTGCATTCAATCTTGCCATTTTCAATTTGCCCGTGCATCATTACATTTTAACGAAACCTTGAACTCGCAATTTCTCGTGCCTGAATACTTGTGGGTCTCTGGTTGGTTTGTGATGCCTTGTGTTTCACACCTCTCTGGCAAATATTCACACTTCAAATAATAATAACAACGAATACACGTGTATTCAAACCTCCTTCCGTTGCAACATGAATGTAATTATAACACTCTGTTCATGTAATTATGTTCGTCTATGTTGTTTGCGCCGTTGTGTGTTGCTGCATGTTGATGATCATAATGCGGATTACTCTCTTGCCCTCTGTAACGCCATGTCTTGCAACTTGAAACTGCCATTTATGAACCTATTTGTCCTTCGAACAACAATGTCGTTCATTTCATCTTTACCACTTCTCACAATCTCTCAAATTCAATGCATTCCTCTCACACCCATACTTTAACAAACTTGTCTACAAATACCAACTTGTCTCTCTTCACACTAAAACAAATACAACGGAATTTCAACACGTTTTGCATTGCTCATCTCTCAAATACACTAAAAAAACAATTGCTCCCGAAATGTCGCCCGAAAAATAGCGAAACTTACCGTTCTTGTCGTACGGAGGAGAATAATTGCGCCTCTAGAGCATTGCACCACCTCTATGGCGGCGCAATTGGTACTAGAAACCTGTCAGATATTCGTCAATCCCACGTCAGCTGATTTGAGTAAACTCCAAAGGAATCAAAAATAAAATGAGTGAGTCTCTTCCTGATTGGTTTGCAAGGGTTTGAAGAACCGAAGCAACTTGGGTTCTTACTGCAACAACAGACAAACTGAAACGAAATATAGAGCCATAGACGTTACACATTATTCGCTTCAGCTGAAGCTTGTAAAACAACAGCGTGCCAACGAACAGCTCACGAAGACAGATCTTGCTAGCACCTAAACAGAACTATTACCAATTCTACTGCATGACATTCAACGAATAAATTTTTTTATGCTTTCATATTCATTTTTGACTTGACGAATATCTGACAGGTTTTTAGTGCGCTTCAACGTCGGATGCGCCGCCATAATAACAAAGTCATTTCGATACATTGATTCTTGTGGGTGCATGTATTTGGCCGACTTTAATGTCTTTCCCAATACAACCACACGGTCTGAATTACCCCCCCTGCGCAATCAAGAGGGGTACTCAACTGTCACAGCGCAGCTGGCTCGCAAAAAATTTTTTAATTTCTCTGGTGTAAGGAATTACTTCGCGCAACCTTTTCTCAAGAAATTTGTGAAGAGTGGTTGTATTGATTCACAAAATAACAATTCAAAACAAACAAGCCCACTTGGTATGATGATGGTTTTGACAAGTGGCAGCAATCCACCTGACAACGGCAAGACAATGCCGCATGCTGCCAGGGGAAGCAACAAAATGAATCGTTCTGAGAGTTCCTCATCCATTGAACTTCATCAGCAACCGCAACAAATTCAACAGTATCAAAACCCAACTCATTCTCGATTCATGCCTCTCATCAATCCAATGCCTCATCCACAACAACATTCTTTCGCTATTAACATGAACTCGAACAATTCCTTGGATTTCACACAAAGAAGGCCTTCCATTTCCTCAAACAGCTCGACACTTTCCAACCTAGTCAATTCAAACATTACGTTTTCACATCCATCACCACCTGCACAACATCAACAAATGCACAACCTTCCACCATCCACTCATTCTGGTTTGGCTGGTGCAGCAACTAGTTGTGCAACAACAAATTGTAACAATATCCAATCCTTGTCGTCATCAAAGAATACAAGTAGCAGCTCCAACAACACCACAACTCCCATGCAACTCTTGACTAATTTACAATCTGTGGACCAACAAACAGTGGCTCTTCTTCAATTAGTTCTCAATTCAACATCATCATCGTCATCCTCTCAAAACAGCCATGTATTATCGAGCCCAACAACACAATTATTGTCTTCATCAGGTTCGAGAATTTCTCCACAACCATCAGTCCTTGGTTCACAACACATGACGACGAACTTTGAAAATGGCGCTACGACTAGTCATCAACATTTGCTTCTTTCACAACAACAACCAACAACAATGAATTTACACACGAGCAGTCAGTCCTGCTCCCAATTTTCCAATCCATCCAATACTGGTAAATGCACCACCTCGTACACTGCCATGCTCATTGATGATGATGATGCCAATAATAACACTGTACAAACAACGAACAACAACAACAATCAAAAGATGGACAGTCCTATGGGTGCTGCACCACGACCTCCTACTACTACTTCTGATAATAATACTCTTGATATTAGCGTCAACCAACAACAACCAGCACTAGGTACAACTACGACTGTTGCTTCAGTACTTTCACCTTCATCGTCAGTCAGTTCCGATTCCTACACGTACCCACCAGCAACAGCAACTCTTCACCAACATGCTCACACCAACATGGACCACAGATTGGATGAGAATGGTAAAGCATTGAGTCCCATCTCCTCTTCGTTTTTCCTCCTCGCTTCAGATGATGATACTGTATTACCACTCATGGCAAATTCGAGTGAAAATGTTCACGAGATAACAACGAACGAAGCATCCTCAGGAGATATTGAAGAAGAGCATTATCCATTCTCCGCTGCAGCATCGACGACGACGACAGCTCACCATTCACCCAATAGTTACCAATACGACAATGAATCAACCCAAAATAAGCATGCAAGATTAACAAAAACGAACACAAGACAATCCAAAAGAAAAACTCCAATTACCAATTCTGAGAAAAAAGAACAATTGGTACCATCAACAGCATCTCCTCGAAGAAATATGCAATCCTCTTCCTCTTCATCGCTCTCCAATGCGACAACATCAGAATCTTCTCAACAACAACATCAACCAACAGAAGAAACAGCACCACCTCCAAAGAAGAAGAGAACCATTCGAGATCGTTTGATTTGGGGCGAAGATTTACACGCAAAATTCGTTCGAGTGGTTCATGAATTGGGAGTGAATGAGGCACGTCCCAAAGAAATTAAAAAGTTGATGAATGACGATCGAGTAAACACCACCCATATCAAATCCCATTTACAAAAGTATCGAACCCATTTGAAGAAGAAGCAATTATTGGAGCAACAACAACAACAAGCAACAGATTCATTGAATGGCACAACAGTCGTAGATTCAACATTGCATGAAGCAATGACGAGTTCATCCAAAACCAAGAGAAGTCATTCTTCCTCGCAGTCTTCCAAAAGAGGTTCGAAAAAGCTCAAAACAAAAAGTACCTCCGAGGCTGCCGAAACAACACCTCCTGCATTGAACACTGGCGCCACTAGTCATCAGGGTGACACAGAGCATCAACAACAACAATTCCTCTCGTCCTTAAATTCAGAGTTTAACACCACGTCGTCATCCAAGGTGTCACCAAAGAAGAGATCACCTCTTGCTCACAGTTCCTCTCAAGACAGTTTCAAGAATCTTGCAAAAGAGAATCATCATCACTTGTTGAAATCTTCATCATCGACGAGCAGTAATCATTTGTTGAATAATCACTCGAATAGTAACTCTCAACATGTATTGGATGCATCAACGAATTCGAATCAAATTCTCTCTTCCATGCATGTGCTTTCTCAACCAACAAGTAGCGACATGTCATCGACCACACCTCTCACCGTGGAACAATTACTCAATGCATACAATTCACCTTTCAACCCGAAGTTGATACTCAAACTCTCAATTTAACAAATGGTGGTAACAACTCGTACGCTCAACCATCTTCATCACCAACTTCTCACATGACACTCTTGAATCTTTCCAATCCTTTCCAAAATACGAATATAAGCGTTTCTCCAACAGCTGCAACTTCTTCGACCACAAATATCAATTCCAAACACCAACAACAGCAACCATACAATTTAAATAATAGAGCAAGTACAAATAGAGGAATGATGAATGGTTCGAGTCATGCAACTCAACCCAATAACATGATGCTTTTGATGAATCAAATGCAAGTACAATCTCAACAACAACAGCAACAGGCATCCATGAATCAAATGCAGACCCAACCATTTACTATGCCTGGCACTCTTAATTCTACATTAATGAATGGAAGTATGAACCACAAGTACCATCCTATTCCAAACAATAATCATCAAATGATTCCTAATGCTACAACCACCACAGCGACTACACCAACAACGAACGGATATCACATGAATTTAGCGTCTTTACCAGACTACTTGACCATGTTGAGAAATATTTGTAAATCAGACGATGACATTGCTGAGCTGTTTCAAAGTATTCAACTCCAACTTCAAGAACAGAAAGATTTAAATTTTGTGATTGAGGGTTTTAGGCTGGGATTTTTATGTGGCTTACGCACCCTAGATAAGAACAAGCAAACAACACAAATGTAAATAACAAGCATTTCATTAAATTATTTGTTTAACCACTTTGACATTATTTTGTTTTTTTACCTCCTCGTTGATGGTAGCCACTGCTTTGTGAATTGTTTCCTCTTTTTTGACCGCCTCCTCTTCCTCCTTTTTTGTTTCCGCCTCCTCCATTGCCTTTGTTTCGACTCTTGCCACTATTGTTTGAGGAATCATTGTTGTCCAACTTGTACACGGTTAAATGCATTTCCAAATCTCCAAAAGTCTCATCGAGTAAATTTCTAACACGAGGCCATAGAAGCCTATCGAGCCCACAACCAATTAAGGGCATGCTAATACGTGTGACGTTATGCTCGATAGCATGTTGTTTCATACACTTTAAACTTGACAACAGAGTGTCATAGGTTGGTTTTAAAAAGTATTTAGGTTTGGTCACCAAGTAATAAATGTATCTATTATCCTCTGGGACATGTAATACAGCCAGACCACCTGTCTTGGCATTCTGCTTTCTCAATTCATCAACTCTTCCATATTTATTCTTGAATATCAATGCAATTCCTGAAAATGTAAATGTAAAGAAGAAAAAACAAGAATCATTACCTTTGCTCATGGCCAAATCTTCACTCACACAATGGCATAGTGAATCTGTATTCTCATCGGAGAACAAATCTCCAAATTTTTCAGAAAACGAATAAGATTTTGATGACGAGCTGGAATTTGCATGCTCCGAGCTTGATACAGTTGTATTATTGTTATTGATTAGCAGTTCAGTGGTTGATGAACTTGATGAAGTTGTGGCAGATGCTTCACGAACCAGATCAGCGATGGTGGTGTTGTCGTCTTGCTCTACTTTCATTTTTTTCTTGTTGATTCTGGAATGGAAAATCAAAATTGCACTTATTTTCTTGTTTCGTCATGCAAAGATTTCCTCAACCCAGGTTCAATTTGATCATCGAACGATTCTTCAGGTTCAACATCAAAAAATGAGCGAATCGTCATCACTCACCAAGAGAAATCGATCATCGTTCGAAAGCGATGACGAAAGTGATAACAACGAGAGTGGCTACTCATCAGACTCTGAACCGGAAGTGGAAGATCATGATGAATCAAAGAGGCTTGAGGAAGAGTTTTCTAGTTTAGTAGTCGTTTCTCAGAGTGAGTTGGACACCATGGAACAGAGGCTTTCTTCAAATCCGATGGCTTACTATCGTGAATGGCTCGATTTGATCAAACAATATAGATTCAGATATTATGCAAGCTCCAAGAATATTTCTAATAAGAATACGACAGACCTTCCGAAATCATATTCATCATTAACAAATGAAAAAACATACATGAACGTTTCAGCGTTTGAAAAATTGAGGCAAATTAGATGGAGCATGTCCGATCAGGTTCCTCTGGGAGAGAAGAGATGGAATGAATGGCTCAAAGAAGAAGAGGAATATCTGGAGGACATGTGTTTTTCTACAAATTCAAAGATGCTCATCGGCACCGATAATTCATCAAACTCAAATATTGATAACACCAGGAACACCATTTTGTTAATTTATGAAAGGTGTTTGTTGTGGGAGAATCCTTCATGTAAGTGTACTTTGTTTTGAATTGTAATAATTTATTTACTATTTTATTAAATGAACAGACAAAAACATTGCTGACCAATACTGTAATTTTATTTTGAAATATTACGAAGAGGATTCAAAGAATGAACAATTTATTGAGGACTCATTTAATTTTATATTTGAATTAATTGGATTTAAGCCTTCTATTTGCGACTTATTCTTGGAATATTTGCAGAGAAAAGAAGAGGAGAACGTATCCGAAAAAAAAATGTGGAACCAAAAAATCCGAAATTTGTACAGAATGCAACTCGAAATTCCATCTCAAAATGTGTTTAATGTGTGGAATAGCTACGTGTCTTGGGAAAAAAACTCTAGCGACGAGGTGACTGCTGAAAACAATATACAAGAAATGAATGTTTTAAAAGTAAGATGTATGAAGGAGCTCGAGTTAAGGCTCAGTCTTGAGACAGATCTTTCTCAATCAGATGAAACCAATAAGCAAACGAACTATCTAAACTATGTAGAATTTGAAGAGACAAAATATCAAGAATGTAAAAACTATTTGCAAACTTTTTATACCGAGCAGGCTCCAACTCTTGACATGAGCTTTGAAGATTTGTCCGCCTTATTGAGAGTTCAAAAAAGTAGAGTTGTTGAATTGCTCAAAAAAGGGTCATTCGATTGTTGGAAGAGCGAACAAATGTGGCAGAAATATTTCTCCTTCCTAGTTGCTGAAAGATCATATGGTACATCTTCCCAAACAACTCACTCCATGGTGATCAAAAAATTAATTTCATCATATACTCAATTAAGCCAGCTCAAATATTTACCTATATCCCATTTGAAACATATGTTTCAAAATTTGAAGAGATTGTACCCGCAGATCAGCTTAATACTATTGTGCAAGCATGTGTGACATCTTTCGTGGCTACAAAAAATAATCCTTGGAGCTCTACATTATGGAACAATGTATTGATTGGACTTTCCTATTTATATGAAACCTTGAATCTCAACTCAACCTCTATCACACATTTTACATCTAAATTTTCTGAATTGATACAAAATATAATGTATCATAGAGTTCTTGGCGGTTTAAACTGCTATGCCAATGACTTGGGTTACAAAGATTTTTATCAAGTATTCTCCTGTTACTGTACAGTTATGGCTAGGTTAAACAGATTCCTTTTCTCTCAAAGTGTGAATTATACAAATAGCGGAATTACCATACAAGACTTACCTATCTGCCAACAGGAGGTGTTTACCGCAGCTGAACAAGGATTTGAAAATCTCATTGGATACATGAAACAATATTTTGAAAAGGATGATTCAAAGACCTACTTGTTAGAGTTGCAGTACACAGAATTCATGTTAGAGAATGAACAAGTATTACGTGCCAAAGAGTTATTTGAACTACATATCCTGCAAGCGAGCGATTATAAGAAAGACATCAAAGTCTGGTATGAGTATATACAGCTACTAGAGCGTTTAAATTGGTTTTCAATTGCTGCTGAGAATGCACTTCATGCAAAAACTTCTAGTATTAGAGATGCGTATTTGGAAGGTGTTAAAAATATTGAATCAATATCCAATCGAAAAACATTCATCAAATCATGGATTCTATTTGAAAAATGTAATTGTGATTCGTTAGATACAGTTATCATGGCAGAAAAAGCATTTGAAAAAATCACCGTTGAAGAAGCTCAAACCAAAAAAGAGAAGAAGGAAGGAAAACGAAAGGAAAAAATTGAATTAAACAAGAAGGAAAAGACACAACAAACAACTACAGCAGAAGCCACTAAGGATCAACACCCAGAAAAGCCAAAGAAGCCAAGGAAAGAGAAGGAAAACGCTGAACCAAAATCTAAAAAGGTGAAAATTGAAGAAAATATTGATGACACAACTACAGGCTCCGCAACTTTACCAGAAAAAACAGAAGAAGGAAATAACGAAAGTAAGACACACAAAAGCCACAACGTAGTACTTTGGAACTTACCCTACAAGATGAAAGAAGATGAGCTGCGTATGATTTTCCAAAACGAATCATTCGAACCTAAACGTGTGACACTTGTCAAGAAACAAAATGGGTCATCAAAAGGAATGGCTTTTGTTGAGTTGACCGATGATTTGTCACTTCAAAATGCGATCCAAAAGTTTAATGGCTTCAAGATTGATGAAGAAGGTCACGCTATTCATGCCTCAGAAGCAGACCCAAATAAGATGAAAAGAATTTTACACAACCAGAAGCAGCTTGAAAAGCACAAAGGAGATCGTGCTCCACCAAAGTTCAAACCAAGTGCTGAAAGACAAACCTCGTTTGTGGCTTCGGCACAACCACAACCAACAGCATCAAATGTACCAACCAAAAAACCTGCCTTTAAACCTAGAAACGTCAAGCCAGTGTCACACAGCTCAAAGTCAACAGGTTCGACTCGACCAACATCAAATTCTTCACCAGCTGGTGCCAGTAACATCACACCAAATAGTGCTGGACAAAGCGTCGGAGGATTGAGCAACGATGATTTCAAACGTTTCTTACGCCCAAATGATAATACTCCTCAAAAACAGTAAGCTTGACTCCAAATCATTGCTCCGCTTAATAATTTGCGTGCGTTATATTCACACGGTAACAACGCATAAAATAACCGTAATAACGCACGTCAAAAACAGTACAGTTCGTGGTTGTTAAGAAATGTTCTTTTTCCACCAAACACAAAAAAATGAAAGCGTGCGTCATTCACCATACAGGTGATGCCTCTGTATTGAAACATGAAACTGATTTTCCAAAACCCTTGTTCGACAAATCAACTTCCGATCAAATATTGATCCGAGTCGTTTATGCTGGTGTAAATTTCATCGACACTTATTTCAGAAGTGGATTATATCCAGTTCCATCGTTTCCAAAAGTTCTTGGCCAAGATGGCAGCGGTTACATTGAAGAAATTGGAGATCAAGTACCAAGTACTTGTGGACTCAAGGTTGGAGATCGTGTTGCTTTTACGTCAGGATCTGGCTCTTATGCAGAATATGTTCTCTCTGGATTTGTGAACGTGGTAAAAATTCCTGACGAGGTTTCATTCCAAGATGCTGCAGCTTGTATGGTTCAAGGATTGACTGCTTATTATTTGGCATTTGACATTCCAAGTGCAAGAAATGATATTGTTTTAGTTCATGCAGCTGCAGGCGGAACAGGTCGTGTACTGGTTCAAATCTTGTCCAAAATCAAGAAAGTGAAAACAATTATTGGAACCGTTGGATCTGACGAGAAAATCTCAATTGCAAAAGATTTAGGATGCACTCATGTGATTCAATACAAGAGAGAAGATGTGGTTCAACGAGTGAAAGAAATTACCAATCAGGCAGGTGTGGATGTAGTTTATGATGGTGTTGGTAAAGATACATATTCAGCTTCACTAAACTCGTTGGGAGTAAGAGGATTGTTTATTAGTTTTGGAAATGCATCTGGACCAGTACCTCCAATTTTACCCTTAGACTTGAGTGCAAAAGGTTCCTTAACATTTACAAGACCTCGAATGGGAGATTTTGTGAGAACTCATGATGAAATGCGAGAAAAATCAGAGAAAGTCTTTTCATGGGTTTCACAACAAGCCATTTCCATGAAGATTCACAAAATTTTCAAACTTGAAGAGGCTGCCGATGCACATCGAGAAATTGAGGATCGTAAAACCTTGGGTAAGATTTTGTTGAAAATTGCCAGTGATGAATAAACAAGATTCTTCCTTGCCAAGAACAATGAACCACTGAGAACTTTTTGAAATTCAAATCTCGTTGTTGCTAAAAATATCATAAAAAAAAATTCAACGATCAAAGAATCATTCTCTGAAAAACACCATGACAGACTTTGGAGATAATTATTTATCTTTTACATCACCATGTGAATCTAACAACAACATTTTACCATCGGTGATTGCCTACTGTGAGAATGGTTTTTATTGCAACGCTCACTCAATCAATAATACTAACAACAACAATAATCATCCGAGAGGTTCTCTCTATTCCATCTATGTCAATGATAAGATTCATGTTATTCTTGATACTGAATTTACAATACAATCAAAACCTGTAATCATTGAGTTGAGAAGTTTTCTATTCGAAGATGAGGACAATGATGAAAGTTTTGAAGAAGAGTCAATTGTCGTCTCGGATTTTTCATTTCCAACGACAAACGCAGTGATACATATTCGTAGAGATAACTCTTCAAGGAGAAAGAATAGAAAGAACAAGGCCAAATCTATTAAAGGAGAGCTCACTCAAGAAGATATTGAAAAGAAGAAAAAGATGAGAAGAAGCTTAACTCAAGAAGCCACCAAAAAAGTTTCATTCATACGTGTCGTTCGTAAAGAAGATGGTGTTGTATTAGCTGTTTCTCAAAATATGTGGTGCCGAAGTAAAACTAGAGCTGAAATGGAAAAGAAGAAGGAGAGAAGACAAACAACCACAACTAACACTAGGACAAAAAATCCAAGTACTAAGAGAAAGGAAAATCCACAAGTTGAGCTTGTGCCTGTGGATGTCGATCAAGAAATGTTACAAACACATCTCTGTAAACGATCAAAGCTCAATGATTTACGAAATGTCGATGACACCACTGCAGTTGTCACTTCCAACAACACTGTAAATATCAATGGAGAGGAAATTCCAATGGAAATGCTTCAAATGTACACGCCTCAGGACTGGATGACTTACACCAATGGCATCGCTGCTAGCTTGGATTTCTTGACCAACAGTTATTCATAGCAACCACAAAGAGCGACCAATCAGTGCCAGTGGAAAATAATCAGGCACCAGAAGATGACTTTGACCCTCCATGTTCCAACAATCTGCTCCAACAACATTCTTCAATTCGCCTCTTTATGTCAATAACACAACAAACGGAGGAGCTGTGAATTTGGATGAAATTGACTGGAGCCAATTTATGGAAGCACCAACCTCACCTCCACTGTCGTCACATCAAGTTAACATCACTCCAAGTATAAGCAATGTTGCTGTACCATCCAAAGCAGTTTCGTTGGATGATTTTTCTCAAAATGACTTGGAATTCTTGCTTGACGATCTGCTGTAATAAATATTTGAATATCAATTAATTGTTTCGTAAAAGAGGTCAATTAATCCAACAACGAAAAGTTGATCTTAATATTTACAAATGGTTTAATGTCCTTGTGAAATTAATAGTGCTTGGACTTGCAATTTACTTCTTGCAATCGTTGCACAAACAATATTGTGGGCCGATATGTTTAGCAATGCAGCTCACACCTGGGCAACGTTGTCGTTGTTCCAAATAATCTTGAACAAAATCGCTAATCTTTTCTCTGCTTACGTTGGGCATGACAATACAATGAGCTACTGTTCCTTCGCATGCAAGTTGCCACTTTTTAACAAACTCTTCATCCTTTGGTCTCTCCAAAACAATTGTGTTAGAGTGAGGATTCAACAGGCATCCTACGCCTGCATCTCTCAATAATTGTTCCATATACTTTGCATTTTCCAAACATTTTCTAGCATCCTTTGCAAAACCTTCAGTTCCCTTCTTTCTCAAGGTCAGCCATAAGTACAAGGAGGCTTGTCCGTTTCTTGAACCCATGATAGTAGTATCTACACTGTTGAGGTAGTCAATGTGACTCTTCAAAGTTTCGACGTATCTCTTTCTGGTGATTGTGACACCACATGGCATTGGACATCCCATAAACTTGTGTCCCGAAACGGAAATACTTCCGACAGGTTTAGTAAAATTGACTTCTAATGCTTCCTCAATGAATGGCAAAATTAAAGCAAACAAAGCACCGTCGCAATGAATGAAGAATTCATCTTCCGTGTATCCAGTTCTCTTGAAAATATCCAAAATTGTATCCAAATTATCCACTGCTCCCTTGACAGTAGTTCCAATGTTAACATTCATGACCACTGGTCTCTTCTTCTTTCCTTGAGACAAATCTTCAGTCTCTTCTCTATTTCTAATCAATTCTTGCTCCAAAATTGCATAATCAATCTCACCAGTGTATAAAGTTGGAACTCTAATTTCAGGCATTCTGTACAACTTGGCAGCCTTTGAAACAGAGTAGTGTGACTCTCGGGATGACACCAAAACTGCATCAGGGAATTGTTCTCTTCCCAACAAGATTCCATACAAGTTACCTTCTGTTCCGCAGTTAGTGACGTATCCCCAATATTCATCGTGACTCCAATTTTGAGCATTGGATTCATCGGGACATGGACCAATCTTCCACAACTTGGCAAAGAATTGCAATACAGATTGTTCAAAAGCTCTCGAGTGAACACCATAATTACTCTCAACAAAAGGATCACCCAAATTGTTGATACTATATCTCAAGAAAGGGCTTAGTTCTTCATGGTTGTAACTTAAATTGTATGGATACCCAAAGTGATGGTAAGTTCTTTCTTCCACATGTTTCTTGTATTGAGCAAGGATTTCATGGGTGGGCAAATCTTCTTGAATGACAAAGTTAAAGTTCTTATCAATGTTGCTGCTGTTGGAAGGAGAAGTACTGGTGGTGTTCGTATTCATGATGATGGTATGAAGTATCCGAATGATTGTTCTTAGAATCGGACTAAAGATGACGCTTCTAAAAGTGGTGAGGTGTAAAGGCTTTTTTTTTGATGATGGAGCTTGTTCACTCCAGTATACCCTTCGAGTATTAAGCGAATTTAGCGAAACGATAGTAACCACAACGATGACGTCTGCTGATAAGACTGCAGTGGGTTCAAATAAATTGAAGTTTCTTATTGTGCACAAAAGGCATCGGAGGAGTGAAGGGAGAATGGTTCGCGCTCCTTGATGTTTCTTCCGACTACTAGTAATCGAAGATTCAACACGAGATGATGTGGATCAGTAGTGTTTTTGATATTCTCCTATCGTTGAAAGCTCATGATGATTTTTTGTGGAAGCAAAGGATGGAAGTTTTTGACGATAGGAATTTTTGTGAAGGTGTTGAAGGTTCACGTGACAAAAGAAAAATGTTCAATCAACAAGAGATTTGTTGACACACTCTATCAAAGCTTTGATATTGGTGAGAAATCGCTGTAGTCTGTTGTGAATATACGAACAATAGCACTGAGAATTTGACTGAATGAGATTGTGAATTTTCAATGAATTGAGTGATCATCAAATATTGGATGACAAGAGCTTCATGGTACATTGCAACAACAACAGCGGTTTGAAATGACTTTAAAAACAGAAATTGTGTTCGTTCGGAATGGCTTTTGAAAAAAACCGCCAAGATTCAAATACGAATTTTTTGAATGGTATCGTGAAGGCTTATTTAAAAAATAATGAAGCCATCATCAAACACCCCGACTTCCTCCATTGAGGAAGCATTAAAGATGATTGAGGAAAGGACATCTCAAATGAATTTGGAAATTCGGAAACATTTTGATAGAAGTAAAAGTAGTAGTAGTATTGAACTGAATGTTCAAAACGATAACGATCAACAGGAACAACCTACATCCAATCCAACTAGAAACAGAGGACGAAGTTATTTATCCAAAGAAAACCAAATGGAGGACATTTCAAAGATATTTAATGCGATACGAGCAAAAAGAAAGACTGTTGAGAAAACGCCATCTGCCACAGCTAGTAATACTAATCATAGTACTCCTGTAGATGTTTCTGAGTTTAATTCGCCGTCTACCCGAAAGCCATCGACACCGAACAATAATTTTCACCCTTCATCCATTTCGAGACAGGCTACACCACTTCAAAATGTCAATAGCACAATCAACGGTTCGCATCAAAGAATCGATGTACAACATGTGGATGATTCACTAGCGACTGTAAATAATTTCTCAGTGAATAGAGAAGAAGAAGACGTGTCTGAATGTACATCAGACCGTTCTAGCACAAGTGCATGTAGCATGGGTTCTCAATATAATGTGGTTGAATTACAAGCAAAAGTTGATGCGTTAACAACCGCCTTAACAAAAGCTAACAATAATTTGGAAGACTTTCAATCAGGACTGGAGACATCAATTCAAAAACAAAGCGAGCTGAAAAATTATTATCAAAGCTTTCTCAAGAACATGTCAAGGCAGCATGCTCAAAAAGTAGAAGACTTACAAGAGAGAATTAATCACCTAGAGAAAGAAAACTATGGACTCAAAGAACAGTTGAAAACATTCAACAATTGTGCGATAAACTCTCAGGCCGTTCCAGCAACTTGTTCGAGAGAGTCTATCTTGTCTCGAGATGCAATTTTGAAAGCATCAAAAAGAGCCAGTCAAGTGTGCGCAAGCACGAAAGAAGAGTTACAGAGCTTGAAAAAGTTTTTACTATCTGAATATGATCCTTTCAAAGAAGTTTCAAATTTTGCCCAAGAAGTAGTATCTAAATCCCTCACTATTTTCAATGACTCTCAAATTTCTGAACAATACAAACACAAGTTGGCGGAGCTAGAAGAAAAACAACAGCAGTTGAGCCAGCTCCTCCTCCAAGAAATCAACTCACGAAAAAGTTTGCAAAACGAGCTCATAGAAGAGCGAGGGAATATTAGAGTGTGCTGCAGGATACGCCCTGAATGGTCTTTTCCAGCTGAAAACACCAAATTCGTTCATTCACTATTTCATAGAAGTTGCATTATACACGAACAAACTACTGATACGGTTATTACAATCAACAGAAAAGGAAGAATTCGAACATTTGAGTTGGATCAAGTGTATGGCACCTCCGCCTCTCAAGACCTTATATTTGCAGACTTGAAACCCCTTATTCATTCATCATTCGACGGCTACAATGTTTGTATGATGATGTATGGTGAAACAGGATCAGGAAAAAGTTTTACAATGAATGGAACATCAGCACAGCAAGGCATCATTCCCAGAGCTATTACAGAGTTGTTCCATCTTATTGACATGCATCGATGTTTTTGTGATGTAAAATTGAGATTAAGCGTTGTGGAAATTTATAACAATGATGTTCGTGACATGTTGTCACCAAACGGCTCAACAGAAAAAGAAGCCTACTATTCTTCATCTGAGCTAAGGTATAGTGCAGTACAAGATGAACAACATTTACGACAATTAATTAAGGAATGTGTTTCAAAGCGATCTGAAGGAAGAACATTAATGAACGCCAACAGTAGCAGGTCGCACTTTATAGTATCTATCGAGATTGAGAAGAGACTTTGTGCACAAACGGAGAAACTTCAACCTTCTCGAGATTTTTTACTGAAACAACCTGTAGAAACAAACGAGAAAACGAACCAGCAGAACACCAGTGCACAGAATTTGGTGACACAACCTTTGAGCACCAAATCTGTTTTGAGATTTGTGGATTTAGCTGGCTCTGAAAATGTGGAAATGAGTGGTGTGCTTGTAAACTCTGAACAATTTGCTGAAACGTCACACGTAAACAAAAGCCTAGCAGCCGTTCAAGACGTGGTTGTTGCGCTTGCCCAAAAACAACGCCATATCCCATTCAGAAACTCAAAGCTTACTCAAGTACTTAGAGACTCTCTTGAAGGAGATAGTAAGGTGTTAATCATGGTGACAGTTTCTCCCCAAGATAAGTTCGGTGCTGAAACAATTCATGCGTTATCGTTTGCAGAGAAAGTGAAGCAGATTAAACGAAAAAAAGCAACCAGACAAACAGTAGTGAACTAGTAGAGTTTAGGGCGACATGTCGCAGAACCAAAATGATTGCGAATTTTATGTGAATTTTATTGGTGTTTGTTTCTGAAATAATGAACCGCGGCTCCTATGGCAACAGCACTGAAGCCCAAAACCCACCACGTACAACTAACAAAAGGACAGTATGACATACTGTTTGGTGAAATATAGGTTGGTGGTGAGCAATGGACCTTGTCCTCTACATACTTTTCCGGTGTTGGATAAACTTTAGGTACCACAAAGATTGTCTTCTCTTTGCGAGGGGATTCCAATCCTCGTAGTTCCATTAGGGCTTCACTTGGCAACAAATACCATCGCAAATGGCCGTACTTTCGTTCAAATCCATACTTGTCATTATCTCCAAATAATCTAGTAATTTCCTGTTTGTAATCTAATTTGATTCCATCTTTGGATGTGAATAGTTTCATTGATTGTTGTAACAATTCTTCTGCATCTTGCAAAATTGCAGAATAACTATGGATCGTGTTTGGTTCCATATCATGCAACTCGCTCGAGTTATTCAAAAATTCAAGGCGCCCATGTTCAAACGTAATATCAGAAATTCTTTTTCGGTGTTGTTCTAAAAAGTCCGTAAAGTTTTCATGAATGGAAGAAATCTTGTTGCTAGGTCGGTTTAAATTGGGGCTAATACCAGATGAGACAATATCAAATCTACGGTGCATCCACTCATTGCTTGACTCATTAAAAACGTAGTATGGTAAGAATTTCCATCCATGGGTAGCAACAAAATCAACTGCTTTTAACACAAAGTCCACTGTTTCGTCATCAAAGAAATAGTTCAAATTTAAACGAGTCCAACCAGGTTTTAAGTGTGTCAGGGAAATGGGAGACGAGTAAGATTCAAGAAGTGCACCTTCCAATTCCAATGCGGTTTCATGAGAAATTCCCAATAATTCAATTCCTAATGGACCAGCACAGCTACAACCTCCTCTTGTCTGAATACCAAATAAATCATTAAGCAGTAAGCTCACAAATGAGTGATGTAAGAAAATGTCTCCGTGCTTTACAAGAAATGAGAAAAAAGCTAACTTTTTCAATCCTTTTGAGATACATTCCTTTCCTGGGCCAAGAAGAATTAAGTTCGGATTTTTAGACCAAAATTCTAAAGCTCTATCTCGGTAAGCATCTTCTAATTTACCAATGAGACATGGTCCTACTGCTTCTTTTAGCTTGAATATCAAAGCACATCGAATGGAGCCAATGATATCAGGTGTTCCTCCCTCTTCTCTTTCTTCAATCTTTGCTGTGTAGCTATGATTTCTATCGTCGACAAAGTTTACTGTTCCTCCGCCTGGGCGAGTTGGCACAGCTATTTTAAAATTCACAAAATTATTATCATTAGTTGAAATTGAGATTGAACCTACCATTCATAAAGAGCTTTCTTTTAGCAATTAATAGACCAGGAGTTCCAGGGCCACCCACAAATTTATGAGGACTAATGAAAATTGCATCTTTGTGAAGAAGCGTATCCGGTGTTGGGTTCATATCAATTGGCACGTATGGGGCAGAGGCAGCGTAATCAAAAAAGCAAAAGGCTCCATGTTCATGACACAACTTGCAAACTGCATCACAATCTGTACAAACTCCTGTCACATTTGAGGCTGCACTGAATGAACCTATCAATAATCGTTTACCGTTCTTGTACGTGAGTAGACACTTCTTCAAATGTTCAAAATTTAAATTACCATATCTATCTTCAGCTATTTGAATAACGATAGCTCCAGACTCTCTCCAAGGAAGGATATTTGAATGATGTTCATATGGAGAAATAAAAACCACAGGTAATTCGTTTTGAGAACGAGCCAGTAATACTCTTTCTCTAATTCCAATACAATGTACCAAAGTGTTCACTGCACTAGTGGAGCCACTGCCCACAAATAGTACAACATCACAATCTCCATCTGTATTTTTGGAATTGGATGGTTTTGAAATTTTGTTCATCATGGATGAAAAAGAGCAACTTGCACAATTATTTTCATTCATGTTGCATGATTTGGTTAATCTCGCATTGACACATTCTGCAATAATCTCTCTTGCTTCCTCTCTGAAATGTGTCGTCTGATAACCTGTGAAAGAGGTTGTGGTGTGTGTGTTGGCATAGGTCGGTAAAACTTGCTCCTAACATGTATTTGTGAACAACATCAAAATGGTTCCAACATGACTACTACTTCAATAACAACTTACAAACAAATAATCTTCAATAAACTTCAAAGGTTTTCCCGAAGCAATGTAATCACAATACGTAATAGGAATAAACCTATTGGTTGAAAATGGAGTTTTAAAAACAGCCTCCGCACCCACTACATTATCATGAATTGTATGAATGAGTGTTATCTTTTGTTTGACCCACTTTTGCATAATGTCATTCTCATAACAATTTTCAAGAGCTACATCCATCTCATTGTTGTGAGTGATAGTTACATTGTCGTGGTTGAGAATGTTATGAATGCAACCTGATTCCGACTTGTTGTTTTCAGCTGAGCATGAATCATCATCTACAGATGGTTCAGAATCATCCTGATGATGATATTGATGTTTGCAAATAGTGGTTGCTGCAATATCTTGCAAGACTTTGTAGGTGATGGAATCTTTCGAGAAGGGACGGGACCGATGAAGGCTCGAACGTTTGGTCGTGGAATAATTTCCTGATGTTGTTGTTGGTGTCGTTGCTGTATTAGATGACGAGGAGCGAGCTCTTGTTCCTTCACGTGGAGGTGTATGAATTTGCAAGGTTTGTAGTTGCTCTTCGGGATGAAGGAAATGGGACTTGTTGAGAGGAGATGAATTTAATTCCTCGGGTTTCATTGCTTCCGTATTGGAATGCACCATCATCTTTATGTGAGAGTTTAAATTTTCTGTGAGTGGTACTGCAGTGATGATGAAAGGATGATTCACTCTTTCAATTTTTCTTTGATGAAAGGTGGTGGATCTGGTCAATGATTCGTTTTGGATATATGTATATATGGCCGAGGACACAAACTCCGAACAAGCTTTCGTGAAATTCCAGATGTATTCAGAATTCAACGGAAGAGATTACGAAATATCTAGTACGAGGAGTTTGTTAAAGAAAATGAGTGCAATGGCAAATGTGTGTTTTTTTAAAACTGTGTAGACAAAATGCAACGGCTCAAGCCCATTTTGATTTGGCATTCAGTTTACAACAAAAATTGGGTCGAGCTCAAAAACAAAATTTACTGGACGCATCTGTTCAAGCCAACCATTTATCCATCAACTTTTGAGTTTCAGAACGGGTGTGTGTTAATGTAGGCAGGTCATTTGGAGAGGAGGCATACAAGTCAGCACAATGGGCAGTACCTTGCATGTGGAATACGTTTGATTGGGGAATATATTGTGTCTGTTGTGTCACTGCTAACACTGACCATGGATCCACAGAACCACTCGTGAAAACTGTGTTAGTCGTGTCAATATTCTTAGCTCCATACATGTTGTTAGTAAAAGCAATGTCTGGCTTCATTCCATTAATTCCGAAAACTTCAGAACATTGTTGAAGGAAATATTGTAAGGTAATCTTGGTGGAGAATGGTTGCTTGTCACCAACTGCATCTTGATAATATCCAAATTCAACACATGTCTGGTAGGTCCAAGCACGTCCTGCAGCGTTTTGATTTTTAGGGAAAGGTCGTTCATCTTTCATTTGGTTGATCATGTCGCTGTATAAATTTTCACTGCATGAATTTCCAGAGTATGAGTTAAAAGTATTGACCCAATTGGCAAAACTTTCCAAAGCATCTGGACCTGATTCAATTATATTACACATGCTTGTAATGTTGAATGCTTTTTGTCCATTGTTATCCAAGTTGTATTGAACAATTTCACAGACACCGTCAGAAAGTGTTGAAAAGAAAGTGGCAACATCATTGATATCTGTCAAACTTTCTGGATTACAAACGTTGAACAATTTTGCAACACGTTGTCTTCCAGCTGGACTCAAAAGCAGTTGCTCAGCAAGAGTATTTGCTTGTCTAATTCTGTCAGCACATTTTGGTCCAACAGAGTTTTGAACAACCATCATGTACTCTGGGAATTCTAATTGTGCCAATACAGGTCCAGAGCTGTGTGTGAAGTTCATTTAGAAGAGTGAAAAGATTGGAAGTTTTTCAAACCATCACCAAGTGTTGAGCATTTGCAATTTTGCATTCCTAGCTCACAACAACTTACCTAGCGATAGCTCCAACAAATAAATGTGGATATTTGAGCTTTAACCAAGCAGATAAATTTCCAGAGTATGAGCCTCCAAACGATACAAACTTGGTCTTGGCTTCATTAATGTTATACTTTTTGATTAAATAGCTTCTAAATTCCACCAAATCTTGCAATGCTTGTTCACTGGTCAAGTATCTCAAGTTTTGGGTAGACAAAGATTGTCTTGGTACTGACTCTCCATAGAATCTGATTCATGCAAGCATTATCATCACGGGCTTTCATTGTTAACAAAAATACTAACCTATGTTCCAATGCAGCAATTAAAGCACCATATCTTTTAGCATACTCGTTTGTAATGAAATGACCATTGACATAACCGGCGGAAGCTATTGTTTCAAATAATAATAATTATACGGAAGAGTAGAATTTTAGATAGTTGGAAACAATTAATGACAACATCATAATCATTGAAAATTCAATTCCAAGAATTGGAAAATCACAACAACATACCTGGTCCTTCTCCACCAATGATAATAAAAACAGGACCATTATATGCCCGATTCCACATGGTATCATTGATCCAAAAACGTTGTTGGAATGTCTCAGTATTTTGTGGGTCGAAATGATCCAAAGTTTGGGTCATCCACTGATCCACTGCTCCCGATGATGCAGCTTCTCGCAAGAAGAGATTTCTATTTTTCTGTAAAAGACGATGATTCAAAGCACCAACATATTTGGTTCTCGTAAGGACTCGGGCATGGATGGATGTTGTCAGTAGGACGGCTACTGCTACTACGCTCACAACCAATGCCATGAAACAGGCTGTCTTGTCTTGTTGAAACATTTTTTTTTGACAATTACGATAGGAGTCGAGAACTCCGTGATGCAATTTTCAAACAAAACCTAGGTGAAAAATCTTCTACGATTTATCTAAGAGACATCATATCATTGAGTGAGTTGGAGGTATTGCTCGATGTGAAAAATCTTCCAAATTGTTTAGCTCCATACGAGAGTTGGTTCGTGTTGCCACTCGCATGTAAAATATCACTAGCACTCGAAAATATCTTCCAGAATCGAAGTGTTTCATCACCTGCTGCAGATACTACATGACTTCCGTCTGGAGATTGAGCCAAATGAAGGACACGACTCGTGTGACCAGTAAGTTCTGCAACCTTCCTCAAACTTGGATATTTCCAAATAATGAGTTGATTCTGTGAGAATCCATGTGAAGAAACGAGCTCCCTGTCGTATTTAGACCACAACAAGCTGCACACTTGAGATTTCGTGTCGACACTGTTCAAAAGAGCTCCATTGGAGGTATTCCAAAAGTGTATTTTTCTATCGGCTGTACCACCTCCACTTGCCAACAAGTGAGCTTGCCATGGACACCATGCCAATGCTTTAACAGCAGCCACGTGCTCGTTGAAAGTAAAAAGAGATGAGGAAAAGCTTGCAGCACTTGCATCCCAAATATGGAGAGTATTGTCATTACCTCCTGATGCAAGTTGAGATCCATCGGGTGACCATTTCAAACCACACACTTCTTGAGAATGACCAGTGAACACAGAAGTGACTTGGTTTGGATAGTTTGGTATGGATTCATGTTGTTGCATGAATAGGCCATGTGTTGATTGAGTATAGAGTCCACCAGGGCCAACTCGAACATCATGATTTAAAATTTTACCATCCCGCGAGCCAGAAGAAAGAATTGGTTGACATCTTGGATTCCAAGAGAGAGAGCCCACACGAGAGCTATGTCCAAGCATTTTCCTTACTAACTTTCTTCGTTCAACATTCCATAACTCAACCGTGCAGTGATTGGTACCTACTGCAAGATGAGCACCATCCATTGTCCAAGCCACACTTGTAATGGTATTAATGTTGGTTTCTGCTTCTTCCTGAGAATCTCCACTCGTTTTTGTAAGCATGTGAATATTTCCATTGTTTGCATCCCACAAATACACCGTGTCATAGAGAGCTACGGCCAACACATTTTGCGAGCTCCAATCCAGTAAATTCAAATAAAAGTCATCTAACATTTTGGGTGCGTCAAGAACACGCTCAGGCAGTGAAGAAATTTCACGTTGCTTGGAATTGCCACCACTGCCATAACCACTTTGATACAGCTGTCTCTTTTCCATTTCGGTCATTTGTGAAAATTGCTTATTGCATGAAAACACGGCCTGTAATTTGTTTTGAATGTTTGAATCGGCGCTTGTTGAGCTTTGAAGGGCGTGTTTTGGGGAGGAGAGAACCATGGAAGAGGATGGTACATTACCCCTTCGAATATTTTCCTGATTATTAAAACATGAATCGGTCCGAGAGCTACTCGTATGAAATTCCTCAGAGTGATCTTGCTGACTGCCGTTTCGGTAAGTCTCCTCTGAACCCATCGAACCTGTCATAGAAATCACATGACTACTGCTATTAAGGCTATGGAAATTGGTTGGTTTAAATTTGAAAATTTTCTTGTCAGAAATTCTCGAGTCGAGCAATCGACTTTCGAGACATGATTCAAATTGATACGGCATATTCATTATTGTGGAACTTGCACTGGCTTGACCACTGTTGCTGCTTTGTGAATAGCTTATTTTTGAAGAGGGTGGTGTGGAGGGCTCATTCGACGTGAACATTAAATGTTTCGCAATTTCCATTTCACTCGAGGTACATCGCTGTGGAATGAATCGATCTGCATGAAGAGTGGAAGAATTGGTTGGAGACATGATGAGAGAATGATCACAATTTCTTCTCCTGTTGGTAGGTGAAAGATTTTGACTCGTAAATGCATCCGTATGAGCTTTGGGTGAAGAAAGTGATTTGGGAGAAAAAGGAGAAAATATTTGAGTCAAACCAGTGCTGCCTTCTTGATTGGTGTCATTGAGATTGGAAAAGTCCAATCTCTTCACTACACTCGAAGGTTTAGAAGGAGTTGAAGCAGTAGTGACTCTTCGATTGGTCTTATTACAAGCAGTCATACATTTTCGATTGTCCATTATTGAGTTATGAGGTTTTTGGCATGAGTGAGGAGAAAGTACAGAGAGAGGATGTAACCTCTTTTTAGACGGACTTGTTATGATGGTGGAGGAATCTTGTTGTTGAGCAAATGAGGTTGCCCGAGAGAATCTTGCATGACTTGATTGTGGGCTTGTTAGTAAATGGCTTGGAGCTGTGTGAGGACATGAAACAGTCGTAGAAGTGCTACTTCTTGGTGGAGTTTTTTGAAAAGAGTCGGTTAATGGTTGTTTGAGGTTTGACATCTCCTCAAAGTGATTGTGATGGTTATTCGAATAGGAGGAAATGGGACTCATCAATAGTAACGAGTCTGTGATGGATGAAGTGCTCGTTGACAACCGATTAGTGGCACCAAAACCACAGTCTATCATAGTTGTTGAAAGAATCGATGATGTATTATGCAATGAAGGAGATGATTGAGGTGAAGACTGGTGATGGCATAACTTTTGGCTTTTACGTGTTTGTTGTTGTTGTGGTGATGAAGGAGGAGATGGAATGAACGGTGATGTGAGAAGGAGGTTCGACATGGGTGTGTCTCTCGCAAGTGTTGTTGAGCCAATCACGACTGATCAAAGCGATATCAAGAGTGTCTTGGAAGATTGCCGCAAGAGGTGTTTGTGTATTTTTTTTAAATTTTATTTGTAACGGTAAAATTTTTATGCTTGTCAAAACCGAGAGATCCCCAAGGATCGCTTGAGTAAAGGTATGCTTTAAATCTTTTCAATCTTTTTGAATAAATTGAAATTATATTATTTATTCATTAACAATTGCTTTGCTAAGAGAAGGTGCTTAACCCCACATTGATTCATTCGGATCCACTTTTTTTAACAGAAACCCAATGTTCAATTAAACTCGATTCGAAACAAGGCTTGTTTTTGCAATCAAGGCTAGTGTGGCGCCAAAATTCCTTTTAAACCATCATCCCAAAATTAAAAAGCCAAACACACTCAAAAAAAACGCTTCAACACCTTCGTTCTTCTTCACATCTCTCTGTCGGAAGCGACACACCTAACTTTGTTTTCGTTTACACAAATTTTGTGGAAATTATTTTCTTGTGATAACGAGAACAATCGGAATATATAGCGAGAATCATTGAGTAGTTAATCCTTTTTTCGCAACTCAAAATGTCCGTCGGAGAAAGCGATATTTATGAAGTCGAATATGTAATCGCAAAAAAGTATTTTAGAGGAAAGGCAATGTTTTTGGTGAAATGGAAAGGCTATGATGACAGTAAAAACACATGGGAGCCATACGAAAATGTGACATTGGATGGTCAAACGAGCATTATTGACGAGTTTGAGGACAGAAGAAAGGAGGTTCAATCTAGGCTGAAATCTATTTTGCATGATGTGGAGCAACAAACACGTAGGTTGTTAAAAATGATTCTCAATTCAATCATTATACTTTACTTACAGAATTAAGAGCACAGATGGCTGCAACAAGCTCTTCGGAACCTCTTAAAATCAACAAGAAACGAATAATTGATGACGATTCTGACTCGGAAGGAAAAGAAAATGTAGAAAATGTGAAAAATAGTACGACTTTGAAATGTAGTGATATTCCTACTAGTAATGACAATTCGGAGGAAACAAGCTCAACGAAAAAGAGAAAATTAGTTTTAGATGATGATGAGGATGATAAGTTAAGCTATAATACAGATGAGTTCAAAGCAAAACCAACACACATAACAGCCAAATTTATTTCCAGTCTTGACACCAATCCCCTCTCTAAGGTGCCAAAGAAGAATCCCAATGAGATTAATGGTGTTAGCCAACCTCCTTTCAGAATTCAGAAAAAAAAAATTTTACCACCCTCTTCGTCCAGCGCAACTAGTTATACCCCTTCCCTTAATTCAGGATCTAGTTCTCAAAATTTACCACCGTTGCACTCTTCCCCACTCACACCACAGCGTCCATCATCATCCATTCCTTCTGCACAACTCTTAGAGCAACGAACAGGTATTTCTTCAACGGCAGATAATACCCTTATTGTAAATAGATCATTGTCACATTCTCCTCCTACAGATCCAAGATTAAGATTATTACCAAAACCTGAACAGTCAGCCACTGCTTCATCATCGTCAAGTGGTGTATCGAATGTAACTCCCTCAACAAGTATATTCACACAGCCACCTCAAGTAATCAATCACAATGGCACTCAAGACGCTGTACCTAGTAATCAGAAATCACTTTCTACTCCAGTATCCACCAACCAAACCAACACAGCTGCACTTGGAGGAATTTCCGCCTTTTTATCCAAACATACAGATGACGAAAGGTTCTCAAAATTCAAAAGGAAAAGAAATGCGCCTGCTCAACTACAAATTAACACAACCAAAGAACATGGCGTGGCTGGTGGAATCTCCACAACAGGGCCTGTTTCCCCCAGTGACTTGGCAAGACGAACTGGTTCAGGGATTTCCTCATTTTCCAATTCTACTAACACAAATCCTCAACACCTCCAAAGCTCTACAAGACCAATATCTGGTCCCGTCTCTCCAAGTGATCTAAATCGATCCAGTTCGATAAGCAAATCAAATTCAGAAAAGCCACCCTCAATAACACCTCCATCATCGTCATCTCTGCAATCACCTCATCCATTTAACAAACCTCCATCATCCTTTCGAACCGGTCCAGTATCTCCAAGTGATACAAGATATCAACCTACACAAAGAATACCAAGTGGTAACAAGATTGTTGGACCAATTTCTCCTACCAATCCTATGAGATCAGCCAAATTGTTTTCTCAAACACCATCTTCAACAATACCTTCTTCAGCTCCTATCAACGATACAAGGAGGCTTGGAAATTATGCCAGCAACAGCTCAGTTCCTTCCAACAAACCGGTCACAACATCGATCGATGCGAGCAAAGAAAGACCACCCTTTTTTTCTGAAAAACCAATGCACACCAAGTCGAATGCAGAAAGACCACTGAGTACTAGTAACGGACCAATTTCTCCAAGTTCCATTCCAACCACAACCCCATTTAAACCTCCATCCTCCAGGCCGTTGGTTGCAGGTCCTATTTCTCCAAGTGATCCAAATCGATCCAGTTCGATAAGCAAATCAAATTCAGAAAAACCACCCTCAACAACACCTCCATCATCTTCATATCAACAATTACCTCAGCCATTCAACAAACCTCCATCATCCTTTCGAACCGGTCCAGTATCTCCAAGTGATGCAAGACGACAAGAAGATCGTTCACAGAGGAAAGAATACGACAGAAAGTATGATAATTCTAGGTATTCAAGCAGCAGTTATCATTTGGAAAGTTGGGGAGAATATTCATACAGTAGGCCTTCAAGCAGCAGATCATCGTACTATGACAGACAGTATTCAACAGATCGATATAATAGCCCATCTTTTTCTGGCGACAGAAGAAATAATGATCCAAATGATAGCTACTCCAAGAGCAGCTACAGGACAAGCAGCTCAGATGCTGAAAGAAGTCAAAGCTCTAGCGTTCCAACTCTCACAAATTCTCCATCCAGCTCTGCGAGCAGCCTTGATTCAGTAAGATCTAACGAAACAGAGACTGCTGTGCATGTAGTGGAATCAGACTTGGAGTTGACTGACGGTGTAAACTTGAAACTTAGTAATTTACACATTCAAGCATTTGTGAAGGGAGTTAAAGACCCAAAATTCCCTGTCATCGTTAATGTTGATGGCACTGCAAAATGGGACTTTGAGAATCACGGTAAAAATGCAATCAAATGTCTCATCACTAGCCAAGAACCCAATGATCTACCCTCAATGGACAAGCAAGCATCAAATTTGAAAAAGGATAAGAATGCATTTCGGGCCAAGTGGGATATTGATGGAAGAAGGTATAAACTATTCATTTATCCTTCATGCAGAGAGGTCAGAAGTGCATTCTCAATCAATCCACCTGACTTTCCACTTATCAGAGAAGCTCATTTTGTAGCGTTACTTCATTGCAAGACTGTAAAGTGATTTAGTGTGTTCACAAAGGCTGATGAGGTCAAATACAAGCTACTCAAATTGAATTTGATTTTGCAACTTGTTCTGCATACATGTAACAGTTTTCATTACATCTTATTTCCTTAAAAAGAAATTCAACAATTTGAAGTTATGCCTTCATTTATGCTTGAGCATACAGCAAAGTACTACTTGGACAAAACCTCTTCATAACCAATCCACAGAAATACGAAAGAAAATAACTCGCTCAAGTGCAACAGCCGAACCTTTCTTTGATTCTTTCCACATCCTTTCACTTCAAACAACAATCCAACAACAATTTACACCTTATAGTACTATGGAAATGGTTGAAACCAAGAGATTTGACTCAAATGCTCTTTCAAGAAGTCGAGAACATGAACAACCCATCGTCATTGACAATTCACCAAATCTCGATAATCGCACGGTTCAAATTCTAAAAACATTATACAATGAATTATGTTCCATCCAAAAAACCACCTCGACAGGATCTCCTTCCATGAGCAATATCACATCGAGACAACACAAAATTCTCTCCCAATCGAAAAAGATGAAAGAAGCATGTAACGACATTTTGAACTTGTTATTTAAAGGAAACATTCCAAAAGAGAGCGGTACGACAGCTACAACAACCACAACATCCTCACATGACAACATTTTAGAAAACATGGAAGATCATATTCGAGAATTGTTACATCTCGATCTCGATCAGTTGAAAGACACGATCGAGTTGGTCAATCAAGGAGAATATAACAGGAGTCGATTGGGAGAATTGAGAGTTAATGAACTCAAAGACGTCATGGGAGAAATATTTCTAAAGTGAGAGAGAAATGAGCAATAAAACTATTTTGAATATTGTGATACCTTTGGAACTTGTTGGCATTGAAAAAACATCGTTGATCTAACTTGAATCTTGCCATTAAGGTTCATCATCATTTTCAAAATTGAATTTGATGCAAACCATGAAGGATCGGAAAACCATGTGCATCATTTTCACAAAAAAATGTCTCAATCTCGAAGCTTCAATTTCCAAGCCGTTCATGTCAACACAACTCAAAACAACACATCGAGTAATACTCTCGAAAAAAGACCTAGAAATAAGAATGTTTCGAGCACATCGGAACATGAAACTCTCTCAAAAAAACCAATGAGTTCACAAACTCGTGACACCTCTACCTCCTCAAATATTAAATCTTCCACTCCACAATTTAAATCTCAACATGTGGCTGCATCATCATCATCAAATAATAACACTCAGAGTGGTCAAAAGAATGCATCAAGTAAGAGCAGTAGTAGTACTAATCTGATTTCAGAAAAAGGCAACACCTCCAAACCTCACCTTGTCAACAATTCTGGAACTCGTGTCGTTAAATTACAACGTCGAAATGGTCAAATCGTTCAAGATTGTCAAGTCTACATTGGTAGAGCCATGACCATGGGAGGATGGAATTTACCTCATTCAAAATGGGGAAATCCATATCCCGTCTCTACATGTGGCGGTAGTGCAGAAGTGGCATGTCAAAAATATAGAGATTACATTCTGAGAAGGGATGATCTTTTACAGGATTTGGAGGAATTGGATGGAAAAGTGTTGGGATGTTGGTGCAAATCGGATCCTTCCAAAGCATGTCATGGTGATACTTTGGTCGAATTGCTAGAAATGAAAAAGAGAGGTGAATTGCAAGAGTATGTTCAACAATATAGGAATGAAAATCCTGAACCCTTATATCCCCTTCCTCAACAACGAAAGAAATAATGGAATGTCCGTTCAATTTTCTTTGTTGTATTTGGTTTGATTTAATAAGCGATCAGAACATCAACCTGAAATCATTGTTACAAAATCACAAGTTCCATCGGAGAATAAAAATACAATGGACACGGCACGAGTCGTCGATCATCATCATCGCATAAAAAAATGTACAAAACATCCTGCACTGGTCGTCATCTCTTGACTTGTGCTTTTAAGAAATCATCATCAGCACACAAGCTTTCACTTGCATCATCATGTCATCCATCATCTCAACAATTTCATACTCGTAATAATTACATTCGTTCTTCTTCCTCTCAAACTTTTGAACCATCTTCCATTCGTGGTAGCTTTGATCAAGAGTTGATCACTGAAACATTATTCGAGAGATTTGAAAAGAGAGTCGTTGAAATGGGTGATTCTCATGCTCTCTTACAAGTATGTGGAAATGAACATAATAATAAAAGAGATCAACGATTGACTTGGAGAGAAGTTTATGATCAATCGTTGCATTTGGCAAATTCATTACATCGTTTGGGATACAAGTAAGTGTGTTGCGATTGATTATTGTCAAATTATAATGTATTACATTTGAAATATTATGGTTGGAATGGTTATGAATGATAAATGATCAAATTCATATTTTGTGAAATATGATGGAAATGAATGATCAAAATTTGTTAAAATATAACATCTCAGAAAGAACGATCGTATCGGTATCTGGATGCCAAACTCTCACGAATGGGTCATTGTATTAATGGCAGCTTCAAAACTTGGTCTCATTGTGGTCAATGTCAATCCTGCCTATAGAAAACACGAATTACAACATGCTCTCAATCTCGTTCAATGCAAAGGTCTCATCGTTGTTCCAGAATTTAAAGGAACCAACTATGTTCGAATGCTCTATGATTTATGTCCTGGATTGGAAAAACAATCTTCTCATCCAGCATTGAATTTAGATGCTTCCAATGCTGTTCCAACTGTAGAGAGTGAAGCATTGCCTCATTTACGTCACATTTTTTATTGTTCTCCACTCAGTGCTGATTTGACTAGTGAAAAACATTACAATGGAATGATTAATTTTGTGGACTTGTTGAATGTGCCACTTCCAAGAAATTTTTCTCAACAAAGTTGGACGAAGGTGAAACATTCATGTCATGATACTTTGAATATTCAATTTACATCGGGAACGACAGGTCTTCCAAAGGTAAGTATCATTCAGTTCTCAATGGATTTGACATTCTGAATGCATTGGATAATTTTGATTATAATTATTATCATTACCAATTCTATATAATCTTTGAATTTCCATGAAAATCTCATTACATAGGCTGCTGCTCTCACCCATTATAACATTATTAACAATTCATATTTCGTTGGACAAGGAATGAATTTACAAACAGGTCAGGACAAACTCGCTCTCTGTGTACCATTCTATCACTGTTTTGGTTCTAATTTAGGATTTTTGGCATTCATGTTGCATGGATGTGGAATTGTGTTGCCTAGTTTTGGATTTGATGCTGAAGCAGCGTTGAAAGCTGTTCACAATCACAAATGTACTGCCTTACGTAAGTACTAGTTGTGAATGGAGTTGTTCTAATTCAAAATGCAATATTGAACTTTTCATCCACTCATTAATATTGAACATGTATTGATTGGGAATTTTACACACTGTTTGAATCACATACGAAACATTCACAGATGGCGTTCCAACCATGTTCATTGCAGAATTGGAACATCCTAATTTCAAAAACTATGATCTCTCTTCACTCCGTACAGGTATTGTTGCTGGCTCTCTTTGTCCAATGCCTCTCATGAAACGTTGCATTAATGAAATGCATCTCACTCAGCTCACCAATTGTTATGGCATGACTGAGACGAGTCCAGTTTCATTCCAAACACATATTGATGATAGTTTGGAAGTTCGTACCACTTCTGTGGGTCGAATTCATCCACACGTCGAAGCACGAGTCGTGGATCCAGAAACTGGTGCCATTGTACCATTTGGAACTCAGGGTGAATTGCATGTGAGAGGATATTTGGTGATGAAATATTATTGGGACCAACCAGATGCGACTAGGAAGGTGATTGATAAGGATGGATGGATGAAAACAGGTAAGTTTTTACGAGGTCATTCCATATGGAACGAACATGTTCAAATAATCAATATTTGATCCAATGATTTTTTTGTGAAATAATTTAATACAGGTGACATTGCTGTATTTAGAAAAGATGAAAAAGGACCTTATTGCAGCATTGAAGGAAGAATTAAGGACATTATCATTCGAGGAGGAGAAAATATTGTTCCAAGAGAAATTGAAAACTTCCTCTATTTACATCCAGCCATTAAGGATGTTGCTATTGTTGGTGTTCCAGATGCCAAATATGGAGAACAAATTTGTGCTTGTATTATTTTGAAGAGAGGTCAATCACTCACACAAGAGGAATTGAATGACTATTGTCACAATCAAATTGCTCACTACAAGATTCCAAAATATGTCATGTTTATGGACGAATTTCCATTAACTGTTACAGGAAAGATTCAAAAGTTTGTATTGAGGGATTGGGCTGCTGAGAAGTTAGGTTTGAAAAAGGAATAGAGTATGACATGAACAAAGTAAAAACGATGAGCAAGTTATCTTTGCTTCTTTATTTAAAATAGTTGAACTGTTCATTTCATGAAGGATGTGTATAAAATGATGTTGCTTCCAGGCACGAATAATCATTTACGTTTACAAGGGGCAATGTTTGGATTGCACTGAAACCAAGCCAAGTTAATTCATTTTGCTGTTGTCGTTGCGTTGGTCTCTTCCCTCGCTGGGCTGCCTTATCCAGTCCTGTGAACCGGCTGTTAATTTACTCATACTTGTTGGTTTCTTGTCCGTTCGAATGGAACTGTCCACATGTGAATACAACCTTCCATACAGTTAATGAAAGCTTGGAATAATCGCAACAGGTTGGAGACGGAGGTGGACAAACATCAAAAATGTCTAAAAAGCAGAAAACCAACAAACCAAAGGCATCATTGAGGGGACCATCTTTTTGTGTTCTTATGAAAGTGCAAATTGCGTACTGGTATTAAACAAGTGGTCAAACAGGAATGAATAACGCTGAGCTAGGAGGCTGATCATGTTGTTGTTTCTTTTCAGCAGTTGCGAACTCGTCCGAGTAAGTGACGTTAAGAAAGGTTCAAACATAAAAATTGCCTGCGTATCTCTGATTTCATCCTCGTCAAATGAATCACCATCCTCAGGAGACAACACCTCCTGTACAATACTCACAACAACAAAACCCTCTCGCCATGGCAGGTGCCGGAATGAACCAAAGCATACACTATTGTGATTTTCCAAAAAGTGCGAAAAAAAATCGAGTAAAATCGAAAACGATTTGCTCAAATTCGGTCAACCCTCATTTTTTGGACGTTTCTTCCCGAAAACGATTTTGCTTGATGTTGACGAGATACGATGTTGATGCTATTCGTGCAAAGTCGAAAAAATCGATTATGATCGACCTGAATCGATTACCTCAACACGATTCATTTCTCAAAGTCGATGTTTTTCGTCCAAAATCGAAAAAATCAATTATGATCGACATGAATCGATTTTCTTGATCGTCAGAGTTGAAAAAATCGATCATGAAGAACCTTTAATCAAATAAACTCTGATAATTTGCTTCTATTTGATTTTTCTCCTCTTCCTCTTTTTGTCTAATCTTCTCTTTCTTTACCTCAATCAATTTTGCAACTTCATTCACCAATTTGGTCAAAGGTTTTACATACTGTTCCTCTTGTTTTGCAATATCTTCTTCTTGTTTTTTAAATCTCTCAAGTAACTCCTCCTTTTCTTTCTGAACTTTCAATAATTGATCTGCAATAACTTTTGAATTATTTTCTTCCATGTCTTTCATAGTTTTTAAAAACTTTGTCGAATTTTGCATATCCTTATCATTAGTATCACAGTCTTGTTTAGCGTTAATAAAAATTTGCTTCTTTAACTGATCCAATTTGAAAATCTGGAATTCTAAAACAGGTGATTTGAACGTAGTAACTTGTGGTGTTGACTCAGGTTTTGGATCAAGATCAAACATATCATGCAAATCCATGCCACATATATCAAGCTCAGGAGCCATTGAAGGTGTTTCCTTGGTCTTTGACTCGTCCAATTCTTTCTTAATGACCAATGATTTTTTTTGAATAGAAGCAAGAGCTTTTTTGAATACAGGAGAGACGCTTTTGTCTGTATCACCTTTTCTTGTACGCTTTTTCGCATTGTCTCTCAATTTATCTTGCGCTTCTTTATACATAACTTCCTGCAAATCGTTGCCATTATCATCAATCCAATCCAAATCATCTTTCTCATCATCCTGATCTGAATGTTCTGATTCGCTGTCACTACTGTCACCTTGAATTTGTGAAGCCAATGATTGTTTTTTGTTGGAGTGAGCAGAAATCTCTTTTTCAATCTCGTTAACAATCCATTTCTTGTTTTCTTGAATGAAAGTATCAAAAAAATCTTTCACACGTTTGTCATCTTTTGGGGCGTTGCATGTTGCTGGTAAACCATCTTTGTATTTTCTTGAACCTTTAGCAGTAGGAAATGTGAAATTTGTATTTTTTTTTGTTTCTAATTGGAGCTTCTTGAAAACTTTGCTTGCTGCTTTTGAATTTGTCATTCCATGAGAATAGAGCTCATTTGAACAAATAGGTAATGTGGTTGCGAGTATTTCGCAAAAACGATCAAACGTGTTCCACTTTGTTTTGTCTTTGCCCATTTTTTTTCAGTGAGAAAACCGTTGTTATTGTTTTTTGACGTTGACACAATCGCACAAAAAACAAGACGACTTAAAAAACAAGAGGCCGTTGAGTTTTTTTTATTCCGAAACAAATCAATGTCGTTCAATTCAACATTTTCGATATGAGAACATTAAACAATTCAACATAATCGAGCAGAATTGATTTTCTCAACAATTTCTTATCAATTTTGCTCGAAAAAATCGATTTCCACATGGTAAAAGCAACGCAACATCGATTCACAAACGATGAAAGACGAGTTTTCAAACAAAAAACAGGTGTCCAAATATCTCAAAAACTAAGACCATATATCCAAGGTCAAAAATTAGCCCCAGAACAAATTGAGTTCATTAAATTGGTGTGTGGAAAGTATGGAGATAAACCAAAGGTCTTGCAACAAATTTTACCTTTCGCACCTTCAACGATTTACAAATATTGCAATGAAATACAAAAAGAAAAAGCTCTCGGAAGGCCTCCACATTCAGGTAAATCAACCCACCTCTCTGTGTTAAGATTTATTGATATCATATTCAGTGAATATAATACTGTTAATTATGCAGAAGTACGTCAAATAGTTAAAGATTATCTTGATGTTTCAATTTCCGTATCTCAGCTCTCCAAAATAACGACAAAATATTTGTTCAGGACATATAAGAAATGTGAAAAAGTATCAGTATATCGAAAAAGCCCAAGAGTACAATCTCAAAGAACTGTGTACAGGCGAACTATTCGAACCTACAAAACAAGAATCATGTTTTTTATTGACGAATCGCATTTCTGTTATGACCATTTGATTAGAACAAGGGCTCACATCAAAATTGGCAACACTTGTCAAAACAGTGCGCACAGAGTGAGTGGAAAACGTTTTTCATTATTGGCATGCATTAACGAGAGAGGAGGTTTGGTTTACTGGGAACTTGTCGATACAACTAACAAAGCAATTGATGCTGATCGATTTAATATATTTCTGACAACATTGAGCAAATTGATCCCAAAAGATTGTATTTTAGTTCTTGACAACGCATCCATTCATAAGGAAAAAGAAGTTCATAGTATAATGAATGGCCAAGGTATTAGTGTGTTTTGGCAAAGCCCATACTCTCCTGACTTCAATCCCATTGAATTGCTTTTCGGATGGATGAAAACACAGTTGAAAAACTATGAACATTCGGTTGACTCTCTCGAAGAGATAATGGAGCAGGTGTTTGATCAAGTTACACCCAAGTTAATCAAATCGTTTGTTCATCATTGCAAGGAAATCTGGCATGATGAGACAAAAACTTAATAAATTTCGAGTTTGATCGAAATCGATTTTGAAGGATTTCGATGTTAATCAACATCAAGTCAAAACGACAACGCATCAATGTCGCTCATTTCGATCTCGAAAAAAATCGCGAAAAAATCGTCGATTTTTTATTCGCACTTTTTCGAAAATCACAATACACTCCTCAAGTTTCTCCCTTCATGGGATACATGCCCTCTGTGCATCATGATCATCAGCAACCAACAACGAATATTCATGACGATGAACATCATCACGATGATTCCATGCTTGAATTAAAAGATTATGATCAGAACGTACCTTCAAATTTCGCTGTGGTTTCAGGAAATGGACTTCAACAGACGGGCAATCCATCCAAAGAGAATGTGGTCTCAACAGCTACACCACCAACCATGATGCCACATCAACCCTCCCTTGTCCAGTACTACCCTCCGCAATCACAACTACCATCACAACATCCAGAAGCATATCCAATGAACAATCCCCAAATCATGATGATGCCTCATCCCACTTCTAACAATTATATCATGAATCATGGTCATGTCATGACCACTGCCATTCAACTTCAACATTCATACAATCCCGAAATAATGACTTCAAAATATTCTACTTGGACACGCGTCGTTTTAGCTTTTGCAATTCTATTGACAATTTATGGAGTGTTCCAATTGGCAACATTTTTCTTTGCAATTTATGCCACCAGCATGAAATACACCCAAGTTGAAGTATCTGTGTCATCTCTAGTTATGCAAGCCATCGCCACTGTGCTGATTCTTGTATCAGGCTCAATTGGAATTTATTCTACCATCACAAAGAATATCAAACGTAGAAAATATTCAACCATCGCTCATCTCATTTCCTTGGCGTAAGTGTTGTGTACAACATTTTCAGTGGTTTTATAATTTTGTAACGTTTGTTCATATATTTGAATTCATGTCACATTTTCTTTCATGCCAATCTTAATCATACATTTATGCTGGTGTATGCCAACATGAATGTGCACAATTCTTATTTTATGAAACTCATTTTCCACTGTAATGTTGAAAAATCATTGTCTCATTGAAGTTTGCTCATCCTCATTATGGCTATTGAAACAATCATTGCTCATGCTGAGCTCAAGCTTGATAATTTGCAATTTCCTGGAAAGGATTCAACCTCCATGTTGGCACTAACCATTTTTTCTGCTGTCTTGTCATTAATTTGTGTTTTGGCTTGTTGTGGATCCTGCCTCGGATGTCAAGCTTATCGCCTTACCATTATCAAGAGCATGACCGCGGTCAATGAGAATGGTAGAAGTGAAAGAACGCTCAATCCATCACAAGAAGGATTTGTGAGAATGAATGATGAAGAGCCTTAAACATTTAAGCGTCAAGAACTACCAACAACTCTTGTAAATACATTGCATTGCTTTGTATTTTTAATTATTGACATAATAAATTTACCATCGTAACAAGGTTGTTACGAAACACTGAACGCACTGTGGTGAAAGCCAAACAAAAAAAATGCCCAAGTCAACATCGTTGATGGAAAAGTGGACCAAGATGCTCAAGAGAAGAGTCGATAGGTGGTGGGGATTGGATCCTGAATTTAAACACTACCTCCCCGAACATCAGAAGGAATACCGTACACCATCACCTTCGTAAGTTTTGAGAGATGATTATTTTTGATAATTAATTCTATGATGTGATGGTTTATTATTCCTTTACCATGATGATGCTCGAATATTAAAATGGAATTTATCATCATGCGATGGAAATAATACTTGAATTCCTTGCTCTGTCATCCTATGCTCCAACGTAATACCATCTTATGTTTTGCAATTTAATTCTCCGACGCCTCTCAATGGAATAACAAAACTTGAATTCATTGGATTTTTCAATATGGTTACGACAAACGCAACACAACAACTACCTCCTCTCAATTAATTTTACTTCATCAGATCTCAGGAGGATGCTACCATTCCTCGCCAAGCGTTCATCAAGAACTTCCACATTAAATATTATCAACAAGATTTCCGTAGAGGGGCTGGATGGAACCCAGAACATATTGACACTATTGTTTATAGACAAGAAGTGATAGAGAATGCCCAAAAGGGAAATTTAAAGTTAATGCCAGGTCAACCTGTTGGACCTTTTTACGGAATGGATATGGACAAGAAGGCTGCTTACGTAATTGATGAGAGAGAAATTAAGCAAGTCTATACATACAATGTGGATCGTCAAATTTTCAAACCAGAAAGTGCCAAATCGCATGATCAAATTGCTGCTGAAAATGAGGCACAAAAGCTCTATGCCAACGCCCAAAAAGTTGATTTTGTTGGAAAGAAGTAATTTCATTAGTGTAATTTCAAAAATTGATACGAACTTGGAAATTTTCATGCTATTGGTTTAATTTTAACATTTAGATATGAACGAGAATAAATTCTTATTTATCAAAATTTTAATTCCAGATAATTATTTATTACTTCTTCTTGTCAACCTGCATATTTCTAGTGGCTTTTGGTAAGGTCACCGTCATTCCTTCCAATTCTTTGGTGACAAAGACTTGACAACCCAATCTAGAATTGTGAGCCAGTCCGTACGCCAAATCCAGCATGTCTTCTTCCTCTTCTTCTGGCTCTCCACACTTGTCGAAATATTCATCTTGAATGTATACATGACAAGTAGAACAAGCAAGAGAGGCCTCACAGGCACCTTCTAAATCAATATCATTGGCATGAGCTACCGCCAATAAATGTTCCCCGATTGGGGCCTTTACTGTTTTCTTGATATTGTTCTTGGGGTCAACAAATGTAATGTTGACAGTCCTATATGTGTTGTTTTAAATTCAGATTTTGATTGGGTAATGAATGGCCATTATCCAATGAAATTCGGAAATGAATACAAAATACACAACCGTATCAAACGAATGAGTATGTTCATTATTTTAAAATAACGATATGAACACTTGAATATACTACGATACATACTCGGAGTTTGGATTTTTATATCCAACACTCATACATTTTAAATTTGATGAGAATTCTCGCATACTAAAATAATTTTTCATCATCTCCACATTAAAATTCCTAGAGGCACTCCACATTTCATGGCTACTCATAACGATGACCTTTCGAGCAATACCACTCGTACTCAAGGTGGTGCTGGAACGAAGTAAAATTGTGTTGAACATTTTTTTTGTCGGATCCGATTAAAATCAAGCGAGCATGCTTTTCAAATCTTTCGCACTTTATGGAGGATGAAACACTTGCGCAATACGATAACCTTGGACTTCCGAAAATTTAATTTGAAATAGCTGTTAGCAATTATTACATGAATACGAGATGGGATGGTCATTCACAATTTCACATTTTAGAGTAGTTAAAGCGTGCTTTAGCAACCCTTCCTCCGATTTCGAAATTAAAAATGCCAACAATCGAAGAAGTTGTTGAAGACAACACAACCGAAACCACACCACACAACCAATCAGGTCAAAGTGCAGAGGAAACCCCAGAAAAACAAGCACACGACATGGAAGAGGATGATGATGATGATAACGATGAGGATTATGAAGATGAAGAAGAAGAAGATCAAAATGATGATGATGAAAAAGATCAAGAGGATGATGAGCATGAAGATGAGAAAGCAGCCTTTGATCCAACTGTCTTTATGCAAGACGTTGCACCTCTCGGAGAAACTATTCAAGAATTAGTCATGACCAAAGAAAATTTCATTCCTCACCTCAAGGAACAACTCGAAAAGACAAATAGTATACTCAAAAACAAACAATTCTACTCTGAAGAGGTTGAACGAACCTTGTATTGTGTCGGTGATGAAATGTGTGGCTTGCTCAAAAATGTAGGCGTTGAATTGACTGCAACCAACGATTGTTTTGCTCCTCATTTCAAATTTACGAGAATAATGGATGAGTGCCTAACTACCACTGGAGTTCTTGTAAATTTACTTGAGTTATGTAGCTTGCCATGGAATTCCTTGATGTTGTATCGAATTAACGAAAAGAATTCAAAGATTACCATTGAAAGAGTGAGACAAAAAGTTGTCTTTCCAGTTTTTGTGGTTGCCAACTCTGTGAAGGGAAAAATAGAGTTTGATGAATTCTGTAAGGAGGTCATGAAACACTCTCGTGAGCAAGGATATTTCGATTTAACTCTTGCTGATAGCATTATCAAGGAAAATGAGAACAACTCTTCTGCTATTAACTGGCGTGAAAAGAGTAAGGAAGTTTTCAAGTTGCACTTGCTTCCATCCAGTGAAACACTCACAGATGATGAAAATGAAAAGTGGCATCAATATTTTGTCTCAAGAACTAGTGCTCAAAAAGAACACAATTCTTTGATTGAAACAGAAGATCCAGAACAAGGAGAATATATTTGTAGGAACATGATGAGAGCATTGAAAAACGCACTTCGTGGGGACAATATTACACCAAATGTTGCCGGAGATTTCGGAGCTCAACTTGTCATCAAGTCCAAAGACGCAGGCTATATGGACTTTGCAGCATTGCAAGATTTGACAACAGAAGTGAGACTATATTCGACTCATTCTTATCAATGCCTTGATCTACGTTATTCCTATTATCACAAAACAAGATATTATTCTCATGATTACTTTGCCAAACTGGAATATAGAATTCTTCCTCTTGCAGTGGACAGTAATGCAACAGAAGAAAAGGACAAGAAAAAAAAGAATGATGAAAATCCTTGGTTGATTTTCTTTGAAAATTATTTGGATGAGCAAGATCAATTCCAACTCGAAGATTGGATCATTGTAGAGAAGAGAAAATTCTTGTTCACATTGAAACATTTACAAATTGTTAAGAAAGCCATTCTTTCCAATGACCCTGATTCTCCATATTCAAAAGTTTCTGATATTCAATTATTGAACACCATGTATAATGCAAGTGGCGCCACAAATGGCGAAGACTCACTTCAAGAAGGAGATTGGGTCGGTTATCGAATGAGACAACTTTGTGGATGTCCCTCTAAGAAAGATTACGAATTTGAGGAAATTGACTTTGATAAGGTCATTGAAGACCATCTCAAAGAAATCAGAGAACGCCGTGAAGAAGAAGAAGATGAGGAAGATGAGGAAGATGAGGAAGATGAGGAAGGAGATGAAGACGACGACGATGAATACTATGATGAAGAGGATGAAGAGGACGAAGATTTCAAACGAGGTTATGCCGATGCTCAAGCAGGCTTTGACACGTTTTTGAGAAATTTGGCTGGACAACGAGGAACAGGTAAACGAGGAGCTCAAGTACCACCAGGATGTGCTCAACAATAAGGATACTATGGCACAACCCTTACTTGCATTTTTCATCTACATGTTAAGAAGTTGAACTGTAGATGAGTGGAATGCATTTAAATACAAATTTGCATTTATAGATATGGATAGCTGCTCCAGATACTGTTTCTAATTTTGAATGTTACGATATTCTGTCCTTGTGCAATGGACATGCACAAACTATCGGTGTTTCCAAAACAGAGGTAGCATCTTGATGGTTGTTGCAAGAGTTGGTTTCGAATGTAAACAGTAGTACCTTATTACAGAGATACACTTCACCGTTTCATGTATCTCTGTTGTTTTGCAGAGATGGTTTCGGTTCCAATAACAACATCTAAATAGACCAAATATTTGTGTTTTGCAAAGTGAAATAGCCAAAAGCAATCACAACATGTCATCTCAGTAGATTGTTGTATTTCCACGGTTATGGCCAAGGATAAACCAAAACCGAAACGAAATCTTGAAACCTCAGTCAAACTACAACCATCACTACCAATGATTGGTGTTTTGTCCATGTGGTTATCCTTTCACCAAATTTCACTATTTTGACCTAGTTTGATGCAAAATACAACAACGAAAGTCAGCAACATGCTCACAAGGTCCTTTCGAACTCGTCGAATCCACCTCCTCACATGTCCACACCAACAACATGCTCGAATCATGACTACTGTAATCGTTGGTTTTACTCACATGTAAAACACAAACTCACAGGGTATCGTCATCCCAAATCCACACATTTCATGTATTTCCAAAATACCGATCCGACATTGACACAATGGCCCAGAAGCGGCTAACAGTGGACGAAATCTCAAACCGTTGACTTGAAGCGCCCAACACGAATTTCAACGAGAGAGATTTATTTGACCAAGATGACAAAAGCTGCTCTCTCATTCTCCTTTCCAAATGCAACATGAATTTTGTGTTGGTGCTGCTCACCAAAAAAACAAATCTCGTGACACAACGACGAAGACTTTTTGTGATAACGACAGCATTTACGAGTACCTCGAGTTGGAACTGTGTTTTATTGTCGCTCCTTGAAACATTTTGATTAGGTCATCTACTTTGTCGACAACGACTACTGCTGCGGCTACATCATCCTATTCTTTGAATTGCAATACGAACATCTAGTTGGAGTTATATTAGCATTCTCATTAACTATATCCATTGCTTCATCTCCCATCATTTACTCCTTTCATATTTTCTGCTCGTTCTTGTCTTGATCCCTTCCTTGAAAACTCTTTTTGGGCCTTGTGATTATTGATCCATCCAATCCCTGTACATTTTACAACTCCCAATAATAATAATATTATTGAACAGACAAAACAGCGAGTGTATTTCTATCGACATAGATCAAAAACAGTCCTAGAAAACAAATCCACAACAACATCATCTTGATTTTCTCAAGAGATTTACCATTATCCAAAACACTCTCTTGGTCGATTGGATTCAATGTCATCTTCTTCATTGCTATCCAACCACACCATGGATCATACAACAACTACCAACAACATGAATCACAACACCACTTCATACATTGTCTTGCAAGAAGCAAGTTTGGATAGTCTGTGTCCAATCCTTTCCTTCAACAATTTTGATTCCCTAGTCCTCAACACTGCACATCAACAACAACAACTATCGAATATACATAACAACAACAACTCTCACTATGATCACATCACTACCCATCCACTGGATGAATTGATATCATCTGTTGCTGCTGCTGCTTCTTCCCAACATTATCCTACTGTCCAAAATTGTATGATTGCGAGCTCCTGTGATCCAGCAGCCACAATAAGCAATTCATGGCAACAAGCATCCGTAGCCATACAACCATTCTCTGATCTTGGAGATACAACAACAACGCAATCTTTGTCATCCTATTCATGTTCTCAGCAACAGTTCTTGATGAATGGTTGTTGTCCCAATCCAACAACAACAACAAGTCCAACAAATTGCAACAACAACTCAATGCCTTTCCTTCCTTTCAATCATCACCAACAATATCCACAACAACAACACTCATTCCTCAGCAATCTACAACAACAACATACAAACCCCTATCTCCTTTTGCAGAGCAGGCATGAAGCAATGACTGTACCGCAAAATGTCATCAATCAGAATGACTTGGATGATTTTCACTTCCTTTCCACAGAAGACACCAATCAGATCAACAACAACATCTCGGTATTAGATTGTGGTGTCTCTTCAAATCACCAAGTTTCAGATGACAATGATTTCTTGACTATTTTGGGATATTTGGAAGGAAATGATCAAAGTGGTGCTCATTCAACCTCGATAGCAACTGTAAATAACATTCTCTTCTCATTGGCACATCAGAACAACAACAATAGTTTGATTCCACACTCTGCATTCCACCATGAAGAGCACCCCAAAGACCAATCCATCCCCGTGACAAGTGCTGCTTCTTCTTCTCATAGTGAAACCTCATCGAGTGTGAGTAGCAGTAATGGTGAAGTAACTTCTCCAATTTCTCAATCCCGGTCGAGTAAAACCTCATCGACTCATTCCAATGTCATGTTGCCACAAGGAACAACAGCCTCTAATAAGGATGGACCTAAAATGTATGTCCTCAATCATGATGTCCAAGTGGAAGATGAGACGACTGATTCCAAACGATCCATCATGACTCGTTGGTTTCATTCCTTAATGAATTCCTTAAATGAAAGTCATGAGTGGTTGAATAATGAAGCCGAGGGTGGTAGTAACCTTTTGGAAATGACTTGTGAACCTAATGGTTTCACTGAAAACAATGGCACTTGTCGTCCACGGGGTTCCAAATTCTCTGTCTTTGTCAATGATTGTATCAATATTAACATGACAAGTATTATGAAGAGAATTCAAATGGTGTGCTCAACGAAAAATCAAAGAACAAGCCACAACCATAACAACACAACTCCTCATGAGGACTTGGAATCGAAACCCCTCCATGAAATCTTTATTGAGGAATGTCGAGTCGAGTTGTGCTCCTATTTAGATGAAGACGATTCCTCTGAGGCCATCATGGTTGAAACTTCCGAAAAACTCTCCTCCGTAGTATTGGGTTCTAATCTCCAACAACAGCAGGCAGAAGATTTCGAATTCTCCATGTACAACCCTGCAGTGGTCCTGCAATTACTCATCAAACGTGATAATAACAATAAGCGAAGTGCTGCCTCAAGAAAGAATAGTATTGCGAGTAATAACACCTCGTCTGCCTCCTCCCTCGATAAGAAGGGAAGAAAACGAAAAAAAACGGACGGTGGTGCCTCCAAGAAGGTTTGCTTTGTCCGTTTGATTCTTCAATCCAATCATAGTGATGATGATGATGATGGAGAGGACGTGATCGTATTGGCAAAAAGTGATAACTTTTGGGCTCGTTCTAAAACCAGGCAAGAGATGGAGAGAAAGAAAGATCGTGCCTTGGCTCAGAAACGTAAAAAGTCTCTGGAGAATGTTTCCCTTAATGGCAGCAATGTTACTCAACCTTCCAACTCGGAAGCATCCTCCTCTGATGATTTAAATGAAGAGGATTCTACAAATGTGGATGAGGAGGAACTTGCCAGTAAAAAGAAGAAGAGAAAGACAAAATCCAATAGTAGCTCAGCAAGAGAGAGTAATAATCTCAAAAAGACCTCTTCAAGAACGACAAACTCAAGAAGAAAGAGAAGTACTGCAAAAACATCATCCCCATCATTGACGAATTCAGCTGTTCCAAATTTTACCTATGACTCAACAATGGTGAAGGGTGGATTGAATTCAGCAAGCTATGGAATGGTTTTTGAGATGTAGACCACCCAACTCTCCTTGATCTCGACCAATAAACAATAACGATGTCTTTAATCATTCCCAAACGAGTTGCTTTGAAGACTTTGGTCGACAGTCACAACAACAGAAATCACAGCCCGCCAAAAGTCTTACGTTTTTTTTAAAAAAAATGATAACGGTTTCATCACCACCGAAACATAATCAAAATTCCAACAGCGCAACAAATGCAAGAAGTACCCGAAGAAGATCTCATCAGCAAAATGAAAAGTTGATGGAGAAGAAAAGTGAGGAAAAATATAAAGAAGCAAAACTGAAAATTGCAAAGAAATTATTTAAGGAAGCTGCAGAAGACCTTACAGAAGCCATCAATTTTAAACCACTTCCGAAATTTCATTTCTTGCGAGGAAATTGTTATAGACATACTCAAGATTATGATCGAGCAATATTGGATTATACGATCGCAATTGACACCCAAGAGGAGGCAGCATTCTATCTAGCGAGAGGAAAATGTTTCCGCACAATCGGCAAGATTAACAAGTCGATTGCCGACTTTGATCGAGGAATTGATGTTCTCTCGAAAGCACCACAAACCACAAATGCTTTACCCAATACTGCTTTGAACAACTCTCGCATTCAGTCTCTCGATACCTCAACCTTACTTCCTGTCTCAAATGCTGGTGGGGAAAATCAATCAGTTCTGTTTCAGCTCTTTGTTGACAGAGGATTAAGTTACTATGAAAAAGGAGATAAGAAAACTGCAATTGAAAACTTTGGAAAGGCTATTAATTTAAACATCACAAAGCAGCAAAATTTGTTCAAAGCCTATTTTCATCGAGGAAATACTTTGCGAGAGTGTGGAGAATTAGAAGCATCGATTGAGGACTTGACAAAGGCAGCAGATCTTGATCCCAAAAATGCAGCAGTGCACAACAATTTGGGCCTGAGTTTTTTCGAAAAGAGAAATTACCCTGGTGCAGAAAAAAGGTTTACACTAGCCATAGAGAATGATCCAATGAAGGCAATGTAAGTGTTTCAAAATTATCTTGCTTACTACAATAATTACGAATTAAGATATCACAACAATCGAGGATTAGCTTACTACAAGCTAAAAGCATATGAAAAAGCAATCGAAGATTTCACTTGCGCTTTAAACCTTGATCCAGAGGATGGAAATATCTATTTCAACAGAGGAAATACTTTGCTCGCAATGAAAAGGTATGAAGAGGCGTTGACAGATTTCAACCTTGCCATCAATAAGGTAGACACAGATGAAAATTACTTCCACTGCAAAGGAATTGCATATCAAGAAATGAATGACATTCCTCAGGCCATTCAAATGTTTAAAAAAGCTTTGGAAATTAATGAGAAAAGTGTTCAAAGCTTGTATCATCTTGGATTAATGTATCATATTAACAATCAATTATTTGAAGCTAAAAAACAATTTTCAAAGGCTCTGGAAATTGTTCATGACCACAGAATCTATGAAAGTCGAGGATTAGTGTATATGGATTTGTTATATTACGAGTTGGCCATTCAAGATTTTTCGGCAGCCATTCGTATTGTGCCAGAATCTCCTTCTAACTTTTTCCACAGAGGTAAATGTTTTCTCTGGCTAGAACGCTATACTGAGGCAGTGAACGACTTTAATACGGCATTCAAACAAGGATGTGATGACCCTCAAGTGTATAATGCTAGAGCTATGGCATATAAGCATCTCAAAAAGCATGACGAATCTATTGCTGATTTGACATCTGCTATCAAGCTCGATGAGAGAAATGTTGAATACTATTTCAACAGATCCCAATGTTATTTTGATTTGAAAAATCATAGACAAGCGTTAAAAGATTTAGACACCAGCATTGAAATTGAAAAAAACGAACCTAAATTATTCTACTTGAGAGGTTTGACCTATTATGAAATGAAAAATTACAAAAGTTCAATCAAGGATTTTAAGGCTGCATTACGATTGAAAAGTGGTCCACCATCATCAAGCTCTGTAAAAGTTGGAGAACCCACTTTTGGACATGATTGCTACTATCATATGGGACTCTGTTACTGTTTTCTTGAAAAGTATGAATACGCAGTGGAATCATTCACTCAAGCAATCGAAATGATATCTGCTAAGGAGAATACACATGTCAAGGACTCTTCATCTGCTCTAATGGTTGACGACGCTAATCTACATGCCTGTTATCATCATGAAAGGGCTAAGGCCTATCAAATTCTCGGAATGAATGAACGAGCCCTTGAAGATTTCACAGCTGTGATTCAGTTCCAGCCTGATAATGCATATGCCTATTTCAGAAGAGCTTTTGCTTGGAAAGCTCTTGAGAGGTTTGAAGAGGCGGCTGAAGACTTTGAAAAAGCAAAATCCCTGCAACCTAATAATCCTAACCTGGTGGTCAACTACAAGAAAATATATGATATTGCATATGTAGAGTTGAGTAAGCCTGGAGAGAACCAATATTGATTGTTCGGTGAATTAATCAAAATGAACATGTTAATCTGTATCAATTGATTGAATATATAAACTCTTTCATTGGATAATGCTTCACTGAATACCTTTCCAAAATTGTGAACTATTATCGGTCGCATCCACGAGATCCATCTATTCACACTTGTTTGAAAAAAGAGATCATTGTGATAATATTGCTTACCTTGGTACCACACATAATAATGGGAGTATCTGGAAAATATCTCTTGCATTCAGGAATCCACTAGACAAGTAAGTTCAGGTGAATTATTGAAAAAATAAAAACGCCACATACATAGTTAATTGCATCCTCAAACGTTGATTCGATGGTTAAATCAAAACAAATTACAAATGTCATGACTCCTAAATATTGTAATTTTCGTTTTTCTTCTTCTTTTGGAGATTTAATTCCCACAATATCCCACAACTCTTCCTTAACTTGTCGATCATTAATTTCTACATTAACAGGATGAACAGTTGTTTCTGTAGATGATGATACATTTTCTGGAAATGCTGTTTTTGAAAAACGATGAACCAAACATGTTTTACCAGTGGAAGGAGATCCAACAATAGCAATTTTAATTGCAAATTCGGGATCATCCAATAACTGCTCGATTTCTTGACTCATTCCATCTTTTAAAGGATGATGATGAGCAGCATTGGCATTTCAGCGGATCCGAATCATGACACACTTACCTTCATGCAACGATCGGCTTGCAAACATTTTTTTTTCTTGTTCGCTCGCACAAAGAGTGTGCCACTCTGGTTATTATTATTGCCATTCATTGTCAGGCACCAATCATCATCATTTAATGACTACTTTTTGAAAGTAGAGCATCTAATTGCAGAGCTCCATTTACATTGGTCGTTGAACTGTATCTGAATCGAACAAGCTTTGGACACTTTCCTTGTTCTGCAGCATGTAGGATGGTGTTGACATCATAAATACTCTGATTACACAAAATTGAAAGTTCTTCAAGGTGAGTGGTGATGAGTCCAGTAAAATCAATGGTGCATGATGGATCTACAAGGTAGGGAAGTATTGGCCTTTGAAGTGGTGGTGTAGATATTTGAGACACAAATTGGCATGTTGTAATGGACAACGATTTTAAATTAGGGAAGTGTTGTAAGAACCGATTCAGCATGGCATTTGTGACGTTTTTCACGCAATGTAATTGAAGCGTGTGAACATGTCTGTATGATTCTATCAATTCAAAAGTGTCGCTTTCCAATAATGATGTGTAATCTTGATTGAGAGTTATTTTGGAATAACTTGGGAATGTTTTCAAATACTTGTGGTCTAGACATGTGTTATTAAAATTCTGTAAATTCTTCAATGTTTTCAAATATCCATCAAGATCAAAATAATGAGTTAAAATATACAACTGAGGAATTCTAACTTGTTGTAAATTAGGGAATTGAGCTAATATTGGTTCCCAAAACCAAGAATTGGCGTGTTTGGGAGGAAATAAAATTTTTGGTTTTTGCTTTGGTGGTTGTTTTGGTTTTTGATAATCTTCAGGGAAATAACTATCATCTAATTGTTCCTCCTCCTCTTCTTCTGGTAACATTGGAATATAATAAAAGTGTGTGATTGACTTTCGAATCTGGTCATATATTTCACGATTAGTTCCCTGCATTAAATAAATAACACTTCGAATGTCAAGAAAGGAACAAATGGCAGTGGCCACAACACTCACAGCCACCTTGTCAAACAATCGAATTTTCACATTCGAACTAGTCGATTGCTTCTTCACTCCATACGCTAAATTTATCAGATCATCTCTCCACGAGGGATCGTTCGACCACTTAGATTTTTCATCGATGAATGGTGATATTGTTTGTTGAGTTGTCATGGATGATAATTCTGAGGAGGGGTTTGAGTGGTTGCTGGTGTTTTGGTTATTGTTGGGAGAAGATGAAACACTTCTCATACGATCTTTTCGCTTGCCTGATTTGCCTCTAGATACGAGGTGTTCCTCTTCATCTCCAATGAGATTCAGATCGGAATCTCCGTTATTACAAGTTGTGGATGATTGACCCATTTGAATGATTCAGTGATGAACAAGGCTGCTACTGCTGCTGCTGTTGTTTTTGAGATGATGGCAATGATGATGATGATTGAAAATACGTAACAATCAATTAGAAATTCTCAATAACTCTTATTATTGCCACTACTTTTCAATATTGAAAATCGAAATAGAGAAATAATAATATTCCAAAACAACGGAAGAAACAGAAATAATAATATTCTAAAACAAGGAGTTAGCTTGGGCGAAGTCCTGATCAAGAATTGGTGCAAATGATTAATTTGTTGTCTGATCTAATAGAATCAGTCGGATGATGTTTGGTGTTGGAGCCTTCGAAGTAAAGGGATGGCTCGTAGTGTCGATGTTTTTTTAATGTACGTGAAGAACTTGCAAGGTGACAATGAAATTCCTGCTTCCCACTTTTCGAACCAAAATTTCTGTCTTTAATCTTCTTCATCTCTTTGACTTTGGTGTTAATAATACCTGGATTTTTGTCTTGGGAAATGATCCCTACATACATTTCACTTTGAAAAACAATAATCAAAAAATAGCCTTTCGAGATGTTGTCGCATGGACAAAATCAATCTCACAAGCGAAAGTCACAACAAAACATCCAACAAAAGAACAAGGACTCTGATTTTTGGGAATTCATCAATGCTGTAAAACAGTCCATCACTCATGATGTTTCCATGTTAAAGGATTGCAGTGATCGGGATAATTTTCGTTCCGAGCCAAAGAAAGTAAAATTGAAAGACCATAGAAGCCAGCATTGGAGATCTGATGAGAATTCCAGTGTACCTTCGTCCGATAGCGATGATGATGAAGAGAGTTCTTACATTGAAAAGGCTATTACCAAGTTAAATCAAGCTACAGAGGCTTTTCTTCGGAATATCAAGGCGCCTGACCTGATGCAAAAGGCCATCGAAGAATTAGACAAGGCTTTCAAGAAAGATGAATGGGAGCGAATACTCTTTCAAAAAGTCATTGCATCACTTTCTAAAAGAACAGACAACGAAGACACAAATAGAGTCTTGCGAGTTGCCTACGATCTTCAAAAACGAAAATTGTTTCATGTATTACTACTTTTCCATCTTGTTGATTTATTCATGAAGGGATATCCTGAGGAGGAAAATATAACTGCCTCAAGTTTTATGGACTTACTTGTTGATAGAAAATTTGCTCACATTCAGTGGATGATCACTGCATCCTCAGTGTTAGTGTCGTGCAAAAACGACCAATTCAATTCTGACGAAATTAAGGAAATTATTGCTGCTATTGTTGAAGGCTACATTGACCAATGGATTTATCGTTTAGAGGTTCTAGACGAAAGTGATACTACCAAGATCGAGAAAAGAAAGAAGAAAAGAGCGTTTTACAATAGGGTGCTACCAAAACCAAAACTAGATGAGCTAAAGAGAGTATTACTCCCTGTGCAAGAAGCTGTGCAAGATTCCACAAACACCGTTAGCCAGGCCACCTTCAAATACAGAAAGCGAAAAGACCGGTACCAGAGGACAATCAAATTTGTGCAAAGAAAATCTGCTTTTGAAGTACATGAGGTGGTTATTCGGTTGCACTACACCAAACATCTATTAAGGAACTATGTTAGTTCCAAAATGGAAATAGATGAGCTGGCATTTATAGAAGAGGCCAGGTCATGCATCTACAAGTTTAATTTCACCATCGAAAAATCTTCTTGGAATCGTTCAGCCCTTAACGAATATTTGGAGAAGAAGAACATGAACAAGGTTAGGTTTCGCGAGGAACTTGTTGACGTGGACGGTAAAGATGAAGTAATATTTTCAACTCGACACGCTTCAAACATTGATCGACACGCTTCAGACATTGATATCCGATTGGACAGTTCAGATCCGAGAAATCTATGGATGGAGTTTAAGTTTCCACGCCAATTTAGATTCACGACGGCTCATATTGAGACGACAATCGATGCAGAGGATGACTCTCTACTGAGAGACCTTTTCGGCCTTACTACCAAACACGTATATCAGACTTCTGAGGTTGACAACTACGAGTCGTATTCTCGATCTGAGCTCTGGAATTATGAAACGAAACGTGTGGATCACAATATCGTAAAACAGAATGCATTTTACACTCCAGAAGAACAAGACAACTATTTCGATAGAGATTTAGTTAGCTATCCGATTACATCAGTTGTTGGCACCAACAAACTGCCCATAGGAATTGAATTTAGAGGACGACGCATGAAAACTAATAATCTACACGGATCTTATGGAACAATACTTTAGCCGAATTGCTGTACAATGACCAAATGCAGCAAATTGCTTGAGCTTGGAATTCGATGTTACAGAAAGAAATTATGATATTGGTAAAAATGGGAGGTTATGGCAATTACCTGAAAGTCAAACAAAAACATTTCCTTTATCTTACACTAGGTTTTTCTATTTTGAAATATGCAGGAAATAACCGCCAACATTCGAAGGTACACCCAAACAAATTATCACAAACAAATCTACCAATCCAATCGAGAACATTGATCAAAGAGATTGTCGATTGAACCCATGATGAATCCATGTCGAACGGTCAACAACATTCTCCCTCTTGTAAACCGTTTCGTCATTGAATGTTTTGTGGTAATATCACTGCTATCATTTAGCAATCAATTCGATTATAATTATTTAATACTTGATCACAAGACGGTTACTACATTCCACCGCGCAAAGCATGACAAGAAAATCAAGCAAGTTATTTGGATGATCGTCATTGGATTACTCAGTTATGAATTTATTGTCCATTACAAAACATACACTCTCCCTATTGTTAGAGCCGAACCACCCCCTATGTCTCCCATTCTCGCTGAGGATCTTAAAAAACGAAACCGTCAAAAGTCATTAGAATTGAAGGAAGGGATATCTCAAGGTCAATCTGGCTGTTTAGTGGCTAACATTAAGTGTAATTCTCCTAAAAAGGTTTATTTAATTCATCATGATTGGCTTGGAACGTATGTATTCATTACACTACAACAGTACTTTTCTCACACAATTTCCAAAGACATGTAAATGTGTATGTGGCTAAAATATTGTTGGAAGAGAAAATGGGCTATTGTGTTGAAATAGTTGATCTTCCGGTAAATAAGGGGCTAGAAGAAATGGCAAAAAGAGGAGATAAGGAAGCGTATGCCATTCTCGAATACTGGTCGCTATCACGAAAATATCAGTACATGTAAGTTTCTTAGCCCTCTACCAAAAGACGTTTGACATTACCATTTGTTACAACAATAGACAATACGTTCAAAATGATAAAACCATTGTGGATGCAGGCAACCTTGGTGTGTATGGAAAGCAAGGGTGGTTCATTCTCTCTTTTATGACTGATCAATATCCTGGTATTGATGTCTACAGAGAATATCGTACTGACACAGCTGCCAAATATTTAGCTGTAAATTCTTCTTCAACCTTAGGCAGATTGATAGGACCTTCTAGAACATGGATTTCATTTGATCAACAAATCATCAACAATTTGAAACTGAAACTCTATGTCGAATATACGCCAAGCATTGATCCAGAGGCATCCATTGTTAACAAAATTCGAGAGGCAAACAACAAGAAAAAACCAGCTCTGTTTTATTTTTGGTATCCTCATTATTTGTTTGCCTTAATTGGAATTAAGGATGTATATTTACCAGGTTATTCAGACACTTGCTGGACAACCTATAACCAACAAAATGGTTTGATAGATTGTGATTATCCAACAGAAATACTAAAAAAGTAAGGCATCGAATTACATTTATAACGTATCAATTTATCAAACGACTATTCTAATGAAAACAAAGACTAATCTCTCCAATAGCCGCACAAGACGACCGCTTACTTTATTTCTTCAATAGATTTGCCTATGACACCAAAGATCAAATCGGCAAGTACCTTTTATTATTGTTAAACAAGTCTTTGTTCATCTAAACATGTGAAATATCAACTCTAGAAATAATGGGAGATATTGTAAAGAAAAACATGTCTGTGTGGGACGCTTCATGTAAATGGATCAAAAATAACACCAACATTGTGAAATATTGGATTCCGATGTTTGAACCACAACAAAATGCAATTATTATTGGGCTTATTGTTTCATCTGTAACAGCTCTATTGGTTATTATTTGCTTTCTATTTCTTATTGTGATGGTATCCGTTTTAATGCACAGGAAAAAGGTTAGACAACAATTACTGAGATATGCCCCTAAAACCTTGCCGATCACCGTCGTTTTCACAGACATTCAAAACTCAACATTGCTTTGGAATATATTTCCGGACAAGATGAAAACAGCTCTTGAAATTCACAATCTCATCATTCGAGTGAATATTGCAAAATACAAAGGATATGAATGCAAAACTCAAGGAGATTCTTTCATGATTGCATTTGACAATCCTGCAATGGCACTTGGATTTTGCTTGAACGTTCAAAAGGATTTATTGCTTGCCAATTGGCCACTAGAAATGCTTAATCATTCAGACACGATGGAAGTGAAGTGCGAAGAACAGCTCATTCATAGAGGTATGTAATTTATACTCATGAACTGCTCATAATTACGAGCAATTATTTTATGAAAAACAGGTCCTCGTGTTCGAATGGGGATTCATACAGGCAGTGATTGTGAAATTCATTTGGATAAAACAACTCAACGAATGGATTATATTGGAAATACTGTGAATAAGGCTAGCAAAATAGAAAGCATTGCTGAAGGAGGAAGGATTTATTGCTCGGAAGAGTTTGTTGAAGCTATCAACCACCAAGTAGCTCATCAACTCATCACAATGGAAAAAGAAGCTGATTTGATGCTAGAAAACATTGTAAACAAGAATATTCAATTTCAACCTTTGGGGTTAGAAGAATTAAGTGGTTTGGAGGGGCTTCATTCCATTTACTGGGTCATGGACATGAAATCTAGAAGGTATATTTACCTTCAGCAATTAGAGCTCTCTACCATTCATATTAACACCGATTTTCGATACATTGATGAACTGAAACACTATCTCTATGATCCAACATCTCTCGACGACAAAATCAAAAGCAACCTAATGTTTGAAATTTTTACTATCATCAATAACGGATACTTTGACATCCCATCAAGCACGACAGAGTTCGAAGGTTTTTTATTTTCAATTGTGTTTCATTACGTTTTCGAACGGCTGAAAGAAGAGAACGAATATTATTGAGATTGGCAATGGCGATGTGGTTGAATCTATTTTACAGTTTTTCCAACAACCTCGTAGGATGACAGAGACAACCCTTTATGAGTAAGTTCATAAATATGGCTTGATTGTTTTTGGTAATTTTCCTTTTGGTTTCCTATGTCATCTGACCTTACTTTATTCAGTGGCACGAATTACTCATACGAATTGGTGAGCAACACTTGTTGTTTTTTAGCATTTATTTGCTCCTTCCAATATGGTTTTGTTGTTAAAAAACAAACTTCAAGTTGAACACTCGAACGCTCGGCTCATGTTTCATCTCAGGTTCAGATGAGCAATATTAACAGCTGTTACTACTCGTTTAACATCATCCTTCAATATTTAATTCGGCTCATACAGGGTAGCACCAGTTTGTTTAACACCATTTCCGATTTAATTTTCTCCACTCGAGAGAAATTTAACAATTTAAGATGCCAATTTACTGTTTCTCATGTCACAACAATTAATAAGGTGATGATGTGGCTTGCGCTTGTCTTTGTGTGTACTTTTGTGATTGGGAATTTGATCGTGATGAATGCGATCGACATTGGACTTGCGATGCATGTGCGTGCAGAACCTCCCACAATGTCTCCACGATTTGCAGATATGATTAGTAGCAGACAACGAAGGAATGAAAAGTCATATCGTTCCGAAGCAGGTTGCTTAGTATCTCAAGTTAGATGCGACTCTTCACAGACGGTCAATTTAATCAAATTTGATTGGCTCTCTTCTGAAATCAGTGCTGAATTAGCAAAAATTGTGTTGGAAGAAGAACTTGGGATTTGTGCTGAAATTGTGACTCTGGGAAATGTCACATATGCGTTGGATGAAATGGCTAGAAATGGAGACCAAACTCACTACGTAATGCTTGAGTTTTGGCGTCAAACACGTAAATCCTTGTATTAGTAAGTACGACAACCATGTCTCATAATAATTGACAATTTCAACACATAAGCGAATATGTGGAACAACAAAAAACAGTTGTTGATGCAGGCTCTCTTGGACTTTATGGAAAAGCTGGATGGTTTGTATTTTCCTTCATGACTCGAGAATATCCAGGAATTGATGTATATCGAGAATATCGTACAGACAGAGCTGTTCGGTATTTAGCTGCCAATTCTTCAGCAACTATGGGACGTTTTCTAGGACCTGCCAAGACTTGGCTTTCGTTGGATGCACAAATAATCAACAACTTAAAGTTAAAACTGCAAATAGAGTATGCAAATGACAAAAATACAGAAGACCATATTGTCACCAGAATTGAAAGAGCTTTTTTAGAACGAAAACCATCTCTATTTTATTTCTGGACACCCCACTTTCTGTTCAGTGCAATTAATTTAGATCCTGTCTATTTACCTGGGTACAGCGAGAGTTGTTGGACTGAATACAATCAACAACATGGCTTAATAGATTGTGATTATCCTGCAGATCTATTAACAAAACTCACAAGTAGAAGTGTGCACAAAGATGGACGTCTCAATCAATTTTTCCGACTATTTTCATTTCAATCACAACAAGACATTATTGACATTATGGAGGATGTCGCATACAGTAACATGAGCTCATTCGCTGCCTCTTGTAAGTGGATTAAGAACAATACAGCCCTTGTCAAGTCGTGGCTGCCAGAAAACATGTCAAAAGAAAGTGTAGCCTTAATAGGAACCGTTGTGGGTTCTGTCACCATTCTCATTTTTGTATTTGGATTGATCTTTGTGATTGGTTTAATTTTTTGCTGCATGTATCGAAGAAAGTTGAGAAAGCACGCGTTAAGGTATGCCCCCAAAACCTTACCCGTGACTGTTGTATTTACAGATATTCAAAACTCAACGTTACTTTGGAGTACATGTCCTGACAAGATGAAACACGTGTTAGAAATTCATAATCTCATCATGCGAGTGAATATTGAAAAATACCAAGGGTATGAATGTAAAACTCAAGGAGATTCCTTTATGGTGGCTTTTGAGAGTCCGTTAATGGCGCTTGGATTTTGCTTGAGTGTTCAACGAGATTTATTGCTTGCGAATTGGCCACTCGAAATGTTGGATTACGAAGACATGAGAGAAGTCAAATGGGAAGAAAAGCTCATCTATCGTGGTCCTCGTGTGAGGATGGGAGTTCATACTGGTAGTGATTGTGAAATTCACAAGGACAAAACCACAAAAAGATTTGACTATATTGGAAACTCGATTAACAAGGCAAGCAAAGTTGAGAGCATTTCAGTGGGAGGAAGAGTGTATTGCTCGGAAGAGTTTATTGAGGCACTCAAGCAAACAGTATTGACACAACTCATGACTGTTAAACAGGATTCTGACACCATACTCAAAAAACTTGCAGAAAACGACATTCAATTTTTCAATGTTGATGAGGTTGACGATCAGGAAGTTTACTGGGTCATGGAATTCAGTTTTGATCGAACGCTTTTTATTCAACAATTCGAGCTAAAACTTGGTGTGGATAAGGAAGTTGCAGCAAAAATCCAACTCGGAGAAGACATGAAACGATTTATTTGTGACTCTGACTCATTCAGTCAAGAACAAAAGAGCAAACTTGTGTTTGATTTTATTACTGTTGTCAATCATGACAATATTCGCGACCGCATTGCACCGTGGAGTCTTGTTCCTGTCACTAATTTATTTAGTGTCGCTTATAATTATTTGACAAGAGGATGGACCCCCTTACCATCATCCTCAAACGTGGAAATTATTAACATTATTGAGCACAAAAATTTGTAATCAGAATCATGATACAACACGAACAAAACTTTATTTTCACATATTTCAAATGAGTAATTCAAACGTGAATGGCTCTGAAGGAACGGCATCGTCTCCAAAGGTTCCAACATGTGAACTCAGATCTTCAGATGCTGTTTTGAGCTTTTTAGTGATTGAGGCTGTTGAAATACTTTTGGTTTCATTACTCGTTGCTGCAGTGGAGGATGTGTCTTGATTGGTGTTTGCAGCAGAACTACTAGTATTGCTAGAACTGCCAGTGGAAGCAGACCCTGAATTGGCATTGTTGCTAGTACTGGAAGAAGTTGGCGAAGCAGAAGATTCAGCTTTGCTTGGATCGCTCTTGGTAGCCGCAGCAGCCACAGTTGCAGCAGGTGCATAATTCATTCCGGTAGCCACAGGATAATACTGTTGTTGAGGATAATAGTAACTATTAGGATATCCATAGCCGTAGTAAGCAGCGGGATATCCACCATAGGCTCCATAAGGAGCTCTAGCAGCATAGGGATAGTAAGCAGCAGCATTAGCGGCTGGATAGCCATAAGCAGGGTAAGGCTGAGCAGCACCAACAGCAGCTGTAGAAGCCACTGCAGCACCTGCTGCTGTTGCTGCTGGAGGAAGACCTGTACCATAGTATTGAGGAGAACCAACGGCTGCATTGTAGGTGGCCACAGGAGTGGTCTGAACATATTCACCACGTACTCCATAACCAACTTGTTCCAAAACTTCAATCTTTCGATAATATTCAACCACGACATTCAAGTAATAGAGAAAACCATTCCAGTTTTGAACTTTGGCTACTTCAACCACACGCTTCGAATACTCATAGACATTGACAATGTATTTACGGTACGCAGCTGGAGCAAAGGATCGATACTTGTACAGATATTTGGCGTGATTGGCCAAATTGTTGGCATACTTTTTAGCAATGTCATTGTAATTGGTTGGATCCTCAGGAGTGGCTCCACTACCTCCTGGTTGTAATTGCCTTAATTGCTTTTTATGAAGTTGCTCACCGTAATATTTGGAATTTTGCAAATCTTGATCCACCAAATTCTTGTAATACATGAAGGGATTGAAAAGGAGTCGAGAGGCTTGCTGTTGTTGTTGAGGAGAAGCAGCAATGGATGATCTCTCATCAGACGAGGACAGATCCGAATCAATCTTATCAACCACTCGTTGATGGCCACTACCACATGCAATAAAGTTCTCATATTCCACGTGGTCTTCATCAGAATCGTCGGTAATGATGGGAACATCATCCACGAACTCATCACGCTCTGCATTGATGATATCATCATAAATTTCTCGATCATTGTAATACTTGACTCGTTTGGATCGTTTAAGGCTTGCTGCAGTGGCTTGAGGGTTGTGGTTGGCATGGACAACTAGGTGTGTGGGAGGAGTGAACATCTCGAGCAAGAAGATTATGGATAACAGTAAGAGGACGACAACAAGAATAGCACTCCAGCCATTCTTGAATTTCCTTTCTATGTGTGGTGGTGATGGTAGTGCCTTCATGAATTTCGTTTTGCTTGTGTTTTAAACTTTTCTTTGGTTATCTGAATACAACATCTTTGATAACATAACCTACTCTTTAAAAGTACATCACTTTAAAAGTGAGTTTTCTGTAATCGATGAAAATGCATTGATAAATCATTGAAAATTGCAAATCTCTTCATTTGGTATTTTCTCATAATTAGTGTTTTTCAAAGTTTGGGTAATGAGTCCCACAAAGGCTCGTGCTTTGTTGTCTCGTGTTTTATTTCAACAGCACCTTGTAGTGTTCTCTCTCGATCAATGCGTTGATTTTGGATAATTATCGTTTATTTGTAGTAAGAGAGAGATCATTGGTGAGCCCTCATACTAATAGTTCACACACATGTTTAAATACTTGGAAGGAACCGACCAGCTCCAGAACCTCGTTGGTAAATTACTTTTACAATGAAGGACCATTCACATCACGAAAACAAACGACTTGTTGATTCTACTTACAATATCCCCAACCAATAGACCATACCCAACCAATAATGCAAATGGCAGTTAAAAATTGTAACAAGGCAGAAACAGCATTCACAGTAAATACATCATCGTCCTCACAGAAAAAGCTGAATTCATATAAAGAAACACATGTCGGATGAAAAAGAATTTTCTTCAAAACCTACGCAGCAACAAGTGTACCAATACCAGGCAAGAAAATATTCAAAATTAGGACAATTAAAGGAAGATTGCCGTTGAGTTTAGGTACGCTCTTCAAAATAGTTCCAAAACCATCCTATGGAATAATAATTATTAGCAATTCCGAATTAGATGAAATTTGATCATGTCAATGGAAAATAATTTCAATGTAGTTCACGAATACGGATTCAACACACCGGATACCATCCGAATATTCGGAGACAATGTTTCTTGATAAACCTTCCTTCGTCAAGTGTATCTTTGAATTACTTACACCACCAACTAACGAAAGAAGTGCAGACATTTTTTTATTGGAAAGTAGATGGAAACCTGGAAATGGTGATTCATTGTCATGCGTTGTTGTTGTTTGTGGCTTGAAAGCAGATGGAACAACCATGAACAAAATAGATTTTTCTCTACGAATATTCATGTTTATTTTCATCCCATGACAAAATGTGTTAAGGTAGAGAGAATTGAATATGTGGACTATTTCAACCCTTCCACAATCATGTTATTATTGTGAAAGATACAAGTCAAAGATTTGATCGCACAAATCCTCAATCGTGTACACAATTTTAACCTCTGGCCGAACAAGTTGAGTTTGAATTTCAACATCGAGTTTTCTTTGATATTGAGGATGAACACCAACAAAAAGCTTGATATTTGGCATCATTGAAATTTTACCTAATTCATATAACTGAGGTTCAATTCATTGTCGTCAATCGTAAATTAGTTCAATATGCAACATTACAAAAATTTCAACATGACGCGAACTGAAAAGACATCAAAATGACTTACAGTGATTGGACATAATGTTTCGGAACAAAACCAAAAAGAAACTGCTTGAACCGAATGCAAATACTCATGCTCCCATTTGATTTGAATTTCGGATTGACTTTGATCACTCACATCAAAATGTTCTCTTCGTGGATTATAAATTTTGATTTTTCTTGTTATTGCAGCAACATCGTGATGACTTTGTTGGTGTGATGATGACCAAGTACTGGTCTGTTGCTGAAATAACTTTTCACACTTGTTGTGTAAATTTGAAATCACGTCACGATGCCAATTTCCACAACCTGAAATTCCTCCTGCTAAAAACAATGATTTTTCAATGTGTTGATGGGATGAATTTTCTTGTTCAAGCTGACGAGAGAGATCAGGATGGGGAGTGTGGGACGGAGCTTCAAAAACCAGAAAAGATGACATTTTTTAAACTCACAATCATATGAACTACAGCGTTGACCACCAAATAAATGGTTGGTAAATTGGTGATGAGAAGTAAAGAATGTCAAGCAGAAAGAGTCAAATGAACTAAAGCGTTATCATCCTGATTTTTTCGACACATGAGCAGTACTAAGAGAAGACTGCATTCGAGAAAGATGCATGGTGTTTTCCATGGGATCGTTATGGCATTTGGTGTTGATGTGCACTGAATCTCTTTTTATAATTACAATCACCCTTTTGAACACTGAAAATTCTCCTCTCTGCATCTAGTCCCTCAAAAGGGTCAGCAAATGAAGATCGTACAAGTTGGCGTCATCCTCTTTTCAAGAATCGACATCTTGTATCTTAATAATAATTTGAAAAACGCAAATTTGTAATTACTCATAGAAATATTAAGATCGAACGATTATTTCAGTGCTTTTTCACATTTAGATCCGTGGTTGTTGCCTGGCTCGAGCTATGGGCGTATTATCCTCAACTAAATGATACATTCCATACATGTAAATTTTCCATATTGAAAACATGGGTTGTTGGAATCTGAGGCCTAAGAGGTTATATTCATCGTGTTAGCTGGCAGACAACATGCATCATCTCATTTCCATAAGCTTAATAAAAACAACGCCACCCAGATTGAAGCAGCATTTGAGAGAGACCATGCTACCGGACTCTTTTTAAGAACCCAATAGAAAAAAAAACCAAACAACAATTTGTCTTGTTTGTTGGTAAAGTCATCGTTTCAGCCATCTCCTCGCCACCCTCTCGTCGACCAACTTTTCGAGTATTCCATCTTAGCTCCTGTTGTTCTAATCGGTACTAGTATCGATCCTCGCACAATGTCATCTTCAAGTAACTCCAAGTTCACGATTGTTGATTTAACAAAGGAAGTTGAAGAAACTACCAAAGAACAACAAGTCTCTACAAATGGACGAGCAAAGAGAAACAAGATCAACAAACGGTTTAGAAACAATCCAGGATTTGCTTCTAACTTTTTCTTCTTTCCTTCCAATGTCAATTCTACAACTGGACAATCATCACATAACTTGCAGAGTCAACAAGCTTCCTCTTCATCAACACCACAACCCCTAAATTGTGCAGCGAATCCGAGTACACACACCGCTGCAACCATAGGTAAACACGAGAGTGAAAAAACATCATCTAGTAGAAAAGGATTGACCAATACCTCCCCTAATTCATATCATGTAAATTCATCCATTGCACAACTGAATACATTCACTTCTAAAGGTGTGGCTTCAGATATAAAACCAAATTTTCCAATAGACGAAAAAGGAAATACCATTACTGGTGCGAGTCATCTCCCCAGTGAAATTCAAAACACAATTTTGGAGGAAGCCTCAATGCTTGACCTCTTACAAAACGAAGATACGTGTGTAGAAATGAGTCCCTCAGTCACTCAAACGTGTTTGAGCACTAACAACGCGGTCCTATCAAATTACTTGTCCTCTCCTCAGAATTTGGGGTTTTCGAACGTACCTCAAAGCAACATTGGACTTGCAACACCATCATTGACATCCAACTCCTCCACAACTCCACCATCTTCTCAAAAACGACATGGTCGCAATCCCACAGCTAAAAGAGGTTCCATTTGTCAGGAAATTTTGTATGATAAGAGAAGATACTCGTGTAGTGATTTGGTGTTTTCCCAAACGAATCAATCTTCATTTACAAACGCTCAAATGGCAACGATCAATGCACCACAAGGTGAAACACCCGTATCAACTCATGGAAGGCTGTCTTCACCTCAAGCAACCTGGGAAGCTATGCAATCTTATGTTTTTCCTTTAACAAGGACTTATGAAGCAAGTGAAGAATCTTCAAACGAAAGAATTTTGTGTGAAGACTCCCAACACTCCGCTTCATTCAGTTTTCAGGAAGAAGATGCCTCAATTTGCGAAGCATATTTGATGAATCCTTCGTTGAAAAAGAGAAGACCTAGTGTTCAAGTTGATACTGATTCGTTGTCATCATTCGTGGCCAACTTCCAAAATCAAATGAACCTGAGTAGTGTGCACAATTCCTCCTTAGGATTTAACAATGTTGTCTTGGTCAATCAACCACAGTTGCAACCAACAAACCAGGTCTTTGAGCCCTCTTTCAACACCACCAATTTCATGCAACATCAAACAGTGGCTACAAACACAACCGAAGCAACCACCATATTCAACAGCCTTCCTGAAACAGTTCAGCAACAAGTTGTGGATATTATTGTCAATCATCTACTAGTGCAAAGCAACCAAGAGAGCACTAATAATGTAGAAAATAACTCTCACCAACAGGAAAATTATATTTCCGAACTTTGTGCTTCAAACCCCAATGCGCCTTCATTCCTAGACGAAAAAGATCTTCAATCTCTTGATTTACCTGGTTTTGATATTGCAACTTCGGAGCCAAGCAGCGATACACAACCATCTCCTTCTCTTCTCTCTCCTTCTACATTTTTAAATGTTGAATTGAATGTAAATAGTAATGTGGCTGAGATTGGACAACCATCATTAGCCTCCTCAACAATATCATCAGAGGCATTTGGAAATGATTTGAAAGGAGCCATTGGTAGTATTATTCAGCCTTCTCCCTCTTCAATAAGAGACGTTTCTAGAAATGAATTTTTAATTCCATCATCAGAATTTTCTTCAGCAGAGATTACATCCGAATCCGCTACTTCTTCAACTCCTCATCAACTTCATCAGGGTGTTTCAAGAAGTAATACTGAAGAAGTCAACATTTCAGAAGAGGAGTTTGAAAACTTTTTAGACATCTTGTTTCAACACGTTCCCGAATTGTAAATAAAAAAGTTCTGATTAATCTCCATTTTTTTTTAATAATAAATTTTTAAAAAAATGAGAGGAACAGCCTCCCTCGAACAAGATGCTCGTTTCACGAACAAGGACAAGGCCCTTGTGCAAAGTACAAAATTCCCCAAAGGCTTTGATATCAAAGTAGATATGAGCAAGGTAAATCTAGAAGTTTTTAAATTGTGGATTCATTCTAAAATTGAAGAATTAACAGGCTCGGATGATGATATGATTAGCGAATACGCGATAAGTATGCTTCAAGATTCATCACCCGATCCGAAGCAAATGCAAATACAACTTGCTGGATTTTTAACGATAGACAATGCTGCCGTCTTTATGACTGAATTATGGAAGTTATTAGTGGAGGCACAAAACAGCCCAAGTGGAGTTCCTAAAGCCTTGCTATCTTTGGAGATGGAACGAGTGAAAAAAGAGCAAGAGGAACAAGAGAAAATTTCAAGAAAGTTCCAAGAAAGAATACCTAACCGATATTACAACTCTACTACTAGCTACCAACAACAACAAATCAGAGGCACAACCCATCATCACACTGCCAAGCACCCTCGTCCTTATGACCGATCATCATCTAATAGACAACAACGCCAAACTACACCATCAAGCGTGAGCGACAATGCTCAACAAGAAGCAACTGAAGAACAAAAAGAAGGTGAAAAACCATCACTAGGCTCCGAACGCAGACTCAATACTACTGATAGCTCAGATTACAAAAGAGATCAATCACATTTCAGAAATCGTTATGACCAACACAGAGGCAACTTCAATAGTGGTCAACAAAATCTTGTATCAAGAAGAACAGAACGAAGATCAAACTCTATAGACTTTTATGAGAAACCAACTTTCAAGGAGCGAGCAGACAAAATTGCTGATAAAACTGTTGATAACAAGGTGTCACCACCTAGAAAGATGCCTGCTCACGAAAATCAAGGCCAACGGAGAGTACCACCACCCCCTCCACCCTCTTCCTCTGAGGAAGATTCAGACTCAGATGGAGATAATTATATCAATGAACGAAGAAAAACTGTAGACGAGTTTGACCGCTTACGCAAAAGAGCATTGGCTTCCATGCAAGCAAATAGTAAACGATAAAAGTTGTCAAGGCAGTTGCTCTTTTCTCACTTTGTGAAACCACCAAAACCATTGAGCACAACAAGAACAAGTAGTCAAGTGGAGATGTTTCAGGAATATTTATTTTTGTGAGTCAACCAATTTGGTATCTCGCGCTAGCATGATAATACTCCCACTAACGCTCAAAATGTGAGGGTGTAATTACGGCTTTAAAGTTTACATAAAAAGTCACTTGAGGATACGCTTGTGCTAGTTTCGGAAAAAGAGCAGCTTCCATTTCATCTAAAATCATCACCATTTTCAAATGTTTGCAATGTTTTAGCACATTGACGTCCAATACGTCACCTGAATCAACAGTTAAATGTGTCAAGTTTGGGAAATTCTTCAATGAATTTTTTTCGAATCCAATCATGGTTAATCGTTTCAAATTTTCATGACGTGTTGTAGATAGTGCCGAAAAATTGTAAATTTCTAAAATTTCGATGGAGTGTGGAATGAAGAAATAGCCAGTAACTGAGGTATCAAATCGAAGATGTTTCAAGTTTGATCTATTTCCAACTTCCATCAGATTCAATGAAAGAGGTGTTGATATCTTTGAAATTTTCAAAGTCTGCAAATTTGGATATTTTGATGAACGTTCAAGAGCTGAAAATAAAGATTTTGGAACTCTACATGAATCAATTTCTAACGTTTCTAATACAGGAGAATCTTGGAATATCGTATTCAGAGCTTCAATACATTCTTCAGAAACTTCTTTCAAGACAAGCTTTTTGATGTGTTTGCTGTTTTCCTTGTAGGTGAATAATTTTTGTGAAACATTTTCTGTGATCGTTTCCCAATTTTCTAGAGTTAAATATTCAATATTATTTGTAATTTCAAATAATTGAATAAATGACGCACGCAATGTGAGTGATTTCACCTGTAGACTAATAAGACGTTTACAACTTTCACTTTGCATGCTTTCAATCGAATTCACAATAATCTTCTCCATTAATGGGCATTGTAACTCCTTGAAAATTCCAACTTTCGAAAGTATATGTCCATTGGAAAAGTGGTTTGGTCCAGTGATACTTAATACTCCAATAGCTCCTTTAAAGTCAATATAATTCAAGTTTTGACTGAATATGGATAATGATGACACACAATTATTCTTTTTCTCATTGATGATTAATGAAGAAAGGTTGACACAATTAATGTAAATCAATTCGAATCCATGTATCTCAAGGGATTGAAGCGTTCCAGACTCTAAACGAAGACTATTTTGTCTGCTTGCGTGCAGTGTTAAATGACGCAGTTTCACAAGTGATTTGATGCTGGACAAGTTATCGAAAATGTCTTCAAGAATATTCAAGCGCTCAATATTTGATATATATGAAGTGATTTTTCCTTTCGGATCCAGCAGTTTTTCAATAGAAAGAGACTTCAAGTTCTGTCCAATGTTCTTCAAAGATGATTCGTAAATGGATTTCACTTCTAAACTAGTTATATTGGAAAATATTTCAGCTTTGAGTCTTAGTTTTGGGTATCCAATTTGTAAGGTCTTAATCTGTGCAAGGTTTACATATGTTGAAAGGTTACGAATCTGGGAATCATTGTCCAAGCGCAAGGTGTCAAGCTTGATAGATCTAAATTTATAATCTTTCAAGCTAGCTTCAAGGTCAAAACTTCCTTCTAAATGTAACCTAGTAAGGTTAGGGAATTCTGGAAGTGTTGGGGGGCATTTAAGTAAAGCCAGGTCCTGTATGCAGTGAGCATCTTCAAATTCGACAGGTTTAGTAGTGCTTAATCGAACAGATCGGTGTGACTTTACAACTTCCTTTGTTGTCTTCTCCTTGATTACAACGCCATCAACCACGTGATACACAGATCCACCTGAAACAGTGTATGGTTCATCAATCTTTAGGAATGTTTGACGTTGTAACATTTTCATGTCCTCCAAATATTGCCAAGTTCCTCTTCTCTTCTTTTTTTCTACCTTTTCCTCGTTTTCAATATAGGTTGCGTTCTTGAATATGATGCCATGTGAGGAAAGCCAATGAAGCATATCGTTTGAAAGTCCGCTTGCTGTTCTAATATATTTCTTTCTTGGTTCAATGTAAGTCTTAAAGATTTCAAATTGTGACATGTTTGAAAAATCCATGTACGGGGTAAGTTCAAAGGATGACAACGCACTATCATATTGAGATGCATTGCGCCACACTTTACAAACTCGAGACACCTTCAAAAAATCAGAAAATGTCAAGAATGAGAAAACCACAGCCCATACGTCAGGTGTTTCAATTAAATTAAATTTGCCGTAGTGTTGAGTAACACCTTTGGAGTTGTCTCGAAGAATGAGAATTTCTGCAGAACTAAATACGTCCACAAGTTTTGCCAATTTCGATTGCAATATTTTGCAAATGTTGATTAATTTAGTTCTATCTTGTGGAGACGCTTGCACATATTCCGATTCAATACTTCTCAAAGCAAGTTCATATTTAACAGATTCAACAATAAAATTTTCAATTTTAGGATCATCAGCAAGTTTTGTTGGTGTATCAATATTGGATGATGATGATGCGGATTCTGTGTTTTGTGTGATTGTTGGTACCTCTTGCACTTCTGCGCTCGAATTGCTCACGAGTCGTTTTTTTTGACTAGACTCTTCTTCATGAACAATGTCGGAGGACTTGATGCGTTTCATGATGATATTTTTTTGTGGTTTTCTTGTGGCCTAGGAGCGGAAGAAAGCAGGTGCATTGATTAAATGATGGACATTAACCATGGCATCAAGGACGACACAACACAACAGGGCAATTACATGTGTATTAAACTGATAATTAAAATATCATCGGTTGATATCCGGACGGACAATATTATGTCGACTAAATAAAGATCGAAATTAATTTTGTAGCTTGCATCACCTTCGAAATAACTTACCACAATAAGGAGACACTACTTTTGCACAATATTCATTCAATAAGCTTCTTTTACTATGTAAAATACAGACGCGATTCTCTGCTATACCTTCCCGCCAATTCCAAACACACAGGGTTACAATTTCTGAAAAAAAAACCTCAATTAATGACCGACATTGATAAAGAAAAGATTCAACGAATAGTGAAAGACGCTGTTGAGAGCGTTATACAACATGATACACCATATGATCATTCCAAAGTAACGCACTGGGTGAACAATATTATTGATAAAACAATGAAATCAGCAACAGCCATGTCGAAACCATATAAATACATAGTAACTTGTGTGATTGTACAAAATAACGGAGCTGGATTTCATACATCCTCTTCCTGTTATTGGGAAACTACGGATGATAGCTATATTGATAAGTTTGAAGGGCAAAATCTATATTGTATAACCAGTGTGTATTGGATTAGCCTTTGAATGAATCAACCTCATCATGATTTTCCAATACATGTTCGTTTTGCATATCCAACATTATGATGATGTATTTTGTTTTGGAGCAATAATGCGATTGACATCAGTCGTGCTCTCATTTGTATTCGTAGTTGCTGAACTAGTATCCAGATCATTGGCCTTGCTTTTCACCTGCTCTCGAACGTTGCTGATATCAAATGAACCTGGGAACAAATTTAGGTGGCTGTCCTTTTGTTGGATCATCTTGGCTTTTTCCAAGTCCTCTTTCAACAGTGTGTCATCTTCTTTAATGACAGCAATTCCATGCATTTCCTCTCTAAATTTCCGAAGACCGCCAGCCATGGTTTTTATCTTATTCATCCAATCTTCTTTGTTTATCATTTCGGATGCGCCCAGTAAATCGGACATGTTTTGTTTCTTTTTAAATGTTTCCAAATCTCTTCCCATTCCTTCATTGTATCCAATGAGAAATTGTCGAATTGAAGATTGAACGAGTGTAAATCGTGTCCGCACAAAATGTTGAAATTTTTCTTGTATGCTATGCCAATCTTCCGATGGTGACATTGGTCCTCGTATATTATTTTGTGATGATGAAAGATTATTCGGATGCAATATTTGATCATTTGTTTGTACAGCTTGTTCATCATTTTGTGGTAACTCTGGTTCCTTTTTGCTTTTTAATCCTACGAGTTGCATCGTTTCGATGGTACTATTTTTCATGTCAATACCTGTTTGAATAATTGCATTCTTCAGACAACGTAGGCGAATACTGATCGGAATTTTCACTTTTACAGGTTTAGGCTCGTTAGGATCATCAGGAATTCCGGCAGTGTGTTCATGTTTAATATCTTCCCACCGCCATTTCACTTCGTATTTTATCACTGACCAATAGTGCTTGATTTGGTTGAAATTCAGTTTTGGCATTTTTTAAAGTCAAAACAAAAAGCACAAATCAAGTCCCATACAATAAAACTCAAAAGAATTTCAATAATACTCTCGCACAGTTAAAACAATAGAGAATTAGTCCAATAACATAAAAACATGATACCACAACAGCCCTTCCAAGAAATTCCATTCTCTAGTATAGACGAAAATATTTTAATTGGACATGCTCATAATCAAGGAAACACATCGGGATGTACAGTGATTTTGAGTAAAGATGGAGAGGGCTTTCTGGCAGGAATAGATTGTCGTGGAGGTTTGTATTGCTATTTCAATATTGATGAAACATACATTCTCTGTTCAATGTTTTTAATGATCCTGGGATGACAATAAGGAGGAACATGTACAAGGGAGACCGATTTACTGAAAACTGGAATGCTTGTGGAGCATATACATGCTGTAGGTTATCTGTGGCTGATGTCTATTATTTGAATATAAATGATTGAAATGCACACTAGTGTGTACTCTCTGGAGGGAGTGTCTTTGGACTCGATTGCTCGTCAGGAGTGACGAAATATTTGTGTGAACACCAAGTGGGCTATCATACAGACGTGATCAATGTTCCAATTGTTTGTCAGGCTTCTCTCTATGACTTGCCAATGTTTTTGCATGAGGAAGAGGTCACGTCTCTTCCACACTCCATTAAGGGAAATTTACATTTACTTCCAAATTATTATGAAATGGGTTATCAAGCGTGTTGTAATGCAACGAATTGTAGTTCGACCATACGAGAAAATGGCCACCATGATCTGGAGTATGAAATGAATGGAAATATCGGAGCTGGTATGGGTGGATGTATTGGAAAAGCTCAAGGAACTGAAACAGCAATGAAAGGTGGTTTGGGAACATTTGCCATTCAAGTTGGCGATTTAAAAATTGGTGCTCTTGTGGCAGTAAATTGTTTTGGAGATGTTATTGAAAATGGAAAAATCATTGCTGGATGTCTGAAAAAGAATATTAAGAATTTTGAACAACTTGAATGCATGAACACTGTCTGCGATTCAAATGAGTGTTCGTCTCTATTTGCAGATACTGAAATGGTACTGATCAATGAGTATTTGAAGAGAAAACAGGATTGGAACGGTTTTGCCTTGAACGAAAGTAAGAATGAATGTGACCAAGATAATGATTCTGGACAACAACAACATTTCAAAGAACAACAACGAGCATGCACAAACACCACATTAGGAGTGGTCATCACAAACGGTAAATTTGACAAGGCACAACTCTCTAGAATAGCGACCATGGCACACGATGGGTACGCCAGATCCATGAAGCCATCTCACACTCTCTATGATGGCGACTCTATATTTGCTCTCTCCACATACCGAGACACAACGTCATCACATGACGAACATGCTCCAACGAACGTAGCAGGAGCTTTGGCTGCCTTTGTTGTGGAAAAGGCTGTTCTTAGAGCGGTGAAAAGTGCCAAATCCACTGGAGGTTATGTTGCGTATTGCGATTTGAACAAACTTCTGTCTTGATTATGACATCAAGTACCATGTTCACCTTACTAAAGTTCACTGAACCGATCGAGCAAAACTTCCATCTATGAAATCAAAAGTCCAACATTGTTTTCATATCTCAACAAGCAGGGTTCACCAGCCATCATGCACGTTTGAAAATAAATTTAAAACAGATATCTGATTATTCCAACACAAACAAAACAACAACAAACGAATTCTGAATTACACAAGCCTCATCCTTCAACATGTCTGCTTCAACCACAACAACACCATCGGAAGCAACCAATTACAACACCTCTCTGTACACATCCACACTCCGAATGGTTCTTCCCTATTCTTATAAAGCTAGGCAATACATTCGATATTATTTACCATATCCATCTGAGTTTGGAGCCACGCAAATCACTCCCAACTTGTGGCTCGGAGATCTCTCTGATGCCATGAATGTTCCTCATCTCAACAAGAATTCCATCACTCACATCGTTACATGTGTCAAATCACTGAAACCATTCTATCCCGAAGAAGGATTTACGTATTTAAATTTACATTTGTTTGATCAAACGGATGAGCATATTGGAGATACCATCTTTGAAGAATCCTTTGAATATATTGATCAAGCCATTCAAAACGGAAATACTGTGCTCGTACATTGCATGAAAGGAAGATCAAGAAGTGCAACCATTCTCATTGCATATTTGATGAGAAAGAATGGATGGACGTATCTTGAGACTCTCAGGATGGTTCAACAAAAGAGATCCATTGTACAACCCAATGAAGGATTTGAAAGACAATTATTAGAATTGGAAAGAAAGCTGTTGTCCTCATCGAATGATTCATTACAATAACTTGTACAATTCCCAATTATTAATAAACCCTTTTTAACAGGAATGACACTTTCCAGAGGTTGGTTGATTTTTGCAAACACAAAAAATGAGCGATTCTTCTGTGGCAACTGCTTCGACGCCTACACCCGACACATCATCATCAAATAACAACACGAATCGTTCCCAACCCAAGAAACCAAAATCTCTCCAGATTATTTCTTCTCCACCTATTATTAAAAAACTCCCTGATGATGTCCAACAGTTTCTCAAATCGGGAACCAATATTGGATCTCTTTCGGATTGCATCAAAGAATTGGTCGAAAATGCGATCGATGCTCATGCAACAAATATTGAAATTTTGCTAACACAATCAGGATTTACTTCCATCTGTGTCAAGGACAATGGAGATGGAATTCCACAAGAAAATTTCGATACATTATGTAAACGATATTATACCCACAAATATTCGGAAATTCATAAAGATGGTCAACAATGTGATTACTTGGGATACAAAGGAGAGGCCCTGAATAGCATTTGTAATATTAGCAAGGATGTTCATGTAAAAACAAAATACGGAGATAATGAATCCGAGTTGGGATCTCATATTATTTATGATAAGAGAGGAGAAAAATTATCTGTTAATTCAATTCGTCACTCCAAAGGCACAACAATAGTAGTGAATGAATTATTTTCTGCACTGCCCGTTCGAAGAAAATGCTTTCAAAACGATTTGAAAAAGCAAGTGGAACATACTGTTACGATATTGAAACGTATAGCTCTTATTCATTTCAATATTCGGTTTTTATTGAAGGATGGTGAAAAGACTCTGTTTCTTAAACTAGGAAATATTCAAACAATGAAAGCATCACTGCAAGCAGTATTTGGAGCAGGAAATATTTATGAACATTTATACTTTTATGATGGATCCTTGAATAATCATTCTGCTGCCACACATGACACATGCACAAGCGGAATTGCAAGTACTGACGCTAACACATCATCAACAAGTACTGTCACATCTTCTGAACATCTACCTCACTACTCCATTCAATGCTACGTACCGCTTTATGAAACGATTGCAAAATCTAACGATACCTCATTAACCCCTGACGAATTGTCCCCTTTAAAAGACATTACCAAATTTTTCTCAACAACAAAACCTCACATTTATGCCAACAATCGAGTAATTCTCGAGTATCAGGAAATCCAACAAGCGATGAAAGATATCTTTTCAAATTTCTTCAGAAATCAGAAGGGTGTTAGTTCCAATCTATTTTATATTTTGGTCATTCAAGTGGATTCACATTATTTTGATGTGACCATTAATCCTAACAAAACCAAAATGATCAGCTCCATAGACGAAGCGATCAAAAAAGAGCTTCAAATGAATATAATCAAACACTATGCTGAGGAAGTGAGAAAGTTCAAAGAGTTGAACAATCCAACTCCTTCTAAACTATTGAGTCAAGATGATCCCAATATTATTGACAATTCCAATGCGGTACTCAACGTTTCACGAATATTGGCCTCCTCACCCTCCATCAAGAAGAATCAATCTTCATTATTAAGCACTCCACCCTCTTCAACTACTAGTAGTAATAATACTTCACCATCTTTTTCTCTCTCATCCCAGATGATTCCACCGAGCACTCCCATGAGCAGCAGAAGATCCGAGTTGGTGTCACCATCTCCAACCAGAAGCGGTGGTAGTTGTAGCAGCAGCAGCAACTCCAATAACACGACAACATCGAGCCATAACAACACCCCTCCTTCTTCTTCTCGAGTGCAAACCTCAATCACAAGCTTTACAAGTTCCATTGCAAATCAGAGTAGTACGAACAGACCTAATAGAGACATTTCTCTGGATGATTCATTACTAGATACCGTACAATCATTGGATCAAGTATTTGGTTCTCCTATTCTTCCCAATGATAAGAGCAGTGGTGCTGGTGGAATCAATCAGCAGCAACAACAACAATCAACAAGATCATCATTGAGTCATACACGACGTGAAGAATCGAGTACCAATGAATTATCATCATCATCATCAAAAAACATTTCAACGGAGAATCATTGCTCTGTAGAAGGAAACTCTCACAATGCCATCATGGAAGACGATCATGTCCCTGCAACCAACCACAGTAGTAGAGGATCTGTGAGTAGTACTGCTGCTAGTACCTCCACTACTACGACCTCTCAGACCAATAAGCGCGTTCATGCTGGTTCCTCACTCGTCGTGACTTGTCCACCTTCTGCCTCAGCTTCAGATTTTGACAAATTCAAAGCTGCAAATCCAAAGAAGAGAAAAACATTACAACAAACGAGTATTAACCTTGTGTCCAATGCTACACAACAAGAACAATCCAATTATGATATCACAATACAAGAAGCTGTAGATTTGAGTGTTGAATATCTCACGAAAAAGAGAAAGAAGTTTATGGAAAATATAACGTCTGACACTGAAAGTAGCTCTGAATGTCAACATGTTTTAAAGAGTGATCTGTCAAATTCATCAAAGATACAAATTCTTGGAAGTATTCAACACAAGCTTGGTATTTTGTATCATTGTGAGCACAAGAAACTACTATTTGCAAATTTATTGCAAATGAAAGAGGATTGTCTTTATCACAGCCTGCTGCAGACGTATGACTTGTCGACATCTATTATGCCTTTATCACAGCCTCTTAATTTATTATCCTTATTAAGTAAGGATGCTAAAACATCCAAGATATATAGACGTTTGTGTATAAAGAAGGAATACCAATCCATCTTCCAACAGAATGGGTTTCAGGTTGAATTTGAAGTGGAGCTATTGCCGAATGAAAAACAAAAACGAATTATAAGGATTGATCTTGTAGGAATTGTTAGCAATACTGTATTTAATACCAATGGAACTACTGATCATCACAGCTACACTCAAGACGATTTGATTGAGATTTTAAATAAGCTTGATGAATTCGAACGTGATATTTTAAAAAACGAAGATATTGTTAAATTAATAAGTGAAGGAAAAATTACAAAAGAGGGTCTCATCTCAGAATGTAGATTCTTCTTTAGACCAAACGTTGTCAAAGAATTTATGAAAAACCACTGTCACCGTTATGCATTGGCGACTATTAGAGATTCGACCATTCAAGAAATTTGCACTGACTTGAAAAATACTTCCTTGTCGCCATTAAGAGATTTTATTGCACGTTCAACAGGTTCTGAAATACCAGAGACAGTCATTACACACTATTTTACTGTTAAGGGCTTAGATCAATAAAGCCAATACCACTAAAACCAAGATGAGAGCCATGGAAGTGAATGTAGTGGAGGCTGAGGCATCCAAATATACTTTGACAGTGTAGATTCCGTCCAACGAGCTTGAAGTATTGAACACAGTTGACCACTTGTTGGTTGATGCATCATAGAAGTTCAAAGTATTTCCAGTTGCTGCAAAAACTGATCCAGCGGTACACTTGGTAATGGAAGCAAATGTATTCTCAATACCACATGTTCCCAAAGCAGACACAGCTGTGTTGGTACCTGGCCAACTGTCTGCACCAAGAGCTGCAAAATCACTTTTTCCTGCTGATTTCAAAACATTGACTTTGTCATCCATGTTAGATCCTCCCAAGAAGATGGAACCCATGGATGTACTGAATCCCTTAACATAAGCAATGGTATTAAAGTACTGACCACTTCTGACTTGCACGTTGGCAACAACAGACCAGGCACCAGTCTTGTGGTTATAGTTGCAAATACCTACACAACCAGAAGTTCCAAATGTGGTAGCGACAACAAAGATATCATCAGTTGACAAGGCATTAACGTTGTAATAGATATCTGTAACTGTTGAAGTTGGTCCGTTGGAAGGGAAGGACCAGGAGTCAGTGGACACATCATACACTCCAAAATAGGTGGAAGATCTTCCTGTAAAAGTGGCTGCTACATAGACCTTGTTGCTATTGAAAATCGCATAATCACTTTTAACGACCTTATTGACATTGGTAACAGTCTCACTTCCAAGTGGAACCCACTTTTTCTGAGTGTATGACCATCTTGCGAGGTTGCTGATGCTACTCTCTCCGTTTTGGTAGAGTGTAAAGTCACCACCAACATAAACGTCTCTTAGATCAGAACCAAGCATGCTATTGATGGAAGAAACCTTGTAGTCAGTAGCAATAGTTCTAACCTGGGCATTGACGTTCATGTAAGCTCCGTTATTCACAACGCTCAACCACTTGGAATCAGTTTCAACGTTTTTAACATTTGTTGCAGAAAAGTTTAAACCATGGAAAGCAATAGGAGCAGTAAGGGAAAGAGAGGCGTTTCCGCTACCAACCGATGAGAATCGACCTCCAGCATAAACAAAACCGAAAATATCGACATGAATACATTGTACAGGACCATTAGCACCACCCTCCAAGGAATCGAACAACTTGGTCTTTAGATCATAGTAACCAATGTTATTCACTGATTGTCCTTTAATAGTGCTGAAAGATCCACCTATATTTGTTGTAAGCCATTGGTATGTCCGTACCAAGAGAGGAGAATGGTTGGAATTTAGGGAATCCTTTCACTCTCACAACTACTACTTACCAAAGTATGCCTTAGTAGTGATTGGTAAGGTCAAAGCCTGACACACAGACAATAGGGCCAACAACACAAAAGCAACACACACAAATCTGCTGTTCATATTTTTTTTTGGTTTGAAGATTTGTAAAGTTAAGGCATGGAGCGGGAAAGCTCGAAAATATCCTTAAGGGGCGTTGGAACTTGTAAACTAAGTCTGCCAATCAATAAACAAGTTCCTGAAGGCCACCCGATCATTGGATCTGATTTCAATTAATCTATCAGAATGGATTTCTCATGGAATTTGATTGGCATTGCAAGAAAAAAATATATTATTGACAACTCGGAGAAATGAACCGAATGCTGACCCTCTATTATCCTTTGCTTGAATTTGCCTTTAGTGAGCTCCAAATTGAATCTTCATTCATTATAAAAGCATGTGGTATGATGGGTCTGTCATGGATATTTGCTGATCACTTACTTTTACGTTTTGGAGTCAATCAAGTCATTCTACTCCGATATCATCCAACCGTACTCAAACACTCCAAAGTATTACAACATTTCGATCAACAATGTACACAACACTATGAGAGATCATTTCTAGAGTTTGGAAACGTACGAGTTTATAGAAAGAGCACAAAAATAGGTCATCACGATGATGGTGAATGTTCCATCATGACTAGTAGTAGTACGAGTGGCTCAAACATTGAGAATCGTGGTGATGATGGAGCAAATCCAATGGAATACAAGTATGGTCAACACATATACAGAGAACATGCATATTCTATTTTGTATCATCATGTTTTTACACGTCGAGGCTTAAAAGCAATTTTTAATTCTTCCTTTTTGGGACTAAAAGTGGTGATGTATTTGGCAAAACAAGGCATGCAAGCAGTGAATGAGCTTTATTTCGAAGATGATGAAATTGAACTCAAAATATCTAATGAAGAGAGAATTCAACAAGTGAGACAAGCTCTGGAACAAATTGAAACACAAATTTCAAACATTCAGAATGAAGCACCAATCAAAAATCCTGATTGGATTATTTCTGTAATGTCTCTATTTCGAGTGAATGGCAATGAAGAAGATGAAACAAACGCAAATCAACAACATGTTGATGCATTGGAAGAGATGAAATCAGTGTTGATCAATGAATTGGAAAGCCTACAATTGGTGGAGGAGTATTTTCCAATGCATTCTACACATTATCGTCATGAAAAATCACCGTCCCACTATATGGTGCCCAATTTAAATTGGCTGCTTTCTAAATTTCTTTTTTCTCCCATCAAAACAAGGAGAATGTTTTCATTAGTGGATGAAATTTATGGTATTTCTGAAGAGAAAAGAAGAAGCAACATTTTCAAACATGGTTTTACATATCGCATGCTTTCTGTGGCTCTCTTTGCATTGTGCAGTTATTTAACAGAGTCAATCGCTAATTTGGAGATTTTTAGTTTTAAACAAAAGATCATGATGTATGGTATTAGTATGATTTTACAATGGAGTCTCATCTATCATCCTCTTAAAACAATTGCAACCAACGTCATGTACGATGAAAGCCCATTTCTTGACGCGGAAAAAAAGAGACAATCAAACAAAAATGCTAAGGATGGATGGTGGGAAGAAAACATATCTCGAACATTTTCCACGTGGTACCAATGTGCTAATGATATATACAAAGATCAAGGAATCATTGGATTTTTCAGAGCTTCACATGTCGGTGTTGTGTTACAGATGATTTCCAATTGGAGAAATAGTAAGTGATGCTTAATAAACGTGTTAAAACCAAGATGCATTTATGGACGTGGTGGTTTTGGTGGAACGGGAGGCTTTTTGGTTGGATCTGTTTCGAATCTCCAGTTGGAATCTGACAGAATGGGTTTGGTACTACCATTCAATGATGACGAGGCCTTGTTTGGTGAATGTTTAGGATTAAAATCATCAGCCACCGGATTTGTCTTTGGGTGAGGCAGCTTGGTATTTACACCGGCCCATTTTACATTCTTGTCATCTCTCTTGAGCAATTTAAGTTTGTTGCTCGTTGGAACAGACTCCACTTGTCCTGGAAAAATTATTTCAGTGTTAGAAAATTGGTCCAATTTTCGTTTTCTGTTCATTTGAGTATTGTTAAAAGTGTTGGGTGACATGAACACTTCAGATTCGTCATTGTCACTTAGTGATGAAGTATTTGGAGTGCTGTTTAAAGAGGAGGTCAACATGGAGGAATTCAAGAAAGGAGAAGGTGAAATAAAACTACTGTTGAGTAATCGAGAGGTTGACTTTTTGACTGGGGTTTGTTGTCTGTTCAAAATTTTAGATTTTGGAGAAAGTATTTGTTGTGATGGTTCGTTGGAAGCCATTCCTTGTCTGTTGTTGGATACTAGCTTTGGTACGGAAGGAGAGAGCATGGATAATTGAGCGAGAGATTTCTGTTCATGACGTATCACATTATTGGAGATTGGCTTGTGAGAAATAGGAGAAGGAGAAAACACGGAAAAGAATTTGGTTGTTTTTGGAGTGATGGTAGAAGGTAATGCAGGATGCTCTTCCGTGTGGTTGCTGGTGGCTGTTGTGAGATTTGTGGTCATTAATGGTCTGCTCAATCGCTTACTACTAGATGTTTGTTTTGGTGTTCCTATAAGGCTAATATTGGAAATATCAAATGGATCATTGAGTTGAATATTGCCTGTATGTTCTGCTGTCTCCAGTGATGAATCTTGTTCTTTTTCTGAAATGATCTCGTCCTGATTGTTGACGTTCGTTACATTTATCACATGATCTTTGGTTTCCTCAAAATCTTCTTTTGGAGGTTCTGCAGTGACATTATGTTCCAACTCCTCTTCCAATTTCCTATACTTTTCGTCATGCTCTTTCTGGAGAGCTTCTATGACTTCCGTTTCTTGATCTAGTTGGACCAACAGGTCATCTATTTGCTCTTTTTGAGACTTTTTAGAAATTACTTTTTCATCAATAATGTATAAAAGTTCCTCAGTTTGTTTCTTTTGTTTCTTGATTTCATAGTCCAATACTCGACACGTCTCATCGTCCAATAATGACTCGTTACTGTTTCTATCTTCCTCTTCGAATAAAGTTCTTTTTCGTTTTTTGTCAGAGGAATCTTCAATATCGGCTTTTTCACCATTTACACGTTCGCTGATATTTTCCATTTCTAAGAAAGTTGTCAAAATTTCGTCCACTTTTTTTGCAAATTTCGCTATGGACTGTTTCTTATTTGTTAATTGGTGTTGAATGTCCTTGGTTTGTGACCCAAACGAGTTGGAACACTTTTGTGTGAAATATTCTTTTCTTGTAATATTACCCAAGATAACTGCTTGTATGATTGGAAGTATATGCAATGCACGGTCACACTCCGATCTAGCTGTTTTGGATTTACAGAGAGCTTGAATAACGATGCTTGCGTCCGAATAAATAGTATCCTGAGAATTCTCAAGATTTTCTAGCGAGTTGGCTTGTACTGAGTACGAAAGACTCTCCTTTTCATTCTTGTAAGACCTAGTGCAAATAAATGAGCGAGCGATAGCCTGTATCACCAGAATATTGGAATATTGTCGTTTTACAAAATATCTGGCTTGTTTTCCTCTGGTGACAGATTGGATAGTGATGAGTTGGTCTCGCGTTCGCTTTTCTTGTTCTGATATTCGCTTCCTATTCAAAGCAACCGTGCATAATGATTGAATTACACACAATGCGGATGTTAATTTTTGCATTTCCACCCGTGCAAATTTTGCTCTAAATGTTGCTTGCATTATGGAAACGCTGCAGATTAGTTGTGATAAATTACGTCTTTGATGCTTTGCCACTACTGCAGATTGTACGACGAGAGCACTCCGGCTCATCGAGTCTATGTATTGTCTGCTGATGTGACTTCTGAAAAGTGCAGAAATAATTGTTGAGCTTTCATGAATCTTTCGTAGCTCTTCTTCCTGCAATCGCTTGTTCTCTAACTCTTGTGCTCTATCTTTTCGTCTTCTGTTCAAGTCTTTTCTAATAGAATAGCCAGCGAACAATGATTGAATAGTGATCATGGACATTACAAGACGAGTGTATATATTTCTCTCTTGAAACCCTCTATACATGGCTTGTTGCAAACTTGCGGCTGATGAAATTTGTTCTCTTCGTAACCTTAGCTTAGAGAACGAAATTCGAGCCAAAACTCTTCGACAATAGCTTTGTATTACTTCCAGGTGATGTAATTGGCTGAAGAAGTCTTGTTCACAAAGTTTTCTCATATAAATACTTTGGATTGTTAATGCCAAAAGCAACTTTGATGACTCATCGATAGCATTGCTGTCACTATTTATCTCTGAATTTGTCGTCTCGCCGGAAGACTTTTTAGGAGTAAATAATGAATCATCATCACGGTTTTCCAAGCTAATGTTTTCTTCATTATTACCATTATTTATAATACCATGATTGCTAAAATTATTTTCTATAGTTGGCTGAGCCTGTTGTTGTAATTCCTCATCATCACTTTCTATATTCTTTTTTCTTCTCCTCCGAGCTTTTACTGGTGTTTTTTGAATTGGCAATTTTTCATTGGTATCCATCAAATCCTCATCCACAGATGTTGATTGTTGTTGCGAATATGATGTTGTTGTTTCCTTCTTCTTTCTTTTTGGTCTGTCCTTTATAGGTGTCTTCGTTTTTGAGTCCGATGAAGCCTCTTGTGTTTTTTCTTCTTGATCCTCCTCATCACCATTCTCTTTCGCAGCTGCTTTGCTTCTTCGTGTTGAAACAGGCATTTTTGTTTCTTGATTCAAAATAAAAAATTATTATCATCATCTTGGAGAGAAATCCATCATGTGTATCATCGGAAAGAAGATTGAAAGACCAAGATGTTGCATCTGGACATCAGAAAGACGTTGCCATTACAATTAATGGTGTGTTTATGGACGAGCAGCAAAATTTGGAAATAGTCTCTCAGCGCCCGCCCAAGATGCAAACAACAATCACAAGGCTTCAAGCCTTTCCGCCATTTGCAACCTGTTGGATTGCTGGTTCCTATGAAAATATTCAAATTGAAAAAACATCATCTCTCTTTGGCATTGTTCGAGCTACAACAATACATTTCAACGACGATTATCAAGTACTTGACTTTACCAACTCGTGGTACAGTGCTTTAGTAACGGTTGCAATTGTAATTATATTTTGCAGATAGTAGTAATCCTCAATATTGAACAAGAATTATTTATTTGAAAAATGGGAAACAAACACTCTCAAGGAAAGAGGAATCATGGAGGAGAATATCTTAAAAGATCCTCAAGTCAAACTCCAAGAAGCATGTCCTCCAATCAGCATTCATTGGAAAAATCACGTCATTCCTCTTTGGCCAATTTAAAACAGCTATTGAGAGGAAATTCAAAAGAAAATTTGAAACAAGTGTTCAAGATGGCAGAGACCATGAATAATGATGCGACCATCGTTGTGACAGCCCATCCCATGACAACTTTTGGTGATTATGATTCTGGGAGGGATAAGAAAGTGCCTCAACAGAATGCCTGTTCCAATAATCATCACATTCCAGCTACGAGATCACGTTCTTCTGCTCTCATTAACGCAATTCTCATTAAGAAATTGGAAGAAGGCAAATATCAACAACCTCCAATCAAAAGTCCCGAAACTCCACATACTGAGACAGCCAGACAATTAATGTTTCATGATGTTGGACTATTTGGGTTTGATCCTCGTTCCCCAACCCCAGAAGTTGCAAGAACGCCAATCAAAAAACAAAGTGCAATTCTCACGGGAGACCTAGAGGCAAGAGAATTGAACAAATTTATGGAGTTGAGTGCCATTCCATTTGACGACGACCATTTAATGCTACACTCTCAAACTGCATTCACCCCAACGGAAAGTAACATGATATCATCAGGAAGAAGTATTATGGAAGATGATGGTGACGAACACAACGAATATGCACCTGCCAGTAAGGAAGACACTCCAAAATCCTCAAAAAGAGCTCCTTACGTGACCGATCTTTCGAGTGATGACTTGATCAACACCTTTGTCTTGCCATCGCCCATTCTTGCATTTGATCCTAATAAGCAACGTAAATTACAACCCAAAGACAACAAGGAAATCTATGACATACCCATTTTGAACATTGATACAAATATTGATATTACAGTCAAAGATCAGCTCACTGAAAAGCACCAAGAGACTGTAGTGGAGTCTAATGATGCACCATCTACACAAAGTGCACTAGATTTAGGACCAACAATTCCTACGGAGATTTGTATACTTCACAAAGAGGACGATTTTGAAATACTGCCACACGACCTCAACCGTATGGAACCAACGAAAGGTCAAATAACGGCCACAGCAACAACCATGAAAAAACTTCCTTCCCTTAAACCAGTGCCCTTTAATACCCCCCAACCATATAATGGAGGCTACATGTCACCCTCTCCCTTACATAGAGCAGCTGCCACTAATTCATCACCATTTGGTAGTCACACCGTCGGTCAAAGCTCAGAAGAAAGTGTTTCATCAAACTCGGATGCTTCAAGTAGTACAGTAAGTTCGGTGTATGCCACTCCAAAAACTCCAACCAGTAATGACAACAAGGAAAATTCAACCAAAGAAGACCCTATTTTCACAAACATGGCTGTCATTACAAATAACGGGGCCAAGTTTTTACCAAAGCCAACCAAAGAGGTGTCATCAAGAACAAATCATAGAGATCATGCAGCAGCAACAAAAGTCGCCACTAAAATCAATCAACATAGTTCCTCAAAAAAGGCTAACAAGAGTCCTTTGGGAGATATTTCCAACAAGTACAATAATTACATTAGATGATGAGTGACAAGTTCGAAGAGAATAAATGTTTTCAATGGTTGTCGCTGAGCTTTTCTAAATCAAGTAAATTTCGAAGGAAGTTTCAAACACCATATCGGTAATTGTTGGAATCTATCGTAAACAGTTTTTTGGCGCCACAAAACGTTGCTTTAAAAAAAAATATAGTCATAATGCTCAAACAAACGACGCAACAACAAGTTGGTTCGCATTGCTCGGTGTTTCAAGTGGAGCAACGTTTACCTCATAGATATCCCTATAAAGAGATACCGTTCAATGAAAGAGTTCAAAACGTCGTTTATGATTCATTCGGATATTTGGGTTTGCAACGAAATATTGACATGATCAAAGATAGCAAATTTTCTAATGAGGAACGAATTAAATCATTGAAACTTATATTCAACTCGTGTATTAACCCGGATATGAAAGCAAGAGCCATCACTCAATTTAAGATTGTAGATGCCTTACTATATCTTTTCGGAACAGATTTTCAAAATTCAATAGCCACCATATCGCATAGAATATTGCTCAATGAATGGGCAAGCAAAATTGTTCATTCCTTAGCTAGCATTTCAACTTTTAAAGAGGCCTTAAAACCGCTAATTTATCCTTTACTCACAGTGATCACTGGAGACATCATGAAGGGCTCCAGCACAAAGCTCAAGCACACCACCCACTATAGAGACAAAGTGGCAGCAGCTCAAGCTCTTCATCAGTTCAGTCTTTGTCATGCAGGATGTAAAGTTCTTCTCTCGTACGACATGGAGCGGAAAGATGACAACAAAATTTTGGACGTTCTTATTTACACTATGAGCAATTCCACCAGCGAGCTCTTAATCGAATATTGTGTCAAAACGGTTTCAAGTATGTGTGAGTTAAATCCAAACGCAAGAGACAAAGCAGCAAGTTTAAATGTTGTAAATTCGTTGAATACTTTGCTCGATATGTTTGAAATGTATCCAATCTCTCTGACAGCCAATGCGTGTCTACTAGTGTGGAACGTATCTTTGGATGGACAAGGAAAGCCATATTGTAAAGAGCTCATACCCAAACTAGGGCGTGTGATCGAGTACGCTCTGAAAAATGTTGATACCATTGACCTTGAGAATATTTCAGAGAATGATACTTTTGCCATTGACCTTTTAGCCTCACTACAATATTGTGTGGGTGCCATGTCGTCCATCTTGGTCTTTGAGGAGAGTAAAATTTTGCTGACCAAGAATGTACATTCAGAAGACAATAGAAGGCAAGAAATCAACTCAGTGACCTTACTGTGTAGGAGTTTGGTTGCTCTTCGAGACCGCAGCTCAATGCTTAATCAATTGGCTTTCAAACGTTATTGTGAGTATGGCTCTGCTATCGAGAGAAACATTCTATCCACGATAAAACTTGGAAGTGAGCTACCACGAGTTCGAGACTCATTCTCGAAAATACTAAAGCAACATACAGATAGTGAAAGCTCAAATCATTCATTATTCGATTTTGTGTACCGTGACGAGTCACACTTGTTTTATCCCACCTCATTATAAATTCTCCTTAAAGAATCTTGTCATTCTTTCATAATATTGTTCTGGTTCTGATAACATTAAGATGCAATGATCCTTACACTCTGAAAATGTATGTTTTTGTTCCTTACTGTTCACATCACCATAGTAGGTGGAAACTTTCAAATGATCAAGTTTTGAAGCTAACGCGCTGCATCTCTCTGAGTTTTGCATGGGCACCAGAATGTCAGATTTTGGATGATCAAAATGTATGGCTGCCTTGTCAAATGTTTCATGAGTTGTGTTACCATTCTCCGTGCTTTCTACTCTTGTTTTCCACAATCTAAATGCATCATTCAAAAATGGCGGATAACTATGGTGGGGATGATTAGGTTTCAACATTGATCCAACCATTTCGATGGCTGGCCACAATAAATATCTAGCAATTTTCATTCGTAATGAATCCAATTCCAACTTGTCATTGTGACCGACAAGATAACCCAACACTCGATACAGATTCGATTGCAATGTAAATTCAATATCACAAGCTGGGCTATCCAAGAACATGGCTCTAATAGAATCACTTGGATTTGATTTCAAATACGCAGTCATGATCGTTGCTCCTCCTTTTGACAATCCATATAATCCGACATGTTCATAGCCGTACTGTGATTTTACAAAATCAATAGCTCCTAACAAGTCTGCATACTCCAAACTTCCATAAGTACTATACGACTTGTTTGGAAGTATGATGCTTGGATATTCCTTGTCTGATTGGCCATGATTTCTATATTCAAACGTGAAAAAATCATATTCACCATTCGGGAAGGCATTCAGCATCATTTGAAGAGGAACCATGATGGTATAATGATTCAATCTCATTCTGAATCCATGAACCAAAATAATAACCTTTTTAGTGTTGCCAGTACTAGCTGCTGAACCATGTTTGATGATTCGATAAAAACGTCCATTAAGGTTCACCCGATACGGAATATCTGGCGTTACTCGACTCGTGAAGGACACATTTTTAATTTCAATTTGCTCTTGGTTGGTCGTGAGCTTGTGCGAGAGGGATTGTAAAAATTCACTATTCGCAATGGAATGTTTCCAATCACTGCAATTGATATAGGTCTGAACGTTGAAAATTGAATTTTCTCTTGATTTTAAATATCCTTCCGTGTAGAACTTGTCCGAGAGTGAGAACATGGCATGATACATGAAATGACCCAAAATCAAGTAGAAAGTAAAGAGAAGAAGAAGGATGAGAATGAGTGTATTCCGAATGCATGAGGATGATGATGAGAGGTGTTGTTGTTTTAATGAATTCGGATTAGAGGTATTGGGTGCTGATGAGGTCATGATGATGTTATTACAGATTAATAATGAAAATTGTGGACAAGTGAAAGTATGAGTACACAAGTATGGAACCCGACAAGTCAAGGATTGTGAATGAACAAAACAATTGTTGTTGGGATGACAGAAATTCACTCACACGCGTGTAGATTCTCTCAAGAATTTTATCAACGTATGAAGGACCTGAGGTGTTGTTTTGTTTGTGTTGAAAATTTCCTTCTTTTTCTCCGCTTGTCATCCAGTTCGATTGGCTTCAGTGATGAATACAACAATGCGTTTATTGCCAGCCACAGCATAGAATACAAATTCTTGATAAGGGATGCAAGTCATCTGGGAGAAGTCTCTCAATCAGAGGCTTCCTTGTCACCTTCTCCTCCTTCTTCATCGTCACCACCTTCTTCGTCATCATCATCGCCTCCAATTCTCAGTTCAATACTCACACCAACAGCATGATAGAGATAGGATGCAACAAAGCTGACAAGTGCTGCAATTAAAGCAGCTCTCAATACTGTTGGATAGTGATACTTCCAAAATGTTACCTTTCCATCGAGAGCAATTTCTAAAGCATCGATGAAATCCATGGTGTAACTGTCCATTTCAGCTTGAAGATGAGCAATTTCAGACAATAAAGAGTCACGTGTTTCTCTCAAATTCTCCAAATGAAATTCTTGTTGTTGGAGTCTGGAATTGAGAGATTGAACCACTTCTTCGCTTTTGGCATATTTAAACTCATTCTTAATGTGAGAAATCATCATTTCACAATGCAAAATATCGGATTCATTGGTTTCCTTCTTCATTTCCAGTGCATCAATTTGATATTGCAATCGATTGACCTTTTGATTAAACTGTCTTTCACAAATATCAAAATGATCCAACTCATCCTGAAGCCGATCAATTTGTCTTTTTATATTTGCTTGTTGAACATCATAGGAATAGTATGATTTCAATGATGCCAGTCTCTCTTCCAAATCCTTTCTGTATTTTTCATAGATATAATATGTTTTGCTGAAATGAAGTCTATTTACATTATTTGCCTCCACGTTCGGAACGCCTCCTGTGCTTCCGCTGTGATGAGCCAGCGAGGTATGAAAATTATGTAATTGTTGATGCCTCATCAAACAAAGAGTATTCGTTCCATCATGATTATGATTAAAAATGGTTTGATTCTTTGTAGTCAGTACTGAAAAAGCAGGACTGATCTTGTTGTGGCGATGAGCTACCGCTCGCGATGAAGAGCCAACCAACGAAAGAAGCCTTTGTGCCAAATGTGTGTTTCTCATTTTTTTAACTCAAAACAATTTCAAGAAGGAATCAGAAAAGATAGAATAAATATTATGTAAGGTAAAACAAATTGTCAGATACTGAAATTACGTACACATGGAGATCAAAATGAATCCACTCTCTGGAACCATCACTTTTCTCAATCTGCATTTCTTTTGCGTAATGTTTGACATTATGAAAAGGCATTGAAGGCTCTAGCCCAAATCAAGAATTTAAATTTCAACCACAAAAAAATTGAGAGATCCTTTCACTCTCGAAAAGTCGTTGCAGCAACTGGACACCTATTAATACAAGGAAGATCACCGAGTATTTGTTGAGTCCTCCATTCTCTCTCTTTCGACTCTATTGTGTGAAAATAATTATTAGATTTGATCACTCTGAAAATATTTGCATCTAGAGAGAGATCATCCAACTCTAAAGAACATGCTTGTGGTATTGTCACATTCCAATTTATCCAAAAGCCACTCCTATTGATTGATCACACACTCATGAAACATTCAAACACCCAAAAAAAGAAAAGTCACTCACAACAACCATCACGATCATCGTCCCTAACCTCTCAGAGCTGTACCACTATTTCTTCTAATACCAGTACTGCCACAGAAAAGTCTACTACCTCAAGAACAGCAGATCCAGACGATTCCTCATTCGTCGTCGCTCCTCTCTCTTCAAACCACAACATCAACAACAACGATCCAACATCCACGTGGATGATCAACAGCCCAAGCACAGCCAGTTCATCCCACAAATCGCAAGTAGTTGTTGAACTTTCAGGCCATAACCCTCATCCACAACATAGCTCTCATAATAATCATAACAATAATCATCATCATAATAGTTCTTCTCATCATCATTCAGCACAAGGTTCATCATCAAGGCTTAATTCCACCTCCAACAACAACCGAAAAAAATCAAAAAATTCTCAGAGTCGTCTTGTTGTTCCTTCAGCAGCACAGACGAATAATCCTTCTTCATCGGAACAAGAGAAACAACAGGAACGACCAGTGCAACAACGAAGAAATTCTAAAACAACAAAACTTGGAGGGGGTGGCTATCAACAACAACAACAACATCATTCTTCTGCATTAAATTCAAGCCATAAACAATTATTGCGGAGAGTTCAAACAAGGATTACAACTGAGGATTATTCTCAAGATATCAAGTACAGAGATTTAGAAACGAATGAACACTATGATTTGAAATTAAATATGAAAAGGACAGTGATTAATAATATGTTGGAGATTTCCACTGAGATGAATCGGAGAGCTCAATGTAAGTATACATATTGAGATTTAATATTTAATTTTTGTTTGTGGACAAATCATTATGGAACGCGTATCAAAACACGTCATGTTATCAAGACCTGATGAAATATATCGGATTTGAAATTGACAAGACGTGTTTTTATGACACGGAAGTTAAAAAAGGTTATGTCTTGCATGAACATATCGCTGAAGTGAAACATGAACTGTCTCAGAGTCAAGGAAAACGTGTACCAAAGGAAATGTTTGTACATTACCCAAATGACCCTAGTAGGTCAGTATCCATGTGTGACACAGACGGAATGTCAAAGTTGCTGGATCACATTTTACATTCCTATATATCCAATTACATGGTATGCCCAAAGTGCAAATCTGTTAAAACTACAAATCCAATCGTTGTTGATAATGATCAACAACAAAACATCTTAAACGAATTTAAGGAGAATTATAACGAAGAACTAACAGAGACTCAAGAACGTCAACTTATTGAACGATTGGATGATTTTACATTTTTCACAATTCAGTGTAGAGATTGTGGACACATTGAAAAGATTGAAAATGCAAACACCTCTGATCAATTTATTAAGCAAATATTTCAGTCGAGACAGAGAAATATGACCAAATCTCTCAAGCAACATCACTCCAATGAAAACATTTCACACCAATCGGAGCAAGTAGAACTCGGAACGAACACCGATTATTACCCACCAATGTATGGCTATCCACCAGATCAACGTCCTCATTATTATTACATTCCGCCTTATTATCCCACTTCAAATGTGCTTCCACAAACGACAACAGCAGATGTGTATCATCATCAAGGAAGTGGAGGATACTATCCACAATTTTATCCCAATTATTACCCTTATCCTTATTATGTACAACCTGTATATGCTATTGCTCAACATGCTCCATCATATATTAACAGTAACATGAGCTCTGTCAATGGTGCAAGTTCTTCCTCTAGTCATCAACCAAACACTTCAAGTTTTGGTGGAGGATCATCGTCGTTTAATAGCTCAGGATCGTCCTCTGGAACTATAGAATTTAACCCAAGTTACAAAGCTGCTGGAATAATTCCCTATTCCATACATGATGGAAAAGTATACTTTTTATTGGGAAAGGAAAATAGAGGAGGTAAAGGCGACATTACAGTTTCTAATGTGTCACCACCAACAACAGAGAAAGAAAGTCCATACAACGTTGCCAAGAAACTTCTTACATGGTCTGAATTCGGTGGAAAACGTGAGAAATTCGATCCTAGTCCTTTGCACACGGCTTCAAGAGAGTTTCTTGAAGAAACAAGAGGATTATTTGGAGATGTTCTTGAAAAACTTGCTTCATTTCAAGGAAAATACTTTGCCAATGGAAAGTATTACGTGTACATGATCGAGTTACCATTTATTGATCTTGAAGAAGACTTTGCAAACTCGACACTTGTAGACAATGATCATTCCAGAACCGAAAAAGCAAGACTCTCATGGATTGATGCAGACAATTTGATACACAGACTTTATGTTCACTCATCAAAGTATTATCATGAAAATGGTCTTCTTAAAGTTTCAGTGAATGGCTCGGACCATGATGAATTCTTGCATCCGTTTGCCTTGGCTTTGTTTCGGTTTATGAAAACAGAAGTATTGGCTATCATGGAAAAAGCTAAAATGCAAAGCAAGCAATGAAGAAGGCGGAAGTGCCGTGTTAATTGTTGGATATATTTTTGAAATTTAATTAAAATTGAATGGCATTTTCAATGAGTGTATCCACAATCTGTTCCTGTGAAATACCTCTCAAATCTTCCAAAATTACAGACGTATCTACACTAGTTTCCATCGAACCTGAAGTTGTGACATCTCTCGAAGTGGTTGTTGAGAAGAGAGTTGGAATGAGCAATGTTGTCTCTTCATACACGGGTGGCAACAGTGGCTTTTCCATTCCACTGAACACAATTTCTGTTCCAGTCTTTTTAGCTGCACGTACCATTTGGGATTCTTTGAGAACTGTCTTATAGAGCTTGACTGTTGGTTTCTTTTTCACCATTGTCTCTACAGAGGATAGTCTCGACAATTCGTTTGTAATCTTCTTAACTTCGGTAATGGATTTGCTCTTCTCATACTCAAATTTCTTCTTTCTGACAGAAGTTGTTGTTGTTGGACAACGAGTGACATTTCCAAGTGCTGACAATCGATACGCGTAACCAGTATCAAACAATCGAATCACATCAAACTTCTTTTCCTTTTTACCCTTCTTTGATTCTTGTTTTTCATCATCTTCATCTTCATCAACTTCAGGAGTCAACACAGTATCTGTGAGCATACATTTTGGAACTGTTGGACAAAGACCTCTCATGAGTCGATCACTAAACTTTTTGCTCAATGTGAACGTATCCTCTTCCACGACATTGTAAGCATTTTGTAATAATTTCAAATCATATCGATACTTGTCAAGTAAATGAAGTAAAATTTGTCGATACATGGAAAAGTCAGCTTTTGCGTTTTCTCTTGTGAGTTTCTTCAAAATTTCTGGAATGGGCATACTTCCAATGGCAGATAAGACCACCACTCTCAGGAATTTGAGTTGAATGAGTTGAAGCCACAATTTGGCCAAATTATGCATTTGATTGGATTTTTCTTGTTCTAATTTGCTTCGCTCAATAATTTCTTGAATTTGTCGTTGTAAATCTTTTTCTTTTTTCAATTGGAGTGAAATGTATTTTTTCATTCGTTCAATTTCTTTGGAAATATCCTTCTTTTCTTCTTCGTCTTGTTGATCTTTCAACTCTTTTTCCTTTTCAAGCAATTCTTGTTCTTTGGTTTTTCTCAAATTCTTGGTTTGTTCAATTTTTTGTTTGATTCGATCAATGTCACTCTCCTGAGTTGCCTGAAGTCGTGAAGAATCAGAAGAATTTTCATCATCTGTATCCTTCTTGGAATTGCCTGAAGAAGAATCGACATTACTCAATCGATAAGATTTGTAATATTCGCTAAATGGAACGTTGAACTGATCCATCAATTTAAACCAAAGTTGTTTCACTTGCTTTTCGTCTACTGTCTTTCGTTGTGTATTTCTTCGACACATGGAAATGGCGACAGCAAGTTCTTTACGAATCTTTTTAGATTCTGGTAAATCTTCGACTTTGAGAGCAACAGGTCCACGTCCAATAAATTCATCATCTAAACCATAATACAATGGATTGGTAGCGGGTTGTTGTTGTTGATCAGAAGTGTTCTGTCCAGAAGTACCATCCTTGTCATCGGATGGTGTTAAAATGGAGGGTGGGATGAGCCCCTTCTTGATGAGTACATTCTTTCTAATTTCGAGATATTTATCGAGAGGAATGTCGTCCAAATCGATCAAACCTAACACACTTTCCACATTAAAGAATTTACCATCCTTTTCTGCGAGTTCATCAAATTTCTTGGAAGTCATGTCAGTGCCTTGGATGCGTTCTCTCTCTTTCACATCACGAATGTGACGATACTTGCTGAAACGATAATTGTTAGGATCCAGAATTTGTGCAACTTGTGAAAGACAATCTTCTAAAATACTGGTCTCGCGTACAATATTCTTGAGGACAATATTTAAAGCTTCCATCACTTCACCATTTCTTTCCAACAAGAAACTGACTGCATCTGGAATGTTCCTACAATATTCAAGAATGTCTTCTGCCTTTTCTCCTGGGAATTGATGGGTTTGAAGCCAGTCACATACTCTATGTGGTTCAAATTTACACAAGAGTCTAATGTATTGGTATTGCAGTTCCATATCAACTTCAATTTTAGCTCGTGACATGTTTGAATAATAGGCATTGGCAGATTCACCAACTTTGGAACTACTGTCCAATATGTCCGAGTTATTTCCTTCATAGATGTTAATAATTTTAGAAAGATAGTTGAATAGTAATCTTTCATCTTCTACATTCTTGATGCTTGAAGTAATGAGTGCGTTGAGAACTTGTGGATGGATGGTTGGGAAATATTTCACAATGAGAAGAGTCATTTCCTCACTGTCAGCTCTCATCAAATCAAGTAAATGGTCAAGAATGGCATCATGAATATAAATGCTGACCACTTCACTGTCGTTTGCCAATTCAGAAATGTATTCAAAAACTGGAACCTGTGGCTTGCTATGACCAATGGATTTTTTCAATTTCAAGTCATCAATAAAGTTCTTAATGACTGCCTTGTAATCTTTCTTCTTTCTATTCAAATACACAGCAACGTCATAACAATTATTTTCTTGAGCAAAATCAATTAATCGGACCAAAATGGCACTAATCGTTTGTTCGTTAGAGCTCTCAAGTTTTTCTAAAATTCGAATCACAATTTGTTGACGGTGCTCCTTGAAATCGTATTCTTTCACTAAATATTGTTTTCGTTCTTCAAAGAAAGCAGATTGTTTCATGAGCTTTTCAAGACTATCTTGTCGACTTTCCATTCCGAAAAATGAAACCTTTGTTCCTTCTTTGCTCTTTTTTAGGTCACTGGTAGCCTTTTCATGCTCTTTGAATTGTTTGAGTAATTCTTTAGTTTCGTAACTTGTCAACACTGTGTCGTGACATAGATGAGTGTAAATTCTCTTAATTTGGCCCTTGTCTTCAGAAAGAATATTTCTTGCAATCATTTCTCCTAAAAATTCGTACAAATACTTCTTTTCTTTCAACGAGAAGATTGGTCCATCTAATTCAATGTCTAGCTCTCCTTGTGGAGGATCTAAAACAAAGTTTTTCATGGCTTCAATCAACTCTTCCTTTTTCAATTTTGGCACCCACTTCTTGATCGCATTGCTTCCTTCATTGACACAATCAGCAAACGAAGTAATTACAAAATCTTCGAGAATGTTATCTCTATCGTCATCTTGATCTTGCAAAGGACATTTGATAGGTTTTGGGAAGTTGACATAGAACGGAGAGGTGTCAATTCCTCTTTCAACTTGTAATTCTTCAAAGTATAACTTTAGCACTTCAAAAGTATCCTTTGGATTGAATTTGATCAATTTCTCAAGATTCACGAGTGCTACTTCAGTACGAAGACCTTTTCTCTGAGATGATCCAGACTCTCCTTGTAAAATCTTGGAGTGTGACATTCGACTTTGTTCAAAAATGAAATCAATAATCAACCGTTTGACCTTTCTCAAAATATCAAAATCAGTGATTTGATAAGCATCTGTGAAAATCGTTCCATTGGTAATTATATTATAAAAGTATTTGAGAATAGCGTCAGCTTTTTCTTGAGACTCTGGAGAACCCAAATCTGAAAGACTCACTTCTTCCAAATATGTTCTAACAGGACCAATAAAGTCCTTCTTCAAAATGCAATGGGCATAAATGTTCATTCTGCACATGGTATGATCTTTGTAACTGCACAAATCTCGAATAGTATCAAATGGAATGTCTAACTTGCTAATATCCAAGTTGAGAATAATGTTTTCAAGTTTGCTTAATCTTGCTTTCTGAGAGAGATGAGTAATGGTTGGAGTTTCTGATTTGAGTGACTGATCAGAATCGATACCATGGTATTTAATATAGCGTGAAAGATCAATTAGACCCTTTTCTCCAGTCTCAGAATCAGCACTTGATGTGTAGAGATCTTTGATTTTCATGAATTGTGACTTGATAAATGCATACGATGCTTTCTTGGAATCGATGGTCATCATTCTTGAAAGAGCTCCATTCAAAATTAACTCTTCAACAAGCAATTGAAGGAAGATGTGATCATAACCGTGGTGCTCAAAGGATAAGAAGGTTCCCTCGATCAATTCAATGTTGTTAATTTCAATAGCTCTTTGAAGACAATTTCTTGCAACTTGAACCAACATTTCCACTTTGGAATGTGTCAATCCGCTGTCAAGTTCAAGTTGATGAAGCTTGGTATCTCTGTAATCAACAAGAATTGAAGAAATCAACGTGCTCACTGCCTCATGTCGTTGAGTTTCATCCTTTGTTGGAAGACCGATCAATGCACCAATTCCACTTGGATCATTAAACATTTCAACAGACATGTTCAATGCTTCTTCATACTCTCCAATGGATTGTAATGCTACAACCCTTTCATCCCATGATAAACAACGCATAGCTCTCAGCTCTGAGGCGCCCAATAAATAAATAGTAGGACTCTTGTGTTTGACTGTCACAGCTGTACCACCATAGTAGGCACGATACATTTCAGAAGCAGCACTGTGAGTCGTACTTGGCAAACTGATCGTATCGTCGTCAAGAGAACCTCCGGTGTAAATCGATCGAAGCAAGCTTTGTGTGTTAATAGAGGAGTGACGCAGAATGTCAATATATTGGAAGGATGAAACATCATAGGCACCGCGAATGAATGCACCTCCATAGTGAATTCCATACTTCTTCTTGAGATTAATTGGAACATTCATCATTGGGTCAGAAACATAGTCCAACATGAGATCTTTACAATTCACTTCTTCAATCCAATTTGTGGAAGATTCAAGTTTTCTATCAATGAGCAACATTTTTCCAAGTTTAGAGTCAAAAACAATAAATAAATCATCAGTCAACCAATGAATTTGTTCGACAGGGAACGGAACAAATATTTCAGAAGCAAAGTAAACGTTAGGTAAATCACTGGAGGATCCACTTTGGCTTGAAGTAACATCTCCTCGATCACTCGAACTGTTTCTTCCAGAATTTCCAAAGTTAGATGAAGAATTTGATGATCCAGAATTGTTATTTGAAGTACCAGAACCAAACATCATACTGAAGAAACCAGACGCTTGTTGAACTTCAACATGATAGAAGGCAATTCTATTGCCCCATGCAACAGCCAAATAGGGATGGCTTTGATCGTTCAATGACACGCTTAGGCCCCTGTGTTCGCCATCCACCATTTGACTTCCTTTCCATGCAATTTTTGGTGAAATTTTCTTTCTGGCATTGAAAGATCCACTCGAAGTTGAGGACCCACTGGAGGCATCCAACACACTATTGTTGTAGAGAGTTGCCAATTGTCTGGAATTTGGTTTCACAGAGTGAATAATCACTTCTGAATCAGTTGTGACAGCCACTAGGACAAATCGATCAAGAGGATGTCTGCCCTCTGATTTTGGAAGCAAATGAATGTCTGAAAATCGAGCGAGAGTCTTTTCTTGTTGTTGTTTTCTTTCATATTCAAGCATGCTTCGTTGTTGTTCAGCAGTTAAGGTTTCTGTAACCATGACTTGTCCTTCATCGTCAGTCTTCAATAATTGTGAGCTACTTGGTGAAGCTGGAACTTCTTTTGGAATGTTAGCCCAGTGAATGGGTTGAACGTCCACATAATAGGCAAACATAATTTTTCTCACATTGAAAACTTTCATTCTTCCGCTTGTATCAACTGCCAAAAATTCAATCGAGTTGTGTTGCTTGCTTGTCTTGTGGAAATTGACAATTTTGTGAATAGGTCTCTTAAAATATCCCTTCAAAGGTTTCACAGGTTTAAATGTTGATAAATTCCAAATATTGATAGACCCATCTGAATGTCCGCTCACAAGTACACGTGAAGTCTGTGAAAGCACTTCAATATTTTCTTCTCCGTCTCCTTTATGGTCACCGTTGTTAGGATCGAGAGCAGATGGATCCTTCATATTTGCTGTTCCTGTTGCAGCATTCACAGTGAAATCTTCTTGATCACTTGAAATTTTATAATACAACAAGAGAAGATCTTGTTCTGATTTGGCTCCATATTCCTCATAGGGTAAATTCATCTTGGAACCAAAATCCATGGTTGTGATTTGAACTGGTCGTTCAACTTTGGATCCATTGTTATTAACAATTTCCTCCATTTGAATGGAGCCCATAATTGCTAAACGGCTCTCAGTTTTTCTGTGATAGAGAGCAATGAGCCCGTTCGTTGTACCGACTGCAATATACTTGCTGTTCACACGAATGATGGAAGGAAGACCAATTTTTTCCATGACAATTTTGTTTGCCAAATCTTTAAAAACATGTCGATATTCAATTTGACGGAAAACTTTTCTGGCACGTTGCATGTGACTTTCATGTTCCACTTGTTTTTGAAGTTGAGATTTTTGATTGGAATCTTGAGCAATGGAGGACAAGTCTACAAACGATCCAGAAAATTGTTGTTGTTGTGTATCAGTGGAATCGTGTGGATCCTTTGAGGAGGAAGCACTAGCGGATGCCTCAGAACTTCCTTCCATCATTTTCTGATGTCTTTCTTTTTCTTTTTTCACAAAATCTCTCACTTCCTGAACCGCACTTGCTAAATTGGTTGGTTTCAATTGAAATTCATGACTAAGAGCTTCATCTCTCTGAGAAACATATCGTCTCTGAATAGTACTATAACTTGTGAGATCCTCAAAAAGTTCGATGTCAATAGGTTGATCATTTCTTTCAAAAGCAGGAGGTTTTGCAAAAATAAGTCCTTTCTTCTCATCAATTTGTGAATTGGGATCATCAAACAAGTCACGAATATTAATGTTTTCATCTAACAATGGAACCTTATCGTGTCTATCCAAGGTTTGCATCAACACTTGTAATTTATCCAAAGTAATGTGTTTCACTTTCTTTCCATCACCATCGTCTTCATCATCTCGTGAAGATTTCAAAACTCGTTTTCTCATTTGTGAACTGGTCAAATCATTATCTTCACTGTCCAAGAAGGCAAGTGGTGGTTGTTGAGAAGATGCCATATTGGAAGAAGAGGCAGTCGGACTCTCATTTTGTCCTCCAACATTGTTACTACTACCACCACTACTGCTACTACTACTACTTCCAGCAATATTCTTCATCAATCCACTAATCAACTTTTTAGAGAGAATTTTTCCTTGAGATTCCGTTAAAAGTGAGGCTTGTTGTTGTTGAGGTGGTTGGGATCCTTGTTTGGATGATGAAACATTTTTAATCACTTTGAATCCACTACTACCACCCGATGAGGAGGATGGTGAAGAAGGTGATCGTACCTGAACGGTGGTCGAAGAAGTAGGTGGTGAGGAGGATCTTGGGATGATGGGAGTGTTGAAGGGTTGGGCACTCAATGAACTCATGGCTCGACTTGATGATGGCTCTTGCATCATCATTTGAAGAGATGAAGTCGTGATCAGAGAAGGAGTGTTCATGGATGATGAAGGAGAGCTGATACCACTACTAATGGTACTCAATGGAGGAGAGGAAGCAGCACTCGATGATGAAGGTGTACCAATGGAGAGTCTGTTATTATTATTACTTTGACTCGTTTCAAGAACGTTGGAAGTTGGTTTTGGAGTACTGGAATTGGCTCCACTTCTGATCTTGATGTTACCTTTTGAAATTCTTCGGATGTGTTTCGTGTCGTCTTCTGGGATGAGTGTGGGTGTACTCGCTCCAACAATAGGGGTAGCAGTGGATGATCTGAGTGTTGTGCTGGTGTTGGAGGGAGTTGTTGTACCACTGCTACTGGAAGTGGTGGTTCGTACCACTGGTTGTTGATCTTCGTAGCCATCATCTTCGTCTAGGAAGGACAAATCATCACCACTCTGTTTGCTCATTTTTTTTAATTTGAAGTGACAGTTGACAGCGATTCAGTGTTTCACGATAGGTTCTGAAAACTTTTTTACTGTAGTGTTGGAAATAATTAGTTTCAAAGGTCAAAAACCAAATCATTAACAACATGTCAATTCAACTTTATGAAAACAGAATTTTGTTTTAAAACAAATTAAAAAAAAATGAAATACAAATACACATTGTCGTGGGATCATTTACTTCAAGCCATTCAAATTCAAAATGAAATTTTGGAATGGTCGGATCAAGAAAGCATGAAAATATCCAGTAATGGTAATCATTCAACACCTCAAGTGATGATAGAATATTATAAAACTTTGTTGGATCAATGTATGAAATTTTTAGGAACTATTCCAGAATCACTATCATCTTGTAACAACAAGGAAAATGAAACTGACAACATGTTGAAGGATCATCTTTGTCATCACTGGCATAAAACATGGAATGAATTATTATGTCAATTTCATGATATTCATCGCCAAGCAACGGCCATCACAATCACCACACAAAGTGTCCAAACATTGAGAACCATGTTATGTGATTTGTTCAAATCAACAAAACAAGCATCTGCAGAATATCTTTTTTCTGAAGCAATTACAACCTTAAATTTTGAATCATCTTCCACCTCTTTCTTTGAAAATCAATTCCAAAATATTCAGCAGATATGCAGTTTAATGGAGAGAAAGTTTCGAAACAGAATTGTAAAACTCTCTCAACATTCAATGTTGTATGGTGTACCTCTCCCTACTCAAGGAGAAGAACAGCACTCCGCTTGCAACCCCACATCCAAGGTTTTGTCTCAAAGTGAGACAATTATGGCATGTATTTATGCAAGTTTCATTCTACACGACTGTGAAATGAAAATTGAAGCGCATAGCATAGTCTCCATTCTTAAGGCTGCAAACATTGAAATTCCTGAAATTTACGCAAACATCATTGCCAATTACTTTGGTAGAGAAAACAACTCTGTCTTGAAACGAGTGTTGGAATTGAGTTGTGCAAGCTCCATATTAGAGCAAGTAGTGGCGTATGGCCCTCAAACAAAACGAGGAGAATCTAATGACAGTATTCGCCATGAGGAAAAGTATGGCATACCTAGCTCGGACGAGGAATTTGGATTGAATGAATTTTTCTAAGGTAAGGTTTCACCTAACACTGTTGCTCGAACGAAGTCTTTTTTAAGAGAAACAGAAGAATTCTTGGTTGTAAGATAACAAAGATTCAATGCCATCTCTCTTGTCTCTCATCGTTTTGTTTCTGAAATGATAAATAATAAAACTTTCACATCATGAACAACAACAGAAGACGTTTCTTTGGGGATCAACAAGTTCAAGAAAAAAAATGAGCGACAACGAAATGGAAACCACAACAACAAGCGAACAACAAATTAGACTTCCTTTGCTGCCCTTTGCTCAACCTCTTGTTACATCCGAGAAGGACGTGAGCAAACTTTTCAAAGTAATCTCTAAAGCTGTACAATCAAAGGAGAAGAATGTTTTGCATAGAGGAATAAAGAATGTGAACCGAGCCATCAGAAAGAAAACAAAAGGATTTGTTGTGCTAGCCGGAGACAGCTATCCAATGGACATCATTTCTCACTTCCCAGAGCTCATCAAAGCCACCGAAGGAGTGGAATTTGTTTTTGTGGAATCAAAAGTTGAATTGGGAAAGGCTACTCTCACAAAGAGACCTGCGTGTGCCATCATGGTTGCCGAGCCACCAAAAGAAAGCAAATTACATAAATATTACAAGAAGGCAAACAAGGTTGTGTCGAGTGCTCAACAACAAGAATAATTATTATTATTAAATTTTGCTAATTAAATTTATTTTGAAATCGTGATGATGTCGTTTTGGTGTCTCCAGAAAAAGAAAAAATGAGTGTTGTATTGGGAAAAACCTTAAATACATCTACGACGACATCAACAACCCTTTCATCAGCGTCGTCCTTGTTAGAGATGGAAAATTCTTTAACTAATGAGCTTGAAAGGCTTCAACAAAAATCGAAAAAAGCCAAGAAGAATAGCATTTGGAGTTCGTTGTCGAAACATCAAAAACTCGATTCTAAATTACAGGAGGGCCTCCGAGAGAGTTGCAACGTAATTTTCCTTGGTGATGAGAAGAATGGTCAAAGAAGTTTGATTAGAAGAGTACAAGGAAAAGAAATATCTGGTGAGGTAAGATCATTAATAATTATTTAGAACAAATTGCAATGTCAACTAAAATTGCCAGGTATATCATGACACTCTCTCGATAGAGTACACGTTTTTCAAAGTGACTGACTTGAATGGTGACCGTAATGATTCAGATTATTTGGAAACTAGAAATTATATGGACAAAGACGACAAATATTTGAATATCTATCATATGGAAAATCAACATTTTTCTTATTTATTGGATTTTGCTTTAACTGCCTCAAATCTTGAAAAGTCTATAGTCGTAATAACAGTCGACATCTCCAATGTCAAGGATATCATCTCAAGAACAAAAAGATGGATCAAAATTGTACAGGAACATGTTGCAAACAAAATTATACCAACAATGTCAGCAGAAGATTCACAAAGATGCTTTCAAAGAGGTATAGTATTCTGAAATAATTGACACCATTCAGAGTTGAACATCCACGCATTTAAAATTTACTAACCGTCTAGTTAAGGACAATTTTAAGAAAGGTCAATCACAATCTGTAAAAGATGCAGTAGATATTCCGGTGGTCCTTGATACAAATATTGGCATTCCAATCATAATTGCCGTTACCAAAAGTGATTTAATAGAGCATGTGGCAGACTCATTTTGTAACAGACGGACAGTGGTTACTTCAAGACCAGACCATTTCCTGAATTTTGTGTTGTACAAACTACGTAAGCTTGCTTTGAGATGTAAGTGTAAAGACATATCTTGTAAAATTTATTAATTTACGTGGTGTAGATGGTGCCTCCCTTTTCTACACATCTGCCACTTCTAACATTAACTGCCTCACACTTAAAAATTATATTTTAAACGTCTTCTTCAACACGCCTTTTTCATTTAGGGACTATGCCGAGTATAAGGATCATACTAGCATTGCAATACCTAGTGGTTGTGACTCCGCACCAAAGATTAAATCTATCGACTGCTCCACATTCACATCAGACCCAGAAAACACAGACTTAGACGCCACCCTTAATGATATATTCTTTGTTCAAGATTCGTTACAACAAAGCTCAACGTACATCGACAAAGATCCTGTTGTGGATTTAGAATCTTTCTTGAAAAAGCAGCAAAAGATCAGAAATATGATTCAATCAAGACCAATTGATAACGAAGGAGGATCATTGATCTCACCACTATCATCAAACTTGGGTTCTCCTGGACGTCACCAGAGACAAAAGAATACTGTTGCTCTCACTCCAAGAGCCTCCTCAAAGCTTAATGATTTACAAAGCCCATTATTACTCCCAACCCCGATTGCATCTGATTACTTTAATGAGCACAGCATGTTGTCTCAAAAGGGATCAGTAACTCCAAGAACACTAACCACGGCATTTACTACAAATGTAACACCTCCAAGCTCAGACCAAGTAGAAGTTGCAGAGCACTTTTTCACTTCCTTATTGCAGAGATACTCCAACAAACAAACTACACCAACTAAGAATTCACAAAATTAATAATTGGCATCTTTCGAAACAAGTTTTGTGAATAAAAATGCAACCTTCAGCACAGCCTTCTCCTCTCACTCCCAAAGCCATCTCATCAACATCGTCAATCACACCCACCAACACACCAATAGATCTCCACGACCCTGAATCGGATGCAGCTTTCAACTCTACCCCTATCGAATCACAAAGCACACGCCAACGATCCTTGTCAAAAACATCTTCCGTCGGAATGACAAGCCCTCGGAGTCAATACACTTCATCACACATGGATGATCATCACAACCATCCTCATATTCAACAATATTTACAACTAATGAAAGTACAACATAAATATTATGGCTCATCCTTGTCATCGGAATCCATGACGAATCACAAAGAAAATATTGAAAGTAGCACTGATGTGAATGCAACCACACACGACATTTTGTACTTTGTGATACATTCCATTGAGAAGGGCACTTGTTGGTTCAGTCAATCGTATGAAAAAGTAGAATTGTTACCGAATGCACAACGTTTGTCTTCTTCATCGACCAACAATTATCATGTAGACACAACCTCTCAACAAATCCCATCCGCACACAACAAGCAAATAATTTCACAAATTATGAATGGTGTTCATGAAGATTGGAAATCACAAAATAGTTTCACAATACCAAAAATTCTAGAAGATTCCAACACAACTGTGAACAGCTCTGTAACGAATGCCATTACCTCTTCTGGATGCTTTTTAAGGACCGTTAACAATGAATCTTGCATGATTATTTGGAAAATTCCACCAAAATCTTCCTTTTGTTTTTCACTAGTTTGTACATTGAGATGCAATTTACTACATGCAGAACATGCACTGAACCAAATCATTGCTCATACAGCTTTTAAGAAAGATGGAGTGACACCGATCGATCCAAGAGAGTTTCTGTTGAAACCTGAAGAAATTCTTTCAAAACTTCATCATCAAATGCCACATGGCAAATTAACTTTTCTCAATTTCACAAAAGGTAGTCAGTCGAACATGTATTCGTTTCTTCCAGATTTTGTTTTGAATTGAATCAATTACTCACCAAAGCAAAGACAAGCCAGACGCGGAAGCTGCGGAAAACAAAATTACATAAAAAAAATACAAAATGTTCGCTCAAGCCAGACCTCAAATCTATGTACTCAGTATGTATTATCGGTGATGATTACCCTGTTGGTTTTGTATAACTTACCACTATGCTATCTTTTTTGATGCAACCGTAATATTCTAATCATGTTCCGTTGCCTACTCCATTTGAATGTATTGGATTGTGTTGTATACACTTGCACATGATGATGGCTGTCATATCTTCCCATGACAAAATATGAAATCTACTCTTCAACTCTCTTCATCATGTCCGAAAATTTTTCTTCTCCAAATGATTTGTATTTACAACAACGACATTATGAACCTATCATGTTTACAACAACAACAACAATATTCTGCACCTGACCTTCTTCAATCCTTCTCCACTATTCACTAAATAGAGGGTAACTCCAAGAGAGAGCAAGGTGCAAAGGCTCAACTTGCCAATATCCAAGCTGCCAAAGCCATTGCTTCCATTGTGAGAACAACTCTCGGACCAAAGGCCATGCTCAAAATGATTCTCGATCAGATGGGTACTGTTCAACTCACTAGTGATGGTAATGCCATCCTCAGAGAATGCGACGTTACACACCCAGCAGCTAAGAGTATGATTGAATTGAGTAGAACACAAGACGAAGAAGTCGGTGATGGTACCACTTCAGTCATTATCCTTGCTGGTGAAATTCTTACTGTGGCCGAACCATTGTTGCAAAGAAAGATTCACCCCACTCGTATCGTGAAAGGCTTTTTGAAAGCTCTTGAGGATGCTGTTAACTTTATTTCTGAAAAGATGTCAAGAACTATTGATGTTAACAATTATGAACAAGTTGCAGAAATTGTGAATACTAGTATTGGCACAAAGTTCACTCATCGTTACAGTGATTTGATGTGTAAATTGGCTATTGATGCTGTGCGAACAGTTGCTATCGATTTGGAAAACGGAAAGAAAGATATTGATGTTAAAAGATACGCACGTATTGAAAAGATTCCTGGTGGATTATTATCTGAATCACGAGTATTGAGCGGTGTCATGATTAACAAGGATATTCTTCATCCAAAGATGAGAAGAAGAATTGAAAATCCAAGAATTTTACTTTTGGACTGTCCTCTTGAATACAAGAAGGGTGAAAGCGAAACCAACGTTGTTTTGGAAAAGGAAGAAGATTTCGAAACTTTACTCAAGATGGAAGACGAGTGGATTAAGAAGACTTGTGATGACATTATCAAATTCAAACCAGATCTCGTCATTACTGAAAAAGGATGTTCCGATTTAGCCCAATATTATCTTCTTAAACATAATATTTCTGCTCTTCGTCGTGTCAGAAAGACGGACAACAACCGTATTGCCCGTGCCACAGGAGCCACAATTGTTTCCAGAACTTCTGAAATCAGAGAATCTGACATTGGAACAGGAGCTGGTCTATTTGAGATTAGAAAGATTGGTGACGAATACTTTACATTTATTGAAAATTGCAAAGATCCTAAGGCTTGTACAATTCTTTTGAGAGGAGGAAGTAAGGATATTTTGAATGAGATTGAAAGAAACTTGGATGATGCTTTGCATGTTGTGAAGAACATCTTTATTGATCCTCGTATCGTCCCAGGAGGTGGTGCTGTTGAAATGAGCGTTTCACAACATTTAATGCAAAAATCAAAGAGTATCAAGGGAATTGAGCAACTTCCATACCAAGCTGTTGCTTCTTCTTTGGAGGTTATTCCTAGAACTTTGGCAGAAAACTGTGGAGCAAATACCATTCGTCTCATCACCGAGTTAAGAGCTAAACACTCCAACGAACAAAATCTTACTTTGGGAATTGATGGTCAAAAGGGTGTTATTGCTGACACTGCAGAACTAAAGATTTGGGAGCCTTACGAAGTGAAAGTTCAAACCATTAAGACCGCTGTTGAGGCAGCTTGTTTGATTCTTCGTATTGATGACGTTTTGTCCTCATTAAAGCCTAAGGAAAAGAAATAAATTATTGAGATGCGAATTGTTTGACTTTTTAGATTTGGTTTGTGATACGAGAGTTCGTTTCCATGGTCGGAAGTGTTGAAGTGTTCAAATCAGAAATAGAACATCAAAGAAAATCAGATGAGAATTAAAAATAACACTCCATCGTTGTTGTTGATAAAAAAATGTTTCAAAATCTATCTTCATTCGTGGACTCGGTCAACAAGAAGCATGAAAGAAACCAATTAAATCGTCTTCGAGAACGAACAAAATATTTAAATGATGACGATGATCATACCATGGATGATTTAATATCTTCTCCAACACAAAGAAAGCTTCTCGATTATGAAATTCGGAAAGAAGGTGCTTTCATCCTTTCTACCCATAGACGTGTAGTGAATCATATCTTGCTCTTCTTGATGGATTTTTCAATTTACAATGATGCAGAAACAAACCATGACAGCAAAAAGAAAAAGAAGAAGAAAAAACCTCAACACACCATTTCCGATGATTTAATGAATTTACTTTTGGTGAACAAATTATGGTCGGAATTAGTTCATGCACATTATTGGACCAATGAAACATTGAGGTCTTCTTTTTCATCGTCGGGAAGCACCAACGACTCGTCGTTTTTTGGAAAAACTCCACTCGTTTCCACTCCAAATCACGTATTGAAAATTCCGTTTCAATTTCATTCAATTTCAGGTATCAATCAAACAAAAATTGTTCTTAAATTAGATACTCAAACACCTATTTACATCTCCTTTTACAAAATTTATTTTGAAATTTTTGAATATCTTCAAGAATTGAATAATGGCATTCAAAGAAGAAAGGATATAGAATCAAACACTGATTACAGAATAGATCCTGTAATTACAGAGTTTATTGAGCACTCTACTGAGAGAATGAAAATGATACTGTTATTCAATCACCATCACGAATATCAATTCTTCCTCAAAGCATTGAAAGATCACTTTTCGCAGTATGGATTTTGTACATTGTTTTGTCATGGTGGAACTTTTAGTTGTTGTGTTTTTGAAAAGAGCAGAAAATTGGAACAAATGGTTCCCTCGTCCCTTCACAAAACATTTCACAAATACGTGACTCGAAAAAAGCAAGGAAAAAGACAAGTCTCCAAGGATCAAAATAAGCGCTGTAAATCTGTTGGTAGTGAAATTCGAAGAATTCAAGAAGAACACTTTAAACTCAAATCAAGAAAATATCTCGTCTCTTGGAGTGATGTATTGGGACAACGAGAAACTGTTATTTTCCTGAATGCACCTGGACCCTACAATGAATATACACTGTTCAATAGAAAGAAGGAAGCAGGATCACGCATGGTATCGATCACCAGTAGTAACGAGCTCGATGATGAAACTAAGGCAGTTCAAAGTAAGGAAAACAAATATGCTGACTATGTGGATAAGAAGTATGTGTGTCCTTTCACGAAAAGTCAATGCTTTACAATGCCAGGTGTGAAAGGCATTAACACTTCAAGTCCAAACCACACTTCAAATCTGGAGGCTAATGATGAGTTGTTATCGATTTATTTTCATGATGAAGAGGGTCTTCAATCGCTTCAAACGAATTCGACTCTCTCTCCACAACAAGGTGGCACTTCAAATTTGGAATCTGACGAAGGAATGGATGAAGTATTGTCCAATGATGACGACGAAGACTACGAAGACATTTGAATGGATGGAGGAACTATTCGTCTCCCAGTGTTCACTTTGACATTAAATGTTCTCTGCGTATGGTTTTAATAATCATTTTTCATCTTAAGTGTGTCAGTGCATTGTTGTATTAAAGGTCACAATCTTCTCCAATCTATTGCCATTTCCATTTCAAAAAGCTAAGATAGGTGTTTCAAAAGGAAGGATTAGTGTTGTTTTGCCAGAATGACTTTAGTGCAGCGTACGGGTCAGTGCCATTCCTTATCTGATAAACAATGGCCTTGAAATTTAGTTCATCAAACTGATTCCAAAATTTTCTTGCTTCTCTTGCTTTGTGGAATTCATTTCTAGAAACGGAATGAAATTTGTTGCTAGAAGCCCAATAACAAAATGTCTTCAATAACGATTCACAATCATATTTTGTTTTGTAAGATTTGAAACCATGAGGATGAAAAATACATTCTAAATATTCATCTGCACAAAATGAAACTGTTCCGGCAAACTGTGTCATTTCGTCAGCTTTACATGCAAAGCCCCAATCAATAAATATTAATTTTCCATCATTTCCATTCTTCATAATGTTTTCAGGTCTAATATCTCTGTGGCAAATTCCCCTTGAATGAACCTTTTGCAATAAGTCTATTAAGTCCAAACATTCTTGTTTGGTTGGGGTATCTGTATCTTCTATGCAATTAAATTTTTCCATTTGTAACACTCCTTCACATAGTTTTTCTACTTTAGGGACATCAATATTATAGTTTTTGAGAGTATTCAACGTTTGATATTCGTTCTCAAACATATTAGTATAAACGGGCGTTTTACATATTTTAGCAACCCTTCCATCAGGTACTTTAAAAACCAAAGAAGTGTAGCCTTCCGAAAGGAAGGATGTTAAATTGATTACTGTGGACGGATAAAACCCAATACTATCCACCTTGTCAATGGAAGTATTAAGTAAAGAATAAAGTGTTTGAAGACCAAGAGTTGCCATATTATTGGTGGGTTTGAAATCTATCGGTTTTGAATGTTGAAATGTAACAATATCGTCATTGATCTCAGCTTTTAGGAATATAATTGATATGTAATTTGTAATGAATCCGTAATTACATTTTCTGTAAAGTTTTTGAGCCATGAGAAGTGTTTGTAAATATGAAATCGTTTGGCCTAGACTGCTGGGTTTTTCGATCACAGCATCTTTTACAACTCCAATTATGTTCGCAATTTTAGTTAGTAACAAGTGATTAGATGTATCTAGGAAGGCATAATTTTTGAAGTAGAAAGTAAAATCTGGTGCCTGTGATGAGCTGCTATCAACTTGGGTTGATAAATAATGTTTTTGGCTTGTGTTGATTACCCTCAAATCTTTCTGTGCCATTTTTTCGAGAATTGTGTTCATTGTGTTTCGGACCTCACTCTCCCCGGAAGCGTTTATAGGCGTGAAAAGGTTTAATATATCATTAGTAACCTGGCTATATGTAAACCAGTTCTTGAGTTCCATTTCATCGATAACAGTGATGTGGTGTTGGTTTTTTTCTGAATTATAAAAAATAGAATAGGAATGAGTGGATAGGTTGAATGTACGTATGTGAGACAATTGTAACTGTTTAGTTTTTTCTTGTTCACGTTTTGTTTTTTCTACCTCCTGCTTTGTTTTTTCTTCCTCCTGTTTTGTTTTTTCTATTTCTCGCTTTGTTTTTTCTTTTTCTATTTCTCGCTTTGTCTTTTCCACCTCTTGCTTTGTTTTTTCTTTTTCTTTCTCCAACTGTACTTTGAGCAATTTTAATTTCGTTTGATAGTATGACGTTGAGTGTTCATTCGCTTTTCGTTTTTTTGGAGATGATTCTGAAAGTGATGATGATGATGATGATGATGATGATGAATCAGAGGGCGGTGAGGGTTGTTCGGACATTTGTTTGTTTTTTTTAAGAATGCTCTTAAGGACATTTGGTGGTCCTTGAATTGATTGGTTACTTTATAAAAACATTAGGGAAACTTTAATTGCAGTGTATGTTGTCATAATTATTAATGATACACAACCTTCTTCTTGGGAAGGACCAACAGGTATTTCACTTTCTTCATGACCACATATTCAACATGGCAATGCTTGGCAAAATCATCACTCGACTCGGAAAAGTTGAAAGGCACTTTGAGGGCCACTCCTTGAACCCTGTCGTCATTCAACAGTGCACGAGTGATTTGTTTCACACTGGCTAATCTGAAGTGATGTGTGTTCGAGGAGGAGGAACATTCAGATGGATTAGTACTTTGGGAAGTCGCACTAGTGCCACCCACATTGGTATGAGAATTGGATGTTGTTGCAGGATCTATGGTTGTTGTTGGCTTTAGAAAATACAAATCTTCAATGACTGAATGTTGACTATAATCTTCATTACCCCAAGGAGGATCAAAAAAGATAAAAGTTTTGCTGAGAGGGAGCTGAGAGGAGTCCACAGAGATTGCTGATCTTCCAATACTCTCTGATTGGATACTTTTGGCATGGTGGGATGAATTTTCTGTTATGGAATTTTTCCATTCATTCCACCATGTTAAAAAATTATCATTCACAGCATGAAATTCGCAAGAGACAGCTCGGTTCTTTTCATTGAAATCGTTGACAAAGAGTTCAACATTATGTTTTCCACATTCGTAGCGTTTAGCATCTAATTCTATCATAGTCATTCGGGTTTGATTTAAAACTTGAGAAGGATATAATTTCCAAAGAGCTCTCAGAAATCCAATGGTGTTTCCTCCAAGTCCTCCTGTACCGTCAATGATGTGGAGTGGATATGAAGCATGGGTAGAATTGTCATTGCTCTTTCTAGGGTGCGTGGACAAGTGACATAATTTTTCGAGAAGGATGGTTGCAATTTCAAATGCATCCCGATGAGGAGTGAGATAGGAAAGTCCTTCTTGAGAGTCGTATGAGAGTTGATTAATTTTGGAAAAGGAATGAGGGAAGTAGTTTTCAATGTTGTAATGATATGATTTTTGTGTTGTCAATGCATGCTGACCATCATCCTTGGATGTTTTCTTTTGTTGCACGAGGTGGATGGCCTTTGAAAAGTCTTGTTGAACACGTTCGAGAATGTGTTGAATGACGTGTGTTTGATCTGGATTCGATCCGTTATTGGCTTGCTTACGAATTTGAGAAATTTTCTGTACGAGCGAGTTAGTGAGTGAGAGGAGAGAAGATTCGTGTTGATGTTGTGGAAATGAAAATGCTTGTTCCTCCTTTAGGGTGGATTCAATGGCATGGTTGCATTGGGTCAACTCATCAAGCATGCGATCTAGTTTGGAGGCTAGGGGTTCTGTCATGGATTGGTGCTGTTTTTTTTTCATGTTGTGCAGACCGTAGTGAATCTGAGTGTTTTAGTAGCGTTGACACTTGGGAATTCTATTTTTGAACAAATTCGGAATTCCTAACGTAACGCCAATACTGTGTAAATGAAATAAACATAGGGTGGCTGCTGGGTACTAACCAAACAGTGAAGCTGCTTGGTTGTCTGAAGATGGGCGTAATATGTATCGTTATTTCGGAAATCCAAACACAACAATTATTTTGATTCAATTTATCTTTTCGACAATAAGGAGCTGTTGGTATTGTTTTTGAGGAGAACAAGGTTTTGAAAACGACTAATTTGAACTTGTATTCAACATTTTGTTACAATCATTTGTTTTCAGTAAACATTCTGGCGGAGAAAGTACTCAATTCGCATCGCATTTTTCGAACCCACATAGCCAGCAAGCTTCTCTCTTTCAACAATTGCATATCCTTGCATGACAGGAAACGTCTCTTTATGATGGATCAACTCCTGCAAACCACTGTCGTCAATAACATCTTCAATGACCATCATCTTGCAACGTCTCACAAGCTTGTCACGCAGTGGGCATGTGCTGTTTTCTGAAGTTGGTGATGATTCCTTTTCTTCTTGAATCAACTCTTCGAATCTATACAAGTAAAGTTCCTCTTCAAGAAAACGACATTCCTGCTTCTGCTTGGTGATCCATTTATCGAGAGCTGAATACCTTTTCAACCGTTCTTCAATAGTGCTCGTCACTGATTGGTCAGGAAGAACAGACGCAGGGCAAGCAACACTATAGAGAGTTCTTGCATGAGGTCTCTTCTTGCTGATCAAAAGCTCCTTCTGAGCTTTCATCCATTGGTTCACAGCACTGTTTTATACTTCTTGTCGATGCTCTCCTCCAAATTGGTGATCATGCCCACGGGCAATCGACTCATTTGTTCCTCAACAAGATCTTCCCTTATTTTATCATAGCGAGCAGCATAATAAAGAGCACCAACTTCGTGAGGATACCCTTTGATGAGAATAAAGCTCGAGAGAGGTTTCACATAAATTAAAAGACCACATCCCTCAACGAGCATTGTAGAGGGATCAACAGAATCAGAAGATACCAACGCGCGATCCTTCTCCAAGTGGTCATTCTCCAAGAGGACATTCCCCAAGATCTTGCAAGAATCTTCAGACGAGCAACAAATAAAATCAATTTTGTTTTCCCTGTTAACCATTAATTGCACCCGAGTACCAACTTCCAACCGGTTCTCATTGTCGTCTGCTTTCTTAGCATCATCTGGACGTATTTCCACACGAATGGTGGAGGTGTGGTCAGATAAAGCATATGCAAAAGCCTCAGGATAGACCTCTGTAATGACTCCCTTGACAATCACAAGTTGTTTAACATCTTTCACTGCCATGAGTTCAACAAGAGAGTCCTTTGGAATTGGACTCTTTTCGAATTGAGAACGGTCTGAAGGATGGGAAGACGGGTTGTTTCTTCCAATGCCGCCGTTTGAACTAGTGGAAGATACACCAGAACTTCTCCAATGAGTATTTGGAGCCTTTGAAAAGAAGGACTGACCATTGTTACGGTTATCCTTCTTTCCCATAGTGTGATTGTTACGAGCAGAGCGTTGTTGTGAAGAATTGCCACTGTTGTTACGGTTATTCTTCTTTCCCATTGTGTAGTTGAGATTGGTCATGATGATGTTTCGATATTCTTTTTCATTGGTATTTGGACAATGAAGCAATTTATCATGTTTCAAACGTTAGGAACTCCTGACCTGCACGCCTTACAATCCTTATTTTTAGACACTGGGAATTCTTTACTTGGAGTTCTCAACGGTATCGACAAATACCATCCAATTTAAATGTTCAAACTGATCAAAGAAAATAGACCAACCCATACCAGCACTAGCAACTCACTTTACCCACAACATGACCGACACTGAAATTCTTCAACGAATGAATGAGTTGGACATCATTCACAACAATTTGCTCCAAACATTACAGAAAGCCATTCAAGATCTTGAGCTTTTAAGTAGCACAGAGCAAAGTAACAATGAGGACACTATCTCTTCCCGAAGTGAAGATGTTTCTTGGCAGAGTTTGGCTTTTCCGTTTCATGAAAAACTTCGTCAAGATCAATTAGCACCATTTCAAAGCACGTGCATGCAAGCATTGGAAAAGAGCAAGAAATTGCCAACATTTGAAGAGGGACAGCAAGTAATGAAATTTCTGTTGAACTCAATGCAGATACATTTTGCAGGTGATGAAAGGAATCACTATCTTTCGAATGTGGTTGATGCCACTGACCTATGTGGTTCCAATACCATGATTCTAATGCATACTCTTCATGAATCACACTCGATTCGTGATTCCCAACAACCTGCTGTAGATTTTGTTGTGTTGGTGCAAGAGGAAGTCACCCACAACACCATCGAAGATAATCTCTCTCTGTACAAGACCAAAATCAACTCAAAGAATCATTCTTGCATTGGAAATGTAGTCGTGAGAAATCAAAGACTCTCTGAAGCATGCTTATCTGAAATGCATTTAAGAAAGGATGCTTCCAACGACAATGTGAAAGTTCAACTCTTCATGCTCGATGCAACTCATGATGCACCTGAAAGTATTTCTGCACAAGTGGATCAAGTATTCAAGGGGTTTGTCTTGGACCTTGGCGATCGTCGTGCATCATATTCCACATCACACAAGGTTTGCTTACTTGCCAAAGTGAAGTCAGAGTATTGTGAAAAGCTTTTAACCATTTCTGATTCCAATAAGGACTTGTCCAAGAAATCAAGAAGAGTATATTCTCTTGTCATGGCTGACTGTAAATATATTTTGGTGTTTCCAAGTCCGAGAGAGGTGAAGGATGATTTAATGATGAAGCCAAGTCAAGGAGGGATCAACCATAATAGACAAAAGTACCATCATCGTGATGAGAATATTTCAAGATATTCCAACAATCACCATTCCTATTACCACCAACATCAGCCTTCGGATTCAAGAAGACCTTCCTACCAAGATGAATACGAGAATACAAGGAAAAGAAACTATGAATTTAATCAGAAGGATTTCAGAAGCAACCATCATTATGGTTCTTCTCAGCAGCGCAAGAACAGAAACGATCGGGATGAAAAGAAACGCAAGTATTAAAGTTATTTCCAGCCTATCGCATCAGGTTCAATTTATTGATTGTTACATATTTTTTAATAAAAAAAATTGTCTTAACGAACATGAGCAATTCGGAAGTGAAAGACCAAGCCAATAACGATTCAAATGTTGCGTATGACTCTAATAATTCGACACCGTTTTATTTCTATGAAAAATTAAGTGGAAATAATGACAATGAATTTAAGAGGCCAAAGTTAATGCCTCCTCTTTCATGGGAAAATCTTGTACCTCCTTCCGAGGTCTTTGAAAAAGAGATTAATAAGTTTGGCAGTACTCTAAGCACGGAAAGAAAAGGGGAAAAAACAGATGAAAATAGTGAACAAATTTTAGTGGATTTTGATTATTTAAATGCATTGTCGGAAATGCCAAATATTGAGCCATTAAAAGGTTGACAAAGAATTATCCAAATGCTTCTAGTGGATCAAATTCAGAGTACCTATTTCATTGGATGGACTTTAGAGAGGAACACAATCAAATACCATTAATGCACCCTGTCATGGACGCCGATATATTACGAGATTTAAATATTCCACTTATTTTTTGTAACAACCAAGAATCATCATCTAAATTGCTTAAATTGATGATGGAAAAACGGAAAGAACTTTTGGATAAATCTAAGAGCCGCGAGGAGCTTTTGCATGATACAAGTAATAATGAACATGTTTTAGAAAAGGAGGCTGTTGTGGAAACAGCTGCAAAAATAGAGACGCCATCAACAATTCAACACTCCCTTCCACCGCAGCAAGTTCAACAACCATTCTTGACAACCATCTCTAACATTTCTCGAGTGGATGATCAAAGTGAAAACTCTGAAAGCGAGGAAGAAACAAAAATGTACATTATGGAAGATGATAATTATGAAATTGGAGGTTTTAATACGATACAACAGCCGTTTTCACACGGAACAGAGCCAAAAGAAATCAACAACCAATCGTTTGAACCTGTCAAGACACCTCAAATTTTGGGTCATGTTTCTGAGCGAAAAGAAGAAAGCACCAAAACAGTGTCCTCTCCTTCTTCGGTTCTGTCCATAAGCTTGTCAGCAACATCTACAATGGCTCCATCAACTTCAAGCGGCAACGCCCCACAAGTTACGGAACCAAAGAAAAAACGTAAAAGATCCAAGAAGAAGAAAGCAGATGAATCGCAACTCAAGAAAGCGAGCTCAAAACCTACACCTAATCCATTGGCTCATCTTGGAAAATTCTCCTGCTTAACTCATGAAGATGTCGCCTTCTATTTGAAGGGATTGAAGCAATTTAAAGCATTTCAAAAACAAACGGCTCTATCCAACGCTCTTCCTCCTCCATCTCCATTGTTTTTCAAGCTTAAAAAGATGGTTGAAGAAGAACAAGCAATTTATCGAAAAGCATTATTTGACGATGCGTGGAATAATAGGCTCGTAAGATATTTTCACACCGATCCGTACATTATGGAACAAGTTGAGAAAATGAAACAAAAAAAGAAGCTCGATCGATTAGTACCACCTACAAGTGTCGCTTCTAATTTCCAGGATATGAAGCACGTCCTTCCACGACATTTTGAGCTTGTCAAATCGATGAATCTATTTAATTTGCAAGCAACCAAGATGTTGGTTTCAACGCCCGCTGGTGCAAGTTCTCTGCAAAATTTTGCTGATCCAATTTTGAAATTTTCCAAAACTATTTATCACACTTCAGACAAGTACTTTACCTATCATAGAAACACTCTTATTTATCAACAAGAGAGTGCAGAACAAATAGATGTAGATGATACTGCTGATGAGACATCTTCAACCGTTAAACCTGTCAAGATACCAAAATTACCTATCAGCACCAATATTTACAAAGTAGATGACCCATCCTTGAATCCTATATCTGCCATGGATAACTCATCAGCAGTCTCCACCGATCACTCAGCTATTAATGTTGTCTATGATCCTCTCAAGCATTTACAAAAATCCACATCTTCCATGAATGTATATTTACACCGTAATTTACCACAAGTGTCAGATGATTGCATTATTAATGATATTATTTTACCAAGGTTTCCAGAAATTGATTTCGTTTGTGCAAGCAGCGCAATGTCTGCACTTGTGAATACTTTAGGTCCTAACTTCTCAGAGGAATGGTGTATTCCAGTAATTGCTAAACCTTATTCTAGCTCTACGACTAGTGGTGATACAACCATGTCACAAAACAAGTTTACAATATTCTTAGAAAAACCCTTACTCAAAAAAGTATGGACGCAACGAGATGTGAATCAAATGTATTACAAGTATGCGATCAAAACAGTCTCTCTCAGAGAGCCATTGATTCATGTTCCCTCAAAGACAACCATTCCCACTTTAAATCTCGACGAGCAACAATCATGCGAAAATTTTTCACAGTTAGAACTCATGCATCGTGATGGAGAACCAATTTCATATAATTTATTTACAGTTGGAAATTGGAAAATATTATTTCGAACAAAAATAGATGGAGCGTATAATGACGTCAAAACAGATCGAGCAACTGTTGTGAAATTAATCACCAAACTTGAATATCAAACAGAGAAAGGACTTGAACTTTCAACACAAAGCGAATTGGCAAAATGGTGGACCAATGTCTTTTTGAGACCTGCTTCTGCAATTATTGTGAATCGAGTAGATGTAGCACAAAATAGAGTTTGTAGAACAGAATTCAAACGAGTCAAAGACGTGCTTCCAGAAGTAGAGGATGAAGAGGAAGAAAATGAAAGATATTGGTCCAATGTGTTGACATCAAATTTGTCATCTCATGGAGTGGCTGGAGGAGGTGCAAATTGTGGATTTCAACCACAATTATCCATTCAAACTGTGTATGGAGTGTTGACAGAATTGATGAATCTCATCTCTACATTTAATGCGCACAACTTGCTTGATTATCGATTTTTGATTCAAAAGATGGCGAACGAACCATATATTCACTTGTTGGTGGAACATAGAAAATCATCCTCAGTTGATTCGTTGATACCAAGAAGTCAAAAATTTTATTATGATCTGCACATGGATTATGAGAAACATGGAGGAGTAAACGATCTAAATAAGATGGATTACATTCCCTTGACATGGAAAAGCAAAAAGCAAATCCCATACACTTTTCCAATCAGACCCTCGCAGACGTCGACCAAAGAAAAACACAAAAGAAAAAACAAGGGTGGTGGCAAATCAGATCAAAGTACCAAGAAAGCAAAGCAGTGATGAGTTTATTAAAACGCAATTTTGCATTTGGTATATATACCCCTTTTTCTATGGTCTGTTTCTAAAATCCAATTCACTACTCAAAATGTGTTGGTAGTAGAGTTTTCATGTTGTAGTGAATCACAACATCACCAGAAGACTTTCCTTCAAGCTGCTTATTGAGAGAAATACGGCCAGCCTCTAAAATGGCTGTTGTTAACACAGATGCAGACAACATGGCTGCATGGCAACATGTGTCATTCTCAGTGATTGCATTTTGAATGACATCTACGGTTGGTAATTGTTGCTTGAGAAGATCCAAATCGGTGACCAGTGAATTTTCATACAAATAAACACACTCAACAAAACTTGCAAGACTCAAATAGCCATATCCATTTTGTCCAGAAAATCTGCCAAAAACATCAGGTGAATATTTCATAAATAGAGGATTAATAGAACGAAGCCCTGAACTAGTAGTAGCATCGGATGCTACTGTGTATCCACGATGAGCTTGATCGATTGTAATTTCTCCCTTACTACCTTGATACATGAATCGTTGTTGAGAGTGAACATCCGACTTCTTTGGTGCTACCCAAGAACTAGTATAGATGGCAGTACCTTTGAGACATTTAGAAAAGTTTTCCAATGATTCACTTGAATGTTCTTGTGAAATTTTGGAAGACAAGTCAACCCATTGTACAGTGAGGGTTATCGAGTCTTCAGTATTAATGTTAAATGGCTCATTGTTAGCGATACCATAGGATCCACTTGCGAAAACTCTGTATGGTCTCCAAAATCGTTGATGTGAGCTTCTTGTTTCCATTCCATTTAATGCCCAACAATGAAAATCAATATGATGCGAGTTTAAATAATAGGAAATATCACTATGAGATGCCCAATTCTTAAAAGTAATTAATTGTGAACTAGGTTGAGACATGTAACTCGAAAAATAAGAAAAATCTCCAATTTCATCAGCGTTCAAAATTCGATCTCGTGCATCTGAATAGATTGGATCCCATCTCTTGTGAACCTCCACACCAACCAGTACATGCTCTTTACGAATGGCATTAATCAATTCATAGTGATGTTCCAATTTTTGAACGAGTGGTTTTGCTACAAGTACGTGCATGCCACTGTTAATGCATTCCAATGCAATTTCAAAATGTGTATGATCTGGAGTGAATATAAAAACAACATCTCCCTTATTTAATCTTCTCAATCCTTCCCTATAGGCATGAATATCTTTTGCAACCGAATCCGCAGGAAATGTTTCTGTAAGATATTCATTCACAATAGACTCTGTCTTATCACTAGTCGTACCAGAAATATTTGCTTCAAAATTATATCTACTCAATCCTCTCTTCAAATGATTTCTAATTCCTGGAAATTTGGTTCCTTGTGTTCCAGCAAGGTAAATATTTTGTACTTTTCCTCTCCGACGTAAATCAAAAAGGGTTAGCAATACCACTCCGATGGGCTTATCCGATTGAGATGCTGATTCATGAACATATCCTGTAACGTATTCTCCAATACCAATGACCAGAACATTGGGTAATCTTTGAGTAGTGGTGTTTGATGAAGCTGAAGAGGAGGGTGTGGGGATGCCGTACGACAAGGAGTTAAACATTTTTTTTTGCAATAAAAATCTTTTGATATTTATTTTCCTTCAAAGAAATTCTCTGACACATCAGAACTCTTGTTGTTGTTGAATAAAAGCTCCCTATAACTACAATGCTCGTACAAATGATGTTTGTCAAACAAAAAAAAACAAGCAAATGCCACACGATACGATGAAACAATATCTCGAGTTATTGCGTCTCCCTGAACAACAACAAGTTCAAGACAGCAATTCACTAATCACACAACTACAACCACACGATTCGAAGGAAATTGATCAAGCAGAGGCCATGGTCGGCTCTATCCTTCAAAAGCTTCATCAACAATTAGATCCACAACCATCAGTTGACTCTCAACAATTCACTTCTTCTTCTGTAACAATAACTCATCCATCCATGTATCAAATCCCATGTTGTTCCACATCCTCCGTTCCTAGTTACGACGCGTTATGGAATAACGACAATAAATCTCAACCTGGGCGTCATACGGTCGTGGTTCGCAATGGAAGCGCTCAGAGTGTTGATCGAACCAATGTTGTGACCTTGAGTATCAAACCCTCAATATTCAAAGAGGATGGTCATTCAAATTCAACAACCATGACTCGTCAACAACAACAAGAAGAAGAAGAAGCCTTGATTCGGTGTTTGAATGAATGGATGAACACTGATAAAGAACAGAGAGAACTCTTTGTACGACCGTCACATGCCACAAACAACCTCATTCCTCCTCCATCACGAATGAAACAAGAAGCACTTTCATTGTATCATCGTCCAATTTCTCCACCCATACAACAACAACACGTTGTCACTCCCACCACCAAACCACAACAGCAACGATGTCCTGAAGTGTGTCGCTTCTTAGATGCCTTTCTCAGTTGCGCATTGTTTGGGCATTCACCAACTTTGGAAACTTTATTTTCCAATTTAGTGAAAACGAGACAACAACCCCTGTCGAATGTTGGTTTGATGTCTGGTCAAAAGGCTTCTGAAATGATGATATCGTTACATGTTGACACAAAGTCTTCTTCCGTAAGACCTGCGGCAAGCGTTAGCAAACCTGTATTACCATCTTGTGTGACATCAAAAATTTCTAAACCAAGCAAAATGGCGAACAACACAAAAAAAAATACAACTGTGAAATATTCTCCATAAATACGTTATTTGTCTGTTTTCTAGGTTAGATCAAAAGTCATTCCAAATGAATTTCTTCAAACGTCAGCTTGACCTGAGGAGCTGATTTCGCCACAAATTCCTTTGCTCTTCTCATTTTGGAATGAAAATCATTCACTAGAGACGTATTTTGCAAAAAGGAACAACAGCATTGGATGATAATGCATCGTAGTTGAGGCAATTCCTTAATGAGTCCAAGTAAATATAAACCATTCAAGTCGTAGGGAATCTTCAATACTTTCAATTTTTTAAAAACTTTCAAGTGTTCCATTTCAATCTCTGTTAGTTGTTGATTTTCAATTTCCAATATTTCTAATGAATCACTACGGATGCGAACAGCTTTTACGAGCTCTTCCAAATAATTGTTATTAAAATTCTGAATAGATCTTGTGGTGAGTGTTGATGCACGAATATGTGGGTGCAATGAGATGGATCCAATCACTAATTGTTTCAACTTGACCAATGGTTGTAAAGCTTGCTCCAATAAAGTTGATAAATTCATGTATGTGAATTCTTGGAAATAAATATACAAGCTTGTAAGGTTTTGATATGGAAATCTTGTGGTTGCATTAAAAATTGACAAACTAAGCTTCAATTGTTCCAAGTTCTGCATTTTTGAAAGGCTGTCAATTTGGTGTTGACTTAACATTTGACCTTGTAAACACAAGCTCTTGGTTGCCGAATACGCTTCGAGATGAGGTGGAGGTGGTGAGCACTTATTAGGGCTGAGAGTAGCATCACTAAAAGAAGGTGAGAGGTTTTTTTGAGGGCGTGTAGAATGGACCCATCGGCGTGTCAACGGCAAAACATGCTTCATTGTTGAGGTAAACCCCGCAATACTCAACTTTTTGAGACGAGGAAATAAAAGATCATCCCCGAGAAATGATAAATTCAATTTCATGGAAGGAGATCCTACATCCAAATTCGAGAGAAGGACAGACAAATCCAAATCAATTTCATGTAGATTGTGCAGTTTTCTTAAAAATAGCTCCATCTCTTCAAATGAGCAAGTATTTTCTCGTTGATGTCGATCAATGAGTTCACTTTGCTCTTTTGAGGCACCATTTGGAAGCCTCTTTCCAGTGAATACGTCTCCAGTAATTACAGCATATCTGTGCAATTCCAAAAGAGGATTACCCCTTAATCTCAATATTTGTAAGTTGCTGGTAAAATCTTCTGCAGAGCGCCACGTGTTCAAGGTCTTATTTGTGAGAATTGGATTGACCAATTCAAGAATTTTCAATTTGTGTAAACTTGAAATGTGTTCTAGAGCATGTATTTCTTTCGGATCATTGCTTGTCGTACCGCTATGTGAGGAATCAGATGAGGGAGTATGTGCTGGGCTACTCGTGATGCTTCCAGGGCTAATGTGATGATGTGTCAGCGTGCATACAATTTTTAATCGCGCCAAATTTGGGCAGCAATTCACAATTAATTGCATGGTCTCAGCTGAAATTGTAGAAACAACAAACGAAAATTCCTTCAAGTGTCTTGGAGTCCACATCAAGGTTTTGATTCCTGAGTGTGACGAGCACAAGTCCAAAAATATAGGTATAACATCATCCTCGATAATTGACAGAAAGGTTAAATTTAAGGATTCCAGTGATGTACAGAGAGAGAGGTAATTCGTCAGCGCCTTTCTAGATTTGTTACTCTCTGCTATGTTTGGAGTAATATTGGTTAGGCTTTTCACAGTCAAGGATTTGAGCTTGTTGATACATCTAGACTGCTTCATCAACTCAAATAACCTCAAGTCAATATGTTTGTCGATTTGCAGTTCTTCAAGTTTTATGTCACTCTCAAATAAATCTCGTAAGCAGCAGTTTAGAATATCATCATATGTAATAGCCTCCGAATACACGTTAGTAATAATGACAGTTCTTAAATTAGGCAGTTTTACCAGGTTGTGAGTGGTAAATCGTTTCAATTCTTCTCTATTTGAAATATCGTGCTTCATCACAAAAGACGTTTTGAATTTTCTTTCATATTCACAGCTATATCTACACAACAAATGACATGTAAGCCTAATTCCCCATAACACATCGTATTCTTCCATGAAGGAAAGAACCTCCATCCAAATGTTATAGTTTTCAAGAAATGTTTTTCTGGTCTCACTATTTAATTCAAATTTGAAAGGTAGTGGTTCTTTTTGCGATCCCACATCCGTGCATGGCAAGTTAGTTTTCTCTTTATGCAATTTTTCAAAGGTAGGAGTGGAGGATGAACTATTCAACGTGTGATACAAGTCACCAGTTAAGCTTTTGTCCATGGTCTGCATATTTCCAAGTGAGTGTGTTTGTTTAATCAACTGAGTGAGAGCAGAAGTGGTTGGTGGCGTGTTCTTACGTATCATATTTGTTGGGCATGATTGAAATAATTTACAGTCTTTAAGTGTTCGTTTTAACTCCAATTCTTGGATGTGAGAGTGTTCGATGCTAGTAGGGTTTGAGTGTGTGGCTGTTGTTGCTTTGGTTTGGTTCAATGCAAACGTTGGAGAAAAACCAATTGTTTGATCGTGATGATGATTCTGTGGTGATGAACACGCTGCCTCAGTAGAATCAAAACAGTTTTCTTCTACTCTTTCCGAAGAATTTTTATAAAGATTCAATGTTGAAGTTGGTGATGGTACTTCCAACAACAAGGCCTTCTTCTTGTCGGAGCCGTGCAAAACATTTTTTTTGTTGCTCGTCGATGAAGGAGACTTGTGATCGGTCCGAACTGCTGGTTTCTTGTTGGCTTGGTGAATGTATCTGCTGTTCATACTTTGAGTCTGGTGATCAACAGGAACCATGTCGTTGATGATGTTGCTTGGCTGTCTCGTCGAAAAATCATGTTGTTGTGTCGATCGTACCTGATGATGTTTCATTTTGTTTGAACCTGTTCGTTGGTCCAACAATTCTAAAACGAGAAATTGGGACATGTGACCAAACTTCGTTACTTTTAAGGAAACTTTTCAAACCTGTTGAATTTTGAATAACAGAGGTTTGTCCCTGAACACAGATGAATATAGATTGGATGTTTTATGTCCTTCAATTTTCTTTTTCTTTATTTATTACGTTTGGTTAATTGAAATGAACGGATTAAATTCGAGCAATACAGGTGACAAGACCGAGAGTTAGAAAAAAATGATGAACCAACACGATGAGGTGCAGCAGCAGGGACAGTGCATGAAAGAAAGCATTCCTAATATTCCTTTCGTTGTGGAATATATTAAGCCATGTTGTTTTTGCTTGTTGGGAATGACTTTTTTGTTAATATTTTGTGGAGTGTTCTTTTCAGTGTTGATCACACTGTAAGTTTTGTATATTGTCTTAAGGAAATAGTATGGTCTATTTATTTCAATCATATATGCGTTCTAAATGTTTAGCGATACCTACGAGTTTCGGTATAACCAGGAATCTCAATGTCTAGTGATGTATCCTCGAATTGCTTGCTCGGAAGAAGTGAACCAAGGCCAAACGTGTATGGCATTGGTGTGTTTACAGCAAACGAATACTACATGGGTTTCCAATTACAAGGACTGCCCATCCATTCAAATCCGAACGGTTCTCCGATATCCTCAAAACACCAAGTTTTATAATTTGACTTCTGGTACTAATACGACATGTTTTGTGAATAGCATGAGTAAGAGCAGTAGTTTTGTCTCTTACACGGTGAATAATCAAGAAAAAGTTGTTTGGAAAATACTATCGGGATTGAGTTGGGGTTTATTAGGTGTGGTGATTGCACCCTTACTACTCGGATGCTTAGTTTTAATGTTCAGGATGAAAATTCCCATCCTTAAACAAAAGTTTACCCTCAAAAAACAACAATCACAAATGAAACACCAGCACGGAGAGGATTCAAAAGAGCAAGAACAACTTACATCTGATCCAAAGTCATCTGTTTCTACAGTGAACGGAAGTAACACTCAGCAAGAACAACCCATGACAACGTTGTCTTTGCGAGATGAAGAACAACAAGAAGACCTGAAGGAAACCTTAGACATGAAAAATCCAATGGAAACTGAAAATAAGGAAATTGAACTTGAGGTTATAAGTTATGACTAAACAGTAAACATCATCTCCATCACTCGTGGTTCATGAGTCAAAAACGAAAAAATGAACTCTAGACAACGGTCTTCATCTCTTCAATCCTCCTTCTCTCGGAACAAGCATTCCCAACAATCAAATCAGCAACGGCCCATACGGTTATTATTTCCTGCAACAACAGAGGAAGAACGAGAATTGCAAGAACAGCATTATATTCCATCCCGATACATTGTAGCCATAGGAGATGTTCATGGCCATTTACAAGCACTGCAAAAATTATTAAAAAAGTTGGAACAGCATCTAGGAAAGGATTTATTTGAAAAATATCATTTAGGTGTGTTTAAAACTGAATAAGAGGAATTTTAAAATTATATTTCATCTAATTCGTAAAATTGTTTTGTGCTTGCCTCTTACCACTCATGACAAATTTAATGTTTAAAACAGTTTTCTTGGGAGATTATGTTGACAGAGGCCCTCAAATTAAGGAAACAATAGAATTCATGATTAGCTTAAAGAAACAACGAAAGCCAAATACCACTCATTTTCTAATGGGCAATCATGATCATGCATGTTCAATGTTCTTAGGTTTATTCGATGATGCTTTGGAGAATGGAAAATCGCTTGGTATCACATGTCAAAATTATACACGTGAATTTGAGCTATGGAAAGGTATACAAGAAGTCGCAAATAACATGCATCTTCAAGGCCGACGATGGGGCAGTGGGTTTGTTTATTCGAGTTTTAACACATTCTACAGCTATATTTGTGATTCAAATTCGCAAAAAGATATGGATGTGGTGGGTGACTTTAAAAAATTTCAATCTAAGGTTCCTGACGAACATAAGAACTTTTTTCGAAATTTACCTTGGGTGTTGTTTAACGAGGACAATATTTTTGTTCATGGTGGTTTTCACTCTTACACGAACTTGAAAGAACAGTTAGTGCCGTTGTTCAAGAGAGACATTTATCAACCAAGAGTAAAACCTCTTTCTGAACGAGGGTACATCGACATGGATGGCCACAAAGACACACATAGAAGAATTGTGAGTGGCCATGTTCAGGTGAAAAATGCCAAAGTGAGTTCGAAACGAGCCTTAATTGATATCAGTGGTGGTGTAACAGGAGAATTGTGTGCTTTAATACTACCATCAGCTAAGGTCATTACCACGGAAGAAAATTCTGTGCTTGTGAAAGGAGACATGGACGACGAGGAATTGCAAGAATTATTAAAGAGTGATTAAATTCCAACAAATTGTAATCTTTATGCATGGCCATATTTATTGTGACACACGTCTATTCATTCACCTTCAAGAATCTCTTTCGCATGGCTTTGACTTTTTCAATCTTGGCAGTGAGCGAATTCTTATTTGTGTCCTTTTTCTTTGTAAATCGTTCTCTAATTTTTTCTCTTCTATCTTCTGCCTCTCTTTCTTTTTGCATTTCCTTTGATTGAGTCTTCACTCTGTGCGGTAAATGTCTGTGATTGGCAATCTTTCGCACCTCTTCAACGCTTCTATATCTCTCTATTAATTTTTGGTTATATTCAATTTGTTGTTGTTCCTTCTTGGTCATGCCACCACCTCTCAATGGAGCACTTCGTTCATCCTTCCAAATTCTAATAGCTTGATCGTCACTTCCACTATAAATATACCTTCCATCACCAGAATATTTCACACAAAACACTCGTTGCATTCTCTTGGTATGATACACCTCACGTGCCTTGTAAGAAGTGGAATCCGTTCTGAAAATACGAATGGTCTTATCGTAACCAGCAGTCACAATTTCTGTACCACTTGGATTGTAGTCAACATCCATCACTGCATTTATATGGCCTGAATGCATCATGAGTGGACCCTTTTCCAAAATTCTCATGTCAAAGGTATATACATTGCCATCTTCATTTGCTGCTGAGAAGTGGAATGGATTCATTGGACTCCAACAAACCTTATTAGATTTTGTTTGCATAGTCACAGCACGAATCATTTGATTGGTTTTCATGTCATACAATCCAACTGTTCTGTCACGCGCGCAATATGCAATCAAATTCTTCTCAACCTTATTAAATTTAACACTATAAATGGTTTCAGTCGAGGTTGCAAGCTCATACTCTTGTTTACAAACCAGTCTTGATGAATTACCTGGAATTAAGGAAGATGAACTATTTCCTGAACAATCCCAAATTTGAACGTATTCATGTCCACTGGTTACCACAATTGGGTCACTATAATGATGATCAATACAGAGTAAGGCATTATGTGAAACAACATCTTGAATAGGAGTGGCATACGAAGGTAACTTGGTTGTTGCATTACTGTTGCTCTTTCCCACATAATCTGCCAAAGTGTATCCAATACTTCCAAATTTTGTACTTGCCATATTCGGATTTACATTGGCCACTTGTAAATTCAATTCCCATCTCTTTAAATGCTTGTCAGTTCCAACCGTAAAATAAAACGAGTTCTCACTCGAGTCCGATGAATGTCTATAGGGTGGAATTACAATTCCATTCACAAATCCATTATGAGCTCTATCAATGGCATAAATCGTCTTTCTCTCCGTTAAATCCCAAACTCTAATTTGACCATCACAGCTTCCACTAATAATATGAATGAGAGAATTAGGATCCGTACAAATACATGTAGGTGTATCTGCATGTCCCGATAAATCAGCAAGAAAAGGCTTTGCATAAATATTATCAATTTTTGCAGCATTGATGGCTCTCATGTATTCACGAGGCTTTTCAAACCGATGAATGAGTTCGGGATTTGGATCGGAAAAGTGTCGGGTGGTTTCATAGGAAGTTCTTCGTGTATGGGCATCATCATCTCGGGAGATGGTTGTAATTTTTACCATGTTGTTTCAATTTTGGTTGTTGTTGAATTTGTTTTTGAATTTGTTGTTGTTGTTGTAGTAGTGGTTGAATGGAATGATGGTGGTGTTGATGATGATGTGAATGTTGGTGGTTGTTGAATTTTTTTCATCCAATTTTTTGAACTTGCTTTCGACTTGTGTTAACATCGATAACAACCTTTCAAAAATTAATGAGATTATTTATCCAACAACAAGCAACACTTTTTAAAATACAACATGATTCTAATACCATGACACACAATGGTGTACACCATTTGACTACTACTATACGAGCATTTCATCATAATCATCCACACCTTCCTCTCCAAGAGTTCCTCCATAATATTCATTCAACATGGTTCCGTCACCTTGAAGGTCGTCACCACCAACGCCATCACCAACACCACTATATTCATGATATTCTTCTTCATCTTGTCTCGAAGAAGGTTGTTCATTCATGACCACTCCCATAATTCCAATACCCTTCTTTTTTCGTTTACTAGTTTCATATTCATCGTCTTGATCGTAACTCTCATCTTGTTCATTTTGAGAATTTCTTAATTTCACAACTTGTAATCCAATTTCACTTTCCTTAATATTTCGTTTCTTCTTTTCAGCTCGAATTCGATTCAATAGAGGTGGTAGAAAATCTAAACTCGATGCATTCTTGAGAAAATCATGTTGTAATAATTCTTCCACACTGGCTCTCTTTTGAGGATCTTTTTCGAGACATTTCGAAAGAAATTCATGAAAGACATCACTCCATTCAGAGGAAGAGGTAAATGTTGGAGGAGGTTGAGATCGAATTAAAAACAAGGCACGAATAGGAGTATGTTCCATGAGAGGGACAGTTCCATTGGCCAATTCCAAGATTAATATTCCCAAAGACCACACATCGGTCTTTTCATTGTATTCAGCGCCTGAGACGACTTCTGGAGACATCCAATACGGAGTACCTACGACAGAACGTCTTCGTCCAGTATTCTCAGCACAGAATCCATAGTCTGCTAATTTAATTTTACCGTCACGTGTAATGAGAACGTTATCGGATTTGATATCTCTGTTTTTTAAAAGACCAATGATTAGGAATATGATGGATTTCACAAAAAATGACCGACCCAAATCATTCATCAAACCAATGCATAATGATCGATGTGACACCATCCATACGTCAGATTAGAATATCATAATCATGATTAATACCGTATGAGTAACACCATTAAAAAAAATACATCAGAACACAATGATGGTCCACAACAAATTAATAATTATTACAACAAGACCATGATTAAATTGACTCACACTTACCTGTGAATGACACCATATTTCGTGTGAAGAAGATGCAAACACTTAAGAATGGGTATTAAAATGGCAGCAATTTCACTTTCTAAAAATCGATGATGTATCACATTATTATCTCCAATTAAATCTGTTAACTTTCCTCCAGAGACATATTCCATAGTGACCCATAATTCGTCATGACTTTTTTCTTTATATTCCAACATGGTGTCCATATCAATGGTTGTTGTAATGCCATTTGAAGAATTAGGAGAAACAGCTGAATTGGTTTGTTGTTGAGATGAATTTTGTTCTTGTTGTTGTTGTAATTTTCTTCTTTTAGAATCAGATAAATATCTTCCAATATGTTCATGAACTTGACAATTCACAGTCGAATAAGTTCCAAAATATTGAACCATCAATGTCTTGTCGAGTGTGGCATCATAGTCAAATATAGAAGAATAGGATTTACAAGCGTGTTTCATCATGAAAATTTCATTCTCAATCATGTCAAAGTTTGTATTCTTTGAAGTTGTCAGTGGCATGACTTTGATGGCTACTTTTTTACCACTTGGAACATGAATGGCTTTGTAAACATCTGCAGTACTTCCTGTACCAATCTTTTTCATTTTAGTAAAGAGACGAAATGGATTCTCGTGACTTATTAAATCAATGAGAAGTTTGTCTTTTTTGAATTTTGATACATTGGCTGACAAGGTTGTTGCGATTGAAGACGTGTCAGTATTTCCAACTTCAACATAATAACCAGCTTCTGTTCTTTTCACATTTGTGAAATTCATTACAAATTGTCCACTACTATTCACATGATGATCCATTGTTGCACTCTGTTCGGAAGGTGTCGATACTGTTTTCGCCGAGTTGGTTTTTGTGAAAATTTTAGCAAAGAAACCCTGAGAGGCTGATTTGGAATGTTCATGTTGACTCAAAGATGGTGGTTGAGAAGTTGACGAGTTTGGTGTCGATTGATTCAAACTACTATTACTACCTGTCACAACCATCATGGATGGACTCTCCGGATTGGAATTGGTTCCATTATTGCCATTCCCAGTATTATTATTATGGACAGCCACATCCATGTGTGGAGAGGTGGGAGGTTGTTGTTTGTTCTTTCCCATAAAACTACCCGATAATGAATTTCCACTACCACTACCTCCTCTCAATTTACTAAAAAACGAAGAGGAAGAAGGAGAGGCCAATGAGTTGTTGTTTGTTGTTGTTATGGTTGTAGTCGTATTCGTAGTAGTAGTAGTAGTATTCTTATGATGATGGTGGTGGTCACTCATGGAAAGAGAAGGTGAACCACTACTGTTGTTCGAAGGTGTTGTGGTGGTCACTACCGAACTCGTATTGAGAGCAGGTGGAATGGAATCAATAGATTTGGATGATGACAAGGAAGGAGAGGAATCTCCTCCTCCTCCATTCGTATTATGATGAAAAGGAGAACCTGATGATGTTAGTTGTGGATGATGGTCCAATTCCGCTGAAAAAGTTTCTCCATTCAAACCGCTCGAGTGTGAACCATTAGTAGTAGTATTATTATTATTATTATTATTGTTGTTATTATTGACATCATCCACTGTGAAATGAATTCCTTGAAGACTTGATAAATCCCAATCTTTGGGAACACCACTCAAACCAAATTCGCGATCAAAATCGACATGATGTTCGAGACGAACGTTGAAGGGAGCTGAGATTTCAATTTGTTGAGAAGAACTCGTGGTGCTACTACTGCTGGGTGATGCGGTCGATTTGTTGTTGGACTTGTTGTTGTTGCCACGACGGAACAGACCTTTCATTTTTTTTGTAACCATGACAGTTGATGGAATTATCATGGCGTAGAAGAAATTTGTTGTTTGTGATTAGACCTGTGCTATGTCACTGGGAGGGATTAACATGGGTTGTTCATTGTGCTCTCGGTCGACTGAGAGCTTCGACAATTAAACCCTTTCGTTCAAGATTTTAGAAATTTGAATTTCTTGACAACATTAAAAAAAATGCCCTCATCAGGAATCGATTCCACATCCGAAGAATTTCCCACGAGTCGGAACAACAATGGTCCCACAACACTCACATCCACACCAATATTTCAAAATGATAGTACTACACAGGAAAATGAAGCCAAATTATTACAACAATTAAAATCAGTATTAACCGATACCAATCAACCCACAACATTTACTAAAAACGATACAAAATTACAACAACTTCAACAACAACTGGAAGAGTGTTCCAAAAAAGCACACTCATTTCTGTACACGACATTATCTGTGGCGGGTGCTGTTCCCTTGACTGTATTATTTAAAACTATGAAACCATTATATATTTTTCCTTTGATTGGAGGAGCTGCAGATTTTTGGATTACTACTCAAAAGTGTGCAAAGGAGAGAACAGAGTTCGATCGACACATGCTGAAAAGAAGAAGATATGAATTAATATCTGAAAAGAAGAGATTGGAAATGGAAAGAAATGCTTTATTGGATGAATTAAAACGAATGAATGAAGGAAAATAATAATTATTATTCATGACTACAAGTTTTTGTTTGGCAATTTTTAGAATTTTCGATTTTTGGTCATTCAATTTGGAAATTTATAGCCCAGTAACCTGCAATATCGACAGAGCTATTACCAAGTAGAAACAAAATATTATTACAAGTACATTGGGCACCCAGCTCGAGAACAAAAAAATAAACAGACAAGATGAAGGTGTTTGTCAACATTCCGAAAAACAATGAAATTTACTGGGCATACAAGCGGCCACAAGTGACCATTAAAATTCAGTCGAATGGTAATGGTGTTAAAACAGTGCTCACAAACATGTCAGAGATTGCCTCCGCATTGAACATTCCCGATCAAGGTAAATAGAAATTCAGTTATGAATAATTTTGGGTTTCATGTACTGGATGTAAAAGTGGTGATGAAATATTTAGGAATGAAAATTGGTGCGTGTGGTGGCATCAATAAAAATCAATCCTTTCTGACAGGAAGATACACGGTAGAAATAATCGAAGATGTTTTGGAACAATTGATTGCAGAGTTTCTCCTATGTTCAAGGTGTGGAATTGCAGAAATTAACTTTTACAAACAACTAGTTCATCCTTCACTTCCTGTTAGAGAACCAATTTTGAGACAATGTTTAGCATGTGGGCACTATAATTCATATATTTCACATGACTCGAAAATGTTTTCAATCTTGGTGAAATGTGATAACAATCACCAATGGATGAAAGTTAAAGTATCACCAAAAGCAAGATCTTTGAAGTACATGTTTGACAATTTAAAAGACGCAATTCTGCCATCTGAAGACAGTTGTTGCGGAGATGGTGTTAAATGCATTCCTTCGTTGAGTGATATTTCTATAGTACTGAATTAGTCTTCACTTGAAATGAGTCAAAGAAAATGTCGAGAACAATTGAAAATGAGAGATTTGAGATCGCCTTCGAGGTTTATACCTTACTAATAGATACACACTTGTAGTAGTTCCAAAACTTGGAATCTATTTCAATCAATATATTCCAAAGGATGTTCAAGTTGCTTCAAGTTATAAGTGGACACTTATAACTTGAAGCAACTTGAGCTGCTTACGTTTTAGTCTTGAAAGGAGCTTTGTTCTGAGCTAGATTGGCAACATATGCTTCAAGCAAATAGAAATACCGTTTCTCACACTTTTCCTTCCAATGAGGTTTCAGAGGAAGACTCACAGTCAACGCTTTCTGAAAGTGTGGAAGGAGAGCAATTAATTTCCTCTGAAATCTTTGTTGTAGAAGACAACGATGTTGTTGATTGTTTTTGTTCTAGTAAATGGAATGGCAATGTACCATCGTTGTCATCTTGTACAGACTCTTCTGCAGTATGTATTGACGCCAACTTGGCCCGTTCCAATTTAGTTTCTCGATATCGAGCTCCAATCACAACAAACACTCCAACCAAAATGAAAGCTGCTCCAACTAACACGAGAGGAGATGGTATTTCTTTAAAATAGAACACTCCAACTGTGGTTGCAACCAAAGGAGAGACAGTCGAATATATAGATACAATGGTGGGAGCAGTTAGTTTTGAAGCATAAGATGTAATGACAAATTGAAGGCTACCATAAGGAATTGCTGCGTAAAGAACTCCCAATATAGACATTGTATCTACTTTCCTTAATGAAAATGAGGGGAAAGCATACGAGGCACAAAGGAATGATGTGACTAACCCAAAGAAGAACGACCAAAATGTGACAGTCGTAGGTGGTGTCCCAGCAATAAGCAAACTCCTCTGAAATATTAAATAAATAGCATAACTAAAGGTATTGCCCAACAAACAAAGTAGGCCTAATAAAAACGAGAAATTAATTCCTTTGGTTGCATCATGTAAAAGGATGTAGTAGTAAGGAAGTCTTTCAAGTGGTGATGAATTGGAATTGGTATCGGGCTCAAGTTGTTGAGTAGGGGATGCACTCTTGCTTAATGCAGAAACTAGCAGCATTGACATTGCTGAGTGTATTGTGTGTTCATCACGTGTTTGTTGTCAATGAATATAACGTAAGTATAGTATTAAGATTTTTCTGAAATATGTTTCAAAATCTACCTACGTACCTCCACCTACAGCAATAAGAACTCCAATAAATTTGAGAAAGGACTTGGTTTCTTTTCCCATCATCATGGATAAGGAACAAACAATGACTGGTACCACCGGTTGAATAACACCTGTGATGGTGGAATTGGTTAAATAGAGTCCAGCAACAAATAAGACTTGATTCAGAACCACCAAAGTTCCACAAAAAGCAAGCTGCTTTGCCTTCTTTGCATCAGGTATTCTTCTAATGATATAAGACATGAATAAGGACTTTTCATCATAAAAGACGCTATAAATCCACCCCAAATAGCGGCTTGCATAAATATTTGTGTGCTTGATTCTGAATCTTCGTGCTCGTTTCACGATGTACTTTTCACTCGTGAAAGTATAGTGTCTATCCACGAGGAGCATCATTGGAAATAAGGACAACACAATAATACAACATCGTACAAAGGCAAATATTAGAGGGTGCCAAAGTTTCATCGAGTAAGGTGTTACAATCAAGAAGACTGAAAACATGGCCAAGTTACACCAAATCAAGACATGAGCGAGTACGTTGGACTTGAAGCAATCCCAATTTAGGAATGATGCTTCGTTTCTTTGCTCGATTTCTTCAGCTGTAGTTTCGCCCAATTTCAAAGAATCTTGAATTTCAGCCATTTCAATTAATTCTGAATTGATGGCGAATTCTTCTTTATGATCTGAGCCAATATGTTCTTGTTGATGATGATCCTCTACATGTGAAGATGACTTGCCGGAATAATATTCGAAAGTAGGTCTTGGTTCGTTCGGAGCCACGTTCATGGTTGATAAAAACTAAATAGGTGTGGCGTTCTGCTGAATCATCAGGAAATTACTGAATGTAAATCAGTAATGGAGGTGTTTATCGTGAAGCGTTAGAGAATGATGATGTTGATTATAACGAATGAGCTTATTGTTTTTTCATCAAGTGGCTATTGATGTTGTGTTTCAAAAAAGCACCTACAAATGCTTTCATGCAAGTATTGTTCCAAATTGATTGCTTTACAACTTCAAACTGTTGATAATTCAATGGTATGCAACTCCGAGTGAAGAAACGAATTCATGACACCTCGGTGGTTTCTTTGGAATTGTTGTGCGGCTTTTTTTCTGGTGAGGACAAAAGAAAAATCCTTTTTAGTAACCTTGAGCTGGTGATTTGTGTTCTTTTTAGCAACATCCATGTACTTGCTCGAGTTACAACTGTATAATGTAAAATTGAAAGAGAAAATTTTAGTCCTCTCAAGCAAAGAAAAGTTACATGTGAAACATTGAAAACTATTATTGAGGAGTTGGGCAGGGAGGAGTATTCGCTTCAAGAAGAACTGGTCGAGTTTTTATAACAGATCGAAATGTTAATACAGTTAATATTCTTAATAATCCAAAGAGTGTTGATGATCATTTGGTGAACGGAAGGCTTGGAATGCTTTGAAAAATTCAAGGTTTAAAATTTACAACCTTGTAAATTCCAAATTCTTATTAGAGGTGGAGGATTGTACTCTAGATATTAGTCAAATGTTGAATGAGATGAAAAATCTTAAACAAACGGTTTCAAGCCCTGAGAACACTGTGCTAGTGTTGCAAGAAGAAAATAGAGGCCACAAAATCACTATTTCAAACCTCGAGAACGAAAACAGAAACCTCAAGAACCGTCTTTCCAACCTAGAAGATGAAATACAAGAAAGCAATGAACTGAACGAGGTTGATATTGACTATTTAGAAGATAAAACAACAGCGTTACATGCCGTTGCTGTCAAGTTAATGATTAGTTCCTTTGAAGGTGATAGCCGCTTCCTCCAATATGCAAACCTTGTTCAAGATATTCTGCAACCAGACAATGATACAAAGATTGGATAAACAAATTTCATCAAAGGAAAAGGCAGAAGAGATTGCGATTGCTTTTTCGATTCAAAGTAGTCATATCCTACCCTCTTGTAATACATCAGTAGATGATTATACGGAAAGTGTGTTGGATTATTTGAAGAGAGTAATCAACCAGGTTAAAAATTTAATGTAACATCTGAAGTTTTGAAGAATAAACTAAATATGACAAGGGCAATCAAAAAATTGTACTCGATGACCACAACATGAAATTTCACATTGGCATCAACAAGATGTGGTGAGGGGCGTATCATCGAGGATGTGGATGAGAGTCCTTTGACACGAAACTATTATCTCTGTACCTTGAACTGTGTGTCTGCTCCTCGATTTTTTGCAGGTGACAAGTTGGAATGGACAGGTGAATTCTAAAACAAAAAAAAATGTTGCCCTCTGATGACGAGGAGCATGTCAAGCGTTTGATCAGAATCAGAATTGCTCCCTACAACGGCAGAGTGAAAGAATTACAAGGAAGATTGGCAAATCTTTTAATTTCTCAAAGAAATTCTCGTGAATTATCTATTGAACCACTTGTCGTAAATGAATCATCGCATGATGAAGCTGTACATGTTCCAACTTCAGCTGCTTCTTCTTCCGAACCATCGCCAAGTATTTCTGAGAATGAGACTATGCAACAGATGTCAAATGTCAACGAGGACAATATTGAGAGCTTGGTTTCCTCTCAAACCAATGACTATTTCGTTAAAGTGATGAATTCAATGCAACCATTCAAGAAGTTGTCGCCAGAAGATGAGAATGCTCTATCATCCAACTCTGCCATACATAAGGAAATCATCAACCAGCTGTCAAATGTTGAAAGAGGTTATAAATTGGTCAAGTACGCACTCAATGCTAATACCAAATTAAGACATGTCATCTTGCTACTCTCTCAAAACATTGTACCTCATTCTTCCACCATGAAACGTTGCATTTACTCTGATGCAAATTATGGATCCTATGTCAATGCAGAAATGGCTTTGATTTTGTTTGTTTATTTATTTGACATGAAAATCTATGATTGGCAAAATCAAAGTGATGTCACCAATTTATTCCGATCATTCAATTCGGTGATTAGATACTCTCCAAATGCTTCTCTTGCCATGTTCTACTTTGAGTTGTTCCAATTTATTGTCAACTCGAATAACTCTTGTGAAAAGAGAACTGAAAGAAACATTCCTGCTGTTGCCTATAACATTGCTTTGTGTTTGAGCGATCATGTGGACTCGAATGATTCTGTTCATACAGATCTGAGAGATACCGATACTACTCCCATCAACAAAGAAATGCAAGAGCTTATTGATATTATTGAGTATTATAACAATATGGGTTTCAAGTTTTTCAACAACAGTACGGATGAGAATAGAATGGTGTTTTTTGGTGTCCGTAAGGTGTGCAGAAGAAGAATTTTGGAAATTAGCAATACCAGATCTACTTATCGACTTGAAAATGGTCTATTTGTTTCTGAAGAAGACAATGATGATGACACTGTCAGCGCCGTGACAGGATTATCCTCTACTGAGACATCCTTAATTGAATTGTTATACGACGATTTGGCTTTGAGATCAATGAAGTTGAGAGAAATTGAGGAAATTGAGGTGAAACGTTGTGTCAAACATGGAGATATATTTATGGAGACTGGAAAGAGCAAACAAGATTCCTCAACCTATTACAAGGCATGTGACGGAAATTTAATAGTGTTCTATTCCAGGAAGAGTAAAATTCCAAACATTATGAATGTTTACAGAACATACACGATGGAACAATTGAAGAAAAAACAACAAGATGCAAGATCCCACCTCATTGCTTGTTGTGACACTATATTGACAAGTACAATGTATGGAAATTATATGGATTGTGTTCCAATTATTCAAGACATGTTGAGAATGGATCCAGATGGACTAACAACATTGGAAAAAGAGGCTTTGAAAGAAGTTATTAATATCATTTTCACAGATACTGTTCCAACCTATGACGAAGCTTTGAAAATTATTGCACTCATGAAACATTTTAAAATATCTTTTTAGCACATTAATGGTTCACGAAGTGTCGAGGGTTTCATAATGTGTAGACAGTGTCTTGGTGATTACCAACTCGTCACTGTAGTTGAAATAAAGTCAATTCTAATTGCTCTCGCTACTTGGACGAATGCAATACAACCTGAATTTTCGCGTTTTGTGCGTTTTTTTGCGTTTTGGTTGTTTTTTGACTTTCCAAGAATTTGATAAGATTTTAGTGAAATCTCAAACAACATCACAAAACATAAGAAATCATCATGAAAACGATGTAATCATCATAAAAGAAGTAAAAAATCAAAATTTATCGAATAGGTATCACAAATTCGTGTTAAGAGACACAAGAAGGTCCTCAGAGATCACTTTGCTTTTGCTGGCCTTTTGATTGAGTGATGTGGGCTTTATCAGAATTTGTTGCTCGTTCCCTCACAAGATAAGTCTTGTGCGGCTCAACAATACACACATTGAAGAAGAGAGTTGTTCAATACGATCTTAAATTTCTACGAAGTTTCACCGAAAACAAGCAAAACAAATTCCAACATGAGTAAAAAATTCCAGTAAATCAATAGCATGTATCAAGTTGGAAATTGATGTTTCACTCGTGTATGGTGTGGAAATTGATGTTAAACACGTGATTTGCAACGTTTTATTCCTTTTACCCGTTTTTTGAATGCTCATTGACGTTCTATTGCATCATCCCAACTTGTTCCTAAAGAGGATCAGTAAGGTTGAATCATTATGCAACTCTCTATTCCAATCTTGAATCATGCAAACATGCATTGTTTGCAACTCTCGCTGTGCAACCTGTAGCAATAAATAAAAAAAGATCACGAAATTGACCTGGCATCTGAAAAAGTTCAATCAACGATGGAACAACACAGTGGGCGAGCAGGTGATCATGTCGAAGATAAATATTCGTTTGAAGATGAGGTGTACGAGGACAGTATAGAAGACGACGAAGAAGAGGTACTAAGAAGTCTCATTATAAGCGCTGATGAATTTATGCAACGATGGAATAATATCACTCCTTCGGCCAGCTTCTCAGAGGATACGGAAACAGTTACAATAATGATACCCATCGAAGAGATCTTAGTTAGGCCTACATGATGGTACTCAAAATAAAATTCGTGTTTTACTTTCACAAACACGACCATACAACTATACTTTGTCATGACCATCTATGACGAAGAAATCCACTGCTCCAACTAAGGCGAGCAGCATCAGCATGCAAAAGAAGGAAGTAGGACAGCCCGTTGAAAACTTAGAAACTTCCATGCACAGACCCAATTCGTCCTCTTTCTTCATCCTCATCCATTGACCCAAAACCTTCGGTAAAATCATCTGGTCAGGTTCAGTCTTCATCTGCCGTACAACAACAACCAGTCATTTATGTAATGGAATACCAAAAGCTGCACACAAGTGAGAGGCCAAGCGATATTGTGAAACACGAGGAATACTATTGTACTTCTTCATGAGTTCATGGTTTTCATCGAGACCACTCTTCACCAAGTCAAGGACTCTTCCACTTCTCAAAGAAGGAATCAGAAAGGTTCTGAGGCTCTTGATCTACAAAGAGCTAAAATGCTGGGCCACACAGGAACAATATATATTGACAAGTTCTTGCCCGATCTCCTTACGGATTTCAATATCCGCCCAAACAAGATCGCCTTATTGAAAAAGCATCTCTTGAGAAGATGGAACAACTCTATACATATCTGCTCATCCTCAAGAAATTTGTTGGTAAATTGAGGGCTGCTAATATTACCCATCTCGAAAAGGAGGTGCAATAGGGTGGAGGACCCAACACATTCTTCAAGTCTCTCTCGAATCGAAAGAAGATGTGCTCTCTCGTGAACAATGCAGTGAATCAACAAAAGGATACTTTTGAAAAGAGAGAAAAGGCACGTAAAAGTACCAACACGAGAAGAGCCAAGTTGGTCGAGGAAGGCAAGTGTTCCGAGTGTGGTCATGTCATGGATAATGTTGCATTGACCAGTGCTGATAAGGAGTTCCTTAATGATAAAGATGTTCTCTTGGTCGAAGGAAGTTCTTCTGCCAGTTCCACCAACAGTTCCAGCAACAGTTCCACCAATATTCTCGATTGTGGTGGTGAGATGGATTCAGAGACGCTATTCGATGATAATGGTTTCATTGGAACAGCCTTTCTTCGTCCCAGATGTCAACAGTGTTTACGTAAACACAACGAGAGGGAGAAGCAAAAGTATCACAAGGTTAAGGAAGAAGGAGTCATGTGTCCAAGTCATCCATCGGTACCTTTGGAAGTGTGTGATCCAGAATTGGGCACAACAGCTTGTCAGAAATGTTACTCGTTCACATGGGAAAACAATTTGCCTCTTTGAAATGTTGTTCCACACACTCGATGGGACGTCCTCCGCAATGTCTAATAATGATCATTGTATGAAATTTTGCTACACACATTCTCGAGCTTGAGGATAGAGAGCATATTTCCCAAAGTGTGAACGAATATACTCTTGCACTGGAAAGCAGCCACTCGAGTTGTATCAGTGTTTGTGTGCTTGCTGTCATCAAATGGTTAACTTGGAAAAGAATGCGCGACTGGTTTTGAGCAAGGAAGAGATGTGCAATGTGATCCATATCAACGTTTATTGAGTAACATGATCACATGGCATCTTGGCTGAGTGGTCAAAAGCGTTAGACTTAAGATCTAATCCCGTATGGGTTCGTGGGTTCAAACCCCACAGATGCCAAAATCGAATTTTTTATATTTCACCACAGATGCCAAATCGAATTTTTTATGTTACCACGATCGTACGTTACCACAGATGCCAAAATCGAATTTGACCAACTTACAAATTATTGTCATTACAGTTATTTCATCATGAAATCATACATAATAAACATTGAAATTTTAATTACAAATTGCTGATAAGGGGAGGTAACTTATAAGGGAGGGAAGTAATTCCAACTTGAATTCTCTTTCAAATTGTGGAAGCAAGCTTTTTTCAGTTTCAGTATGTTGGAACAATTTAGCAATTTCAATCCAATCGACCTCCAAATCACCATCCAACATACTGAAACACTGTTGTTATTACCATTCCAAAACAGAGCTAGGAATTTTTCTAGATTGACTGGAGTCAAGTCAACACTTAAAAATTCATGAGAAACAAAACAGAACAAAAAACCTCCAGCTGAGAGGATGATGATCTTTGAAGTGGGTTGGTAAAAGAACACAATACTCGTGCGTGTGAATGGATTACAAGGAAAGAAATTTTGATGAATTTCAATGTACCAATTGTTGGACATAAATTTTGGAGTACTAAAATCAAGTGTGAAAGAAGAACCCAATATTCGTCCATGTAAATTCATAACAAGGATCGATAGAGAACATCAAGGTACCAGTTATTGGACATATATTTTGGAGCGTTCAGTACTGTATGCCTTTTCTTACAAGTAAGAATGGACGTTTTTACAAATTCCAAAGAGTTCAACCTAGACTCTTTTTCCAACGTGTTATTATCCTTTCCAATTATTTTGAATCTTTCCAAAGAAATAATGGAAAAGTGACTCGGAAAAGTCTTCTTTGCAAAGAATTCAAGACCAATTTATGAACACACAAAAGAAAATGCCTTCACAACATCAACCAGCGTTCATCACCTCCTTCCACGATGAATCCCGCGACACGAGAAGGCCATCCCGACGACTCGATCTGCCCATCATCAACTCTTTGGAATCATCAATCAATGACCATCCATTACCCATGGTGATCATGACAAATGTGTATCACTCCACAAGGAATTATCAAATTCATTCCATGACTCGACAATTACCCACAACGATGACAACTACGACACCATCCTCCACCAAAAACATTCCCAATGATTCATTTCAATTTCGCGAAAAACCCAAGGACATGACCACTTTACAGTTTCAAACTCCTATATCATCCATTCCCGATCCTCTTGGTCGTGTCGTCGCTTTTTCGGAGGACCATCATTCCATGAATCCCAAATCCCATCCAATATTGCATGATTCAGACGCAACCAATCCCATCCAAAACCATTCGACTCACACCTTCATGTCAGGTACTAGTTCCACCAATTACCTTCTTCACCACCCTAATTCAGACCAATCTCCTCCACCACTCCCTCCACCCATTATCTCCTCCTTGTCATCATCCAATGATTCCAATAATATCAACAACCAATCACGTCCAACTTGGAGTCATTGGCTTTCCATGCTCCTTCATTTCTTCTCTTTCATGAATACATCTTTGATCGTCGACGATCCTGTAACCTTATTGAAACGAATTTTAAAACAACTCATCTTGATTAATCCTTATTTGAGAGCCAATGTTCGACGTGGTATGAGCAGGAATGGAACTAGTAATAGCACTGCCCAAACCACTTCAATCATTTCGTATCATAATCATTCCTTAGCACCTTGGCAATGGAGTGTATAAACATTCATGGATCGTTTTTTGTACAATAAGGTGTTTCCTCATCCATCCACAACCAGGCACCCAGTCAATTTATCAACAATTGGATCTTACGAATTGAACATATCCATTATTACGAATACCTCAACGTTTAATCCTTCCGTACAAATAACCAATAATTTTATAGTTCACGGGTTGTTTCGTAATAATGAAGAAGATTCGTTGTGAGGGCATAACGTTGCACCCAACGGATCTTGGTGTACACACCAAAAAAAATGTCCAACATTGTTGAAAATCTCAAACAAGCACTCAATCCCAACAAGACCTTCCGTCCCAAACATAAATTCATCAAAGGTTCCTCTCAACACACACTCCACAAATACAAGAAGGAAACTCTCGGAAGTGGTGATCTAACAGCAGCAGTCAAGTTACCCGAAGACGAAAATTTAAATGAATGGTTGGCCATCAACACGGTTGATTTCTATAATACAACAAATTTATTGTATGGTAGTTTGGGTGAATATTGTACAAGAGATACATGTCCTGTCATGTGTGCAGGTGATAAATATGAATATCAATGGATGGATGGTAAGGATTACAAGAAAGCTACCAAAGTATCTGCTCCCGATTATGTTTCCTTGTTGATGGACTGGATTTGTCAACTTGTCAATGATGAGAATGCATTTCCAAGTGATCCAACCAAATTTCCAAAATCCTTCTTGACCATTGTAAAGACTATATTTAAGAGAATGTTTAGAGTCTATGCTCACATGTATTACAATCACTACAAGGATGCCAAACAATTGAACTTGGATAGACATTTAAATACTGCTTTTAAACATTTCATGTGTTTTGTGAACGAATTTGATTTGATTGATAAGAAGGAACTCGAACCACTCAAAGGAGTTATTGCTGATCTGCTTGGCAAGTCATCGGGGGTTGATAGCAGTAGTGTCGATACGAATTTATCGGCCATGGGAGGAGGAAGCGCCTCTTCACCATCCTCGGACCAATAAGCAAGCGTAAAATGGATGTGTATCAACAACAGCAATACACATCATGTGGATGAGAGAGATTATGTACAGAACTCTTGTGTTAACAATCTTGTTTTAACAATCTACATTTTGAAAATATTATTATTTCATAAATTATTTTTTGATGAAAGAATAATCACCCATCATTTTCTTGTCAGTTTTCACTTTTGGCGTCATGCTAGACCACACTCAGATTAAAATTCAGGTTATCAAGATTAAACAAGTGTGACAAGGTATTATCTTTTCTTGATAGTACCTTGATACATAGGTGCCAAGTTAATATTGCCACTTTACTACTCATCATTCACACCAATGATTGACAATGATAATGGTTGAGTCGTTGAGGATTTTTGTAAGGTTGATGTTGGTTCATATGGCTCAAATCTCTTCTTCTTTCTTGCCCATTTAATCGTCAATGTTTGTCCATTTAACTTGAATTTTCCACCATTCTTTTTACCTAGCTTTTGCATGCATAACTCGGCGTCACCTTGATGAACAAAAGTGATCAAGTAACAATGGTGACTAGGTACATGGCGACACTTTTCAATCAAGTCGCTCAGATCAACAGTACCAACACCTCTTGTATTCTGTCCTGTTGTTGCATAAATGGCGATAAATTCTAGTAGGGTCTTTTCATCAATATAATCCTCTGAAGTTTCAACAACATTGTTATTGACTGAACCAATTTGAATCGTTCTTAAATCAATGAGAGATGACGTGGTTGTGTCAATGGTCACTTCAGATCCTAGTGCTGATGTTAGTCCTAAACTTCCATTGCTGTTGGAAGTGCTGGTATTAGAACTTGCCATTTCATCAAGACCCTCTTCATCTCTCAATTCATTCAAAACATTTCTATTTGCCAATTCATTTCTTAATAAATGTCTATTGGTTCCTCCTTCGCTTAACAATTTTTCAGCCTGTGAAGCAAAATATACATTGGTTACTGAACTTTTTTGTCCACTAAAGGCACTTGCTGTATTGCCTTCCACCGATGATTGATGATCCGTGAGAGAGTATTGTGAATCCCGTACGTAGGCAGGAATATCATAATCTAAATCAACGACTGAGACTTGACATAAATTTTTTGTAATTGCACAAACAGGACATATCACTGTTCGTTGATAATTGACGTCTTTTGGATTTTTTTTCCATGAAAAGGATGTGTATACTTTTCCACATAATTTACATTCAGCTCCGAGAGTGTATCTACGCATTTTTATAAACTTTCCATCTCCTAGACATTCTTTTCGTATGATTGGAAATTCTATGGGTGCACTGGATGACCCTCCCGATGATGATGAAACAAGGGTCGACTTGGAAACTGATGATGCAATCGTTCGGCTCATTTTTTTTAATATTTGATAAAATAACAATTTGATTCTTCTTGTTCAACCAAGAGGGCTAAAGTCTGGCCCGAGTTCGGAAATTATTTGTGTTTCATGGATAGTCTTTATTCAAAGGTCAAGTCGTCCAATAAATCCTCAGCATCCACACATTTGGCATTTCGTGAGGGTTTTCTTGGTGTCTGATAGCCTTCTACAAGAGCCTGGGCAGAACATGAAGGTGAGAGTTGAGGTGAATCCACAAGCCTTCCTCGAAATAACATGTTATTCGAGTTCTTTGCAGCTGATTTGGCAGCTTGTAATTGTTGTTTCAATTGCTCAATTTGTTGTTGAAGTTGCTTCTTTTCATCGGTAAGGATCTTATTCTTTTCCTTTTCCTTGTCGAGCAACTCGTCTGATTGTTTCTTGGCTTCATGAAACTTTTGAATAATCTTCTTCTTTGAATTGATTAATATTAAGAATTGACCATACAATTCTTTTTCCATCCTCTCTTTTTCTTCAACGACGAGTTTTGATTGTTCAATACTTTCATTATAGTGTTTGGCTTGTTTACTGAGCTTGTTAATGGTTTTTTCATCATTTTCCTTACTAATGATGAGATATCGAAATAATGAAATGTGACCTGCCTTAGTGTTAGATGACTTTTTCAATTCAATATTGGAGATGATGTAATCACCAGATGGATTCACAATCATACTAATGATGAAATTGAGATTTCCATTACTCATATAATTGACTCGATATTTGAATTTGGAATTGTCTTGTTTCATGATGGAGGTGTGTACAATTTGGAACATGTTAAACTCTTCTCCGGATGATGCTTGTCCCGCATAGGAAATGCTATGATGATTGTAGTAAATATTCTCTCCATCCGAGATGGTTAGTTTGATAATCTTTTTAGATGATATTGAATGGTTGTTAGTGATGGTGTTGTTCGTATGGTACAAGGTAGATGGAATATCGGAAGAGAGTGAAGTGGTGATGGGCGTTATTCCTCCTGCCACATGTGTGAACGACCCTCCTGACGAGGAAGCAAGGCTTGTTTGAACAACACAAAGATCGCTGTACACGACAAAAGAATTTCCATCGATTTCAAAATATGTAACGGTTTGTTCACTCATTTTTTGGCGCACTTCTCAGCTACTGCAGTTTTATCACTAGAAAGGCTTTGAAACCAGCTGTGTAAAAGATTCAACGTCAGTCAATGCATTTTGATGACATCGAATTTTGCCTTTTTTGACCAGCTCTCACACTCAACCTTTGTAAAAAATTGCACAATCAACACTCTCGCCATCATTGGGAAATGTCCACCCAAGAACAACCACACCACAATGATCATGAGACACTAAATAATGATCATCAAAATTCCTCTAAAAGTAGCCAAACGGACCTACTGAATGAACCAACAGAACACGAAAAGAAAAACAATCCGGACAACAATCCCATTACCGATCAAACCGTCATTCAAAAGAAAATCAAAAAACTAACAGAAATTCATCATGACTGGTATGATGGCAATGATTGCAAATGTTGTTTCCGATCATCCTGCGGAAATGAAATCATTACTTCTGCCAATTTACATGAAAGTGATGAAACCATGAAAAAAGTTTATAACACAAATAGAGGAGCATATTGGGATTGGTTAGGAATGGATGATATGGGAAAGAAATGTTTCTATTATAGAAACGATCCATTCAATAGAGAAGAATACTCCAATATTGGATTGTTTTTTGATGCTTTGGAAAATAATTTTCAAATCATACGAGATGAATTGGATAATTTATTGAAAGAAGGAGAACAAGATTTCCAGGCATGGCCAGAGACTATATGTAAAACAAAAGGAAAATGGAAGGTTTATCCATTGGTAAGTTACATCATTTTCATGCTGAAATGCTCAAAATTTTTCACTTGTGAATTAATAATTTCATTTCGAACATGTGGTCTGAACACAAGGGCTTTGCATTTGGACGAGATTTAACCAACGAACCTTCAAAATGCCCAAAATCAGTTCAATTACTCTCCAAATTAAACAAGGAGTACAATGTACATATCACCACTGCTGGATTTAGCTGCTTATCCTCGTCTTGTTACATTGCTCCTCACAAAGGTTATTGTGGATATAGTAATCATTGTTTGAGAGTGCATATGGGATTGAGAGTGCCAACCAGTAATCATCATGGATGTGCCATTCGTGTAGGAAATATTAGACATTGCTGGAAAGAGGGCGTTGTGTTTGCATTTGATGACTACATTACACATGAGGCCTATAACTTTACAAATGAGGATCGTTATATTCTATTGTTGGATATTCGTTTTAGAGAATGTGAAAAGTTCAAGTTCTACCAGAAACATTCACCACAAACAAGCCATCCCAATGAAAACGAAGATGACAACTGTGCCACAGCCAAAAATCAAACGTGTGTTGGCTCCTTGATCCACAACGAAAGTACTAAGTGGACTGGAATAGGTTCAAACACCCCGACAACCACAACCTCAACTGCAACCAGCACGGAGCAAAAAGAAGAACGAACATTTGTCACCCTCAAAGCATTCATGACCAATGACATTGAATGTGTCAATGCCAACTACACCAACGAGTTGAAAGACATGTTAAAAAACGTGGTGGATAAACAAAATTGAGCCGGTTCAACGAATCTCTCACACACTGATCACAAACAACAATAAACATGACAAAATATTAAACAAAAATTCTTTGTAAAAAATGCAAAATCAAGAAACTGTGCCGACCTCTGATGCTTCTTCGGTGGTGTCATCACAAGAATCGGAACAAATATCTCAACCACCATTCAATAATACCAGAAGCGATCTTCTCAATCCTAAAACTCTGCAACTCTTAGAAAATAGAGCCAATTTATTATCTGAAAGTTTCAATCATTTACTCGGATCTCTTCAAACCTCCATGTATGCTAAAAGCGCAATAACTCTACAACACATTGAATTATATAGAAATACCGTGGATAAATTTTGTACAGATGTCCACGAATCGATTGATAGTATGGAATCATTCATGAATCGATTAAATGATTTGAATCAAGAGTTGAAACAGATGAGAAACTTGTATCACAACATTAAAGAATTAAGAAAGACAGTTGAAATTATACAGCACAATGTGAATAATCATCAACAAAATCCCTCTTTAATATTTTTATCAAGCCCGGCCGGAGAGCAAGAGCCCAGCAGCAATAGAAATGGTGTGGAATCAACAACATATGAACAACATTAAACATTGATCGTCACAGCTACACAACTGGAAACTATTGTCACATGAGCCACTTTCAAACGACACAGTAAATAATTTATTATTGAATAATTCGAGATTTTACTTGTTTTTCACCTCAACAAATCCTACAAACTTGTATTTTTCATGTTCATCATAGAATTTAATCCAATCTTTAATCGATTGAAGCTTTTCTTCAGTAAAATCAGAATATTTAGATTGTTCACTGGTGCACTCTTCTTTCTTTTCATCAAAGCATCTGTGTGAAAAAAGTGAAATAATATTAGTTCAAAATGTGAGAAATCATAAAGGCATGATAACATACCCTGTCACAAATGATCTAGTTCCATCTCTACCTGAAAAGAAGCTATATCCACCTCCAGGCCCATAGTAATCTAACATAAGAACATATTCGATTGTTTTAGATCAACAAAATATTGGAGTTAATAAAATCTCAATGTCTCTTAAAACTAACCTTTGCCTTCACTAACATCATAAACTCTTCCAGCAATTGCCAAAAGCAATGGCAACTTCTTATTCTCACCCACTCCGTTATAGTGAGCCAAATCCTCCTCAGTGAACACAAAATAATCAGTACTGGACTTGCCTCCACTCTTTTTGAAAGGCAACTTCGCTCCATAAGTTGCAAAATCAACACAATGCGACGCTGGTGGTATCAATGAAGCTTCTGTAATTGTTTCAGATTTTTTATGATGGAATGTTTTCAAATACCACCTTACAAAACTTTGTTTAAAAGCTGCATCCGTCTTGTACAAGTACACACAGTACACAACCCAAAAGATCACCGAATAAACGATAAAATACAGAACATATCGGGTTACAGAGGTTTTTTTTACAGCTTCATGTGTTGGTTTGAATTCCGTTGTTGTTGTTGATCCATGATTATTATTTTCTAGACTCGTTGTTGATTCGTGTGCTTGTTGATGCTGATCTTTGTTGCTTCGCATTTTTTTAAATTTGAAAAAATTGCCCCATCATCACCTTTCTGTTGTTACTGTTGAACTCCATCAGTTTTTTACTCGACCGGTCTTTCACCATCAAATTTATATTTTAACATTATTTATTTTGTAAAAATCAGTGCTCACACTTCTCTCGGAACAAGATGATTCTGTTAGTAATTCTTCAAGGTCTCTTTTATACCTCTGTGGCTCTTGGTTCTCTTCATGTACTTCATTATTTTCTCTTTCAAAGAAAAAGAATGAAACATTCCATGCGAGGAAAGAATGTATTAATTACAGGTGGATCAACAGGTATTGGTCTCGGTATTGCAATTGAATGTTTAAAACAAGGATGTGCCAATTTAATTATTGTTGCTCGAAACCGAGACAAGTTAGAACAAGCTAAAAAAGAATTAGAAACACATTCCGTAGAGAAACAGTCTATTTTCATTTATTCATGCGATGTCAGTGATGAAAAACAAGTGGATTCCATGTTGGAAGAAATCTACTCGAAAATGTTAATAAGAAAAGTTGATTATTTATTTATTAATCAAGGATTGTCCATACCAGGTTATGCTACACTTCAACCAATGAGTGATTTTAAATATCAAATGGATTTAAATTATTTCAGTCACGTACTTGTTTCAAAGAAATTTATTCCCTCCATGCTTGATGACAATAAGGATGGAAATTCATCATCACACATTATTTTCGTTGGAAGTGCATGCTCAATTACATCATTTGTTGGATACGGATCATACGCTCCTACAAAATATGCTATAAAAGGTTACGCTGAAGCATTGAGAAGCGAATTATTAGGTACCAATATTCATATTCATTTGGCATTGCCTGTGGATACTGACACAGAGGGTTTTAAAAAGGAAAACGAAACAAAACCAAAGGAATGTGCTACATTATCAAGTCTATCTGGATTGCAAACGTATGTTGAGTCAGGATCTTCACTGGTCAGAAATTTGATGAAGAGTGCCATTCAATTCTACGTGACATCATCCTTTGATACTTATTTGCAAATTGTGGGTGGAACATTGGGTGTTGGCCCTTGTGTAAATATTTACAACTATCCATTGTTGGATGCTATTGTGGGTGGAATGATGGTCATACCAGCTATTTTGAGAGGTTATGCCTACTATTTTGATAAGGTCAGTTATGAGGCTGCCTTAACACACAGAAATGAACTATTCAAAAAGAATTTGCGCAAACCTTTAGAGTCATACACAACAAAAGAAAAGTAAAATTCGAATGTAGTTGACATGATTTGTTCTTCAAAACTCACAATAATCGTTTGCTGTTTGCATTTGAACGATCTCAATTTGCCGTTCATCTCAATACTTTTTTAATGAAAAGTCAATTCTATTTTTCACTAATTCCATTGTAGACCAATGAGTATCAATGGCTTGAATAAAATCTGATCGAACAACTTTTGCTCGTTTTTTTAGATAATCTCCTTCATCGATTCGAATATAGACTCCTTCAATAGGCTCGTCAGTAGAGGAGTAATGCGACTTGTATGTATTCAGCAAGTGCATGAGATATTCCTTAGTGAGACTTGCCCCGTTATTATTTGGAATTTGTTCAATCACACACAAAGTGGGAGCATGCAAGTTCAACAACTGATTTCTTTTCTGAACCGAGACAAACTTTTCTGCATGTTTGTCATAAATATCGAATGCAATAAAAGTATCTGGTAATTTGTCGTACAAAATGGAGTGTTTTGCATACACCCATTCTCCATAAAGAATATATCCATTATTGTTTGCAGAAAGGAGAGCATAGAGCTCACCACTATGTTCATCCAGCCACGACTGCAATGTTTTAAATTGTGAATGCGATTGGCATGTGACATAGTGTGATCTATTTTGACATCTCAATTTATACGACTCGACATCGAGTGAAATTCCCAAATTAGATCCATCAATTTTTTCTTCAAGAGTAATGAATGGAGCTTGAGCCACTGAATAAAAACTGGAGGCCACATCGCGTTCGTCCAACACTAAATCATCACGAGAAACATCCTTGTTCGTAGCAAAGAGATGAGGAGTCCTTGGAAATTTAATGATATCAATCACTTGAGTTTCATTGTCGTCTTGATCCGATAATGATGATGACGATGATCCTTTTGTTTTGTGTTGGGAAGAGGCTTTTTTCTTTGAGGACATTTTTTTTGGTTGAGAAATGAACTTGAAACTCAAGCTCGAGTTGGTAAAACGAGGTTTCATATGAAATATTCAATTTCAGCTTTGATGTTGGTTCACCTTCAACTTTGAACATAACCAAGTTCAGAGTGTGAGAAAGAGCTCTCTTTGGGGAGATGGATTGATTCCATTTAAAAATCAGTAAAGGTTCAACCAAAATCTTCCTGCATAAACGACGGGGAGGGGGATCGAGAGCGTAGCCACAAGCGAAGCAATCAGCAACTTACCTTCCATATTGGGCCTAACTATATTTGTCGATCTGAGCCAAAGAGTTCTCGGTATTTGAGGTCATGGATGTCGAGACTTTAATTATACACAATTATTAGGTGTTATGCTTGCATTGAGGAAAGTTTGGCAAGTCACATTAGTATCTTGCCGTATTTTGATTTCGAGATGTTGATTTCTTATTGTTGACGAGCATTGTGATGCGAAAAACTCAGGTGTAAATCTGCTTGGATGAGGTTGATCAACAAAGAAAAATAATAGAAATTCATATAACGATCTATTTTAACTTCCAAGAAGGTACACATACCCTTATGTACGCTCAGTATATGATTCATTATGTAATGCCACAATTCGTGTGTTAAGATGTACAAATATAGTTAGGCCCAAAATGGAAGGCAAAAGTCTGATTGCCCACGCTCTCGATCCCCCTCCCCGATAAACGAAACAGAATATTCAAAATATTAAAAATAAAAATGTCTCATCCCTATCCTTCTCCCACTTCAAAACCTTTTTCTCGTGGACGAGGAAGAGGTCGAGGAGGAGCTTCTTCATTTCGTGGTGGAAGTAGTAGTGGAGGTAACCCCAATTATCGAGGTGGTACTAGTAGAGGAGGAACTTCATTTCGTTCCAGAGGCTCCCGAGGTAGAGGTGGAACAAATAGAAACTTTAATCAAGGTGATGGTAATAATTTTCAATCATCATCATCTGGAAATTATCAAGGCAATCGCGGAGGAAGAGGACGAGGAGGAAAATCAAAATTTGGTGGTGATGGTCAGCAGCCAACAAAATCAAAATTAGATGATATTATTGATGCTTATCTAGAGCAACAATATGCCACCACAGAATCCGGAGACACAGTACTAGATCTCTCTAATATTGCAAGTAATCAATATTTGATTGATAATGTACGTGAATTTAATCCAGCTCGGATATACAGGAAACTGTGCGAACGAGTTGTGCAAAAACATCCAGATGTTAATCTGTTGGATTTGAGAAATAATAATTTGAGCTCTTTGTTTAGCTTTTCGCCGTTAACTGGCTTACAAAATTTAACCGGTCTATGCCTATCAAACAACAATTTTAGTACTGTAGCTGATCTTCAACATTTATCAGGTTTGCAGTCTTTGAAACAACTGTATTTAAATGGAAACAAGTGTTATTCGGAACGTCCAAGTGAACAAGATGTCATCACATTGCTACAATATTTCCCTTCTCTAGATGTGATTGACACTGTATTAATTCCTGACTCTTTTAAGAATCGAGGAAGCATCATTCCTCCTATTAATATTGACAATGTGTATCTGGAGATTAACCGTGATGCACTCGAAAAATTTGTATTACTATTTTTCGATAGCCTCGATGACAACAGACCAGCTCTAAGTACACTATTTGACGATCATGGATCTTTTAGCATTTCTCTCGATGATAACATGTTACTAGAACCGCAATACGCAAAGCTTCACGAGAAGAAACGTAATCTGCAACCAAGCAACCCAAATCTAAACCCTCAATATTTAATCAAAACAGTTTTTAAAAACAAACTTGACAGAGACGGTGCATTCAAAAGTTTACCAAAATCAAAGCACAATTTGGATACTCAGTATTTGGTTGTCGATTGCAACGTTTATCATTCCGTTTCTCAAAATCAAAAAGTACCTATTTGGATGCTAACGATTCATGGACATGGTACTCATTTCAAGCCACAAGGAAGCAAAGATTCCTTCTCCTTTACTGCAAGCTTTGTTCTCAAACAAGGAACTGATCGATTGTTGATCAGTAACTTGATCTATCATTTAAGACCCTATGCTGGAACAAGTCGGGATGCATTTGTGGACATTTGTCAACAAGTGATTTATACGAACCAACTAGATCTTGCCAAACAAGCCAAGTTAAGAGAGTGCGTCTACCACACAAGGCTTAAACCTGAAGTTGCCTTTGAGCTGTTAAACCTGCCGGACGTGGCATGGACACCAAGAAAGTTTTCAGAGGTGTATGAACTGTACAAACAAAATGGAACGATCAATGCTGCTCATTATCTGTAAAGTCTCACTCCTCTCTCTTTAAAGTATTTCTTCAAGATGATATGCTCTCTTACATTGTAATAACGTTGAAGAATAAAAAAGAAACAAATAAGAAGAATTGAACGAATATCATGAATTTTCACACACTCACTTAAAAAATGTCCAAACTTGCCTACCGCCATCACCCACTGACCAACCCAAATGAATTCAATACACAATGTGCTCAAGCCATCATGGACAGAATTCAAAATGCACTCAACAAACATTCTCGTGCCATGATTGGCTTGAGTGGTGGTTCTACTCCAATTCCCATCTATAAAATCCTTTCCGAACTTTTAAAACCACTCCTTCCCAACAAGAATATAATTTTCTTTTTAATGGATGATCGTTATGTTCCGATGGACCATGCTGACAGTAACCAAAAATTAGTATTGGATTCTCTCAATGTTACTCAGGACCAAGTTACTCTCCTATTTCCAAACAGTCAATTACCCATTGATGAATGTGTGAAAGATTATCAAGAGAGATTACAACGTGAATTAGAAAAGCAACCCAATCAGAGAGTTACTCTATCCACTTTGGGAATGGGACCTGATGGTCATACTTGTTCCATATTTCCAGCCACTACAAAGAATAGTGACATTTTCTGTGATGAATTCAAAGTGGTGCACACGACCACTACTCAATTTGCAGTATTTGATAGAATCACTGTGAATTATCACTTTTTATTGAATCAATCAGAAGAATTATTCATGTTTTTCAGAGGAAAAGATAAGTGGCACTTATGGAAAGAAATGGAACAGTTCATTTTGGAGAAGAGAAATGGCTCTGCCCATGATACCAATGATTGGTTGAAATATCCATGCCTTCCATTTTTATGTATGGACAATTGTGTTTTATTCAGTAGTGACTGATTGGTATTAAAGCAGTTTTTCCGCCAAAATTTTACAAAAAAAAATGCCTTCAAACAACCAACCTCCGCCTTCATCAATGATGGCTCTTGCCACTTCCGATCTCAAATCAAAGCAAGAGCATGAAATGGAGATGCTTTCACTTCAACATGAGCTGAGGAGTAAAAATGCCAAGATCAAACAGCTTCAATCTAAATACGATCAAACCGAAAATAATTTTAAATATATTTTGAACAACCATAAAGAATTGATTAACCGGCTGTCTGAAATCGAACGAGATTTAAAAGAGGAACGAGAGAGAAACTCAGACTTGCAAAACAAAATTCAGCTTCAACAAATTGAAATTGCAAAACTATCAGACAGTGAAGAAAAAAACAAGAAACTACGGCAAGAAATTGAGTCTCTCAAAAAAGTAAACAAGAACTTACAGGATACATTATTAGATACGGAGAAGTTAAAGGAAAAGAAGCAAAACAAAAAGTATGAGACTATCATTGAGCAATTAAAGCAGGAAATCAAACAGTGGAACGACAAGTTTTCGGAACAACACACCAAGTACACAAAAATAGTTTCAAAGTATAAAATACAAGAAGCTCAAATGGAGTCGCTCATGGAAAAGAAGGAAAAACGAAGTGTTCCAACACAGACAACCACAACACAAATATTAGATGCAGATGTTCAAACCATTGCTGTATCCAAACCTCTCTGTTATCACCAAGCGGTGCAAGTGAATATTATTCAGCCAGAGCCGCCCAAGAAGGAGTACAAGCCGCCTGTAATCGATTGGAGACCTCCTGTACAGATCATTAAGGATGAAGAGCCCATGATAGATGTGGTAAAAAGTACCTACAAGCCTGAGGTAATTATTATTGAAAAGCCAACATTAATATCTACTGGATCTCAACAACAAGTAACACACAAGCCACCCAGTATCAAACCAGCCGAGGTGTTTCGAAGGGAGGAATCTCCAAAAATGCCACCACCCATAGAACAAGTTGTTTTGCCTCAAAAAGCTCCATCAGAGAAAGAAAAATCCAGAGAGGCATCTCCTGTGGTTGTTCAGCCAAAACAGGACGCATCTGAGGCTTTACCTCAACCAAAGGAGATCAAAGTTTCATTCACTGAGCCACATTCTGAAAATAGGTGCACTGTACGATTATTTAACATTATACCGAATCTTACCTACTTTTTTAAGGAATGGGAAAATCTTCCCTTCTTTTTGTCAGTTGACTTTTTCAAACACGAGACACAACTTTCAAACTTGACCAATGGCGTTTCAAATGAGTTGATGTTTGAACGAATCTTTGAATTTGAAAATAATCAACTATTCCTGTACTACTTAGCAAATGGATCAATTGTGGTACAATTAACTCTTGTTCATTCCATTGACAATTGTGAAGTAATTGGGCAAGGAGAAATATATCTGTCCAATTTGATCAAGGATGGATTTAATAATCTGGTAAAAGGTACCATCACTCTGTACGGAAAAGCCAACAAAACACAAATGGCTACAGTTGATTATGAAATTCAGCTTAAGGACTCAATTTCTAGAATTGTATCACCGTACAAATCCGAAGAATTAATGAAACTTTTTTCTGACAAGATTGTTGCTCCCTCACCAATCACAGATCACACAAAATCTCAAAATCGATTGAAAATTCAGGAAGCCCTAACCAGTGGTGAATTTAGTAATATTGGAGCAATGAATGATAGCAATATTCAGAGCAGTATTGGAGACGAAACCCTTGATAATGATCAACATGCATCATATCTAGATGAAGAGTTACTCAGCCAGCAAGTAGAAGTGGGAGATATATCTTTGTAAAGTATAGGTTACTTGTTTGTGACAATATCAAGATGATACAAGTCATTTCGCTTATGCTCAAACACTGGCATGCCCTCTCTAACTTTGGACAGTTGTGCAGACCAAGTTGACATGTCGACTATTCCTAAAAGTCCCTCAAAAGGTTGGCTCTCTTGCTTTTCCAAGTCATATACATGCTCTTGTTGGCCCAAATCCAGCAATATTTTACCTAAGAAAACAGTGGAATGATAAAATTTAACATCGGTCAAGTGAAACAATCCATGTAAAATAATAAATATGAATGCTGGTATACTTCATAACCTTACCTAATGGGTCAATTATTAACGAATGACCATACGACTCTCTTCTTGAGTTATGCCTTCCAACTTGAGCAGCAGCAACCACAAAGCATTGATTTTCAATCGCTCTTGCCTGAAGCAACGTCTTCCAATGGCCTAACTCGCCGGTGTGCTTCGTGAATGCGGCAGGAATCAACACAATTTTAACATCTCTCAATTTTCTTTGCAAAATAAACAATTCAGGGAATCGTAAATCATAACAAATGCTCAATCCGACAATTAAGTCTTTAGAGAATATGGATCCATTGTCGTCCACTAATAAGTCTTGTCCAAACTCGGTAATTTCAGATTCTTTCAATTTCACTATCTCTGTATTCAAATCAAAGAGATGAACTTTTCTGTAAATGTTTATAATTTCTCCTTGATTATTCACCAAAACATGAGAATTAAATATTTTGTTTTGATTGAATGGAGAAGTTTCATGCCAACCTCCGTAACTAATATTGATGTTATATTTTTTGGCTAAATTTGTATAGTTTTTAAATAATTCCGAATCTAGTGAGCCAGCATGAGCTAGAGTTTCAGTTGCATTATTACCCATAAATGCAAAACATTCTGGAAAGCAAATCAATGAAGCCTGATGATGCTGAGAAGCCTCCTTGATCAATTTCTCACAAACCGAAAAATTAAAGGCCTGGTTGTTGGTTGAACGAAGTTGAGCCAAGGCAATTTTCATCATTTTTTGTGTATTATTTCCAACGTTTGGATTTGAGTGCGCGTTCAATGGTATTTTCCAATATTTGAAAAAATGGTATGTGATCGTTCTTGCCTCATCGGATCATCATCAAGTTAATATCAATATTTCAAAATTTATGTCATCAATGTAGCTACCATTAACACTTTTAAAGGGTGCCATTGGGACCAATATGTTGGTGGAATTAAAAAACGGAGAAACATTTAACGGAACACTCACAAATTGCGATCAATTTATGAATATGAATTTAGAGGATGTTACGTGTACAAGCCGAGATGGTACTAGGTTTTGGAAAATGGATAAAGTATATATCAGAGGATACACATTAAAATATATTCGAATTTTAGATGAAATTATTAACAAAGTAAAAGAGGAACAAAAGAAGAGTAGAAGTAAGCCTCAACAACAACAGCAACAGCAAACCAGTACTGCCGCTACTGCAAGCAGCGGAGCTTCTACTACAACATCAGCTCCTCAAAGGACACGTAGTCATAGCTCCGGAGCAGGAAGAGGCTCGGGAAGAAATGATTCCTCTAGGTCATCTTCATCGGGTGGAGGCCGAGGAAGAGGAACACATCATAAAACCCATTAAATTCAAATAATTTATAATTTTATGGATAAATGTCTCGTTTGGAGATCTCTTTTTTCAAAATGTCAATTCTTCCAAGTGAAAACAACGTTGGTTGGCTGACCAAACATGCTGGAATAGCTGAAGGGCAATTCAGTTAGATTAAATAATAATTATCGTTTATTTGACAGAGTCACAGATTCAACTAACACACTCAAGTGATGGCTACCCAATTATTTCTTGCAGCTTAATGGTGAATTTACATGTCATGAATACGAGGATCACCTTCTCTTAGAATGTTCTTCATCATGGCCTCAATAAATGTCACGGAGGAACCACTGCCACCAAGATCTGGAGTCAAAATCTTGGTAGATGCATTCTTGAGTGTTTCATTGAGAGCATATTTAATTCTTAAAGCATGATTCTTCATTCCCATATATTCTAACATTTGAACAGAGGAGAGAATAAGACCTATTGGATTTGCAATCAATCTACCAGAAATATCCATAGCAACGTGTCGATTACCTTGTTCGAACACTCTAACACTGTTCATATCATCAATATCAGCAGCATTAAATCCGGCAATGCATCCTGGTCCACCCACCAAAGCAGAAGCAGTGTTACTGATAATAGAGCCATAAAGATTTGGCGTGACAACAACACTGTTTGTGAATGAATTTGGATGCTTGACCATTTGCATGGCAGCATTGTCAATAATTAATTCACCATACTCAATATCAGGATATGACTTTGATACTTCCTTACAACATTCAATGAAAAGACCATCCGACTTTTTCATAATATTGGCCTTGTGAATAGCAATCACTTTGTTTCTTCTTGACAGTCTAGCATATTCAAAAGCCCATTTTGCAATTTTCAATGATGCTTCACGTGTAATAATTTTCAAACTTTCAACAACTCCAGGTTGTACTTGATGTTCCAGGCCTGAATATTCGCCTTCAGTATTTTCTCTAACGACCACCAAGTCGACACCTCGGAATGGCGTGAATACGCTATCAGGTAAATTTTGAGGAATCTTGATAGGAACAACGTGTGCATACAATCCATATTTTAGAGCCAACATTCTGTCAATTGACTTGCTGACATCTCTTGTCATAAATGGGCCCTTCAATACAACTTTGTTAGTGATAATGGATTGATGTACATCTGGATAGTGAACTTCTGGATCAACTTGAGACCACTTTTCCTTTCTTAAATATGAGTAAGCTGTTCCGCCAGTAGGGTTTTCAATTTCACGACGTCTTTTATCTTCTGGAACTATGGTTCTTGTTGGATTTAAATTAGTGTCGGAACCAACACCAAAGAATGAACCAGTGACAAGGTGAGTATCCCATTGAATTGGAATTCCAGCATAGTGGAACAATTCACAAACGCAACTACAAATTTCAACTCCAATACCATCACCTATAATAGTAGTCAAATGATGATAACATATAAACATTGTTCGAAATATATTGAAGGTAATTATTTGATATTCATCATGAGGTATTTTTCAAACAAGGAAATGTATCAGTCATCCAAATTATTATCAATACAATACGTAATTTTTTCAATCTCGATTTAAAATACACAATGATCATCTTACCTGGTAGCAAGGTAACCTTTTTCATCTCACTCTTCTTCTCTTGATCTCTAGTTATGGTTGATGTAGAATAACAGGCTTGCATCAACGGAGTAAAATTGCCTTGATGCGATGATGAAAGACGCTGATGATGGTTCTGAAGGAAACGAGAAACTGGAGCGAGTGCTTTTTTCATTTTTATTTTTTTATTTGCATGACTGCTGAATCAAAAAGGAATCATCAAAAAAGAAAAAAATGCTTTCATCATCATCATATCGCCATTTGCAACCATTCTTCCATCCACTACACAATGCTGGTCTTAATACTGCCATTCAAAACAATGTTCATAATTTTATTACGGAAATTATTCATAATGTAGAATGCTATTCCTATAATACAGTGGAGAATCATCAACACTACAATTTCATCTTATACGGAGGCAATGATCATGTGTATTTGAGTGTTTATAAAGTAGATCATAATAGCAAGAGTGTGAGGTATGATTGATAAAAATTCAAACACATGAATGAACCTAAACTTGTTGCAATAGTGATATTTCAAAACCAATATTTATGGATGCTACACATGGAAAAAGAATTACACTGTTGGCTTTTGCGAATATGTGTGAAACCGATTATCGATTGACCTTTGCTGTAGTAGATAGTTCAAATACTGTATCAATCTATCAATCTGAGAAGAGAGTTCACTCTGGAGCTACTTTGTCTTCAAGTTCCATTAGAATTAAGAAATTAGCCAATTTTAATGCACATAAATTACAAATTACTGGATTGAAATTTACGAGTAGTGGAGATGCAAATCGATTACAGCTAGTGAGCGTGAGTGAAGATCATAAATGCATTCTCACCACCATTCAAGAGAGCAACAAATGTGTTAGCAAGACAATATTTGAATCCTTTTCTGCACTTTCGTCTGTGAATATTCGAAGTAGAAATTCAAATGAGATTGTGGTTGGTCAGCACTTTCCTGCTACATGCTATATTTTAGACTTGAGAGAAAATAGTGCAAGGTTAAAACCTTCTTTATCTTTAAAGTATAGTGAAACCTCATCAGAGAATTTTACCCTGCACGACTCGGATGTACACCCATCAAGAAATGAATTGATTGGGTGTGGTATTGGAACTGATTTTTGTATTTTTGATTGTAGAGGCACCTCATTACCTGTGGTGCGTACTGAGCTAGCACACTCATCCAGTTTTTGCAAACGATTTAAATGGGCCTACGTTTCGAATAATCCATCTCAAGAACTATTTGCCACCACAAATCCGTATGACACGATCAAGATTTGGGATACGACAAGTAGTAGCAGTTCATCTCAAGGTGATATGACTGATCATGTGTTAAGTACAGGCCACAACACCTCCGCTCTGCTTTCCACTTACAAGCAGAATCACATCGTTGGTGGGGTCACGTGGACATTTTCTCCAAATTGCTTAATCACTGGTGGAGATAGAAAATTACACAGCTATTGTATTTAGGTAGCACATTGAATTAAACAAAAAATTGACACAATTACCATTCGAATGAATTCCGTTTAAATTTTCTGTTTTAATCTAATCAATTCTCGTTCATCGTCACGAGAATAAAGACCTTCTCTTAGAGTTTTGCTTACAATTTCTCTTGCCTTTTCGTATTTGCCAGCATTCATCAACCAAGTAGTACAATTTACTGCAAGTCTTCCCATGTTTTTGGTTTTTCGATTCAAATAAATTGATTTTCGAGTGCTGCATGTAGCGATATAAAAGAGGGAATCATAGCAAGCAGCAGCTTCGTCTATCATCTTCATCTTGTTGAAAAAGAAAGCTAAATTGTAGACTGCTTTGTTATAAATTTCTTCTGATATAGATGGCTTTGTAAAGCAAAACATAATGACCTTCCGAAAATAATAGAGAGCTTCTTCAGGAGATTTTCCAGCAACGTCTAGATAGGTGGCATATAATAACTTAAAAATTATAGAATAATGTTCCATTTCCTCTTGAGTAATTTGACCTTGTTTAAGACTTGTTTTAAGGCTTTCTTTTCCTTTCTTAAATAATGATTCAATGGTTGAATGTGTCGGTCTGTATGGGTTTTTCTTCATGAAAATCACTAGCGAATATATTCTGTAAAAGATGATGTAAAATTTGAATTCGTCTTTCATATTCGGATTATCTTTGAGGTAACTCTCACAGCCATATTGTGCCAATTCATACAAATCAGCTTCATGTACTTTCCTTTTTTCGTAATAGAGCATCATCAAATGTACAAATTTTTCGGGTTCTAAATTAGATGTTTTATAATATCGAACTGATTCATGAAGATCTAATTTATAATTGTATCTTCGGAATGGAGTTTCTTGTAGCTGTGTCTTTTCATCTGATGGTTATTGTCAATAGAATCATTTCGGGATGTTTAATATTGTACAATTTAAGAAAATATCATCAATTACACCATAAAATATACAATTCATAAAATCTCACCATCCTCTAGCAACACTTACTGTAAGGATATTGAGAAAATATTAAATGAGGATCTTTATCAATCTCTTCCATACTTCTTGGTCCCGATTGTCCACTTTTGCTCATTTTTTTTGTAATTGTTGGTACAGTTGATTTTGAATTCATACTCATATTCGTTTTATTATTTTCTTCACTTGAACACATCCACCCTATTGCGATGACAAACAAATAACTCTCCTGTCAAACCATTCAAACACAATGTTGATCCTGTGTTCAAATAATATCCGTAACGATGGACAGAATGTGTGGTCATTAATTCCATGTACTTGTTTTTCACACCGACAAAACGTCCATACAAATTGAGAACTTGAATTCGTTGATTTCGAGAATCAATGACAATGATATTCTGACCAACAGGATCAAAGAGAACATCTTCTGGTGATGAAAACTCTCCGTAACGATTTCCTTCTTTACCAAATGATCTCCCAATAATTCTGATGGTTTGCCATTCACTTTTGGCTTGTTCATTGTCACTTGTCAGCTGTTCTCGCATGATTCGAATTCGATTATTTCCAGTTTCAGAAATGATTAAATCACCTTCAGGAGTGATATCAATACATGACACAAATGGATTTCCATCTGTGCAGTCCAATAGAATGGTCTGCAATGGAATTCCAGTAAAGGAACTCAGTACACGGATGCAACTGTCTTGACATGTGAAAACTAGATTATCCTTAAATGATCGTCCCTTTTTGACTGCTTTATCATGACTATTTTCCTTTAATCTCCAAATGGTATAATGGCCCTGCTCAAGATCTTGACCTTTCTTACACGAACCAAGTGTCTTGGTTAAATCAATTTTTGAAACTCCACCAAAATAGAATTGAAAAAACAAGGCATCATTTCCATTTCCATCAAAATTATCTTCAATACATAATCTTGATGCACTGGCCACCATTAAGTGATCCATTTCAAATAACAATTTTTTAGAATGCAAATCCAAGACATGTATTTTTGTTTGACACCATTCCTTTCGTGTTAAAATTAAAAGAGAGGAAAGAGAGTATGAAATGGCAATATCGACACACTCTCCCATCTCCAAGCTAGGACATGGTAAAAAGTGACCAGAAAATGCACGTTTGAGGATTTGATTTTTAAATTTCAATTTCAATTGTTCGTACAGATGAAACAAGTCTTGGAAGCTTTCATGATTTTGTAAAGAGAGATGATTATGAAGAGTAAGATGAACTGGTGTGTCCATATTTTTTTTAAATTGGATCTCCAATTGTTGATCTTTAATATTTTTTAAATAAATTTCTTTTCAAATAATTTAATTTTTATAAAGAACGAATGAGATTAATTTGTTTCAAATAGAAAACGAGATAATTTTGCGTGACAGGTTAATCCTTCATAATCTTCCGCGTTTTCATTTCCAAATCAAACAACCATTCCATACAAAATTCATCTCGTTGCTGTCAATGGTCATCCATAAAAAAAATACACCTCTCTCTCGCGAAGCACACACACCCATGACACTCAAATCCTTTCTCAATTCCATCGTAAATAGTAACAACACAGGAGGTGGTACCAACACAAATCGAACGACTAGTTCCACTCAAAACCGAGTGAATCACATGTTCTCCTTGTTGAACCCTTCCGGACATTCCACTCTCCTCGAAGACGGAATTGGAACAAGTTGTACAAACGATGAAAGTGCTACGAGTAGTAGTAATAGTAGTACATTGAGTACGACTGGTCATCCTTCCTCTCACAATCATCATCGTCGTCGTCATATATTACAACAACAAGAACCACCAACCAACCCGGGTTCATCAACAAATTTGGAAAATAATTCAATAGTCGATGCTTCTTCTTCTTCGCATCCTCCGAGAGGTGGTGGTGGTGGTGGTGAATTCGATATCGGTAGTGGTGGTAGTGGTGGTGTTGGTGGTATTGAAGACTCACATCAAGAATTAGTCCTCCATCAAGATTCGAAAAAACAAAAAAAAGGAAGAAAAAATCGCGGGTCATCCTCGTCTTCTACAACAACAAACACTCGAAGAGGTCGATCTCGATCCTATGACCATCTGGAAAGTGTCACGAGCACGAGTCATCATTTGGACATGACCAGTAGTGCCACTGCTCTTGATTTAATGTCTACACAAGGGAATTCTTTGGGTCATGGTGCGAATAACATGTCCTCCTCTTCCTCTTCGACGCCTCACATGGATCGAAATCTCATCGAACATGATCGAAGAATTCAACGACAAATTGAAATGGAATCAAAGAAACCAAAACGAGTACGAGTGTTGGTGTTAGGTTCTGGAAAATCTGGAAAGAGTACTCTGATTCGGAAAGTGAAATTAATTGATGGTGACTATACGGCTGAGCAAGCCAATGAATTTAAAGCTAAAATTTTAAAGTTTGTGTTAAATAATGCCAAATATGTCATTAAGAATTCTGCTACCACTGAATTGAAAGATAATATTAAGAGAAAGAATCAATTATTACACATGTGGAAATTTAATAATCAAAATATCAGTAGTGGAAGTATTAGTACCTCTTCAACAACAACAACCACTGGTAATAATAGTAGTATTAATAACAATAATAATAGCCATTCTTCTCGTATTTCCTCTTCACTTGGAGAGACTTGTCCAATTTCACAGACTCGAGGCTTGTCACCACCCAGCAGCTCAACACCATCCAACCGTGACAACGATGATGAAGGACAGAGAATTACGAGTACCTTTTTAAATCCTGAAGCTGTTGAATTATTTAAGAGTTTATGGAGAGACAAGTGTGTCAAGAGTAATTTTGAACAATTATGTTTGAATAATTCAGTACTTTATAATGCCAAGTACTTTTTTGATAAGATTGATACCATTGCTTCACGAAAATATCTTCCATCCTCGAAAGATATTCTCACTACTTATATTGCATCGAATGCCATAGAGACCATTCAATTGAATTATACATTTCCCTGTGAATTTGTGGATATTACTGGACAACGAAATGAAAGGAGAAAATTCATTCATTCACATTTTGACAAGGACTCTGTTTCTGCCATTGTGTTCCTAGTGTCATTGACCGAGTATTGTGAATATTCATTTTCATTGTATCCTTCTTCGAGAGATCATGATCAGGACAAGAACAAAACAAATCATGAGCCAATGGATCCTCTACATTTCCAACCTACTCAACCCAAAGAGGACAAGCATATTCTTTCTTCCAACATGCAAAATTCTCTCTCTCTCTTTAAAGAAATTGTAACTTATTATAATGACATGCCAATAATTTTACTCTTTACGAAATTGGATATTTTCAAGAGAAGAATTAAGAGAGTACCGCTGAATGTCTGTTTCCCTGATTTTGACTATTCTGGAGACCATGTATTTTTATATACTAGTTTTATTGCAGGTAAGTTGTTGTGAGATTTTGAATCTTCTCAACGAAGAATGTCTTTTTTGAATAATGTTGTTTACAATGACACTCGACCACATAGATAAATTTATTAACGTAGACCCAACGCTTCGACAGAGATGCTTGTACACTCATTTTGTGGACTTGGTCAATGAAGATACTGCACAAATGGTACTCGATGATATTAAGGACATTATTCTCCAAAAGACCCTTAGAGATCACGGCCTGTTTTGAGCTGATCATTTTACGTAAAATGTTAGAAACAGGGTTGTACAATAAAGTGTTTTAGCCTTTTTTCAAAATTTTTAATATGAAACTGAAAGTTAATGCTTGGTAAATGTGTCATCATCCTCAAAATAATCCAATGGTACATCAGCCATTATTGATTCAATATCTTCCATTGATGTTGGTGATGGTGGTGGTGATGAAATATTGCCCAAGGATGGAGTTGTCTGACTTGGATTAGTACGAGCTAAAACCTCTGCTTTCTTTCTATAATATTCTGCTCTCTCTTTTTGAGTGGTATTTCTATAGTGAGCCTTCTTTTCTTCAGGAAGATTTCTATATAATTCCGCAGTAATCAGATTCAATTGTCGCAAATTCATGTTTGGAAATTGTTTCTTCACAGATTCAAAAATCTCCATTTTAAAAAGTATGAATGGTGGTCTTGGTTTTTTGAGTAATTTCCATTCTGGTGTAGCTGCTTCTATTTCTGCTTTTCGTACTTCTTGAGATTTTACAAATTCATCTCGATACTTGCTTCTTTCTTCAGGACCCATTGTTTTCCATTTAGCAGAAAGAATTTTAGCTGTCATCAAGTTAAATCGTCCTTTAACATCGGGATAGAGGTTATCAAAATATTCTGGGTTTGAAAAATAATCGTCTTTGGCTTGTTCCCAATTTGCTTTTACATAAAGACAATAAGTCGAAGGCAATCTATTCGTATCTCTGATGCGTTTGGGTACCATGTTTTTCGTATTCTGTTTTTTGGATGAAAGATGTTGTAATCGTTCTTCAAAGGTTGTTGGTACGGCTGGAGGAAGTTCAGTTGTTATTGCCGATAAATTCATTTCCTTCAATTTATTTTGAAATTCCGAAAGCCTTGAAGATGTGGTCTCTTTTTTGGTGTTTTTTCGAGCGAATGATAACGTACTGGTATGATAATTATTTTGATGATGAGTGATTAATGAAACACCAATGGATAGTGAATAGGAACATTTGTTTACCGAGTGAGTCTTCGGAATGGTCTTTGTGATGATATTATGAAGCTTCCGAAAAAAAGATGTTCCGCTAAACATCAGTAGAGATGATTTCATTTTTTTGAACTTGGTGAAAAACCAAATCCACTTGGCGCCCAAACGATGTACAACAATAATTTCGAAAAAACAAAATTCATGATTTCAAATCGAAGAAAAGCACAAATTGAAGAAGAACATCATCAGGATGAAACCGATTCGGACTCTTCCATTCATAATGATGAAGACATCCAGTATCATCGTTCAGAGCTCAAAGACTTTGATCCACAAATGCTGAGTCCTCCAAAACCACTAGCTTTCAAAGACAAGGTTCGGAAACGAATTAAAGCGGGCATGTAGGTAATGATGATATTGTGGACATTCCATCATGGTGACACATGTTCTACGTAGTGTAAATATAATATTATTTTTATGGGAGATGGTTCTGTCGATTGTTTCCATTGCCATGTTAGGAGTTTATTTTCAAGCATGCAACAACTGTGACCAACCGATTTGGTCGTGGCTCCTCGTGAATACATGTATGGCCTTTTTATGCACCAGCGTAGTGTTGTTTTTGAAAGGAAAAAAGTACGTGTTTCTAATATTAAGGAATGCGAGTGCAAAAACTGAATGTGGTTACTTTTTTTCTATATTGATGCAACATTTTTTCAACTCATTCAAGGATGGTGGTCATTGCAATACTGTACAGTTTTTTGAGATCTGGTTGGAGTATTTATGGCATTGTTGTGGTGGCAAGAGAAACAAGTTGTGTGGCTAAGCATGCGAATGGGGCACATATATTTTCGATAATTTCAATCATTTCAAATGTAATACAAGTGGTGGTCATTACACTCATTGGAAGCTTTCTAGTGGGTCTATATGTTGCCAAGCTCGTTCAAAGAGACAAGAAGAAAGAAAAACGCCAATATTCAAAGCTAGATGATCTAAATTCATATGTTAATCAATCGGTGCTTTTCACAGAAGTGGATTCACATGAATCGGAAATCCAAGAAAACTATTCTCAATTTGAAGCAAATAATGAAAGCATTATGGTCGAGAAGCCTTTACCAACCAACGATTGTTCGTTCCCTGTTGATGAAGTAATCTTGGAAGATGAGGTCAATCCTGAAGATATTGATGTTGAGCATCTTGACATGGATCCCATTGACGAAATAAAGCTTAAATTTAACTTGTAATAACTTATTTTTCAAACCATGATTTTCCTTCCATTGAAGTGTCTGTGAACTGGTACGATGACGATAACGTCGATGAAGAGAGTGACCGATTGACCAAATTTTGTTGCTCCTCAAGAATTTTCACCACATTCATCAATGAATCTTCGTCATAAACCTCTCCGTCAGAGTCTGAAGTGAAAGATGTTTCAGAAATAAATGACTCAGAGAAAGAGTAATGCTTCTCTTCTCGTTCTGGAAGCTTTTCAGGTTGAGGAGGTGGATGAGCTGGTTCAGGGAGTCGATCTGTGCTTGAGGATGTTGTATCCGCAAAAACAAGTAAATGTCGCATGGTGTTTGCAGTTGATTTGTGAGGGCTCTCCTCTTTCTTTGCTTTCTCTGATTTTTGAACAATGTTTAACAAATCAGAGTCATCAATAGTCCTGTCAATTCTTCTGGAGCCTATGTTTTTGTTTGTAATAGGGTTTTTCTTAGGAGTGGTAAGATAGTTCAAGAGAGGAGAACGCCTTTGTTCTTCTGAAGAGGAAGCGTCAACGAAATTTTGTGACAAAATTCTTCTTTCTCTCACTCGGTTCATTACTTCATGATATTCCTCAACTTCTTTTGGCACAGGGTTACTTGCAGCTGTTTTTTTCGACTTTTTTCGTTTTACGTCAACAGTTGGTAACGGTGGCTTGTCTTTTTTCGATGTGGGCGATGATGATCGATAATTAAGCTCTTGGATGCTTGCATGATCCCGTATAGACTTGTTGAGCAAAGGAGATGGTTGTGGCTCAGTATTTAAAATCAGATTGGATGTGTTTGTTGCCACTGTCAGGGTCTGGATCGGTTCTGGTTTGGTTGGCTCCTCTGTTTGAATGGAGGCGTCCTTCTTTTCCTTCTTTTGTAGAATTAGTGACATTCGATTAATTTCTAATTCCTCCACAAGTCGCTCAAGTCTCAATTTATCTTTTTGTAAATTTCCTATTCTTTCAAGCATTCGCTTGTTTTCCTCTCGCAAATAATTAGTTTCGGAGGCACGTTCTTGCTGTTCTCGTTCTCTCTCCTTAGCCAGTTTTTCAATGATTTCATCACTTTTCTCTTTCAGCCTTTTGAGTTTGGCTGCACTTGTGTTGTATTTCGTTTTAAGATCGTTCGATTCCTTCTCGAACAAATCTTGTTGTTGTTGATTTTTCAACGTCAATTCTTCGTTCTTTTTCATTTCATCTTGATATAATTGCTTGTACTTGGATGCCTCCTGATTACTGTCGTCCAATGCTCGAAGTATTTGTGCCAATTTTTGTTTGTCTGATAAACATAAATCCATAAATCCAATTTCCTTCTTGGCAGCTGTCTGATTCAAATAATCTTGTACTGAAAGTGGAATTGTGGTTGAAGGAACAGACCCTCCAGTTTGATTATTGGAAGACTGTTGCTCCGATGATGTTGTAGAAGAAAACTCGCTTTGCAGCAAGTCTTTGAGTTGTTGCATTTTTTACTAAACGGTGAAAATTGTTTGTTCTTGGCGGGAATGCTAGTCGCCTTTATTTAAATCAACAATTTGAACAAAACAAACAAATCGAACAAAGCGCTGATCTTGCAAGCAAACACTCAATGAGTGAAAGCCAGGGGAAAGGACCCAACGCACACAAGGTGGGGAAGACCCAACACACAAGGTGCTCAAAAACTAATTCTATGAGTAGTAAGGAATCGAAGAAGAATATTTCTTGCTCCATTGATATCTCTGTCAAAAATTGAGCCACATGATGGACAACGAAACACTTAGGATGATCCAACTGTATAAATATGTCCACAACATGAGCAAGTTTTGGATGTATACGCTTCGTTGACAATATAAATGTGTGTCCACAGATGCTCTCTAGCTTTGTGAAGCAGTCTTTGCTTGAATCTGTAATGTGACCAAGTCAACATTTTTCTTGCTGTCTTGCTATTAATTCTCCTATGGAGGTTCTTTACCATTTTCTGAGTCTCAAACGAAGGAAGTAAGATCACTTGGTAGTTTCGACACAGCCACAAACACAGTTTCTTGTGTAGATCATCCACAATATTTCTAATCTTTTGTTGAATTCTTCTTCCTGCTCTCTTGTACTTGTATCTTTTGCAATGTCTGACTTCTGATTGAGACCATTTCGATTGTAACTTGTCATACACGCAACATAATCTACCAATTCTTTCGGCACCTCCTGAGCCCCATTTGGTTGAATATCCATTCAAATCAAAGGTGGTCTGAAATGCTCTACCTCCTGGATCCAATGCTTCAACTTATCCTGAATAATGAGGGGCTTGGTTCTCACCCCTAATATCCAGTACTTGTGGAATATATAAATAATATTCGTTCAACTTGTTCTTAATAATGACGGAATCAAACTGAAGCTTCACAGGCAAAGGTTCGGCGCTCTTGATCTTCCTTATGAATGAATATTGTCCATTCTTTTTTTCCAGTGATTGCAACGGAGAATGAAATGATCTTTTCTGTCTTTCTTTCTCTTGAAATGGATCATGAACTTGTCAATCATTCCATTCTTTCTTTTCAAAGTTGGGTTAGAATGCAGTCTATCTGAATTGTTGACTGCGTTCAAAACCAACTTTGAAAAGAAAAAGAATATAAGGCAGCATCTCTTACGTCATAAGGAGTATTTACTACCCACTGATTTTCTCTCTGATAATTATTATTGTTCACCACGAACGTGCTGAAATTCTTCTGGTTTTTCTTGACATCTTTGGAATTGTTGGAGAATTCTAAGCACTTGTTGTACATCCAACGAACAGTTCCCATCCACTGATTCAAAGTTTTCCTTTCTTGTTCATTGGGGTAGAGTCGAATTTTCATGGATTTATCAGCTTGCAATTTTTGGGCCGCCTTTGATTCTTCTTTGCCTTCTGGAGCTGAGGTGGCTTTTTAGAGTTATCAAAAGCCACATTCGCTGTAATAGAGTGGTGAACATTGAGTGGAACATCAAGCACTGGCTTGGATTTAATGACAGTGAATTGAGAAAAGTTGAACCATCCATCCCTTGTTGTTGTACTGATTAAAATCATGAAAGGAATCTCTTGAACATGCCCAAAGTTTATCCGATACTTGTTGTGAATACTCATCCCAGAATGGAAGGATGTTGTGTGCAAGAGATGGATTAGTAGGAGGATGAGTGGGTTCATCCTCTCTACTTCTCTTCATTCGTTGAGATTAAGGTTGTTGAGTTTTTTTTTTGAAAACCTCAACAAGAGTTGAAACTCTATCAGTATTGAATGACTCATTTAATTGAAACTCTATCAATTTGAATAACTTGATTCATTCTTTTCGTCGAACTGATCATGGAAAAGTGAACGCCTTTTCCACCCCCAAAAGATACTTTTGATTCAAATAATGAATAAAAGGTTCGTCAAGAACTGAATGTTGATGATTATATTGACTTGTTGAGTTTGTAGTAAATTGTGGCTTTTGTTCTTTTATTTTAGTGCTGAGCAATTTAAAACCGCTTATTATAACAAAACCTCCAAAACAAACAAGCTTGTGAAGAAAATAATCATTTATTCTTTTTTCATTGCAATTTCAGCAATTTTGCTCAGATTAAGAGATTGAGAAGAGAAGGCTCGCATTTGGTCACAAGCATTACCCAACTGGTTGGCAATCATCAAATAATTCAATTGGTCTGGTTGTTGAACAGACTTGAGCATAAATTCTTGCTCTTCTTGTGTTCTGTCCTTCTTCTTGGCTACGTATTGCTTTTGTTGAGCCAATTTCTTTTGATAGGTCTGATAACGATGATTTTCGTGTGACAAACCATCGGCATATTCAATAAGGCTCTCCAATCCACGTGTCAAGAATTGAGTATTGGCCATATCCAAACTATCATAACCAGCCAAGAGATGAGAAGGTTCATCATTTTCAAAATCTAAAAGGAAAGCTTGTACCAAGGCATAATTGTGAATTTGAATGGGAAGCTCATCGAAAATATCCTTATCAGAAAGATTCAATTTAGCCAAAATCTCTTGTGTGAGTTGAATTTTTTCAATGGACTCTGGTAAGTTGGCTTTTTCAGTGAGCACTTCAATATCTTCCTTCTTGTTCTTATTCTTGATGTCATATTTCTTTTTCATTGTGGAAAGCTCATTTTGTTGCAAATAAGCCATTTTAACAGCATCAATAAATTTGTCAGAAAGACGATATGCCTTGATGAATAACTCGCCACGTCTTGTTCTCAATGGATCAAAAACCAAGTGAATGCATCGCTTATTTCCAAGAGTTCTTTGATATTGATATTGGTTGGCAATTGTTGTAGCATTCATAAAACTATCCATATATGTAGATTGATACCATCCGACAGTGTTGTTGTCAACATTCACATCGGAAAGACCTTGCAACATTTCAATTTGATATTTTTCATCTTGATCGCTTCTTTCCTCCTCAGTCAAGTCTGTTAATTCGTTCGGTAGTGTGAGTATGTATCAAGATGAGAGTAGGTAGTGTCAAAATGATGATGATTACGTAACACGGAATAAATGAATTGTGGAGAACATCATGATGATTGTGAAGAATAAATTAAAAAATAATAATATAAAAACATACTATCACTATATGATGGGAATGGGAAACAATTCGTAATTTCCAACACACCACCATTATCTAATCCTAAAAGTTGACCAGCAACTTGAATAGGAACCTTTTCGGTACAGTGATTCATCATCTTGAGCAAAACCATGGCATCAATGCTAACCTCGCTTACGTGAGGAGCATTCTCCATCTTGCTGATAAAATCCTTGTCGAACTCTACAGTTTGTGTATCGACAATGGTTTGTGCTTGGGTAATTGTTGAAGCGGCTGATGGCTTTGTTTGACTCATTTTTTTGTTCAATCATCAAAAACTCCATACTGGCATTGAAGAGGAGGAAATTCTTTAATAAATATATAAATATAATAGTTGCCAAACCATCGGTTGAAGCTTGTCAAAGCAATGAAAATACGTTTAATGATAAGATTAATAAAATCACAGTACACAGCTGATAGAAATGTCAACAAAATAATAATATTTTATTTCATCAAACAAAAATGATGATGAATCGCCGTGCTGTGATGAAAGGTGTTGCGAGCCTCATCCCAAAACGTTCAGCAGCAACTCAAGTGGGTGGTAGCAACACCAAAATCGCTGATATGGGACCTCGCGTTGAAAATCCACAACAATTGAATCAGGATGCTCCTCCACCAGGTGGTTTTCCAGCAGTGAGAGTGAGAAGGAATGCTCCAAACAAGTTTTGGTCGATAGGAACCTTCCTCTTTATTACAACAGCAATGATGACTTACGGATGGTATCGTTATTATAAGTGGTTGAAGAAGAAAGAGTAAGTGGTAATGCCTAGAGATGAATAGATTCACATATGATGAACCAACAACAAATTTCAAAATTTGAAATAATTATTCTCATCACGGATGATTCATTTACGACCGTCAATATTATTGGAAAACACTCTGATTCTTGATAACAATATCATGATTTTTTGTCATGGTTGTGGATTTGCACGCACAACAAATTTCTCATTCATTGTTTGTGGATGATGTTATTGAATAACTACACGATTTTTACTTCTTTTATAGCGAATTAAAGAAGGAGCGAGAAGCATTGGAATTGGCAATGACACCTTTTCTTCAAGCTGAACATGATATTGCTTTTACATTGCAAAGAAGAGCCTTTCTAAAGAAGGTCGAGGAATTGATGAAGGACGAACCAGACTTTAATGCTTATGAAAAGTTTTACAATTCTTCTTCCCGTTTCCTTTATCCAGTTTATAATGCCCAACTTCGTCACCTTACTGGAACTGGTGTTTTAGAGAATGAGAAACAGTTCTATGACAAGGTAAAACAACCAGCACAACAATAATGTTACTATTTGAAAAGAGTCTTAAATGTAAAAATATTACAAAAAAGAAAGACATGCAAAGATAATCAACTATGATTAACAAGGGCTTTATGACATTTTAAATTAAAGAATTACCTAGTTTCTTTTACCACCACGTCCTCTTCCTCCTCTACGAGGTCTATATCCACCACGAGTATTTCCTCCAGTTTTTGATTGTTTTTTAATTCCTCTCTTTGTACCCTTCTTTTTCTTTTCAGGAGGCTCCATTCCTAGTCCGGAATTTATTTGCTTTTGCAATTCGTCAGCAGCAAATCTTTCTTTACGTTTCTGGATCTGGTCCTTGTCAGTCAAAGGATCAGACGCACTAGAAGATGAGGAAGCTGTAGCATTGGAGCTGTCATCGCTCTTCTGCTGTGAAGGTTGACGTCGTCATCATTGTTTTGTATGATCAAATTGTAAACAACACCATCACGATCGTATTAAAATTTTCGTTATTATCCAAAGGAAAAATTGTGTAATCCGAATTAGAAATTATAAATTCAAAGCAATGAAACAAACATTTGTGAATTTCTTCTTTCTCAGTGCCGCTCTCTCCTCAGAAGTCATGGATTCAACCTTGGAAACGTCGGAAACTGAAGCTTCTTCGTTGTTGTTGCTCATTTTTTTATTGGTGAATGTTAATTCGAAAGGCAACAGAAAAAATGGCTCCATTTACCAAAGGCGTCAACGACAACAGTAACCTCAACAGTCGAGCCGCTCCGAGCACTCCCAGCTCTGAAAATAACAATCATCACTCGGGTTCGCCTGTGATGCACCCGATGAGACATTTCCACTCCATAACATCGTTTGTTGGAAAAAAGATTGAAGCTGGAAATCAACAAACAAACAAATTCTTTTCTTCTCTATTGTCTGCACTTCCGAATCCCAACATTCCAAATGTAAAAATTCCTCTCATGAATGAATTGAAACAAGTCAACTCTACAGTAGTGAAGAAAATCAAACAAACAACAAAAAATCAAAAGATTGGAATTTCATTTTCGGAATGGATCAGCTTTAGAAAGCCCAAGCATGAAATGGAAGAATCGAACGTACAACAATTGTCAAAGATCGATTCAGTGAGTAGTAGCATGGATGAAGAGATTAGCATCAATCTCTCACAATTACTGTCACAATTGGATGGATTGGATCAAGATGATGAGATGGACAAGTACACTAAATTCGAAAAGATGGAGGCTTTTCGAATGTGTTTACAGTGTGTGTATATGCCATTATTTCCTCAATTATCTCTTAACAGAGACGACAAGCTTGAAACATCCAATGATATTGACCTCAATCTACTAAAGCAAACTCTCAAGACCAGCTTTTCTAGCATTGTTAATGAGAGAGAGTTTAATGAAGCCTGGAGAAATATTGACAATCAATATTTTCCATTTCGATCAAAAAATACCATCGCTCAGAATAGTGCTGGAAGTGATCTTGTGAAAAATGCAATTTTATTCCGAAAATATTTGGCTGAGAATGATTTAAATCCTGTATATAATATCAAGAAGTATGCAAACCAAGCAGAGTATAATAACTGGAAGAGAGATGAGCTGAATCAAATATCCATTTTACTCAACACCATCGATCAACAACGAACCTCTGTATTTTTAGGAAGTTTAACCTTGTATCTAAACATGCTCACAATTGATATACAAAAAGCGTTCAAAAGTACGTTGTGTTCACTGTATTGATTTTTCTGATACATTTATCCATGACACATGGTATTGGATTTTATAATAATTATCACTTCACGCTTTACTTTAGAAAATGCCAATAATAAGCGTCAATTATTCTACAAGGTTAGCTATGTAAAGCATGTAAATACTTCACCAATCGTCTTCGAGTCTGACAAAATCGAAGAAGAAGGAATGATAGTAAATGGAAGAAAGGACATTCCTCTCCCCGCCAACGTTGATCACAATATTACGACCTCTGTCGAGGATCAAGACATTGTCATTGAATTTTACCACTCACAACTGAAAGGTTTAAAAAAAAGTCATTTTGCATCAGCAAAAATTAGCTTATCGAACATTATGAGAAAAGTTTACGATGAAGAGGGTATTTGGGGAAGCAACAAATTTTCTCAAATTATTGACTGTTACTCTACAGAGTCTAGTGCTTCTAATGACAACATCATTGGATGTTTATCAATATCAGGAGATGTCACCTTTAGGAGATATCCTAAAAATGCAGTTGTACAATCAGATTTTTCGAAAGAAAATAGAATTGATTGGATTGAACAGTACAAAATAGTGCTCAAATGTCTCATTAAGGCAAGGGAGAATTTGAAAGACACCCTATGCGAAGCATTCTTATGTCCTAGCCAAGCATGGATTTTGAACGACTTTGAGAAACGATACGGAATCACTGAAACATACAAGCGATTGATATATTTGGAGGTGTTTGCCTCAAACATCAAATTAGCCATAACATTCTCTGAAGACTTACAAAAGTGTTTAGAGCTACTTGACAACAATATTGAGAGTAAGCATTTTCAAATGACACTGGCAGAGAGAAATAGATATTTTGATTTGACAGAAATTTTGGTGAAAAAGATTGAAAAAGCTCTCAAGAAATTTATCTCCATGTTTCCAAAGAACCAGCCACCTGGAGCTCTTAAATCATTTGTTTTTGTTCACCGCCTTCTGTGCTGTGATTATAACAATCACATTAGTGAGAATGATTACAAAAAGAAGCTCAAACACATTATTAACACAGCTCTCCAAGATCATCTGGATTTAATTCTTAAGGATATCATGACAAGCTTGGGAATTGACCAAATGAATGGGCCAGTGCTAGTAGAATTATGTAAAGAGCTTGTTACTGTGGTGGACTCAGTATTCTATTACTATGGCGTTTTTCCATTTGAAACCTTTGAAATGGATTGTCTGCAATTCTATTATTCCAAATTTGAATATTTCATCAATGAATGCAAAAAGAACAATACTATTAATGGATTTTACATGCTGACCTTATGTAGTACCATGAAAGCCCTCCATGATGAAATTCGCAATGACTTTTCAGAGAAGGATCTTGAAAAATTCAAATTCATCGATTGTCAAGCGCTTAGCGCTGGATATGCTGATAGATACATTGGTGAATTGAGAGACATTTTATCGAAATGGATCAAACAATCAATTGCTGTGGATACATTTGAACCCGTTACAGACAGCACCATGCACAGTACTTCAGTAGTGGACTATTTCACTTCTGTGAATCAGGTCTTTGAAATGTTGAAACAATTAGATTTCTCAAATTCAGATTTATTTATGAGATTCGCTGAGCTGGTCATTCAAATCACAACCACAGAGTATGCCAAGAAGCTCTCGGATATGTGTCTTAATGAAATTCATAGCAGTCAGTCCATGAATCAGTCAGAATCTGAAAAACAATCCTCTGGCATGCTCTTTAATCTCATTCCAAAAGCATTATCGAAAGGTTTATCCTCGTCCTCAAATATCAATATTCTTCCGATTGGAATTTCCAAACAATTTGTGATTCGTCTCAACGATATTGAAGCTTGTAGACAAATGTTACAAAATGTTGTTCAAACCATATTCGATAGTACTGCATGGCAAGAATATGAAGATCAAGAAGATGCACTTTTAGATATGGACGCTAACGAGGATGGTGATATTGATTTTGACTCCCTTGAAAAGAAGTCCAATGAAAAATCAAAAGCCATCGAAGAAGAGTTCCAGAAAAAATCAAACTTGACGATTCAAAAATTTTCAAAACAATTCAACGAAATGCTTTTTGACTTGACCTTAATGACAGCCAACATTTTTCAAGCATCTATTCGAAATACCATTACACACATTTTACAGGAAGCTAAAAAAGACCTACAGAAAGTATCTGGAAAGACAGAAGTCCTCAAACTCTTTCAACACAAATCCGATAGTTTTCTTGAAAATACGCTATTTAAATCAGTTTTGACTCCTGCTCTCGAAATTCTCTCTCAAAATTGCTTACCTGAACTCTTTCAGAAAATACTTGAACGACTTTTTACCATAGTAGTTGAAGAATTGTCTCTCATGTTATTTGACCCATCTAATTTCACAAAGAAGCAACAAGATCGAGTATTTCTCACTCCTCAACAGGTCTATGTATTGGAATCCATGTTGGAATTGTTCATTATTTATTTCTGTGGAAATGAAGAGGATAAAAACCATGATGACTCTTGTGGTTTGATTTCAAAGGCCTTCATCAAGAGTAAGAGCATGCTGTTGAGCAAATTGTGCAAACTCTATATTCAATCGACAGAAAAACTTGAAAGTCATTTACAAAAACTTTCCTGCAAACCTCTATTTGCTGAGAGACATCCCATTAAGGCGTACCATATTGTCTATGTTTTTTTCTCAAGAAAGAAGTCGGATCAGAAAGCTCGTAAACTATATCATGAGAATAGTGATAAGGCCAAAATGCAACGCCTTATTGCCAAATTCAACATATATGCACGATATACCATTGTTGAGGGTTCTGTCAAATTGCCATTACTATTCAGCGCCACGTGTTCAGACTCGACAAAATATGCATCAGGAACGTTACATGTGGCTGGCACTTTTCTTCTTTTCGAGTTTAGATCTTCCAATGTATATCACAGAATTTCATTGAATGATATTACTACGATTCACTTGACAGAGGGAATGTTCTCTCGAAAGGGCATTTCCATTCACTTTAACACTTCTTCAAATTCTGCCATTTTCGTTGGTTCCACCTCCAATCAGAAAAATGGTGTGAAATTTTATTTTGCAGAGGAAGGATTGAGAACATCGCTCATGGAATGTCTTCAAACTCAATTCAAATCGCTGAATAGAAATGATGTGAAAATTATTAATGAAAATAATGCCACCACAACCACTCCTAATAAGAGTAAGCCATTTTCATTCCCATTATTTGGAAAAAAGAGACCTATCACTTCAGAATCCAGTGATTCTATTGTTTCCATAATTGAAGGCGTTGTGTCAGATGATGACTCTGAAGAATCGAGAGAGGAGGTCATCAAGAAGAGATTTGACGTTGCCAACGATGAGGTGTGTATTACAGATTTTTCAGCGAGCGTCAAAATTGCACAAAATTCAACCTTCCAAGCCTCCATCTTTATTTTCACAAGCAGCTTTTGCGTGTATTCTGTGGCTGTGAGCGTTTGTGAGAAATTCGCTTGGAATCGAGTTCAGAAACTGACATGCTCTTCATCCGACGGAAGTCTACTCATTTCACTGAAGGACTTTGGTGACGTGACCATTTCCAACACTCTTAAGGCAAATACTCTGGAGTTTTTGAATCAATTCAACAAGTGGAAATCTCTCACTGACAATGTTCAAACCAAAAAGTCTCAAACTCTCAATTTGGAAAATTTATTGACCTTAACCGAAGAACAAGCGAATCGATACTTTTTACAAAAGTTTCAATTGCACAAGATTAGCTCAAAAGAAAAACTCGTGACCTATTTTATTATTTGTAACAATCAAAACAACATTCCAAATGGTATTGCTTTTGTGGCTGAACAATATTTATGTTTTGAGATTTTATTCAAGCCCGAAGCCAAAGACACAGTCATTCCATTCACAAGTATTCAACGTGTGAAACAAAAACAATCCACAGATCCAGAAAGCCAATTAGGTATTATTCATATTGAAACGGCTCATAATTTGAGTTATGATTTCGTTGTGATTCATTCTGCAATGCCATTCACTTCTCTCTTTCAACTCGTTGCATCCAAAACAAAACGAAGTCAAACCTTTTCCCTTAATCCCTTCTCGATGATTAGTACAGGAATGGGCATGATTGGAAGTTTGAAACCACCTTTATTCTCTTATGGAAATTCGAGTACTAGTAATGGGAGTAGCAATAACAAAATCCAGAATTAGTGAATTCTTGTAGTAGTAGTATTTGGCACAACAAATCTGTGCAGCTCAAAGAGTGATTAACCCACTACAAAATACATATCGCAACTGGTTTTTTTCAGAGTCGCCAAATGGCGACTCTTAAAATAAATGAAAAAGATTCACTTCATCCTGGTTGTGCAGCTCAAAGAGTGATTAACCCTTCCGCCTATCGAAAAATAAAAATTGAAAAAGTTCCCCCAGTATTTCAATCATTTATTATCTGTATGTATACTGTGAAAGAAAGATGCGATATCTGGGGCGGTGCATGAACGAGAAGAATTCTGGGTAAAATATCGATTCTCCAAATTCAGCACAAGTTCTGACAAGAACAACAAGTGGAATCCAGGAATTCCATCTCCAACATGCAATAAAGGGCAGCATTCTCCAATGGTCGTTAGTGGTTGAAACCACCGCACAACACTATAATCACACTAAGGGAGCACATTTACAATTGATCAATATCGATCTCATGCACTCAATGAACTGTTTTCATCTCGTCACATATTGACTTGAATCAAGAGCAACTCGATGGAAACGGTTATGCTATTGCTCAAGGTTTAACGCTTTCACAATAACACCCTACTGATCCAGTAGGCAGGTGACTGGATTCAACTTTACTTTGTTGCATGTTGTTAATGGGCATCCTGGATAGGGAACGTAATTAAATTTTAGTAATAAATAAATTTGGGGTCATGATAGGCAGTAAAGCAATGTAAATGGAGATAGCATCCACATCCCATGCATTTGTATCCACATCTCGAAGAAGAGTCCTTGCAATGAGAGCATAATTGATACCGTTCCAACTTTTTGAGTTTCATGGGGAAGTGAGTTGTTCTGGTGAAATAAGGGTTACGAAAGGTCACAGTTTGAGCAAGGCTGTGCTTGAGGTAGTCGCAAAGAGTTAAACCTGGGTTGTTAATGTGATGCTTAAATATGATATACTGGTTGACAAACGAAGTCTTCATCATCTGCAATAAATGGACAGTTTTCCAGTTTTTGTTTCTAAAAGGAGGATGAGTGCAATGTAAGAAAATTCCAGATTTGTCAACACATCCCATTGATTTGTTATACATTTCTTGAACGTATGGTTTGTTTTTGATTAATTGACTGCTTTTTAAATTTGTCAAAAAATTAACTCGTTTGTTGTCATTAATTGACAATGCCACTAAAGTGTTCTCCTTATTTACAGCATGGATCCATTTTCTAGTTTTGCTTCCAGGGAGTTTTTTCTGCAATCCTTCTGAGAATAGATAAGAAGGACGATTGTTACGGACAGTCATAACAAATTTCCATCCATGATTCACCAATTCTCTCGCAAGATCCAATGATCCATAATAATTGTCGATTCCTAAAACATGATTTTCTGGTGAAACATGTTTAACTAAATCTAAAACAATAGATGTTGCATTAATGATGATTTAGTTAAACATGTTTGTTCAAGAGAGTGGTTTCGGAATTGTTTGAAGGGATCATGACTTTTTTTTCAACAATTCAATCAAGCACAATCAGGTCCATTTTTTATGTTGTTTTTATGTTCAACCTGGACATCAAGCCCCAAAGAAAATTA